TTTAATGGACGTTGGCTATCTTTTAAATTGGAGATAGGTTAATTAAAAATTTTTTCAAGGCAGGCATGTGACGGCAAAAAAGCACAATGTCAAGGGTGATGACAGGAAACGTTTTCCCTGCTTAAGGGGTCCACTATACGTCCAAGAGACAGACTCTCTAAGTATGTGTAACCACTTCTTAAGAGTGAATATATTGAAATGTGCAAAACCCATTGTTTGATTTATGTCGAAGGATGATGTGATTACGTCTGTAGACACATCGCCTAACAAGAAGCATTAAAAAAAAGAAACTGTCTGATGTGCAACCCATCCAGTCATTTTCCCGTGAATTTAGAGCGTAATCCCGCAGGCTATCCTTTTGAACTTCATCCTCTCCCAGCCTTGTCTCGACTCGAGGAGGGTGGTGGGAGTCAATCTTGCAGAGTGCCGTATCTCTAATGATGCACACACGGCCCAAGGCCAGCAGTTTTGCATTGCTTTCAGAAACTGTCACTTTTGTAATTTGCATGGGTTGACTTGTGCCTTTCCAGAGATGCAAAGTCATTAATCCATTAATTCACTAACAGTTCATGTGTTAAAACCCAACCCAGTTAATGCCAAGACTTTGTTCACTGATGGTTTTCACAGGCAGGCATTTTGCCAGTAACCTAAGTTGACCCACAATATGCCATTCACTCGATGAGTCATTCACTCAGGAGATGAACTTTGGATACTGTCAACATTATAAGAAGATAGCTACACATATAATTAGCATGCTCAACATTGTGAAATACTTCCTAAAACCTGCATTTCTTGGTCTGATCTAGTACATGCACCCTCTGAAGAGGACTCTCACTGAGTGATACCAAGATGAAACCAAAGTTACTTATCTGCTTTATATTTCAAATCACTCATAATTACATGTTTGCTCGTTTATTGCATGCAAGAACCTCCTCAGGAGCAGAGTAGTGTCATTTCTCACCTCTTGCATCTTATAATGAAAGGTACTCACCTCTGGAGGTTCTTTGGATCCGTGAGATTTCCTGATTGGAGTAAATTTCCCTCAAGTGTACAAAGCTTTGGAGCGAGATTTGCAGAGTTTGTGGAGAGAAATTGTTCAGGTGTTGCAGCAAGTCCTCCTCCTCTTCTACTCTAAGGTGTAGAAATCCTTGCACCTGCCCCTTGCAACCTAAACAAACACCCTGCACATGCACACAGTGCGTACCCAGATGAAGGGATTTGAGATGAGAGGTCAGTACCTGTTCTCAGGTGTGTGTGGGGTGTTCTCTCAGTTAAAGAGTATAGATTAGCAGACTTTCATCCTATTTTTAGCATCATGACATCATATGATAAGATGGAGACCTCCGCGAGTAAAAAGCTGACATTGTCAACTTCAAGCGAAGAATAACAAAAACCTCGTGAATGCATTTGCATTTAAAATAAGTCGCTCACATTTGCATCCAGTTACCCATTTATTTTGGGTGTGCAGTAGAGTAAATAATGTGTTTACAGTTGCAGTCTGATGATTATCTTGTCTGGAGTTCTAGATTAACTCTGTCATTTTGATAACACTAGAAATATAATCATCAGTTGCATTTTTCCTCTTTAATGCAGTTCAGTTTGTGACTTGCAGAGAGAGAGAGAGAGAGACTACCAAGCTTGTCATTGTTTAATTGGTTGGGCTTAAAAGGTGTCCTGCGCAAAGCCGAGGAGAGCACAGCGGGTGTCTGCGTCGCAGGAGTAGGAGCTAAGTTTAGCAAATCCTCTCAGTGTGTTTCTCAATGACAGCACATGTTGGACAGTCTGCGAGGAAACTCACGAATGCATAACCTCACATGCAAACACGCCACAGACGCACAGGTCCTGTGCATAATTACTGCAGCTGATGGTCATTGGAGTCTGTACAGGGTGTCCTGACATGCACGTGCACAAGTTCACACCTCATGCATGCCAATATCTGAAATCACCACACAGCATTTTTGAACTGTGGTTGTTTAAATGTGTTTTCTGAAGATCATGAAGACTATGCATTTAAATTCAGCAGGAAATATTAGACTTACCTCAATGTTTAAGGATAAAAAGATATGAAGTTATTGGTTTACAGTAAAGAATATACTGTAAAATAAAATAATAAATATTACATTTTTATGGAAGCCCTATGTGGACATTTTATTTTTTTTGTTTTTTTCAGCTCTTGGTTTATTTATCTTGTTTTCTCAGACTACTATAACATGCATGACATGCACCAAATCATGTCGGCCCAGGACCCTTTGCCTCAGCTAAGTATGTCTTGATTCATTCACACAATGGCAGTGTGCGGTCATCTGAACCAGTATTCTTATGTATTAAAAGGACAAAACAACAGAGGGCTTAACTTTCCTTATCAGTGTCGACAATGCCATGACATGATCTGACCTGTTACACTGATCATTATAGTTTCAGGCCACAAAACTAGGATAATATAAATTAATCTCTTTTAACTAAGCATACAAAACAAATAAGTTCAGATCTTGTAAAAAAATGAAACTTCCAGTTATTAACCAGGGTAAATAAAACGTCTGCTTATGACTTTAATATTATATTAAATTAAATGTTTTTACTATAGGCAGTAAAATCATTATTTTTGGATCATGATTAATCGCAGAATGTCCACAGATAATTGTGATAAATAACATTTTTAATCCTGTTTGAAAGTTCCCGTGTGCTGTATGATGTTCACCTTTGGATTTATTATGAAGGTAATTGCTGCACAGCTACATTAGTGTTGTCAGAGGTGTGTGGCTCCTCATGTTCTGGAGGAGGGAGTGTTTATTGGATGAATTTGTCATGTCAACAAATAACTACTGTCTCCTTTGTCGCTGTGGTCAACACTGTACAATAATTAACTGTACACTCTCTACAGAATAAAGAGGCATTCACAACACAACCAAAGCTACCTAAATGATGAGCCTCTTGTTTGTTGCATCAGGTGCAGGAGATGATATCACAGCGATTCTCTTGAAAGTAACTCCCCTGCATGCTTTCATTGTTTCTTTGCAGCCAGGTGATTGTATACAGTAACTGGGGTTTTCTAGCTGGTGTAAATATCTGTAAATATGGCGTAAATAGCTGGTGATTAGACTCACCAGCTCCCATCCATTCGGATAGATCTGCTGTTGTTACCTGCAACTGTGAGATGTAAGACGGATCACAACATGTTAGATCCGAGTCCTCCCTGATGCTGACTGATCTTCAGTCCATTCATTGACCGCTGGAGTTAATATGTTTGAATTTTGTATCATTCACAGGTCTTAGGTGGTTCATACTCCAAAATAGAGCTCTGCTGCAGCATTTGTGACATGGTTAATTTCAGAGATTTTAAGTGGCAGCTCAACCTCAAAGTATATAGTTAGTGTTTCTATTTCTTTACTCTATTTGACACAAATATATTACTTTAAACTATAAACTAAGCCATCTGTTTTGTTTTTTAATGTGACACGGTCCGTTTAAAAGCTCAATGGTGGTGTTATTTTTCTACACGGCAGCAACAGGATTTAGACTGCACAGCTTTCTCAGTTAAGGACTTCCTCCTGTTTTCAAGGCATTAGGCAACCAGCGATGAGGTGCACTACTGCCTCCTGCTTTTAAGCATGGACCACAGTAGGCTAACCATGAATGGAGCCCTAATTTAATTATATGGGTATGGATGTAAAGTGAAACATCTTTCCTGTTCAACATAGTTATTCATGAAAAATATGACAGTTCCCGGAGTGAATGAATACATACATAAATCTGTTTGCATGTATGGAGGGTTGAACCACAGATAGATTAACCCCTGATTGCGATAAAAACAGTCACGTCAAAGCCATATTAACAGCCTGTAAGAGTTTGGGCATGACTGCACTCAACAAAACTCAAGCAATCACCATAAGCTCTTAGCATGTGTTATATGCATCTTGCTCATCTTTAGTCTTGATAAAATCAGGCGTTTTTTTGCAAAGAGGCAATTTGCATCGGAAGGGGCACCAAATGACTGCATAGTGGCTCATTTAAATGTATGCAAACCCTGCCGGCATGCAGAGACGATGTTATCTCTGCAGCTCAGTTTGTGGAGCATTTAACCCTTTGCACTTGCCTTGTAGAATAGACAATGTTCCAGTCAGTGGGTGCAAAAGCTGCACAATCTTAGTGGATCCGACCTTTCACATATTGCGCATCAGCACATATAGCAGTTTGTGGCCCTCACTGCTAGAAATCATAGAGTAGTCAAAGAAATAGTAATTTATCTCATTTGGCAAATGGAGGATCATACTAATCATGGATGACAGTAGCTTCTTGTCCTTGCAGGCCACTGTAAGCAGAGGACCTTTTCAATAAAGAGTCTGACCACTGAGTATTGACAAATGTTCCAGTTTCTGCACAATGTATCTTTATTAAAAGTTATGTAAGCAAAAAAAACTTGTTACTCTTAATAAAACTTTAAATTAGTGTAACATTTGCTGGACCTGAGCACTCATAGACAAGGACATTATCAGGCAAGGTTATATGGTTTCACAGTAGAAGATAAATGGCAAAATAAAAGTTGAAATCAGACCACTTATGACTAGTTATTATTTTTGGTTTTGGATTAAATCAAGTTTGCAGAAATTAAAAGCTGTTCCTGGGAAATTATCACCAGCTCTTGGAAAGAGTGCAGCTAAATATTGAGCATCAATGTCAGGGAGGATTTCTTCATCATTTCTGAGGCCAACACTGGCAAAGTTTTTGTACTGAAAACACTTGTCGGAGACATTTGGCTACATCCAGAGGAAATGAATTTGTGGTTGAGTGTTTCTTAAGCAGCTACAATGAGTTTGTTTACTGAAAGTGGAGGTGGCCCAAATGCAGAAGGATAGCATGCAAACACGAGTGCTGCAGGTAGAGTGCCAATCCCAACATCACATGATATTGATACAGGTGGCAGGCACTAAATTATGCACCTCTGTTCCCACTAACTGTGGGACTTACGTAAGTGGAAATAAACAATTCAAGTTTAAAAAAGTCTATTTCATGTTTTTCTTTATCCAGCTCAGGAAGTTTTCTATTCCTGTCTGAACTGTGTAACTGTGATGGTGGCAGTTCATGTCTTCATGGCTAAAACTCTCTAAAGCCAGAAGCTGCCAGCCTGGACCAGAGGACCCTGGGGTCTCCTCGTGACCTGATGAATCGGCTCTCTTTGATGAAAACTCAGCCAGAGCAAAAGTGATGCCTGGAACAACAGTAGGACACGTAATTTGAGAACTGGACGTCATCCTCCTGACACACAGTTTGTTGTCTCTGATCGTTGAGGTATGTACTCCTCCTTGAACAAATGCGCCCTCGCATAGAGCAACATCATCCAACTCGACAAGTTCGGTCTGGCTCTTGGGGGTGTAGCGGGTCAGGTGTGCGTGATTGTTTGGCAAAATCCACCTCGTTGTGTAAGCCTCCCGTACCATCACCTCCCCTGCTTGAACTTTGGGCAGACAAACTGGCAGCACACGCTCGCTGATCCTGGCCTTGTCTTTTAGTTTCAGCACAGCCACGTCAGAGGCAGAATTTGGATGGACTAAAATGTCTGAAACCTGTTGGGACAGAAAGAGAGAAAATAGCTGAAAATTGGATGTGAGAGTACCTACAAGCCTGGTTCCCGTATGAATCAGCCAAGTTTCTTTTGTTTTTAGAGTGTCTGTGGAGACTAGATAATATGCGTCAAGATGCGCAAATATTTCCAATCCAAATCAAATTAAGTTGTATCCTGGTAAATCTTTAAGTGTACAGCTTGGTGCCAAAAGGATTTCTTCCCCTTACCACTTACAAACAAAGACCAATCCTGAAGATTATATTTATTTCATAAAGATTCTGCTTAATACTTTATCACTGCATCTGTTCTTTGGTGGGTTGCAGTCATGGGGGACTTTCAGGTCAGACGTTATTGAGGTTTTTGGGTTAAAAAAGGAATGAATGTGGTTGGATTTTCATTTATGCCTGTAAAACATTGTTAATCTGCTATTAAAATGACTAATTTCCTTTTTTGAAATGTATATGATATGCATGTAACTAGTTTTCTTTCAATACATTACGCCTTTACACTGAAGCTGAGTCCAGTTTTAAACCTGAGCTGAGAAGGATGTTTTGTGCGCGAATGAAGAGAAAATCAAAATGACTCATGCATTTCTACTTTTCAGATCATCACCCTTTTTTCAACTGATATGAAACATCTGATAGTTGGTCCACTTTCTTTTTATGTTTACCCTGAGGTGGTGAAGGCCCTTCAAACGGTTGGAGGACCCCTGCAGCTGCAAGCCCACGACAACCTTCACATGTGCCGGGTGAAGGGTCTGCAGCTTGTCCTTGTCGACCACACACTGAGCTGCCACCAGGACGCTCCGCTGTGTAAGCAGCGCCCCGCTGCAGGCCAGAGACCAGAATGTGGACTCCTCTGAGGCCCCCTGCTGGATGGACATGGGTATTCCACGGGGCCTGTGGGTGCTGGAAATGTGATCAGGAGGTGAGCGGATATAGATGGCTGCATGCCACGGCCACGGGGTGTGTGTGGTGAGGTTGTGTGCAGGGGACGTGTTGACTTTGCCACAAACTACAGGGAGGGGGTCAAAGAGGAGAAAAGTGTCACTTTTTTTACACCAACTTCTATCTTCTATCATCACTCTGCTTATTTAAGCTACAGGGCTGAATTGTGACACTAAAACAGACTCAACAAAACTAAGATTTCTATGTTGCCTTGTTGTAGAGATTCAGATAAGAAAGTTGAATTTAAACAGAGGTGCATCAGCAGTTTTTTTAACGTTTCAGCGCTTTATGATGAGCAGATATAGTTTTATATCCATCATGCAGGTGTAAAAGTGTAACAGTCTCACCACCAAACCCTCCTAAATAAAGAGAATAATTGTAATTCCTGTTTCTTAAAAGTAATAGCGGCCACAAGTTTATGCACTTTGAAGGTAGCCGGCACATCTGTGAGCGCGTGTCTAACTTTCTCTGACAGATGCCTCTGGTGCCCGCTGTTGTTCCAAAAAACATTTGATCTGAACTGATTCTGACCTGATCGGTCGGGCTGATCACAACATTTTTTTTTTAAATACGGGTCAGGTTCAAGAGCAGCAGCGGCATTTTTGTAAACAACTGTGATGACTTCTGACACATTCTCGGCCTGCATGCATTTAGTGTTAAACAGATCTGACTGTAGTACACACCACATTCAAATGTTGTGTGCTGCATACTAAAGAACATCATGCGAAATATCTGTGAATTCTGTTTCATGACAAACAAAACAAGTGAATTTTTAATATGAGGTCAGCTGGCTCAGTAATTGGTTTCTGAAGCCAAATGATGGTGGTCATCATGTTGGAAATGCTGCTTAAACAGAGAATGTGGTGGAGCTGAGGTGGGTCTACATCAGCATACCTGTGAGTCAACAAGCCTATCGGTCATCATGCAAATCTGTGCATGGCGTTTAGCTTTAATATCTTCAAAACCAGTGAGTTAAAAACTAGATTTGCCCTCTGCATAGTGTGTGAGAGAAACAAACTAAGTTACAGAGACCAACAGTCGTTTAACATGGTTGTTACTAGGGCCCTCTTTTTTTTGGCCTTAAAGGTCCTGCAAGAAGTTTTTATCTGATAATGAAAAAGGATGAAGTTAATTGAGATCCCTTTATTATAATGACAGAAGTGAACCAGCCCATTAGGAAGAAGATGGGTTACTTTTCTGTAAGTGCTCTTAATGTGTGTTATCTCACAGTGTCAAATGAGGAGATTAGCATCAGGCTGCAGAAAAAGACCAAGTTAGCATCTTCCTCTGCAAAGAGTCACATTACACACACGTGCAAGAGTTTTCATCCTGTTTCAGACAGGTATTCTGTTGTCCACAGGGGGCGCCAAAATCAGCCTTTTAAGAAGGACTCACATGTTTGTTGTTTTTTTGATATTCAGGCGAGCACATGTTAAACACATGTTACTGCTGCTGGTCTTACCTGGTGCACAGGAAACATGGCGTCCACTCCACCTGCCGGTCTTCAGACAGGTGCGTCTGGAGCTTCCTGTGTGTCGGTAGAGCGTGGAGGCACACTTGTACTCAATGCTGGTGTAGACTGGGTGGAATCCACGAGGCACGTCCACTGAGGGGGTGTCTTCTTCATTTAAGTGTTTATCGAATTTCAGTGGAATAAAACCAGCTGATAACAAGTCGTCCATGTTGTACCTGGAGGAGAGGCGGAGCTATCAATGTAGATTTGTTCATTTCCAACATAAGCAGTTTATCAGTGAGTTCATGTGGCTACCTGGATATCTGACGTGGCTTCACAACAGTCTGTCGCACAAGTTCAGACACTTTGGGCTCCCGACACAATGTAGGGGCTAAAAAGAAGGAGACTTTAAGTGCATGAAAACAACAGTTTAAGCCTCCAGAGAGATGAAGCTTTTAAATTCAAATAAAAAAGTATCTGTATTATTGTCCGTGTAAAAAATCAGGTCAAAGTAGCATTTTAAAAAGCAGTCAAATCCATTTTAGGACCACCTTACCAAAGAGCTTTCTTCACTGTAATGTCACGATCATCTAAGTGGTGAAATTCTTACTTTTTTCTCTTTTGCTTTTGTTCATATCAGATAGAAATTTAGCTTTTTGAAGTGGTACTGTGTGAGGTACTTGCCAGTAGTAAGTGTATTAGCCACATGGGATGCTGCTTGACTCAGCCTCTTTGATGAGAAAGCAGCTCGAGAACTTTGATGGGAGCCAGACTGTCAGATACTGCAGAGAGGATCAACTCTATCATGTAGTAGAACCGATTCTAAGAAACTCCAACACCAACACTCATGTTGATGTAAGTATGCACCATATCTAGACTGTATTCAGTGCTTTACTTTGCTGTTGAAGAAAATTTACCTTTGCACTTTTTGCAGATAAGATACATACAATCTTGCAGACTTAAAAAAAGACAAACTGAAGCACAATCAAATAAACTAACAGCTGAACTGATACGGTTTACCATGTAAACTAGAGGAGTCCTTTATGAGCTGGAGTTTACGAAGGAAGGGCGAGACTTAATGGCCTGCAGAACAGAGGCGAGAAACTTTCTGCAAACTGTAGAGCAGAGGAGATCCAAGGTTACCTGGTGGTGCAGGTGCATTAACTACAAGCTGGGGAGCTGCTGCTGTCATGAGTGGGACCAAATCAGAGGATACCAGCTGCTCACATAAAACTGTAGACTGCATCAATCACAAGTTCTCTACTGTACCAACTTTCTCTTTTTTTTTCTTTGGCTTTCTTTAATTTTCAGAAGTTCAGTCAGGAAATAAGAAGAGCTGAATGAAAGTTTGAAAGAGGGCCTGAGCTGACTGTGGGTGATACATTACACTTACAAGTGACAAGTACCCCACACCAACCCTAGCTCAAAAAAATGAAGTCCCTCTTCAAGACTGAATGTTGGAAACATTTTTATCATCCCAGTGATAAAAAAACTGTCCACTCTGTGTATCAGGGTGTTCCCAGCCTTAATATATTTGGAAAAAAGTACCTTTGACACACTTAGGCGGCCTGCTGCTCCAGGATCCATTAGAGTGGCAAAAACTCTGGTGGTTTCCACTAAGCATGAAGGACTTTTTGCAGAAGAACTCTATAGTTTCTGCACCCTCAGCTGTGTCAGAAGCAGATCTGTGGTAGCCGTTCAGCACTTTAGGTGGCGGGGGACAGCGGGTTCTGCTCATTTGGCCTGTATGAGTAAGTGTTTGAGAGAAGAGAGGAAACAAACTCCTTCATACACTGTACTACCTGGCTTTGATAGTGTGCAAACACCAGAGAAAATCCACCAGAAAGATACCTTTCACACATGCCGGAGCTGTGCCGCTCCATGTGCCGTTGGGCAGACAGGTCCTCTGCTGGGAGCCGATCAGTGTGAAAGTTGAATGACAGCGGTAGTTTACTGATACAAGCTGCTCCTTAAGGCTATAGATAGGCAGCAAATATCCATTCAGGGGTCTCTCTGGAGGTAGACACAACGGTTTCTTGATGTCTGAAGCTGTTGGAGAAATTCCTGGTTATGACTTACAGAAAACATCTCACTGAACCAGCAGCTTAATATACAGAATGTTTCACACTTCGACCATATATGGAGGTCACAAAGTGGGGCAAAACTAAAGAGAAAGTTTTCAAATTTCTTTCGCTCCTCAGTTGTTTTTGATATGTCTTACTGCTTAAAATTTCTGTGGTGTATAAAAATATATAACTTGGTTTGATGTTCTAAAGCTGCACATGGGAGCTCATTAAACTCATTGACTAATTATCAGTGTTTTGGCTGAAGTCGTGCCTGTCTGCACCAAAAAATCCTGGAGACTGTCTAAACTTTATCTCCAACAACTTTTGGCTTTACTTGAAATTGGTGAACATTTTGACTTGGGATGGTAAACTTATTTTTGACTGAAACATATCTTTTAGTTGTAGTTTTTGATGCCATGTCAAGAAAGAGGCTTTACTATGAATCTTTAAATGAAAATACAGTAAATGTCGAGTGAACAGTGAACACAGCAGCTAACGTATGCTAACATGGCTAAATTGGAAGCTAAATCAGTGTTCACAGCTAGACTCAGATTAATTCTGTAACAGCACTATTGTTAGGTTGTTTCATGAATACAAAGCTTTGTAAAAAGTAACACTCACAAAGCTTAAAGGGATATATAAAATTAATTTAGGGTCAAACACACCGTAACACCGAGTTAGACACCCCCCCTAGAGATGAATGATGCCGACCGCTTGCTCCTCTAGTTATACCAACTTTAGTAACACGATAGCAATACACAGTGGTCTAAGGAGCCAACGCGCACACCTCAACCAAAAAGCCACTCTATAGCCACAAATAATGCTCAGAACAGCACCTAACTTCATCAACAGCACATACAGGGTCCTAGCTACAGTACCAACATCGGTGGAAAAGCAGCCAGATCTTGGTGCTGTAGGCAGAGGTTAAATTAGGAGTTTTCTGAGCTGAAAATCATGCAAAGTTAATCTACAGATGTCTTAGACTGACACAATATGAGGCAAAATGAGTACAACAGGTCCTTTTTTACAGTTCACCCTGAGAAACTTTTGCAAGGTTTTGCAAACTATTTTATTCAGTTTATTTCTTGCATCTGATTGCAGATACAGTGGAAACATCAGCAGCAGTGCTGTGTGCACTTCGGAGAGAAATTTGTTGGCTTGGCTTTAAATATTAGGATGCTGAATCAGGGCTTGCCAATTGGCACAGTTTTGACAGATGTTTGAGGAGAATGCTCGATGCATGTGGGAGCTCATACCACATTGTAGGCTGCTTATGACTGACCTCAGGAAAACTTTCTCAGATTTAGTTCAGTAAAGTCAAAAAATAGCCTCCACAGCTCGTCAGCCAACTGCTGCTCAACAAAATTGACACATCTTTTCAACTACAGTCAGGCAGGGCGGGAGCAATAACCTGATTTTCATCAGTGCACTGCAGCGAGCTCCACATCATGCGTCTATGCGCACAGCTGGCTGAGAGCTGAATGTGGAGAGAGCATCTTTAAGTACAAGTTTTTGAGTTGCTGTCAGGTTTAGGTTTAGCTGGTACATTCAAGATGATGTTAAATTATCCTCTAAAGCTTATTTGAATGGTTGTGTATGTGGTTTTTGCTGGTTTTGGAGCCAGCCTTAGCATTCAAGCGCATTCAAACGAGTGCAGATTTAACACCTGTACTGGCCTCATTTTTGCAGCCTGCAGGTTGCTGCTTGATTCCAACCAATAAAATGCATCAATTGAATCTAATAGAGACACCTGCTGGGTAATTTGTTTTCTATAGCTTCCCGGCCTCTGCACTGACTCAACTCTGACACTGTAGAATCATCTGCATAAAGAAAGACACGATCGTAAGCCAGCAGCTTTAAAATCATTTGCATATAAAGCTAATATAGTAATGGCCTTAGGACCCTGTCAGGACTCAGAAATAACCACTTGGGTGTGTAATTAATGGAGGACAGAAAAAGACATCTTAAATTGCTCTCCACATCCACCACCTTGTTTGGTTTTGAAAATCTTACTTCACATGGATTATTTTTCTCCGACAGAAAACACTTTTTTGAAGAAACATCACAGAAATAAAGCTCACGGGAGCTCTGAGGCTCTTTCCATCCAGACCACTATGTTGCCTCCAGTCTCTTTCCATTTGCACCACTATGATCCTTCTATGTTGTTTAGATGAGCTATCCAGAGTTCATGTCCAGAAGGGAAAAGGGGAGATAAATGGGATGCAAGTTAGATGCATGATTTGCTTCAAAGAGGGCAAATGGAGAGGGATGAGTATGATAAATCTGTCGGTCTCACTTCACTGGCCTGTGTAGACGGCTGCACACACACACACACACACACACACACACACACACACACACACACACACACACACACACACACACACACACACACACACACACACACACACACACACACACAGCAGAATGAAAGTGAAAGGCCCAGGAGCAAATGCAGTGCACCCAACAAAGAGAGGCGCTGTATGCGAGGGGGATATCATTTTTATCTGGTATTCATGATTACGTAGCTGAATATTATACCTACAGTATAAAGTGAATAAGATTATGTAAATCATTTATCTGTATGTATGAATTCTTTAAGAAAAGAAACCTTATATAATGAATTATCTGATTGTATTGACCAGATGAGAGACACATTAAATTGCAATATTGTCCAGTTTAAATAAAAATTAAGGATTTAGAACATGAAATACATCTAAAGCTCTAACAGGTTTGATTCCCACAGGGTTGTGGCTGTTCTGGATTATGTTTAGATCTGGTTTCTAGAGCGCATGGTACGGGTTTCATCTGCACTGATGGATGCAGCAATGAGGTGTAGAGTTTTTAAACATTTCTGAGCCGATACAATGAATTGGACTACAGAGTAATTTCTATTTTTCATGCCTAAAAACAGCCATTCTGCACAAATTGATCAAAATAGTTGGTATTCCTTCATGTTTCTTATTTTTGGCATTGCAAACCTTCCCAGTGTCACTGTTTGAAACCTGTTGCTGGTATCAAATGTTGTATGAGTGTATATTTTGCACAACACAATAACATTGCACAGTTTTGACATTTCACTTGTTTTCTTTGGCATATTTTTCTTATTAAACACGGGGTTTCAATATTTCAAAATAAGTGGCATATTCAGAGTATTTACTGCAATATAAAGTTGAGTCTCCGTATGTTATTTTGTTGTTCTTGTATCTACAGTTAGACTTAAACATGTCAGCAGCATCCACGTTATTCACAGCCATTGTATACCTGCCTGAACTCTCCTGAAAAGTTAGAACAAAGCCGTCAAAGTTGTTGTATCCATCTGAGGAGAACAGGATGTGCAAACGGTCTCCAGAACTTTCCATCTGAGGAGGCAGCCGATCCCCACAAAAGCGGCCAATCACAGGAGAGTTCAGGTCGTCTCCATCACGTACCTCGACGTAGTCATAACGACAGTTGTGGTCAGACTCCAGACTGAGCTTTGTGAACCTGCAGCACAGCCAGAGAGAGGTTATGTTTAACTGATATTTCAATCCAATTCAAAAGGCTTAACATCAGTCTCCAAGGTGCAGAACTGTGCAAATAACAACTCCAAGTCCAATTATGTGGGCTCATGCAGGAGCGTCTACACACTCAGCTTTCACCTCAGCGCCGGCTGAGAAGTACCTGTTGAGATGATGATGGTTCTCACAGTGAACATTCTGACTTTGGTCGGATTCCTTCATATTCAGCTACTCTTTGTACATTTTTTTACCTTTTTTTTTTGTAAGTGTAAAAGCAATATCGTGGTGAGATGGGAATACCAAAGCAGGCTCTGACTTTCACTGCACATAACTTATCTTGCCAGTACAACTTAAGAAGTGGTAGCTGAAATCTTTACCTAGGGGACAGGACAATATTCAGGTGTTTGATCGTAATTTAATCCTTTTTTTAAAGATCATACACAGGAGTCCACTGGCCTTCTGAACACCTTCCTGTTCATTCCCAAAGGAGACAAGACACCCAAACCTTTTATTACTGAGGCAAAATAAGCATGTAGAGATTAGTATTTTCATGAAAGCCTACATTTAAGGTGCAAACCCCTTCATAACTGTTTGCTTTTACCATCTAAGGAAGCATTCAGACTGAAGACACACTTCAGGTTGGTCTGTTTCAATTTGCAGCACTCTGAGTTAACTGCACAGGATAAAACCTCTCACAGGTCTGTCTGTGTCAGGTTAATGCAGCCAGATTTGTTTGCCGTCTACCTTTAAATCCTGTATGTTTGTCTCAATATGCCTCTGAGAAGTTGTTCTTTATATCAGTCCATCGTGGCCCCATTTCTGAGTAAGCTTAGATCAACCTTGCCTTTACTGAGGCCTGAAGCTGTTTTTTAAGTCCCAACAACAGAATCTTTAGATTGCTTTTCAAACTTTTCAGCAAGGTTGAAATTATTAAAGTTATTTTTTGTCTTTCCACATAAAAAAAAATACTTTTTTCCTGCAGGAAAAGTTTTGTTCTGCATGTGTAAAAGTGGGTAAAAAGTGACCAACCTCATCTCAATGACGCTGCCCTTGTCCACCTGCACTATCCACTCACAACGGGCGTTTGTTGGGTAACTCTCCAGAGCGATGAGACCCTGAGTTCGCTGAATGACTCCTCCACATGCTGCTCACAAAAGTGAAAAGTAAGTACATGAACTTGAAATACCCACATACCCATCAAAAGTGAGTTTCACAAAGTTGTAGACCAGTTATGTAAAATGTTAAGAGGGTGTGTGGGTCAATATGAGGAATTAATATGCAACCACAGTTGCGATGACCTTGTTTATAAAGTCCGTGCTGGTACTTATGTTGTCAAGTTTGTTCTTGAGAGAAATTAAAAGTAACATTTATAGAAAATCTAACGATTGATTTTTAACCTCTCTCTTTGCACATACCAGTGCATCAGCAAAGCCTTCATTAAAAACCATGCTGCCAATTTTGTTGGAATTCAGGGCCACTTGGACCCATACAGTGGAGGATAACACAGTCTGAGCAACAGCTTCTCGCCTTCCCTTGTGTGCATCAAACTGACAGTACATGACAGACTGAAATCCATGTTGTAATTTCCCCAGGGCCATAAAAAAATAATGGATGGAGAGCAATCGGGAGAATGAGCAACACGCAAGCAAACTTTGTTTACTTGTCTCTGTTGATTGCATGATGTAACCTTGAGCCATAGCATGGATTTAAATTAAAAGGGTAAAGATGCTGCTGCAGCAATTTACTGATCTTCATGTTTTCAAACGAGGGAAGGAAGGAATCCTCATCAGTATTTTAATGTTAAGCTGTAAAAGAGCTGTATAGGGAAGCTTGGTTATACCTGAACAAGAGAAGCACTGTCGCCCCCAAGTGTTCATAAGGGGTATTATAAATAAACAAGGCAAGTTTGCTTCAGAGATGCTTCATACCCAACCAGCAGCTCTGACGTGTGCTTAGGCCTAAGACCATTCAGTGATTGTAGACCAGTAACAGGATTTTAAACTCTATCCTTTGACTCACAGGGAGCCAGTGCAGGGACTTATGGACAGGTGTGATATGGTCCATTTTCCTACTGTTGGTCAGGACCCACACCATTGCAATAATCTAACCTACTAAGAATGAATACATGAACATTTTTTCCATGTCTTGTTTAGACAGAAATCCTTTAATTCATGCAATGTTTTGGGAATGATAATAGGCTGATTTAGTGATAGTCTTTATGTGGCTTTTAAAAGTCAGGTTTTAGTCCATAACTACACCCAAGTTTCTGGTTTGGTCAGTGGTTTTTAGTGTCACTGAATGAAGTTGGCCACTGACTTCAAGCTTCTGTCTTTTCTGCATTGAGCTGGAGAAAGTTCTGGCCCATCCACTGATTGACTTGTTGGATACATTCAATCAGTGACTGTAATGGACTTTAGTTATATGGTGACACTGTAATGTAGAGTTGTGTATCATCAGCGTATGAGTGGTATGAGATGTTATGATACTCCATGATCTGCGCCAGTGGGAGCATATATTTTGTAAATATTGAACAAAAGTGGACCGAGGATGGAGCCCTGGGGGACCCCACATGTCAGATTTATTTGATGAGATTCACAACTACCTAGCGAAACAAATAAGTCACAATGTTCTAAATAGGAATTGAGCCAATTTAGTTCTGTCCGATCCACTTCTCCAGTCTGACAAGCAACATGATGTGGTCAACTGTGTCAAGATCCAGAAGTACCAATACTGAAGTTTTTGATGCATCACTATTAAGGCGTATGTCATTAAACACCTTTATAAGTGCAGTTTTGGTGCTGTGGTGTGGTCGAAAACCAGACTGGAAAGCATTAAAGAGTTTGTTTTGGGTCTAGAAACAATGAATTTGTTGAAAAACAACTTTCTCAATGATCTTTGACAGAAAAGTTTTGATGTGGGTCTGTAGTTACGTCGTACTGAAGCCTCCAGATTAGTTTTTTTTAAAAGAGGTTTGATCACTGCAGTTTTCAAGGCCTTAGGAAATTGTCCTGATAAAAGAGACCACCAAAAATATTTGTGTTCAAAGCAATCTGAACAACCTTTAAAAACCCTTTTTGCTAATCGAGAAATTAGAGTGACAAACTTGTGACATTCAAGACTCAGCTGCAGGGATGATGATGAGGACCAGAAACACAGTCCACATTACAGCCATTTTCACGTCTCTGCGTTGGCTTCCAGTATCTTTAAAATATGATTTGAAGGTTCTTTTAATGTTATTTTAAAGCTGTAATTGATCTCACACCAACTTATTTATCAGATTTGCTTACACCATGTGAGCCAGTAAGAGCCCTTAGGTCTTCAGATAGCAGTCATTTTGGAACAAAGACTCACACTTTTAACTAAATGTATTCATTTTACTGACAAATGATTGATTCTATTTTATTTTATTTTTAATTGTTTAATTTATTCTTTCACCATATATTATATAATCTTATACTTTTTAATGCTGTAATTTAATTCCGTTTTAATGTTCTGATCTTTTGACTCTCCTGTCTAACATTAAACATTTTATTTTAACTCCAGTGTTTCCTCATTAAGCCCTCGTGATGGTGTTTTTATTTATGTATATTTTATGTACAGCGCTTTGCATTGCATTGTTGTATGGAAAGTACTTTATAAAGTCTGACTGATTGAAGACAAACAGCATTCCAATTAAATAGAGACAAAAGAAAGACAAACACAGATCACAATGTACAAATAAGCTATGCAGTGATACATTTTTGCTGTAAAGTTTATATTTAATGATTAAACCTATGAACAAATAATATAAAAGCAAAATGAAATAGAATAAAACAAATAAAAGGCACTACTTTTTTATAAAATGGCTTGTTTGTTTGCTTTGTAGCAGGGAAAGCTATTTAAATATTCTTTTTGTTTTCAGTGATCTGAGGAGGTTTAAGAGAAGAGGAAGGATGATGCATGTTGGAGATGAATGGGCTAAAAAAGTGAGTGGATAAGTCATTGTCTACAAACAGAAATATACGCAAGTACTTTTAAAAGTCATGAATGTCATCCATCATTTTTAAGGTCATCTTTGTGATTCAGAATTTCAGAATTCTACCTTATTGATGCAATCCAACTCACTTCTGCAGTCGCCTCCGCTCCAGCCTTGGCGACACTGTGTGCAAAACTTTCCATTGACAAAGAAGTCGTCATTGGCTCTCCATGTCCCATTGTTGCAGGTTTTACAGTTCTCAAACAAACTGCAACCTGGCAAACACAAAGACAGATAATCTGAGACTTATGTGAAGGTCAGCCTGCAGGTATGACACTGTAATGGTTCTTTGTAGTTGTCTGTCAGGGTAGGAGTCAGAAGAGGCTGTAAACACCATGCTGCAAACACAAACTTTTATTTTTGAATCTTATATGCTGGACAGAAGTTCTTCACAAGAGTTTTTCTCCAGATTTTGTTTGTTTATGTCTCAAAGGAAGAACTATGTGCTGAGAAGCAGTCCAACTAACAGGTTCTTCTTAGAAAGTCTCTTTGAGCTTTGAGAGTTCACCTGGGTGAATGATGCAGGGGTCACACTGATCCAGGGCGTTGCGACAGCAGGGAACAGTGTAGCCCACCTTTGACCCCTTAGAGGGACACCGACACTGGATCAGGTAGTACTCACAACACGGACGACACATGACGTTCCACTGAGGGCTCGGGCAGTTATCACCTATCAGAGGGAAACCAGAACAAAAGGTTAGACGGTTCAAATTAAAATGTGTAAACAGAAACCTCTGGGTTCTGCGACCAATACACACATATATTTCCTCACATCAGGATAGAGGATCATGGCCACATAAAGGAAGAAAAGAAAGTTAGGATTTTGAGATTAAAGTTAACATTTTATAAGAGTGAAGCTGTAGTTTTTGATACAGGCCACAGGTAATCTAAACGTAGGCTAAAACAACACATGGTGAGAGCTGAAGGGCAGCCAGCTGTCAGCATGACAATGAGGAATATGGATCAGCTTGTAGAGTTGAGCTCAACACTTGGGGACAAACAGCGGTTACAGAAGCATGCACAGGCTGATTATAGGCCTTCTTCAGCTTCATATCAGACTCAGTGTCTTTCACGATCCAGTTCAGAATCCTGACACAGATGGTGCTGATGTGCAAAAAGATTGGATATTTAGATATCTAAGGAACCTCTTCTGAACGATTGGTGCCTCAGGCTCCTGATTTTAGCTCTTGCTGCACCTCTGGCGAGCCATGGACCATCTATGACTCCTTTCTCATAAATAAATGACTTAATTTTTGTTATAATGCAACTTTATTCATACATTTACAAGTTTATTCAATTTACTATTTTTAATCTCATAATGTTGATATTTTCTATTTAAGCGCCATAAAACTTCTTGAATTCATCATGTTTCATGTGATTTTTTATTGTTTTTTTTTCTTTTTGAACATTGAAACTCTGTTTATTTTGGAGTAAATAGACTCTTGACACGTAACGCAGGTCAGCTTTTGGGTGTGTGGCTTTGTAAATTTTCTCCTTTTGTCCCATAATGTGGTTGCTAACGCCTCAAAAACAAAGGAAAACACAAAAGTGAATCAAGATATGGAGACAAAAATGCTCGATCAGGGTCCACAAATCCATTTCTGAATTGGAAATCAGTATTATTTGGCGATGTCCACTTAGTATTTGATCAGGTTTTGTTGCAGTTTGATCTAACAAAGTCAAGATGGATATCACTTTTCTTGGAAACATTGTAAGCTTTTAACACTGACATTGTTTGAGCAGCTTTGGATCCAGAGACAGACTCAGATGTGTCCAATTATCCCGCCCAAGATGCTCACTTTTTCCTTAACCCCTGTGGAGGTAGTTGTCAAGTCACAAAGATGCATGTTCATATATCTGACAGCATGATTCCTCAAAAATACAGGAGTGTCGATAAATGCAGCAGGTTGAAGTTTGCTTACATAAAAGAGGTTTGAACTCTACTCTCTGTAATTTGTCTGCTGAAACATGCGGGTTCAACGCATCTTCAACCCCAACTAATTAGCCCAATATTTACATTTGTTACCACGGTAACTGGCCATAAACAAGCAACACAGAAAATGGTTTTACAGTGCAGCTCATAGGGTCTGTAGCAGGGGAAGAGACACGTTTCAGCAGCAGGAGTGACTCATCGTCATAAAATAGCTCCATGGTTAGTCAGCAAATAAGTCAGCAAGCTTATTTATCGCTGAAGGCGAACAATGTTTTTGAAAAGAAGCTGTACCATAGCCTAAAAAGGCTTCAACGTTGAGAGAAATCTTCCAATAAAACACAGATAAAGGCTGCTTACTCACCACGTGGCCATGCTGCAACACAAAACCAGATATTGAAGAGGAGGTAGAGGTGCTGTGGGTGAAGAAAAGTGGGAACGGGCACTTTTCTTGTGGAGAAAGTGGACATGGTGGCAGCCAAGTTTAAAGAAAACCTTCACACCAGCTCCAGGAAAGTAGCCCCAGCTCTGAGTTATCTACACATCTTCTTATCCGTGCAGAAGCATAGATGATGCCACAGATGGCTGACCTCTCCCCACTCATATTAGACGGACATCATTAACCCATTCATTACAGGTTTTTCCTAAGAGGAGGTCTCTGTTTGTCTGGGAAGGGTTCAGCTAAACTAAGAGCAAAGTCTTCAACCAGTCTCTGTTGCTCTGCTCTCAGTGTGAGTCCAGAATGAGAGCAGTTGCTGAACAGTAACAGGGGAAAAATCCTCGCTGGCCAACAGAGTGGAAAGTGCATTTGAGGGAATAAAGACATGCTAATGAGAAAAACAGTGCCGGGTGATGAAGAAACCCTGAGAGAGAGAAAAAAATCCATCTGTTAGTTTTGTTTCAAGTTTCATAGAAAGGACTGAAATAAGTCTTTCTAACGCTTCAAAACAGTTTTTCACTCCCTTCAAATAATGTTTAAAAATGTGCATCCGCATGTATATCAGGCCAGAATTGTGATCACCGATGTGTCATCCTACAGCAGCTGTCAGGCCAGACATGACAATATTAGAAGTTCTTGGAAGACCGATAACAGATGTCCTCAGGAGGAAATGTTTACGATGTCAAGCTGCACTGATTTGCCAGGAGCAATGAGGCTGAGAGGATCGTCACAGCCCATTTCATGTCCAAGGTTGCTTTTCCATTACCTAAGCCTTCATTAAGGAGTTGCATGTTCAGTTTATGGGTCTCATCTTATCCATTACAACAGGTTGTTAGCAGACAGAGTGAGACTGACACTAAACAGTTTCACACAGTCACACTTCTTTTAGGTTTACACAAGTGGATTTTTTTTTCTTAGACAGGAGGGCGGATTGCATAATACGCATTCCTAATGGATGATTGAGGAAAATTTTGCGCACCACTGTCAAAGTGTTCATGCTATGGATAGTTTAAGTAAGAGGACACACTTCTAGGGGTTTATGGGTGACAAAAATTGGGCGTCAAGAGACCATTTTTCTGGCTTAAAACAGCAATGTTGCAATCCATTTGCAGCATTAATATGAGTGTGTAAATAATGTAACTGATAGACTGTTCACTGTGGTAGCAGCTTATTTAAAGTGAGTTTGCAAAGTTTTGAACCTTGTTGGAGTTTAAAAGGTATGCATATGGAAATATTTAGCAATAACAGTCATGATCTAAGCAGATCTGCCCCTTTGCTCACTCCTCTTGTCTGTGTATCTATGGTGGCCTTTGAGGACAAGAAGCTTTTTCAAGTTTTACCATTAACATTGTCTCATGATACAAATGCCTCCTCTACATCTCTACATTTTCTAACCAGACACTTGCTAAGTACTTAAAAATGTAATTGTCATCAGTTTGTCTGGTCTTTGCTGCTGTAGAAACATGGATCCTTTATGTGGATCTACAAAAGTGAACAGAAAGAAAACCAAAATCATTGTATCTCTAACCTTGTATCTCCAAACACTAATTCTTCACAGGAGATAGATAGATTTTTTTTTCACACGAGTTTACCTCAAGCTTTTTGAAAAAATTTCATCTGCTAAATGTCAGCCTTCTGACAGGCATAAAAGGAGATAAATGGCATTAATAAATGCAGAGTACCTGAAATGATTAAATATGGAAATACAAGGTTTTCTACCTGACAGTGATGCTGTGTTGATTTAACATGCTTGTAAATACTGATAAATGCTTGTAATTAAACTCTGTTTCTGCCAAAATCTATTCTGCCAAAAAATACATCCAGAGGTTTCATTATTTCATGGTAAGCAACTAGTTTTGCTGCCCTCAAGTGGACAAAAATAAATAAATCAATAAAAATAATGATTTGGGGTTTTAAAGGATTGTTTCATAATGCTGAGGACAAAAAGAGCAAGTGGGTGAGCTCTGAAAAATGTACGGTTACATGCTTGCAAGAAGATCCTGCAGCCATGACTTTTAGCTGAAACTATCCCAGGTATTATTGTTGTATATTTTAAATTATGATGGGTTAAGTTGGACTTTATGAGTAGGTTATTAAAAATCTACTGCTGATGAAACTTTTTACTGCTTGAATAAACACTTTGTGGTACCTGATGCCTCGATCAAACCAAAGGTTTTAGCTACTTTTTATTTTTAAAGCTGAATCGCTTTATTATTGACCACTAGAGGGCAGCACATTGATTCAGTTAAAAATCCCACGGCCCTGAAACCTTATAACCTTCCTTTTTGTTATTAAGAAAATTATATTGGGAATAAAAGCCAGTCCAAACTTTAACCAGCCACTGCCCAATGAATAAAGTTAAGCTAAATACTTATTTACCCACCCCATTTCGTCTGTTAAAGAGAATCAGGTCACCGGCTAAGTGAGTGATTTTTCTTCACAAGCTTTAGACCGTTAGATGTCAGTGAAGAAATGTGTCCAGCATGAATGAAAATGAGCTAATCTGTCAGAGGGGGAGAAAAAAGACAATTATAAATGTGTCAAGAAAATGAAAGCTGCAATTAGAGCCAAAGGGGTTCATACAGGGTCCAGACTCACAGTATTAACACTATTTCAAATGGAATCAAATTAGAAATAATCACCAACTCAGGCCTTCAAGATGTCATTCTGGTTTATGAAGCATTTGTCTGACTGTGAACGCACATATGGAGTTTATATGACATAATCAGCTCTTCGTGATGCATCCCACCCAAGTTACTCACTTGTACTCATTTTAACAGCCTGCAATGACTAACCTGGACAACTGCAACATTTCAGGAGAAACTCAGCAACTTTGTAGAGCTCAAGAGTTTCAACCTGCATAAACTAAGAGGCCAGAAAAGTGAATGCTGGAGCGACTGTTTGCTCGCATGTTTGCTGCAGTAGTTATATTAGAGTTGCTTGATTTTGAACTGACACTGACTCACTTGTAATTAAAGGAGCTTCAAAGTGACAAGAACATTTTGACCGCCGCTTGAGCTGACACAAAAAGAAACATGAGTGACTGCCTATGATATTTACAGCCTTTGAAGTGTCAATCACGACTGACAATTTGCCACGTCTGTCATGATAAACTTGACCCAAACCCGCATGAGGGAGGAAGAGAGAGAGAGGGAGGGTGGGCTTCATACTAAGACGCAGTTTAAAAACTTTCATCAGTGTCACAAGGCCAAATATACTGCTGAAATGAGTCCTTGGCATCAGAGACCACTGTTTTTTTGGTTCATGTAATTACCCATGGTGCTCTGTTAGCTATTTTAAGCCCTCTTGTTGCTCAGGGAAATAATCCATTTGGAGCTCAGAGACCCTCATCCAAACCCTTTTCCAACATCTGCTGCTTTTCCAAAACTCCATCAAAGACACCCACATTTGGTCACAGTGACACATTAACGGGACATCCCAGTAAACCCTTTTCAGTCCCTAAAATGAGGCCCCTGAAGGGATGAAATTATGACGCCGTAGATGAAGATTGGGTTTGGCAGTCATTTTGAGCACTTAGCTGTGTCTGTCTTTGCCAGCAGACATCTGGACTTCTAACCAGAATTATGCACAGGAGCGCTACACATTAAAAAGAACGAGAGAAAACCGAAAAACACATGTCTTATTTTATGGATCTATTTTATGAGATGCTTTATTACAGGGTAAATAAAAAAAGTTTATTTTTAGGCTTTTATTCTTTGTGAAGAGGATCTAATAGTGATAGAGCGGGAAAATGGGAGAGAGACTGGGCAGTGACTCAAGACCATGAGCCACAATATTCACAGTCAGAGGTAAGTTTAAAGATCACAGGTCTATTTTTTTTGGCAGTTAACACCACTTTCAGTGACAATTAGTAAGACTTTAAAGGTTAACACTTTGTCCACTAGGGGTCGCCACAATCACCACAGACAGAAAGTTTCCCGTGGTGGCTTTAAACTGAAGATTATTAAAGGTAACATTAAACGAGATATAAAGAGAGTCTGCAGAAACATTTTTGACAACATTTTCCTCTCAGAGCTTTACGCCTTTTCACAACTAACAGCTAATATTCATGATACTGTAATCTGAGCAGTTGTCACTGTAGTCCGGTGAAATACACCAAGAACAAGCAGGAACTGAAGACAGTTAAAGTAGAGGCCTGGCAGAGCATCACTAGGGGTGAAATCCAGCGTTTCAGTTCAAATCCATTGTGGTGGTGTTTACAGCCAGAAAAATGAGTATTGTGCCGACATCCCAATATTTATGGACCTGACTGTATGTAAACATAATTTAGCAGACTGTGTAGAAACAGTGATTCGACACTTGAGGCAGACAACTTGACACCGTGTTGACCTCATATGTCTCACACATGACAACAGTGTGTGTCAAATCCTCTATAACATGCAAGAAAAGAAAATCACCAGACCACCAGCTTCATTAACTTCATGTAACACACCAGGGCTGAGCACTGACATGAGAGCAAAGCTGGCTTAGAGGCTTAACATTTTTAATATAAGTAGTTTCCTCGTAATGATACTAAAGCTCAAACTGAATTAACATTTGAAGAAATGTAACAAGAAAAATAGAGAAAGGATTAGAAGGTGCATTGACACGTGTGAATGTAAATTTAAGTATATTTCATTTGACGAAACGCCAAATTATGGAAATAACTGTTGAAATATCCTTTATTTTTTTGAACAGTAAAGCAACCATCTTTCCTTCTGGCTTAAAAAAACATGAGCACAAATGAATTTTAAACCATCCTTAAAGTTTTTAGGCTTGTTTTTTTTGTTTTGTTGAAAATAAATAGAACAGGGACAAAAAAAAAACTGGTTTTGAACAGATAATGTTCTTAAGGCTCCCTAAAAGAAACATGATATGTCATATTGTAGGTCAGGAGTGAAAGAGGTGTAAAGAAAGACTTCAGGGGTTTGTTCTCATCTGACATGGAAATCTGTTGTATGTTCATTTACCTGATTTTCATTTATTTTTAAGCTTTAACAGTTGATCAAGCTCAGACACAACCTTTGGACAGCCAATAAATAGGAGTGTCTGACTATCAAAATAAGAAACCCTGGATGTGGGATTTCTATGGACAAAAACTAAAACCTTAAGCAAGTATGTGATAGTATCTGACTTAACGGCAAGGTTGGAGTCCAGAAACAGAGAAACTATGGTCCTGTTTTACAGTTAATTTGACACGTTTCCAAGCTTGAAAAAGCATCCAACCTCTGGTCCTCAGTGACATTAAAGTTTTGCCGCCGTCATGAAAAGGAGCAACTGAATGAAGCACTTACTAAAACACAATCATACTTAAATGTCCTGTGAAGAACTTTAACTTTGTGTCAACTTTGGCGCCCTCTGTGGACAAATCAGTCTTTGCTGATGTTACTCTCCACATGCTAAAAGCATTTTGAAAAAAATCTCATCCTACTACTGTTAACAGTTAAATGTTTCAAATATTGTGGATTTCTTTTAAGGGGACTAAAAAAACTACTGTTTCTTCAGCTGCTCAGCAGACGCCTACACCCCTTTGCACCAGTTTTATGCATTGAAAATGACAAACTGCCAGTGTTGTCCCTGATGGTCTTGTTTGATCTCAGTTTTCGTGAATTTCTGTCTATTTCATTAAATATTTTTTTTCCAAAAATCTCTTTATCGAAGCTTTGACTAGCATGTGCCCCATTTACTCGTGGCTATCGTTGGATTGTATTTTGAAGTAAATGAACAGCACCGCAAACAAACAAGAATGACTCCCATGGTTCATCGCGGTTAATGTTAATGTAAGAGGTCAAATCCGTCACAAGCATTAGCATGGATATGCTAAAATTAGATACACAGTCAAGTATATATGTTCTGAGATTTTACTTCATTCACATATAGCTCATTATCTCCATTCTTGTACAATGCATTGACTGTATCTTGGTCAGAATGTCACATCTCTGCTATAGTATGCGAATGCTACGATAACAAGGTATCTGATTACCTTTTCTGTTGCATCTTTAGTTCACAGCTCAGTTTTTTAAAAAGTAAATATGTTCCTGAAACATTGAAAAGAGAGGGACATACATTCATAAAAATGGCTTGTATAAAAGTTTCAATAATATCAACACCCTTAGTCTGAGTAAACACACCCTCCCCCTGAATAAAAACATGTTTCCTTCATTTATACATCAGATCAAAACACATTATTTTTCCAGTCACTTCATTTTAGAAATATTGGTAAAAAGGCCCATAATTAAGGTTAATAGCTTTAAATAATAATATATACAAAACTCTTCAAGCTTCAAGTCAGACTGTATAAAACCACAAGGCTATCAAAAGCAACCAGAGCGACTTATTCCTGGTATATAGACTAGATGTGACCTGATTCCCATCCTCACGTTACATGGTTCAAAGCTTGTCTCTTATCCATTACACTCCCAGGTCACCTTTCTCTGGCAGCAGTTTCTCCTTTAATGAGTCCTGAGTTTCTTTAACGGGAGTCTTCTTCATCTCTAAACTTTTAACCCAAGTGTAGGCTGAAGAGCCCACGAGAACCATCAAGTTACTGGTCCACCACAGCATGCTCTTACTGGAGGAGTTGTACACTACTGCAATTACAGTCTGAGCACAGGCCTTTGCAGTCCCTGAGACGTTATGAGTTAGTGGACTGGTAAACTTGATCTGCAGGCCTGTGACATAACCGATGGCAAAACCAAACACTCCTCCCAGTGTCATCATGCCCCAGAAACTGATCTCAGTGAGACGGCTGAAAGTCCCGAGTCGGCTGAACTCTCCGAATATCAGGATGAGTGGGAGGAAGAGGACGCAGGCGTTAATGTTGTTGTAGTAGGAGAGTTTCCAGATGTTTCCATCGACGGCTGGCATCACCTTCTTAGTGTAGATGGCGTTAAGAGAGACAAAAGCGCTGGCAAGCACTCCAAAGAAGACCCCTGTCCAGGAGAGGGAGCCTGCCACACCCTCCTGATCGACGCCAAGCCAGAAACCACCTGAGAGGCACAGACAGAAGATTGATTATTGAGACTTAACAATTCAAGAGTAGTTACCACTAAAACAATCAAGTTCCTGTCATCTGCAGTCCAGCAATGACATATCTAAATAGCTTTTTCTCTACACTCTGCAACAAATCATTTTCTGATTCAATAAGGGTAATTCAAATTAGAGGCTAATCAATTAATAAGAGACAGAAATGTTGAAAATGTCTGGTTATAAGTTTGGAAATCCAAATCATGGCCACATTTTAAAACTATATCATCACATCATAAATTCAACTGTTTATATTAGATAATACAATTAGAAAAAAGAGAAGTTATGATAGTATCTGAAACTAATTTGCTATGTTTAGCTGATGAACACTGAGTATTTAAGGGTAAGGTTGAGCAATAAATCAATTTAACTGAATAATTCTCATCATTTACGACCCCCTATCCTCCCCCCGTGACAGCAACAACATGGCTGCTAGCGTGAGTGAGGAGTTATTCCAAAAAAGGCCAAGTCTCATCAGTCAATTTGCTGCATCAGATCTTGGACAAACCACAGTGTTTAGTGTCATGTTTTTGTCATTTGTAGTTTTATTTTCAGGAGGAAAAGAAAAATGTATGGAAATCATAAATCATACTTTTTGTTTTTGTTGTTGTTAAAGAAATTAATTTATGATTTAGCCTTTACTGCCCAGCCCTATATGAGGGTAAAAATAACTAATATACAGTCCTCATCAAAATTTTAAGACCAGTTGAAAAATTGAAAAAAAAATTTTACATTTTGCACTGTTGGATCTTCAGAAAGTTCTAAATACAGCTTCAAAATACAAAAATAAGAAATGGGAGTGAGACAAAAAAATTGAGTAAGCAATTTAATGCAAACAACCATTAAACTGAAATAGGCTGTTCATCAGCTGTTTAAAAGTTTAAGACCATATCGCAAAAAAAAAAACCCTAAATGAGAACTTTCAAAAAATGACTCAAATATTACAAACCAATGTAATATGAGATTGTCTGCAAAAGTTTCAAATATTCTGTCTCTATTCTTTTCTCTTTCTTTTCAGTTTTTTATGTTATTTTTCATGGTTGAGGTCTTTGGTGCAAGCGTTGTGTGAAGAACTGTCATTTTATTTCAATCCTTACAACAAAGCAGCTCCTCAAGTCTCTCTTCTGATCTTGTCCTCTATCTTTATAGTGACACGCTGCGAATCACCTTGTCTGATGTAAAGGTGGTAAAAATTCAAAAATGACTGACAAACAGAATTAGTCAGTCTTATTGTTGTTGTCCTTGAAAAATCACCTGCAGCTCATTCTATAAATCACTAAATGGTTTAAGGCCAAAATACATGTATTAGCTTCTCAACCAGGCTGCTCAGGTCATCTGAAACAGGTCAGAGTCAGAACCAAACATGGAGAAGCAGCTTTCAGTTTTTGTGATCCAAAAATCAGAAACAAACTCACATGATCACCTGTTTACAGCTGCCTGTTATTGGATTATTATTTAAATACACAACACTGAACAATTAACTTCTCAAAACTCACACATTTAACCCTCCTGGTTTTTTATTTGCCATTGCTTTGATTTTAATGGTTTATTTCAATAATTTCCAAATGCAGTCATTACATGATTTTTATACATCTTCTTCCAGTTTGATTTTTCTGACTTTTGTGATGATTTGTGTGGTGTCTTGTTTGAACTTTGACCTGCACTGTTGCTGAAATGTACTTTATAGATCAGTCCTCTGTGGTTTTATATTTCGGCTTAAACAGCAGCATCCCTGGTCTGTTTCCTGCTCCTGCACACAGTGATACTGTCCAGAATAGTTTCAGAGGTTGACCTTGTGCACCGAGCCAGGTCTGTTGAAAAAATCATGTTCTTTGAGTCCTGACCTTAACCTCATCCAATATTTATGGAATTAACCGGACTGCCAGGCCTTACCTCCCATCAACAGTACCCACCGCTGCCAAGCTGGAGTGGTTTAAGGGAATAAATCCCTGCAGCCAGGTTGCCAAAACCTTGCAGACAGCCTTGTATATAATGTAGTATCAGCATATCTGATGGAGAACTGCTTTAAATTTCGGCATGTATGCTGACAGAAGGTTTTACATTAGCAGCGGGGTGACGCAGTTCAAGTAAGAAAAATTATGGTCATTTCTTCATGGAAATGCAATCAGACCGAGACACTAAGGCAGAAGAACTACCGCGTCTGCAGTGCAAAATGATTAATATGGTAATATTACTTCAAGGAAATGATAAAGGAATGATCATAAATGTTCTTCCTTGAGCTGCGTCACCCTGCAGCAGTCCGTAATGGACTGGCAGCTGCTGGAGGAGAGTAGGTGAGTTGTGTTCAGTGTCTTCGCTAAAGAAATGAGGCAAAGGTAAAAGGATGTTTGGTGGCTAGTACTATGGCTGGGACCCTATATGTACTGCTTTGGTGCTGTTCTGAGCATTATTTGTGGCTATAGAGTGGCTTTTTGGTTGAGGTTTGTTTATGGCTCCCCAGACCGCTGTGTATTGCTATCCTGTGGTCGATACTAAAGTTGGTATAACAAGAGAAGCAAGCAGTTGGCAACATTCATCTCTCGAGGGGGTGTCTAACTCGGTGTTACGGTGCGTTTGACCCTAAATTAATATTACGCTAGCATATCCCTTCAAAGGGCATCTCTGAGGGCACCCTTTTTCTATTTTGGTTACTGGAAGCACATCCGGATGGCACTTTTGGAAATGTTTCCCTCTCCCAAATAGACATCCAGAGGCCATTTTGTCACATTTTATCCCCAGGAAGAGCTCCAGAGAGTGCATTTAATATGTTATCCATTACAAGAAGGCACTTAACAGGTTACTTTTATTGGCACAAGGAGGGTGAACTCGCTGTGACAAGCCAATAGAAATGCATCCAAGACAGTTAAGGCTGCTTAATTGAATAAGGAAATGGCTTACCTAGTATAACTCCACAGCACAGAATAGCCTGAAGAGACGTGGTTTGTTTCAGGATCACAAAAGATAACAGCACATTAAACACTGTGCTGAGTGAACGTCCCACTGTGTAAAAGGCCACTCCGACATACTTCAGGCACAGGTTGTTGAAGGTGATCATGCAGATGAACACCATGGACAGAGGGAGGACCTCTCTGGACGTCTTCGTGTCAAACCTGACCGCCGGGAAGTCGATGAATCCCGGGCACAGTTGAGCCAGCAGCTGCATAACCCAGCACAGACCCACAGTCACCAAACACTGGTAAAATGTGACGAACAAGGGTGCGTCCAAGTCTCTGTTATCCAGCAGGTAATTATTCAGAAACACCATAGTTATTGAGACAAACCAGTACAAAGCGACCACAGCTGCTATCTTTACAGCCCGGAGGATGAACGTCTCTCCATGTTCCCCCTGATCTATGGTGTCCGTGCCGGCCAGAGCCATCCTCAGGATACTGGAGCGCTTCAGCTGAGTCCTGTTCATGATAACAGAATTAAAGTAAACCTTGATTAAAGACTGGAACATTTACATCTGTTAAAATATAGCTAAAGACCAGCTCTGCTACAGTTACTCTACGATACAAACATAACACTGTAGTTCCGCCATCGGCAACAACTATACAACTTCCGTTTCAGAATTTCAGAATAAAAGACGTCAAACCGCCTCAGGAAGAATGTAAAATAGAAAAAAATAAATTAAAAAAAAATTAAAGATGAAATAATAATAATAATAATAATAATAATTTTTAACACTGTATAATTTTTAATCATTACTGTATTATTTATTTTTATAATAATTAGCTGTCTTTGTTATTTGTAATCTGTAGCTTCCTGAGAAAAAGACCATATAATATGAATTGAATTCTCTGCATATATGCTTTATCCCTTTATTGCCTTTTGTATTATATTTGATACATACTTTTATAATTCTTCTATCAATCAAAGTGACCAACAAATTACTAAAAAAAACACCTTTGATTAAGTCCGATAAATGATAAAAATGTCCTCTTGTTGTTTATCAGTTTCCCAAAAAATTCTGATGCATCAAACGAGATAAATAAATATATCAGTAAACTCTTAAGGACACTTTGATATTTTTGTTTTCAGTAGTAAGTGAAATAAACATTTCAGCCCCAAAAAATTGAATTTTCTGGCCATAATCTGTGGTCTCAGGCATTATAGGGTTAACTAGCTCCTCAATTTTATATTTATTATCTTATCTTGTAATAACACCAACCTCTCTATTATAAAGGGTTAAATTATGTTATAGCTTCCTAAGGTGTAATATATGCATATCTTTGTATTCTTAGGAATGTTCTCTTCTTGTGGCACTGCTCTGCCTTTTCCAGCTCTGACACTACACAGGACCACATTCTTCCTCCTACACAATGCCAAACCAACACACGTTGAAACCGAAGTATGAACAAATTGTATCGACCAGCACTTTTTTTCTAGATTGCCATGAAGTCATAACCAGTTATATCCACCTTTAACTCTATATAAAATGGATTATCTCATGTTGGTAGGAGGAATTATTCGCTTTTATTTTGAAAGTTACACGCACAAGCAAAGCTCTGTGATCATGACTACTTCCATCTTTGAAACTAGCTACTTTTATTTAAAGACATACTGTCCTCAATCAATCCGTTTACCTATTGAAGTGTATGTAATTATAAAAAATAAAATCCTCCAGAGCTCTTGTTGATAAAAGTTATTCTGTCTCAATATCATAGCTGAAATCACTGCATCGCCATTGCAAGCCATACTATAAAAAGTGGCCTCTGGCTAGCTTGAAAATATACAACCAATCAAATCTGCACATTTTCTTTTTGTTAATTGGTTAAAATGCCTTATCAAAATAATAATAATAATAATAATAATAATAATAATAATAATAATAATAATAATACCTGAAATCGTTGCAGACTTTGGTGTTTTAGACAAGTCCACCATACGGAAGGAGCTTCTATACTGCAGCGTCTTCCCTTTGACTCCCCTCTGACTGCTCATCCTGTTCACCCATGAGTTGATGACAGGTGGCTCTTGTGTCACCTGTTTTTCCTGATTACCACACTGTGGGGTGTGACAGAAGACAGAGTGTGCAGGAACACTACAATTAATTTTATTACACACAGAGTTTAAGGCTCCTGAAAACATAGTTTCTCATTTGGAAGATCTGCCCACTTTTTAGTATATATTTATGTTGTTGTGTGACTTTTTAATTACAAATACATTGGGAAATTTTAAACATGCACATAGTCTTCACTGCACTAAACCTGGTCTGACAAATGCAGATCCTCCTTTCTCAAATCTCGCTGTCAGCCACACAAAAGCTAGCGTAACACCTGATCTCAGACAACACACATGTTTGAACTGTAGGACCAAGATAGCGGCAAACAAAAGGAGTGAAGTCACTCACGTGGATCTGTGGGGGTTTCTGAGAGAACAGGTTTTAAAAGAAGACTCAGTACTGGATGTTATTTGGGGCATCATACCAGTTATTCAGGTCTGGTGGTCTCATTGTGGGTGCACCTAGAGGTGCTGAAAGAAAAGAATGTGGTCTAATATTGTTGTTTGGATATTTAAGGGCTATTTAATTCTCTCAAACTCACTTTACAGGTCGTTTTTGGTTCAAGTTGCTGGATAGAATTTGCTTCCCACTAAACTATCACATGTACATACAGCATGTGTTTATGGATCAAAAAGGCTTTCCATGATCATAAGGTGTATTTGCAACCTCAAAATAGACAGATTTTTATTGACAGCATTGACATAAAGCTATAAAAAAATAGTTTAAATAACTGAAGGTGTCAGTCCAGAGCATTTTTAGATTTTTTTTCAATTAAAACATGAAACTTTTTCATAGAAGCAAAACTCTGTGTTAATGCACCTCAAAAAAAAGTGCTGTTACTTAATTAAGTACTGGACTGTAATGGTATTATTTAAGTAGAAGTAAATCTACCAGCATTTTAATCTACTCAAGTAAAAGTTTGCTAAAACAAAATGTGTATTTCAAGAAACTTATCAAAAATATTGGCATAAAATGTCAACAAGATTTTCATTTGAACCTGCCATATCAATGTAACTTGAATTAAGCAAAAAAATATACACTGTAAACTTTTGAACATCAAATATTCCTTTTATCAAATTTGAGATATTTTTTAAAACTTTAAAACAATCTCGTCTCTACACAAGCTGCTCTTTGTGCGTTTTCCTAATGTGAGATAAGTAAGTCTAAAGACGGCAGAGTACTTCTAAAATCCAAGGAGATATTATGGAAAGAACAAAATAAACAAATGCTATAAAATGAAGTGCTGACATTAATATCTGACCCCTTAATGTTTAGTCTTCACTTTCATAGCACTGACAGCAGCAGACATTCACAACTCCCAAATATACTACTGCTGTAATAAAGCTTCTAAACAGCAGGTGGCAGCAAATACTATTACACTATTATGTGGCTGACTGCAGGTTAATAGACTAGAAAGAATATGTGCATGTTCATAATACTGGACAACTACAGATGTATGTTCTCAGTAATGTGCTAAAATTGATCATGTATTTTTATAAAAAATTAAAGTCATAACCAGAACCCCCCCAGATATCTAGATAGATGAAGAACAGCACTCAGCAGCGTACTGTGAAGCAGTATTTAATTTTTTTTGTTTTGTTTTTTCATGTAGGCCTTGAATCATAATCCAAAACTAAAAATATTACAGACGTATTAACTCGTTCTTCTCTTTTCCCTCCAGATCTTGTGTCAATTTCTGCCTCATCCTGCAGCCATCACTGGCCTGCACACTTCAGGCTTGCTCCCTAGCTGGGGAAATTGCTGTAAGTGAATATTGTCTGTTGGTGTTATGTTATCTGCTGGTGTTCCTCTGTTAGTCACTGTGTGGAAAAGCAGCGCCCGTGGACTCATACATGTCTTCGGCAGGGATATAAAGTCCATCTTCTATGGATCTTCTATTCTGATAACAGAGGAGGATTTGTGCAGCCTGACTCAGCCATACCACACATCTATCTGGGGGTGTCTGACTCCTCGCTCAGCTTCCTCCTGCTCAGGCAGCAGAAAGGGAAAAGTTAGGGTTAGGGTTAGAGTCATGTGCTGAAATCAAGTTTTGTTATTCACAAGATTCTCTGCTTCTCTGACCTCTGTCAGCTAGGAGGGTTTCCACACAGTATGAGCAAGCACAAAAATAGAGTACAGATGCAGCTGGTGTTATGTCGAATCACTGAAGCTGTGCAGCATTCACGCTGGTGAGCTTCTGCCTAAAAATACAGCAAGTTTAAGAAAATACATATCAAATCCTGCTGAAGTCAGAACCTTTAAAACAAATGCAACACTAATCTTGGTGGCAAAGTACAATGTTTATAACTACCACTGTCAAAATATCTGCTGATTGGATATGATGCACAAGCATCTCTGTCCCCTCCTGTGAACCTCTGTCCTTCAGTACTGTTCTTATCCTCTAGATGGCACCTTACACTAGGATGTACATCTACATAGGTCTTTAAATACAGACCAGTTCATGAGAAAACACTGCAAGCTAATCCTAACATGACCTGTTAAAACTACAATAACCTACAATGACTGATCACTTTCAAACAGCTCCAGAGTCAGAGACACAATGTGCATTCACATTATTGTTATTTTATCTATGTTTGAGGCGGTACTGTGGGTATTTTGCATGTGGTTAGCTGTGCATACAAAGTGTCACTCACCATGTAGTTCTATCATATAAGCTTGTTCTACAGCTCACAGAAACTGCAGTTTGTTAGAAATAATAAAAGAAAACATCTCTGATGGATGGCAGCCACTTAATCATCCAAATGCAGAAAACCTCCTAGCTGTGATTTCCTGGCACGCAGTATGATTTATATTCATTACAGCAGAGAACCAATGTCATTCCCAGGCAGAGGGCTAAGAAAATGCAGAGAGGCAACAGCTTTATTTTATAAGAGAATAAAAGAGAAGAGGAGGAGAACAAACACAGGATGAGTGCAATAAAACAACTTAAAGCTGAAGTAAACCTCACAAAAACAAACACAGCTTCACTGCAAGCTGCCACCCTGTTCTCCCTCTGTATACACGGGTAGCTTTTTGTTTTTGCATATAAACAAACAAGATAAGCAAAACTGCACTGACTCTGACAGAGAGGCTGCTGCCAACAAACAACTTTACTCATCATCAATCAGTCATTTCTGTGCTTCCTTAAATTGATTCACAATGCATAACTGGTCTGCTTGTTCCACACTCTGCCCTGTCTATAAGTTTCTCTTTCTGATCGCTCCGTGTCCAGGCTCTAGACACTGCTACTAAAGATTATTCTGTAACAAAAGAGCCTTAGTTTTTCCACATTTTTCACTATTTTCTCTCTGAAACAAGATGAAATTACTTGAATTTACTTATTCACTCTTGATATAGTTTCCAATAAGCAGTGTCATTTTCTTGCTGTTGTGGGCTTTATTCGCCATCTATTTGGTACTTTAAAGCTGCTATGAGCAATTTTTTATGCCCAAATTTATAGCAGTTTTTCCATGATAGTCCAAATCAAACTAGATCATTGGCGACCACACTGCAGATTTTTATTTAGAAATGTTATTGCCTGAAACTGGTGAGAGTTGGGAAGGTGTAGCAACAGGCCTCTTTCTGCAGCTTCTGCATGAAATATTCAAAACAATTTTCTAATTCTAAATCTGACTGTGTTAATTATTTGGTTATTATCTCCTTTGTTTAAAGTTGTTCTCACTGCTGCTTAGACTGAGCTGTTAGAGGGGTGAAGGAGCGGTTTGTGCTTGATCGATAAAAGGACTCCTGAGAAGCTGTAAGAAAAAGAATAAAACACCTCCTCCTGTCTCGTTTCATATTTCTTATTTAGGGCTCCTTTTCTTTTCTTTGAATGTTTGCATTTTTCATTTTGTCGCTTTTATGCTTTTTTGACAACTTAACCTCCTCCTATAATCAAATGCCAAAGGCTGAGTGAGGTCATATGTTGCAGAGATAACACAGCTGCACTGCTGGACAAACTTGTATTTCTGCTGCTGCTTCCTTTCACAGTTGTTAGTGAGGAACTAAAAGGCAGCTCCTGTGGTCTCTGTTTGTGGTTAGGATAAAGTGCCACATTGGGAGGTTTCATGGGGAAGATAAACACAATCAGATGTAACATTTTATCAAGTTGAACTACAGCTTTTAACACGTCCGAGTGTTTGTTTTTACCCGAGGAAACACTAGACAGTTTTGTCCTAGTTAATGCTGAGATGCTGGACAAAGTTTTCACCTCAGTGAGGCCCACCATATGTCTTTTAGACCCCATCCCGAACCTCATTTTTTAAGTCATTTTATGAATCTTTTAGAGATGAGCTTTCAAACATGATGAATTGCTCTCTTCAGACAGGGTCTTTCCTGCTGCCTTCAAAGCGGTAGTGGTGAGGGCCCTGCTGAGAAAGAGCAATTTAGATTTTAACAGTTTAACAGTGAACAATTATAGGCCAGCGTCTAACTTACCATTTTTAAGTAAAATATTAGAGAAACTTGTTTTTATCCCACTTAAAGAATTTCTAGACAATCATAATATTCTTGAAAAGTGTCAGTCTAGTTTTAGGGTGAACTGCAGCACTGAGACCGCCCTAGTAAAGATTTTAAATGATATAAGACTAGATTATGATGTACAGAAGGTGAAAGTGTTGGTTCTGCTGGATCTTAGTGCTGCCTTCGTTCCAACAGACCACACTTTTCTTTTACCCTGCCTAACTTGGCCTCTCAGGTGTTGTTCACAGATGGTTCATGTCCTACCTGACAGACAGGACATTCATGGTAAGTGTAGATACGTGTTCCTCTCAGTGTTGTAGCAGAGCAAGTAAAAGACAAAGTTCTGCACCTGTATTGTTCTCACTCATGGAAAATATCAACAAAATGCAGAACAAACAGTCCTGTCAATAATTAGTATTGTTTGGAGTAAACACAGTAAAGACTGAAAGTAAATGACAAAGCACCAAATATACAGAAAAAATGAATATGTTATGAAATGATATTTGGGGCATAAGCATAAACAATAGTGACACCTTTTTTTCTTGGCTGAACTGTTGCTTTTGTTGCATGAACTGTGTTAACCTATTGTTTACTTTACCAAAAAGTTATTTTCAAATGGAGGTTAGCTCAAAAAGTGTGTGAACTTTTTGCCTGGGGTTGAAATTATACCCTTATTTGTTCTAAACAAAAATAAAAGGGCCTAGGCATCAAAGTACAAAGCTAAACTTGGAATATTCACATATCTAAATCCACACATGCAGTTTTTGATACAGCCACAAGGGGGCTGTAATGAGCCCTTGTAACAGACAGTCTGCCCTTGTACTCTGGCTGGTCCCTGCATTTGACTAACCCTATATGAAGCCAGATTGTTCTCATTAGATTGAATCAGACTCTTTTTGTCTCATTGTATTGAATTTAATGGAACTTGCTCATGTGCGGTAACAAGACTTTATATGGAGAGCGTGTAATAGTGTCCTCTTCCACCTGACCACCAGCTTCTCCTCTCTATTATCTGTTCTGGTTTTCCTCTGCTGTTCACAAACAATCATTGTTATTAATCTCCCATGCTCCTCTTTTGCCATGTTAAGGGTCAGAGCATGCAATGTTAAACAGCGTACCAGCTTTGCTCTCAGTAATCTTCATATAGTAATCGATATGAAACAGATGACTTCTGACGTGACATTTACCATTTCTCCTAATTCATTTTACTTTACAAGTTAATTCATACTAAATTCTCTATTGAATAAAAGAAAGGCTAAGAAAACGAGGAAATAAGATGGCATAAGCTTCAGGCAGAGAGGTAAAATCACACATCACAGTTTTATGAGGCTATCCCTTCTCCAAGGCTGAATCATAAATTTGGCAATTAACAGTTTGACTTTTCCAACGTAGAGTCATTCTGTGACACGTCCATTATTCACCACAAATAGAGCACTGTATGAGGAACCAACATGTCTCGACTTCAGAAGGTTGACCTCTTTGTGTGTAACTCCTTCCCATATGTGCATTAGCTCCCCAAATTAACACATCAGATTAATTTATACCGTGGGTTTTAGAGGCCTTACAATCTGGTCACTGGCAGAGGGTTTCTGGAATGACACATGTAACAGGGAGAGTATTAAAATGTTGCGGTCTGGACTCATCAGAAATACAGCTGGAGAGCAGACGTGGACAACAAGCAGTAGACTTTTTTTTTTTTCTAATGGAGGATCACAGTGTCTTTGACAGGCTTTTAAAGTCTGTTTTATACAGATTTCTTGAAACTCTAGTGCAGGGTAATTGAAAGCACATACAGTGTTTGTAAGCCATATTCACAAACAAAGTCTTGTGTGAATTAAAATCAGATGAGCTTTATTTTCTGATCTAGTCCTGTCAAAGTTTCTGTAAACTTTCTCTGCCCCAGCAGCTGATCTGACCTTTGAATCTGGCTCACCTCAGATAGCTCTGTCCTTAGACAAACATACAGTGTGTAGAACCTGATGTGACTGCCTGCCTGCTTTCAACACCTACCAATGCCAGCATGAGAGGGTTAGCAGGGATCCTTGGAAACCTAACAAGGAAAACAGAAGAAAATAAAGTTTTATTAGGTACAGAGCACCTCACCTTAATACTTTCTGGCACATTTTAAAGCTTGGAGATCTGGTCAAAATCTTGAAACATGTGTCCAGCCTTTTGTGGGAGGGTATTTCTCAGATCAAATAAATACAATAAAAAGGGGAATAATTGAGAGCATATTCATGCTAGGGTGATTAATCTCCATCATTGCTAAGGATTATTGTGTACAATATAACAAACTTTGGGGGGAAAGGAGTTGCAGAGGTGAAAGCTTTTTGTACATTATCTGTCTTCATAAACTGAGCCTGACAGGACATTTTGTCTTCAGTGTGAAGCAAAACTTTCCATGAAGCTGAGTCTTAATTGTCACTCAGATATTTTCCATGTGGGCCTCGAGGTTTGGAGCCACCCAAGAGCTTAAACTGTCAGACAGAATCATCTTCAAGGACTCATCTTCAAACACATTTTATCATCATGTTTTCATGTGGTCAGACCATTTCTGTTTTTTGACTTCTGTATTTACATTGGATGCATATCTGGACTTTTTTTATCCTGTGTTCTGACGTTGTCACACCAGAAAAATGTGTTGTTAACCACCCAGCCAAATATGACAGATTGAAAACAATCAGAAGGAACATAAAACATGGTTAAAAAAAATAGAAAAAAAGTGGCTACATCTATTTTTGTGTTGTTTGGGTTGTGTAGGCTCACTGACTATTCCTATCAGCCACTCTCAAGTGTCAATCATCTCTTGGTCTGAAAAATGCTCGATGGACCTGTTGATTGTGGAAAGACTCCAGGTTGATACCAAGAAGAACAGACACAAGAAGTAGAGACTTACATTAGCTGATCTGTATGTAATTTACTTCCCTGTTTGTTACATTTATATCAAATACTTAGGGTATTCTGTCAGCAATGACAAGTCTGTGTGTTAATACAACCTACGGTTAATGCTACTGTCAGACATTATTTATTACTGTGAAAAATGTAGCGGGGATAGTAACTCAAGACTGAGCAGGCAAACTCTACTGCTGTTAATAAAAGCTCTTCAAACATTTGACTTTTATTCTGTAAGAGGTGAGGTTATGCTAAGGAGGCTCTGGTGTGTCATCGAGCTTCTTTGTCAGCCATTTCCACAAAATCTTGAACTTGAAAATGATGAAATTAGGATTTACTGTTTAACTTAAAAATTCATAAGTTTGTTTAGTGGTCACACAATTTTCATGGTTTCAACATTCATTTCTTAGCATATACAGAACCTTTTCAGAAACACATGTGAAAACCCTCCTTTACGCAGACTTGAAGTTAAACATATGTTAGTTATAAAACTGTTTTCGTAACTGCACTTGTACAGGACACAAATACGCAGATTCACTTTGCTAACTGACAAAAACCAATAAAAACAACCTAAACAGAGCTAAGTGTATCTGGACGTCAGAGAGTCACATAATGGCCTGATGCCTTAATCTCTTTGTTACATAATGACTTTAGAGACTCAATGATTTCAAAGGGAGGGTTGAAGATAAATGGCTCTGTGATAGAACACACTGAAGACAGGAAAATCCAGAAACGTATTAGAGCTGCCAGTGCTAAATAAAATTTACGTTCTTTTTCCTGGGAAGGACTTATAACTTTGGAGAAATGGAAAGACAAATTCAGGAAGGAGATGACAAACACTAAAAACAGAGACATAAGGGGTTGACAGAGAGAAAAATGTGTTCATCATAAACCCCAATCTGTCTCTGTCTCAGAAATAAGTATTTTTAGTTTCATATAGTTGGGGTGGACATACGGCTCACTTTCCTGGATGTGTAAAGAACTTTTAATACCAATAATTTTGAGAAAAACTCTAAGACATTTTGGTGTTACTACAAAGAACTTGTAAGTGCCAAAATAAAAAAAATGTTGGTTCATTTTGTCAAAGTCGTTGCCAGTTGTGGGGCTGCTGAAGGGTTCTGAGAGCAAGCTGTGAATTAACCCTCCCTGGAAAGACCCGGTTCATGACCTCTCAGATGTGACATTCATTTCTAATTATGTGTTTTTATCCTCAGTTCCCTTCGGTTAAACTTTAAAAAGTCATTTGTCACACCTCTCCAGTAGTGAGTGTCTTCATTTCACGTTTTGTACTTTTTGGCAGCAAGACTAGATTGCGCCATGAAGAGGAGTGTTGAAGGGTTCGAAAGTTTTCTTTGGTCTCTCTTCCGTGAACCCGAGATGATGTTGCATACAGTGTTGTTGGCTATAAAGAAGGTTATTCCTAGTTTCTCTCCTGTGACTACAGAAACCTTTGCTTTGGATAATAGTTGAAATTGTAGTTTGAATGGCTAACCTGTTTATATCAACTTGGGGTTAGAAATTTTTTTACCAGCATATTTATAATTGGCAGAGACATAAGGCTGCATGTAATGATGTAAAACGGGATCGCTTTATATTGACCCTCACTTCCCCCTACTGGCTATGGTGGCTAGGCCGGCAGGCTGGCCTTGGACAAAAGGTAAATTAGTTTTATGTCATCATGGAGATCCCAAAAAACATACATAAAACAGGCAAGACAAACATGGACATTCATTTATTTACCTACTGCTGGCATAACACTAAGGGAAGGAATAGACACATGCTGCTGGGCCCTTAATACTAGTTCAGACAAGACACCCCACTGCTTTTTCAAGAGTGTTGAAGGACAAACTCATCAAGGGCAGACAAGCTTATTTTAAAAAGCTTTTAATTTCTTGGTCACCCAGAGATACTACATATTTTAGATTTTATAAACTGTCTGTCGAACAGTTGAATCTGAGGATTGGGCTCAGATGGCCTTATGTCTACCAGTTGTTTCTCTGCCTTTTCCTCTCAGACTACTCAACTTTCCCTCTTGATTTAATGCTAGAGGTAGATGCAATTTCTCAGCAACTTCCAAAACTTTACTTTTTCTCCTCAGTCTCAAACCTTACTGAATAAGTTTACAAAACCAGAAACCAGGAAGTTCTACCTATGAGAGATACTGTGAAGGATTAAAGTCAACCACTGATTGAAAAAAGCAACCCTGGATCTTTAAGAATGCAATAACCGAATTCTCAAAAGGTTTGCTCAAGCCATGATTGGGAAATGATGACATATGACCTGCACCATGAATATTATTCATGTCAGAATCTGTGGCCACCGGCTTTCTTGATAGTTTCTCTCTTTGACTGTCAATCAATCAATCACAGACACGGAGTTAGAAAGTGTGGGCAACACTTTTCTGTGACAGCCATATTTTCCAGCTTATTTGTCAGTCAGACACAAGTAATGAGTTCCAGGAAAGCTTCTCATCTCAAGCGACATCCATCAGTCCCCTTTAAAATGATATGCGTCAGGATGGGTTCATACTCCCGTCAGCAGTCTGATCCCTTGAACTGCAAACACACTAGACCACAACCAGTGAGTAAGTTGGTTGGCAAATGCGTCAAAGTCAAACCACCACTCCCAAAACTTAATTTATGGTTCTTGGAGAGACAGAGTCTTTTTCCTTGTATTCTTGCCCCTCAGAGTCTTGTCTGAACCAGATTCCAAATATAACTGCACTTGTAAATACTGAAATCCACCCACTATCAAAACCAGTGACTATCACTTACAGAACAGAAAAGATAAACACTTCTGGTGTATGCCATGATAACATATTTAATGGCTCTCTGTCAGCAGAAACAATGCGTATCAAATGAAGTCCATACACAGTTACAGAAACATACAAAATCATGCATTACTATATAGAAGGCAAACAGTACAAACATTCATGAAAGCTGACTGATGACAGCTCATGTGTAAAAGTTAACAAAAGGAATACTAAAAGATTAATTATTCAACAATGGCCCATATACTCAATTAGATCTGTAGAGTTAATGTGAAAGGAGATCAAATCAAACAACTCAAATAAATTATTCATTAAAATGATTAGTTTCTCTGTAGTTCTGCCAGTCATCAAAGCTCCAGGGAAAGGGCCACCATCAGCTTCAGAAAACCTGTCCCACCCTCGTCATTGCCCGTTTCTTCTGGGAAACAAACCTTTCCCAGAGTCTCTTCGAGCGCTGCACAAAAGACAACTTGCGAGGGACTTTCAAGGTCTGGTATAAACTCACCACCACGAGCTGGGACTCGGATGAGGAGGTCCGGGCTGACATTTGTTTTGGCAGTGCAAACGCAAGCACATATGACATCAGCAACATGGGAAAGCGTCCTCAGGGCATTCATTGAATTGCTGATTCCACTGGGCTCCATGAGAACATAAGACATAAGTCTGTTTATGGGACTTTTGTGGCTCTAGAGGATCTGTTATAAGTTATATAAATTGGTTATGACTGTTTTAATGATCAAATGTAAAAGTGACTGGTACATTGTTCAAAAACATCAGATACAGAAAGTGTCCAAAAAATGTGAAAAAGGGGTAAACCTGGGCGAATATGAGAGGTACTCAAAACAGTATAGTCAACTTATAGAAACTGTAGATGCTGTTACCATAAATGCTTGTGGATTTTATGAGCTTGAAACTTCAATTTTGTAAATATATTACAGTAGATATAATATTGATTCTTGTAAATCCAGGCTGTGGTCAGTAATGGGTTCACTGGAATGTGATTAAAGGGATATCCCGGCGTAAAATTAATTTAGGGTTAAACACACCGCAACACCGAGTTAGACACCCCCTCGAGAGATAAATGTTGCTGACCGCATGCTTCTCTAGTTATACCAACTTTAGTAATGACCACACGATAGCAATACACAGCAGTCTCAGGAGCCATACACAAACCTCAACCAAAACACCACTCTATAGCCACAAATAATGCTCAGAACAGCACCTAACTTCATCAACAGTACATATAGGGTCAAAGCCATAGTACTACCAAACATCTTTTTAGCTTTGCCTGATTTGTTTAGTAAAGAGACTAAACACAACTCAACCACTCTCTTCCAGCAGCCCCTTGTTTGTACGGAGACCTCGGGCGAGTCCATCACTGACTGCAGCGGGGTGACGCAGCTCAAGGAAGAAAAATGATGATCATTACTTTATTATTTCCTTGAAGTAATAATCATCATATTAATCATTTCACACTGCAGATGTGGTAGTTCTTCTGCCTTTGTGTCTCGGTCTGATTGCATTTCCATGAAGAAATGGGTTTTTTAATTGTGTGTGATTTTGTCTCTTTTGTTTTGCTCCACCATAGTTGGACCACCGTAGCAACTTCCTGCTCCCTGCTGTTGTGGCGATATAAATAATGGCACCACTGTGTTTCTGAATGGCACATTTCACCCCAAAGACTCCCCAGATGGTTCAGTTGTTGAGTTATCAAGTCAAAATTAAACAATGCCCCTCTGTGTTGTCAGTGTGGTATGAATTTTCCAGTGGATCACTCAAGACAACAAATCCACCGGGTCTAGGATTCTGACCCCCTCCAAAAATACATCAGAGTGATAGAGCCATATCTGGAGTGGAAACTTGGTCCTGATTTATCACCACATTTCAAACAATAACATGGGTGTCTATGTACACCCCATGATATTTGACCATTATACTGTATCCACACATCAGTACAGTCTGTTATATAACCTGAGCAAAGTTTATCATTCAGACAAGTTTATCTCTCTGTACGTGTGATGGATGGGTCGCATCTGTGCAGTCTTCCCCATAACAAATGGCTGGTGCATTAAATTGGGGTTAGCGTTTACAGGTAAAAGAATTTGTTTTCTCTGAATCTGGAAAGGTCAAATTAAGGATGGAGTTACTTTTGCATACCTTAAGGAGACAGCTACTGTAGCTTTTTATTTTCAAACAGCTTTGTCTTCTATTCTTGAAAAGAGCCCCAGACAAGGAGTGCTAGAGACACAATTTATGACCTCCTCTTAAGATTCAACTCACATTGTACTGTACAGTGTGTGACACAAAGAGAGTGAGGCAGAGGGGTTATATAACTCAAAAGAAAACAAAAGCTCAGTGACAATATGCTGTACGAACAGCTGGAAACAATCAAGGGTTAAATATGCTGAATATTGTTAATATGTAAAAACTTAAGTGTCATGGCACTGAAGTCTCAACTGTGGCACTGTAAGATAGTTTTATTCAGTTGTATTGAGAGGTTATGAGCTAAACCTTCATTACTGATACTTCACACAGTAATTCTAACAGGTTATAGAGACCAAAGTCTCACTTCTCAATTAAAAACAGAAAAATCCATGGCCGTTCTTGGCTTCCATACTTCTGTGACTTTGCTAATGCAGTAATTCTCTTTGGTGCTGCCCAAAACATGAGGATCCTCTTTGCAACAGTTCACATACTGTATATTCAAAGATTAAAGAAAACACAGCATCTCCCTCTAAAGAAACTCCTGTTTAAGAGTAATTCAGGTAATGCATCACTATTGCTTCTCTTATTGCTCAGGGTGGATGTTCATGAATTGTTTTGATTTTTTCTGTCAGTTCTGGGAACCCTTTTGACAAATTTCTATCTAAAGAAGGCCTGAGGATAGTTTCATCTGAACTCTCAGAGCCTCCCTCAGAGAGAGAACATCAAAAACTGTAGAGGTTTGCAAAGTTGTCCTACCCTACTTATTCTGTGGTTCACTGACTGTGTACGAGAAAAATCCCTCTGAGGATAGAGCTATTTAAACAGACAATAACACTGGGCCTCAAGGCTTGTTTACTTCACTTTAACTTTCCACTTATCGTCTCACTGTTCCCCTCAGATCAAAGTGGGGACAAACACTTCTGTTACTCATCAGTTTATATGCTCACCAAACAGGGCAATGATCAGCACATGGGGTACAAAAGGAGCAGCCAACCACGGTCAGTGTGTGTTATGTGTCGGTTCGAGTGTGTGATGCTGGAAAACAAAACTTGACTATGTGTGTGCTCTTTGTTGGGCATAATAAGGCTGCTATATTTGGAATGTTTTACTGACAGCAGGTTTATGAAACAGTTTTTCTTGCACCCATCATTAGACAAATATTGGGCTTGTGGGAATCCTTTGAAGGTTTGAGTCATGTAGATGAGTGAATAAGGTCCTCACCCAAACCTCATCATTAAGCAACTGTCATTGTAAGAAGCAACTATGAAAAACGTTAACTCTTTGTGTCTTCACTCATCCCAGGAAATATTGAGAATGTCTTAAGGTTGTTTTATCTACAGGGGTAGAGAAACAGTTACCCCCAGTGGATGTTCCTTTAAAGGTTGACTGATTTCCTGTTGTCTGACCATTCAAGGCCACCAGGAGGTCAAAGTTAGATTTGTTGGTTACTTAAATCACCTAATACCATAAACTATGATAGAATGACTCAAAATTTGGAGCCAAACTAAGCATAGATATCTGTGGTACCATTTTTGTTCCTTGGTTAAGCATCACAGACCCACTTCTACAGCTTATTTATGTAAAGATGTACATAAAGCCTGTAACAAATCAGATATGAAAACTCTACACCGAAAAAAACTTTTAAACAGTAGCTGCGTTTACATGGGCACAAATAATCATAAGAAATGCCTGATCAGAAAAAAAAATGCGTCATGTCAACATGTGCGATCGGAAAATTCTGATCCAATTCGGCTCAATCGGAAAGAAATTGTAGTCCGATCAAGAGCGGTGGTTCATGCCTATCGTTATTCCGAAACGCGTCAATGTAAACACTTTCTCCGATCGTGACTCTCTTACCTGACTTGATCTTCACTCTTTAAACGTCGGTTTATTTACTGAGGCCAGTACAGGAGGTTTTGTTATTGACTCTTTGGCATAATCCTTAACCACAGGTGCCGGTGTCTGCTCTTCCGGTGACATAACAAGGCGTACATACAGCGTAATGATGTCACATCTGCACGCACAGTGCAACCTTTGACAGAACAGTAATATAAGTACGCAAGGGCGCCATCTAGTGACAACATTTAACAGGGAGGAAACTACTGAACTGAATGGAGTGAGCCACTACCATGTTTGTTGGTTTGTTGAAAGCACAGGCGTTAATGCTCTTCCTCTTGCGGTTGTTTTGCGGAATCAGACAACTCTGCTAATGTACCCTACAAATGCTTTTAAACTGAATAAAACCTTGTGCACGCCATGATCGGATTACCTATATAAATAGTGGATTCAGATTATCCGATCACTCAAATTTTTAATCCGATCAAGAAATTTTGCCCATGTAAACGTGGCTCATGTCACGTCAAAACTCTGTTATCAAGCTTAAAGTCTTTGTGTTAACTTCTGAAAATTCCCAAGGTACAGACCAAGCCATTTCAGATGACAGTTTCCTAATTACCATCCATAAATATTCATCCATGAACAGAGAAAACCGACATGGATTATGGTTCATACCACAATGTACTGGCGTATGTGCCCACACCCTTGTGTTTGATCAGTGGGCCGTGAATCTTGAAAACACCCTTCCCAGAATGTAAGTGCTTTGTGGAAGTGAAAGACAAACTGTCGGCATGACTATAGATCTAACGGGCAGCTAGGCTTTGTTGAGCTGCTCCAGTCCACTTTGGTTGACTACACACCATCACCACAGATTCCTCATCATGCCACGAACAAAGAGCTTTTGTGCTCTTGCTCTGGTTTGCATCCTTCTGGGCCAGAAATCACACAAAGTCCTGGTGGAGCGCAGCCAGAGATTCACTGCTGAGGCATTCATACCGAGAAGAGACAAGAAAGGCCAAACCAAGCATAACAGCAGTAGGGATCCGTTACCTATCACATGGAGGTTTATGGAGTGGTTTGGCAATACAATCAAATGTTTAATATCTTTGAAAAAAATATATAATTACCACATCTCATCATGCTATTTTGTTTGTGTATGTTTTATTCACAGGTTTAATTGTCACTTAACCCTCTTTCCTAAATGATGCACTCCTTTTCAAATAGGTGCCCAGCTTTTGGCTAATAAGTTTCAACATCCTCTCAATTGTCATACTCTTTATGGGTCTAGTATTCCTGGTGTTTTGGGGGGTGGGTTTTAATTTTTTATCCACTTTTGAATGATTTTGGACTTTTATTGGCCCCATCTTGACCACAATATTAATCCTTTGCATTATATTCCTTATTTCTTTTCTATTTAATTTATGGTAGTTAGCTCTTGGTGCATTTCTGGCAAATAAAGTATAACTGTGAATTATGATGAACAAAGCTTGATACGTTGAAAGATCAACTTAATGAATTACAACATTTGTGTGCCAAGAAGAAAAAGTTAGCTGAAAGATGCATAAAAGGACTGAATGTTATAATCCCTTTAATGAACAGCACTAACTACTGAGGTTTGAGATGTCCTCTTGGGTGGGGTTCAACTGAAAGATGATCTCTTGGGTGGAATTGGGCCGGGTGGTGACCACAGGCCACCAGCACAACACATCATCAGTTGTGTACCTCAATGTCAACAGGTTTTCCGACCTTTTAACCACGAGACACAGGTATCGAGGCAGGCCCACCACAAGCTCTTTGGGCTGGGTTGGTTTGATCTATGGGGTGTCAGAGCCCGTTGAAGGCGTCTAGCAGAAGTGGGCTGCTGTCTACTTAACAGTTCTAACATCCAATTGGCCATCCTTCTGCTTCTGCCGCAGCCAGTAACTGCCTCTTCATCGACATTGGCGAGCTCTTTGATGGTCTTCTATTCGGCCTTTCCTCTGATTCCCACCTCCTTTCGTAGCCTTATGGTGGAACTGGCTACAAAGCCCCTGCAGTCTACCTCAACTGGCCGCACCTTAACATTCCAGTCTTTTCAAGATCTTAGAGATCTTGGGGGGGGGGGAAAGGTCTGCACTGAAGAAGTAAAAACTTTCTGCTGGTGTTGCCTGATGTAAAGTTGAGAGATTACGAAGATTTCATCTGCTGGGTACCACTGACATGATCAATGTCCGGAGTATTAGGACACCTAACATTAACCTTGGTCCCAAGTTTCTAATCCTATTAAGGGATATGAAAGAACAATATGACTTCAGGGTGTACAAAGTAAGATTTAAGGTAGTAAGAGAAGAATTAGATGATAGGAGACAAAAATAATACCCATTACAAAGGTACTTTCCAGATAGTTTCTTTAAAAATTGATTGTTTCGGCATTCTGCCGTCAGTCTACAAATCTTTCTTCTTTTTTGAACGAGGAGGCCAGACACAATCCTGTCAAAACAACATCAGCCACAGCTCTTCCTTATCTCTGTACTTTTGCATGCCTCTGCTTCCAATTTCAGTCTCCCTGAATCTAAAACTCTTTTTTGTAAGCTTAGTCCCAATGGGCCTTCTTGCTTAACACTTGTGGTGAAAATATAATTAGCAGAACTGCACTCAGTGATGCCCCACTGTGACAATGCAAAACTCCTTGGGACAGCCCAGTAGTGAAGTGATTTAAACTTGAACCCAGTCTGTATGTCTTGTATGATTTAATGTCACATTTTTACACTTGAACAAACCTTAGATTCTGAATAAGTAATTTCTCTGGTTCAGCTGTCAGTCTCCACATTGCTGATCAGTTACAGTCAGCAAACCAAGCCGGAGAGAGTCAAAAGCTGTCACAAAAATTTCAATACCAACAAAAGTATTAGAATTGTTTCCTGATTACAGAATAATTCTGGTCAATTCTCTGAGAAGCTAAAAAAGCAATATCACACTTGAGGTCATGCTATTGCACTGATCATCAGCTGTAATGGTTATAATTGTCCTTTTGTCTTACTCAAAACTAACACCTTAATCACCCTCTGTGTGTGTGATGCAGTCGTTGTACACACAATATGAAAAATTGTGTAAAGCACATTTAAGGACACTTAAACCCAAAGTTGGACTGAACTCCTGAGCTTTCTTTTTTCTAAGGCAGTTTGCAGATTTACAGGGTTAGAACAAATCTTGATCTCTAGTGACAATGGGAGTAAAGCAGTCATCACACAAGCCAGTTGCAGCTTTTTATCAGTCAGAAAGTCAGAGCTCAAGCCAAGCCGGGCTTAACTGAGTCTGAACATCTGCCTCTGATAGAAGCACAGGAGGTTTGAGGAGTTAATTCACAATGGTCAAGTCTCCTCTTTCTGTCATTGTCCTTACATGACTTTTTTAAGGTTTTATGTGCTTTATGAATGCACCGCTTCAATCATTACAGACATTTTACAAACAAGTTAACATTGGGTCAGATAGGATCACTTAAGGTGAAAGCATATCGAATAAAACAAATCTAGTGAAGTATAAGAAAGGGAAAATGATCAGGTCTTGCATTTTCAGCTGAGTCGGTAGAATTTCTTTCCTTCTCCTAACATCATTCCAGGTTTTGCTCAAACCATATTGGCAGATAATGCATGTGGTCACTGTGTAAAAATGATTGCTTCAATTTTGTGTTCCACTTAACTGTGCAAACATGTGTCCGCAAAGAGCAGAGTAAGGTTATAAGCATGGTTGGAAGCATTTTTCCTGAGGTGACGATGACTCCTGGGTGGCCTGGGTCTGAATTTCATTCAAATCTGATCGTAGGCAAAGTAACAAAGAAGAGAGATCATAGTTTTATAATGTCTTGTCTTATTTTGTCACTTTAAGAAGACATTGCTAAATGTATGCATTTTGGGGTCGATGTAGTCATGTATTAGTTTAGTTCCACACTTTTTTCTACTCTCGATTGAAGTTAAACTTTTAATGGTGTATAAAATCATGATCTCATACTGGTGAGAGAAGAAAATATGATAGCCTGCTCCCCAGAACATTCACACAAGCTATGCCAAACATGACATAGAATTTCCCTCAAAACCTGCTATAAATAAGCAGAGCATACAGTAGATTATATGGAGCAAAATTAGCAGAATGAAGCTCAAGTTTAAACTTTTTCTAAAATACATATTTCAGATCATGCATTTATTGAAACAGAAAAACATTTGGTTGCATTTTTAAATCGTACTTTATTTTCAGACTGTGCAAAAATATAGAACCCACCTACACCTGTAAAACGACAAAACACAATTTTTTACATTTTAATCATATTTTACTTATTAAAAGATTGCTCTAAAAACAAAAAAATCAAGTATTTACATTTTCCGCAACTTTACAAAACTGTAACATATCCCATACATATACCCACGTATTGAAGACCTAGATACCTAGTGTAGCGAAAGGACTGAGGTAGAGTAAAAGATAAAGGTGAACTATGATACAAAAAGAGATTTCACTGATTCAACGAGGATTTTATATGTTTTTAAGTGACATGGCATTAGTACTTTAAGATATCTACTTTGGTCCAAAATGCATATAGACATTACAGGAGAGAATATCCTGCATGCACAACATAGAGTAAAAAATGACGGTAGTTTGATGATAAGAATAGGATCATATCACACACAAGGACCTCTGAAACATGTCACATTCATCCGTCTTAAGTGGGGAGGCAACAAATTTGTGAATTCATTTATCTTTCAGAAAAAGTAGAAATGAGAAAATAAGGAAAGCACCAAGCAACAATAAATATAAAATGAAAATCTCAACACAACTACTCTCTGCTATTATTATTATTATAGTTGTTGTTATTTTTCTTATTATTACAGTTGTTGTCATTATTATTATTTTTGCTGCTATTAAATATCTCAATATGAAAACTGGTCTAGGGATCCATCTGTGCAAATCATTCTATATAACGTGGTAAACTTGGAAACAAATCACCTTCTATGACTTACAAATGGAACTAAAGGGAAAAGTTGTTTATCTACAGCAGTTCCTGCTGCTTCTATATTCTTCTATTTATCAAAATGCTTCATCTCCTTGTGTGAAAAGATCTGCCAGCCATCAAACAAATCACCTCCAAGAGTCACACCATTTTAAATGTTGATACAATTTAGACTCAGATGAAGATTCACAGACTAAATCTTCAACTGTATAAAGCATGGATCATTGAGGTGTATTAAGAAAAGGCAGCAATGAAATTAGGGTAGACATTTAAATGTAAATAAATGAAACCAAATTTAAAAAACAATCTAATATTCTGTACACAATGATTAAATACAGTGTGATCAGTATACATTCCTGTGTAAGAAACCAAATCATTTTCAAATAAGAACATCAATGTAAACATAATACTTTCTATAGAAAATGTTTAACTGCGCAGCACCAGCTGTGTAATGTATCATAATATATAAAACATCCTGTATTCACAGATTATGTAAGTATGTCAAAGAAATATCCTCATGAGGAATTACTTACTTAGAAAATAAAGTTCATGGAAGTATCAGACAACATTTACTGACTGACTGAACGCAAACATGAGGAGGAGGTGGAAAGTGTTTATCAGCCTGCTTGAATCCTCTGTTTCCATTGAAAGAACAGACAGAGAGACTGACAGCCATGGTATCCAACCTGTGGGCACTTCCTGCCCTTCAGGAGTAGCATAGATGCCTCTGTTGGTCTCTGTTCTGCTGAAGTGAGCCTCAAACCCTCACGGTAAAAACTCGGAAAGATCCTCCCTCTGTGTTGCTCTTGCTGCAAACAGACAACATGAAGAAAAAAATCATGTTAAATTTAGTCAAAACGTCAACATATCCAACCATTATATTTTATATAAAACAAGGTAAAAAGGCAACTAAGAAATCTCTCATGTTACTGCTTTGACACAGTCAGGGCTGTTTCCATTTTCAAAAAAGCCAAAGGTATAAATATATAACTAGCTTTCAATGCAAAGTTTGGGGCTTAATGAGTGAACTAAACCAACAGAGTAAATCTAAAGACTGACCAAATAAATCAATTAAAAACAACATTATGACAACACCTGCTTAAAATCAATACCCAAGTTGCCTCATTAATTTAAAAAAGTACCCAATGATAGAGTTTGTCATCATGACTAATCATTGCTGTATTTCTTTGTCAGACCCTTTCCAGTCACCACGTGTCGAACCTGATGACTTTCTATGCAGTTCATTAGTGGAGAGAGCTGGAGCTCTGCCACGATCAATAAATACAAAAGGCCTGTGCAGTTCTTCTCAGATTGCAGAAAATTGGTCATGAGACAACATAATGACTGGAAGGCTGGCATCATTTCCATCCTAGAGTCATCTGATATGCTGGGATTTACTTCCCAGCAGCCCTTGCTGCCCACCCTGCCTTGATGTTGGCACCTTGCTTTGCCTCCCAGCTCTCTCTATTGACCTCCTGTCCCACTGCCCTGAGTGAGACCTTCACAGCTCTGCATTAGATTTCATGGAAGTCAGACTTGCAGTATTCTGACCATTCAGCACTTTGCACGCTCAATTGAAATGCCTGGATAAAGTAAGCAAAGATCCCATGTGTGGCCCATCCACACACTGAACCACACCATTACTCGTAAAGCGCAACATGCCAACAGAAACGGCCACAAGGGTTTCCTAGCCTGAGCTGAGTCCAGTGCAGCCGGCCACAGATGTGAGAGTGATGTGAGAAACATAGAGTGTCTGCAAGGGACCCACTACATGTGGTATTACCAGAATCATAAATAAAGGTTTGGTACAGTGAATGTTTGCACCTCTCTCAGACATTTTCAAGATTCTCCTGTCAAACTCAATCATCTGATTTTACAAAATCTCTCAATGTTTACTTTACGTTTATATCTCAAGGTTTTCTTCTCACCACACACCATATGGTCAAATGTTGAAGCACTGACAGTATATATTTTATAACCACTGATGAAACCCAGAATACAATCGTTTTTATACCTCGCATCTTTTTAGCATTAATTAGCTAAAGTAAATAATAATATGAAGATTAGAAATAGAGTTCCTGATTTTTTATGTGTTCCATGATAATTTTGGGTAGCCTATGTTTGGTCCTAAAACTAAATGTATGTTTAAGAATGGTCATGGTTTATTATATGCACCTTTGATTATTACAATCTGCACTGAAGGATTACTCTTTACACACAAGTAAAGGTAAAAACTATATGTGGGTGACTATGTATGGGTTTAACACTATTGCTGCCTGAAAGTCTTTTCCGGGTGTCTTTGGGGTTTTATGACTCATATTGTTAGCTGTACCAAACGGAGCCAAAAAAGAATCAGCATAGAGAGAATAAAGTCACACAAAAACGGCTGCTTGGTCTGTTTTGGAGATGAATTTTTCTAAAAATTCAACACAGAAACAACCCAGCCACACAGGTGTTCCTAATCCTGCCTAATTAGACCTCATCCCGTGCCCGAGTAGGTTGTGTGCCGGCGAAAGGCATTTTTGCCAAACACAGTGTGACTGTGGATGGAAAACGTTAATGTTTTGATTCAGATTTGATTCCCACCACCCTCTGACACCCCTGAGAGTTTAGTGGATTCAGATTTTTTGCAGGCTTTACTGAACCTGTTGCTCATTGTTGACATATTTTTGGAGTACTTGTACATACATTATTTTGTAGCCAAAACAACCCAGTATCTTCACAGGCTTGAATGTAGGAGCAGTCATTACATATAGGAAGGCTTTATGGTTTCACAGCTGCCAGAAGTTGCTTGTTCATTGAAACTGTCATACAACACGTCCAAACATTCATGGTTATTCTAATTTCAAGACAAAGTCCTTGAATACTCCATAACTAGACTGCTTGGAGCCCAGTCTAAAAATATACAGTATATTTCAGGAACTCGGACTATCTCCAACGTCACTATGGAAACCTACAACTATTTGACATGTTGCCTTTGTGGAGGGGGGCATGCTGTTTTGTTTTTGCTATTGTGCTGCATTCCTAAGCTGGGAGTTATAATTACAGTATGAAAAAACTCAACCACAAAAGAGGAGTTGTACCTCTCAGACTGGACTCCATTTTTCAGGACTCCAACATAGCTCTTTCTCTTGTCCAGAGGCAGAACATCCACATAGCCGCCCTCTGGTTTGATGACTCCAGCATGGATGGCTGCTTTACAAATACTGGAGCTCTGTAAGGACAAAAAGAGAAATGCTTAAACAAGGATGTTAACCAGATCTTCTTAGGTGTAAAATATTATACCTATTCCTCTATTATCGAAAGAATTCAAATTACAGTGCAGTTATCAACAAACATTAGAAAATACAAACACTGATCAACTTTCATATCAGCAAAAATCTCCAAGTTATTTATTATCATTATTTCACTCTGTACTGAGTGATTCTAGAGTTTCGTCTCTTAAAAGTAACATGTCATTTTGAAACCAGGTCATTTAATATTTTACTCTAAATCAAGTTGAATGAGTTAAACCATACCCCCCACACACCTCCACCCGACCCCGATTTACATCCCCCATGCAAGCGTTTGTTTTGCAGTCAAAGGCAACACAAGCTCTTATCAGCAGCCTGGAGCAGAATCATTCATTCTAGTCTAAACACAGATCCCGCTGTGCAGTACACCCCTCTGCATTTGGATCACTTACTTGGCAAAACTTTATTGGGAAATTGGGCCACTATGAGCAAACGTGCTGTCCTTTTCTGTGACGGCTGTGGGACTTACAAGGTCAAGATCTCTGAGGAACTATGGCCAGCTGGATACCATCTAAGGTCACTTTAAACACAACATCCGCCTTCTGTATCTTTACATAACCGGCGACCTTTAAATGATCCACGACAGTCAGCCCGGAGTGCACTTAACGTGGACTTTACGACATCTACTGTGAAGGAATGATGTAAACCACTTTCATGATGCCATTTCTTTCTAAATCTCATGTCTCTTACACAAGGGCACTTAGTCTAAGATGACTCTTGTAAGCATTTAGGCCAAACACAGGGTGATAAATCTTTAAGAGCCTTTAGACTACCTCTCCATTACTCCCTATCTCCATGAGACATATTATTCCAGTGAGCCAATGACTTTCCATGGCTACCAAAACCCCCAGAGACTCATGAACACAAACATCCAACTGCAAATCCAATAATTATTGCTCTTCTTTCTGAATTAACAGAATATACAGTGAATACTTTTAGAACATAGCAACAGAAGGATCTGGACCTCTGGTTTGAGTCAAGTTTAAACATGTACATATTCAGAACACAGTGTTACTCACATCTGCATAGATGTTGTTTCCAATCACAGGTGACCAGTAGGAAGGCTGAGTCTTACAGTTGTCTGGACAGAGGATTCTGAGAAACAAGTTGGAAAGTAGTTAAAATTTGGCATGTATGGTCTGTAATTATGGAAACAAGAGTGCCTCCTCAACATTTCACTTCCAAACCCCTTGTAGTATTTTAAAAATGTTGATTGGAAGACTTAAAAACATGTTTTCTTTTTTATTATGTAGAGTTTAAAACAAATTTTACTCCCCCCATGACGAATTTCTATTTACTGTCTTTATTTCCCATCTTTTCATCTATTTTATGACAATAGTACATATCAAGTCTTTCAGCTGATTATTTCAAGCTTAAACAAACCTTGGGCAGTTTGTGTTAGGTTTTTTATATGGACAGATTTCAGCCACGGTGGTGTAACAGTCAGCAGTCATTTCTGTAACAAAGAGAGAAGAGTGAAACACACTTATTACACCTAATCTATGTAGACAGACAGTGGTAATCTTGGTACAATCATGACTCAAAAGCCTTTAAAAAAGGAGCCTGATTTACCTTCAACTTTGGCCACAACAAAAGCGTTGCCTGGTTTGTATTTACTGTAAAAGACATCACAGTGTTAAGAAATCTGGTCGCAAATGGTTGCCAGGGAAATTGAGTATTACACAAATTATGAATCATAGATACAGGGATCTTTGCCTAATAAGTGTTAAATCAGAAAAATGGGATTCAGGCGAATTAAACCAAGTTAAAATGTACCTAAGGGACTCGATGCCATTCTTTGTGGCTTTTACAAAAAATGGAAACTTGTCCATCCTTGTGACGTCCACCACTCCCCCGTTGTTGTCAATAACACCAAAATGGATGGCAGCTCTGCAAATACTTGATTGCTGAAACATTAAGATTTGAACATTGGTTATAAAAAATACATTCTCAGTATAGATTGTTGCAGGATACAAGTTGTCTGTCAAGACTCACCACGTCATAAAAGAGTGTTCCCCAAACCTTCCCTTTCTTATTCAGACAATTGGCAGGACATTTGTATCTGCAGGAGAAAGAAGTTAAAGATTCAAGGAAGTAAAAGAAGTAAAAGAAAAGGAATAAGTTTCACGACCAAAAATCAGCCTCACCTGTTGCAAGTTGCACCTCTGCACTTGTCTCGCAGTCTTGTCTCACACTTAATGTTCTGAGCTAAGGGAAAATGAGAGAAAACAAGAAAAGAAATATAAAGAATACTCAAGTTAAAGTGTTTTTTTTATTTTTATGATAACCCTGAGTCTGTAGCTACCAAGAAAGATGCTGCTGGGAGTCTTTGATGGTGGCACCCTGGGTGTGCTGGGCTTAGGAGTGGATGGTTTTGGCGCTGGTTTCTTTGGAGGAGATGGTTTAGGTTTGGGAGCAGGTTTGGCAGTGGTACGGGGTGGCAGTGGAACCTGAGGCTTCTCAACCTCATTCATGTCCTCCGTCTCTGAGCGCTCTGAGTCTGAACAAGGAAGAAATCACGAGAAAACGAAAGGAGATCAGGCTGGAATCACGAGGACTGCATCTTCAGATAGAAACCATGCGTTTGTGCTCACCTTTGTAGCACAGGTTATTCCTACATCCTCCTCCATAGCTTGGGGGGCACTGGGAGCAAGGGCGGCCATGTTGGTAGGGAGCCTCGCCAATCCAATTACCTCTGCAGAATAAACAGTGGAGAACTTGACTAATGTGGAAATGAATCATGGGTCAAGAGTCCCTGAGCTCATGGCTTTGTAATTACCTAAGCAACCTTTGTCTGTGGTCAACACTCCTTAAAGACATTAGTCCCACTAACTTAGAAAAAAATACTTTTGTCTCTAGGGAGTTCCATCCCGTGGAAAACATTCGCTATTTCCTATTTTTCTTTCCCTGTGCTTCACTGTTTTTGTCTTCTTAGGGAGTCTGAATGGCCCCAATATGTCAAACAAATATCCTTGATAACTAGTGTTATATACCTATATTGCTGTTATATCAGGAACATGCTGTAGTACTTGTCAGCATTAAGAGAGGGAGAATGTAAACTAGAGTCAAGAGAGAAGAAGTGTTGATGAACAGTGGAACATGGAGGAATGTTGATCTTACTTTGGGGAATAATTGCACACAAGGTAAATGGCCTTCTCCCATATTTCTCCCCACACGTCCATCCTTGGACACGTGTGCACGGCACAGCCCACTCGGTTTGTGGTTGCCCAGACCAGCTGTTAAGAAGGAGGGAAATAAGAGATGGGCTTAAGTTAGCACAAGGAATACATAGTAGGGTGAAGTATTTCACTGACTTTTCCTGCCTCGCTTTTCTCACTTAATCATTCAAGAAAATGTGACTAGACTGGCAGATTATTGAGGCCACTGGGACTTCAATGAGTGCCACGTTTATCCCAGACAAAAGCATCTCATGTCTTAACCCACTTTCCACCCATGACACAATCATCCTTCAGGAAGAATAAGTGGAAAACGTGTCACTTTTTAATATCATGACTCTAAAGAAACAGAAGTCAGATTAGGGCCAAAGCTGTCCGAGGTGAAATAAAATGCCTTATTAAACGGAAAGCCTCTGCAGTGGTGTTGCAGATGAATGATGTGCCATTTGACGGCAAATACAACACAGCATGTTCCATAACTCCTCCTTACTTTCCTCCCAAACTCTGAAACATGTGCTTTCTCTCCCTCCTCAGGAATGTTCATCTTTTCCCCGGTACAGTTAGAGGCCACTGGAAGCGGTGAGTCAGCACACACACTGATGAGCACTAAGCGCCGCTGCTTCACTGTATAGTACAACAGAGGGTCCACTATTTCTCTGCACATGTAGTGATCGGGTATGACTGGCTGGACAGGCCAGATAGCGATACATCAACACCTTTCGGCAATATAAAAGAGAGAGACAAGGTGATGATGCTGGGATTTGGCACTGTCTCTTCTCTGCAGCATCTTCAGCAGAATCCAGGTCAAGCAGCCAAGAGTGCCTGCTGTGTCTGGAAATGACTACCACATGGCAGTGATCGGGTTGCAGGGTGAAGGCAAAAGGAGGAGTCTGGTCATTTTTGTAAGCTCATACCAGCAGCCACTAAGTAAAGTCTACTGGAAGAGGAGGTCAGCTCACACACTACTGTGCCCATTTGATTGATTTTGTCCACCCTTTAATTCTTTTCTACATTTTTTTTTTGCATTTGATGTTCAATTTATCTTTCTAACATCCCTTTTTTCTCAGTTTACAAGTGACTTTATCTATGCCTGTCATTTAACCTCTTAGTCCCCCCCAGACTTCTTCCCATAAATAGTTTGAAATATCATACAGGTTGCACAACACGTGTTGTATTCTGACACTGTTCTGCACCTGTCAAACCACATATGCTACATATTACAGGTTAAAGAAGACACATGACCTGATACTAAACAGACCAGATTTTTACCATAAAAAATTGAGGAAAGTAGACTGCACAGTTCACGAGGAGGGTGAAAATATTATTTATCCCTTGAAAGTCTAACGTTTATACCAAACTTTGCAAAGTCTTGCAGAAAGGTGGACGAGCTATGATGAAAAACTCAAAAAGATGAGTATCTATTTTAGTATCACAGTGCAGTAAAGTTATCATATCATAATAGCAAGATAATATTAGACTATAGAGTGTATTAGACATAGATTTAGTCTCACCCTTAGTGTCACCCTTTGTTTTCTGGAGGGACATTTTGAAACTGAGCTGTGCCCCTACTTGCCCCAGTGAAATGTATTTATGACTTTGACCATTTTTAGAAATTTTACAGATTTTTCATAAATATTCATCCCACATAATGTTTACTACTTTATGCTGAGATGCTACAGAAGGTTAGCTTCCTTCTTTCTGACTCCAACGCCATCACATTTCTGCAGTCTTCAGCTCCAGCCGGCACTGACTAACGTGACCTCATCTTTTTCACACATGTGCGAGTCACTCCTTGATTGCAAACAGACACTGAAGTTTAAAATGTGTGAAGTTCCCTTTTAACCTACTTTCTGAATGTCTTTAAAATCTCTCCTGAACTCTTTAACCTTCACTCCCCCTGCCGTCTTCTTTCCTGAGCAGCTCACCTGGGTGTAGTGGGTGCACATGGGCCCTGAGCAGCGTTCTGGACACCAGGGGTTGCACTCATGGGGGTAAGGGTAGGTGTAGTCTTTCACTTCATCGTACCAGGCCTGTACGTGGAAGGCAGGAGAGCGGTATCTGTAGAGCACGTACACACACACGTACAGACACACACACGCACGTACACACAAACACAAACATGCAAACACAGACAGACAAACAGTGGGCTCAGTCAGAGGCCATCCAGGTTCTACAGGCAAAAGGGAAATATCTTACGGAGCTGCCAGGTGCTTTGGCTAGACTTAAGAAACACTGCATGAGCCTCCCTGCTTCTCCTCCTCCTCCTCCTCCCTGCAAGCCTCAAATGATGAGTCTGAGTTTGACCTGGCTCACAGAACAGCAGTCTGTTCCCCTCCATAACAGGGGAAATCAAATCAGACTGAAAAAAAGACTCAAAGCAAACATAAACATGGCTCCACTGCCTAACAAATCAGTTGTAGCACATATTATAAACATCTCTTTTTACGGTCTTGAAAAGTGCTGAGCCTACAAGTGGAGAGGAGAGGGGGGTGGGAAAAAGGACTCCACACATCAGGGTTTTCTTGCACAGAAAGAAAGGAGGAGAGTACGACAAGAGTAAAGGGTCTGTGAGAACGAGAGCAGATTCCTGGAAAAGCACCTGCTGTGATCGCAGAGTACTGTCATACACAAAGACGTACTGTGTCAATGAAACAAAACACCCATTCACAACAACATTAAGCTGTATATTTTACACACACAGTACAGCAATACTTTTGCTTAAGCCTAAACCAAGAATTTTCTTTCAGAAAACATCTGGCTGAAAGTTGCTGTCAATTAACATGAGATAACTTCTCCTCTTGCAGACATGTCAGGTCAGAAAATACTCACAATAATAGCCTAAAAAGACGTCCATAAAAATGACTATACCACTGACTAACTTAACTTCTGTTGTTTCTGTTTAGGCCTACGTATAAAGTTCAAGCCTTTTAGCAACACGTAATATTTTGTTATTTTGCAAGTATGAAAAACTGCAAAAACAAAACAAAAAAAACAACCAAAAATAGTGCAACCAAGTATTCTTGATGTATAGCACATGCAAAAAAGTATCTGTATGGCAGCTCATCTTAAGGCAACAAGTATCTTTAAAGAGCTGCTGCTTTTTGTATAAAATACCCTTTATTTAGGGACTATGACTTTTGAGTCACCATTTTGGAAATTAAGCCAGGACTCTTTAAACAGTGCCTTGAGCTAAATACTAAGTTACAGAGCTTGAGTACACTGAAAGGGTTTATTTTTGTGGATGCTAGATGTAGTTAAATCATTCATCTCTTTTCTAGAAAAAGATGCACACATGACTCTTAAACTGCTAACAATAGTCGCAATTCACAGAGCCCAAATTTTAAGATAAGACAAGATAAGAACTTTATTGATCCCTGGAAAGAAATTCAATATTTATTTATTGATTCCATATTCAAACTTTATTCATTCCATAACCTAATTAATACAGATAGACTCTCACATTTGTTGCCTAACACAGATCAGATATAACTGTTTTGTAATATCTCACCTTCCCCAGTGCACAGCCAGGTTCTGTCCAATAGATGCAAGCAAGTCCTGAGGTCCATGGTCCCAGTGACACTGCTCTGCCCATTGAGTGGCAGTCCTCTCCAGCTCATCATCCCAAACCTGCACACAGAGAGGACGACAAGTTTCTCACAAGGAGTGCATTATTTTGATTCAGTAATATATCAAAATGCACCTGCTGCATCTGCTAACACATGAAGCCTTTTTATCCACACCATTTTCTGACTCGGTAGACACCTCACCGCAGCCTGTTCACTGCTTCTGCTCTTGCACTTCCTTCCCTCTCAATGAGCTGAAACCGAGCCATGTAGAAGTTTAGCATTAACCTGAGACTTTGACATTTGAGAGGAGCAGCTGGTGCCTGGCTGGAGTCCACTACAAATCTTTAGCAATCACAGCTGAATTATCTACATTTCCTGAGTGGGTTTCTTTACAGTGGCAGAGAGGAGGGTGGAAAGCAGAGAAGACACCTGACTCCAGCCGTAGAGAGGAGACTCTGAAAAGGGAGGGAGGACTGTATGTTCTTCAGCATGGCCGATCTCCTCAGTAAATTTCCAGGCTTTTGGTGGTCGCTAAAACATGCACACACAGACACCACTGTAACCCCAAACACCCATAGACTAACACACTTACACAAACATACACACACTGCCTTTTGGCTGGAATTTGAGAGAGCACTGAGCTGAGTAAATCTTTAGACACTTTCCTCCTGGTTATAACCACACGTACAGGCCACCACTGCTTCTCTCAACTTCATGAACCTTAATGTTTCCAATAACCCTCTGTGTGTCTCAACAATCATCCCTCTGCTATTTCACTCATTGATGTGCCACATCATCCCCAAATTTCCTGTTTTCTTGCCTCATTCTCTACGTCCTCCTCTGACCCAGCCCTCCCCCATACTCCTGTCTCCTCGGTTCAAAGCTGTTTGCAGGTAGCACAGACTCAGCATTATTAACCTCCTAGTAAAACGCAGCACAGCAGGCTGGCAATCGCTCTCCAGCATTACTGGATGTTTCCAGCAGAGAGAAGAGGTTGTTTTTATTACAGGAACACCACTTTACAAGCCTCTTATTAAAGCTCAGTGTAGCTGATACATTCAATTTAAAGGGGAATTTCTGTATTCTTCAACATGCGTCCTACTTCATATGTTTAAGTGTGTAAATGAGAGGCAGGTTCAAAGTGATTCAAAATGCTCCGGCAGATTATTTCAACCAGCACCCATGCCACAGCTGTAATCCTTAATCCTTGCTGCAGGGTAATCCTCACCTGAAATTATAGCTGAGTGACTAAAAATGATTGTTTTTACCAGTGGTGGGCTCAAATTATTATTCCAGGGGTCTTATCTACACCACTTAAAGCTCCTGCAAAGCCTTTTTTCACATTTTTGAACTAGACTGATGTTCCTACTGATGCCTTTTTATGATATGCAAAAGCAAACTGTACCAATAATGGCAAGATTTTTCATGTTTGAGATGTAATTTTTAATGCCTCAAACTGGTGTGTGAGGGTAGGTGTAAGCCACGCACCCACATAAAATACTCAAAAAGAATCATGAATTTGACTGTTATTTTTGGACCTAAAATACTTTATAAGTCTGTGGAAGACAAAATAAGAAAAACTACTTTGTCCACAGGAGGCGCCATAAGTGACACAATTTGAAAGTTCCTTATAGAACCTTTAAATTATCTTGCTGTTATATTTGTTGTTTACAATTTGAGCATTCATAGCAATAGTTGTTGTGTCTGACTCATAAGAAAGGCTTTCTCTTATATTTCTTTGATGTTTTCAGAAACTTAAAGTTTTGATGTACATGCTTGTCAGGGGCCGAGACAGGCACTTTCATGAACTGAACATGTTTGCCTGTGATCGCCCAGAAAAGGTTACATCATTGCCATTCCAGCAGAGCAATGAACCATCGAGCACTTCAGACAAAGGGTGTGCCCAAGTTGACCAAACAAATTAATATCATCATTCTTATTCAAATTAATGGTTCATTGAGATTTTTTATCACTCCCAGTCATATGCCGTGTCTAAGCTGTGCCTTGCCACTTGCCAATGCTCTACTACCTGGATGTAAACATGCACAGATAACAGACAGCATCTTACAGCCTGGCACATTTTGCAGCATTGGGATCCCCAAAGTAAAGATAAGGTTAATTGTGGGCTGTGTCAGGTTAAACTGGCATATAATCACTTGACCACAGTGATGTGTGATCAACACAGGCACATGGGCGTTAACCATCAAGAGGGAGCAAATGCTGTTGGTGCTAGCTCTGCCGGTGTTAGCCACGCTTGATAAATCAACATGACCCCTTAAAAAAAGTTAAAACATGTTCATGCCACAAATATTTACTGTAGCAGAGAGAAAGAGGTAAGAGTTCATGACAATGATGTGCTGATAGGATACAACGGGGTCATGCAAACAGGTAGAAATGTAGATATTTATTACTCTATGAGAGATCACAGTGAAGAGGGATTAGTGAGTCTCTCTGTCTTGAAAGAGGAATGACTACACCCCGGAAAGAAATCAATTTCAAACATCCTTACTTACTACTCTTAAAAAAAGTATGTGAGAATAGACAGAAAAAATTTAGGAAAACTCTGGCATTTGTCAGGTCAAGACAAGATAAAATGTTTTGTTTTTTTGTCTTCATTGAAACAGAGATAAACATCACTGGGGCAGTGGGACATGTCTCACCATGTACTCCATGTTGGAGGCAGTGGGATAGACGCCTCCTCTCAACTTGTTGTGCAGCTGGAGGATTTCCTCACGGTCCGACCAGGGGATGGCTCGTCTGGTACGGTTGCCAGCCACGTTGCTGTCGTTGCTCTGGTTTGCTTCCTCTTCATAGCGACTCAGCAGCTGCCTGAGCTCCTTTGAGTCCGGCAGAAAGAGGGAGGCCGAGTCCTTGACACACACCAGCAGGAGGGAGAGGCACAGGACATAGAGCCAGGTCATAGCAGCGCAGATCATTCTGACAGTTCAGCTGTCTCGGGCTGGAATTTCAGATGATGGAAGAGAACTAATCCTCAGAGTCTCAGACACAACCTGCAGGGAGGAAATATTTGATCAATCTTTTCCCGCTGGGTGACCCAACATAGTAGAGCACAGATTGCAAAATAAGGGTGTGGATTCCTGTCTTTTTAACCAATATTTCAGCTGAATGCACAGAGTTATACACCCATAGAAACATGCAGGTTAAATACAAGTCTGGTGCACAACACACAAAAACACACAAGTCACTTTTTATCATCATCTGAAATTCAGAGGTTTCAGAGATGTACTGAAACAACTGATGCACAACAACCCTGTAGGTAGGGCTGGGCGATATGGCCTCAAATCAATATCACGATATATTGAGCAGTTCACCTTGATAACGATAAATGAACGACAACTACTCCACAAGCTGCTAACCCCCTCCTACGTTAACTTTGAACCGTCCTCCATCTCCTCATCTGTCTTTCTCTCTGGATGGGGTGGAGCCATGTCGCAGATGTAGGACAGCGTCTTAAAGGGACATGAGACCATAGCCTACCTACACACATCCAAAACTAACTTTTATTTATTTATTTTTTGACACTGATTATACCGATATGGGCAAAATGACATCAGTTATTGTCGTAAATCTCAGTATCTGTAAATTTTCGTTTTATCGCCCAGTCCTACCTGTTGGTATTCTTTCTTAGGACTAGCTGTGGATTTAGACTTATTGTTCACACTGAGGTTTGAACTGTTCATGTAAATAATCATTTCTAGAGCAGCATATTACTGATGTGTGATTCCAACACTCTTTTTCCCTTGTGTATGTAAATGGTGTGAACACAAATATTAACATTACAGTATCCCCTTTTCATGCCCTCAATAGTGACCATACAGTTCAATGGAAATGTCATGCATAGATTTTTATGTAAGTATTGTAGGTTTCCTTTCTTCTTGCTCTTGCATCATCATGATACTTTCATTATTTGCACAAGATATTGAAACATCTCACTTTCATCATCATGATTCCTGAGTGCCTCTGCAATACCAACCCTCATGTGCAACTTTTAAGACACCATTGTGTATTTTGTAAGCCTACAGTAACTTTCCTGTTAACACAAACTTCACTTAAACTGCACCACAGTTAAACCTCTGTAACCTAAGGGTCAACTCTATCCTGATAGTAATTATACACCCCTGCTAATACGAATCAAAAGGAGTAAATTGAGCCTCAGTGTGAATCATAACACTGCTACACCTGTAGTTGTACTCTGAGAAATACTCTATCCTCCTCTCTTCAATCTCTCTGATTATTTTCTGACAAAACTGAGCAGCAGGGTGGGACACTGAGGAGAGAGACCTGACAGGCTTTCCCCCTGCTGAACTGTCTTTGAACAAAAGACTACATTCCTAACATAACCAGGGGCAAAGTTTTTAACTGACCCTGCGTCTGACCTCTGTCTGGACAGCAACAAAAACAGGGATGATATCCAGGATTAGAGCTAAACCTAATATCAAAGTCATAAACGACTACTAGGTAAAAGGAGCCGTCACTTTGTGTGATCAGTGAAGAAAGAGAAAATAAACCAAGCCTTAACTCGCTTGGTTGCTCTTATCCTTGAATCCCATTCCCTCTTGCTGAAAAGGCGGCTGAGGTCTGGCACTGCCTCTATGTCAACACACTGTGCCAGCTCGGGGCACCACACCCTCCTCCTCCTTCTCCTCCTCCTCTCCCCCGTGCCCCTTTTTCACACTAAACCTCTACCAGCTTCTCTCTCTGTGCCCTTCTCATAGCTCTCATGAATTTTATACCCGAGTGACAGACAGAGCAGAAGAAACAGACACACAGGTTTATATCCACATCTTGTGTATGGGAGCTGAGGCCTCTCTGCACCTGGCGTCTGATACGAGGAGGAGCTGACCTCGGATCCACCTCTCCACGCGGATGATCATAAACACAACTAATATCACAACGTGTAGTGTGGTTAATAAGTTTGCATCTATAGATGTTTGTAAAGTTATACAAAAGAGTCCTTTTCCTCCTAGACCTCAAAAATTCCTGATCTTATGAAGTTTTGGTTTTAATTATACAGATAAGTACATTTACCAGATTTATTCTAATTTTTTTCACCTTTTACACTAAACCTGGACTAAATATATCATTTTTCCTGGTGGGAGGTGCTTCTCATTGACATTTACTCAGCCAGTGAGACTTACAATGAATGGCAGTGTCTTTCCAAAAGCCACTGTAGTATGGCAGGCAACCCAGCACTAAAATCTGAGATTTATGAGTGTGTATTTTCAGACTAGAGGAGTGAATCAATACATCCAACTAAAATAAAAGAGGCTCCCCAGGAGGGGTGTCATACTTACAAATTTATATCTAGTATTTAAAGTCTGTGGATCTGGTCAGGTATTTTCCGTCTTACTTTTGCAGAGTCATGCAAATCATAAAATGCACAGCGTAACTCTCCTGCCAAATAGTTACTGCATGAATCTTAGAGAACATATGTTGAATACAAATGTATTAAAATCTTCATCTTGCTTACCGTTATCCTCCCAAGTTAGTCTTCTGCTGTTTAAAACTTCTTTTTGCGCGCTGGAGAGCCGTGTTAATCCCTTTGAGTGCACCGGGCTGCTGCGCGTTGGCACAGTTCCTGAAGCACATAGGAGCTGTGTTCCTCCTGAGCAGCTCACAGCGCCTTATATAGAGAAGGAGACCCCTTAGGACCAGGACCAGAGGGAAAAAAATGACAAACTTTCCCTCCTCAGCTGCCCCCTTCAGCCCTCCTCCTCCTCCTCCTCCTCTCGCCAGCCTCCCTGGAGTAGGTTGTGTTCTTGGCACGGAGCGCGCGCATCGTGCGCACGCTGACGAGCAGGCTGATGTCAGGAGGAAAACTGAAAAACAATGTAAATCAGCGTCCTGTCAGAAGAGTCAGCAGCACATCATCATCATCATCATCATCATCACTGAGTGTTTCTTTGGGGACACTTATAACCCACATATGCATCATCGTGAGCAGAAGCAGACGCGTCAAACGTCTCCAACATGTAAAAGGAGCAGGAAGACAAAATAAAATAAAATATTAATAAACAATTATTATGACATTATTTCATTCAAAATATTTCCCGGCAATGTTAAGCAACAGTCTTCAAATTGATGTTTTTCTCATTCATAAAAAAGCCAAAAGAATTCAAGTTTTCCTGTTTGGAAAAAACAAACATAGACCTATTTATCACTTTTGAAACGTAATAACATTATTACTAATGCATCATTTTTATAGGATATTTCTCTACACTGATCAACTGATCCTTGTGGGCTGTGACCATAAAATAACTTAGGTTTGTTTTGGTCCAGATGCTGCTTTAGGACAAAGTGGAAAACTGTCCTCAAAGGTCATCTGAGTTGATTAGAGTGATTCTTACAAATGTTTTAAAAGTTATAAAGAACAGTGAAATGACTTCAGACGTCTTTTCTTTCACATCATTCACTTGTAACAACATAATAATACTCTTCATTTATAAATCACATAATAAATCAGAATTGTAAAGCAGAGGTAGATTTACCAAGCCTGGGTTCAGCAGGTAGGTCACTCCACAGTTTCTGATAACCTGGTTTGTCTTCTTACGGCTCATCTGAGAGAGCGCCCACACTCATTCTGGTGCACCAGGAGCCTGATCATTTTGGGCTTTAAAAGTTAGTTGTCTTTCTTTATTATTTTTTATAGTCAGGAAAGGGGGAGGAAGCAGATACAAGACCTGGGACCTGTAAGTCATAAAAAGAATTACATTTGAGAAATTAATCTTAGCTGACAAACAAGTCCAAATGTTTTTCTTCACCGTAACATCACAGCCAGGGTCAGACTCAAAAACAAGTCTGCTTCTCTGCAGCTGGCTTTACATTTGGGGAAAGAGGTCCAAGATTACCAGTGATATGTTACTTGGAGAACTGGGTGTTGATTTCACAATTTCTGTTTTGTCGTCATTTAATTTAGGTAGAGGTTTTTTGTAGGTTTGTTTTGGGGGCTTTTATGCCTTTTATTTAGAAGGAAGAGACAGTGGATAAACCAAGAGAGAGTGTGGAGACAAGCAGCAAAGGTATACTTTCATTAAAAGACACAACACCTTATAATTCCAAACAAAGAAAGCACAGAAATCTTTCTTTGAATGTATTTTCAGCAAAAACATGACAACATGTCACATATTTTTATAATGAACACAGGTTAATTCCATTATTTCATGGTTACACTTTCTTTGGCCTAGATCAGACCTTGCCAAAACCTGTCCCCCGTCACACATATTTCACCCCCGTTTTAAAGCCAACTATTACAATCCTCTTAGTTGGAGTCACACTGATCTGTTTTGGGAGATGAAAATATTTTAGCATCCCAGCTGTGGATAGCTGCTCATGGCTTTCATTTGGAGCTCCCACATTAAAGGTTTACGAGTAAAGAATTAAAACACCTGACATAATCAAAGGACAGGTGTTCAAAGTGACAAAAATAAAGGGGGAAACAGATAAAATCAGGCCCATCAGGTGTCGAGAGTTCTATCTCCTCACTGACCCTGCAGTCAGCTCACTGAACTGTGACCCAAATAGTTCACATTTCATTCCATCACCAGCTTGATTTCGGTCTGAAACGTTTCGGATATTAACAAGAACATGACCACTCTGATGGAATGCCAGAAAACTGAACCAAACTCAGACAGACTTTCTTCCCACACGGCCGCTGCCAGCTTGGGCTCTGCAACTCAGGAAAAATACATGTTTACCAGGAAGTCTAGCCCATCATGCATCTGCTTTCCTAATGTAAAGTCGGGCAGAGATGCTTGCAGAGGTGTCTAGTCTGTTAGCAATACTCACTCTTTGTGTTGATAGGGTACAATTGTTTATTCACTGATAAGGACACTTGAATATGTCTTGGATATCACATCAGCAGATTGTTTTCACTCATTACAAGCAATTCAGGTCCGAATTTTCTCCTCATATAAGAGTTATTTCGGGACTTGTTGGGTGAATGTTGCTTGTGTTAAGAAAAAAAACATATTTGACCAAATCAGAGTTTTTCAAGGTAGAAATTTTAATAGGGGATCTAGTTGGAGAGGTACATTTGCTCGAGGAGAACATGACTGAGCAAATGTGTTTCCTCTTAAGGATGCGTCACGTGAAATTGACACACGTGCATCATCCACAGTGATTTCACAACAATGCCATCATACCCTGACAGTTGCAGAAATGGCTATCTTTTATAGATCGATTATCTGCAGGGAAAGTCATCCTGATGGAAGAAATTAGAGTGGGAGATTACATTAGATTGCATATCACTTTACTGCTGACACACAGGCCTCTGTCTGGTGAGCATGAGTGATACTCTAGCTCATGGTGTGCATCACTGAGGTCAGAAAGTCTACTTGCTTTGTTTATCAGACAAGGACATGTTGGTTAAACCCCTGGATGATACAGGTATAAAGCACGATCTGCGAATACTGCCAGAGTTTTGGCGTTTATCTTGTAGCTGCTAGAAGCATTTATGGCTTTTCAAGAAACACTTTTTGTTTTTGTGCATTTTAACAGTTGTTTGTTTCTTCTATTCAAGCAGGGTCATTAAAAAGTACCAGGCACCAATAACTATTACTCAGAGAAATGCTCATCTTTGCAGACTCATCCATCACAGGAATTTCGGGCTTCTTTCAACACACTGGCAGAAACGCATTCAACCGAATTTTTATCTCTTCGACATCCTGTCCTGGTGAAGTATTTTGGCAACTCAGAAGTATGAGCACATCTTTACTTACTCTCACTTTTTTAAGCGTATTACCACATATTAGGCACATAATGCAAATCTGGGGCCCTCTGAGTCCTTTTCTTTTGTTCATTTTGGAAGCTTCAATTCAAAAACCTCAATCTGAACTTCCTGGTCCCAAGATTTCTCCTGTGATAAACAAAAGTAATCATGTAATTTAGACCTGATGTCTTCACTCAAGATGCCAAGGAGAAGACATCCTTTTTTCTCTGAAGTGTTATTCATTACTCAGCTGCATCAACACAGATATAATTTACACCAGGCTAAAATGGGAAGTCAGTTTGAAACAACAGGATTACACAACTCAAACATCCTTCTCTTGTTCACTTTTTTCATATTATATAACCTTGGGCAGGTGGGGGCTTACTTTTTCATTCATTGTCCAGAGCAGACACACTTCCCTGACTGAAAGCTGGTTTATTTGTACAGGGATTGTATGGAGGTCCTTGAAACTCTTGCTGCCCTCTTTAGAAACTGTGGAGCGCTGGTGAAACTTTTAGCAGGAGAGATGCAGAAAAAGAAAACCCAGGGAAGGCAGAGTGAAGAGGGCATGAAGCGTGTGAGGCTGGTCGTAAAAACAATCAAGAGGCTGGTTAGTTAGGGATCAAGAAATGCATAAAGATCGCTTCCATAAGGATATGGAGGTGATCAATAACAAGATATGTAAAATATGTCAATGTAATGCAATGAACACACTATAACAAACTTTTTGAACAGAGGACTGACATTGGGTAATGAAGTGCGTACCAGAGATTCCAGCTTCATGGCCACAGGTTTTACAAACAAGCTTCAGAAGAACCAGTACAGATGGCAGAGATTAATACTGTTTAAAACACGGAGAGTATGGACATGTCAGTGTGACAGCCTGTAAGGTTCAGCTAAGAGAATATATACCATTTGTGTTCTAGTTGTATATCCTCAGTTTTCACATTCCTCTTTGTTCAAACAGGACTAAGAAGTAGGGCTGGGGGATAAAACGATGACGATATATATCGAAAATGAAACTCCCTCGATATTGATATAAAACTTGGTTAATATGCTTTTTGATAGTCGGCATTCTGCCATGTTATGTAAACTATAAAAATAGCCAATGAAATGGGGAGTTGCTCCAGGTTGCGCCGCACTGAACCAATCATGTGCTGAGTTAGAACCAAGTAGTAAACAACTGCGTAGTAGCAGACTGCAGCTACACGCAACCATAGCACTTTAACACGACAACAAGACAACACTGGCATGAAAATGTCGGTGATGTGGGGGTATTTTTGTTTGTTTTTGAGGTAGGACATGAAGCAGAGTAATGTGCACTGCAAATTATGTGGAGTCGATGTTCCCACAAAGTCAGGGAATACCTCAACTCTTTTTCACCACCTGAAGCAGTGCCACACAGCAGAGCACACACAATGCAAAAGGTTACAAACCCCGAGCGAAGCAAGGAGCCCATGGCGTCTGTGCAGCCGAGACAGCTGACTATTCCACTTTCTCTAGCGCAGCGTCTTACGACAAAGCGTCAAAGAAACACAAAGACCTCACAGATGCAGTAACTTATTGTATTGCAAAAGACATGCTACCAATAAGCACTGTTAAATTTCATTCTTTGTATCGTGATATATATCGTTATCGACCGATATGAAAAAAAATATATAGTGATAAATTTTTTCACATATCGACCAGGCCTACTAAGAAGATATTCAAATGAAGCTGCATCAAAATTATACCATGACCCTTGCAGTGTCTGCTTCGATGGCTTTAGGGTACAAACTACTTACTTGGAAAGAAAAGTTCAAAGCACGTTTACATTTCATGTCGCGTTCATCTATTTAGTAACTGTTTGCAGAGGTTGCTCTTTAAAGTACACATCAGTTTTAACTAATCCCATTCATTCAGCCCTAATGCACCACTAGCAGGTGCTGCCCACAAGCTTTTAGGTAGCTTTAAAGCTGCCAGCAAGGGATTTAGCTTAGAGGTTCTGTTACACAGCTAATGTACAGAGGCTTTAATATCTGTGTATTTGATCCAGGTGGTCCAGGTTCAATTCCAACCTGTTGTCTTTTGCCAAGTCCTCCTCAAGCCATTCTTCCCAGATTTATGCTTCATCCACTGTCCTCTTTCTGTGTCTCTCAACAAAGCCATAAAAGCCCAAAAGTAATACTTCCAAATGATTAAAAAAATACTTCTAGCAAGACACAACAGGCATAACAATCGACTTCATCATGGCTTCTATCTTAAACTTGCATCAATCAGCTAATTTTGACTGTAAATTCTTGTCTCCATCGATAGCATTTTTCTAATAGGTGCTTTGACCTTGTTGTTCCAAAGAGGGAACTCAAGTTTGGTTCACTCACAACCCCCTCTGAAGTATTTTCATCCCTGGCACTTTATCTGAAACACACAATGATATGCTCATATTACAGAAAAACTACATGTGGGATGAGCACCATTGTGTTTCTTCAGTACATGGCACAACAGTGTAACCAATGAAATTACAGGCTTTTGTTGAAAAATATGTCCAACACATTTTCAACAAACCACTCAAAGCCTTAAAAAGTCCCACTGGGTGAGCTAACAAGCATGCATACACCATCATTCCTCAAGCATGGCTAAAGCGGACACTTGAGACTATAGGTGGTCTGTAAGTGGGTGTCCAAACATGTAATTTGCCCTTCAGGCTGCAGGCCCGAAAAAAAAAAAGAAAAAAAAAGTTCTTGTAGTGCTTTTTGACATTAACAGGGAAAATACTTGATTGTAAGTTTTAGAGAAAAACCACATTTCAGTGGAGAGCGGAGCTACAGTAAAGAAGGAATAAATAGAAAGAAATCCTGAAGGGCTGAAAAACCTTACCGAGCAAATTTTTCAATGATGGGTCTGCTTTCCATTAAAGCAAACAGAGGCAGGGCCTTAAAGAGAGCAGTGTGGGCACCAAGGCAGCCAGCTCAACCACACAAGGCGGGTTGTAGCATAGTGCAAATATTACACATAGTATATGTTGACATGCAGGAACAAGAGAGCAATTAGCAGTGTGTGGTAGACCAAGACTCTGTGGATAGTTTTTTGTTTTATTGTGCACATTGTTCTGTAGGCCAGTCCAAAGACTGCAAATGGTTCAGTATATACTGTATTATAAGAAAGCCAAGTAGTCTTCTGACTACACTCGGTTAGCAAACTGCTTTTTGCACAATCTTTTATTTGAACAATTAACAAAATAGAATGCTGGAGGCTTAAAATTAAAAGACAGTATAGATTTTTGTTTGTAGTTCAATATCCCAACATTTCCCAGCAGACAATAGTGTTAGGAGCACATACTGAAAAGAGAGACATTATTGAAGCATTTCACCAGCACATTTCCTGACCAGCGGTGACAGACAGAGAAAACTATACAACAGAAAGGTGTCTGTTCAAAGTCCCAACTGTCAAACATTCTGAAGAGAAAAGAAAGAAAAATGAAATTATTAATCTGTGCAGAAATGACTACAAAGCCTGCAGCACAACAGAACTACCATAAGGTGATGGCTGATGGAGGTAAAGTGACTGTCTAAATGGCATGCCTCTGTTATCTGTGTGGAATGAGTGGTGGACAGGGATACAAGACCTCCGATGGAAAAGGCAAAATGAAGTGTGAATATATATATATATATATGTACTGACAGAAAGGCAGCAGGGCCCGTGTAATGTTGTCCTTTGGTTTATCTGGGGAAGCTTTCTGAACTCAAACCCAGAAGAAGAAAAAGTCAATTGAGGCTGTGCACCACAAAATGTAGTCGAAAGCATCAAACCACTTTAAATCAAAAGTGCCATTTTTGTCAAATCCAGACTTAAATTTAATTTCAAATTGAAAGACTTAATGCGAACGGTTTTAATGAACTCACAACCCACACCCATAAGGGTCAATGTAATTATTAGCATTCAGAATGATTGGCGCTGCTAAAACACAAGAGCTGTTTTTCTTTGCTCTATCACAGGCAAAGGTGAGAAAACCACCACCTCACCTGTGTAACACTTGAATTGCTGGAAAAGAATGAAGAGAGGGTCTGTTTGGGACCTAAAGGGGGCTTTTTTGTTTAAAGATCAAAGTAGAAAAGCCTAAGTCATGTAAAAATACTTGATCTGATTCTAATTTGTTGTGTATTAATACTGAGAATCAGACACTGATGGTTGGAATGAAATGAGTTAAAAGCAAAAAAAAGAAAAAACAAAACAAAAAAGAGAGAATGAAGAAATGAAAAATAAATATCAAGCAAAGACACTAGTTATATTTTATTCATTGTTGTGCTTTAGCCTGTGTAATTTCTTTTCAAAACACCAATTCCAAATGCAAGCATTTTTTTTCTGTGGGGGGCAAGAACATGGGGACATCTGATAAATGATCAATGACAGAAAAAAAGCTAACATTGTTTAGTAACTCAAACAAAAATCATCACAATCAATGAATGATCCAAAAATTAATATCTTCAACAAAAGCAAACACTATCTCCTTTTTGTGCATATGTCCGGGGTCTTTTTTGTTTTTTTATTTAGAGCATAGCACAGGTGTAGTCCCACTTCCCCTCATCGCTCAGTTTCCCTCAACTGGGAGGTAACAGAGCCACAAAGGAGTAAATACATCGATGTCAGGTACATTCCCCTAACTCTTCACAGACATTAGACTTGCTGTTGGCGCCTGATAAGGGTTAGACTTAGTACGCTGAGTGGAAAAACATCACACATTGAACCTAAGGCAGCCCCCGCTTTCTGCTGAGTTGGGGGTAAGAGGGGTGTGTGGCTCAAAACTACACTGCTAACCCACCTTTACACAGGTGGAACCTTTTGACAAATAAAGACAAAAATCATGAATGGATAGAGAAGGAAATGTACAAAGTAAACATGGGCAGGTTTTGCAGTGGATTCTGTCTGGATTGGTAGCCATCTCTCCAGTGCAACTGAGTCAAAAACTAGCACAGTCCTTTAGGACCCAAACAAGTTTTCAGTCAGCTAGATTTTATATTTTTAGTTTTTTTTTTTTTTTTTTTTTTTACATTTTAATCTAAACATCTGCAAAATATGCATTTGCCTGTCATATTGTAATCATCAATCAGTTTATACTTTGTGCACAGAAGCATATTTGTTATTAAATTCTAAAGCGCATTAATATTTCTTTTTTTTTTTTAGATAGTCTTTCTATATCTAAACCCAGATACCAGAACAAGAATCTCTCAAACAAGGAAGCAGTTCAATCCATTCAATGTACCACCGGCTTTTTTTTTTTTCCCCGTTTTTGATGGCTCAAGTTGTACCTAGATTTTAAAGTATCATAAAAGTGAGGAAATGGAGGAGGAGAAGAAGTTGTTGGTTTGGTGGCAGAGAAGACGAAGATCTGGCCTTTGGGAGGAGACACTCATGATAATGCTGGTGCTGGGCCTTCTCAATGCACATGGGCAAACTCAATCAGGCTTTATATCGGCTGCAAATTCTTTAGGCCAACAGTTCTCCTTTGCTTGAAAGGCAAACACTGATATTTCTGGGTTACTTCCTTGAAAAGGTAACTCAAACAAAATTGCGCCAGCGGTCCACTTGCAGCCTGTGGCGGATAGTTCTTCCTGTTTGCGAGTCCACTGTTTGCTATCTGAGCCGAGCTGTGGAGCTGTGGGCTCAAGCAGGGCTGAGTCTTAGGTCCGAAAACTTGTAACCCCAACCCTACCTCTGTCTATTCAACAGTCATTCCTTGTTGCTTTGAAAGTTAAACAAAAAGGGACGAACGAAAAAACAGCAGTGGTGCACAAAGAAGAGAGCGCAGTCACAGGGAAATCTTTGTGAATGCAGCTTGTTTCTCTTCTTCCAAAAAGGAAAAAAGATACAAGGAAAAAGGTGTTGGAAAAGCTGGTTCTCAGGAAAGCAGGGACAGGAGGGAAGAAGAGGAAAATCTTGCAAGAGAACAAGTTGGGCAGTGTTCCTGTTCATTAGTTTGGTGTGTTTGTGTCATGTGGAGATGTACTGTACTGTCAACAAGTGCATTTGGAGCGTGTATGTTTTGTGTGCGTTTGCGAATGTATTCAGGTATTCTTGCATTAATGTGGGTGTAGGTCTGTGTGTGCGCGTGTGTGTGTTTGTGTGTCAGAATGAGTGTGTGTCTCTACAGCAGGTCGACGCGGCGGTAGTACAGCAGGTAGGCGGTGCGCTCTGCTGTCTGCTTCACCACGTGGTACTGGCTGATGACCTTCACTATCTGGTCATCAATGCGCAGCCAGCCGTTAAGACCGATGTGGAAGACATCTGTGGTGTAATGACCGCCCGTCGCACTGTTCCCATGGTGATAGACAACTGGTTCAGACAGGACACGGGAGAAAACAAGACATTAGAGAAATAGGTTTGGGTGATGACTTTAACCAAGAGAAGTCAAAACAGTGATCAATTGTTTTGTAGTTATTCTATACCTCAATTGATTAATCGATACAGCTAAGTCACATCTAAATGGTGTCTTCATACATGTATTTACTTGACAGTGGAAAATTTGATCTGAATTCATGAAAGGATAGTTTTTCAACAGGCGATAATGTTCATGAAATATTTCTGTTTTCTTGGGTCAAAAAAAAAAAAGCCAAACACACCTGCAAAGAGCCTGTAAGTTCTTTGGCCTTTCACAACTTTGCTTCGCACTCCAGAGGACAAAAGATCTGAAAGAAAATCAAGGTTATAAAATCCACTAATTAGACCAAGAAGTTACGAGGCATTGCTTTAATCATAATTGAATGCAGTTTGTATTGCGACACGTTATATTCTGCCGTAGTTATCTGAAGTGTAAATCTAACAGCAGGAGCACAAAAGTCATTTAGAGGCATTGTCTGAACTTTTCACAATCCACCAAAGCTGTTTTTTTCTAATGTGACAGAAAAAAAACCAAAAGCATTTAAATGATTTATCTGAAAAACAAGCTGCAAGTCTAGAAGCTTTCCTTAAGAAATTTAACTAATCTACAACTCATGCTGGATAAAAAGTTAATGGATTTGTAATGATTTCAGGGTTGTAATTCATCTCTAAGTAAACCTGGACCTTTAATGCTTGAGCAACATCTGTTAAGGATTTGGAAAGTATCTGTAATTTTAGGTCATTTCATGCATCAAACTTAAACTGAACTGATCATTTTCCTGAAGACAGAAAAACACAACTTTGTTTTGAATATAAAAAGTCTAAATGAAGGTCTTTTGGATTGTGAAAACACAAAGTTAGGATACTAGCATGAACAACAGTGTAATATGTGTTAACCAAGATTCAGTGGGTTGCATTTAAGGCACACAATGCTCTGTAAATTATGTATCCAGACCTTTGCTGATTTCCAAGTCAACAGGATAATCAATGTTCTTGGTCAGTTTCTGGCAGCCTCCAGTCTTTTCAAAAACAAATCTCTTGAGATGGAGCACCAGCACAGGGGGAAGCTCTTCAAGAGTGACCCTCCGACTGATCTCAATCTGAAAATGAGGAGAAAAAGAGGAGAAACGTGTCAAAGTCAAATATTTTCCTACAAAAGGACACTGACTCCAAATCAAACTCTTTAAATTCATCGAAACAGAGCAGGAAGAGGACGAGGACAAGAGCAGAACAAGAAGTAACATTTCTTAGACCTCCATAAGCCTTTCAAGGCAGTGACTTCTGAAGCGCTTTGTTTTGGGGAGGGGAAAAAAAGACTACAGCCAGGCTGTAGACCAAACTGTGCTGAGACGACAGAGACCAGAGACAAAGGTTTATGTGTAACCAGAGAAGCCGAGTGAAGCTCAAGAGCAGATGTCCCCTCAAAGAACTCAAAACACAATATAACTCTGGGCCATAATAACTCACCAAAGGGCTGCTTTTATATCACTCAGGCTCTTTGTAATCGAATGACATGGGATATTGATCATTAATTAAACAGCAATGTGTTCCCATCATACCTCCTGCTTGGTTTTAGAAGTGTAGCCCTGGACTGACTCTCGTGCCACCAGGGTTTCTAGAGCCTCCTGGACAGTGCGGATCTTCTCTGACTGGATGTCCAGCTGCAGGGTGAAGAAAGGCTGCAGAGTGGCCGACTCTTTAGAGTTCTGCTGATACACCACCGATCTGACCAAAGACAATAACACAAACAGGTCGAATAACAAAATAAAAGACACTATGAACATGAATTCAATCCACAGAACAAATGTTTCTTTTTTTAATCCTGCCTCGAGTGACAGCAGCATCACAAGAGACGGTCTGATTAAAAGCAAGAACTTGATGTACCACGCCTAGGAAGGGAGACTGCCATTTAGAAACACAGCTCCCATGGTAACGTGGAAAAAACTTTAACCCGCTGACTTATCTGAAAACCAATATTGATCATTTCAATCATTTTTCACAAAGAAATATAAGTGGCATTCTCAATCAATATATCAAAAGTGTAAAATTACAAAACACAAATGTGGCTCATTCATCAAACAACTGCACTTTTATAAAGTATTCCAAGAGTTTGCTGATTTCAATGAGTGAAATCAAATGTCTGAAATAAAAATAAAAACTAGTGTTCTGGTTGATACTGATGGGTTGATACTTCTGCCACAAGACTTTAACGGTGGAAAAATAATTCTTTTAACGACTGCGGCTTTAAAAAGTTCAAGGCCTTTTTTTTTTTAGTTCAGCTGGCATACAAACCACACTTTGTAAACACACACTCCAAGAACACAAACCAATTCTGAGAAAACAATCCTTAGACTGAGTAGTCAGTGAAGAAAAATCCTGGGCCAGACCATAACCTCATGTAACATATTATTTAGGCAAACTGTACCCACACAGGTTTTTGGTCTTCTCCAGTTTGCCTGAAAGTTAAGTCCTTTTTTTCGTTTAAGTGGGCCTCACATCTTTCTGTCCAGACTTCTGACCTCACTCAGCCCACTGCGCCTGTTATTCTGCAGTACTGTGGTGGCTTGTTGAGACTGAGATGCCGTCATGAGCCCCAAGTTAAGTTCAGAAACTCTTTTTTTTTCTTAAATAAATAAATAAACAAAACACCAAATAAATCATCTCAGTAATCCTTCCTTTCAATGCAGGATTCATGTTTTCCCTGCACACAAAAACGCTGTGAAACATCTTCATGACGACTCTGTGGACATACCTGATGTGTCCACCAAAAATATCAGTGATGGGTGTGCGCACAAAGTCAGCTTGGCGAGTGATGGAGGTCTTGTTTCTGGGGCCGACTTGCTCCCACTCGTCCTCACTGCCCTCTTCCTCCTTATCAGCATCATCTTCCTCCACACCTGGCTGGGACTCTGGCCCGTTGGGCGTGGGAGCTTCTGTTTGAACAAAACATGAAAAGAAAAACTTTTTGAAGAAGCCTTGAGCTGGGGAAATGAAACTACTTAGTCTCAGGCCTGTTTACAAGTTACATAAAACTAACACTACAATGACCAGGTGACGATCAGAGTTTCATTTTTAACTTGAGAAACTTTGATATAGTGGAATGGTTTGTTTTATTGCAATGTGATTATGCAGACTGTTGTGGATTTCAACTCACAAAAACAAAACAGTACAAGACATTCCTTGAATTAAGTCATTAAGTCATATCTGTAATAACCTCATCAGCCCGTAATACGGTTTTAAGTAAAAATGCTTACTCTCTTCCTGAGGCGAGATTAGTTTTTTCAATGCCAGCATCTCTTCGTGTAATCCATTAAGAGTGAAGCCGAGATACTCCTCCGCATCCTCTTGACGACCCTGTGTGCAGATCAGCAGGATGTCAGCACCAATTAAAAGTCTTACACAAATGCTTGTAATCAATTAAAGGAAGAGTGTGTACAAATCTAAGTGCACACGCAGCCTTTCAATCATGCAAACGGACCAGTAGTTGTGTTTCTAAGTTGAGACAGGATGAACACGAGCCTAATTAAATTGAGACGTAGCATTCAGCGTTTTTCAGGTGATTTCCTTCATTCAAAGTGACTCAGAATTGACACAGCACATGTAAAGCCTGATCTTCCTCTAATGAGATGAGTTTTGAAATCCTGATCGAAAAACGTGGAGTAACAGAACATTTTCTCCACACACTGTTTGTTCCAGAGGAAGTGTATTTGAAGAGTTAGTCATTAAAAACACCTTCTGTGTCAACGTTGCTTACCTTCTCAGAGAGGCTTGATTTGATAAGAGTGAGGAGTCTGTAAATGTAGGTCGGTTCAAAAGGTACTCCAGGCCGAATGTCTTTCATGACTTTATCACCAACAGCTGTGGACACAGTTACACATCATACAATCTGGTAGGACTTTCCTAAAAATGAAACCAAATGTCTCTGGACAAGCTGCATGATACCTCACCTTGCTGTTTGGCTTTAGATGGCACAGGCATGTTGTTGAACTCATTCACCAGCCTTACACTGTCAGACAGATAAAAACAGAGGTGAGCTCTTTGAAAGCTTTCTGCTTTTGTTTTTTGTTAGCAATCTGACTTCTTCTGACTTACAAATTGTCTATCATGGGTGTGGAGGTACATGGTCTCTGTGTTTCATTATGCAGAGGAATGGACTTCATCAGGTGATACATGGGGGGACACGCAATCAGGGCCTGTAGGGTCTGAGTGTTTAGAGTCAGAGAAGAAAACGGAAATAAAAGGGAAAATGTTCTCGCATAAACATTTTCAGTTTGACACGTATGAGTCAGTAACTTCTGCCATATGGTGCCTAATTAAATCTGAGATATTTCAATAGAAATATATGGAGGGGCAAGGTTTCTATAAATCTAAAAATAAACATACAGGCCATAAATGATTCCAACTTCAAATTCAAATGACATTTGTAGGAAATATTCAAAGACATCAAAAGGTCTCATAACACATGAAAAATAGCTTAATGAGATATGGCATCTTTGTGGCAGTCAGCTCTTGGCAAACTTGTAAAGCGACACATGGCCAAACATTAAACAGTGTTAAAGGACTTTTTTTGTCAAAGTACCAAAAGCAGAATTCAAGGATACAGCGTTGATATAGCACCAGTTTCCCTTGTTGATCAGTCCTCTTGGCTGCAAAGACACTGGTTTATGTATCAACTTCACATTCTCAATAAGTTCTGGGGATTGGAAAAAAAAAAATCTTATAAAACTGAAAAAGTACAACACATTATATACATACAATGAAAACAAAATTCTTATGACCAAAAAAGAAGTGGAAAAACTGGTCCTGTCTGTTTAATGTTGCTGCTTTGGGCTTTTATGCTGTTTTGTTCTTTTTCACTTATGAACCAATTCACTTTATAAACTTGTCACACATCTGGTATGCAGCTCTGTCTCTTCTTTTCAAAGTAAGTTTCTCTCCGATTCACATGGCACCTCATAATGGAGTAGACTAAACACTATCCAATAAAAACTGGTACAGAGGCATTAAGGACAAATTTCCATCAGCCAATAGTGGATTAATGACCTCACTAAGGTCATACACTTTCCTTCTTCCCCGTTTCATCTTTCTCAACACAGAAAACAAAAACAACATTATAAAAATAAAACATCATCACATCAGTTGAATGAAAAATATGTTAAATATACATGTTGTTCATTTAGTCTTTTCCTGGAAAGATAATTGAATGAAAACAGTCAAGAAATCAAATTAAAACTGCATCCTGAATTACTACTTTAACGTCTATTTGTCATCGAAAGACTAAGTAAAAATATGCTCTTAACATCCAGAGTGTCTATTTTCAAGCAGAAAACTTAATGAGGGAAAATCAAAGAGCTAAATTTCTGACAAGTCTGTAGTAAAAAAACACAAACAACAGTTCTTTGAGAACATCCTTTAGCTAAAATGTAAGTTTGCCAAAGTGCTCCTGTGTTTCTTATGTTTTGGGGCAATGACTTGTATGAGCTGTTTTTGATGCACTACCTCCACCCAGTGTTCATTTCTTGATTGAAAAGCAACATACTTACGTCCCCTATGACAAGACATAACTGAAAATTTGAAAGATCAAACTTCAAAGATAAATCCCTATGACTATTCTCTTCATGTGATTAACAATTTTTTGTAATTAAATATAAACACCCCCCAAAAAAATTAATTACTTACAAAAACAATGCTCAGTCTTGCTTAACAATGTCAGAGACAATCTAATTAGGCTCCATTACTTCGTCACTATCATAGAGGTCACAGTTTGTTGTGTTGCTTAACTGAGCTATCTTTCATTAAAAAGGTGTTTCTTTAGGTTCATCCATTTAATTTAACATGAACGACAGTATTAATATTTGAAATCGTACCTTAATGAAAGGGATTACAGTACAACATCCTTTCAACCCCAGTAATAAACACCATGTACAACTACTTCTTTGTCAACCAAAATGAGAAGTTTCTTAATGAAGGGAAGTGCTGTGCGATGAAACAGCACAATGCAGGTAAACCTCATAAACAGAACCGCGAGTGCTGCTGATGTTAAATAGTTACATAAAGACAATGATCAAATATAGAGTTGAGTCACTAATTACTTTCATACTTGTTTAAAAGCTTCACCTCACACAGCAGTCAAAGGAGTATGAACGTAAGATCTGACTAAATATGGCCACCTAGTGGAGGGATTGTGGAATGCGCAGTAATGCAAATTTTGCCTGCATCAAAATACTTTAATTATAACCTCATGGTACAAAAGTACCTTTTCAAAAATTTTGAATGATCATGTAATACCTGCAAGTTTAGGGGCCATAGGATCCTCTGATACATGGACAGGGCCATCTTTGACCTCCCCCACTTTCTCAGGCTGCTCTGGCGTTGCAAGGGTGGGGGACACTACTTCCACAACATTTTTCACCTCCACAAAGGCCTGAGGGCCACCAGGCAGAGGCTTGGAGTTGTGAAAGAGGCTGGCCCAAGATTTGGGGAGGTTGGCAGTGGGTGCAGCTGGAATTGCAGGCGCAAGGACCTGCTCAGTCACCGCTGACTGAGCAGCAGAGTCTAGGGAGACCTGCTGAGCCTGCTCCCCACTCTCACAGTCTTCTTTCTGTTCATCTGCACTGACAGGAGTATCAGGCTCTGCAAGCCCGTTTGCCACTGCACTGTCTGCTATCTCCCCTCCCTCGAGTTCAGTAGTCGTAATAGATGTGGCAACAGAGGGGGTAGCCACAGCAGCTGGAGGAGGAAGAGGTGATTTAGAGCGGGGGCTTTGTGGAGTATCTGAAAGTTCGGGGCTCTCGGGAGCCAAATGATCTGGCTGCTGATCTGCAGTCCTTGGTCCCTCCATCATCCCTCTGCTTTGAGAGGAGGATGAGGAGGAAGAATTTGCATTGTTGCCATCTGATAAAGAGGCTGCTCCACCTGCTAAGTCCAAAGAAGAGTCATCAGGGCTATCACAAGTCCTCTGATTGGCAGTGGCTGTAGGGGCAAACGTGCCTGCAGCCACGGCAGCTGACGATGTTACCGTTGAAACAGGTCCAGGGACAGAAAGTTCTGCCCCCGACAAAACCTTACTGTCCACATCTTCTGGACTGTGGTGTGGGCCACCAAGTGCATGTCCGTTCACCAGTGCTGTCCCAGGCGTCCCATCTGCTGCGCTGCTGCTGTTGTTGCTGCTGCTGCCAGTTGATGGGTCCAGGTAGTTGTAGTACCCAGGCGGTCTCTTTTTCTTTTTCTTCCTCTCCCGCTGGCCCAAACTGCCCGGGAGTCCATCTATGTCCTGGCAGGCCTGATGATTGTCCAGAGCTGAGGCCTCTGAGTCAGGGCCGTCCAGCGAGTTGAAATGGGCTCCGTCGGGGTCATCAGCTGCTGGAGGAACTGCCTGGTTGGCCTTCTGGGCTGACTGGCAGCCCAAAATGAACTCAGGAGCCTGGGGGTTGAGGGTGCTCGACACCTTGTACAAAGGATCGTTCACCCCGCCAGACTTGGAGTCCATCACCTCATCAACGCCAAACTCAATGTGCTGATAGTCTTCTGCTGCGGAGACCAATTCAAACAATTAGAAACACACACTTTGTCTTTCAATACATATAATCATGATTAACTTTCTGCTGCAGAGTTAAATAAAAACTTTTTTTCTTTCTGGAGCAAGTCGGCCATCACCCAAAGGGGGTCGTGGGAGCTCCCTGACAGATTCAGGAACACCAATAAAATGAAGAGGGGAAAAAAAAACTCGCTGGGCCTATTTTTGGCTCCAACAACAACAACTGTTGTGTCTATGCTCAACTAGACCACATTCCTTCTGGGCTTTTGTGGACTTGAGGAACGGTGCTTACAAATACAGAAGAAAGGGTTTCAGCATTAAAAACTTCCAATTAGATAGTCGGCTGTCTTTGAATCACTTCATTTCTTTACATGAAGCAGACAGCCTGAAATATCCAGACTCAGAAAAACTGTGCCTTGACTAACACTACACAAACTCTTTGAAAACTGTTCACCATTAATTGATTATATTGTTCAGGAATATTATATTTGTCATTCACTTTATGTGTCTTCTGGGAATATTTTAGAGGTGCTTATTAAGCATTATTACAAGCATTATTTGATACTTACCCTTTTCTAATTAAAACAAAAAACTTCATACACAAATGCATGTCATCATCAAACAGCAGATTTCCTCACTGTTTAGTTAACAAGTGTTGCTTACAAAAGTAACTGAGCAGTGAGAAACAAGGTAAAAAAGGTGAATAAACAGGAAACATTAGTAAGTGCAAATCAAGAAAATACATCTAAGAGACTTTTATCATTAGACAGCTGACCGCTCACCCAAAACTGTAACGTGGGATATCTTTAGCGGTTAAGAGAGAATGAAAACAGAGGTTACTTCCTCTACTGGATTAGAAGATCTTCTGTTAGTGTGACTGAAATCAAACATTACAGCTGTAAGATTCATTCAGCAGTAAAACCTTTAGGATGCAGGGCTAGAATATGTTAGCCGTCACATGAAACCATTCCTGTGCCCTGAGTAAATTACTGTTATTGTTAGATCATGGGAAAATCCAATTCCATTTCATTTATCTGAAGGTCAGCAGTGGTGAAAATGCATTATATGCAAGAGAAGATAAGATACTCTTCAGTATCTTGAGCATGCAAAGCTCTACAGACTTGACCCACAGGCAAGAGAAAAGTAAGGCGCAAGGTTTAGAAAGCCACCAGTTTTTGAAACCTGGATTTGGAGTTTTACAGCAAACGGACAATAGCTAGGTCAAGCCACAGGATGTCAGACTCCTCAACTCACCGCAAACCTGCAGTCCCATAGACTCCATTATAAAAGGTACAGCAGGAGTGCAGTAACTTCCTAAATAATCAATACAAATCAAGGTAAGGCAAATAACATGTGCATTGTGTACCATTTCAAAGACAGGTGGCTGTTATGAAATATTTTATTTGGTTGCCTGATATTGAAAACAATCACAATGGCTGATTTATTCTGTTCAAAAAGTGAATATCTAGTAGAACATGTGATTCAGTTTATGCATTAACATAAAAACAAGTATAACAATAAAAAGCATCTTCCTGTCGGGTATATCAGGTCAGCTCCCAGCCTGGACTTACGTTTAAATTTAAAGACCTGCTTTAAAACAAAAATACTGAGATGTCATCTAAGAGCATGGCGACAGTCAGATTAAGGTAGTGTTTGAGGTACTTGGGGACAAAAGTTGGATATAATCTGGAAAATGTACGTACCAGAAGACTGACTGACACATGGGACTTTGTCGTTGAATGGGGGAAGCTGTGAGGTGAGAAAAATGGAAAATCAGCATAAGTTAAAGATAACATATTATCTTTAAAGATTGGGTTATCTTGTTTTTTAGTCAAATACTGTGACATTAAATAGACTGGTAAAACACAACAAGCTATTTTTTGTCATGACATTGGCAACAGGATAGATTAGTAACAGTTAAAATACTACATTTATAAGTTAAATATCTTATACGTTATATACGTTGAACAGACTTCTTAATAATAAAATAATAATACCAAACAAATTAATTACATGTCAGAGAGTACTTATATCTAGGTGAAGTTGCTTTGACGGGTTTGTAATGGAGCAACATGCTTTAGGCAGCCAGGTAATCGGTTACCTTTTATGAACAAACATGAAATGCGAAAATTCATTTGTATTTAAATAAATGGTTCCACAGCTGCTCACCTCGACATAACACCTCGGGGTTACAAAGAACTGATTGATCTCATCAGGGCTGAACTCCCCGAAGATGTACTGTGGAGAGACAAAAAACACGGACAGCAGTTAGCAACGATCAAACAGTAACATAGATCCAGTATTCATCTGAAATATTTATGAAAAATAAAGATATTGGTGAACGGTCTGAAAAACTACTTGGGGTCATAAAACTCTGGAGGACATTAAGACATAAATTTGATAAGTCAAACATTACAGTGGGGCCGGGGCCTTCCTTCATTATTTTAACTGTATCAGCAGACACAGGCTGTGTCTCAATGCAGGGTCTGCACACTTGAAGTGCGGATTTTAAGTGAGTGTGATGTCATCACATGGCGCTAAGGGTGTCCCATTTGGCTCACGATTCTGAGCGCGCTTAAAATGCACACTCCGTGGCCTTGAAATCCCCAGAATTCTTTGCATGCCGCTGCACAGCTGCGCATTTTGGGTGAGACGCCAGACTCACTTGGAGACGCAGCCCCTCTTCAAAGAAAATAAAGAAAATCCAAAAACACAAGACAGTCAGCTCAGGCTCTATAAGCGCATGCCTTCTTAACTCACTAAAATTTGCATCCGCAAACCAAACATTATACTCTTTAGATAAGAACTGATCCGCTCTGCTACCACAATCAAAAACATTAGAAATGAGAAAGCTACCAAAACTACTGAGGACTTTAAGGGTCACCGAGAATTAATTTTTGAAAAACCTAGACATGAAAGGTGTAAACTTACAAAAACAAAGTCATAAAGTAAATAAAGTCATAAAGGTGCTTTTGTTGACAGGGAAATGGCTGGAGCTGGTCAACTGCAGGGTTATCGGTGGATATATCAGCGGGTCATTCAGAGAATTTTGTGGTTTCTGAAGAAACAATCCAACTGATAATCAACATTTGTGATCCAGGGGGAGTCGAGCTACGACAAGCATATCCATAACTGCCTCCACAAAAAACTTTCAAAATATTCTCACTGTGGCCCTCATGCTCCTTCGTACAAAATATGCCATAATAAGATGAAGTTTGTGGAAATGATCTGTAAAGTCTTTTTCTGTTTTTTGTTGTCACTTTGTTTGTTGTACATAGTTACCCCTGTGTGCTTGTAAGTATGTGTTGTTTTGTGTCTGTATCTTTTGTTTGGCCCAGAATTGAGACACAGCGGCCACAGTCATCATAGATCAGAGTAGAAGGGCCATTACTAGAGTCAGTCATTAGCCAGCCACTGCAATGCTAGCTTGTTCAAAGGTAAAGCTCAGTCCAAGTGATGAGTCATGCTGTGTTACACATAAACCACGAACACAAACAGCTCAGGTTTGATCACAGGACGATAACTTTAAGAAGAGGTTTACGAGTTGATAATACAGGTAATATAAAAAAAACAACGCAGGCTCAAGGCAAAGGAGCTGTGAGAAAAGTGACTTTCTAAACTCTTTGAAGACATGCAACTAAAAATTCAGTCTTAACCTCTGAGGCCACATTGGACTTGTGCACTTGGGGTTTTTCCAAGACAAAAGTTTCTGCCAAAAATAACTCCAGATATCACCAAAAAGTGTGGAGGACTGAATTGTCATGTTTTCATTTGTCAGCCAGTCATGGTGATAAAGCCCCACTGGTTGCTGATGGCACACAGCAAACAAACATATTTCATAGATAAAAGATAAGTGTCTTGTTGAACTTGAAACACTGCTTTGAAAACGACTCAACATTACAGTAAAAACAGATAATTATACAGACAGTGCTGTATTATATTTGTCATTTTGTAAACTCCTTATATTTATACTTTTATTACCTGCTGCCACTAATAACCTTTCACCCAGTCACACAGCAGTCTCAGGAACTGGAGTATCCTGACATGCCTCCATGCCATGAACACACAACTGACTGCCTCCTGGAGTTGTTATAACAACAGGCAGCTGATGTGACAACAGCGCTGCCAATAAGCCTCTACATTGTCCCGCTACATGCCATGACTGCTCTGGACTCTGGGTTATGGCAAAGACCAAATTTATTCTTATTCTACACTTATTTTACATTGTGACTGTGGCCCTCAGGCCCTCCTTTCCAAAACAACAGCAGAAAAACCATCTGAAAGTACAAAAAATGTACACAGGAAGGCCCAAGGGTTAATAACCATCTGACCACAGATGCTGTTCCTGAACTGACAACCTTCCTAAATGTCATTCTGCTGAAGTGATGTCTTCAGCCCAACCCTCCAGGGGAAGTTTCAGGGTTTTCTGTGACATGAAAATGCAAAAACCCTGCACCGTCACGCCAAAACAAAAGCCACAACGCCTTCAGAATAATCACTTTATTTTCAGATGTTTCAAATGTAAATCAAATGGTCTGACTGGATCCATATAAACATGAAGTTTATATTTGCTCACATTTACAGACCATAATAATAGAAGAGAAAGGTACCTAAGCAATAATAAGTTTAAAGAATATTTTGCTCAAGCCTGTGAAAGTGACCTTAATGTTAGTGTTAATCACGTGACGTTCGCAACAGTAACGTTTAACATTAGTAATACAAAGTTTTGCCTTCACATATTTTTTCAGATGGCGTTACAACAGAAAAAAAAATTCATCATTGTTTACATTTTGTTTCCACAGAGAGCCAGCACAATCCTCCCATCCCTCCTGCTGCCCAGTATAGTTTAACCTGTAGAGAGCCAACATGCTGATCATTGCTGTGCTCGTACCTTTCATTACACTCAGACTATTAATCCAGTTAAAGCTTTGTTAAAACAGCAGAGAGGTTTGCATTTTTAAAGCAGTAAAAGAAAACCAAACATTTAATCAATAAGGGAAAATAGCATCAATCAGGGATTTTAGATTATATGCAGTATATGTTTTAACATTCAAAACCGGAGTATCCTCCAAGTTTCTTGCATGTAATGGTTACGTAAATGAACCACTTTAACTGACAAGTTGAAAAAAATGTTTAAGTGACTTTAAGAGCCCTTTTACTACCTTATTGAGAATAATATACACTTGTGCTAAAGTAGTATGGATCCATTCTGAGTTCTGCAGGTCATAGTTATTGTTTTAAGACCAAAAGGCCTTTTACCTCACTCTGTCCTGTGGATACCCACTGGTTTCTGGCAAACTTTTAAGTGGAACGTCTCTTATATTAAACAGGATGGATGAATTAAAATTGTGACTCATTCAACACACCTACAATATAATACTGATTGTTCTGTTTGTTTTACAGCTCCTGTAAAGAGCTTGCAACATGCGTCGGTTTTAACACCCTTTAAGGACAAAGTAGGTCCCCCTATACCTGGGATGATCTTCTTCTGTGGGTGAAGGGTGCACAAAACTGATAAAACCAATATCTTGATTTGAGGGGGGCAAAAGTCTAGATTTACTGTACAAACTAAACAAGTCATAAAAAAATCTGATGTCTTAATCACACACACACACACACACACACACACACACACACACACACACACACACACACACACACACACACACACACACACACACACACACACACACACAGGCACTGTTGCCCCACCATGATGGGTAGTTGGTCAGAGATTAATGAACGTTTATTGAAGCCTGACTAATTCAAATATTTGGTCTAAGTAATATCCCCAAATTAAGCTAAATCATGGCTCTTCAGCACATCTACCTCCATTGGCTAGGCAAATCCCTGCTAGTATTCCAGGGTTAGGTAATTATTAAATTAAACATTTTAATAAAGGTGGATTAAAATGAACACTGTCACAGTTTCAACACTGACAGACAACAACTTACCTCAAAAGCAACTGAGTATTCATTGGTTTTTACCTGAGATACGTATTGGGCTGTGAACTCAAACCATGGTTCGCTGTGATCATATCTGTTGCAGTGGAGAGTAGAAGGAGCTGAACATGTGAAAACCTATTCACTGCAGCACATGTGGTTTTTAATAAATAGATAAAGATTGAGCTGAAATGGGCGGCTTTAGACGTGAGACTGTCATAGGTTGGTTAACATCAACCAACAGAATTATAGTTTTACCAAGAAGCCAATAAAAAGGCTTTCGCACTCTGACAGAAGGACTGAATTTCAACAAGTGACCCACTGACCAACTGGGTGCCACATCTCTCCCTCCATCTGTAATTAGATAATACACGTCATCATTATTCATCATGTACTCCGTTAACTCTATTTTACTAGACTCCTCTCTGACACAAACTTGTTTGGGGGAAACACTATATTGCGCCATCTAAGTGTCCACATGTGCTGGAAAAAAAATGCATAGCAATTGAGAGAAAGTGAAATGAACTCACTGGCCACGCCGTTAATCCTCTCAGTGCGACGTGAAAGGGGAGGCACACAGAAAAGAAAGTGCAACTCAAGCATATGTAACTCTTTGCAAATGAGGCCCCACGCGAGGGTCCACATTGCTGAAATGGCACTACAAGCGACAAACAGGCAGCCATAATCCGACGGCCTTGGGATGGCTAATACAATCACAACAGAAAGAATGTCCCTTTGCTTCTTTCTGCAGGCGTGCCACACGTACCTCACTAAGCTGCCCTTGCTGTTGGTTTGGACGGAGGATTACCACAAATTAGCCATCTGTATGATTTCAACACGGTTAGTGACGACATTACAAACTTGTTCGCGTGCACACAGACACACACATCTGGGCCATGGAAAGGGTCTAACAGCACAGACCAGTGGTGGAAAAGTATGCCAATATGATATGAGTAAAAATAAACCAGCTTTACCACTATTGACTGTCCCAGAGTGACGATGCCTCATTAGCTCCGAGTTCAAAGATACCGTGCACAACTGTTTCTGGTCAATTACAACTATACCTATATGAATGCATTTCTGAAAAGACTATTTTATATTCGTCTTTGTCTTTAATGTCTCCAGTTTACATTTTTCCCCTGTAATAACCCACTCCAGAAAGGGTTGTATCACTTCCTGTTTCACAAGTAGACAGACAGCACTAACAGTTGTTGTACAAACTTATTTTCCTGCACTGACTGACTGACTGAACAATCACCAGAAAACTCACAGCTGCTCAAACGGTTTTTGTGCTCCTATCATAATAGGGGGAAACAGGCAGACCTTCAATGCTTCTCTTTAACGGGCTTGCAGGTTTTTGCAGGCCACTTGACTAAGCAAGAAAATGCTGCAGTGCCACTATAAATAAGGTCAGGCGAGTTTTGATGAGCCTCTGTTGCATGCCCATGCCTGCATGTTGGTGTGATTAAGCAACAGGGTGATTTATTACCATGAAGAAGGTATAAAAATAAACGTGATACTGGAAAAGAGGAATCATTGGTATCTATTTCATCAAAAAAGGACACTAAAAGAACAGCGCTGCAGCTCAGCAACCCAACAACAGGACAACATGTTGGTTTATCCATATGGCAGAGTCCAACATAACCCATGGCCTCATGGCCCAGGCAGTCTAAGATAATGCCGGGTTAGTCCACTGGCTCATCACTAGCCCACTCTGACCGGTGACTGCCGGTTAGAATGTTTTTCTTGTTTGACTGCCAACCGGAGTCTAAGAAAAACATTTTTAAGAGTTCAGTGTTATCAAGACACATGACTGATGACCTGCACTGTTATTTGCTGAAATACACAAAGGAAGAGGGGTGACATGTCAAGAGTAGCTTGCTGACAGAGCTGAGCACACCTCCATTCATCTGTAAATCATTGAATATCGACTTTAAGCATGGACATTAATTAAGAAACAATTACCAATCGGTCCGTTCTTTCTGGCGTTGTCATTTCTACATTACCTGACTTTACTAAAGGGGTTCAGCACTGTGGCAACAGACATCAGCGCTGAGCTCAGGAACAGCCTTTAAAATATTATGAAGCACCCTTTGAGAGCTGAAAAGAGTCCGTTCTTGCTGAGCCACATGATCTGGATTATGAACTAGGAAGATGACACAAGTAGACTTTAGGAACTTAGAAAATGACATACTCTATTACTCCAGGGGACTGTTCGACAGAAATGTCAATTACATAGATCTGTCCTCAAAAAAGATCTCTTTGCATTCATTAAATGTTTTTACTGTATAAAGTGAAATAGATACTAAAGCATGTAACATGCAGGAAATTAAATGTTTTCATTTTATGGCATTTGGGCCAGAGAAAAAAATGCAAGGAGTCAGTAAAAAAAAAAGCTATGTTGATGGTTATACGGCGAGCGGTAAGCTGCATTCAAATAGCTGCAAGCTTGGAAGATAAAAGTATAATTTATTCTCTCACCAAATGATATCATCCTTGAGATATTCACACACATGTAACTACAAATAACTACAGTACACACAGACTACATTATGAAAACCTTGCAAAAGTTATCATCCACTACAGTGTCCAGCAACACATGTAAGCGTACACACATTGTAATAATTCCTTTCCGTTTCAATGTCAGGCTTGATCTGCAGTTTGTGTTACAATGAAATGTGTTGGTAAAATTTAATCTACTCTCTAAAAAGTTCATTGACGGATGCAACCATTCCAGGAACTAAAAACCAATTACTCTGATAATCCTGCGTCCAGCTCCATTGTTTTCCTCTCTGCTGACAACAGGCTGAATATCTTTGGATTTTGTTCTGCAAAGCAGTCGCAACAAGACAACTGTGCCAGTTTTTACAAACATTCTGGGAACCCCTCAGAGTTCCTAACGGGGCCTCAAAACTATAAGTAACAAGTCCAAACCTTAGACTGACTTAAAAACACTTGCAGAGCACCTCTGAGCAAGTAAGCGAGAAATACTTCGATCCCGGGGAGGAGGCTTGGTTGACTGGGGAGAGGAAATAACTCATTCTTTTAAAAGCTGTGATTAGTTCTCTACAAATGGAGAAAAAAAGTAAATAAGAACATAATTTTATTAAAAACAAGCATATAAGAACATTAATCAGAGACAGACTTCAGTTTTTCTGTCCTCTTCAATGCGCCGACCCAAGTGGGAAATCTCATGTTAAAAATTAAGCTGCTGGTACAATTATTTTAATCATTTTCTTAAGTGTTTAATTTTGATGTTGTTCTGTTCTTTCTTAGTTTTGTGAAGTCGTTTATAACAGGCTTTTCATCAGTGAAACAGCTCCCTTTTCTCCAGTTGCTAAATATTTTGTGATCACTTCCTTTCTGGTGATATTGCGTTGTTACCTTGGCTTGTGGACGAGCAGGAAAGCACAATCATGGCACAATTTAATCTAAAGGATTTAATTAACTCAGTCTTTTGGTGTTCGAAAGACATTTGTCCAATTTCACTGTCTTTTTATTATTTTCTACAGCTTGGGAAACTCTTCAGAGCCCAAGAAGTCCTCTGCATTACTCTGAATGATTTTCCCCTTAGGGGCTCTCTTATTTTGTGAAAAACTTTTATCTTTGACAATGATCTAGTCTGAACTTTTAGAGAAAATTTAAGAATATATGATTCTCAGAGTTTTCTTAAAATTTCGTCACCAAGAAAAACTTTTATCTTTGACAATGATCTAGTCTGAACTTTTAGAGAAATTTGAAGAATATATAATTCTCAGAGTTTTCTTAAAATTTCGTCACCAAGAAAAACTTTTTGTACACGCAAACTTTTAAATACAGCGACTGTAGGCCTTAAATTCTGCAAATTGTCCCTTTATATTTACTCTAATGATCCACTGAAAGAATAACTGGAAATCATTTACTTTGAGAGAATAACTGATGGTTGCTGCTTCACCTCTTTTTACTTCAAAGTTTGTTACTTTTGACTGTGAACTGACAGTTCAACCGAGGCTTCCCTAAGTAAACTTTTAGGATTTCTTTAAGTCTTGTTGATAATGCATGCTGGAAAACCCAACATGTCTGTGAGGTTAAATCTAGACAAGCCATTACCTGCTGTGACACTGCAGTTTAGACCCAATAAGAATTAGCGGGACCAGACAGAGGCCATGTTTTTTTTAATTACTTCCACACTTCTGGCATATATTAATCCGATAAGAATCTGCCATGACTAAGATAACAAGAAAAACAACTTTTGAACTTGAACGATAGTCTGATTTGTTTTCCCTCAGGGAGTGGTGAGGATTACTAGCCCACTAACAGATCTATGCTTTGCTTAAATACTAGGCTTAACTTAAAGACTAAGTTCAAGAGTGTTGCAATAACACTTTGAGGTTGCAAAAGTCAAACAAATCAACGGGGCAACTTCTTCTGTAATATAACGAGCACAGACCATGTGGTTTATTATGAAACTTCCCCATTACAAGATTTTAATATCTTGAGGGGTGATTTTTGTCAGGCAGACAAAAATGTTAATACAGGAGGAGGAAGCTTGGTCCTAACTCTGATGACAGAAACTAACTACTGTTTCGATTTTCAGTATTTGAACATGAGTCCAATGAAAGGCCCAGTCTCTTATCTGATGGTGTTTGGAAGACAAATGGGCTGAAAGTCTGAACAGATTGCAGCTACTTGGAAATCAAATGCTACTATGTCTAAATGTCTGAACCGAATGATAAACCTGACTGAAGATGGGTTAATTTTTTAAAATAAAATGCAGACCACTTCAGTAAATTATATCCACACTTTCACCTATCTATACATGGGCTTACCACAAATTACTGATAAACAGCACCTATTTAAAACTCCTGTGAGGAGTTTTTTAATCTGCGTTTGAATCATACTGAATACTGATGCCTCGTCATAACCTACAAGAGCAAACAAGACTATCAACAACGAGAGTGTCTGTAGATGTTTTTAATGTCTAACACCACTACTGGGGTTGTTCTGATAATTATATGATAATGGAGAAGTCTTTGAAAAGACTTCAAGAGATTTCCAATGAGTGACACATTTTAGTGTGACAATAATGTGGGGTGAGATTTTTTTTAACTGAAAAGGTTACAGAGGGGGGAGGTGCCGCTTTGTCCACAGAGGGCCCTAAAGTCAACAACCATAGTTTATCAGAGAGCCTTAACAGACAAATCATTTCTTCTCAAGCTAAAGTTTATGTATACTCTTTGTATTTTCTTTCTTTAGCTTCTGCAGCACCTGTGTTCTTGAGGGGCAATGTTGAGTAACTCCTCATTTATTATTGCACTTTTGTTGGGGGGGGTCACTGCCAAAAACTTTTTCTCTATTTAAAAAAAAAAAAAAAAAAAACTCAAAACTATCTGTATAATGTGGCCAAATCTATCCAGTGAATTCACAAATATCTCTGGTATTAACCAACACGTTTTTGGTGGTGCTTCTGCAGGACAATGTATAAGTCAATAAAAGGCCATAAATTGAACATGAAACTCTCTAACTGTACCTGCCATCTACAATATTTTTTTCCCAGTTAAAGGATGCAGATGGAGAACAGTAATTAAGAGTACTTCAAGATTTACCTGTTTTGCAAAGTTCATTCTCAGAAGTGAGATCCTTTGGCTGCTGGTGTGTCTTGTTCCAACTCTAAATTATTTACCTGCCACACCTGTTCATCCACTTTCTTTCCCCTTTGAGTTTTTTTTCTATTCTTGTATTTTTTTATGCTGATCCATCCTCTTAGATATTCGTCATTTTTCAGTGTTAATTGACACTTCATTTCTCCAATACGTTGTGGAAACAGAAAATTTTATGGTTGAAGGTTTTTCAAAACATTTTTTTTTCCAACACAGGATTTTGGCTTCTTTCAAACAGTTTTGTTGCTGTGTTTTATTTGAGAGTATAGCAGTCAATACTCCAACATACTATGATGATTAAAGTTCACAAGGTGCATTTTTTGCCAGTCATTCCTGTACCGGTCATAATAAAACTTAACATATTGCATAAAAAAAGTCAAGAGGGGTACTCCTCCCCCTCTCACTCTTTCACAGTGCTTATCAGAGAGCCAATAGAAACAGTGAGTGTCAAGGCCAGGAAGAAGTCTGAAGCATGCAGACTCAAGTTTTCAGCTAGGTTTCCCTTTCAAGGGTCGTTTGCACCCTTAGGTCAACTAAGTTATCAGTATCGGACAAAAAGCATGGGATATTCCCAGCTGTTTTAAATTTACTTTAACTAATAGTATTTTTCTGAGGTTAAACTTTTATTAATCGACTTTTGTAAAAACTTCAAATCAGGCATGCCTTTGCATGCACACCTAGAGCTGAAATGGGCCTCACCACATGATAGCTAACTTCTTTAGAAATTTAACCACAAAGTTTATAAGTTACATACAATCCAAGTCACACGGAGACTGGAGACGTGACTGCTTTCCAGACCAGCAGAGCCATAGTTCCTGTTGTGTAATTATAGTTAAATATGTCTAAGTTATCAAAAAGGGCCCTCACTGTCGCATTTGTGTTTGGCTAACCAGCTAGCGAAATGACTGCAAAGTATAACTACACTACCTGCATGATGCTGTTAGCCTGCTAAAAGCTAAGTGAACAGCACAAAATTGTGACAACCTGGCTTGCAAATGTTGGAAAACAGCGTGTCGTTACATGCAAAACACGCCGAACAACAATTATTACGCCTGTTAACTTCACAGGGGCAAGTCCAAAGTGTAGTTAATAGCAGATGTGAAAATGTGTGCTTGAAGGAGGAGGAGGAGGCCTGTCGCAGCTCAGAGCAGGTGGGCCATGCATACACGCAGCACTTTTCTCTGACTCTTTTCTCCAGGAAATAACACATGACACGTGTGGCATAACACACCAAAGTGACAGAAACACAAGATTAAGCACGCTCTCATGTCATTATGCGCGAAGCTGTTGTCATATCACGGGCAAACGTATAAAATAGTACAGCTGTCTTATTTGAATGGAGGGACGTCGGGCCTGTTAGCTACCATGCTGGTTCTGTTTCAATGGGGCTTAAGGGGGGCATTAGCAAGCACTTTTCAGCACTTACATTTTCAATGACACGACTAAGCAGATGTTGCAAATACACTCATACAATCTGACCGAATTGTTACTATTTATGGCTCAGTTTTGCGTTACTGAGTTGAGCGACAGATATGTGGTAACGAGCCTCTTAGTAAGGTTACAGCGCGTGCAGTAGGAGTTGTTATGCAGGCTAACGTTAGCCAGCTAGCTTAGCTACCTGGTTGCTGTAAGAAGCCATGCTCCCGGTGAGATTTTCTCTTCTCCTCCGCTGACAAGATGAAAACTCTCCCGGGAAGGTGTTGTAGGTTTGAGATGACAGTTGTAAACGCTGTCCTACTCCGACGTCGTTGTCATTTTCCCAACGCTTTCCTGGCAGTCGTTAGTTTTTGCTCCATGTAATGCATCAGCACTTCATGCTGCTCGCCTTGCCGTCACCGCCATTTCTGTCTCGAGCCTCTTCCTCGCCTGCTAGCCGAGCCAGCGCGCGGTCGGTTGTAGTGGAAGCACGAGCTCGAGGAATAACGAGAAGCACTTCCGGTGGTTGGCAAATCTGAGACTTCACATTAAAAGCCTTCGTTTTAAATCGAGGACAATACTAAGTTTTAAAAAAAAAACTGAATCATAAACAAACAAACAAACGAGCCACTTATTTATCATAAAAGAAAATTACAGAATATTTGCCTTAGATTGAGCATGAATAACATCAAAAAGGGAAAAAAAAACACAATTTCAATGTAAGAGGCCCTTCCATATCGATTGGAACATTTCTAGTGAAGAAAATAGGTGTAGGGCTTTCTTGTCTGTAACAAGTTTTAAGGATTTACAAAAAAGTTGCAGCTCATTCTTCCAGTGAGGTAGGCATGGTCTTCTTTTAAAATATCGACACTTGTGAATGAAGAACTTCCCCAAATGCAACAAAGCATTTAAAACAAAATCCAAGTTCCTATCCTCATTAAAAACACCAAACAGAATAGTTTCTGCTGACAAAGCGACAATACTAACTGATTAATGTGGTGTGTGACTTCCTGGTTTTTCAGTTATAAAACATAAAACATTACATTTTTTCGACATTGTCTTTCGTCATCGTCCTCCGGGAGGTGTTGTTTTGTTGTTGTTTTTTTTGTATTAGAGTCTTAATCGATCACATTCTGCATGGGCCATAAACCATAGTCAACCATAGTTAACAGCAGAAATGTCAGCCATGCTGGTTGAAAAATTTACAACACAAGAACAAAGTGTTGGCTGAGTTGCCCCATGGCATTCAACAGTAACTTTGCAGCTGTGGTAGGAATTTGACTCTCTCTGGAGACACTTAGACTCTCTTTATTTGTCAGTGCACAGAATAAAACTTAGCTCTGGTTTCTCTCTGCAACGAAATGTCATTGCTTGGCTTCCATATCACAGCATGATGGTGTTTAATTTAATATACAGAAAAAAAACTTGAGTTGTAAGGGGAAAACATCTGCAGTGATCTGAATGTATTCCCGTGCTTGATTAATCTTATCTCTAAAATTGCTGGAGACTTAAAACCACGTTTTTTTTTTTCTTAGAACATCACAACTTTAAGTAAAGATTAGGCACACTTCAAACTGAAATGCTATGATTGTGTTAAAAATTAAAGTCATATTAGATGAAAACAAAGAAACAAGTCAAAAATAAAATGGTTTATTTGACCAGGGTGGTTACAACCTTAAATGAAAGTTAACGTCCTTAAGTGACATTTAATCTGAAATGTATTTATGCTTTGGCGGAAATGCGAAAAGTAATGTCGCTTGTGAGGTCCACGAGCTTTACAACGGCAACGTGACCGCGTGCATTGCGTGCGTTCACGTCCGGGTTGGGGTATGAATCGCAGATTTTTGATCTTGCATATTGAGCGAGACTGAAACCAAGTTTTTGATCCACTGAATCTGTTGTTTGAGGCCCCCCTTACTTTCAGTTTTAGATTAAACTGGACAGTCATTTAGATATTATTTCCAGTTAGAGGGTCTATCTAAACATACAGCGATGCGGGTTGCTTATGAAAATAAAAGTACATGTTTTATACTCATCACTATATGAATTGTTTCAGTTGTGAAATAAATATACCTGTTATTCAAGATGAGCAGGGTATATATTAGTGGATTTTCACAAGTTGTTCAAAACTGGTGGGCGTGGCTCAGCACAGGTGAGAGCTCTCAAAAACAGGAAGCTGGGAGAAGTAGGTCGGTTTTTTTCTCGGTATTTTTGAAAACACGATTTCAGTGTATACAGGGTCCAAAGGTAGGTAAAGCTGATATTGTATCTTGAAATTTCTCACCATAGACTTTTGTTTTTCTTTTCTTTTGGTCAAAACAACCAAATCGACCACGGAATAACAGGATAAAAAGGTGTTTTAACATGAGATATCGGCCCTTGACGAACACATACAGTGCACCAAAAATCGGATTTGATATTCCCTCCTTTATGTCTCTTGACTGTGTATTAATGTGCACATGGGCCTCAAAACTGTGTTGCTGTCCCCACCAGCTCTGATTAACACCTGTTTTAGGTTATTTACCTCACACACAGACACTTATCTACAGTAAATAATCCTCCATGTTGCTCTACTCTCCTCAGTAGCAGTTGTAGAGACCCAAGCCCACTATCCACTTTGTTTATTAGTGTCTGTAATAGGATTCATGTCTAATCTTCTTTTGTAGGCAGAGGAAAATGCCAGAGAGGGGGAGACACCACCAGAGGAGTGATGCTTATGCAGAAAATGAGAGCAGGGACAGGGACTATTCTCACAATGGAGACAACCACACTTCATATAACAGCAGGGGTCACAACCAAAGGCCAAGAGCGAAGGAAGAAAGAAGCTCTGCTGATGACAGGAGGGCCAAAGAAAACAGACAGAGGGACATGACAAGTGCCACACACAATGAGCCACCTGCTTATAGAGACCATGGCCATGAAGGACCCTCCAGGCTGTAAGGAACTGTGTACTTAAGCTGGGCATGTTGTCATGTCTTTCACTGACATACTTATGACCAGATATGTTGTTGTTGTTAATGTTATTATTACTATTATCATGCATGAAAATACATGATCTCATCAAAATAATTATGTTCTGTTAGGTCCAGAGAGACTTCATTTTATCACTCTGAAGGGATGTATTATCAGCATCACCACAAACCAGCGCTTTACAATCTCAAATACATTTTAACATCCAGAGGCAAGTATTTTTTATTCTGGAATTATCCGTATAATCATGTTTACAGCACTCCCGATAGTCAGAATGCAACAGTGTGACCCTTAAATAAATTAAAACAGGAAATGCAATGGATTTACTCCTTTTAATTATGTCTTTTCATCCACCTCTAAATTAATGAGTTCTGCTTGATTTCTTGGTCTGTACTTTGACGGATTACCGTCACAAGTTTTCCATCACTACTTATTCACGTCATTGTGCCCATCCTGTGTTCCAGGTCTCTGCCAGGTTATGGAGTTTTTTGTGAATCTACTTATTGTCATCTGCGCTGGAGTGCCCTACAGCAACAATGGGGGCTACAGAGACCTGGCCAGTTTGGGTGGAATCTACTATTACCACTTTGGTGGAGCCCAAGCCTTCACTGGAGCAGATGCAGACCGGGTGAAAGAGCTGGATCGCCTGTTCCATCAGCTCAAACGCCCTCCTTATGTGTTCACCATGGTCTGTGGAGGGCTTTTGATGGTCTACGCCTGTGCCATGCTTGCCCTGGGAGTTTTCAGAGTGCCTTACCGCTGGCCCCCTGTGTTGCTGGGAGAGGCACTCGTCAACCTCCTCATTAGCCTGGGGTACATCCCTGCCCTGGCCTTTTACTTTATCAAGCTGCGGGAAACCTATGACAGTCAAATCTGTAAGGAGAGAGAGCAGATGTACAAGAGCAAAGGGCACAAGGGCTTTGAGTGTCAGTACCATGGTGCAGATATTGCAGGAGCTCTGTTTGGGGTGCTGGGAGTGTTTGTTTTCATCTTTGGGGCAGTGTTAGCTGTTAAAGCCTTCAGGTCAGTGCGCGAGCTTAAGAAGCAAAAGATAAACCAAGACAATAATCTCTGACGGGGATTGTCTCCATAATGTAATCGAACAAAGGTCAGATTTAGCAGAAATCACTTGGAAGTTTTTTTCTCATCATATTTGGTGTCTTCTTTGTTGAATTTGTGTTGATAATATTTTTGTATCTCTTTTCTATTCTCCTTTTTTTAATCAAGGTTTTATATACTGTATTATTTTTTAACACCACAACCTATTTTACACAACAGTTTGCTTTGTTACATTTTCTTCTTGCGAAGCTATAATAAACACCTTGGATTATATATATTATGTATATTTTGTTTCTCTTATGGATTTGTTATCACTTTTCAGCAGAAAAATACCTGCATGTATAAAAGCAGATAGGTTTCAAGTTTAACCATCACAAAAAACTTATACATATACATAAAATCTTTCAAACTTGCAAATGAAAACCATGAGAACTCTCCAGTTACTGATAAAACAAGCTTGTCTGCTTAATACCCATGTTCTCCAGAATTTCTTTTAAGCATTGAGACTGAACATTGTTCCTTCTTGACCTCTCAGGCTGTCAGATTGATAATCAGTCTGTTTATGAGTACTTGTGGAACCTGTGACAAAGAGTTGAGCAACACCAAATGACATCAACACTTTTTTGTCTTAGGCTGAATACATACAAAGACATCTCTCAATAACCAAAGTAGAAAAAGTGAGATTGTGCCCATTGAGCTATTGTGTGTGTGTTTTTTAAAAGATCCCTCATTAGCCAAACAGGCACACACACTCAAGTGCATTAATACCTGTCATTTCGGTACATCCTAGCTTCTTTTTCCTTGTGGTAATTTCTGTTTTTTCATTAAGTCTATGGTTATTCCGAACTTCACCAATAGATGGCAGATCTAAAACAGCACAGCATTGGTGACAGATTTTCTGATTTGTTTTCATGATTTTAGCACTGCTTCAGTGCTTTAGTTTTGCTAGATAGAACAAAAAATATCTAGAAACTGAGATTAACGCCGAAAAAAAGATCATTTTTTTCCCATGGCTCTGGATTTGAACAGTAAAAATAAACTGTGAACATTATTTCTCATTCCAACCAAAACAGTTCAGTCATTTGAAATGATTTTTATTGGCATGAAATCATCATAAAAATGGTGAGCAAAATAGACATAGGACCAAATAAATTCACAGTAAAAAGTTTTATTGCTACGTGGCTGAAAGGTAATTTAAAAACAGCTCAACTGCCCAAAAGGAATAATAGCAGCATTTAAATCAAACAACAACCATCTTTCGCCCTCAAAGATCACAGGAGTTCAGTTGTGTCTGATGCACAGCAACAGTGCTCATTGTTAGTCTAGTTTCTTAGTGGTTGACTTTACAGTGATTAAACATGAAAGTCAATTTTAGCAGTAATCTGCATGCTAGAATACAAACTTGAAAATATTAGATATGCTCCATTTTGAACAAATTGATCATTTTGTTTGTACTCTATGCTTTTATTTATATTTATATATTAAGGGCATGCTCTGAACATCAATATAGTTAATAAATAGAACTTCAGAATAAAGTACCACAACCAGTGATAGTTTCTGTAGATTCCCACTTTCAATTCTGTAAGTGGAGAGCGCGATATAAATTTGCATGAAATAATGCAGTACAAAAATAAACATTAGCTTCTTGGCATCGAGAAAAAAATATTCAAGCATTTCTAGAAAATAATGTTGAGAAAGGAAATGTGAGATTAACAATGGCTACTTTGGTCACATGTTAAACAACTGGAGCATCTCAGGTCAGTTTCATTCATCACGCAGAGTTACACGCAATCCATTGTTCACACAGGCATGCATACACTTACTGTACATGTGCACTTAATTAACACAGAAACACCGACAGTTTGAAATGCAGTTGTAAAGACATGTGCAGAGGAGAAATGATTCCTTACAGCTGATAGATGAGTCAGCAGGTAAAAAGACACAGACCCACTTGAACACAAACAGCCTCTACTCTGGTGCACAAAAAGGGTAATGAGCATTATAGAAAGATATCTATGAATTAAAGGGACTATTTTAAGCCAGTGTATCACACTCTGACCTCCCTCCTCCTGTATCTATGCACACAGATGGCATATGTACATGCACACTGATTAGTACATGGATGGATCATTGTTTACACATATTTGATGTTTGAAATGTATACAGGACAGGACAGCAGGTGGATATACAGTGTCAACCAGGAGGCGCACAGAGTTATCATACAAAAAGGTCCAAAGTGGTTTTGAAGAGCACTACATGTAAAAGTGCAGCGCGGTCCCAACGTTACTCGACACTGTTAACAAAACTATCAAAACTGCAAAGGAGCTGGAGAAAGAGAACAACTCAGAGAATAAGTAGAGAGCAATCCAACTGAGTCACTCAGTCCCAATGACACACACCATACAGACATACACCAGTCACTATGAATTTTCAGACATATTTAGAAATAGTGTTCTCATAGTATAAGGTGAAAATAAAATTCTAATATACATGAATGAGTATATTAACAAATGAGACTTTGCATATTTGTATGAGTGAATTCCCAACATCAGTTGTGAACACCACTATTTTGTAAAACCTAAAGGAAAGATCCATTTCTCCTTTTAACAGTTCAGTCTTCCATTGTTTTCCAGATGTGTGCTGATACCACTCACAATCATATTCTGTCTTATAGCTAATCTTGCTCCTCCTGCAGCAGGTGCACCTGTAGTGCCAATCTTAGTTTCACTCCTATCAGTCCACACTCCTGACACCATGTGTAGCCTCTGATACTCAAGGTTTTGTGACACTATGGCCCCAAGAGAGTCCAGGCGTTTGGCATTTTAGACACTACAGTCTTTCCAATAAAGTGACTGGAAACAAATTCTCAGATCTACTTAAAAATATAGTTTCCTATTCTCAATTTTAGTGGAAGAAAACCAATACATTAGTTTGTTTGGCCCTAAAGTTCTGTATAAGGATGGTACTGCTGATTCTTCTTTGTGTGTCAGAGCAATTATCATATTTAAACTACAGTTTAGTATCATCTTATTTTTATGAGGACCTTCTTCTCCAGTATGCTAGATAGTTCAGAATCACTGTCAGTTATTGATATACATAATATATATAATGAATTACTTGCTTATGGCTGCAATTTATCTTTTACCAGCAGGGGGCCCACTTTTTCCTGATCTTACTCATATAATGTGCAGAGTACAAAGGAAGGTAAATTCGACATCATCCAAAGCATCTTGGATGTAATTGGCTGCAAAAATAAAAATCTGATCATCCTTTCTGTTGGCTATGTATTCTTAGATATGAGGTGATATGTACAGTTGAGGAAAGCCACAATAATCCCAGGTTGATTGACACTAGGTTGATCTTTATCATATATTATGTATAAATGTAAGCGTACATAAATCTGAATATCACTATTTCATAATACAAAGTGCTTTAACAATGTTTTTTTTTACAAGAGACAAAATCTTGTAAACAAAAAGAAAAGGGTTAAGACTCACACATCAATTAAGGCTTCTTCACTGAGGTTATCACTCATTCCTGTGGAGCTAAGAAAGCATAGATGGGATGCTTAGCTGCTTAGAGTCTGAGTCACAAAAATATCATGATTGAGATGTAACAAAGGGCAACTTCTATACTCTATAAATGTTGAAGTGTTGTTATTTTAAGGCTAAAAGGGAACACTGATAGGTCCAGCTTTGTGAGAGATATGCCAGAAATGCGCAAAAATATATGTCCACTGTGGTAATCACTGAGGAGCAATTACCCGGCTTTGGCCTTCCTATGAGCACAGCAGCACCAGCACAGCTGCTTTGTTTTTTTGGCACAAGGTGCATGTGAACGGGGGTGGGCAAACTAAAGTTTCCTGGGCAGTAAACTATCAGCTGATACTTGAAATAATAATGGAATGCTTAACAAATCACTGCCAGAACAGTTCAATATATTTAGGAACATAAAACATCAGAAAAAAAATGAATAAATCAAAACTTGAAAGACTGTTTAGACTTAATGGGAAACAAAGGCAACACTCTGCCTGTGTGTTTTTATTGCAGCACCTTTTACTGTTGCTTTACTGACAAAATTCTTGTATGAAGAGGCACCTTCCTCTGTTGCACTTTAAGTGTAGGTGGTTAATGAAACATGTTTATGTTTTTATGTCAGAAATTATTTTGACAAATTGTCAAACTACCCCAAAACTCTGTGTCATCTTTTGTATATAGATCTAAACTAACAAAATACCTGGAAACATAGCTCTGATGGTGTTCATAACAAATTGTAAAGTATCTTGAGGAAAACGATAAAACGATGGCAGAGGACTTTAAAAGATGTACAAAAATTAAAAGGGTAGCAGCCTTCAAAATTAAGATGCACTTAAATGTACAATCTTAATATCAGTGGGATTATTTAATCAGATACAATATAAGCAAATACTGTTTCTTCCTTTAACTCTTGATAGTACACTGTATGATTAACTTTGTGCCTTTACTAGTTTGTTGAAGTTAATCAAAAATTGATTTCCAAACAACCCGTCAATTGTCCAGTGATTATAAAATAGCCTCAATTTAATTCGGGACAGTGCATTATCTTACACTATTCTTAAACAGTACACAGGAAAATAAATTTTTTTAATTATGCAACTTTTTGCTCTGCACAGTTGAAAGACTTTAATATTATTTTTGACAACTGTTGAAAATGTGTTCCTCCGAACAGCAACAGTTGTTAATTTAGGTGTCAGTAGCTCAAGCGTATAATCTCAGTTGGCCACTAACTGTGTGTATCACGTTTTCTAGAATCTTGTTCTAAAGTAGATACTGCATATACTTTATGGGAATGTAAAAATAAAATCCACTTGTAGCAATTTTGGCAATATAAATGCAGAAATTTTTCATCTTGATCCTCTCATCCTATATAAGCATTAATCGTGTACACTAACTGATTCTCTTTCCAAGCCACAAAAACAGGGGGAGCAGAAGCTGAGTCAGCACTGGTCTTTCTTAGACTCCTCTTGTCCTTCAGACTTAACTAACCAGTTTTATATTCCCTTACATAGCCTGGTTTGGGAGGAACTCTAGGCTGAGTCATCTGCAGTAGGCACTTTTTCAGGTTTCAGTCACAGGGCTTCTTTCAAGGAGACCACAGAGCTCCCACAGAGGATTTGACCTCACAGAACACAATCCTTGCATGCCCTCTGGACTGCTTGCTTTCCAAGTAAAGGGAAATGTTGCTGACATGCTTATAACACACAAGGTGTCCCATTTAAAGTCAGGCTTGTTTTGATCTGTGACAGCCAGGCATCTTTTCCAAACATCAGGTTGTGAACTGGGATCCTGGTCCCTTCTTTTTTTCCTACATACTCAGGCCCAGCACATAAATCCCTTTTAACCTCACATCAATTATGCAACATGACCAAGTGACTTTCAAGGGCCCTCAGGTCTGTCTTGCCTGCAGAAATGGCAACTTGAGATGGAGTATCCCACATTTATGAGGAAAGCTCCTCATCCCAGGAATGGCACTATTAGAGTTGCAGCCAAACACCGTTGTGCTGTGTCCTTCTCTAGAGTGCAGTATCGTAGACTTCTTGCTGTAAGATGGGGACTGGACCTGGGCCTGGGACAATGTTAGAGGAAAATGCAGGGGGGTGTGGGTGATCCCACACAGGATTCTTTAATGTAGGTGGTATGGAAGGCAAAGGAGGGACTGAGACCAAAGTGGTCTGACCTCTCAGCTGCTCCCTGACTTCCTGCTCAAGACTGGGAGGCACAATTAGCTGATCCTCAGGGTCTTGCTGTGCTGGAGCAGTGAAGTAGCCAGACTTCTTCTTGGGGGCCTCCAGGGCCACCTCAATGAGATTATGACTGTCCTCAGGGGCCACCACAGAGCCATTGGAGAGCTTTTTCCCAAACAGACTGGATGTGGAGGGAGACTTCTTGAGGTCTGCAATCTCTCTCCCACATACAGCCAGAAGGCAGCCATTTGTAGCTGAAACAACCACGCTGTTTTGTCTGCGCATTTTGCCATTGGGATAGTCAGAGCCTCCTTTTTCATGATCCAAGTCTTTGGGGCTATCAGGGGCTCCTGACCGTAACTGGAAAGCACAGCAGTGAATGTCCACTTCCACCTCTAACTTACTGCCATTGGAAATAACACCTTCAAGAGGAGCTTCATCGTCACTGTCCAGGCCATTGTCAGACTGGTTGCTGGAGAATGTAGCAGAGGAGGGCTGCCGCTGGAATAAGCCTGGGTGGGTTCCTACCCCCGGAGCTCCTGGCACCATGATTCCACACAGTGATGTAGCAGGATGCAGGCTACAGCGTCTCTCAGGGCGAGATGTAGGCCCTGAGGATGGGTGCTCATCGGAGGCTGTGGATCCCGCCTCGCTGCCAACCTCTGAAGCTGATGTCTCACTGCTTAACTCAGAAACAACACCATTGCTAGGTGTCAGGGTGGCTGTGTCACCCGGACCAGGGACCACAGTCACAGGCACGGGGGCAGGCGTAGGAGGGGGAACTCTTGGTTCAGTTGTGGTGACAGGTGGTTCGCAGGTACAGCTGTCCTCAGAAAGGTGCAGGGACACCACCACGGCCTCAATGTTGTCCTTACAGCCATAACTCTGGGCAAGAGAACACAGCTTTTTTGCAGCTGCGCGAGGATCCCGCACAGCTTGCACAGTGCACACAGCCTCCTGGAAGGAGACCCGTTCAAACAGCGCTCTATTTCCAAGGATCAAGAACTCATCCCGGGGACAGAGAAGCTCAGTGTGCACCCAGGGCTTTGGAAGCACCCAGGGAGACAGATAAGAACAGCCCAGCAGGCGAGAGCAGCATGTCACTCCACTCACTTTGTTATCCTTCAAAAGAAAAACATATGCTGTGAGATCTGTAGACCAACTTCAAAAGAAATACACCCCTGTCTTTGATGCTGGACATTATCATTAAAACAGAAAACACACTTTCACCTCAGTATAAAAAAAAAAAACAATGAATAAAGAAGGGGTATATTACCTCCGTAACAATGGCTTTACTGAGTTTAACTCTCTCCATCTCTTCTGTGCAGTTTTCTAGGCTGTAAACTTTAGAGAGAGGAACGGGTCGCCCGTCTCTGCACAACACTGCCTGGCATGTGCCCACATTGGCTACAGTGAGGCTGAAGTAGCCTCCTGGATCTGAGGACTCATGGTGAATATAACACAGCAAGGCAGAGGCGCCAAGTTTCTGGCCAGCCATTCCAAGTTTCCTATCCAATACAAACACATAAAATATGCTGAAAAATTCTTAAAGACACTGGAAAAAGGTTTAACAAAAAGGTTATATGGAGAAAGAATGAAATTAGGAGACTTGAGTCAAAAAATAAAAAGTTAAAATTTTACCTGTGTGAGGTGAGGAAAGTGTTGCACATATAGACATTGTCAATACTGGAGTGCTGCAGCTCCTCACACAGCACATCTCCCATGGTGCACTGCAGCAGCCTAGGCACTTCCTCGTTTCGATCCCCATCAAAGATCCCATAACATGCTTCCACAGAGTCTCCAAAGCGGTCAACAGCCAGGACAGAGACACACAACCTGCACACAAACAAAAAGACTCAACAGATCCAACACAGTAAACCTCATACACTTCAGCATGCTGCACTACAGCTGCAGGTCAAGGGAAATGGCAAAGGGTGACAGTTGATGAGGGGCACTGCTGTGGTGGCCACAACCCTACAGCAGAAGGCAGGTTCTCAGAGGTGAACTTACTGTTGTGTAAATCATTGAATCCAATGTAATTATTTGTCTCTCCTGTGAGAGCAAATCACAAAGAAAGGTTTATTGACTTCCTGGATGGTAGTGATGGGCACTGCAGTTCTTTTAGATGTACTGAATCACTAGAATCAGTTCACTAAAAAGATTTGTTCAAAAGATTCGTTCACCGAATCACTGACTCATAGCTACTGGGACCAGGAGATGAGAGTTTTGTGGCTGTGTTGCTTTAACAAACAGGTTTGTAAAAATGAACTTGTTTAAAAATCATGAGGTTTTAATTGTGCTATGCTATTTATCTTCTCAGTAAATGGGGCTCAGTGAGTGATTCGTTCACTGACCATTTACTCCACTTACTTTATTTACTCAGTGTAGAATTCACAATGAACATGCACCGTTTCCTCGCAAATCACCACAATAATAGAATCAGTCACACATTTCTCAAACTGCAGGTTTTATACACTACTTGTTACATGCTGTGTCCTACTGTATGCAAGTTTTTGTGGTGGCAATTTAGCATAGTTTAAAAGAAAAGTTAGTTTTTTCTGAGCTACACTTAAACACAACTATCTCCCTCTGTCGCTCCTGTCAAGAGCTTGCTACAGCTGGTTAGTCAAACTCTCTAATTACTGCCAGCCTAATGAAAAAATTGTCACCATGAAAGTGTATCCCTCAGACAAAAATGATTCCAGAGAGTGTCGTTCAACTTAAGTGAAAACGAATGAATCACTTGAGGGAGTGATTCGATTGGTTCAGTACGTTCACTTAAAAGATTTGGTTATTTTGAATGAATCATTCGTGAACGAAACAACACTACTGGATGCCAGAGCTAGGCACCTGCCAGTGATTCAGATTATGACTCAGTGATAGACACCTGCTCTGTGCTCCGACAAAAAGGCCAAAATAGACAGATTCGTTAGAAACTGGATGCAACACAGAAAGCAATTAAGAATGGCTGTGTGACTGATGACAAAGGGTACAAAACAAGCTGAAGAGATTATGTCTAGGGAGAGACATCACTACTGCTCATTTCTTATGAAAGATGGTTTTGATAGATCATATTGCAGAGGTGCAAATGTAGCTTCTTATTTCCACAAGAAAGCTAATAAAAAAAAAAACACACAGAGAAGAACCTACTTGTTTCTTTGGCCACTCATTTCAGAGTAACCGTGGTTCCATGGAGTGGAGGCACTCAGTGAGTCTCCTGGTGTAGTTGTGGATTTCTGGTCTAATTTTAGGGTGGGGATGTGACTAAAAAAGAAATACAAAACACGGAACAAGTTTTTCTAAACAATAATATAAATGGGCACAACATTTCCTTCCAAGTCTATAATTTGTATCAAAGACCTAAATTTGACAAAGCTGCTCTGGATCTTTTATGATTCACCTGAAGAGGTTTAGGGTTTTGTGTTCCAACATCAGACTGTTGTTGCCTGTCAGGTCCAGCTCCTGCAGAGTGGCAGGCAGCGATTCAGGCAACAGAATCTCCGTCAGCTCGTTACAGCTCAGATCTACGAGCTATGAATGTTCAAAAGACACACGCAAGTTGACACAGGTAAAACATTATCACATCCTCATAGACAGGGTGGGTAAATGTGCAAGAAAATGTCTGACCTTGATCTCTGGCAGGTTGAGGATTTCTGGGAAGACAGTGATTTGGTTGGAGTGTGCAATTAAGGTGTGCAGTCTCTTACAGCTGGACACAGTGGAGGGGATAGTCTTTAGCTTGTTGCCACTCAGATTGAGCTCCTCCAGCAGTTCCAGCTTACTGAGTTTACTGAGCAGCAGAGAAATAACATTAAAAACAGGAAACAGACACACTAAAGCACAAGTTTTTAATCTTATATTAACTATTAAAAGTGACTCAAATCAGCAGCACTGGCTAACATGACAGCCCAGCTGACACACCTGGCAGGGAAAGAGAGCAACTGGTTGTAGGCGATGTGCAGGATTCGCAGGTTCTGGTGTCCCACCAACAGAGTACCGCAGTTCTCATTCAGGTTGTTCCCTGTCAGGTAAATCTCCTGGAGGGTGCTGAGGCTCTCCTCTGACTGGCTGCTGGGAGGAATATTTTCTAGGGCATTGGCTGACACATTTAAGTATTTCAGGCTGCGAGGGAAGACAAGTAAAGAGAAGAGATATATTAGTTAAAAAAGTGTAAAAAAGCACATGTGGGCCAACATGTCAGGGCCAAAGTTAAAACAACACCAAACCGTGTCTCAGTACATTTGATTTTAGGAAGTCGATGTTTCCTGTTAAGTCTGCATGAGTAGGAAAAGTAATTTGATCTCTAGTGGTTCTTATGCAATTGGTATCATTGTCATTGTCTGTGTGGATTACACACTACACAGTAACAAAACCAGGCCACCCAAGTTTTGAACTCAGCATAGAGTGAGATTTCTTTTTTTTTGAGGGGTGTGAGAGTGGAGTGTGTTAGAAAATAATGTGTGTGTGTGTGTGTGTGTGTGTGTGTGTGTGTGTGTGTGTGTGTGTGTGTGTGTGTGTGTGTGTGTGTGTGTGTTCTGGTATTCATCGCCTCATGAGGACAAAAGTCTGTTTACACAGTCACCTCATGGGGACCTCTTGCAGTTTGGGGACCAAAATTGAGGTCCCCATGAGGGAAACCCTTTTAAATGATTGCAGGAGCTCCTCTGATGTTGCCTATGTGATTTTTAGAGTTGGCCCAAAAAGCATGTTTATCCACTAGTGTGTGTGTGTGTGGCATGCACAGTAGCCCCCTCTATAGTTTTTGGCTGGTAATGCACTTGTTGGCTCCACACACACATATTCCAAATATGGGTAGGAACCGCCTACTTCCCAGTCCCCATTAGGAACAATAATATCGCCGACATAATTTTGAGTGTTTAAGTTGTCTTCAGAGAAATAAGTGCACGGTGGACACAGAGGATTGTTTGATGAAGATGCAAAGACTCACAGGATTTTTTTACAAAGGAATGACAGAGATGCAAAAGGTAAGCACCTAAGTTCAACAAACTTTTTACTACTGCACGAAAGTTTGTAATTCAGACCATAAATACAAGGATAACTCAGCTTAAACGCCTCAGATGTTTTAAGACATCTTTTTAACCAGTTACAATTTAATAAAAAGGAGACAAATTCAAATCAAAATTAGTGATAGGTAGGCTCATGGTTCAATACATCAAGAAAAGCTAATTGTTTCTCTTCATAAGATTAAGCTTCTTGATACAAAACTAGCTTTCAGATAAAACTATCTCAGCTGCATTAAAACTTTCTCCAACTTCATAGTATCAATACTATATATATATATATATATATATATATATATATATATATATATATATATATATATACACACATATATAAAAACAAAGGTCTGACTAAGGTAATTTGTGTATTTTTTAAATACAATTCAAACAGTCAAACGAAATGCGATTTCCATCTTTTAAAAAAGTGAAATTTGAGTTTCTAGATGGAAATTATGACAACATTAAAATACTGACGTGAGAATACAACTTCCTATCCGTGGCTTTTATTTTGACATCATGGAGGAAGTCAAGTATGTTTTAAGTCTGAACGTAACATCGAGCCACGGTTGAAATGCAGCTGATGGTAATCAGGAAAACGGAGAGTATGGTGCAGGATCTCAGACACATGCAGTAAGTGCCAGGTGTTTTTACAGACTTTTATATTTTCAGAAGTAAAGAAGAAATGACATAGCAGGGGTTTCTGATTGATTTGTAGTTTTACAGCTTTTCCACAGTGTCGACATTCAGCACATCAGTTAGCTAGCTAAGACGTTATTTAGCTAACCCCTTTAGTTGGATCAAAAGTTTTCACCTGTCCAGTGTCAGTTTGACAAAATTTAGGTCCAGATCATTAAAATAATTATCAGAGACTTTCTAGAAGTAAGATACAGTGTAATTTTTCATGATTTTGTGAGATTTAGAAGTTGGTTTGGGGTGTTCAGTGGGCAGTGAGTAATGACTTAACAGATGATTAGTAAATACTGTGTAGAATATGAGACTAAATTCACTAGAAGACTTCAGTAATAAATGAATTATAGAGTTTATCGTTGGAAAAAATATTGGCAGCGTCTGACAACTATTACAAAGATTATCAATGACCTTGACATCCTTTCATAATATGAAAGAAATAAGGGCTGTATGAGTGAAAACTCTTACTGGTCTTTTTAATGTATACAGTGACTAAAATGGTTACAAATTCTGACTAAAATTCACAAATAGTCCACACTAAACCAGCAATAGACTAAAATTTAATGTAATGTTCTTTACAGCTTAACACTGGTTTGAATTGGGTTTTGAAATCAAATGTAAAACACCTCTGCATATATAGATCTAATACCATTAAAGCCTTCATAATGTGACTACATTTATTGCAGGTTTGAAATATATCCCTTGGTTTGAAATGCCACCACGGATAAGCCCTCTTAAAGATGCCAGTCATCATGTTTTGTCAAGGTCTGACAAGATATCCAAATTAGAGGTGAAGTTTATCAATGCAATAAAAGGTAAGGTGACAGGACATATTTGTGAATTACTCCTTATGTATACAATTGCCATCTCATAAGTATTTGATGTAAGATGTCAGGATAAACTAGTTAAGCTAGAGATTGCAGCTTTGTATAGGCTTACTATCTCTTGAGGTCTAAATTAATACACAGCATTAAGGTCTCACTTTTCTGTTAAATGTTTCTGCTATCTTTTTTAGGACGTGGTGTATTTGCAAAGACTCCTTTTTGCAAAGGAGATTTTGTTGTTGAATACAGGGGAGATTTGATAACGGATGCAGAATACAGCAGCAGAAGAAAACTTTACCACCCATCATGTGCTGCATTTATGTTTGCATTTCAGTGGAGAGGGAAAACATGGTGGTAGGATGACACTCTACTATCAAAGGGTTTTGACTTTCTTAAGAAATACTGTGATATTTAGTTTCTCATTGTCTTGTGTTTTGATTTTTCAAGCATTGATGCATCAAGAGAAGATGAATCATATGGGCGACTGGTCAATGATGAACACAGGTCTCCAAACTGTAAGATGAAAAAAATTGAGGTGACCGGAAACCCACACCTTTGTTTGTTTGCACTGAACGACATTAAAGAGGGAGAAGAAATAACCTATGATTATGGAGATGCTGACTGCCCATGGCGAACACAAGTATGTTGCACTAAGATTGGCTCATTTTTTAAAACTGAAGTAAAAAAGTAATTCAAGATACATAAAAATTAATATGTTCAAAGGTGGCTGAGGAAACTGTGAAAGGGTCAAGCAAGTCCCTCCACTCCAATGTCCCAAAGGATAAGCACATAAAGCATACTCGCCAAAAGGTACATTGCATCCATCTCAGCCCCCAGTGAAGTGTTCTTAACATGTGTTTAATTCAGTGCATTTTTTATCAAGTCTAATAAGTATTCACTATCAAAATTTATAGTTTTACAATGTGTATCAACAGGAGGCCAGGACCCTACTAAACTTCCTGGAGGTGGACATCCCCAATCCCTCCACCCAGCTGAAGGCTACCAAAGATGATGCCATTGGTCAAGATAGCACCTCTGATCAGGTGAGTCATATTTATCACCTTACATTTCATATTAAAACCATTCTTCTGTCAGATTTGATGTCTTACAATGCTAAAAAGTGACAAAATAGGGTAAAAAATCATGAAATTCAGTTTGAACCAGTGCACTGGGCAGTCAAATGTAAACAACATAGAAGCTTGGTGGTTTGTATAAGATAAAGGTTTTGGTTTGAGCCTGCTCTGGAGTTTTCTTGTTGATTTATTATCAGTGTATTGTAAACACTTACGATGTCCCCATAAGACACTTTGAGTAATTTCTCACTCTGGGTAGAGAAGCAGATTCAGACACATCTGGTCCCCACAAGGCAGCTTAATCTAGTGTGTGAAGTGTCCCCACAAAGTGTATTGTGTTTTTAGAAAAAATCCATGTGTATTATAATGTAGTTATGGCAAATTTATTCAAGTTTCAATTTCTCTAAATCAAATATATTTTGTAATGTGTATCCACAGGAGACTAGGGGCCTACTGAACAACATGGAGGTGGACATCCCCAATCCCTCCACACAGCCACAGGCTACCAAAGATGACACCATTGGTCAAGATAGCACCTCTAATCAGGTGAGTCATATTTATCACCTTACATTTCATATTAAAACCATTCTTCTGTCAGATTTGATGTCTTACATTGCTAAAAAGTGAAAAAATAGGGTAAAAAATCATGAAATTCAGTTTGAACCAGTGCACTGGGCAGTCAAATGTAAACAACATAGAAGCTTGGTGGTTTGTATAAGATAAATGTTTTGGTTTGAGCCTGCTCTGGAGTTTTCTTATTGATTTATTATCAGTGAATTGTAAACACTTACAATGTCCCCATAAGACACTTTGAGTCAGTTTCTCACTCTGGGTAGAGAAGCAGATTCAGACACATCTGGTCCCCACAAGGCAGCTTAATCTCGTGTGTGACGCGTCCCCACAAAGCCTGTTGTGTTTTTAGAAAAATTCCATGTGTATTTTAATGTAGTTATGGCAAATTTATTCTTTTTTTATTTCTCTAAATCAAATATATTTTTGTTATTTGATCCACAGGAGACTAGGGGCCTACTGCATAACTGGGAGGTGGACATCCCCAATCCCTCCACCCAGCCACAGGCTACCAAAGATGACACCATTGGTCAAGATAGCACCTCTGATCAGGTGAGTCATATTTATCACCTTACATTTCATATTAAAACCATTCTTCTGTCAGATTTGATGTCTTACAATGCTAAAAAGTGACAAAATAGGGTAAAAAATCATGAAATTCAGTTTAAACCAGTGCACTGGGCAGTCAAATGTAAACAACATAGAAGCTTGGTGGTTTGTATAAGATAAATGTTTTGGTTTGAGCCTGCTCTGGAGTTTTCTTATTGATTTATTATCAGTGAATTGTAAACACTTACGATGTCCCCATAAGACACTTTGAGTCAGTTTCTCACTCTGGATAGAGGACCAGATTCAGACACATCTGGTCCCCACAAGGCAGCTTAATCTAGTGTGTGAAGTGTCCCCACAAAGCCTGTTGTGGTCAATAGAAAAATCCATGTGTATTATAATGTAGTTATGGCAAATTTATTCAAGTTTCAATTTCTCCAAATCAAATATATTTTTGTTATTTGATCCACAGGAGACTAGGGGCCTACTGCATAACCCGGAGGTGGACATCCCCAATCCCTCCATCCAGCCACAGGCTACCAAAGATGACACCATTGGTCAAGATAGCACCTCTGATCAGGTGAGTCATATTTATCACCTTACATTTCATATTAAAACCATTCTTCTGTTAGATTTGATGTCTTACAATGCTAAAAAGTGAAAAAATAGGGTAAAAAATCATGAAATTCAGTTTCAACCAGTGCACTGGGCAGTCAAATGTAAAGAACATAGAAGCTTGGTGGTTTGTAAGAGATACAGGTTTTGGTCTGAGACTGCTCTGGAGTTTTCTTATTGATTTATTATCAGTGTATTGTAAACACTTACGGTGTCCCCATAAGACACTTTGAGTAATTTCTCACTCTGGGTAAAGAGGCAGATTCAGACACATGTGGTCCCAACAAGGCAGCTTAATCTAGTGTGTGAAGTGTCCCCACAAAGTGTATTGTGTTTTTAGAAAAAATCCATGTGTATTATAATGTAGTTATGGCAAATTTATTCAAGTTTCAATTTCTCCAAATCAAATATATTTTGTAATGTGTATCCACAGGAGACTAGGGGCCTACTGAACAACATGGAGGTGGACATCCCCAATCCCTCCACACAGCCACAGGCTACCAAAGATGACACCATTGGTCAAGATAGCACCTCTAATCAGGTGAGTCATATTTATCACCTTACATTTCATATTAAAACCATTCTTCTGTCAGATTTGATGTCTTACATTGCTAAAAAGTGAAAAAATAGGGTAAAAAATCATGAAATTCAGTTTAAACCAGTGCGCTGGGCAGTCAAATGTAAACAACATAGAAGCTTGGTGGTTTGTATGAGATACAGGTTTTGGTCTGAGCCTGCTCTGGAGTTTTCTTATTGATTTATTATCAGTGAATTGTAAACACTTACAATGTCCCCATAAGACACTTTGAGTCAGTTTCTCACTCTGGGTAGAGAAGCAGATTCAGACACATATGGTCCCCACAAGGCAGCTTAATCTCGTGTGTGACGCGTCCCCACAAAGCCTGTTGTGTTTTTAGAAAAATTCCATGTGTATTTTAATGTAGTTATGGCAAATTTATTCTTTTTTTATTTCTCTAAATCAAATATATTTTTGTTATTTGATCCACAGGAGACTAGGGGCCTACTGCATAACTGGGAGGTGGACATCCCCAATCCCTCCACCCAGCCACAGGCTACCAAAGATGACACCATTGGTCAAGATAGCACCTCTGATCAGGTGAGTCATATTTATCACCTTACATTTCATTTTAAAACAATTTTTGTCATGGTTGATGTCTTACAATGCTAAAAAGTGAAAAAATAGGGTAAAAAATCATGAAATTCAGTTTGAACCAGTGCACTGGGCAGTCAAATGTAAAGAACATAGAAGCTTGGTGGTTTGTATAAGATAAATGTTTTGGTTTGAGCCTGCTCTGGAGTTTTCTTATTGATTTATTATCAGTGAATTGTAAACACTTACAATGTCCCCATAAGACACTTTGAGTCAGTTTCTCACTCTGGGTAGAGAAGCAGATTCAGACACATCTGGTCCCCACAAGGCAGCTTAATCTCGTGTGTGACGCGTCCCCACAAAGCCTGTTGTGTTTTTAGAAAAATTCCATGTGTATTTTAATATAGTTATGGCAAATTTATTCTTTTTTTATTTCTCTAAATCAAACATATTTTTGTTATTTGATCCACAGGAGACTAGGGGCCTACTGCATAACTGGGAGGTGGACATCCCCAATCCCTCCACCCAGCCACAGGCTACCAAAGATGACACCATTGGTCAAGATAGCACCTCTGATCAGGTGAGTCATATTTATCACCTTACATTTCATTTTATTACAATTTTTTGTCATGTTTGATGTCTTACAATGCTAAAAAGTGAAAAAATAGGGTAAAAAAATCATGAAATTCAGTTTGAACCAGTGCACTGGGCAGTCAAATGTAATGAACATAGAAGCTTGGTGGTTTGTATAAGATAAATGTTTTGGTTTGAGCCTGCTCTGGAGTTTTCTTATTGATTTATTATCAGTGAATTGTAAACACTTACAATGTCCCCATAAGACACTTTGAGTCAGTTTCTCACTCTGGGTAGAGAAGCAGATTCAGACACATATGGTCCCCACAAGGCAGCTTAATCTCGTGTGTGACGCGTCCCCACAAAGCCTGTTGTGTTTTTAGAAAAATTCCATGTGTATTTTAATGTAGTTATGGCAAATTTATTCAAGTTTCAATTTCTCCAAATCAAATATATTTTGTAATGTGTATCCACAGGAGACTAGGGGCCTACTGAACAACATGGAGGTGGACATCCCCAATCCCTCCACACAGCCACAGGCTACCAAAGATGACACCATTGGTCAAGATAGCACCTCTGATCAGGTGAGTCATATTTATCACCTTACATTTCATATTAAAACCATTCTTCTGTCAGATTTGATGTCTTACAATGCTAAAAAGTGACAAAATAGGGTAAAAAATCATGAAATTCAGTTTGAACCAGTGCACTGGGCAGTCAAATGTAAACAACATAGAAGCTTGGTGGTTTGTATAAGATAAATGTTTTGGTTTGAGCCTGCTCTGGAGTTTTCTTATTGATTTATTATCAGTGAATTGTAAACACTTACAATGTCCCCATAAGACACTTTGAGTCAGTTTCTCACTCTGGGTAGAGAAGCAGATTCAGACACATCTGGTCCCCACAAGGCAGCTTAATCTCGTGTGTGACGCGTCCCCACAAAGCCTGTTGTGTTTTTAGAAAAATTCCATGTGTATTTTAATGTAGTTATGGCAAATTTATTCTTTTTTTATTTCTCTAAATCAAATATATTTTTGTTATTTGATCCACAGGAGACTAGGGGCCTACTGCATAACTGGGAGGTGGACATCCCCAATCCCTCCACCCAGCCACAGGCTACCAAAGATGACACCATTGGTCAAGATAGCACCTCTGATCAGGTGAGTCATATTTATCACCTTACATTTCATTTTATTACAATTTTTTGTCATGTTTGATGTCTTACAATGCTAAAAAGTGAAAAAATAGGGTAAAAAATCATGAAATTCAGTTTGAACCAGTGCACTGGGCAGTCAAATGTAAACAACATAGAAGCTTGGTGGTTTGTATAAGATAAAGGTTTTGGTTTGAGCCTGCTCTGGAGTTTTCTTATTGATTTATTATCAGTGAATTGTAAACACTTACGATGTCCCCATAAGACACTTTGAGTAATTTCTCACTCTGGGTAGAGAAGCAGATTCAGACACATCTGGTCCCCACAAGGCAGCTTAATCTAGTGTGTGAAGTGTCCCCACAAAGTGTATTGTGTTTTTAGAAAAAATCCATGTGTATTATAATGTAGTTATGGCAAATTTATTCAAGTTTCAATTTCTCCAAATCAAATATATTTTGTAATGTGTATCCACAGGAGACTAGGGCCTACTGAACAACATGGAGGTGGACATCCCAATCCCTCCACACAGCCACAGGCTACCAAAGATGACACCATTGGTCAAGATAGCACCTCTGATCAGGTGAGTCATATTTATCACCTTACATTTCATATTAAAACCATTCTTCTGTCAGATTTGATGTCTTACAATGCTAAAAAGTGACAAAATAGGGTAAAAAATCATGAAATTCAGTTTGAACCAGTGCAATGTGCAGTCAAATGTAAAGAACATAGAAGCTTGGTGGTTTGTATAAGATAAATGTTTTGGTTTGAGCCTGCTCTGGAGTTTTCTTATTGATTTATTATCAGTGAATTGTAAACACTTACAATGTCCCCATAAGACACTTTGAGTCAGTTTCTCACTCTGGGTAGAGAAGCAGATTCAGACACATATGGTCCCCACAAGGCAGCTTAATCTCGTGTGTGACGCGTCCCCACAAAGCCTGTTGTGTTTTTAGAAAAATTCCATGTGTATTTTAATGTAGTTATGGCAAATTTATTCAAGTTTCAATTTCTCCAAATCAAATATATTTTGTAATGTGTATCCACAGGAGACTAGGGGCCTACTGAACAACATGGAGGTGGACATCCCCAATCCCTCCACACAGCCACAGGCTACCAAAGATGACACCATTGGTCAAGATAGCACCTCTAATCAGGTGAGTCATATTTATCACCTTACATTTCATTTTATTACAATTTTTTGTCATGTTTGATGTCTTACAATGCTAAAAAGTGAAAAAATAGGGTAAAAAAATCATGAAATTCAGTTTGAACCAGTGCACTGGGCAGTCAAATGTAATGAACATAGAAGCTTGGTGGTTTGTATAAGATAAATGTTTTGGTTTGAGCCTGCTCTGGAGTTTTCTTATTGATTTATTATCAGTGAATTGTAAACACTTACAATGTCCCCATAAGACACTTTGAGTCAGTTTCTCACTCTGGGTAGAGAAGCAGATTCAGACACATATGGTCCCCACAAGGCAGCTTAATCTCGTGTGTGACGCGTCCCCACAAAGCCTGTTGTGTTTTTAGAAAAATTCCATGTGTATTATAATGTAGTTATGGCAAATTTATTCAAGTTTCAATTTCTCCAAATCAAATATATTTTGTAATGTGTATCCACAGGAGACTAGGGGCCTACTGAACAACATGGAGGTGGACATCCCCAATCCCTCCACACAGCCACAGGCTACCAAAGATGACACCATTGGTCAAGATAGCACCTCTGATCAGGTGAGTCATATTTATCACCTTACATTTCATATTAAAACCATTCTTCTGTCAGATTTGATGTCTTACATGCTAAAAAGTGACAAAATAGGGTAAAAAATCATGAAATTCAGTTTGAACCAGTGCACTGGGCAGTCAAATGTAAAGAACATAGAAGCTTGGTGGTTTGTATAAGATAAATGTTTTGGTTTGAGCCTGCTCTGGAGTTTTCTTATTGATTTATTATCAGTGAATTGTAAACACTTACAATGTCCCCATAAGACACTTTGAGTCAGTTTCTCACTCTGGGTAGAGAAGCAGATTCAGACACATGTGGTCCCCACAAGGCAGCTTAATCTCGTGTGTGACGCGTCCCCACAAAGCCTGTTGTGTTTTTAGAAAAATTCCATGTGTATTTTAATGTAGTTATGGCAAATTTATTCTTTTTTTATTTCTCTAAATCAAATATATTTTTGTTATTTGATCCACAGGAGACTAGGGGCCTACTGCATAACTGGGAGGTGGACATCCCCAATCCCTCCACCCAGCCACAGGCTACCAAAGATGACACCATTGGTCAAGATAGCACCTCTGATCAGGTGAGTCATATATTATCACCTAACATTTCATTTTATTACAATTTTTTTGTCATGTTTGATGTCTTACAATGCTAAAAAGTGAAAAAATAGGGTAAAAAATCATGAAATTCAGTTTGAACCAGTGCACTGGGCAGTCAAATGTAAAGAACATAGAAGCTTGGTGGTTTGTATGAGATACAGGTTTTGGTCTGAGCCTGCTCTGGAGTTTTCTTATTGATTTATTATCAGTGTATTGTAAACACTTACGATGTCCCCATAAGACACTTTGAGTCAGTTTCTCACTCTGGGTAGAGGACCAGATTCAGACACATGTGGTCCCCTTAAGGCAGCTTAATCTAGTGTGTGACGCGTCCCCACAAAGCCTGTTGTGTTTTTAGAAAAAATCCATGTGTATTATACTGTAGTTATGTCAAATTTATTCTTTTTTAATTTTTCTAAATCAAATATATTTTTGTGATTTGATCCACAGGAGACTAGGTGCCTACTGCACAACATGGAGGTGGACATCCCCAATCCCTCCACACAGCCACAGGCTACCAAAGATGACACCATTGGTCAAGATAGCACCTCTAATCAGGTGAGTCATATTTATAACCTTACATTTCATATTAAAACCATTCTTCTGTCATATTTGATGTCTTACAATGCTAAAAAGTGACAAAATAGGGTAAAAAATCATGAAATTCAGTTTCAACCAGTGCACTGGGCAGTCAAATGTAATGAACATAGAAGCTTGGTGGTTTGTATAAGATAAATGTTTTGGTTTGAGCCTGCTCTGGAGTTTTCTTATTGATTTATTATCAGTGAATTGTAAACACTTACAATGTCCCCATAAGACACTTTGAGTCAGTTTCTCACTCTGGGTAGAGAAGCAGATTCAGACACATATGGTCCCCACAAGGCAGCTTAATCTCGTGTGTGACGCGTCCCCACAAAGCCTGTTGTGTTTTTAGAAAAATTCCATGTGTATTTTAATGTAGTTATGGCAAATTTATTCAAGTTTCAATTTCTCCAAATCAAATATATTTTGTAATGTGTATCCACAGGAGACTAGGGGCCTACTGAACAACATGGAGGTGGACATCCCCAATCCCTCCACACAGCCACAGGCTACCAAAGATGACACCATTGGTCAAGATAGCACCTCTAATCAGGTGAGTCATATTTATCACCTTACATTTCATATTAAAACCATTCTTCTGTCAGATTTGATGTCTTACATTGCTAAAAAGTGAAAAAATAGGGTAAAAAATCATGAAATTCAGTTTGAACCAGTGCACTGGGCAGTCAAATGTAAACAACATAGAAGCTTGGTGGTTTGTATAAGATAAATGTTTTGGTTTGAGCCTGCTCTGGAGTTTTCTTATTGATTTATTATCAGTGAATTGTAAACACTTACAATGTCCCCATAAGACACTTTGAGTCAGTTTCTCACTCTGGGTAGAGAAGCAGATTCAGACACATCTGGTCCCCACAAGGCAGCTTAATCTCGTGTGTGACGCGTCCCCACAAAGCCTGTTGTGTTTTTAGAAAAATTCCATGTGTATTTTAATGTAGTTATGGCAAATTTATTCTTTTTTTATTTCTCTAAATCAAATATATTTTTGTTATTTGATCCACAGGAGACTAGGGGCCTACTGCATAACTGGGAGGTGGACATCCCCAATCCCTCCACCCAGCCACAGGCTACCAAAGATGACACCATTGGTCAAGATAGCACCTCTGATCAGGTGAGTCATATTTATCACCTAACATTTCATTTTATTACAATTTTTTTGTCATGTTTGATGTCTTACAATGCTAAAAAGTGAAAAAATAGGGTAAAAAATCATGAAATTCAGTTTGAACCAGTGCACTGGGCAGTCAAATGTAAAGAACATAGAAGCTTGGTGGTTTGTATGAGATACAGGTTTTGGTCTGAGCCTGCTCTGGAGTTTTCTTATTGATTTATTATCAGTGTATTGTAAACACTTACGATGTCCCCATAAGACACTTTGAGTCAGTTTCTCACTCTGGGTAGAGGACCAGATTCAGACACATGTGGTCCCCTTAAGGCAGCTTAATCTAGTGTGTGACGCGTCCCCACAAAGCCTGTTGTGTTTTTAGAAAAAATCCATGTGTATTATACTGTAGTTATGTCAAATTTATTCTTTTTTAATTTTTCTAAATCAAATATATTTTTGTGATTTGATCCACAGGAGACTAGGTGCCTACTGCACAACATGGAGGTGGACATCCCCAATCCCTCCACACAGCCACAGGCTACCAAAGATGACACCATTGGTCAAGATAGCACCTCTAATCAGGTGAGTCATATTTATAACCTTACATTTCATATTAAAACCATTCTTCTGTCATATTTGATGTCTTACAATGCTAAAAAGTGACAAAATAGGGTAAAAAATCATGAAATTCAGTTTCAACCAGTGCACTGGGCAGTCAAATGTAAAGAACATAGAAGCTTGGTGGTTTGTATGAGATACAGGTTTTGGACTGAGCCTGCTCTGGAGTTTTCTTATTGATTTATTATCAGTGTATTGTAAAAACACTTAAGATGTCCCCATAAGACACTTTGAGTCAGTTTCTCACTCTGGGTAGAGAAGCAGATTCAGACACATGTGGTCCCCACAAGGCAGCTTAATCTAGTGTGTGAAGTGTCCCCAAAAAGCCTGTTGTGGTCAATAGAAAAATCCTGCATATATTATTTAATATAAACATCAAGGCACCTTATCTGTAATGTACTAGCTTTTTACATGCTTAACACAGCCTTAAAAAATGCCATACTGCCAATATATCCACTGCACTGATAAAATTTGGTAGTAAAGGGACAATTCAATTTTATTAAGTGTATATTCTGTTATATTGGAAATATGATGTTTATAGTTTCTTTTGTTGTCAGATTGTCGCCTCTCAGAGTGACGTTGAGATCTCTGTGCCAAAGTTGAGACGGACCAAAAGTGTCATTGTAAGTTTCAAAATTGAAGTCATTAAATATGAGAGCCTTGAATGCCTCTGACTTTTTCTCAAAGCTGAGGGAAATGGCAAATGTAAAGACATTCCACATTTCAGTATTCAAAACATCTCTGAAGAATTTTTTTTTGTCTTAGTTTTCAGCAAATTTGATGTAAGGTTTAAAGTCAGATCATGAATATGCAATATTAATCTAACTGTGTTTAAAACATGAGAGTAGACACCTGTCTCATTGCATCTTAGAAATGTTACTAGTCTGGATCTTTGGCTGTTTTTCACTTAAGTGAGAGACCTGTCTCTTGTCAAGGCCAAAGTTGTGTGCAAATATAACTGAGTGGCCTCATGGTTACCAAGACCTGGCAGAGGTTTTGTCTTAGTGAACACTGTAAAGAAGCAATTGAGCATAATTGTACATGCTTTCCAAAACTGAAATAACAAAATCAGTCCATAACATATGTTTCCCTTGAATATTTCTCTGTACTGTTTGTTAACCAAATTGAAAGTTTTACATATTTTGAATTACATTTCTTTTTTTTAGATGAAAGACATAAATCTTGAAGATTCTGCTGAACTGTATGATTCTGCATCTGAGAGTGGAGATGATTACATTCCAGATACCACATGCGAAAGTGACAGTGATAGTGATACTAGCCTTCACCTTAGCCCAAAGACTCAAAGGTCTCTTGCTGACAAAACTTATGTTCCTGACCCAGTGAGCTCCCCTGAAGTTGACAGCACAACGCCAGACCATCTCTTTCTTCCATCCAAAGCCACTGGAGCAGAAGAAGAGCCTTGCTCAAGTCAGAACATAAATGACGTGATAGTTGTTACTGCATGCCAAAAGAGAGCTGGGAAAAGAGTTTATGACAAAAGACATTATTGTCTGTATTGCTCTAAGCCTTATGCGAAGATGGCCAGACATCTAGAGGCTGCACATATGGATATATCCAGTGTAGCCAAAGCTCTAAGCTTTCCAAAGGGCTCCAAGAAAAGAAAATTACAACTAGATTATATTCGCAACCAAGGGAACTTTGCACACAATGCTGCAGTCATGGAGTCAGGAAAGGGGAAACTTGTTGCATTCAAACGACCAGTTGAAGAGTTAGAGGGAAAGGACTTTATGCATTGTGCATATTGCCAAGCACTTTTTACCAGAAAAGTCCTGTGGCGACACATGCGTAGATGTAGACTCAGACCTGAATCAGTCACCCCCAAACCAGGAAAGAACCGTGTCCAGTCCATGTGTAAATATGCAGAACCTGTGCCTTCCTACATAAAAAAAGAACTGTGGGAAGTAATCAGTAGCATGAATCCTGACCCAATCACTGACATCATAAAAAATGACAAAGTCATTCTTGATATTGGACAACACTTGCTAAACAAAGGTGGGTCATCAGACAAAAATAAACAGAATGTGAGAGAGAAGATGCGAGAATTGGGAAGGTTGATCAAGAGTGCCAGGAGAGGCACCACATTAAACAAAATGGAGGACCTCATCAATCCAGAGAAGTACATGGAGACTGTCAAAGCTGTCAAGCTTACATGTGGGTATGAAAGTGACACAAACAAGTTCCTCATTCCATCACTGGCTATCAAACTTGGAAATGCCCTGGTTAAAGCAAGCAAACTATTAAAAGCTCAGGGTTTAATATCCAACAACAACGAGCTTGTGAAGAATGCCAGTGGGTTTCAAGAGGTGCATCAGGAGAAGTGGAATGAAGTGATCTCAGCAACTGCCTTGAGAAACATCAGGGAAGCAAAGTGGAATGTCCCTACTCTTATGCCCTTTACCCAAGATGTCCAAAAGATGCACACTTATCTCAGTCAAATGCAAGATGAGTGGCACAAATCTCTCTCAGAAAGTCCCTCTACAAGAGCCTGGATGGAGCTGGCAAAGGTGTGTTTGGCCCAGATTATTCTCTTTAACCGTCGCAGGGAGGGTGAGGTGTCAAGCATGCCCTTATCAGCATTTTTATCAAGAGACTCCACTGATGCACATGAGGATGTGGACTGGGCACTCTCTGAAGTGGAGAAAAAGCTGTGCAGACACTTCTCAAGGATTGTCATCAGAGGTAAATGTGGTCGGCCTGTCCCAATACTTCTGACTCCAAAAATGCTGTGTTTACTGGAACTCCTTGTCAAACAGAGAGAGGCTTGTGGGGTTCTAAATGAAAACTGTTATATGTTCGCAAGACCAGGAGCAATGTCACATTTCCGAGGTTCAGACTGCCTCCGTAGCTTTGCAAAGGGGTGCAATGCAAAGTGTCCAAGGTCACTGACATCGACCAGACTTCGAAAGCATGCTGCAACTCTTTCGACAGTGCTTAACATGACAGATACGGAGATGGACCAGCTGGCCAACTTTCTTGGCCATGACATCAGAATCCACCGAGAGTTCTACAGACTCCCTGAAAAGACCCTACAGCTTGCCAAGATAAGCAAGGTTCTAATGGCACTTGAGCAAGGAAGATTATCTGACTTTCATGGCAAGAACTTAGATGAAATAAGGATAGAGCCAGATGGTAAGTTATTTTATTTGACTTTTTTGTTTTGCTTTGTTTACCAGATGATTTAATTCACATTGGAAGAATGTACTCTGTACTACTTTCACAGAAAAAGTTCTTGACAGTGAAGAAGAAGAGGATGACAGGAGCATCCAGGGGGAAACTTCTACTGTTGAAGGTATGTCTTGTCAGTTAATTACTGATGACATACCAGTTACCAGCTATTCTAATACACTAGTTGTACTCTAACCCTCTGGTAAAAATTGTTAGTCCCCCATCTCAATCTTTTAATTAACTGACAGTTGAAAGGGAGAGTAAGTTATCAAGAAATCTTTACTTGGGTCTGTCATGGCATAAGATTTTTATCATGGGCCAAAAGAAATTCACTCTTTATAGAAAACTTGGCAAAAAATGACACTGTCATGTCAAATTAATCTTGAACTTTGTCTTTTTTTTGCAAAATACTCTGAACATGCTCATAAAGAGATGGAGAGAGACTACACAAATTTTGGTGATTATCCATCACCTCTGAGTTTGAGGAGATGTGTGCTCAACGAGATGATATAATTGACATTCATAAATAAATATCAATTTCTCTACACTTCTTGAAAATGTGGAATTTGGTCTTTGTCCATAGAACCATCAGCAGAGGGGTTGTGTCCTCCTACAGAAGAGAGTGAAATGCAGCAGTCAGCATCCAAAAGACGCAGACCACCATCACCAGGTGATGAGGTACCTCCAGGTGGGGCTATGAAGCCTTCCTCCAAAGGTAACTAAGCTGCTTGAATTCACACCTGATTTTCGTCTTTGCTGTTTTAATTAATAATTATTTTGATTTAAACATTTTGGTGTAGAATTGTCACTGTTGCAACTGATTTGTTTTGCTTTAGTTGCACAGAAATATCAAGATTACAATGCTTAGGATCTTGTCAAGGGTTTCATGCTTATTCCGTTAAATACAGGGCTTTTTCAATTCATTTTAGAGGATAACCCCAATGCAGTAATAACAATTATGCAGGAGTGCATGTACAAAATGTGCAGCACATTTATTTCAATAAGAAACAGTAAAGTTCATAGCTTCATGAACTAAATGTTATTTTCAAGAGTTGAACTTTTTGAAAATTATTTTATTTACATTAAAAACAGTCCTTACTGTTTACATTCAGGCATGAAATAAATGTAAGGAAATCACACAGATGAAAATGTATTTCTATTCATCGGCGCAAATATCTACAAAAAATGGCATACACTAATTATTTTTCTTTACCCCTTTTTTAATCACAATTTTGTTTTTCTGGCCGCCTCAAGGCAAAGCTCCCCAGAAAAAACAGAAGAAAATGCCCTGGCAACAGAAAGAGGTGCAGGCGGTGGAAAGGCACCTGAAAAGATTCATTACATCCTGCATTGTACCATCCAAAAGCGACTGTCAGAAGTGTTTAAGTGCTGAACCAGAAGCTCTGAAGGACCGCACCTGGCAGAACGTAAAGTTCTATGTGTACAACCGCATTACAGCTTTCAAAAGGAAAGTGCAACTTCAGTAATTTGAGATAACCATTCCTACGGTAGGTCATTTTTTGTTAATATTCACTTGTGGATCACACTGAACACACTGCCTCCTTCTGCATTGTATGTTCAGTGTTTCAGTGCCAACTAAAATCAGTTAGTTATTTGCAAGGAAGCGTAAAACCCTCCACACTTTTCCTTTTTCTCTCAGTCTGCTGAGTGATGTTTTTCCTTGTTTAATCTGGTTACTGAAGACCTTCTTTTGTGTCCACAGTTCACATTTTCAGTTCCTATGGAGAACTCAGGCATTAAGACTTGAAATTGTTAGAAGTTTGAGTGAGTTTATACTAAATGTGATATTGTTGGGTGTCTACTTAAATTCACACTGATGATAGAATGATGGTGATGTAATCACTTTGCAGAACTCAGGCATTAAGATTTTTTTCTTTTTTTTTGTTATCTATTTGACTCCAAACTTTTTGTTGGTGTGTTGGATTTATTTCAGGAGTTGTATTCATTAAAAATTGAGTGTTGCCATTTAAAAAATTCTGGTGCCTCGAAGTTCATTTGGTAGGGGTAGTTTTGCTGATTTCACACAAGGTGTCAGGAGGTTGAGGAGCTGGGGCTAAAGCTGGGCGGTTGTGGTTAAAATGTATTAAAATTATTCATTAGAATAGAGAGTCTTTACCTTATTTATGAATATTACTTTAATGATACAGATGATATCATTAGACCTATGAATACATTTCAATCTCTTAACAAGCTCTTAAGGTGGCAACATATACAGCAAGACTTTTGCAAAAGTGATCCTTTGGATCACTTAAACCTTTTCAGACCCCAAACTTCACCTCTTTATTTACATATTGAAACTAGTCAAAATAACGAAGTTGTGTGATTGATTTGCAACAAATGTATCTTTTATTCCTGCTTAGAGTCCATCCACACATTAAACTTTAAAAAGAAATGCAATAACCAGAGGATTTACTACATTTAGATATAATAATAGTACATTTATTGCTAAGTCCCCAATAATCATGACCATTGTTGTGTTAAAAATGCAAAATTATGCAAATGATATTTAAATTTAGTCCCCATCAGTAACATTCAACCGGTTCTTTATAGGTCCCCACTTAGGATGGGGACAACATCAACTCATCAATTCAGACATTTGAAGTTGTGTATGAGCTAACAGGCCTCTGTTTAGTCTACTTGATTTTTTTCAGTCCTCCAGAGCCTTTAGAAAGGGTGGTCCCCGGAAGTAATGATCAAAACATTGGTCCTCATCAACCATGGAAACCAGTATGTGTGTGTGTGTGTGTGTGTACACATTTACATGGCATTTAAAAACAGAAACTCAATTAATTTACAGCCCAAGCCATTGTGTAAACAGTAGATTTACTGTTTACACAATGGCAGCATTTGCACATGTGGAAGACATTGATTACAGCGCTGCTATTTCACCTGGCAACAGGAATCACTGTTTTCTGATTGGCTGATAGGTTGCTGATTCAAGCAGAGCAGTCTGCCATCACCTCATCCAATCACAGTATTAGTAATGTCTTTTATATACAGTGTTACTAATGTGCCGCAAGTTTTATCACTTCTCAGTGTGAGAAATGCCATGTGTGGCATGTGAACTTATTGAACCGCTTGTGTTTCACGCAAACATTTTTTAGAAATTGAAAATCAAAATATTTCCTGGCAGTATACAAACATTAGAAGACTGTTAACATGTCTCTGGTCTTGCATAAGTCTGTATCTACACATATAAACCTGTTGAAAGTGTTAAAAACTTGGTTTCTACACCCATTCTTCTATAGCCATTGATAGTTTCCATCACTTTACAGTCGAACTACTTTCTCTTGTCGGGCAGCTCTTGGACAACAAATCAGGAAACCCATCATGCAAACTGCAGTCCCTGCCATTTCGATTCAGCATTAGAGACAGTAAAGTACATTAGAGCATTTGAACTGCTAATGGGTGTTAAGTGATTTACCACACAGGAAATAGGAGGGCAAATGAAGCTCCAGTTACGGTCTGGAATGCTCCATTGATCTTGACCACAATCCCTATATAAAGTCTGTACTTCAGCCCTAAAACCATGGCAGTAACACAGTTTGGTCAACTGCAACCAAACAGGGAACACGCTGCATGGAAAGATTTTGGAGTAGAGAAACCAGCGACTGAAAGAGTCAAAGAATAGCTTAAATGGTAATGAGAGAAGAGCTGAAATAAAAGAGAAACAGGGCTTCAGAGACTCACTTTAAGGCCTTGTAAAACAGACTCTCAGGGAGCTCAGAAAGCTTGTTGTGCTGGAGGTCCAGGACTTCCAGAGGGATGTGGTCAAGTAGGTCAGGCACTCTCTGCAAACAATTGTTTCCTGCCAGCAGCTTTCTCAAACTCAAGCTGTTGAGTAGTCTGTAAGAGGTGAGAGAAGGTGTTAAAAGAGACAGAGACTTGAAAAATCACTGTCTTCATGGACATACTTGATGAGTTGCAAAACTAAAAAGACGGTCAACATTGCTAATTTATTTAACAACGATCTTTTTAGTTTTTTGCTGTTTAAGAGAAAAAAGCCCCTTTACAGAGACAGCAGCCAGTGGAAAAAGTACGACAGTGCGGCATTGCTCATGATCTCTTATTCCACACTCCGTCTGCTACACAAGTCTGAATAGATTCTCGTGACTTGGCAGAAATGATTCAGAATTAGTGACAAAATAAGAATTAGGAATCAAGAAATCAGGAAAATGTTGGTAACCTGGAAGGAAGCTCAGACAGGAGGTTGTGCGTGACATCCAGCATCTCAATTTTTCTGCAGTCACACACCCAATCTGGGAGGTACTCCAAAAGGTTCCTGTCTCAACACACACGCACACACACATACACACACATAGAGACAAACACACAAACTGAGCAGAGTTGACACTTTCCTTTTCAAGTTAAAATGAGCAGTTTGTTTAAAAATGTGGACAAATAGGAGGTAAATTAATCTCCTGCAGGATGACTGAGGAATACCTATGATTTATAAATGCATCATAATAAATATTGTGAGTTTGCAGAGTCAGTACAGAAAAGATTGAACAGAAGTCATTTATAAACATAGAAAGGTTTCTGTAACCCCTGACACAGGGACATTTACTGCTCATTAATAAATCTTCCAATGTGTAGTAAATGTGAAAATAAGACAAAAAGGTAAGGGAGTGAAATATCGTGCTTTGATCAAAGGTTTGTGATGTTTATCACCTAAAGTTAAATCTCTAATCTTTCACTGAGGTAGCCTGGAAAGCAGACAAGTTGTTAGATAGCTACAGTCAATCTTGTGTAACAAAGGAGATCAGTGCAAATCTTAAATGTATACAAAAGAATACATTTAAAAAATGGAGCACAGTTTAAGCAGAAAAACAGGTCATCTAAGAATTTCTGCAGGAATCTTATTTGTTCATTTTTATATTCAAACTTTCATACACCTCCACTGGGCACTACGAGAAAAAGTGGATAAATGAATCTTAAGTCATAGATGCTGCTGCTATTTTTAGACTTGAGAGCCTCTGTTGTAAAATCTGGTAAGAGAGACCACTGACACTCCTTATTCCCAGCCAGAACTCACTGTGATAGGTCCATCTGTGTCAGCTGGTTAGGGATGGGATAGATGTTGACTGTTGTGAGGCCTGTGGGCAGATAAAAGCAGCAATGAGCAGCTAAACATCTAGGCTGTTCATATGTGTGTTTATACGATGAATGTTTCACTCATGAGAAAGGCACGAACAGAAAAAAACAGCCGCTAAAGCAATGGCAGCAGCTAGTTGATGCTCTATTTGACTCACAGTTGCTGCTGGCGTTAAGCGTGCGCAGAGTGAAGCCGCTGAGTGTGAGTGTCCCCAGCTGGTTGCGTTGACAGTGCAGAGTCTCCAGGTTGCAGATGGAGCTCAAGTCTAGTGAGTCCAAGCAATTGTCCCGTAAGTCCAGCTGGGTCACCTGGCTCACTGCCTCCAGATTCTCAGTTTTCACACAGCGTAGTCCATTCAGTCTGAGTGTGACAAGGGGGGATAAAAGTAGAAATAACACTTGTAATTCTCTCTGGCACTGAAAAATGAGACTTAGATGAAGAAGTACTATCCCAACATCAAACAGACTGTATGGAGGATAGGGGTGGGAATCACTAGTGGCCCCATGATACAATATTATAATGATACTTGGACCACGATACAACATTACTGCGATTTTTAACATTTTGCAATACGGTGAGTATTGCAATACAACATTGTGATTTACACAATTTTTTCAACCGTTTAGCTAATTTAGCATTTGCCTTTCCTTTATGTTTGTCTTATTTACACAATATTTTATTTTAATTTAGTACATCTTGCAGATCTAATGTGTCAGGTCCATCTCATTTGTGCCCTGCTAGCATTCCTGATGTCTCTCCCCAGGTGCTGCTTTGTTTGTTGTACTAACTTTCTCCTGCTCTATGGTGTCACCTCTGCCAACATCACTGGACAAACAGTTGATTTTATTTTTCTATTGACATGAATTTGACTATTAGCAATTAATTTGAAAAAGTCGATACTTGGTAAATGAGCAATACAATACATCACCAGACAAAATAATGCAATACTATGCTGTATCGATTTTTTCTCCTACCCATAATGGCGAATTTGTTAAAAGAGACGAAAAACAGTGGTAGTTGGTATTGTGATAGTTTATACACACAGTACATGGCATTTGCAAAATTTGTTTATTAAATGACAGAAGTAAATTCATTACTGAAACCTGCAAAATGCACCCCAGACAATGCAAAACGATGCTATTACACTCCATTTTTTTACCGTTTTAAACTTTAATCAATTGCACTAAGAAAAACCTTCAGTCGTGCAGCACTCTTTGGGCTAGCATCATTAAATGAAAAGAATTATAGATAAAAAACAAACAAACTTTAAAATACTGCTTTGAGTGTCAGAAGAAGTCTGAGTTCATAACTGCACACCAACGCTGCACAGAGATCCAGACCACACTCATCCCATCCATCCATCCTGTTAATAGACAACAACTCCTTTTTATGAGGGCTGCCAGCCCGTTAATCCACCACAGATGCACCTTGCCCCTATAAATATAGTCTTCCATTGCCAAACCGCAACTTAAACACCTTCGACAACTGGCTGGCGGTTTACAGAGCACCGGTTGTCTACAGTCCCCAGACTGGTTGGAGAGTCAATGAGTAGAGCCTCCCAGCCCTCAATACCCACAAGACAGGGACCCTTTTGGGGCAAGACATTCAGCCCCCCAGCTGTTCCTGTGGAGCCACTGAGAGGCCAACAAATAACAGCGACTGTAGTTTTAGACAGCTCCCAGGTGTGAATGAAGATGTGAAGCAGGGTAATGTGGAAGACACTGTTGTGCTCAGCAAAGCTGGCATCTATAAATAAATGTTTAACAAAAAGGGAAAAAGGAAATGCTGAGAGAAGTTTGGAAAAAAATAAGGAAAAGGCAGAGGTTCTTCAACTACCGTTTGTATTAGAGTATTTATGCCTTTGACAATGCAAGAAGTTTTACAGAAAAACGGTATGGCAGGATTACTCTCCTGTGTCCTCTTATCTAATGGATGACTGACTGTGTTTGGAGGCGTCTCTATACATTATAAGTCGCATTTTTCATATTGATCAACAGAGGAGGAAAATTTGGAAGACGCAGAGACTGAGAGTTGTTTGTCTTCTGACTGGCCTCTTACCGGAGGTCGATGTTTTTCAGGTGGCTCATTTTGGCCAGAGAACACAATTCCAGACTCTCCACTCTGTTCCCAGCCATGGCCAGCTTGTCCACTGAGCTCAATCTCTCCAGCACAGCAGGGATGTGAGAGAAGTTGTTGAAGGAGAGCCCGAGGCCGTTGAGCTGGTTCAGGCCACCCAGCTCTTCAGGCAGAGAGCTGAGGTGATTTCCATCCAGAGACAGCGTCTGCAGGCTACAAGACAGAGAGGAGGTCATTATTTTCTTTCTTTTTTCAACGTCACTGTGCTGTCAGTTATCTGTATGTGCCTGTTTGTGAGAGTCGTGAGCTGCATCCTTCACTAAGCAGCCTCACAAGTTGATAGCTACTGAATTTAGCATGATGACCTAATGTAATTATTTCAACTTCATCCATTACACAGTTTTCTGAGTATATTTACTATGTTTACAGTAGTCTAAACATGAAAAATATCACAAATTTTTACACATAAAACTACAAAAAGATAAACAACACAATTGACAAAATTGAGCTAACAAGAAAACCTTTCACAACACAAAATAAATATGTATCTGATGATAAAAGGCTCATTTAGAAAATACTACAAAATGTGATTTCTATGTTGCTAATTTGCGCTCTATAGTTTGCAGGAAACTCACATACAAGCCAACAGACAGTTATGACATTTTAGGAAAAAACACATTAGTCTGTTTGGGGTATTTTAAGTAGAACTACTTTTGTGCCAAAAGCATAAATGTGGCATGTTTGGGACATGTTATTCTGAAAGCAAGGTTACCTTAATAGCCATCTGTTCAATATATCACAGTGTGGTTGTTAATTGGATTTACTTCTCATTAAATTATTCATAGATATCGTTTTGTGCTACACGTGGTACTTATCAACCTCCCAAGCAGATTTCTTTTTGTTCATGGTGACTCTAACCCGTGTGTTTCTGTATTGTGTTTGATTGTGAGATAGGTAGAGCATTTGTACGTCATTGTGTCACCATGTCATACCTCTGAAGGCTGCCTATCTGCACAGGGACCGTATGGAGACTGTTACAGGAGAGGTTGAGTTCAGTCATGGTGAGGATCTCGCACACACACTCAGGGAAAACACCCAGACGGTTATGAGACAAATTCAGGCTCTTCAGCTGAGAAAACCTACAGAGAGAGAGAGAGAGAGGGAGAGACAGAGAGAAAGGGAGCATGAGGCAGCCTCTAAATAAATCCACAAAAAAAGCCTTTTCATTTCATTTACCTTATTTTGGTGAAATTTTCCTGTATCACTTGTAAATTGTCACATATGCTGATGCCACTTCACCACTGAGATTACATTGATAATAAAATATACAGATACTTGTGTATTAGCTGGCCTGTGACTGTGGTCTATACACTGTCACGTCAGCAGTGCTACTTTCTTAGTCTCATGTGCACAAAGTGGAAGAGGAATGTGAATAAAAAGAATATATCTGGTGAACTAGCAGCTGAGGCTGGACACTGATTGTAGAAAACTAGGGTGAATACAGTTAAAATGAGGTCCTTCAGATTCATTCCTTATAGTTGACTCTGGGAGTGGTGTGCTGTTATTTGTGTTTTTGGGCTTGCACCATGTTATTAAGACTGCTTTGTAAGCAGCTGGAAACAGTCAGTCATTGGCTCAGCAGCCAAGAAAGGACAGCGTTCATATTGAAAAGTATTTATGATCACCCTATTAGTGACTTAGAGGAACCAGTGAATAATACTGCTGAATTTAGACGGGGCACTTACACAGATAGTCTGGAATACTCCAGTGCCTGCATGAATAAGCGAACTTTCTCAAATACAAACTCATCAGTGCTGAAGTGAGAGAGTGTGTGAGTGTGTCTGTGATGAATGGAGTGGCACCAAGCAGCCACACTGTCAAATCTTCCATTTTATTGCTATCTTCCTTTTTTTCTCTGCAGGTGCAGTGAGTAATGGAGGGAGCTTCCATGACTCACAGTGCTGGATACAATACACACCACTATTCCACTATCTTATAAATTAATTTAAAAATAACCCAGACAGAGCATCTGAAAAGTGGATGTGCAAGAAACTTAAGTATTGGTTTTCCTTAAAGCATTAGCAGGGTGGGAACACGTGTAATATAATTATGAAACAATATAAAACAGTAATATAATCAGGGTATAATGTAGGGCACACTCAAACAGGCATCACAGAAATGGTGCAGCTTGTTTAAAGTTTCAGGACACTTGACAGAAACTCATTTCTTTCCTGCATGGATACATCTATTGTTATCAAATGTTTGCAGAGACAGTCTCGGGGTTAAGGAGATGTGATTACCTGGGGAGGTTGAACAGGCCTCCAGGCCCCTGAAGGCTCATGAAGTTGTGTCGCAGGTTGAGGTGAGTGACATCCTGACTGTAAAACAGATATTCAGGCACTGCTTCCAGGCTGTAGCAGGACAAGTCCACCAGGCTGACTGTCTGAGATACCACCTACACAAACATATGGACAAACACATACAAAAACACTAAGTAAAAGACAAAAAAATATCTTTTTTCTTGAGTTTTGGATCCTTCATAGGAAAACTTTACATTGGAAATCCCCAAATCTAACAGGAGGAGCGTGACTAGTGAGGTGCCCACAGCTGAAGACCTGAGAGAGAAAATCATTTTCAAATAAGACCATCTGGTAGCACACTTCTTACTCTTATGTGTTTGTGAAATAACACTTCTGCAGAGGTACTAGACATACATCTCTCTCACAAGACATTTCAAAAGCTATAAGCATTGCCACTCCAGCTCACCTGACAGATTTTTCAACAACCAACCCTTAGCTATTATATCATAAAACCTCTTCCTGTCCTTCTTTAAGTAACTGCACTTCTCCTCTTATGGTATCAACGGCTCTGAAATGGAGGCCTGGGTGTATATCTGTCCTTCTTACAAACCAGTGAGCATTTGCTCAACACAGGTGGCAGCAATGCATTTACAATTAAAGCTGGAACTGTGGTGAACTTGGGACCTCAAACACACCCAGCATCAAGCCTCAAAACTTGAAGTGATTTATCTTTAGCTTGCTGTGACAATGGACTGTGGAAGCAACTCTACCGGCCCCAGTTTATGAAAGCAGCCAGCTGCCTAGCCAAGATATTACTTCAGACACACAGTGTCCCAGTTTCCAGTTCAATGGAGTTTATCTGCCAGAGAAGCACAATTGTAATGAATTAAGAGAGAGGCAGACTAATTTTGTAACATGAGCCAGTTACTGTCACGTCTTAGTAAACATGTGTATACATACACTCAATTACTTGTCCCTCATGTTTCCCTTCTCAAAGTTAATGCAGCTTTAAACAAATCCTGCCTCTATGATGAATGTTAAACTGTTCAGTAAGGAGATGACTTAACTGTATTGGTTTATCTTAAACGCTATCAGATTGTTTCCTATAAACTAAAACAGAGTAACCCCCCAATGATTAAAAGTGAGACAATACATCCTCATATCCGCTGTCGGATTTGTTGTAGTACATTTACAATGTCCCTCCATCGTCTGACAGAGGATTGTTTACATGCCAACAATCATTGCAGGCTGTACCTAGAAGTGCTCATCCAGTACAGTCTAAGGAAAGGCTTCTCCATTAACTACAAGGCTGGACAGTGCATAGCAACCCAGAAAATGGGACGGCTGCTCAGCAGAGCATGACATCATGTCTTTGCTTTTAGAGGAAACAAACACATGAGTGCTCATCTCTATAAAAAAAAAAACTCATCTACAGTTTAGAAAAGCAGAAACACAGAAATATTGATAAGATGGTTCAGAAGTTTAGCCTCATCTGTGCAGCTCTGGCTCCATAAAATCTGAGGAAGTTATCTTTTATTCCAAAGTGATTTTGACAAATAATGTGTTAAACAACAACATCAAGGAAAGATCTTATTATCTGCAAAAACAGTTTCAGCTTATGCTTTCATGCAGTTTGTAAAAACAGTTTATAATAAATTGTTACTAGCAAGAGATGGCTGACATTGTCTATGCCAAGTGTCTAAAAGGACACAGATTTTCAAGTAAAAATAAAATAAATTTCCCACAGGAGCTGGTTTTACAGCACAATTACATAAAAGAATAAACAACATATTCAAACAGCAAGTATGACTCACTCTTACCTTGGCTTTGAAAGAAAGGTTCCTTTTGCAGAGACCATAAACTGAAATATACAACTTTTTCTCTTGATAACATTTATAATGAACATTTGGTATCAATTTTATTTATTAACTGCAAATTATCTGCAAAATATCTTGTTTTTAACTGATTCTAAGACACAGGGACATATTGTGCACACTTTTATTTCCCATCTTTTTAATCCAAATTCTTACAGTGCTCCATATAGTGATATCACCCTCCAATACTCAGCAATTTCCTGCAAACTCAATTTGCAGGACAAATGCACTTGCTAACCCCCTTTCTTGCGCGCGGACACACACTCTGACAATTTATGTAATGTAGCATAAACACTGGCTCAAATCCACCAAAAAACCTTCAGCAGTTATCATCCTCAGTCTCAGAGAAACCTCTTGTCAAAGTATAATCCTAAATAAAGGGCTCTAACAGGCTACTCTAACCCAGTAATCCATACCACTATAGTCCAGAGAGATCCTGGACTTAGCATGAATCTACAGCTAATTGGATTTTCTTTTTTTTTATCTGTTGGCTTTGTCCGTCCATGGCTAATTGTATGCTGGCTCTGCGTCAGTGGAGGCTCTCACAGAGGCTGTTCAGCTCCAGGAAGAAGCCATGAAACAATAGCCATTAATTGGGATATTAGAGACAAAGCAAACAGAGCAGAACAGAAACAATGAATTTTTTGATGAACAGCTGTGAGGAGCTGGCAAGATTCTCTCACAGTGTAAAATAACACAAGAATGTGTTTGGCTCATGTAGCATTTTCAAATCCACAGAAACTTATATAACTCAAGCACCACTGTTGAGGAGAAACTCAATCGAAGTTCCTTCAGATAAAAGTGATTCAAAAATCGTTGTGTGAGCAGGGCTGTTCTGTTCAATCAAAGCAAGACACTAGATGGTTTAGGTTGAACAACTTACAGGAAGAAGGCCACTGTGGTTCTTACACCTCACCTTTGATCCGAGGAAAAACTCAGGGTGACTGTAAACAAACATGGCAGACACATATTTTGCATTTTGCATACACTTTAAAACAAATTCCCTCTTACTTTTGATGCTTGCCGATGCCATCGCTGGTAGTCCACCAGCGTGTCAAAGTTGACATAATATGTCTGCGCTTGGGATCCGGCTGAGCTGAACATTAGACAGTGCTGCCTGCGCTTCACCTCCTCCACCTGATTACAGACACAGCACAAAGATAAGATGGTGAGTATTATCATTTCAATGATTTCCACTACTATTTTAACTTGGGAAAAGTTACAGCAATACAGTGGAGAGCACTTTTACTGTTATCCCAAGTAATTCTGTTCCTATTTTGTTTTACTCATCTGACTGTACTTTAGAGAATATTTATAAATATCTTATATTTCTTTTAATGACAAAAAAAAGACTGAAATGTTTGTTCTCACGTAGATGTCACATTGTGAGCTATTGTGATGTACAGCACATACCTGCCTCCTGTGTTGATCAGTCAGTTTTCTCACCTTCAGTGCCACCCTGCTTACCTGTCCTCACTTCACCTCGTACTCTCGTCCCACTAATACCAGACTCTCAGCATAATTACTCTGCTGTCTTGATTTCAGCTTTGATTGCCTTTTGGAGTTTTTTTTCTTTTTTTAAATGCATGAGCTGCCGGTTTCTCTCCCTGTGTTTTACACTTACTCTGCATCTACACTTTAACAGGTTGCATTCATTACCTGCACAACCCTACAGCGACAGCTGATATTTTGTCTTTAATCGGAGGACACCCTGTCTAACTTGTGACCCTAAAGTTGAGATGTATTGCTTTATATTTTTCAGTCTGGACATACAGTGGTGCATCTCAATTTGAACTGACAGCACCGCAATCAGCCAGTTCCAGCTGTCCAGTCAAGCTGTGTTGTTACAGAGTAAAACATGAAAGATTGTATGACCACCACACACTGAACTCTCACCTTTCCCCCCACCAAGGGCAGGATGTGCATTTTCCCAGTTAGGCTGTCTTTGACAGAGGCCACGATTAGACAGGTGCCGCAGAGGATGACCTGCCGCTCCGCCCACTTGTGCAGCTGTGACTTGCCCTTTCGGACGCTGAATACGCCTTTTAGAAGGGTCCTCTCCTGCTGGTCTGCATTCACTGGATGCTCTGGAAGGACAAGCCCACACGCAGGGGTTAGAGCTGATCCACAGACAATAACCTAATGCACAAGGACCCCCACTCCTCCTGTTATAAACAATTGCAGATGATTAACAACAGATGTGATGCTTTGACACAGTGGATGGAGGCATCCAGAAAATGAAGTCATACGTATACAGACAGGTCAGAATGATATCACCCCAGATTAGTCACCTTAGTTTATTAACACATATCTTACATCAGCACCGCCCTATTATCTCATAGGCTGTATATTTGGACTGATGTCACAGCAGATAACAGGTTTGATCCTAAACCAAGGTAAAGACAGTTTCTCCATTTAACTTTACTCATGACAGAGTCATTTAAAGCACAAGTGTAAGTCTATACATCCTAACGTAATACTGATGGTAATAGATGTCAGATCGTTTGGTAATTTCTCATTTATAGCCTCTAGGCTACAGACACGATGCATCTCTTCCAAAACTGCAACAATTTTCCTACCTTGCAATTTAGTGGGAAAGTCGTTTTCTCCATACTTTTAATGTTAGTCACAATATTTTTCCAGTCAGACTCTGCTGAGGGTTTGGACTGTGACCATTTAGACTATAACCCCAACTGCTAAAACTATACTCCAGAAGATTAACCAAACACCAAAAAGTGATTGATAACATTGACTAGATATGTTGCTGAGGAAGATGAATCAACCCTAACACCAAAAATGTTTCGTGTCTCAGATGTTACCTCCTGCCAGCATGGAAAACAAATTTCTGGGCAACTCCAAAATATGGACGCCGTCTCCCTTAAACTGTTTGTACACATTATAATTTAGGGTTTAAATTGTCTCATCAGATACCACCAATATCCTCCAAAGACCCAATCTGGTATATCCTCATTCAAGATGACAACTCTGGATACTTTTTAGAGATCTTCTTTCTCTTGTTTGTGCAAGTCATTGGTGTGTTTGCTGGAGATGAGAGATGAGATGAGAGATGAGAGTTAAGATAAGGGTAACAGTAGTGTATATGTGTATATTCAACATGTTGCATTGGTCAAGTATCACACAGGTCAGTAACCTGGATTCACATTTAATTTGACATCATTGGTCAGGCCTAGTCCAGTCGGATCTACAAAACATGGGAATGCAGGAGTCCATTTTAGTCCAGAGAAAAATCAGACTTACATTTTTGTAGCGAAAGATTTGTGCTGTTTTTCTCCCTAAGATCACAAACAATTTATCCTCCTCCACAAGTCCTCAAAGCTTTGATTTCAGAATAAGAATGGAGGGTATGAAGCAGAAAGACAGCATTAAAGCTTTAGGTTATTTGCATGTTTCAAATAAAGTAGCATCAGTGAAGCCGGTTTTTGAGGGGCATATACGGGTTTGGGTCTCACTAGGGCAGTGCTGCTGAGCTTTAACCTTCTCTGTAGTTCTTTAGGAAGATACAAGCTTGTTTTCCTCTTTAGGTCACAAATATTTCTCCTTCATGAATCTGGTCATCAACCTTCTGTGCACATTAAAGCCGATGTGAACAGAAGGTAAATCGTAAATCTGTCAAGTTAATGTTATTTGAGTATGTATCTGCCTTCTTCTCTCTGCTTTCTCGAGCATAGCCAAGCATCAATCATATTGATGAATGAGTCAGGGCTTTGTCACATCAAACTTAACTCTTTTCAATTAAATTATGCCAACTTGCACAGCAGGCAGACATAGCTGGCCAGAGCTGAAGGACGTACCAAACAGCAGCATCTTTGCCAGGCTTCAAAAGTACACTCAGGTTATTGGCAGGTCAAATAAGTACAGAGGGGACACTGCCTTATCCTCTTGTCCTCTGTCGTTAAATTTTCTTCAAACCAACTTATGCTTCCTCCCACTCAGACTCTCCTGCTGGCAATCTGCTCGCTCTCCCTCATACTGTCTGCCTTGCTCTTTCTCTCCACCTTCACTTTCATTTCACAAGGGCATCTAAATGAAATGAAAGGTTGCTCATGTTTTTCTTTGCCAGGGAAACTGATAATGAACAAGCCAAGTGCTTCTGACAACAAATTGGCCGGGCAGGTAGATCAATAGCCGTGACTAGCCCTTGGGCGTCTCCTCATCTGAAAAGACAGTTGGAGACACAAACCTTTTTAGGGTTAGATGGGTTGGACAGGTGGAAAAAAACACCTGCACACAGGACTGGATATTGAACCATGAGGAATCAAATTCTGTCCTAAGCACAGAATATTTAAACTGTTAAACTATCAGACATGGCAGGGAACTTGAGCTCAGATTTGTCCTCTTCTTTGCTTACTGTCCGATTGAACATTGTATTTAAGCCCCATACTTTACTTTTTTTATCTAATTGAGGCACAGCCTGAAGATAAACTGCATCTGTATCTTATATCTCTAATGATTCTTAATGTTAAGGCTGTATCGCATGTTTTCCGTTGTGTTTTGAATAAGCTGAACATCTTTTTTTTCCCAATAAAACAAACAAGACTTATTTTTTATTGGTTACTGAAACTCAGGCTGTAATGACACGAGTCTAAACCAGACATAGGTCGACTTTAAATTCACATTTAAAAAATGTCTACATATGATTTACTGAGACTATTACTATCATGGAGTAATCCTAAAATCATGCAAGAGATCTGAATACAATACAACCCCCTTCTCAGAGTGAGAGAAAGACAGCACATGACAAGCTGTGTCAGACGAGAAGGTGACATCATAGACTGCAGTATAACCTAAATCTTGTTGAACACATTACTGGGTACCATCAGTTACTTGATATACGTTAGGAGCACCTCAGACCACATGATGGTTCACACGATGATGAGTATGGAGATGAGCGAATTGATGAAAGTTAACCTGTAACTTTTGTGATGGTTGTTTTAGCTCTCCTGTCCTCAATAAAGCTCATGTGGACAAAATTCCTCACTACCACTCCTCAGATGAACAGCACTTTGTTTTTAATCAGTGTTTATATGAATGCAAACTAGGTTGTTAAGGGGTTCAACTGTTAATCTAAATGAATTAGAGACCTTGTCTATTCAGCCTTACAATTTCCTACTTTATGAGAGGAGACATTAGTAGATTGCTAGACACCAAATTATTTCCAGGTCCAAAGCAACAGAAAAAAATGACCAAGGTGTAATACAAAAGAGAGACCATGAAAACTTGAGTACCCCCAGGAATATCATATTGAATACAGAAATGCACATAGCATGCACACAAATCTGCACTTTCAATACGTATGCCTGCACACATCCATGTGTACACATCATTGCTTTTAACACCTCCATATCAGTACAACCACTCATCTGAAAATCATTGGCCTATTTACGCAATATCAAAGAAGTCCAAGCCATAAAGAGCCAACTCCTAAAACAAATACACATGATATCCCTCTAGGTCTGTTGGGGCTATTAGTTGCTAGGGAAACAGGTTATTCACAAAACCAAAGTCCAATCTGAGGGTAAACCTCCACACTGTCTCCATCAACATCTCTGCAGAAAGCAGGCCAAATCAACCCTAGTCCACCGATGACAAATGGTGTTTACTGTCCCCTGGGGTTCCACAAGGATTTGGAGACATGATCATAGATGTTGTGAAACACTGTTTCTGTAGCAAGATGTGTTTGTCCAACTGCCTGGACAGAAACCAGCCTGGAGGAGAAGGCTGCAGTAAGACCATGCTACTGCCATTAAACTCATCATCATCATCATCATCATCATCATCTCAAATAGTTTCTTGGAGAAGCTGCCAAACCACAAGGACAGTGTGACAAGTGACAGATCAGAGAGAGTGAGGTTTCCAATCTATCCTTCATTCAATTTAAGTGCGGATACAGCCTCCGCTCACCTGAAGACTAAGAGACATCTCACTTATAATCAAGAAAACCAAGAGGGGTCAAACTTTGTTTTTCACTGAGCACTGAACAATGAAAAGAGTTCAGAGGAAGAAGTGAGGTACAAGAGGTGTAATGGTGAAAGAGTTAATAAGCCTGTAGCCCTCTGCCAAAAACAGCAATGAAATGACGGTTTACTTTTTTTCAAACAAGACAGTGTCTCAAAAAACAATCTTTGAGTATATTCACATGAGAATAGTCTCATGCCATTCATTGTGATAAATTTAATTTTCACTTTTTGTAACAGCCTTAGTCCGTAGCTCCCAATATCAATGAGTGCCTGCCTGCACTTTCTTAAATCTGTTTTTAATCACATACAGGATTATTTGAATTCAACTGTTGAGCACTCAGTTGAACATAACACTCCCTGTTTCCCAGAGCTTTTTTGTCTTGCTCAAGATTGCATAGATTGTGTTAGCATGCAGTAGGGGGTCAGTGGAGGCGGAAACACAGTCTGATTTGATTCAGAACAGCAGGCTCTTTTTGGCAACAAATTCAGATTCAACCCACCTCCCAGATGACTCCTCTTGGTGGTCCTTGTTTACCTCTATTATGAAGAATCTGCTCTTTACACTTTGTGTTATATTTATAGTTCTCATGTTGACTATTGCACTACGTTGAACCCAGTTGATGCACACATAAACACTGCTTTCGAAACATGCAATAAAAAGAGAGTAATAAAATGGTGGATATGTAAGCCATCTGACCATAAAACTGACCTGGAGACCATAGGCTGCAAGAGAGTCTACAGATTTCAAATGAGAAAGAGGAAATACTCAATAGAACCAGAGCTGCATCACAGTCATAGCATATTACAGGACAGAGATGACAGGAAACCACGGAGAGCCTGCTCTTTGCAAAGCTTCGTTGCTCGAGGCAATTTAGTGGGAACCTGGATCTGAATACAATTTTCATTTTTCTCTCTAAATCTCAGTCTGACTTCTTCTCCACTGTAAACAATTTCTTTATCCCTTCATACGAAGAAATGAAGAACCAACTTTATACTCCTTTAATACTCAGCAACTACTGACCATAGACTTGTCGAAACTGATTCACCATTCATGTCCTATCATGTTAAGACATCTGCAGTCTGCAATTAACTTAGATTTCCATTGTGAAAACAGCCACAGCAAGATTGTTATAAGGTGAGTTCACACTGCTTACAGATACTTGATTCCTTCTGCTCTGACACTGATGGTGGGTCTTGAGTGTGCTGCAGCTGTGTGGGCTGACACAGAGGACCACTGAGCCCCTCAGGTCTCTGGAACTGTTTTCATTAGAGGCGATTTCTATTAAGTCAGCATTTAGAAATGTTTACTCCCCTGTCCGTGTTTGTTTTCTTCTCATTTGTGCACCACAGCAGGAGGGTGCATGTGTGGGAAGCTGGAGGTTTGAAAAGGTTAAGAGATGACTTAGCTCAACAAATAAAGAGATGGTGGAATATAATGAATGACCTGCTAATGGCAATAATAAGGGCAATGCTGTAAAACAAAAAAAAATGCAATGGACACATATGCACATCTACACACAGCATGAAGGCATCCCCCTCTGTTTGCATGTAGATCACTGACTTGAAATAATATACCAACATCTGATGAGCAACTCATCCTGCCATTAGTCTTAAAGGGATATTCCGGTGTAAAATTAATCTAGGATCAAACACACTGTAACACCGTGTTAGACACCCCGTCGAGAGATGAATGTTGCCGACTGCTTGCTTCTCTAGTTACACCAATTTTAGTAATGACCGCAGATAGCAATACAGAGAGCCACATGCTCAACCAAAAAGCCACTCTATAGCCACAGATAATGCTCAGAACAGCACCGAACTTCATCAACAGTACATATAGGGTCACAGCCACAGCACTAGCCACCAAACATCTTTTTAACTTTGCCTGATTTCTTTAGCAGAGACTAAACACAATTCACCTGCTCTCTTCCAGCAGCCACTTGTCTGTAGCAAGACCTCAGGCAAGTCCATTACCGCAGCGGGGTTATGCAGCTCAAGGAAGAACATTTATGCTCATTACTTTATCATTTCCTTGAAGTAATAATCATCATATTAATCATTTTGCACTGCAGTTCTTCTGCTTTAGCGTCTCGGTCTGATTGCATTTCCAAGAAGAAATGATCATTAATGTTCTTCCTTGAGCTGTGTCACCCTGCTGCAGTAGATGGACTCACCTGAGGTCTCCGTACAAATAAGCGGCTGCTGGAAGAGAGTAGGTGAGTTGTGTTTAGTCTCTTTGCTGAAGATATTAGGTAAACCTGAAAAGATGTTTGGTGGCTAGTTCTGTGGCTGTGAGCCTGTATGTACTGTTGATGAAGTTAGGTGCTGTTCTGAGCATTATTTGTGGCTATAGAGTGGCGTTTTGGTTGAGTGCATGGCTCCTGGGACTGCTATTGTTACTAAAGTTGGTTTAACTGGTTGGTTAAAGCGGTCGGCAACATTCATCACTCGACGGGGTGTCTATCTGAGTGTTATGTTGTGTTTGACCCTAACTTAATTTTACACCGGAACATCTCTTTATGGGGGAGTTTCTCGAGCAGAAAAAAAAAAGACAATTAGAGGCACTAACAATGTTATCCATGTACTCAGTGTTGGGTTAAAAGATGTGTTCCTTTGATGCTTTTTAATTGTCATTTTGTTGACCTTCTTTGCACCATGAAACAAAACATAGCCTACATTGTATTGCAGGAGATTGTTACCTCAGTACCCACATGGTAGCAAGGTTAGCTAAGCTTAAATCCACAAACAAAGACACAGGTTTGGTTAGCGAAAGTAAAAGTTGATGGCGACTCTTATAGCCAACCAAATGCAGAGCTGACATATGTAGTGCACCACATCAGGTAGTTCTGTAGCAGCTGCACTTTTCACTGACGGGCCACCGCTTCCCTCACCTGCTTAGTCAGATCATTACCCCTGACAGCAGCTGTTAGACAAGATAGCACCTGGGAGCAAGATCTGGAGCTGTTGTGTGTTGCAACAACACATCACAGCCCACCTTCAACACCGCTGTGGGAGGGAAGGGAAGCCAGGGTTACTTTGTGCTGCCAGAAATGGAGATCTTCTGGTGAAGCTGTGTGACTGGAGGGTTGCTAAACACCAGCTTACAGAGGGTGGGCAAAACACTGAGATAATTCAACACAAATGCAAGTAGTTGTGCTAAAAAAAAAAGCAGTTATGTCTTACTACCTTCCCAGCTTGAGGGACCAATCAACTTGTTTCCTCGGCCTTGGCATTGTGTCAAGTGCCCAAGCACCAGTCATGCCTGGTCCCTCTTTTCCCATGAGAGGACAAAAGGAGGCAGGAAGTCTCTGAGGGGCTTGGCTAGACTCTGACCAATGTGGCCTGACTACTGATAGTATCCAAGATCAGACCATTTCTCATGCTGGCAAAGGGGAAGCAACAGTTAAGCTTCCACTACAAACAAAAACAGGAATAAGACTGAGGACAACTTGATCTAGAGCTGAGGTATTCAAATAAACCATCAGTTGTCTTACCAACCAGACATAAAAAGAGAGCTGTGTTTAAAAAATACTCTAAAGACTAGTCTAAGCATCAAAAATATAATACTACTATTTTTTAGCTATAGTGTTGTTCTGACAAATGGTCATAAAGACAGTGCAGTGTTCGCTTGTGATAGATATCTGTGCAGAATTGTGATGCTTTAAAGTAGAAAATAATAACAAACTCCGTTGCTAATACATCACTTTGGTTGGAATTTTTTAAGTCAGCTCCTGAGTGCCAAGTTAACCAGATAATTTCCTTGCAAATTTGCTGAGATATTCATTCATTTCAGATTTTCATTTAGTGTGGCAGCGCTGCATTTCAATTTGGGGAGATCTGTGTTTTTTAATGTGGGAGGAAATACATGTGAGCCTTTTAGACGCTGTGGTTTGACTAGTCTCCCCCTGTCTCTGGCACCGCAGCATGAGAGCAGCTCCAAGCCCCAACACAAGGCGTTCCACTGACTCAGCAGAAACATCAGTCGCCCTATTAAGTGGAAACACATTACACGACATCCTTCACCATTTACCCTTAATGGCAAACTCTTTAACTGCTGCTACTGTAAGAATGTCATCTGACCAAGGCCAGGACTCAGAAAAAGGAAAGATGGAGATGTCTTAGGTTTGTTGTGCTCTGTATGAAAACTAATACTCAAATATAAACTTACTAGCTCCTCCAGAGAGTCACATCTATTCTGCTTCTGAAATAACACAGCATTATGACATAAGCAGGTGAAAGGAAGCCCAGATGGAGAAATAGAGACACCAAAGAATGATGGATGGTCAGCCACCTACCATCAGACCATTAAAGGTGCAGACGGGTCCCCCCTGGCTAAATCAAATACAAGAGACGCCTTCAGAAAGGTATCATACTTGGGAAGTCTCAAACAAATGCTTTTATATTTTGTCCAGAAAGAAGTCTTTGCTGAAGGCACATACAACCATACAAAAGATCAAAACAGGGTTGGACAGAACGGTTTTTCTAACGTTTCACCTGCTTTAGCCTGGTTTCAAGCCTTCAGCTCTGTTTTCAGAGGAGGGCACCAGGCTCCTGCCAGTTCCCACTGAGCAATAGCAGAAAATAAAGATCAGAGATGATAGGCCCCCGTGGGTTGGTACTCACCACTGTAGAACCGGATCAAACAGCTGAGGTCTGAGTTGGCAGCTTCTTGCTGCACTCGCATTGGGTCTGAGTAGCCCAAAGCTCCCAGGTAGTCATACACCATTTGGAGAGGACGCTCAGCAGGGCCCATCCTCCTGCGGAACAAAAAAAGGAGAGATGGTGAAATGTCAGGCACAATGGGTTGTATGCGCCTTATTTAACTGTATAAGTGAGGTGCACACATACTGAAGTGGCAACAGTTGGACAGTTTCTTTGTTCCCTTTAAAAGCAGAAGACAACATTTGAATAAGACTGCAAAGATGCCACTGGCTTTCCACCAGTAATACGCACTTTGTTCAATGGGTCACCTTCCCAAGGTGAAGTAAACACTGCAGAGAATTGAAGCAAGGTTCTTGTAGAGGTGTTGGTGGTTCAAAGTTGTGTGAATGTCCAACAATAATTAACAGACCTATAGTTGGTTGTTACAGCCACAAACTTTCCAATTAAAACAATGCTCTTCTGCAAAATCCAAATTTTTGCATTAACCGCAAATGTACATAAATCATTTTTGCATCGTGCAACATCACAGCAAGGTTGGTTTCAAGACACTTAAGATATAGAGTGGATCTAGATGTCTATTCTTGCTGTACTGTTAAATTTGTAAATATGCATCCTTACCAATTACAATACCCAGAAAAAGTCTTTTTTGATCATTTGTGTCAAAAGGGTAATCTTCCATATATTCTACATTAAGTACATACAAATGGGAGATTACTTGTAGGCTTTTTGTTTTAATTTGATGATTGTGACTTGCAGCTCATAAAAATCAGAGATCAAGAATTGTTTTAATATATTTGAAGCTCAGTCAAGGATTCAAACTCAAACTTCTAAAATTATCATCTATACAGCAAGTACTTAGTTGGAGCTCCTTGACCAAAAATGACTGCATCGCTCAGAGATGAGTAGCCTGTAACACTGATGAGGTGTCAAGCCAAGGTTGCTTTGATCAATGCTTTTGGTTTGTCTGTAATTTGGGGCAGGTGTTTCTCATCTTCTTCCTTCTCTCGATTCTTTATGGGCCTTGGAGTCTGGCCGGTGGGCTGTCCAATCAAGCACAGTAATAATACGGTCAGCTAACCATCTGGTAGTAGTTTTGGTGCTGTTGGCAGGTGCCAAGTCTGGCTGGCACAGAAAATGTCAATAAAGCTTGTTCAGCAGATGGAGGCATGAAGTGCTCTAAATCTCTTGGTAGCCTGCTGCATGGACTCTAGACCTGATGAACACAATGGACCAACACCAGCAAAACCAAATCATCACAGACTACAGAAACTTTTCACACACAGAAATCCAAACACCTTGGATTTTGTGCCTCTTCAATCATCCTCCAGTCTTCAGGACCTAGATTTTCACATGAAATGTAATATTTACTTAGACATGAAGAGGTGACTTTGGACCATTGAGTGACAGTCCAGTTACTTTTCTCCTCAACCCAGGTAAGACACTCCTGACATTGTCTCTGGTTCAGGAGTGGTGTGATATCAGTTGTTGTACCTTTATTGAAAATGTCTGTGTCAGCTATCAATTTATACTGTTTGATAAGTAATTTACTCAACACAAAACAAAATACTCTAATATTTGAAAGAGGTCTAATAAACATCTAAATGTGGCTTAGACGACTGGTCTAAAATCAGGCTACACAGACGTCTAAATTTAGACCAAGTTTAGACTAAATCTAAATCTCTATATCTATACTACACTGTATATTGCTCAATGGCTATCATAATTATGTAGGTTAAGTACTTGGAGATTAGTTATGCCACTCACAGTTGCTTTTTGAAATAAATAGTTATCCAATAATAGGTTGAAGTGAATCTAGAATCTATTGGGAGTGAATCTACTGGGTTTAAAAAAACTAGACGTCTAATTGCCGTCTATTGCTCAGTGGGATAGCAAAAATGTTAAGACTGATGTTTCGTGAGTTGAGAATATCCACTCTCATTTTCACTCTTTTGAATGACTGATGGAAAACTTTGAACTTTTTCACTCACTTGATGAGATGTTTCTTCAAAGCAAAGCAACCAGCAAAGCTACTGGCTTTAACAAATCAAAATATATATCAGTCATTAATTTACATGGAGCTGACAGAAAAACATAATCAAAACTATTACACTGACAGTAAATGAGACAGAAAAATACTCCAATCATCACTGGCACCCTCAAGCATAATGGGAATAAAAATATCAGTTCCCATTTTCAGGCCAACAACAGTCTCCCCTCTTTCAGCCTTGATGATTCAAACGACCATGTCATTTGATTTTAGAGGGTTTTGTCTTTCACTCTTCACTGCAGCATTCAGGCAGCTTCCAGGCAACAAGAGGATGACTGACAGTTCCTGTTGACCAATCACACAAGATGCCTACACTTAGCACAAACATTCCTCATTCTTTACAATCTTCCATTTTACAGTGCAGCAAGAGGGTGTCAAATCTCTGCCAAACACCTCCCAGAGGACAAATCCATCCTGAGAGTGGACGGACCAGTAGAAGGTAAAGTACGTAAATGTGTGCCTCAGTTTGCAGTAGACATACCAGTTCTCACCCCTACAGAGACAGGTGAGGTTAACAGAACAATGGTGTGTGCCCACACACAGACATTATCACTTAATGACGTGGCTCATCAGACCTCTCTGGACTGTGTGGGTTTGATATTCAAAGATGGACTGACATTTTCTTTACACCTTAATAGTAATGAATATTTTGTGCTGGCAATACCCACCATGGTCCTTGCTTTTTCAGCATAAGTCAAGGTCTAATCTAAAAATAACTGAATTACTGGAAATGAGCGCTGGTGTGTTGATTGACACCATTCACAGGGGAAAAGACAGCAGGAGAAGAATGTTATAACCATCAGGGTGTTTTTTAAATTATACCAGGTATCGGAGGGGAGGGGGGGTGATTCTTCTGAAATGATGAGCAAGTATGAATCTCTTTTACTGACGAGACTGGGTACTGAGAGGAGATGACTGCTGTTAGGCAAAAGAAAAGTAAAAAAATTCCCAACTGTGTGGACTTTATAAGTTGCTTTAGTTGTACTGCATTTGCAGGCACCTTGTGTGAAAGCATACCTTTCCCCCAAGTGGAGCAAAGCTTCACAACAGAATTCAAATCTCAACAGTATATAGTGCTTTCACAATAGTCCAAATACTGTCAACCAAAATTGTATATATGTCACAGTTTCACTTTGTGATAATAAAAAAGGTAGAGATCAAAATTCAAAAATATCTTTGTCAGCTTTCAGATACTTTGCTCTGGTCTTTTCGCTGTGCTTCTTTTTACCTGCCATTGTAAGTGACCCAAGATAATGTTTCTTAAATCTGCTTGTTGCCTGATCATCCATAGGAGTCACAAGAGTGTGAAGCAGTCACTGACATATTTATACTCCAAGGCACAGCTGATGCAGGGTTGGATTTCTGTGTGGTTCCCTGTGATCCTCCAGATACAATCACAGGGGTGTTCCTGAATAAAAAATTGTCTTGTGTCTCAGTGTACAGTTTGCAGGGACAGAAGGATGAGGTGAGATTTCTTAGAGGACGGCTGGATTCACATCGTACTGTATGTCAGGAAGAGGAGCTCAGTGATTTTTCAGGCCTGTGGTATCAAGCTGCTAGCTTCTCTGAGAGGAGCTAGTTATGATGTCTGGGAGCCTCCCTTTGGAGGAAACTGGGAGGAAACCCCAGGCATACCCAGAACATGTGGGAGGGATTACATATGCCATCTATCCTGGGAACACTTAGGAATCCCTAAGGAAGAACATGTTGCTGGGAAAAAGAACAGATTCCTTTGCTCACCCTGTTGCCGATGCAAGCTTGTAAGCTTGATAGTTGGCTCAGATTGGATCGGCAGAAGTACAGAAGTCCTTCATAAAATGAGTTCATCCAAAGAGAGGGGCTTCTGAGAGAAAATACATTTCTGCAGCAGGAAATAATCCATACCATGTCTCCCTGTTAGCAGCACAGCACTGAGCTATAAAGAGAAAGTTGCCAAAAAAGCTTCCACCAAATCCTGAGCAACAAATCCTTCATCTGAGCTTGTCCTATTCCTGTCAACAGCTTTGTTCTTTTATGATGCCTATTTTTGCACTAGTACTTGCATCTATCGGTAATAAAACCTATAATGCAGGACATTTTCAGAGAAGTTTATAAAAATTATTTAGAAGATGAGAAAAACAAAAGACCGGAAGGCAAAGCATTTATAGTCCCTGCACATCCATTTTTTTAATTACTGAATTTAATGGACTCTTGGTTTTTCTTTAGTGAATTTTCTCTTTGATATGGGATGAAATATTTTGTTGCATAGAGAGGAGAAAACATTTCAATAACCAGTGCCATGTTATTGGACAATGAAGACTTGAACATTAAAGGGATAGTTGGATTTTTCTTTTTTTTCTGAAGCAGGGTTATATAAGGTTCTTGTCAATAATAAGTGTGTTTGCCACAAGTCTTGGCCACTTTGATGAGAAAGCAGCCAGAGAACTAGATTGGAAGCTAGGCTATCAATAGCTATGAATGGTGCAAGCTTCTCCACGTTATTTAGCTAGTTTGAAATAACTCTAACCAACTAATCAGCTAACCAGGCCTACAGGATTCAAAAGACACAAAAATACAACCAAACCAAAAATGGGTGTCTCTGCCAGTGACATGTTCACTGAGGACACAAGAGGACAGCTTTCTGAGCCAGGGTTTATAGAGGAAAAATGACACCCAACATTCAAGAGAAAAGAGAAAGAGTAAACTTTTGTGCTCACCCAAAAGCAGGAGGGATTCAAAAATCAGCTGGTGGTTCAGTTGTGTAAACTGTGGGCTCGTGCTCAGTACAAAAGTACTTGATTGATGGGGCTTGATAACAACAGTTTTTTCAGGATCTTTGGGAATTAGAAGATACCAGCGGATCACATACAACTGCAGTCTGCATCAACCAACAACCAGATTTAGATCACTGTTTTTACTGACTTTCTCCAACACTGAGAAGTTGCATCAGAAAACTAGAAAAGCTAAGTGGAAGCGTGTCTTCAAAGTAAGTGCTCTGCTATCACCTTTCTATGTATTTTGACAGGATCTATAATGTACACAATATGATTACACTGTGGCTGTGCTAGCCACTGAAGAGGAAGACTGAACTGAGACAGACCCTACTGTTATGATAGTGTCTGAATTTTACAGCATGAAGTGCCTAAAATTATGTCAAAATGAGATTCAAAATGATCACAATTCACATTAATCCTACATCATGGACCCAACTAACTCTGTGGCAATTGGGAGAGCATTAATTAGTCTTGTCCAAAAAAGCGCAAAAAGATGACTGTATGACTGGGCTTCCTTAAGCAGAGTACAGAGCTGTGAATGTCTACATAGAGCAAACACTGAGAATAGCACTTTGGTTTGAGTTTGCAAAAATTAGCTGATTAATGTTAACTGAATCAACAAAGCAGAGCCACAAGCTCACAAAATCCTTTCATATAATATTAGCCCACACTATCTTTGAAAAGCTCATAACCTTTTATCAGTAGATATAGTGAACGAACCATCACAGTTCTTTAAAAATAAAATATTGCACTTGCTGTCATTGATGCTGAAAGCCCATGTTTGAAAGGTTGTGAGATATTTTGCAATGGATGAATGTTCCTCATCTCTTGGTATAAATAATGCAATCAGTGGATCCATGTATTTTAAGGACCTGTGGTTAAAGCTATCCCTGATCACCATTTTAACTCTCCTCACTAGTTTCTTCCCATAGGATTCCCCAAGATAGCACAAGACACGACAGGCCAGATTCCTCGCTGGTCGCAGATCAGTGAAGCAGCTTTTTATCCTCTCACAGATAATCAAGGGGTCATTGGCTGTTTCTGCCAGCATATGTTTTTGTGGAGCTCAGCTGAGAAAAGCGTACAGTCATGCTCCCTAAGGGTATCCTGAAGTGAGGTGCTTTGGGTATGTGGGATGTTTGGGTTTACATTTTAAGCTGAATTTGCCTTAGAGACATTATACAAAACCTTATCATATTAAAATGCTTTTAAAGGGACTGGAGCTGTTTGCAATCCAAAATTTCTTCCAACAATGTGTAAAACTTAAGAGATGTGATTGTTGTGATAGCACAGCTGGGAAAAATGCTTGATGAATATAATAGGCTGTGATATTAGGGCAGGTTTCAGTTTTTCATTAATTGCAATAACAAAAAAGAAAGACATTTCAACATTTGCAAATTATAAAATCTATCGATTGTTTTATCAAATGTTGCTGAACCTATTTTGATAAATGCAGCTGTCTTGACCAAATGCATTACATCATATTTTACCTGCAGTGTGATCACATAACTGCAGCTCATATCTTTGACTTTACTCCATGTCTTTGTCAGTACATGATCAAACATTCAGCTTGGAGCTTTCATATTCCTTTTGAGGGCTATATTGAATAGATTTAGAGAAGACACTGATACACTGCTGCAACTGCTGGATGTTAGGTCCATGTGTTGGACCTATTCACAGTAAATGATTCAGGTTTAACCCGCATTTGTTTGTTTTCCTGAGAAGAAGATTCAGGGTATCTGAAATATTCATGACATGACCCTTGTCCAGGAAGTATTCAAATATTCTCTGAACTCCTGTCGACCTCTGCGGCTGTCCAATTTGATTTTTTTTTTATATTCTAAGAGGAATTTGTTACTGAGCTCAAGGTCGAGACGATTTCTCTTTGACAACTTAACTTAGTGTGTGTTTACCTGATAAGGTCTCCATGAAGCTGGACATACAGCCCCTGTCCATTCCTCTGAGCACACAGCTCCTCCACCGTTGTACTGGTGGAGCAGAGCACCAACTGCAGGTCTGTCTGAGGGGTAGAGGAGGCCTGTGGGCCAGAGGCAGGTGGCTGAGGGTCCACTGTCCCTCCATACAGGCACACACAGCCCCGCTGGGTGTCCCCCTTTAGCCAATCCCGCTCCCGAGATCCAAATCTAGTCTTTCTTGTCACGCAGCCACGACTCCCGTTCCGCTTTATGTTGCGCTGCTGACAGAGAAAGAGTCATTTTAACACATTTCTTGCAGTGAGATACATATCAGCATGTTGAACATCCATGAAGTGCCTAAAGAGTTCCAGAGTGGCTTAACGTAAGCTCTTGGTGGTCACTTTAGCACCGAGGGAGATGACTTCAACACATCTGTAATGGTAGATCTCACTTTGAAAATCTTAACAGTCCATCAACTCTCAGCGGAAAAGTTGTGAAATCTGTTGAAACAGCCTAAGTGTCCACACAGCTAATCTGCAACTTTTGAGAGTAGCAATTTAGAGCAGATAAAGGTTTTCACAATCAAGTTAAGGTGACACTTCTGGATATTGAGGAAGTGACACTTGTAGAATTAAATTAGCACCCCTCCCCTATATTGTTGCACTTAGGCAGACAAGGCCATCAAGGACAAGGAAATCAATGTTTCATAATCAATATCCACTGTTTAGCAAGTATGCAAATGTTGATTCCTATTATTACAATAATGAAACTTGTGATTACACTTTTTACCAAGCTCTTTGTTTGCTCTTACTACAGTCACTTACATAGCACTGTTAGTTAGATGTACAGTCACCTCATGTTATCCAAAAATTATTCAATGCCAGATCATAAAAATCTGAAAACAGCTGTGTTAAAGTCTAAACTGATCATGAAGGATAACCACAAGCACAAAAAAAACTTAACAGCATATTGATCTGTCTAGGAGGTAGGAAGATATGTCTATTCCAGTTCTGGGTTTCTGTCTATGTATTCATGCTGATGAACTACTGTTTATTTTTTTAAAAGGTAAATTGTTTTGAAATGAAAAGCTCTTAATTTCCTTGATGAAATCTTGCACTTGAACGTTCAATAAAAATGTACTTTTTTGCACGAATGAATGATAAATAAATAAATATGTTTAAAATTGTTTATTAAATTAATTAGCAGCTAATTATTTTTGTTCTATCAAATTTAATTCCATATAGCAGGTGAAAATGATCATGTTTTCGGTCAGTGAATGAATAAGACCGGGTTAAAAAAGTCCAATCCCTTTTTCCTGGGACAAAAATAAACCGTCACTCAGTCATAACTGCAGTATCATTATTCTGGCTGTTAAAGAGGTGGGACCGCAACCGTTGGGAGATCAGTTGAAATTTCACACCTGTTGATATATCTGCTACAGTAAAAGTAAACTGCCCTACCCTGTTCCCAGTCAGCTCCTATCAGGGTGTGTCCAACTGAAGCATCAAAACCACTGATGCTTACAGCGGTGGAATCCCTCAAAAGCAAAACTAATATCCTACAGATGCCTCTGAGTGGTTCCCAGGTGTGGCAATGTGTCACTGTGTGACTGTGTAAAAGGGTCACGCTGGATAATCATGAGAATGTTCAGTCAACCTGTCCTCAGTGTAAAAGGAAGAGGTTAATGTGCTGTTTTCTGCCATCTGACAAAATAGGAATGTATTGTCAATCAATGATGTGGTTGAGTGGTCTGTATACAATGACAATGAGTAGCTGTAATACATACTATATCATTTGCTCCACTGAATCAATAATCATTGTGATATTTCAGATGTGACCTCTGATTACTTCACTACATCAGGATGCCTTCTTGCTTTATGATCATGGTTACAGGTATGATAAAGAGTAGCACATACTGGTCAAAGAACAAGAGATTAAATGGTCAATACTTCTGAACAAGAAAAAGTATAGGGTTGAATCAACTCTACAAAAACATATTTATGGTGGAATCCTTTGTTACAAATGATGACTCATTGAATTGTATGGTTTTCCGAGTACCCCTCCAATAGAATAATATTGTAATATTGCCTACACATTAATTGAATAACAGCCACATTCTGTGTGCATGTGTGTCTGCCAAGCTAGCACAAGCACACCAGGATTCTTCCCCAGGGAATTGTGTATCATTACACACCATCTTAGCCCAAGATTTCATACAAACTCTCCAGCAATGGGCCTTCCTGTAAATGTTCTTACTGTCTTCACAGTGTGTGTGCATGTGAACGTGTGTGGTTTGTGGCTGCTAATTGGCTCTGGTAGGTACCTCATTTAATGGCAATCATCCACAGATCAATCATCAACTAGAGGATATCAATCACTGGGCATCACAGGCATTACATAATTTTACAAGGATGCATTCTCGTGCACTTTGCCCAGCTATGATCACCTACTACAATGCAAGGAAAACACTGACAAGTAACACCATATATAGATATTAGCCGACCACTGTGTCATGTTGGAATCATCAACTGCATCACAAGAATAAATCCTCTCCTTTATGGCTTGCCTTTAGCACTCGGATCCCCGTTGCAGCATGAGCTCCAGGACCACTGCGGCTGCCGCGACCTGCAGTCTGATTCAGCCCCGCTTGGTGGACCACTGTGTCCGGCTGCCTGTCTATGCAAGCCCCGTTATCTCCGACATCACCTCCTTTCTTGATGCCCGTTTCGGTGTTAGACGCCTCGGCCGCTGCGTTACTATCCACGTCCTCCATCGCCATGTATGATCCCTATTAGGAGCGACAAAAACCTACAAGTGCCGTCCGGGTGTGCGACTGTGAAATTCCCACGGAGAGGTGAAAATTCATCCTGTGTCGGTGCAGCGACGCCATATCCAGACTGAATCTGACCGCTGTCAGGCCTGCAGGAGAGCTGATCAATAAACATTAAATGGGCGGGTTCAGGGTGTTTATTATTCATCAGCCACTGCCCCTTTCTGAGGGCTGAGGCTTGGCACTTCAGTTAAAGCGTCATTTACCACTTGATACTGTTCACTGTGAAAAATCACGATATGCCCTCTGTAGGGCGTGTCTGTGCCACTCAGGCTGCGTGTGAGTTTTTTGTAGATGAGATGTGAGTAAACGACAGAAATATACAGAAATATACATGATATTTGGATGACAATTGTCATGAAGTGAAGCACCAATATGAGTTACTACTATCCTCTGTTCTCCAAGAGAATTGTAGTAACTTTGCGTAAACATTACTCTATGAAAAATGTAGCTATAGTAATTTAAAGCCTATTTTTATAGGCTATCTCAACGTTATGCATATCTAAAAATAAAATAAAAAATAGGGGAGAGTGGGGTAAGATGAGCCATCTTTCATATTTCAGATCACTTCATCAAGACAATTATAGTTTTGTCTTTAATGTATCTGCATATATTTCAAAATGTTGTGCATCCCTGCAAACCAACATAATGAGTGTAAACATATCTGTCTTGATAATATAGCATGATAAAAAAGTGGTCTCCTATGACCAACTTACCTCGTGTATGGGGTAAGTTAAGCGGTTTCCCTACTATATTGCAACTGAAATCGAGTGAACTTCTCTAGAACTTCCTGGACATAGCTGTGTAAAAATAATTATGTACAACTAAGTGAAAGTAAAGGTAAAATTAATTCCGTTACAAACCAAATCTGTAAAAGGGCACGTATGAGAGTACGTGTAAGAGCTATTTGTATCCATCAATATTATCTTATTTAGCCCAGGGTGACAAGCCACGCAAGATAGTAAGGAAAAAAAATAAAAACAGGGCTCTGATTTTTTTGTCTAGTGCATTGCTCTTCCTCCGCCTCAATGCAAAGTTTTCATACAGAAAAAAGCCAAGACGAAAACTCAGCATGAGAAAAGGAGAATTGGCAGCCCCGTATCTTTGATTCGGTTCTTTGTCAGTATTAACATTTCATTTTTTTTATTATATAAATGCAGTACCCTAAAATGAACAATAAATCTTGAATTAGAGAAACAGCATCTTTTAAAATACTTTACAAACCCTCTTAGCATTGTAAATAGAGTTAATGTTTGTGTTAGGGTCATTGTAAATTTATTTAGCTCATGGTGCAAAGCTTAATATTTGTATTGAAAGTTGTCACTTTACATCAAAGCTAGACACCACACCCAAAGCCAAGAAAACAAATACCATGGATCAACCATGTTTTTTTTTATTTGACTTTTTATTTGCTTGATCATTTCTCCAACCCAAAGACAAGAATACACAGCATAAATTGAAAATATCCCATTTAATAGTTTACATCTTCTCATCATTAATCATTATTTCACACTTTCAGTCTGACAATCACACTCACCTTGAAGCCATGGAACTGGGATCCAGTTCAGCATGACAAACTCCACTGGAAAAAAGTGAATCCCGCGCCTCTACCCTCCCCCAGCAAACCAGTAACCATGTTGTTTTACAGTCAGAACAGGCCTCGGGGGTTACAAACAGATTTTGATTTCAAAATACAATGGATGACTTTTTTTTTTCTGATTCCACAGGGAACATGAACATTGTGGCATTTCAGATGATCTCCCAGCCCTTTTACACACTGAACTTGCCCTGACAAATAAAAAAAAAAGACGTCAAAAATTAATTATCCAGTTTATCCAGTTGATGGATGTGCACCCACTTTCATCACCCCTTCGACACATTAATAGTATTTTGAGGACTATGTGAACAACTTCTTCTTGTACGTGTTAGTACTGACCCCTCAAGGTGGCATGACAGACTTCATAATTTAAACTTTTCTTGCATTTCAAAAAAGGAAAGAAAAGAAAAGAAAAAAGGTCTCAGGTCAAGAGTAGAAATGACATTATTTACACTGGTTTTCACATGCAGCTCAGAAGCTGAAAGTCGAAATTGCAGCCAAAAACATGTCCTATCTAATCGAAGACATGTCACACATCATCAAGCACTCTCAAGTAAGATCATTGTCATTCTCTCAGTCACTCTCTCTCTCTCTCTCTCTCAAACACACACGCACACACATACACACTAATATCACTTCAAACGCTGACCACACCGCTGATGGACATTTGTTTCCTTTACTTTTCTTCCTTATAAGTTAACAGTGTCCAGAGCACTTATGTTGGGTTTATTTCCATTTTTACATTTAAAACTGCATGAGGAGTTACATCATTAAAAGAACTGATCAGATGTGAATGACAGTTGACTAGCTGAAAAAGACATACAAACAACACCAACATAAACATTCAGGAACAGATGAAACCTCTCCTCTCCAATCTCAGCAGCCCTCTGCTTTGCACAGCCCCCCCTTGTGGCTTTTAATTTCTAACACAGGCTTAGCTCAGCTTTGTTTTTGGGGTGGGAAAGGCAGCTCTGTAATCACAAAATCTAAAAAAAAGCACGATATATTATCTACCTCCTTCATATTCCACCATGGTCCACCAAATTGTTAAGTTTAATTTTACTAATGAGGGCTCCAATTAGTTTGACATGTGTTTTAGCCCCAGCTTTCATTTTGAAAACAAAACAAGCTGAAAGGTGCCAAGCCGAAGCAAACAACATAAGCGACAAGAGAAAAGCAAAGAAAGAGAGCCAAAAGAAGAAAGCCTTGCAAAGATCAGACCAAGGAAAGGACATCACTGTACCAGCTCACATCTGGGACCACATAGCACATATAACATCTTACTGCTTTTCTTACTGCTGCTTGTCCAGATAGACTCTTCAGATATAGACTGATTGGCCCGAGTAGGAAAAAATTATAACAAAATAAAAAAAAAAAAAAAAAATCAACAGAAGACAGTAGTAGGGACTCCGTGTGATTGTGACTATATGTTTTCAGGAAGGTGCATGTCAGACAACAGGGAAACCAGGCAACCATATGAAAACATACCATGAGCGAAGGGCTGTATTTCACAAATCAATTTGTAGCTTCATGAGACTTAACAAGATTCCAACTGTCCAGACTGATCCACCACACTTAAGGCCAAAAGGAAGCTTGACAGCGGGGCTAGAAAACCTACTCTTCTTTGAAGGACAGCGTGGAGGGATATTTGAGGGACATTGAAGCAGACAAAGAAAGGTGCCACTTTTGCTGCTGTGCAGTGCTGTGCTGTGCTTAGGTTTCTCAGTAGTACAGTACATCAGTCAGACAACATCTGTTCAGACAGATTCGCCCCCTTATTTCAAAATCCTCAGAAACTCCAACCAGTGGTCTGCTGACTCACCAAATCACCTTTGTCAATATAAGTAAAAACGACACACCCTATGATTGAAGAATGAAGAAAGGTTAATCAAATGCAGTTCAATTGCATCCTTTTAAGATTTTTTTGTACATATGCATACAATTATACTTCCTAGCTAATCTTAAGTCCTCATGTGGGTTTTATTTAATTTGATCAGCTTTTGTTTGTTTTACAACTATATACAATGTACAGGCAGCAGATCATATATCTTTTACAATGAATGAGTGATGATACAGGGAAGTCTGTAAAGACTGATGCTGACTAGATCTATTTAGACAATATACATGTGAATAATTGGAATTTTTAGAAAATGGTATCTAAAAAAATGATGAAAGATAGTACAAGAGACAAACTTGTAAAAGCCCTCAATATGTACAGAACAAAAGCCAATATAGCATTTGTCAAAAACAGAAAAAAAAAGTTAAACTGAAATAATTTCTCCATATACACATATCATAGCTCAAAAATATTTCCAAAGCTAATAGTTTCTCTGATTTGGTCACAGAAGTTAGTGGATAGTGAAGCATAGTGAAAAGAAAACAAGTAAACAGCCTGATTGAACGTCTGAGGATCTCAACACAGCATTACAAGGCTGCTAAGCTTGTTAAGTAATGAGATGTACAAACTACCGTTAGTTTCTCTCATGCAGAAGCTCCCCTTGATTGCAATTCATGACTGCAGAAAGCAGGCAATCTACTGCAACTAAAAGTGAACAGAAGGAGAAGACATTGTGAGGTATTCAGGTTACCGTCCCCGACGGCATGGCCAGAATTTTGATTTGGAGAAGACGAGAACCAGGAAATCAAACTAACAGTCACCACAGAACAACCCATCCCAGTACCTCACCACGTGATCCAATCTAAATATTTGTAAATGCAAGAAAATCTGAATGATTTTGCATTTGATTGGGGCACTTACGCTGTTTAAAACACTTGATGCCAGCCTATGAAAAGATTACATCTATTAGCTGCCATAACTTTAAAGATTTGCTTTGAATTAGGAAGCCTTATTCATACCATCCGACAGGAATAGAGAATGTTTGGTAGGAGAAAAACAATCAGGATCATGTTGCCATAAACTATGTTCTTGTCAAAACGAGACAAAAGTGACTGCTGTGGACATACACAGATGGGACGGTTTTAGAAGGTGACTGATCTTAACTCACAAGATAAAGAAGTGAAAAAGTAAAACTTCTTAAACGATGTGATAAACCGATTCAAATCCATCAGGACCATTTCCCTCAGGATTAAAACACACAAGCACACTTACAAACGAAGCTTATACAGAACTCCATAGTTCAGGGGCTTTTATCTAGCTAAGTCAGAAAGGCACATCACTTTGATATCAGGCATAAATAATTAAGTCAAATTACTGCAGAAATAAAACATACTCTCACAAAAAATAGTGCCGATAAGACGGATGTCCCCATCAAAGAAGACAGCCATGAAAAAGAAGACTTGAGGGGGAGAAAGCATTCAGTGCATGTAACTACATTCATGACAAGCTTCATTTACATATATGTGCATGGTGACTTAAGTTCAACCAGGTTAAACAAATCTGAAATGTGTCTAAATTGCAAGCTAGACTGTGAGGACAAAAATGCAGAAAAAGTTTAAATGCACATCCCAGACACAAATGCAAACAGCTTTTCTTCAAATAAACTTCAGCCCTGCACTGTTTCCACCCTTAATGAATGAACCTTCTCAAACTATGGAAAGCAATTAACCGTTGAGTTTATAATACAGATCCTTAACTAAAGCTACAGATGAGATGATTTTAGGAAGGTCAGAGCACATTCTCACAAACTAGCCAGACAGGCCTTTGTTAATCTGTCGACGATCTTATCATTGCGACAGAAAACAAAAAAAAAAAACAAAAAAAAAACTACTTCCTATAAAAAAATAGGATGAAGAGACCGACTGCCTGAACCAGAAAATCCCCTTAGAGCTTGAGTCAATGTGTGACTGTGATCCTTACGATGCTCAAACATGCTTTAAGCAAATTAATGTAATTCAAAATGAATACAACTCTCTGACAAGTTATATATCATGTCGTGGGGTCAAAGGAGAGGCTATGCAATAAGTTCCTTTTACTTGATGCACTTTTCAAGGCTTTTCTTCTGCCGTTAAAGGATTGAAGGTTCACAATAAAAAACCTGAATGCAGAGCCAATCACACATATTGAAGAAGCAGGTTTTTCTGATTGCATTTTGGCTTGATTATGAATGGAGACATAATTGAAGTTACTGCAGTGCTCGGAGTGGTCACACTTTTTCTCTACAGTGACTTGAGAGGTAAAGTGCGCCACAGTGGATGGTGTGCATATGTGCTTTTGTGGGGTTGGTAATGGTGCTGGGCAAAGGGTGTACGTGGAAAATTGTACAACTACGCAAAGAGTTAATGGAAACTGGTAAAGGAAAGAAAATAGAAAAGTTCATTGATTGATATGTTTCCCAATTATTCTGGTGATTCCAATGGTCCAAAGGGTCTTCATAACATCTGTATTTTTCTCCTGTGTTAGATGCTCTGCTGCTTCCCATGCAACTTGAGGGCAGCGGACTGCAGTGACGTCACAGGGGGATCCGTTGGAAGAGAGGAGGGAGGTGAAAGGAAAAATCGTTTTCATAGTTCCCTTGTTGGGGGCTTTTAAGAGCGACAGAAGCAGCTCATCACTGCCAGGACTGAGGGGGGAAGTTATTAACCTCAGCCAGGTCTTGCACAGGTGAGCCTTTGAGGGTGTATGTCAGCTTGATCCTCATTCGTAGCTGTTGCTGAAATTTTGTGAGGATGATTGTGTTTATTACAAAAGGAAATCATTGAAGGTCTTAAAAAAAGTTCATTAGAACAAGATCAAACCACTTTTGAGGGCTGAACCTACCTTCTGTGGGTTGAGGACTCTGATGACCTGTGTGACAGTTCCCTGGTTGAGTGCTGGGACAACATTGCTGCTAGGGGACAGGAGCTGCAGCTGGAATGTCTAAAAAAAATGAATTGGAGGCAGTGTGTTAGATCGGTTTACTGATAACCATACAGATGAAATATTAATGATGCCCACATCAATCACACGCCGACCACAACTAATGGATCTCTAATTCTAACATCTCAACTCCCCCTTTCAAATGCACACGACTGAAAGTGTCTGATATGAAATCTGCTAGGCAAAGAAGAAAATGTAGAATATAGTCCGTCTGTTCTCGCTTACCTTTGGTACTGCAGCCTGAAAAACAAATTCTGTCATATCTGCCTCTGTCGAGTTGGAAGCATGGATGGTGATGACCGCAATGTTTGGATTGGGATTAGCTCTCTCAAATGTGAAGTCTATTTTCAGACCATTTTTGTTGTATGCCGTCATCGGAGGAATAGCTATACAGAGATTTTAGAGAAGAAGACCATAAACATTAGGATGCGATAAATAACATTTCCAATAAGATGTAGAACCACCTGCTTGAATACACAAGGGTAATGATGAAAATGACTATACTCAGGTTCACATAGAGGTGGGGGCAACAGATTCTCACCTGCAGCTGCAATGTCATTAAAGAGAGGCGGTGAGGAAAGCCCATCCAGGAGGAATGAGGGTTGGGAGGTGGGCACAGAGGGAGCAGGAGCAGGGGGTGGGCCACCTAAAGAGAGGGACAGCAACATCCCAGGGATTTGTTCTTTTCTTTTTTAATGCCAATAACAAAGTGCTATTCGCTGAACAGGGAGGGAGTGGGTGGGACATCACATTTACACTCACGACTAACAATGGGCTAATATCAGGTTCCATCTTTGCTTTGAAAGGGATAACAGAGAGCATTAACAAAGTATCCTACCACTTAGTGAGAGGTCGCCAAGCAGATCAAGCAGCTCTCCTCCAGCCGAGGCAGGCTTAGTGGGCATTGTAGTTTGGATTACTGGCACCACATCATGACCACCAAGTAGGTCTAATAAATCATTAGCCTGGACAACAAGGACAAAATGTTAAAATGATAAAATGATAAAATAAAATAAACTACATGCACTCTGTACAACCTTACTAACTCTAATCTCACCTGGTTGGCTGGCTGGGCAACAGGTGGTGGATGTTTTGCTTCCACAACAGAGGACTCAGTCTCCCCATTTGTCTGGACAATTTCTGTGGGGCCATTGGAAGCAGTCTTTTCCATGATGGGCATTCGTTCTAGCAGAGCTGGCCTATGGATCATGGAAAAAAACAATAATAATGAAGAAAAAAGAGACAAAAGATCAAGCTAAATCACAAGCGGATGTTTCTACCGATCAACAGGCACAACTTATTATTTCAAATTCACCTCATGTGGTCATATTTCTTGAAAAGCGCATTGTACTCCACAGCTCTCTGCTGAAGCTCGACATCAATGCTACTGCCATATATCGAAACCACCTTCTTGATTCGGCTGGAAAAGAAAAAAAAACAAACAAAAAAATTATGGAAAGGAAAAAAGGGGAAATCAGTGCTGGTTATGGCGAACGAATATGATTTACTCAACACCAAAACTTTTGCAAAATTAAACATTTTTATTTACTTGACACTGCTGAAGCGTGTGGACAGCTTCATGATGGCAGTGAGGGCATAACCCCGGGTCACCGGTGTGGACAGGTTGGACACCAGGAGGCCTTCCAGCACATCTAGAACTTCATCCTCAGTCACCTTAACGGAAAATGAAAGTAGCAAAAACTTTTGAGACACATAGCTTCTATCAAAGCCTTACCACTTCATTTTGTATGTACATCTGCCCATGTGGCCAGCATTCCTCCAAGCGTACCTGAATAGGCTCCTCTTCCTCACACTGCCCTGACACCAGCAGGTCCCCATACTCTCCTATGCACCAGGATGCTACTTGCACTAGAGGTTGCTACGAAACGAAGAGAAATACATCTCAAATCTGGTGCACTCTTGAGCTCCTTGAAAGTTAAAACAGTGCAGAATAAAATCTAATCTTAACCCCGACCAGGTGTGATCTTACCTGCGAGATGTCATCCAGCAGTGCTTTGTAAAGTCTCTGGACTGTGTAGGCGTGCATCTCCACACTATTGGTGATGAGCTGGATGAGGTTGGGAACAGAATCGTCTCGTACGTAGCTCCCTGCCTTTGAATGCAAGCAGAAACATCAGTCAGAAACACAAACAAACCTAAAAATATTAACAATCGTGTGGTACAGATGCCATTCTTCTAGTGCAGGGGAGAAAAAAACATTATGAATTGAAGTGATTTTTATACGTACTGTTGTCAGGACTCTCATAATGGTGTCTATGTGCCATCTTTTCGAAGGAGCATACCTGTAACATTAAGACCGCAATTAGTCTCCACCAAGAAGAGGAGATGAATGTGTCAAGTAAAATGAGTGGTAAACAGCAAGGTGACAAATGCTGTCAGAAAAATAATGTTGTCAGCAACGTCTGTCAGACGATGGATCACTCATTTTATCATCATACAGCATTGAAAAAGTGTTGTCATCTCCTGTAGCTGTGTTACGACTAACAAAAAGTTGTTTACTACATTCTGCCGTCATTCATTTAATGTCATACTTTTCTGCTGCTAAAAAGACTCCTGATGCACAGTCAGCCTTGAATTCAGGGTCACAGGAGTCCAGAAAGTAGAGGAGCTCTTTCATCATGCCTCTGATGTTGTTCCCATTCACCAGGGCGAAACTCAGTTCCATTGCACGTCTGCACGACAATGACAAGTGGGAGAAGGTCAGATACAACGCAGTGAGAAACATACAGCTGTTGTTGATTCCTGCACTTCCGAGATAGTGAATTACCTCTTGATGGACACATCCAGGTCTTTTAAACAATCCACAATGGTGCTCCGATGCCTCTGCACTGCGTTGTGGTCTGTCTGTACCGTCTTTAGTAGGGACGTCAATGCCACATATCTGGATTCGCGATTTTAATTAAAAGATGTAATCAGCAATCGACAATAACATTTCTGATGATTGAATGCATACAAAGGCTGAATGAATTAATCACCTGATATTTTTGTCATTGTTGAGAAGGAAGCGTCCCAGGATGTTAATAGCCAAGACCTGCAAGATTAAGTGTATTTAGAAAAGCTCAACAAAAATGTTCATCCGAAGTTATGTCTCATATTTTGGTTATCTTACCCTCAGTCCACTTTCAGACTTGATGTCCATTATAGTCAGTACAGTCTCGTACAGGATTGCATTGCCTACATTTTTACTTGTCTCTGTGTTTGTTGCAACCTGTGAGAACAAACCACCATACATTTGTAAATTAAGACCCACTCTACTCAACGAAATGTACGCTGGAATGAAAAAACAATTACAAGTCATTCTCACCTGTGCAAGAATGTCATTCATTGCTTCACTGGAGTCATCATCGCTCTTGCCTAAAATTCTCAGTAGTCTCAATATCCGCACCTACAGACATAAAAATAAATACATATTGAAGTTGTGTTAGTTCACTTGAGCAATATAGCTCTGCCTAAATGATGCCAAAAGCACAACTCTGAGTTCTACTGCTTCATGTTACTGTTGCATTTTTATTGAGATTCTGGTGATAAAAGCACATTTAAGTACTCTCAGTGTCTTTTTCTGGTTAACAGTATAGCAAACCAAAATCTAGATCTGCACTTTCACTGGGGAGTATTAGAATTAGGACAGAGGGAGGTTTACCTGTAGGAATGGATCGCTTATGCCTGACACATCATGCTCAGGAGAGTATCCAGACATGATTAGGTTCTTCAGGATTCTTACCAGCTGTGGAACCAGCTACAGGAAGACCAAAAACACAACAGAAAAGCAGAGGTATCATAATATTTTGTGTAGACCTTCCAGTTTCAAACTTAAATAACAAACTTACTGTATTCATTCTTATGGTATAGTAAAGAAGTCATTAGTTTGAGGCTTATCATTTGTTATCAGAAGTGGCAGCTGACTAAACTTGTAAATATGTCCATTAAAACAGAACTATGGGGTTAAAGCGACAATGGTTAAATAGTCAAATTTTTAAGGCCGTGATATCAAGCCTCATTGTATAAAATATAAGCTTAAATGATTTGTGATTTCCATAAGAAAAGTTACTGGATGCCTTTACTTAGACTTACATAAATAGCTGTTTATCAATAATTTTTAAAAATCCTATTTAGATACAGAAATAATATTTTAGAATGCAACTTGCTGTCTCAGTGGGTAGGAATTAAGAGGACTGGGTAGAAAGAGATATTCAGTAACAAACACTGGCATCAAGAAAAAAACAAGCCCGCTTATTGGAAATACTTGTATGCATTGGGACTGTCGTACTTGCTAGATATTCAAAGATATGTCTAATCTTATCTCACTACATTACATTTGTGATTTTAACAGGTTTGGAGTTGTCAGAGAAATTTCCTTTTTTCCTCATTTAGTTTTGTTTCAATTCGTTCAGGCGTCTTTTGTTATGCCAGACTGAAAACGCCCCAAGCCAAGTCACTTGACAGAAGGCACACAGATAAAGCATAAAGCTGATATCCTCCCTAATGATCCAGAATGGAGATTTTAAAAGAGAAAGGAATCCTAAACCTATCAAATATCTGTGTGCACATAAAATATTTACACTTCTTTACTCTTCATTATTAAAAAATAAAAACACCTCTCCAGAAAGTGAGTGATAAAATCACCCTCCAATAGTGGCAAAGATCTGGTGAGAATTATCAGCTACCTGAGGCTCTCATTTACAAACACACCTTCCCAACTGCTTTTAATAGACAGTGATCAAACAGTGAGTTGCATATATTGCAAGTAATGACACTCAAAACAATAGTGAGAAATGTATTTGACGAATGGACCAAAATTCTTTTAGAAATATCGAGACACGGACATAGTAATGATCACCGTACAAGTCAAAGAACTCAAAATTATAAATTATAGCACAACATGACATAGAATAACTCAACACAAATCGGGTTACGTCTGAACTGTGACTGTGAGGAGTGATTACTATATACAGCATGCACCAGCTATGAGATCAGAATGTACTCTTACCTTCTCATTCTAACACAATGCAGGAAGTGTAACAAAGACAAATGACAGAAAAAATATGAGGTAGATGTTAGGGAGGGGAAATTGGAAATCATTCACTTTCAGAAAAGCTTAAAATAATGTTTAGATCATGAGCATGAGGTGTGGTGCCTCTGGCACAGTGTGCAACACCTAAAGAGGAGAGGTACAGCAGCAGTTGAAATACAAGAGGAAAAGACAGCGGAAGGAGATCAAGGACTGAGACATACTCTGGATGTAGAACAAACCTGCATCACAATCCAAGCCTCAAAGTTTAATCACATTGAACTCATGTTTGGCTAACTTAACTCTACTTAAATGAAAAGTGTACGCAAAGTGAGAATGAAATGTGACGTGAGCTTAAGACAAATGCCGTAAATTACTCTGAGGTCTCTTGAATGAGAGAATCTATCTGTACCTTTCTGAAATGGGCCAGCATGTCAGGACTTCTTTCACACATCTCAGTGAGGAGGACAACTGATGTATGGAGAACACCTGGAGGAAGAAAAAGAGAAGGAGAAAGAGAGAGGGTCAAGTTTGCCCTGAATGAAAATGGTGAAAAGAGTCCAAGTTCACTTTCAACTAGCCATCTATCACTCGAGTCTTACTTTGATGCTTATCCACATTTACCTAAGCCCTGCCCCTGGAAACTGTGGTCTCATCAAAATGAATAACATGCCTCTCAATTCTTTTGTCAGCCTGAACACCAACTACGCAACAAAAATAGTTCCTCTTCCTGTTACCAGTCATTTTGTACTAAACAAGCTACATGGCAGGTGAGAGATACACATACAAAACACATACAAACCCACAAAACATGATAAATGCAACGACATCACATTTCAAATATGTAGGCTCTGCTCTTGTGAGACTTTATTACCTGCAAGGCTGACAAATCACAAGACGCACCATTAAGATGTCAAAAAATATGATGCACTGGAATGCATATCATTAACCACGAAGGACCTCAGGTGATCTTTAGGTTCATCACACAGGCTAATCTGTTACTAGTTGGAGTTGCACAATGATTGAGTCCTGTCACTAAAAATCTGTGACGTATGTGGCAACACAAAGAAAAAACATGTTTTAAGTACTTTTTAAAAGCTTTTATACTGTGAATTTTCAGCTTGGTAAACCCAGGCTTGCTTTGAATGAGCCTTAAGCTCAAGCAAAAGATAACCAGTATCACAAAGCTGGTTAGAGACTCTCTCTGTTGAATCAGGCTTTCTGCTTCAGGCTCTTTGTTTGCTCTCATGAAAGGGGGGTGTTAAGATGGTCAACTGACACTTCTTTGGTACAAAAAGAAATGATAACTGGTTGTTTGCTTCTTTAAGAGTGACATGATGAGAAAATATGAGGAATCTTTAAAATTTATGGTGGTAAGTATTGCCCTTGCTGCTGCAAAGTGAATAAAGACCAAAGTCCTGCCCCAAAGACTGTTACATGGTGAATTCATCTATCGATTTTACCACAATACTCGCTGAGTGCCACCATTTATTAATGTGATAATGACACACAGTTAAACTTTTACACTTCAACACACAATTTCAGTAGTGTGGGCAGAAACTGAGATTATTGAATAACTCCAATTGTTTAAAGAAGGAAATAGCACTCGTATTGGCCAGATAAAAGTCTAGTCAGTTCACCTGTTAGATTAATTCTATGATGAATGTTAACCGCTTCATAAACTGAACAGTTTTATATTTTGCTGGAAAGTCCTGCTACTCTGACCTCAGATCAAACATAAAAAACATGTACTTAATGCAGCCACTTATTAATGTGGCGCCCTTCTTGTTCTTTTAATGTGCCGAGGATTTGCTGGGACTCATAGGGTTAATTTTAACAGTAGTGAAAGGAAGAAAAAAAACCAAAAAGAAGCAGAAAGGAGGAGACACAGACAGGCTCCCATGATGCCATATTTACATAGTGTCACTGTGATTGCACATCTCCTTTCAGTGTTCATAGAATCGGGGTTAGAGGAGAGCCAGCTTAGTGACACCGTGGACTTTGGATCAGCAGACTCAGCTCTCCCTCTAATCTCACTTCATGGTACTCCCCTCAGGTGAAGTGTTTTAATAGCATGACTGAGACTTTGTAATTTTGAGTTTTAAAAACATTTCACCCCGTGTCCTATTAGCACATAATTAAAAGGCACGAATGGGCAGACAAAAATAATAGCTAACAACCCCTTGCCTTTGTGAACTGTCCTATCTGAAGTATCCCTACTGCTTTGGTACACAATGTCAAGGAAGATCAAGTCTCCCCCTATATGGGGAACACACAAGCCCCAGAGTTTATGACAGACTCATTAATTCTCTTCTCCTCCGCAAAGGACGACACCAAAAGGACATGAGCTGCCAGCTGTTCTGAGCAGAGCACTGTGAGTGGCAGGGAATGAAAAAACTCTGCATATGTGTAGGACACAATCACAAGCACACTCCCCTGCAAGCCAGTAACTGCATCCTGACAAACTGTTTACACTTACCATGGTTCTTCTCGCTCAGCAGGTTTTTTGTGGCTGGAAGGAACATTTCCATAAGTTCTGGGACCTTCCTGATGACATGAACTGCACACAACGCTGCCTGTCAACAAATAACATTCAAAATGAAGACACAATCCGACTTTAACACTTTCATTATCTTGTTAACCCAATCATAACATATTCCTGCATTTCCATGCATTAACTGTGAGCTACAGACTTTCAGTCTTTCATTGTTTCAACACGGCGTCACCAAGGCTTACTTTTTTCCTCAAGTAGGAGTTGGATGTTTTGAGCAGCTTCTCCACCTCCCCAGCCAGATCACGACACATTTCTGAAGAACCCATGCAGCCCAGAGTGCACAAGGCCAGGCCCTGAACATACTGTGTGCTGTGATTCAAGTCACTGGAATGAGAGGAGAAAGATGAATCAGCTGCTGGCACTCACAAGTATACATACAAGAAGGATTTTGGATGACAGCATCAACGACTCAAAAGTTAGATTTGGTTTTCAAACCCACTACCAGGGAAAATGAACGTGCATTTCAAAAAGGACCATATCAGAAATCCTCAAACATGAACCACAGAATAAAACTGCTTGTACTGTAGAAAGTACAAGTCCCTTATAAAGCAGACTTCTTTGAACAGACAGGTCTTAATATTGAGTTCTGAAAAAGTTTTCATCTCCTATTATCAAATCGCATCTATTACATCTGCATAACAGAGATTGTGAACAGCAAACTAACTCACTGGATCCAAGACATGAAAACAATCAATTAATGATAAATTACTGTGTTACAGTCAAACAGTGCTGAGGAGACAAAGAGCAAAACAATCCGACAAAGAGAACCAAGTATGGACATAAAGATGAGTCCCCATCATGCCGTCCAGTACAGTACAGTTTGAAAAGACACTCCACTCTCTACTCTTTTGTGTTTCCAGAGTCCAAAGTTGGTACTCTACTGACTGAGAGAAAAGGTGCTGGATTGGATCATTTCTATGTACGTTTTCAGACATATCAGGGGATACTTTCAGGTGTATATAGCAAGCCTGTTAGGAAACAACCTTGTTCAGTAACGAGTGTTGAGTTTACACATAAACACCAGCTGATGAGGGAGAGCAACAGAGATCGAACCGGTGTAGAGAGAGATCCCAAAAGAGGGAGTATTTCCTGTTATCTGTTGTTATTTAGTGAATAAGAGTTTACCTCTAGGCAACATGAATCATGACAGCCTTCTGTCTATAGAAGGTTCACTGTAAGCTTGAATAAAAGAGCTATGCAACTCATCTCTTTTACCAAATAACTATCTGGGATACAACTTCAGAATAAAAGTGTTTGAACAAGGAAAGGGAAGTCTTTTTTTTGTATATTTCAGCTGAGATCTATATGCAGCTCAAGGAAAATTAGACAAGCCTTATAGAGAATATGGCTGTTCATCCTATGAAAAGGATGCAAGACGTGCTGCTGCTCACACCTGCTGTTTTAAGTGGCAGCCAACATGCTTCCTGAGTGCAGAGCCAAGTTACAGCTGGATGTGAAAATGCAAATTCAGGGTTTACTATACCAAAGTGTGCCAAACCAAACCTGACAGCTTGGTGGGAACAAAATAGAGCCACGAACTATAGTCTGTTGTTGCTTTATACAACTATGAGGTCGTTCTGTGTGTGACATGAACTGCAGTCTGGAGCCTCTGTTAACGCAGACAGATGGTGGAGCTGTCTTGTATGACTGATCCTTCTGCCGACTGGAGTTGCATTCAGAGAGTAGAGTACTTCTTTTTGGATTTTTAAATTTTTTTTTTTTGTCTCTTACTTCTTAATGCAATTTGTCATTAGTAGGTGGACATCCTGCCTTTCGTCCAACAGCAGCATAGCCCCCAAATAACCTATCCGTTTGTCAGTGAACTTCTGGGATGCAATCAACTTCAGGCACTCCAGCTGAAAAGAAAACACAAACAAAAAAAACAAGCCATTATGTCACTTCACTGCCCAAAGGTTTTTTGGTTTTAATCTTCAGCATCAGATGATTCAAGGACATTAAGTACATGCCAATATTCTCTTAATATTCTCTAGTCTAGCACATATATACTGGAGTCTTACACTATTTACAGTGATGTCTTATAATATTACCTGACGTCACCTATCTAGGTTTGCACAGTTGTGCACTGAACAGACTAGCTCAAGGACGGATATCCATCTAAAAAAGCATGAGTCCTAAAAAAAACAGTTTACTCTTACCCTCTCTCTAAAAAATTTTATCTTACGATCCAAAAATTTTGTTCAGCAAGAAAACATGAATTTTTATCATTCATCAAAGGCCAACACAACAAAAAGGCACCGTGTAAATATTTTGCTCACAAGCTCTGGTATAGTTGTGCCAGCACAGATCAGCAGCCAGGCTTGATACACCACCTCTACTCTAAAACTGTTACGTCACAGCTTTCACTCTCTGACTTTAATAAGATAAGATATGATAAGAAGAACTTTATTTATCCCTGAAGGGAAATTCAATAGAAGTAGTGAGATACAGCTAACTAACTATTGCTACTAGCAACTAATGCAAATTGTCAATCTAAGTTACCAAACTTGTCATCTCAAACACTAGTGGGGGTTTCTCTCAAAGATTTCATGAGCTGTGGCAGTTATTTAATTTCCCCGGTGAATATTCACATTAAAGAGCTCTGTTTCCAGTGCTGATCTGCTTCTGGATCATCATAATAAGAGAAGTTGATTCCACAACTAAAGACTGATGATCACATTAATTTGGTGGTAAAATGTAAGCTCAGTGTGTGCCACACAAAGCTGGGAAATACTGGCAAATATCAAACAGATTGCATTTATATCATCCTCATATTGTCTTCAGTCACTGAAATTTGAAAGAGCTTCTGTAGTCCTGTAGCCCATCCCCCCACCATCACATACCTGACCAAAGTGTGCCGGGTAGCCCAACATGTGCATATAAAGTAGTTTTGCCACATTTCTGCAACGGTATGTATTGTCTTCCTCTCTAAAGGATGAGCGGATAGCAGCACACTCTTTCTGGATCATCTCACGCTCCTCTGCTTGGGTCCGTGCTGTCCGGATAGTCCGGATCAGCTCCCGCAGTCTGATCGGAGCTGGCATTTTCTGAAAAACACAAAGAAAACAAAAAGGTTGGCTAACATTGCCTTAGGGTTAGCACTGGACTAGATCCCACCAAAGGAAGGAGTAGGGCTACACTTCTTAATCCAGAAGCACCAAGTATAATTCATTCACCTTAAATAGAGGACATAAAAACTACTTCAACACCCCCAATGAATAATATGATAAGTATTAACTACGAGAGGGGAATAGATAACTACTGCATTTGAAGTTTCTATTTTTAATAGTATTAGCAGAGCAAAGGTAAAGGAGAATGGCAGGTGAAATTCAATTCTCTGGCAGAGAAGCCTGAAGGAGCACACTAGCTTAAGAGACACAAGACCAGTTTAATTATTAATGAGAAACAACATGCTTGGTTGTGAGCATTAATTAGTCCGGTTGTGTATATTAGCAACTAAAAAATTGGCATTTAAAGGAAAAAGAAAGATGTGATTTTCCCTGTGCTAACATCTACAAAACGGATACAAACTACAACTGCCAGCTACCCTTAAATGAAGAATTTGTTAGTTTCATTTTTAAAATGTCATAATGATTCAGCCATATGCCATTAGAAGCCCTGAAATAATCCATGACTCAGTCAACTGCAAGAAATGCACAGTCAGGTTAATTCCAACGTTTTAATTTACAAGACAGAAACTCTCATTCATTTTAAGGGCAGATTTAATCCACTCAAACAAATTGAACCCCAGGTTTGGAGTTTGTTAAACTTTACTGTTAATGCCGTAATGCTGATTCTCTGTTTTTTGGCACTTGTTTACTCATAATACAAAATTCAATGACAGAACTTCACTTCTTTTCAAACTGGAAGGTTATTACTGGTGCCCCCCTCTGCTGAGAAAGAGGTACATTTTGTCTCCCATCCCATGAAGCCTTTTATCCGGTGCCCTGCAGTACATAATTAAGCTGCTAGAGCAACAGAAACTATGGTAATTACTTGTCGAGCAAATCCATTTGGTAGACAGAAACATAAAAGGCATTTTGAAGGAGCAGGGACCCTAAAAAAAAATCTTGTGATAAACTAGGGGATGAAAAAGCTGACACAGACATTTTCTAATGATAAATGTTGTTCTTCTCATTGTAAGGCATGTCTCCCAGACCTATCCAATTTTCAAAGATTGTTCGAGCCAAGATAGTCTGTCCCTTTGTTTTACTATCTAAGTAAGATGAATGATTTCAATAATCATCAAACTAAACTAAGATTGTTTCCCCTTAAAATTGAAATACATTACAGAAAAAGTGTCAAATTCTAATGCAGGAGACATTCATTATTTATTCTTGAATTGGGAAAACTTTTGAAGAAGAAAAGTTTGCTCCCGCTTGCTCCCAAATAAGTTTAAAAGGCACAGGCAGGCGACAGCATCTGCATCTGTGTATTTCCTGTCATGGCCCAGAGAAAGTGATTAACATACAGCAATGTTGCTAGCATCAATATTGTTGAAGCCGTTGTTCTCACTAGAGAACACCCATTAGACTTATGGAAATCTTTCTAGGTCATGAGCTGGTTGTTTACATGAACAGTCAACTTCAGCCCCTATTCCCCAATGACAGACTCATTTTTAGATAGAGGTGAATGTGAAGAGTAAAATCTGGATTGATACAACATCAACTCTACATTTGTCTTAGAAATACTTGGTAATCCTTGAACTTATCTATATAGACCTGTATTCTGTGAAGTTTACAATAGTTTGAATGGTCAGAGGAATATCTCCACACTTTTACTATTGCAGGAAGTTCGTTGAAACTTTGCCAGTCAACTGAGGGAATGAGTATCCAGGCAAAGAAGGAATGGGGGCATCCTTTGCTGCATAAGGCGGCGATTTGCAAACAATACTGGTATTCAGTGATCTAAGAGAAACAGGGAGGGCGGTCAGACAAGGCCAGGCCTCAATAAAGCCAGAGATCTACTTTCTGTCCTAACACCTTTTAAATTACCTGAGCCTAGACTCAGAGTTGGGTTCCATAAATCAGGTCTCTTTCCCTCTTGCTGTGCAAATAATCAAATGTGTTTGCCATTAAGTAAATCCAGTTTCTGCTGAGAGCTGATGCTGTGTTAGCTATGGGTCCTCATTCTTGCACTTCAAAAGCACATACCTCTATGATCAAAACTTGAAAACATGTTAAGCTCTGTATTGTCGTTTTTTCTCATCAAGGTTGGCTTTACTCAACCTCACATTAAAGACAAAATCTGCTCTGCTGTAGAGTCATTGTGCAGATTATGGTGGTGATCACTGAGAAGATCCACAACAGCCCATACAGGTTTTGTTAAGACAAAACAACCCTGTCTTTTCTGGAGTTTTTCACTCAAGTGTCTCAATGACAAATAGTGCATTTTCACCCAAAAAGCTGACAGATAGAATAAACAACAAGAAAATCAGTGTATCACAAATTGCAAGAGCAGAGCTCATCATTTAGTATGCAATTCTCTAACAAATATTACATTTTTAGGTGATCTACTTCCTTTGCATTTCTGTTAACTAAAATCCTGACCAACATTATCAAACATTTAGCCAGAAGACTATAAAATACCATTTAAACATCTTTCCTGTCTGGGTGTAGTTCACGTGCACTGTGAAATGGTTATTAGAAGATTCTCTTATGAAATTTAAAGAGGCAGCTTAGATTTGCTTTCAGAGCTTAACGATAGCAACGATCAAGAATCATGCCACAAAAGGAGAAAAATATTGTTAAGTGGCTCTACATTGGAGTATTGAACAGAAGGACATTACAACTGAAAACTGAGAGAAAGGCATTAAATCCAATACCACTTCTCTGTTGGAAAAGAGCTGCTCAGTTAAACTTGAAAAAATAAATCGGACAGTTGTAAGAAGAGAAATATACAGACACCACTGGGGAAAAGCTTTTTCCCTGCTCAATTTGCCAGGCTGTTGTAACCTGATGCACTTCAGCTCCTTATTTTCTCTCTGTTCTCTAATATGTGCTCACAGATTACATATTATCAGAGCTGACCATTATGTTACGTCTAATACAGCGATGCGCCTAAGAGATCCGATGTGCGTAGAAATGAATAATTACCAATGACTAAAATACACTTACTTTGTGTAATACCCTGCCTCTGAAAAGCAGTCAGATGATTTGCTTCACACCTAAAAGTGAACAGGACGAGTTGTAATGTGTAAGTATTGTGATCATTGTTAGACTTGTTTCGAGTAAATACTTCCACCATTGTACTGTCTATGAGGATCACAGAATAATTTATCTAAGGTTTGGTTACCTTTGTTACTTTTCCTAACAAGACATTACTGGCTGCACAGGCCATACAATTCTCCTTCTTTCAGCATCAACTCTTCAACAAATAAGTTTTCAATCTGACTACAAGATGAATAAATTGATATGAAATTACCTAAAATGCTCACACAGACCCCGGTGGTCTGAAGAGCCTGCCAGTGCCATAACTAAGTTAATTTCTAACTATTTGGAAATCTTCTTAGTTGAACCTATAGTCCAACAGGTCTTAAACTCAAACCAATGAATAATGATCTCTGCAAAAACACGCTGACATCATGGCCATAACCTGTACCACTCTCTACCCTTCCCCACTCCTCAGTGTCAGTGTTGGCTCTCAAGATGTGGCTCCATTTGAACTGCACAATGATTATTTATCAGATTCATAGGTTTTAAACTAGCCAGCAGACAAAGCATCCAGAGCCAATGCTGGAAAAAAACTACTTCTACTAGATTATACAGAATGTCTTCATCCTGACTCTGTGGGCCTGATGTAGCTGTGAGGGAGAAAATAATGGGACTGCTGAGAGTTTAAATCTGGTACTCTCCAATTTGGTTATTTAAAAACAAGATTAAAAAATGAAAAACTCTTCTAGCTTATGTTTAGTCTTATGAGACAAAGCCTGAAACAATTCAGTGTATGGGATACTGGTTTTTCAGACTAAGAGCTAGGTCCTATGGGAGTGTAAGATTAATATCTAATATCCAATCACAAAATAAAGATTAACTCAGTGTTTTGGCAAGAAATAGTTAATAAGCCACACAGTTACTCACTTCATCACCATCAGCAGTGCTGAAGGTTAAAGGGTTTTAAGCTAGCAGCTGTTTGTTTCTAGTCTTTTTCATGAAACCATCCTGTGATTCCACTCAAGTACTTAACTACATAAAATAACTTTGAATTCTGTTGAATCCTGGATATTTTTACCATGGAGGCTCTTAACATTAGCAGATTATATCCAGTTGACAAATGGTTATGGTTTGCTTGTTAAAAACTTGTTCATATGTCAGTTGTTACCTGTGTAAAATGAACATATGTGACTTACCCATCCTGCCTTTTGCTCACTTCCTACTCTCAGCTGACTTCCTCAACGTTAAACCCACGCACTGTTTAGTGAACAGGTGTTTCTCAAATGACATGGGGTTATAATTGTTTATAAAATACCTGACTCAAAATGCTTTCTCCCTAATTCGGAAGTTTTCAAGACAGAGTTTCTGACTTATCGTACCTGAAGGGGTCCACGTCCTTAACATAATGAAGCTAGCTACTGTTAGCCTCCCGGATATCCCAACATAACGTTAACGTATTGGCCAAGTAACTGAAATTTATCCAATGTAAGGAAAGTCTGTTAACATTGATCAGCATTGAGTCAAACGCCCAAATTGACTCGGCTGGCGTTAATTACTCCAAGCAACGAGAGCACAACAAGCTAACCGAGTATACAGGAATATCGCCAGAGAAAGGGCAACACATTATGTTGACACTACATCGGCGGCTTCACCTTGGGTGACAGCAGATTAACTCCGACAGCCTTGAACAATATGAACAAGGTGAAATGACAGGCCACTACAGACTGGCCAAGACACCTGGATCTGATCGCCGATTGATCAGGATATGATGCAGTTCAGGCCTTCTTGTGGCATTTGGATTATAAGCTAGCGAGTACTCTTAGGCATTAGCTAGCTCACATTACCTGACCACTCGTTAGTTTTTTCCTTTATACCTTCTCCCGATATAAGCCAGACTCCCACTTCAAGGTAAATATATACGTTATGTTAGCTGGCGAGAAAAGCAGTACACGTACATTGACAATGCGTTTTGTCACGATGACTATGACTTAGTGAAAAACCTCACAGCATAGATTGCTAGTGAGCTTGAGTTACATCCCTAGCCCAGCAGGTTGTTAGCTTTAAGGCTATGCTAACCATGCTAGCTAACTTAGCTGCTGACAGGCACAACCCCGGTACACTGAGGGCTGCGACTTCCTATGCAGCGCCACACTGAGAGCTGTCAGCGTAGATACGAACACGCCATTGCCTATTGTTCGCAAGTTCAGTCATTTTCATATAACCCCACCGACATAGTATTGTAAAAATATACTTACTAGCCGTAATGATGCCAGAAAATGACTGGAATCGGTTCTATTAGCAATGGAGGGAGGAACACACTAGACATGCAAAATGGTGGCTACTCCAGCCTCAGCACATCTACCGCAGGCGGAGGGTTACACTGACATATCCCAGAGGTTGGTGAAAGAAGAAGCGCGCGGGCTGTGTCAGAGCTGAAGTTTGTCACCAACGTCCAGTAACGGCTGTTACCTGTACCGTTCACAGAGGACTTCTTCACTGTCTGTGCCTCTGCCTCAGACTCACACCTGATATGCCAGTGCTCATTGGACACCATGGGTAAATGGCTGAATTGTGTCTTAATAACGTAGCTAGGTGGCCGCGCTGATAATTCTGCTATGCATTTTTTGCTAGTTGCTAACTAGCTAGGGAGCCCGTTCTCCTTCATCGTTGTAACTATAAAGGGCTAACGCAGGGGCTTGTCATCTTTAGCCAGCTTGCTAACTGTGCAAACGTACCGTTGAATTCAAAGGCTTGGAATCAAAATTATTTTTCTATGTATGATTCATAGTGCGCGTTTTTCTCTATGTTATGTGGTTAAGACGAAGACAAGAAAATTCACGCTTCTGTGCTGTGAGATTATTTTGTTGAGATTGCATATTTTCTCTTCACCCGCGGAAGAATAAATTTTACCCCGACAACGTTGTGATGCGGTCCGTTTACTCGTGGCAGTCAGTGATGACGACTACATGTAATGTTATGACATTAGCCTTTTAGTGTCTTTGGGCGCCACCTAGTGTTGGAACTGTCGATTATACTCATTTTAATACTGAACCTGCAATTGACGGTTGGGCTTGATGAATGGTTTTTTACAAATTAGAGGAAGGACCTAATCAGTCTTACTAGATACACATCTTGCCAACCTAGATATTTAAAGTCTCTGTGAACATACTCTTCCAACACCAGACAACATAATGTTTCTTAATCCAACAATAAACCCTTCTCTCAGGAGAGTTTCTACGTTTTCAGTGTTTGTTGACATAGTCTGACAGGTATTAATGGTTCTTTATTAAGTTAATTGTTGAAGAAGGGTGTTGGTTATATACATGATATGTGCATGATAAAAGTAGAAAGCCGCTCTTTATAGTTTGACTACTCCATAAACAAATACCAGGGGTGCGAGAAATTGGGAAAACTTGGAGGAAGTAGAATTTGTGATAGCCTAAGAGAAGTTTGTGTTTATTCACTGAAAGGTCCACTGTTGCATGATTTGTCCACCAGAGAGCACTGATAAATATGTCTTGAAGAGTCAAACATTGGGATCAGTGTTTAATCTGTGGACGATTCCTTAGTAACTAGGTGCTTTTAAAACTGATCTTTTTGTCTGCTTTGTTGTTTGTGTGGGCTGATTTAAGGTACATGAACGTTTGGCCTGTCTGTCCAAAAATAATGATGAATGAATGATGAATAGTGATCAATTAATGTGTAATTCACCCATTCATTCTCAAAGGTATTCAGATTTATTTGTGTTTCTATTTGATTCTCTGTATTGTAGTTATAGTATGCTTAATCTATTGATTGTAGCATGAAATTACATGTAGTAATAATAATAATAACTTTATTATAAAGCACTTTTAAAAACAGAAGTTTTCAAAGTGCTTTGACAAACAGTTGCAAAGCACAGAACATCAGCACATAAAAATAAATACAAAAGCTCGGTTATAAACAAGGCCTCTGAATTGAAGGCCAATTTCATTTTTCATAAGAAACCTGGGCAATACAAGAACCCTACAACATATAATGAGACTATGGGGACAAAAATAAAAACATAAAATAGGTAAGAAAAAGAAATGAAATAGAAAAGGGGGGCAGAAAGCAGGAAACAGGATAGTAAATATAAAAGAGGATTTTAATAATGATAATACAATCATAATAAAATAATAATGATGGCAATAGTGATGATAAAATGGAATAATAAAAAACAATAAAATCAATAAAGGGCCTAAAAGGTAAAAGAAGAAAAGATTAATAGTAAAACAAAAGCTAAAAGGATAGTAAGCCTAAATAAGATAAAAGAGATGAAAGAAAAATGATAAAAGACGGCATCAAATAAAAGCAAGTCTGTAAAAGTGAGTTTTTAAATTTGACTTAAAAGAAGCGACTGTCTCTGCAATGTCTTTGTAATAACACAATCAGCTGCTTTCTTATGATGTAAGACACCGAAAATATAACATGCATAAGGTAAACAAGCAATGAATGAGTAGTTTTTTCAGTGTCTTTTTATATTGTTTAATCCTCAACAATATTATCAAAGGTCTCCTGAACTCCGTAGTCATCTCTCCCATACAACCTAAACGCAGCACTGTATCTTAAGCATGAGCTCTCCATCGTCCCTGCATTTCCCACAATCCTGTTCGGTGTGGCTTCATCGCTTTTACGTTCGTGATCAGCTGAGCTCGTGCATCGCTGCAGTGAGTGCACGGGTGTGAGCGGCTGGGGTTCGGAGCAGCTCGGGGCCGCTCGGTGTCTCTGTGGTCGGGCTTGGACATCGTTTTGAACCCCCGATCGACTGGGAGACGGGGGCGTTTAGACGGCCGCGAGAATGTGACTTTTTCATCCTCGGGTTTTATTTTTTGTTTTTTATTTTTTTCCCTCTAAATGGCTCCGACTCTGCCGAACGAGAAGACGATTCCCATTCATTTCACCCTGTGTTTATTTCGCTCATCATCAATTCCTTCAGTGCGGAAAACACCTGGGCTGGTCTCAGGGTAACCGTCCAGGATTAGGAGGAGATTTATTTTTTCTTTTCACCGGGAGTGGGCAATAATATGTCCAGGCGAAAACAGACCAACCCCTTCAAAGTTGACTGTAGGTATTTCTAAGTGTTATTGGCGAATACTGCGTTCCCTTTAACTCACCCATGCCATGTCTGTTATCATTTTATACTTCATTTATGGTAGTTTGTGTTGAAGAAGTTTTCCTGTTGAAACCTGCATTTAAAGTGTTGAGGTCTATTTCTTAATGCTTGCTGTTCTTATTGGTTATACCAGACTTACACACACACTGTGCTGAAGATTTCAGAATTGGGTTTACATAATATCAGAAATATTGTATTGTGTTATTTTCATAAATCATGTCAACACACAGCACTAGATGTTATTGCTCTCTCTCTCTCTCTATCTCTATGTCCCTCTCTCACTCTCTCTTTATATATATTTAATTTCACAAAGAGCTCGTAGAGCCAATAGATGACAGGAATAAAGTGAGTGGAAAGGAATGAACATTGCGCACAATATAGTTAAAACTCAAAAAAAAAAAAGAGTAGATATTGATGTAAATATAAGACAATGTGCTGATGCCCACATCTTCTGTTGTGTTCAGTATTGACAGTCGTGCTCAGTGCGTGCTATAATACTAGTATTAGCAGACTCAGCAAGTTTGATGAATGAATAGTGTGTAATTGAGCTCATCACCTTGATCTCTGGCTGGTTTTGCGTATCATTTTTGTTTCCTTTGAAAGCACCTGGGGCTGTGGGTTAAGTGGTTTTCATCACTGTTTCTGTGTTGTCCAAGTAGATTTGTTTTCAAGGAACTGTGGGATTGTTCCCTCTTTGTTTGCAGTGTGTTAGAGCTGTGAAATGACCATATCTGTGGTTTCTGGAGTTTGTTAAATATGATGAACTGATTGTTATAGATATTCATTCCAGCGTTTAATTTATTGTGAGTTCTTTCATTGCTCTTCCTTTTTTGTACAGACAGTTAGCTGAATGGATGTTTCTTTGGGCTCCGTAAACTCAAATCTGTCAAAACAATGTGTAGGTCATTGATTAAATAATCAACAGATTTATCCAATTTTCAAATATAATCTCAACTGGCATCACCACAGTGGATATAACTGACAGAGATGCAGTTAAGCCTCAGGTGTTTCAAGTATGTGCAGCTAATATGGATTTTGAGATGAGTGCTGTCGCTGTTAAACAGTTAGAATAGGACATGTGTAGTATTTCTGTATTTCTAGCATTTTTACATTTTTACAAAGTCTATTTGTAAAAATGTTCATTCATTTATTCATGGCTGACAATAAGATCCTTAATTTTAAATTCCTTGATTAATATTTGTATTTGTTTAGAGTACAGGTCAAAATAGAAACTATAGAGTTTTTCTGAGTGACACCGTCTGCTTCATACTACAGGCTTTGCTTTGCCTGTGCTAATAACTTTTTTGAACATTGGCGCTGCTTCTAATTTCAATTATAATAAATAATTTCAATACAGCATGAAAAACTGAATGAACTGAAACAACTCATTCCCCTGGAGACCCCTGGTATGTGCTTGTCCCCCTCTGAGCTTTGCCTTTTGTCATTTCATTCACTCCCATTTTTGATGGACAGCATGCAGACCTTCATCACATGTCTCAGTCCACAGAAAGGGGATTGCCTTCTGTAATCTGCTGAAGTTATGTGTGCTGCAGCCCTCTTTTCTAAACATAGTTTGTCTGAACTGCTGTTGAAATACATCTAGCACTTGCGACCGTAGTAATCCCTGTGAGCTAATGAGCTCATTTGCCGCTCTGTGACACTTTTACAAGAGTCCAGAGAGTAAGCTTAAAAAACCCCTAGGGTGGGGGACGGGGGTGATACTACGTAATGTTGGCATACATATGAGTGTGGAGTCAGGCTTTGTGTTTTATATTTGACTATGACTATTTTACCTGTCTTCCTTTTCTGAGAGGTATGGATTGCATGCACAGAGCTGTCCTTTCTGAGAGGGTTAGACAGACTGACAGACCAGACAGGCAGGGAGACAGTCTGACAGGCAGTCAGGCTGACACACACACACACACACACACACACACACACAAAGGGAATTCCAGACAAAAATACTGCAGCATTGTCTGTCTAGCTATGTGCGGTCCTCCTTGAGTTTTGTGTGACGTAACAACAAAAAACAGCATCATAAAAAAGTTAATTAGGACCAGAAGAGGTGGATGAGCTGTTGAAAAAGTGGACGTGTCCCGGGGGTTGGCAGTAAATAAAAGTTCTCCAACTTAATAAATGGTGCATGTATGACTTGAAAAACTTACCAGAACCTTTAAACCAAAACTGGATGTGAATTTGGGTTAAGAGGCGACAAATTTTGTCCAAAGTACTTGAACTTGATCTCTTGTGAAAAAGTACGGTACAGTGATTTTTTTTACTTACACCTTGCGCTCAGGGAACTAAACCTAAGGCAGTAATTTCCAAATGCTGTGTTTGCACTATATCTTGATATCTTGATCATCTGTATTTTGTGACTGGTTCAAAAGCCCAATATAATAATTTAGATATTAGTTTATTTTTCAACACTCTCTCTTTCATCAAGAAAAAGACAGCCACAGAGAAAAATGGCTAATCATGCCACCGTTTTCTCTGTAATAGCATGTCACCAGTGAATCAGAGCGAGAATCGATCAGATGTCTGGCCCACCATCCTTGTTCTCATGAGCATGGATGGAAGACGGGGGCCCCTGTGCTTCCTGCAGATTTCAGACGTGTTGTGTGTCTGAATATGTGTGTGTTTTTTTGAGCAGCTGAAAGGAGACGTTGGGGGCTCTGAATTCAACAGGACCCCCATTGCTTAGTGTTTGAGCAGAGTTTTTGGCATTCTATCTTTTGTCTGTTTTGTTTTGCGCGCTACCACCCCAACCCCTAACCCCCCCACCACCACCACCTTCCTCCTCCTCTTGTCTCTCCCTCTTCTGTGTGTCTGTTGGCTGATGAGTTTGTCTCTTTGTCTGGATTCAGTCAGACACTGCGTCACCTCCTGCCTACAGACACACAGACTCAGAGATAACATCACAGTGGCAGAGACTGAGGGAGGATGGGGGGGTGGAGGGAGGGAGGGAGGGAGAGAGAGAGGGAGTGAGGAGAGACAGATGTACAGACAGAGCCGTAGCTGTGGGGGGATGGGTATCTCTCACACATCAATCATTGGCTATGTGCCGTGAAGCCAGCTTGTTGTCGTAGTTCATAGTTCAATTCTCCGACCCACTCTACCACTCCTAATGAATGCTTTGATATCTATGGGAAAAGTGCCCAAAAGGGGTTCTCATACTAACTTCTCCCCATGAGAAAAACACTACAATGACAAACCTCCTCAAAGATGATCCCTCTGTTTTCTTCATACACACAGAGAAGGGGTGAGAGAGAGTGCATGCAATACCTCAGGATTGTGGCAAGAGCTGTAATTACGTCTGTCAGTCTCAGGTAACTAAAGCCAGGATCTCTATCCCATCTGTGATCTGTGTTAATGGGGAAGGAGCACGCAGGGGGAGAAAACTGGATTCCGAAGCTATCAGAAGTAGGATGGACATGATGTGTGTGAAGAGCCCTCAACAAAATGTGTCTCCAATGAAGCCAGGTTGGCAGTTGAATACAAATCTGCATGTTCAAGTCCTGATAAGAAGAAAAAGTGAAGGGAATTCTCAGACTCCCTCAACCCGCCGAGCTACAATAAAACAAAGAGTGGCATCACAAAGAGTTAAATGAGCCACATATGGGCTGTCATGGTATGAAGCTGCATCCTCCCCCTCAGAGCTGATGGTATAGATATGGAAGTAGTCAGCGCTACATACAAGCAGGGAGGACAGAGGGCGAGCCAGGCTGTTCAGTGTGTGGGTGGTACCAAAAGAGAGAGAGAGAGTAGCAAAGCAGTTAGCTAGAGGAAAAGAGTGCAGGCTGCTTTCCCCTTGGGATTGCAGCATGGCTGTCGAACAGAGCTAGCATGTTATCTGCAAGTATATATATGTGTGTGTGAAAAAGTGGGGGTTGGGATGCAAATGAAGTTCATGTGTGTGTGCATGTAGATCAGTGTGTTCGTCTGCTGGCTTAGCATTCATTATGTTTCAGTGTTGGATGTTCGTGGAAAAAGGCTAATCAGTGATAGAGATCCTACAGTCCATCTCTCAAGTGGTTACCAAGTTGAAGAAAAAAGAGGAATTGTGTCTTTTACAGTCTAGCACCAAGTTCTTTTGATCATCAGTTTTTCACAGCTCATCACCTTTGTGATCATCTCTTCTTGATCAAATAGCACAAAATCTTAGAGATTCGATAAGATGTGCGATGTTTCCACTTAGCCCAAAATATGATGGAAATAAAGGTGAATTAAGATGTTGAAAAAAATTCATACCTTTTGCTTGAATACTTTGACCGTCAATGCTGTCTCTGTGTTGCTATGGAGATAGAACGCTCATGGTGGCTACTGTATGAGTAAAAGAGGATTCCTCTCTAAAACAAGTGACTTAGTTTCATCTTTTGTTTACTCCATGTCAAGAACAGAGATGATTCAGTCGCCTGTGTGCGTCTGGAATTGCAGGAAGTGCTTTCATACATAACCAGTCCTCTCATTTGTGACACTTGATGCCCCTGTTTTTGTTCATCTACTTTACATCCACTCCTTTATTGCTGTCGGGAGCTGAACTGATGTCTGTTTCTCAGCATGTTAAGGAGAAAACGGGTTCTCTCGTGAATCAAAATAGTGTTATCTGAAAACATAAAAGATTTGTATTGTTGCACAGCATCTGGTGTTCATATTTATATTGTCATATAGTGTCGATTAAATGAACCAACTCCCAGAGTTAATTGGATCTTTTTAGATGTGAGTTTAGCTTACTGCATAAAAATACGCTTGTAACCTGCACATTAAAGAAACTCAATGTCAACACTCCTGCTTTGTATTTTCAGGGCCATTCCACACTTCAGGCATCACAGGACTACAGCACACTATTAACATGGACGGCAGAGACGAGTTCACCGAAGACAGTGAATGCTGCAGCAACAACTCCCAGGAAGTCCAAGAGCAGGATAGCATCTCAGGTACAGGATGGAGGGCGGGGAGGAGGACTGGATGGACTGTGTAGGGCGTCCTCGCTCAGGCTGATGGGTGTTAGTGAGAGTAAGCCCTGCTCTCTGTTCTGTTGTCTGTCTGTATTGATAGGGCTGTGTTTGCCTCCATAGAAGACAGCGATAGTGACCCTGACAACCACGGTGAAGACTCGTCCTCCAACACCTCAGCTGACGACCACATGACCACGAAGAGGTCACAGTGCTGCCTACAAGGAGCAGGAGTCAAAGAGGTAAGTGGGTTGGTGCTAGCTTCAAGAAACTGAAGTTGGTTTATGTAATGATGGCGGCATTCGACTCGGTCTTTTTCATGACTTTGCCACTCTCTAGTTTGGAATCCTGCCTGCTAAATGAGCATGTATTGACTGCTTCCATGGTATTTTCTGTAGATTTGCTCTAGATTATAGGAATTTCTGTGTGAAATACTGCAAGAGATCGCAAGAACAAAAAAAAAATACAGTGTTTTTGTTTACATTAAAATAACTATTAAAGCTGTGAAAACATGGAGTGAACAGTTTGACTGAGTAACATGCACAAAAAACACATCTAATATTCATGTGATCAACCTTTTCTCCTTCTTTCTGTTGTGCAATAAAAAAATAAAAAAAACAAGTTACAGTTAAATTTAGAAGATAAAAGAGGTATTTTGTTGTGGTAGCAAATGCCTTCAAGAGGTATTAGTCATTGAGAATCCCTGCATTGTTGTTACAACTTGTGACCTGCAATACTGAGTGAAAAAAAAAAGAAACCCAACTCCACTGATATCGGGCAATATGTTTTGTGCCTGTGCCTTCTGTTGGAAAATGTTGGCTTGCGTGTGACTCACATCTGTGGCAGCACACACCATCATGTCACTGTTAGTGAGTCAGTGGGGCTTGTGAGAATTTAGCGTAATCATCAGCATATAGCACTTGCACAAACACTTAATATGTTCGCTAAAAATATGAACCAGCGAGAAATAAAAAGAGTTTCTAGCAGCTTTCTTTTCAGCATTAATTTAAAATGTGTAAAATCATAGGTTTGCTCAGTTTTTTTTCTTCGATTAAGTCTGACTGAGTACCACCATTTAACGTGACAGATTACTCTACAACATGAGTGTTTTTAACACGGTCTTGTTTTCTGCAGGAGAGCGAAGAGGGGGACCACGGCAACAACTTTGTTTGTCCTCTCTGCACGCTGGATTTCAGCAGCCCTGAAAAGCTCATCTCCCATGTCTACCAGGTGAGAAGGACATTGTCTCGCCTGTCCTAATTCCACGAAAACAAAGCAGCGCTAGATCCTTTTATTGCAGTCGGTTTCAAATAAGCGAGTGGTAGGTCGCCACCTTTAAAGCCCCTAAGAAGCTTAGTGAGAGTAAGTACTTCAGTAAAAATGCAGGCTGTGGGAGAAGGTGTTGACTCCTGCGACCCAGCTCACAGCTTCCAGTGTATAAATGGAGAAACTTTTTTTGCTCAAGAACCAATGTCACTAAACTTAAAATTAAAGGATCGTTACCAAGACCTCAAATTATGCAACATCTTTAGGTAGGCTTCATTTTTTGATAGCTGTTTTTTATTGAGGGAATGATGTCAACAGTGATTAATTAGTGGGCCGTCTCCCCTCACTTGAACTCTACCCTACCTGTTTGTCCTACTGTCATGAGAAGCAGCCGCTGACTATCACATGTTGTCCAGGAGAATAGAGAGCAGGAGAGAGACATACGGTATTACATTCCTGTAGAAGATAATGTTTTTGTGGTGCTGTGACCTCTCATATTTAATGTAGGTGTACTCTGTCAGAGTTCAGAGTCAAATATTATTTTAAATACAAATCTCCCATTCTGTCTAAGCCAGAGCTGCACTGATTGTTATTACAACAGATTGACTGTTTGTAAACGGACACACCTAAGATATAACCAGTGTTGGTTTAGGGGCTAACACAGATAACACAGATTAGTTTACTGGACTCATCAATGATTTGTATTACTGATGGAAGTTGATGGAATTTTTTCTCTTTTTTTATTCTTTTTGATTAGTTAAAAAATATCTTGTAAAAAGATGGTTTTCCATATAATCAACTATTTCTGTTCTGAATGTCTTTGAGTTCTTCAACAAGAGACTTAATTTCTGTAATCTAGGTTTTCATCTAACACATTTCCTCCTTGTCTCTTTGTACTGATTGTTTTTTTATGCCTTGAACAGCACACAAGCATGATGAGCAACACCAAGAGCTATGTGTGCCCAGTGTGTGGGCGAGCCCTGAGTTCTCCTGGCTCGCTTGGACGGCATCTTCTCATCCACTCAGAGGACCGCCTCTCCAACTGCGCTGTCTGCGGCGCACGCTTCACAGACACCAACAACTTTAACAGGTTCAGCTCGAATTTGTGCATAACATATCTCAGACCTTTAATGCTTATAGCTTTTCTTACGAGGTTCGCAGACTAGTAGATGGGATGCGCTTGATGTATCTCAATTATTACGGTTACTTTTTTCACTCAAAAATTAAAACATTGTGAATCAATCAGTTTGCATAAGTTAAAGTTATCTGAAGGTTATCTAGTTTTTATTGAGACAAAATAATTATTTCACCTTACATGATGTTTCTGTAACAGATCTCTTATTATTTTTTTTATTATTCGGTCTCACAAACAAGAACAAAGAATTCATTTCACTACTGCAGATGGTGTTGTTATTAAAACCAAGGCAACAGGCGTCACAGATTTTGGAGATTAAATAATATATAAATACTGTGATTTTATTAAATCATTAGCATAGTGTAAGATATTAACAGCAGTGCAGAGGATATGTAATTTTTTTTTTTAAAAAGGTGAAAAATTGCAGTTCACAATCAGTTAGAAGACAATGCTTTGGTTGCGGCAGTTTATATTCAAAGATCCAGCAAGGTTATCACATCTCCGAGAGGATGTTTCTTGAAAATTTAATGAAACTGTCTCAGATGCAGCACATTAGAGCAAAATCAGTGATTCACTTAGATAAGGCAGGATACAGAGCATGAGAGATGAATAAAATTACTAGTACAAGAATGACAGATTTAATGGAAATAAACTTGCATGTTGCTTAGCAACTAACTCCGCATAGAAATTTAAACAGCACTGGCAAATGGTCCAGATGCATGATGGAAGAACAAAACAGAAGAGAGGCACAGTGTTTTACTGAAAAGACCCGAAAGAGGAGCGATGTCAGGTATTCCCTTAAGTTAAGTGAGATGAAGAGGTCCTTTTAGACCGAGCACTGAAGTATAAAGCTGCATTCATTCATTCAGAACGTCTGTTTCAGTCTGATATCCTCAACTCTGAATAAAAGTTTAAAGCATCAGGCACATATTTCCTGAAGTGTTTTCTGGAAATAGTAAAAGTTTGTTCAGCACAGTCCTGTTCTTCTTAGATAACGCCAATGATAGATAAAATGAATTGGCTTTGACAAATATTCTTTGCATACATACCAGGTGGTGGTCACAGGCTGTTGAATACTGACAAACAAGAATTTGGTGCATTTTGAAAATGCTGTTTACCATGCTGTTTAAAATGCTGGGATCTATTAACCAATGTCTTTACAATGCAGGGTGAATATTTTAGCTGTCGCACATCAAAGTAGAAAGAATCTAGGTCCAGACTCTGCCTCTGTTTTTTGTGTTTTTAGAGACTGCTAACATTCACTTTTAAGTATCAGAGTTTATAATGATGTCTTGACAAGGGGCTTGATTAATGATGAAGAGTTCAGAATGGCACATTAAAAAGGAGATGTATCAGGGTCCTGCTAAGTCTGGGACAGCCTTAGGACATACATTATGAATGTGTTTGTCTCTAACTAGTTTTATTTTTTACTTTGTTTCTTCAGGGAGAAGCTGAAAGATGTCATTGACATGACCAGGATGGACATCGGTAGTGGGAGAGACAGCTGTTCCCTGACTCATTCCCTCTCTAGCAGCCCCATGACCAGCCCGGGCTCTGGCTCCTGCTCCTGCCACGGACCTGGTCCCAGCCCCAGCTCCTGCCAAGGCCCTCACCCCTGTCAAGCAGCTGACGTCAACCCCAACCTATGTCAAGCCCACCGTACCTGCCAGGGACCCAGCCACATCTCAAGCCAGTGTCAAGGCCCTCGGCCATGTCACGGCCCAGGATCTGGGGCATGCTCAGGCCCAGGACCATGCACAGGTTCTGACCAAGGACCCTCGTTTCCCTCACTGCCAGACAGTCTCCTCTCAGAGGGGCCTTCACTTGCATCTATTCCTGATGCTCTAAACTCCTCTTCATCAAGCATTCCTCCTATCCCAGACATCTTGAGCCCCATGCCTGTGTATCCTGCTGGTGTGCTGTTGGTGTGCAACAGCTGTGTGGCCTACCAGCAGCTGGTGGAGGCCCAGTCCCCGATGCGTAAGTGGGCGCTGCGCAGGAAAAATGAACCCTTGGAGGCTCGCCTGCAGCGGCTGGAGCGGGAGCGCACGGCGAAAAAGAACAAGCGGGCATGTGAGACTGATGAGGAGAGGGAGATGAGGAGGCTGCGAGATCGGGAGGCCAAACGCATGCAGAGGATGCAGGAGTCCGAAGAGCAGAGGGCGCGCAGGCTGCAGAGAGACAGGGAGGCCATGCGGATGAAGAGGGCCAATGAGACACCTGAAAAGAGGCAAGCCAGGCTGATCCGCGAGAGGGAGGCAAAGAGGATCAAGCGGCGCCTGGAGAAGATCGACCCAGCTCTAAGGACACAGATTGAGCATGACCCTGCTGCGATGGCTGCCCTCACAGCAGACATGAGTCTCTTTCAGTTCCCCTGCCCCATGCCTGTCCCGTCTATTGATAACGGGCTGTTCATGAAGCTACCCTAGTTAGAGCAGGAGTATCTTGGCTTCTTGCAGCGTCATTATTAACCTCTGCACTATGCCATCAGGCTGCCATGGTCACAGTCAACCATTCCTGGCTGCTTCACTCCCAAACCTCCCTCTCTACCGAACAGCTTCACAACACAAACTGCTTTGTTAAGTACAACAAAAACTACTTCAATTTCTAATTTATTACGGTCTAGAAAACCTTGGGCACAGGGTTGAGAATGTTTCATGTTGTGTGGATGATGACTTCAGTGCATGTTGTAAAGAGATTTATCAGTCCTTCAGGGGGCGAGCAGATTTATCAAGGTTTATCCTGGTAGGAGCAGTTTTACTTCCCAAGAGGAAAAACAAGTCCTTTTTTTGCACATTGACTTTTCAGTGACAGGTGGGGGAAACTCTGTAGCCACAGCCCCCCACCCCCCACCCCCTTTCTGGTCCACTCCGCCAGTCCAGTGACGTGGGTTTACTGGTAGCTACACCTCTCTTTTTAAGCTGCCTCTTAAGGGTTCCTGGGAAATTCATATCCAGTCAAACTACCTCAGCTGGCGCCGCAGTGGTGCCCTCTGTCTTGTGGCTTATTGCATTCACACTCCAGGCTTCCAAAGCTCTCTATAAACTGTACACTCCTATAGAGGAAGCAGGTTGTTTTCAACAGTTTCTGTTCGCATTTCACACTGGGGTGTTCTCATAGGTCACAAACATTCATAGAAGCAACTGGTTTACAAACCCCAGTTCAGCGTATATTTCCCAGGGTCGATGATGATAACGTGTTTGAACTCTGAATGTTTTGTGCCCAATGTTAAGCAACATTCCCCCCTTACCCTCTGAGGTGTACAGCTTAACACACTCAACTCTGATCATTCTTTTTGCCAATATTTGAAGCTGTTTCTTTTTGAAATCCAAAACTCTAAACATTTTGCCAATGTCATGACTTCTTTTGTTTTTCACTTTGTGTTACAGAGCTTTTCTTTGGCTCATGAATACGTCTGTGCTGCTGTTTATTGTACTGTACAATACATTAGTTACCTCTTGATATATTTTGGGCTCATTATGTTTAAGGAATATTGTGCTAAAATGTTCCACTGAGTGGTCACAATGAAAACAGTTCCTGATGTGTTACTTGCTGATGACAGAGTTTGTCACATTACTTGAATTCTGCCTGCAGAAACTCAATGATTTCCTCATTATTTGCTAACTATAGGACAGTTGTAATTTTATTATTGTGTAGAAGATCATACACAGATGCAATTTGTGTAGCATTAACAAGATTATCAAAGCTGCAGTACCCTCAGTTCATGTAACCACTTAAACTGAGGTCCATTCACATCCTCTGTCAGTAGAGTTAATGGAAGATATTTATTTATTCATATAGCAGAGGAACTCATTTTATACAAGTTTTATGTCCCCATCCGTTTCTTAGTACTGGGGCTCGTTTCATGACACGTACTTACAGCTTATACTGGGAGATTTTATTGATCTATATTCATTAACCTCATTCCAGCACATATTTATGCAATATAATGTGAATATATTTTTCTTGTGAAATTATTTGAGTTATTTTGTTACTGTCGGTGGTATAAAATTGTGAAAATGTTTAAGTTAGAGGCCATGTTTAGATTTTTTTATATATATATAATTTCCTGCCTGTAAGGTTACCTCCAGTTTTTCTTGACTTCACTCCTCCAGATGCAAGTATTTAGTGTCAAACAAGCAGTTTCTGAAATACCCTACACAGGATTTCAGAGATGATGACAAGTACTGGTTCTGTTTGAGTCACTCCTAGACGAGAGGTCGGTCCACCTGTCTGTGACGGCAAATCTAACAAAGAGGGGGAAAAAAAATAGTGGGATCTTTTGAGTCTTCTCTAGGAGTGCATCAAACCTCTATGCAACAGATATGTTATTTGTTTCAAGGGAAATAATTTCACTTTTGGCTGAAACTATGCAGAATGCAACTTTCATCAAACGGACTTCAGTGTAAAGAGTTTTTAGCTTCTCAGGCAATTTAACTCAGTGAGAGGGCTCAGAGCCTGGACAACACCCTGCTCCATCAGAAACATTTATAAATCCATCATGTGACAATTTTAAACAGTCATGTGACTTTTCTAGAGACACTTTGTTGTCAGTGACGTTTTTTGTCCTCCTAGTTCAGCACAGTAAAGTAACAGGGTCTCACTGCCATCAGATTCATGACAAACTGTAAAAACAAGGGCAGATCAGTCCTCAGGTGTCATTTTTTCCCTCTTCTCTCAGACTATGAATACTGGGTATTCTCACAGGTGACTCTATTATGAAACTGCTGTGATCTCCATCATCCTTTAGAGGACAGTGTCTTCTGCGGTCTGACATACTGTGGCAAAGGAAGTACTTAAAAATGAGATGATGTTGGTCGTTACAAACAGTACTTTTGCTATGGATTAGGTAAGCACTGCATGTGATGAAACTGCACTTGTCCTAGAATGGTTCTATATGAGCTTGTGTTCTTCTGTTAGTTTTTGCCTGCCTGTTTTTTACAGTTTAATCAAAAGAAAGATGTTATTGAAAACGTTGGCCTTCCTATAGTAATTCTATCAGGACTTTCTCTTTATGTCCATGTTTACAAAACGAGACTCTCTGATCAAGGCCAAATGAATGAGCTAAACAGCTAATGAGAACATTCATGCTTGCTGCGATATCAATGCATCCTGACTGGATGGCACTTTGGAGGATGCCTTCCTCTGTTACTGGATTAACAGATGTACAGACAATAATAAAACCTGGAAAAGAATGTGGAAATAAACATTGAATTTACAATAAATGTCTTTTGTTTCCTTTCTTGATTCTATTTCACTGAATTCAAACTTGAGACCAAAAATCGTCAGATAATTTATTTTAAAATTACCCCAACAGTTGATCTTAATTCCTACAGCATGTCAAATAAAGTACCTCTGAATTTAAACAACCATCTATTACAGGTAATTTAGCATTGCTTTTACTAGATTATTTTAAGAGGTGGCTATTTAAGAGATTATAATAAAACTCTAATCACATTTTCGATACATTTAAGTCAAATCCTTCTATTTTGGCTTTTCAGTAGTTTCTTGTTTTAAATTTTATCTTAATTTAACCAATTCAATTCAAAGAAACTTTAGCTTACAGAGTTGCACTAACTCATAAATACAATTTTAATCCCTGAACACGTTGGGCCGTGAAATTAAGTATTTTCCAAGTAGCCTCAGTTTCATTCTGGCCTGCAGTGTCGAGCAACACATAATTTTGCACACTATCCATTGTCTTACCTGCAATATGTAGTGTATTAAATTATTTTTTTCATTTTAATCTAACAAATTTGATTTCTAACTTGATAATAAGGTAGGATTTGGTAAGACAGAACATTTATAAACATACTTTTTTACAAAATAAAAAAGTAAATACAGATGGGAAAGTTTCTACAAAGCTAGTCTCATCAGTTTGCAGAATTTCAAGTACTCAGTTTACCAGAAGTTGGCACAATATTGTTCTTAAGCAGACTTTTTTCTGTTTCCCACTGATATGCTGCATGTTATCTAATAAACTCTTCCAACACTGATACATATCAAGATAAAAACTAATGAAATATAAGAGAGTGGCTAAAGAAACACAGCACACAAGTTGGATAATAGTTTATATTTATAATTGTATATATATATTTATATATTATATTGTGTTTACTTAACAAACATGATAAATGCAATGTCTCCAAGTTAGCTGTAACAATAAAAATACAATATCTTTGTGTCCTTAAAGTACATAGAATTAAAACAGCAAAACAAAAACAAAAAAGAAACAAAAAACAAAAACCGCCCTAAGTAGTTCACAGAGAGGTACAAATATACAGTACAAATCTATTTTATCCAAAAAACGGTACAAATAAGAATGCAACAAAATAGAGATATTAATGCTTTGTTAAAGTCAGGTAGGTGTAGGGTATTCTAAGGGAGCACTTTCGGTCAACAACTCTAAGGCTTCTGATAAAGATCAATACATATTGGTACGGCCATACAATATTAAAACTCACTATACAAAGTCCATACAACCTGGATTATACTTGAGGATTGAATGTTACATTTACATCATTGCATATATTTTGCAGATTTAGGCATGTTTAAAAAAAAATCTGTTTTATTTTTGTGTCTTTTTAAATGTGTTTCACGTCACATAAAAAGCAGTGTCACCTTGTGCCGAAAAAAGTACAACTTCAGATCTAAAAATACACAGACGTCTTTAAAACTTTTAACCGTTCTCATTCTCCTGATTGAGTATGACATCAGCAACACCAAAACCGTACTGAGTTCACCTTTTGGGTTTAAACAACGGGAAGAATTTCACACACAAAGAGTTAAAACAGCCCACTGTCCATATCTCCAAAAAAACCATTACTTTAAGATTTTTGAAGCCTGTCTGTGTTATTTAGTCAAATCCATCCTCTGCTGTCCAGAGGCTGTTAGACAAAGCACAAGACACCGAACACAATCCAATAACGCAAGAGATTTGAACAAAACAAAATCTACTGATCATGTGCAACAACAAAACGACCAATGTGTGCTTGCCTGGCTGTCTCTGTGTGTGTGGATTTCATGGACTGTCCTCTGTCGCAGACACTCTTGGCATCATCTTGTAAAAAGTGCAGAGAAGAGCTTTCATTACTTCACTTCCACACATTGGAAAAACAGGAGTTTAAAGATAAGTAGGAGCAGAAAAAATAAAAGAGTATTACAATGGTAACGGAGTAAATTGTGAAAGATATAGAAACACAATGACATAACAATTAAGTTGCTGTCATGGCTTGACATTTCCAATTTGCTCTTGGAGAGCCTGAAAAGTGAACACCACATCTACCAGAAGCATTATTCCATTGTTTCACACATTGTACAAAGCAGAATTTAAGGCATTATTGACAAGCATCATCAAAGCTATCTATACAAAAAGAAAAAAAAACAAAAAAATCTATCTACAGAAACACACAACCTGCCATCCCTCCATGATTTTGTGTGCTTTAACATTTTGGAATTCTTCAATTTACCAACAGTTTAAAAAAAAAAAAAACACTGTAAAGGAGGGCGTTTAGTGCAATTACTTACAGCAACAGACTATCAGTGATGTGAAAAGGATTCACTGGACATCTTTGTGGTAGTTTTGCTGCTAAACATGGCGGCACACACTACTCCTCAGAGCAGAGGGCAGAAAGGAAAACAGGCTCATGGTAACAGAAGTTTGTTTTTTTTCTCTTTTTTTTTTGCTGTGAAGATGAGGCAAAGGTGGCACTGCTTGCACCGTTTAAAGCCCAAATGCATATTGACCTAGTGTACAATGCTGAAGTGGCTTAGGGACTGAAAAAATCCAGAACAAACACGTGAAAGATTGATTGACACTCGTCTAGAGGGATTTGGCTCCAAATGTGTGGCATCATTAGAAACAAACAAAAGGTCAGCAGTGGGTGCTAAGTAGGAAGATTCGGACCACTGAGCAAAAACTAAAAAGCAAAAAACTTACCGTAAAAAAAAAAAAAATACTGGTGTGTTTCCTATTTAAACAATCCTACAACCAGACATTATTGTAAAAATGACTGCATCAGCCAACCTGCCCTGGAGCTGTGCTTAAGACAAACAAGTTACAATACTGTGAGAGTACTGCATAGAAAACGCCAAGACTACATGAAATGTTCTTAGGATTATGTATATTGCTTACAGCATAAAAACATGAACATGGTGAGATATCTGTGGCAAGGTGTGTATATAAGTGAAATAAATCTGTCCTTTAAGACCGTTTCCAAATGACAAAAAAATAGAGATTCAGGTTTTTTCAAGTCTTATTCTTACACAAACATATCCACATGTACACAAAGTTATAAACTGTAATCATCCTCCTCTATGTCAACGCTAAGGCCTGCAGTTGTTTGTGACTTAAAATCTTACAACTAACTAGCTAAAGACTCTAAACAGGTGCTTGTACAACTAAAAGCCCCTGGAAAGAATCCTTTTATGCTGATATAACAACAGAGGTAAACTGCACTGAATGTTTTACCTTGAGACTGTATGGGCCAATTCTGCGAGAAAGAAGCTGTACCTTTGCAAGACATCCACTTAAACTGTCACTGCAATACACAGTCTTCTACAAAGGCCTCTGAGTGATGGCTTCAGGTTTTGTCTCATTATGTTTCATTTGATTTGTACCAGAAAGACTCCTGTATGCAGCCAGTATGGAAAGAGGATGAACTACATGACTATAAGTAACAACAACACGGGATGTGAGCGTTGTTTTAGAAAAAGACTTGAACAAAGTGAATCCCATCTTTAAAGCTGCTAACAACGACAGAACAAGAGTCACCTTGGTCCACTACAGAGAACTCTGTGTGACCAAAAAGGGGGTTAAAGACAAACCCCGACGTCCAGAGTACAACGCATCAGTCAGACACAAAATTAACAAGCATGCAAGTAACTTTCCAAGAGCATCCAATCATAAGAACCAACATCAGGTGATGCATGACATGATCAAATGTTTTCCCAGAGTTCAGTCCACAGATTACTACAAAAGAAAACTGATTCTGTGACGTTCACGCTCTAATGGGAATGTCTGTATGAGGAATGCCTTCTGATTATATATCTCTGGATGATTCAATGTATGATCTAATTGCACTTATTTCAAATTCACCCTTTTGGATTTTTGGATTTCAGTGACAGATACAAACATCTGTCATGAGGAGGAAACTGCAGCATTCATCTTGGCTAATTTGTAAACAGTTAAAAATGCAAGTCAGTTTTTTTTTATCTCTCTCTCGCTCTTTCTCTCTCTCACTAAAGACACCTACAACAATACTTCAAACATATTCCCTTCATTAAAAAAAGACATCTACTGTACTGTGATTCCTATAAACAAGGTCAGTGTGAAGTCAGTAAGTGACATTTTCTATGTGCAACACGAGACAATCATAAGATTCACTGGATAAAGCAGACCCGAGTACAAAAGCCGAGGACTTTACAACAAAAGATAAAACAGATAACAACAATTAAAGTCAAGCCTTTCTTAGAGATGCACTTGTGTAAATCCTTATAAGATAAAATATCATCAGTGAGATGCAGAATTAGAGGAAAGCAGTTTCATCTTCAGTGATTTCTTGAGATCGGTCGAATGCATGCTCTGCTTTTGTAGAAATACTGAAGCTCTAAAGAAAAAGGAACATCAAAATAGTGCATCACCTTTCAAAGTCCAGGTTAAAAGAGGGTGGGATCTCACGCCTCTTAAGTAAAGAGATATTTCAAATAAAAAGCCCACAAACAGGGAGTTTTCCTTGGGGAAAGCACAACAGCCGAATGCTGTAAAAACAAGTATTGCTTTCATTTAACTGAGCAAACACGCTTTCTCTCCAAGGCCCTTCCACTCTTGCAGGCTAAGATGGCTTGTTGCCAGTGATGTTACGGGGTAACATGTCTCTGGTTCATTCCCACAGGTGGCTTTGGTGATGACCAGCCAGTGCCGCCTCCTCCGTTAATCATGCTCTCTAAAATTGCATCAACAGCCACCAGTCTGGTCAGGAAAGCTTTGAGGTACAAGAGAGGAGGGAGGGGGAAGTAGTTCTTAAAGATCAACATGAAGTGATGGAAATTTCTCACTGATAATACTGGAATGCAACGCGTTTTTAATGATCATAAAAAAGCCTTCTTTCAGTTAAGCACACAAACAGAGGGCGTAATGACGTTACATGGGAGAAGTGAGTTATTTTAAGTCAAAGCTGATTGATCAACAGACTGATTGATTTTTCACTATTCTGATTGACATGCCACGCTTGGCCTGTAAAAGGCTCGTATTCTTTGTACAGAGCGATCTCTGCTGACAAAAGAGGTTTCGACTCCTGCTAGAGAGGAGTCATGTAACACACACACACTGTCTGAATGTTTGCATCAACAGTGCCAACACCACCAACCACAGGAGCTGCTAAGGTCAGCAACTGTTTTTTTTTTTGGGGGGGTAAATGCTTTTTCAGGAAAGAGAATCTTAGGAATGGAGTCGATAAAAGATCACTGGCAGTGATCTTTTCGATAGTTGGTAGCTTTGCTGTGCTACAAGCACATGCACCATCATTTGTGGTACAATAAAGAGAGTTTGATGACAAAGGAAGCTAGAGTTTTCTGAATGCGACGGTCACTTCTTTGCATGGAAATGAGGAAGTGGCCATAACGGAAAGAGGGAGTAAGAGAAATGCAGTGTGTAAGGACTATGGTAGAAATTTCAACAGCTACATACTTTCTACGCAGCTCTTCACATCCCTGTCAGACCTCAGCTGGCCGGGAAAGCACAGCCTTGTTTCCTTTGGCTAAGCGACAACCAAACCAAACCCAACCCAACCACAACTTCTCTCCAGATAGACACAGATCTTGTGTTTTTTTACATTTTAGGTGTGCAAAATCTCAAACATTCTGAGGCTACATTCGCACTCTGTTTTTTCCTTTCTCTCCTTGTCAGACTCATTCTTACTTTGTGGCAGTCTCTTTTGTAGTTGCTACCAAATGTAATGCTACTTCCCTGCATTTGAGCGCCCCTCGATGGACAGTTTGACCTCCTGGGGGATGAAAGAGGGCCTTGTGTGGCCGGAGGTGCTTATTTGCGGGCCTGGCCCTTCGTCTCCCTTCATACTGTATCTTTGGAGGGCGGGTGAGGACCAACGCCTCTGAGAAGCACCTAGTGAAGCCTGCATCGCTGCCAGGCCTCCCCCTGCAAAAGCAGAGCCCTCTGTGTGTAAGTGAAAACTGCTCTGGCTCCTCGGATGCTCTGCTGAGGTCCTACTTGTTCTGATGGGTGACTCAGTGTGCCCAACGACCCCGAAATGCGTGGCTTCCTCCTTCTCAGCCGGATCTTTGTCTCCCTCTCTCTGTCTTTCTCGATGAACGCGCTCTAGCCTGAAATGAGACATGGGCCGTGACTGCTGAGGGGCAGGCGGGCCCATGAGCTGGTGACCAGGTCCTGATGTAGCGTTGTTTTTGCTCAAAGTCCTGGGCAGGTTCTGTTGTTGTTGCTGTTGTTGTGAATGATGGTGTTGTGGCTGTTTCTGCTGCTGAGGCTGAAGCTGTTGCTGCTGCAGGGTGATGGACACGCACACATCGCCAACTTGAAGGTGATGGCAGGCCAGGCCGTAAAGCTGGGCAGTTCGTTCAGGGCTGCAAGATGACCAGCCCTGGCCAAAGACAAAGAAGGGGTGCTCTGGGGGCACATCGATGGTCACTTTGCTCTGCTGCTCCCCCACAGTAAAGTGAAGTGACACAAGACCTGGTCTCTGCTGGCTGGCACGGATGTCCACCACCATGCTGGAGTCAATCTTTAACCCTCCACTCACCTCAGCACTACGCACAAAGTCCTGAGTCTGCAAGTCCTCCACACGCTTCAGTTCCCCTGTGGCCAGCTGGATGATGGCTCCCTTCATGAAGTGTGACGGGTTGCAGGGAGCCGGGGCAGGAGCGAGGCTTGAAGCTACAGCCGGAGTCACATCTGCTGCAGGCTGAAGCGGAGGCTGCTGCTGCTGCGGCTGCTGCTGTGGGTGCAGCTGCTGAGCCGGAGTCTGCTCTGCTCGTTCAGGGAGGCACACTCTGGCTGAAGAATCAGAGGCTTTAAAGCTTGTGTTAGAGGAGGCTGTGGTGGTGGAGGCATGGCATGCTGACAGATCATTTGTCTGTGCTGGATAGTGTTGCTGTGCCGGTTGGGGCTGATGCTGCAAGTGATACTCCAGTGGAATAAGGACTGGCTGTCCATTGGCCAGCATGACAGCATGGCCTGGTTGTCCTGTTTGCTGCTGAAGACCGGCAACTCTGGGGTCACTGTAAGTAACAGGCTGGGCTGTGTACACAGTCCTGCCTGTGTTCTCCCCGTGGACTTCCCTGGCTCTCTGGGCACCCTGAGAGAGGTTTAAAGGTGCAAAAGAGACCTCTTTCCTCACTCCACTTCCACTTTGGCTGGAAGAAGACAGACGACCAACTACCTGTTGCACCTGGAAGTCAATTGAAGAACAGTGTCAGTGAGAGAATGAAAATTTTCAGTTATAAAATTACTCATAACCCTTACTCAAACACAACTGACACACCTCAATGTTGCAGACTGCTCGCAGTATGTGTGCATACTCAACTTTGTAAAAATTCTGACATCACTTTGAAAAAACGAAGTTAAATTTGACCTTTTGCAGTGTAAAGCTTGAAGCTTGGAGAAGTGTTAAGTTTGCAATGCTGGCAGCCATCCCAAACCAAAAACATCAACTCCATCATCATTACCTTTTAGGGAACTAACACACTTTCTCTCAGTATAAACCACCAAAAAGGAACATCTTCATACAACCATAATAACTTCACTGCCACCAATGGTTACTTGCAGATCCACAATACATAATCATTTAAGAAAGTAGAGCAGAAATAAAACAAATGCTAACAAGTACTGAATAAATACGGCCATACTGTGTACATTAAGAGCACAGGCATTCTTGTAATACTCAACAAGTACAGATGACTTAAAGTACAATAAAAGGACGAGCTCAAAAGCAAAATACAAGACTAGATCACTCTGATGACTCCTTACAGTCCCCAACAGTAAACTTTAGGGAATAATCACTTCAAACCAAAGACTATTTTCACACCAAACAACCTACAAATATATGATGTTATTTCTTAATATATATGTTACATATAAATGACTGATCAGATTAATATGACAAAAGATGCATCAGAAGGCCATCACTGTGGCTTACCTCCAGGTCGCTGTCTGGGGTGCTGCGCTGACCAGGTGAGCTCCTCCCCTCCAGGCGTCTGTTCTGCAGGCCTCTGTCTTGGCTGTGCTCCTGCAATGAAGAGCTGGATGCCACCTGTAGCAGACGTGAATTTCTCCCAGTGTACACGGAATCTAGTACAACAACCTCCCTGGCTGCCTGCTCTTTATCCCCTCCATTCAGCTCCGGTTCGTTCTCTTGCTGGGCACTGTGGGGGTCTCTGGGGACCGTAGTAGCTCTAGCTCCCTGAGGATGATAGAAGACTGGCATCCCTCGTGAGCTGACCTCTGTTGCAGGCAGGACCCCTACAGCGCCAAGGTGCTGCTGAGCAGCGTGTTCTGAAGGCAGCATAAGCGGGACACTGCTGGAAGCTGCAACTTTGGCGAAGGTGTGAGCAGCGACCTGGGCCTGTGGAGGTGGGGAGACAACACCTTCCTGTATGACGGATGGATATGGAACAAGGTGGGACACAGCATGGGGCTGAGAAATGGTGCCTGAGGGAGAGATTAATGATCCTGGTACAAAGCCAGGAGGGAGAGCGTAAGGTACTGCTGCATAGGGGGAACTAACAAACTGGAGTGAGGAATGGGGGATCTGGGCATATCCAAGTGGAGGATAGGGAAGGCCAGGGTGCTGCAGGAGAGGTGAGTGTACAGTATAGGCTGGAGAGATGTGGCTCAACACCGGGTGTAGACTGGTGGGCGATGGGAGCGCCACTTTGTAGAGCATACTGTACTGGTCAACAGACACCGCTGGTATGTTATCAGAACTATCCACTCCATAATGAAGCCCTGGCTGATCACGCAGCCACTCTGCAGGTGAAGTACCTCCCTGAGTGTCACTGTTGGCCGCAGAGTTCTGGATGGAAACCACTTCATCTTCTCCAGCGCCACCAATACCACCTCCGCCGCCACTACCTCCCCCTGCAGATCCACCTGCCCCTGTCCCTCCAGCTCCACTGTTACTAACAGGGAGGTCCCTCTTCTTGGGAGGCAGGCACTCCTGGTTGCGCTCCTGAGCTTGCTTCATTGCGATAGTCTGACCACGCCGGTATCTTTACTGTACTGCACAGGAACTGAAACTTGCAAGCAAGTCAGCCTGTACAGAAACCAGACCTGAAAACACCTGGTTCACCTCATCTACCGATTCACCTGGAAAAAAATGATTGAAAATTACAGTTAAAACCCTGAGTAGAGTAATACCCATTCACATCAATAAATGCTTGGTTAAAGGGATATTCTGGCGTAAAATCAATTCAGGGTCAAACACACCATAACACAGAGTTAGAAACCCCCTCAAGACAGGAATGTTGCCAACCGCTTGCTTCACTAGTTATACCAACTTTAGTGATGACCGCAGGATAGCAATACACAGCAGTCTGAGGAGCCATAAACAAACCTCAACCAAAACGCCACTCTATAGCCACAAATAATGCTGGGACCTAATATGTACTGCTGATGAAGTTAGGTGCTGTTCTGAGCATTATTTGTGGCTATAGAGTGGCGTTTTGGTTGAGTGAGTGGCTCTGTGTATTGTTATTGTGCGATCAATACTAAATTGGTATAACTAGAGAAGCAAGCAGTCAGCAACATTCATCTCTTGAGGGGGTCTCTAACTCGGTGTTACGGTGTGTTTGACCCTAAGTTTATATTAAGCCGGAGTATCCCTTTAAATTACTTCTGTTAAAAAATTAAGGGTTATTCACAGCTATTTGACTGTACCATACACTCAACAGCAACATTATCATGAATATCTCGGCGACCCCTTAGAACAGCTGTAAAACATATTCTACATTTAAAAAGCTTCCATTTTTTAATTCAAGGGCCAGAGAGAAGATACATACTCTTTCACTTACATAGTTATTAAGAGTTGAAGTTTGGGTGTTCACGCAGAGGTAGCCATATTATTATTTTAAGACAAAAAAAACGACCAAAGATCTTTGATTTAAAGCCAAAAGTTGGTTTGGCTGTTTCTGATCATTGTAACTTAGCTCTTTCAAACTCCAGTCCCTCTACCATTGAAAGAATCTCCTCTGTAATGATCTTATAAACAACACTTCGTGGTCAAACTAAGTCACAGTCACCCAGTTTCAGCTCAGATTTCTTTCAGTCACTGTCTCATTTCAGCTCAGAGCTACTCTGTTTATCGAGAGCTGCTCGCTAACTTGGCTAAAGTTAGCTAGCAACTCGGAGTGATCATTTTCGCGTAAACACAGGAGAGAGACCGCGTGACACTTTACTCCACGATAATTTCAAACAGCTGATTATACATGGTATCATTATTAATTTATCACATCACTGCCTAACTAACACGAGCCAAACGGTTCCTGCTAGTTAGCTAAACGGCTAACACAGCAACAGCTAGCTACATGCACTGAGTCAACTCGGCTAACGTCTGCTCACAAACTGACACGACAATGAGCAAAACGCTCGTCGAGTATGTTTCCGCTTTTCTTCGTCGTGTTGACGTACCTCCAAATGTCATTGCGAATGGGCTTTTCTTTATTCAAAGTTGATATGCAGAGGGACAATTGAAGAAATCCAGACTGGAGTCGAGCCCATTTCGAAGGCCAGCAGAGGCGCTCACCAATGACGTCAGCCCGCTCATTCAATTTCCGGTTTGTTTGTTTTTTTATGTACGAATTTTTCTCGCACCTTCATTAACATAACTAACCTGCCCGTGAGTGGACGCTTTTATTATTTAAGAGTTTCTTTATTCCAAAAAATTCGCTACAAAACAAGTATATTACCCTTTATATTAGTATCACTGAAACCTCTATGTCGATGGCTTTTTAGCATAGAGACACTTCATTACGACTCAATAAAGTGAGGTTTATTTAGTTAGCCGTAGTTAGCTCTCACCCTTTACACATATAAAACGATGTGCTATTTGATTGATCACACCTTAAATAGTGAAGTTTTTTAAATCCAGTGAGGGTAAATTGTGTCTCTGCAGACAGTAGGGGGAGCTGGGGCTGTGTGCACCAGGGATTGACTAACCACACGTCTGATGATGACGATGATGATGAAGATGATGGACTCATACAGGGAAGCGTGCAGTCAGATTATCTGCTTATTTACTGCTTTGTCCTCTTACAATGAAGTTTAAATCGTTTGATTTATAGCCATGATGCAAAAACCTCTGGGACGTTAAAAAAAGATTGAATTTACAAGTTGGATTATAGAGTTCTCAAACAATAATGAGTAGGGGAGAGGGGAGTAAATTGAGCCAAAGGGTAAGTTGAGCCACCCTCTGTTTCTTGGAAAGGGACAAAGAAATTGATCATGTGACCAAATATTTAGGAGATGGGCATCAATTCATGGAGTATGTGAAGGTCAGAGGGACATGGGTGAAGGGGTCAGACATTTATTTAAAAAAAAAAATCTTTCACTCTTGAAAGTGAATTTAGTCTGTCTGAAGTTTTATTAGAATTGTGTTCAGACCAGCTTCAAAGTGAGGTCAAAAACCTAGCATGAAAGTCCACTATTTTAGACTAATTAAGTCATAGTAGTAGTTCTGGGGTAAGTTGAGCCAGTGGCTCAAGTGAGAAAGTAAAGGAGTCTGATGAGAGGATCAGAGTTTCAGTTCAGGTTGTTGAAATGTGTTACTTTTTCTTTTCAAAAATACAGCTGTGAATGTTCTGAATCACTTAAAGGCATTCTCATGTTAAAATGGCTTATTACAAAACAGCTTTTTAGCAGTTATATGCAATGATAATAAAATGAATTATTGTACCAGCTGAATAGCCTATAGTAGATAAAAATACACATGGATGTGAAAAAGTGACTGTTATTTAGGGAGAGAGAAGGTGAGAGAGGGCTGGAGTGAGAGTGGGGGGTGGGTGGTGGTAGGGATACGGCCGAACTTACCCTGAGATCACTTTTTTTAACATGCTATATAATCATAAGCTGGAAACATAAACATAAACATTTGGAAACATAAGCTGCTTTGTCTTCACTTGGCAGGAATCAATTTTTTACTCATTCCCTCCATTTTTGATGAATACATGGGGGTTAAGTAATAGACTGAGTTCTCATCTGAAGAAAGATATGTCATCATGACCAAGGTACCGTTGAAATAAAAGCCAGACCACACATTCATTTGAAAAATAATGTAATAATTAGTTAATGGTACACAGTTGAGCCCTATTTTCTGTTAGAAAAAGCAGCTTCAGTGCAGGACCTCTGAATTGGAAACGTTCAAAAGAATTGATGAATCAACAGTATTAAAAAAAATCATGAGTCAACAGGTTCAGGATATAGTCAATCTTCCCAAAAAGGCACAAGGGATGTATGCATCCCTCTTTGAGAACATTTGCATAAGTACACCTGCTGGTAACAAAAATCAAACTGTGTCACTGTGGAAGCACGGTCGTCATGCAATTACAGCAGAGTGTAATGATGATTATTAGTGAAAACAAAAGCATATAAATATCGCTCCAGAAAATATAAAGACTAAATCAAGGACAAAAGCTATTTAGTACCATTATTCAAAAATATTAATTGGAAGATTTCAAGCATATACAGTATTCATACTTTTTGCCAAAATTATATCCAACAACCATCAGAAAACAAACTATCCTATATATTGAGTAAAATGTGCAACTATTAGCATTTGCAAGAGCAGTTTCTGCACTCGCACTATAAACATCTATACCAGAAAACACCTGAACTAGTTATTGTAGTTATTGCTTAAGGATCAAAAGTTCATCTGAATGTCATCCATCTATCTTACCAGGATCCTACTCCCGATTGATAGGAAAGACACTTTATGTGTTCAGTGGTGTATAGTAAAGACGAAATGGGGCTTCATCATAAACGACAAAGTGTTATTCATGACACTTTTACACAGCGCTTGTTGCTCCCCAGTTATAAAAGAGGCACAGGTTGACTGATCCATATACCCTGTTTTATCTTAAACCACTCCCTAGTTCAGCAGGTGAAAACTTCACTGGCAGATTTATCAGGGTGTCCAAATGCCAGGATCTTTGCAGCAAACGAAGAGTTTAAGTAAGATGTACAGTTCAACGGATTAAAATCTGTCTTTAAGCAAGCTCACTAGACTCACCGCAGTAAACTATTTAAATTTTTTTGTTTCTATGTCAAATAAAAAGTATCTCAAATAAAACAAGGACAAATCAATAAAATGTGAGTGTTGTCATGGCCACATACTGTTTGTGTATGGTGTGTGTAGTTTACATATTTGTTTAAATCCCATTCCCTTTCCCAAACATATGGCCATTTGGTGAGGACTGTGTTTAGAGTCTATTAAAGACTATTGATGATGTTGTATTCTATTATTTGACATTTGTGATCAAAATGGTTTATCTCTTAAGTTTTCACGAGTGCTGCTTTGGATCAGAATCACTTGTCATTCACCCATTTCTGTCCTGTTCCCTGGATTATAGTTTAAGAAATGGAGTCCACTTCATACTAATCTAGAAAGTGGTTTAAGTCAAAGCCCTTTTTCTGTCCCTTTGCTTTCATTTTTATAGCCATTCAGCTACCATAAAGCTGAATAGTTTCTCCTCAGTGCCTTACCAGAAGGCCACTAAAAAAATCTCATAAAACCCCTCAAAAGAGAGGAGGAAATATCTACCACAGTTCTAAGCTCTCGCACCCCCATATCTCCTAAGAAGTATCGCCTGCTTTATAAGAATTAAGACCCTGAATCAAACTATTTGCTACTTACAGTGAAACCCCAGCACAAGCGTCAACGATTGGGCACTTGGCGCAAATAGCATTAAGTTTGTGCAAAAAAAAAAAACAGAGAAAAAAAAGAAAGAAACGCCTTAATACATTCAACCAGGCCAGTTCCTATTTGTTTATAGCACATAGAAAAATACTTGTTAGAAGTGTTATTTCCTGTTCCTCTTTCTGAAATCAAAAATCTATTATATATTAAATCCTCAAATTACATTTCCTGGTAGGTACAAACAAACTGAATCCACTGAAGTCAGTGGGAATTGAAATGCATCATTAGTGCTGCAATAAAAAATGGTCGTTTTCAAATTTTGAGCATTACTTTCTGGAGGATTTCTCTAATGTCACGGTGGAGAGGTTTGCTGTACACGTGTGGATACATTATGATTTTGGTTTATAAAATGTGGAAAAATAGAAGTTAAATCTTGTAGAGAGCTGTCAACCTTATCTTAACTCACTGATAAACTGAATTTATCTATTGTGTAGGTAATACAGTATCCTAAAAGAAGGCATCCAAATCTTGAGCAAGAAATAAGCTGAAGTAGACAAGAAAATACATCTATGGTAAGAATGCACCAAGTATGATATTTCACAGTCAGAGAAGACCTCACAGTAACAACTCACTGGCCAATAGTAGCTGTAATGAACAACTGTGATCTAGTTTGATTGAGAGCCTCAGTTTAGAAATGACCTCAGATTTTGATGCAGCATCAATGGTGCAAATTCTAGCTTATAAGTTATTGAAAATCAGAAGTCCAGGAGTTACATTTTTCTATTTCTTCTTCTCCTTCTTGTATTAAAGAAAGAGGTCATAGAATGTTAGATCATTAATTGTTATATAAACCGGTAAGGAGCTCAGAAAGGTTAGCCCTAAAGCCCCTCAGATAGCATCATTGGCCAGAGTCTCTGTTGAAAGCCAGATTCTCGCCCCATTCAGAAATTTGCTGATAGGAGTCCCGTGGATTCCGCGGCGGCACAGGTTTCCCATTGGGGAGAAGGGAAAGGAGGAGTTGAGGAAGTCTGGTGGTGTAGGGGGGTCGTGTGGAGAGGTGGCTTTAAAATACATCCTCCTCTGGTCTGAAAGAGGCCCACTTGGGCTAGGGAGTGGTGTGCCGCCTGGACCGGGTCCCTTGTACTGCCTGAGCTGGCTCTGTAGAATCTCAATTTCATCCACCAGTTGGGAGAGCTTGTGGTACGCGGTGATGGGGCCCCCTTTGGGAATGCAGGCCTCAGGGACCCAGCGTAGGAAGAAGAGCTTCCAGAGAGCCATGTGTGAAGGCAGGACAAGGGGGATCAGAACACCCTGCTGGTCAGCAGGTCGGGAGAACCAGTCCCTGAAAAAGCGCTCTGACGGGCTTTCATCTTTTACAGGAGAGAAATCAGACCTTAGCTCGGACATGAGGGAACCACGTCGAGTCAATGTATCCTCTCCGCTCCTCAGTCCATTACGTACAGAAGCAGATGGCCCACGCAATGTGGTACTGTAGGACTTCTGCTGGGGTAGAGAAACACAGTAAGACAGGATAGACTAAGAAACTTCCTCAAAACCTATGTTGTCAAACATCAAACCTGAGACATTCTACTTTAGAAACAACCCTGGAAAGGCAATTAAACTTTCATTATTACAAAAATCACAGCTGCGGAAGACATTAAATAACAAGCTTGGCAAAAAGTCCCATCCGAAATTTTTAAAAAGGTGCCGTCTTAATAAACTGCTCATTTCAAGCACTGACTCTTATGTGAAAAAATGCTTTATCTAGCAAAATAAATCACATAGCAGTGAAAAGATGAGGGGAAATAAGGAAAAAGACAATTTTATAAAGTGCTCACTAAAAACTGATTACAAAATAGATGTTCAAATCACCCAAACAAACCAAACAGATAACAGGGCCAAGAATGATCATGACTAAATATAATCAAAATAAGATTTAAAGCCCAAACTTTAATTTAAGTGTCTGTTCATTCAAGACAGAAACAGTAGAAGGCAGATACATAAAAAATATGCTCACTGCCATAACATCTATAAACCTTATAAAGCTTAGGTACCTTTGTGCGTTTGAAGGTTTTCACTTCCCCGTTCTGCACACAGGCAGCTCCTTTGCCTACGTACATGGGGTTGTTAAAGAGAGTTTGGTCTTTGGTAGACAACTGCTGCGACCAGTCCCAAACAGGAGGGAAACACACAGCCGGGTCTTCTCCTTGAGGGATGGCTTTACTCTTTGCAAAGTCCTGCACAGTTGACACAAGGTTACTCGTTCTGTAAAGCTTCTTTCGTCTTACACAGAACACAGAATTGCACATCAGAAACAGAGCAACACAACGTGTGAGTGTGGGAAAAATGAAATCCCCCAAAACCACAATTTGCCTAGGCACATTAGGTGGTTACTTTACAGAGCATGAGCGTCACGTTTTCTTATCTGTGACTCAAGCTGCATTTCTTCCTCAGACTTATCTGACACACACAGAGGGAAATTATAGTCTTTACAGGACAGAAACAAAACCACAAAAACATGATGCTTTGTTGTTAAAATTAGACCAGTTACGGGAATAGGACATTATTTCTACTTGTGATTACTTACAACTATTATTTAACTATCATTTTATTATTTCTATATTTGTTTATGCACGTGCCAGAAACAATAGGAATATTATATTCAGAATGTGATAATTCTCTTTGACACAGTGAGACTGTGACCTTATTTTTCCAAACAATAAGATCTTGATTTTGGTTAATTGAGGAATCTGGACCAAGTTTGATGCCAGACTCATATGTTCAGGTTACCATGACAATTTGTTTGCATTGCTCAGCTCATGCAAGGTAACACCAGGCAACTATTTTCCATGTGTGGAAAACACTGCATGCCATGGTTTGCGTTGGGTCTGCAAGGGGGTTCATAACAGCAAATCAAAATGGTTCTCTTACCATTAAGTGCTTAGCACGCTGTTTGGGGGCATTAAAGAGGAAAGTGCTGAAAAGAGGGATCCACATGCTGTCACTCAGTACAGTTAGGTAGGCCTCTGTGAACTCAAATGCTGCTGGGTACTGGTTCGTCATCTGCCACACGCAGTCCAGGAACAGCATGAACAGCGGGGACTTGAGTGAGAAAAAACAAACAAACAAATAAAAACAAGATTAAGTGTGTTTAAGTACTCTGTTCAGTCTGTGATTGATTATTTAGTATCACACAAATACCTCCTCTTTCTCATTCTTCTTTAAGTGGTTGCATCTGTCCAAGAAGCGATGGCCAGCCATCACCCACTCCTTCTGCACCAAACTCTGAAAGCCAAACATGCTACGGTAGTGAGGGTCCAACATCAGCTGCACCAGGGAGGACACCACACAGTTCAGGTCTCTGTCTTCTTCCTCTGAACAGGGGTAAAAAATGAGAAAGAAAAAGTGTAAACAAGCTGTCCATAAGACAAACATATTCAAGGTTGGTTTGAATAGAATATGACTGTCCAAGGACAGCTTAAAAAGAGAGTTTTACCTTGAAGAATGACTGGAGCATTCTTTCCATCCAGGTAGTACACAATCTCAGCTGACTGTTTCAGAAAAGCTCTAAAGTCAAAGAAGATAAGTGTGGACAAACTATGAAAACCTTGAGCACATTTTTTATAGGTTACAAGCTTTGTACTCATGGCTTAACCATAAAATTGACAATCTTGAAAAAACACAACAACAAACATGTAATGGTTACATAATCATGCTTTCTGCTCTTCTCATAGGCGTGTTCTTCCATAAACACAGATAAAATTTCAACCAACAGTTGCCAAAATGAAAAAGAATTAAAGTGCTTGTTGTCCATTTAACTCTAGTATTTCACAGAGAGCTTTCATTCAAAGTGTAATGGATGTTTACATACCTGACGTACTCCAGCCATCGTGAGTTCTCAATCGCTGACAGCCACCTCTCCTCAGACTCCTCAAAAGGATCTGCACACAGATAAAATAGGAATATACTAAAACACAGAATTAAACCATACATGACTCCAAGGTTTTAAGAAATCTCTTATTGATGTTTGGGGTCTGCAGCAGATTTTTGCTTATGTATAAATTATGAAATATGAAAGCTCACCTATGACACAGATCTGCCTGACCCTCACAAAGGCACTCTGAATGTCCTGGATGTTGGGCAGGCTCTTGTCCAGATCTAACCTGACGACTTCACTGCGCTGTGGGTGGCTTTTTGTGATGGCAGTGAAAATCCTGTTAACAGACAGAGAAGAAAAAAAAAAACATCTCAGCAAAACGTCATTTATTAATCAGATTTTGCTATAACTAGCTCTATAATGAGTATGTATCATATCATGAATTTCAGCACCTCATTCATTTGGAATGTTGTTAGGAGGTTTACTTTACCTCTGATCAATCTTCCTCTGCTGAACTGGATCACTTATGCTGGCCATGCGGACGAGTGCACTCCCATTGGGGTGATTCCAACACCAATGCTAAATCAATACATTGACAATGAGTCAGTGGATCATATTGAAAGTGAAAAGGATGCCCTGATGTATCATATTGGATACTGCTTGGAAATAGCTGAGAATTATCGCAAATAACTGTAAGTTGCTCTAAACTGGCACAAAAAAAATCAATCAATAGAGTGTCAATACTGAACTAAAAGGAGTAAATGGAAAAGTAATGCTTCAGAAAGTTCCACAAAATCACAAGTATTATAGAGGTTTATATTAGAGGTAGCAGAGCACAGGTACTCACGGGAATGCGGCGGTCATGCAGAAATATAGCGTACTGTTTCAAATCCTGATCAGCCAGAGAAACTGGGACCACAATGTACTCTGGAAGACTGAAAAAAAAGCAAATAGTCATCACACAGGGATGAAAAACATGCTCCCAAAACCAGCAATATATAACTTAAAGAATAGAGGAAGAAGAAGATGAAGGAGTACTTAAATGATCCCCGAAGGAAAATTCAATTATCAATAATGCAACTATATTAAAATTTCACCATAGGATAACATACTGCAGCTAAACTAAACTACATATTTTGCCCCAAAAACCTTTAACTGCATACTATTACTATTCTATTATTGAATGGAAACTCTTTCTGTTTTGTAATACTGTGATGTTGACAATATCTTAATGTTACTTGTTATTTCCATGAGAACTTTTTAAAAGTGACACCTTAAAGCAGGAAATGTTTAAACTCATATTTTCCATGAGACAATGAACAGCGTTGCTCCACACTGACAAACAATACAATTGTAAAAGCCTGATTATCTTTCCGTGTCCGTCCCAAATAGCTAAGATAAGTATTTCTGACAGTTAAGTTTGTTTTTTTTTTGGTTCTGGGTAATCTGAATCAGAATTCACTGTATGAAGATTTGCAGCCCCATCAGTTATAGCCAGTTTGAGCCAAGCTGCTATTATGTAATCGTACGTCTTTTCTCAAAATTCCTCAAAGAATAGGTCCCAATTCTTACTTTGAAACCCATCATGATGTCACCACCAAACTCAGATGAATCGTTCGTATTGTCCCGAAAATACTTGCATCTCACACTGAGACATTAACACACAGAGACATTTTTTCCTTCTGTCGCTCATGAAGTGTGTTCAGTGCAAATATTCTGTCTTGCCAAAGCATAGCAAGTAAGAGTAAAGGGTGAAATTCAGAGTGTCCCGAACAAGTGAGGCAAGCTGAGGAAGCTACGGAGACACTCTGCCTATGATGCACAGAAGAAATCGACTACAACAAACAAGAAAAGCTGAAAACCTTTCTGAGACGGCATAACTTTCGTTGATGGAGCACACCCTCCACTCTGACGCTCCCGTTCTCTTGATCTCACGATCCCAGTCTGAAGGACGGTCAAAATTTGGGGTCTGTAATCCTCCTCGAGGGGCTGAACCGTTAACTCTTTCTCCTGGAAAAGCAGAAACAGTTCAAAAACAACATCTAAGGCATGGTACAGTAAAACTGCACATGGATAAATGTGAAACTAGAACTGAAGTTAAAACAAAAGAATTATGTGAAAGAATTTTGACATTTTTCTGCATACCTTTTGTTTCATGGTATCGCCGGCCCTGATACTCAAAGCCAAACAGCAAGTGAAGGTCTGCTGGGTGAGAGTAGTGGGCAATAGCAAGGCAAACCTAGAATTCAAGAATAAGAATGGCTTTATGATGAAATCAGTCGAATATAAAAAAGTGCTCAGCTCTTATGGATTTATAATACACTATAAATGAAGTTGCAGGAGTCCATCAAATCATGAAACAGTCATTACAAAGTTGCATTTTCCTTTCATAGCTCAGACTTCATACACTGCCTTTTTTTCTGTCTACATAAGGTTCCCCTTACTTAAAATGCATTAAAAAAAAATGTTTTATTATCATCGTACCAGAAAAAATCCTCATCTGTAAGGAAGTCAACCAAAAAAGAAAATGCTCAAGTCATCAGAGATGGCACAGTAAAACAGAACAGTTGCATTGTATGAGCTGTGTTTTGTGCACGTGGTCCTTGCAAGTGCAGCTGGGAAAGAGAAGTATGATACAATGACATAATGTTGTTGCTGATGGGGTCTGCAAAGGCGACCCACATCAAACCAGCACCAGCAGCAGCCCAAAACTAGTTTTTGCATTGGTGTAACACCAAACTGCTATGAAACACTAAGGAATGTACTTTAACAGAAAAAAAACACCAGAACAAGTGAAACCTGGAAAAAGCAAATGTGTAACTGACAGCTCAGGGTTTTCAGGACTGGATCTGTCTGTGGCTCCACTGGAGTCACACAAAGCAGTCCATTCAGTAGTAAAGCTGTGAATAACACAAGAAAACACAGCAAAGAGTGTATGTGTGGAGACAAGGCTGCTCCCAACTCTGTAATTTCCGAGGGCAAAGTAAGCTATTACAGACTGGCTAAATTCCCCATGTCACAGAGAAGAAAAAAAGGTTCACACTGTAATTACATACATGATGTCCATAAATAAACTCAAAGCAGTGAGGGAGTACAGACTCATTTCTATTTCAAAGTCCTATACATAATCAACCTTCCATATTCTGTTAAAAACAGCAGAATGGACGTAATAAGGGGAACTCCACAGGCTGAATTTAGTTATATAGAGCAAACATGGCAGAAATACTTTGTTCAATTGAGTGCCATACTGAAAGGCTGGTCGCCAAATGTGCTGCAGGTATGTACTATGGAGCTCCAAAACCTACACAAAACATTGCTCACAGATGGCATGGTATAAGATCAAACAACGAACTTGTGTACATTACATTGATACAATATCAGGAGATATATACAGCTGTCTGTTTCTCATGGGTCATGTACTAAAGCTGCAAAATGAGAAGGGCTCTCGTGAACCTTTGCACAAATAATTCACACATACGCGTCTATTCTCAGTATGCCACACTGTGTGAAATAGCATCTGTTTTTGCAGGGTGTTAGTGCAACTATAAAGCAATCCTATTTGCCAAGGTTCTCCAAATGGCGGTCACTAAATGGTCAGACATTTTGAGGTGATATTTTTCAATTACCAATCTTTGGCTCCCGGCCACAAAAAAACAGTTATTTCTTTTGTGATATAGGGTGACACAGAGTTGCACACCGAAGCTGTGATGATAAAAATATCCTTGTCCCTGATGAAAAGGTCGTATTACTGAAACCAAAGTATGCATGTATCTCTGTGTGTGTGTGTGTGTGTGTGTGTGTGTGTGTGTGTGTGTGTGTGTGTGTGTGTGTGTGTGTGTGTGTGTGTTTTAATGCATCCCTTCCAGCCAAGCGGATGTTGTAGAGAGTCTTATCAGCACTCATCAGCATTTCAGTCCCTATTTTGTAAAGACTTCATCTTTCTTCGTATTTCCTCTCTGACTAAAGACTTTGATCATGATGGGGAAAAAAAACTGTTGTACATACCTTTTTGGCACTCTCGGGCCCAGCCTCATCAAAGCAGAACCTAATGATGCGCAGGTCTTTACAGTACAGGATGAGCTCCGTGGGGTTGAACTTCAGCTTTTGATTCGATCCCAGTACTTTCTTCTTCCCCTTTGTATCGTTTACTGAGAGGAATAACAGCAAAAATGTGACTAAAATTGTCAAGAAATGCAGATGCAAATACACGTAAATAACTCAGCAAGGGCTGAATATCTGTATCATTCCAAGGAGAAAAAAACATGTTTATAATTTCAGTGTATATGAGATCGCTATCAAACATAATAGGTCAAGAGAAACTTTTTGTCACATAACAAAGAATTCAACGCTCAATTTTTATCCATCAATACATCATACTCCACATATGTTTCAGCCACAATGATAATTTATGCAGCACAGTGATGTGCGATCCAATATAAACATATGACATAATAGATGATGTTTTAAATCCTGCTGTAAACAGAGCTTTGTATCATTACATAAAAGGAATGTTGTCTACCGTAATCCAGTTCAAACAGCTCAAAAACAAGCAGGCTTAAACAAAGCCTCATGATTGATCGCTGTATCACAACAAACCTTCCTCTAGGCAGTTGCCCTTGCAGTGTCAGCTACCAACAGCAATGAGATGTACAGTATAAACAAGGCTAATCCCTCCCTGGCTGCAGCGCCACTAATCAGTGGTTTAGCTGTGACATCACTTGTTATCAGACTGCTGATCGGGACAAAACAACAAAAGATTCCCAGTATCCCAGGCTGTCAAAGATCAAAAGAGGGCTGATCCAACTTTAGATGTGACTGTTCACCAATAGAGTAAAATGACAGGGTTGGAATGCAAAGTGGTTGTTAAAACGGTTGAACAATCAATTATCTGATAGAGAACAAAATTAAATCTGAATATGCATTCCTTATTCCTTATTAAATTACTTTGATAAGCTTGCTTTTATTTGTTAATATCACAAGAAACTCAACAGTTAAGGATACTCTGGCTTCTGATTGGAAAGAGTTAAATGTTAATATGAGTGAAAATTTTTTCAAAAAGCTTTATGTTATTAATAATGGAAGCAGATGTACCTGTTACTACTTGTTCCAGACAGGTGAGGGGGATGTCATGCTCTCCAAGAAGGAGGTGTGACAACTTGGATTTCTGTGGAAAAAGGCAAACTAGTGTTATGTTTGACATCCCATAGATATTAAACTACACCCAAAACCACTGAATTATGGCCATAAATACTGGTGGACAGATCAAGATAAGACACAAAGGCTCAGCAATGAGAAAATTCTTCTTTGTTATTATGGCAACAGTCTGCCACATAGCTGGAAATTACGCCTGCTCTCTCACTTCTTGTGGGATATCAGTGACAATGTAATGCAGGAAGGTACACAAGTTTTCCTTCCTCCTTGCCAGATGCAGTGTACATGCAAATACGGCTGTAAGAAACAACTATTAGAGCAGTTCTGCATGATGCTGACAGCACTAACAGACTTAAATACATATAGAATTATGAGATACCATTGTTGATTCCAGCACATATACTTGAAGCATCTTTGCCCACTGTATAAAATAGTCTTATAAAACAATCACATGTTGGCCACTTCAGAGTCATCCTAGACAGATACCTGCTTTGTTGGGGCATCTTGAGGGATGAAGGACACCTTAAAGTTGGTGCATATCAACTTCCCCCAAAGGTCATCCTGGCTGCTTTCAGCACTGATACACTTCCTTACAAAGTTCACCTCATTTACTACGATCTCCCCTGGTGACAAACAGATGAGAAGGAAAAATGTTGTATTTGTTATCCTGACAGTGTGTTTAGAGGTAAACAGCAGCTTTTAAAAAAGCAGAGAGCACTCAGCTTGACGCTGATCTGTTACAATCCTAAAAACTGATGTATGTGCAATGCTCAAATACATTCTTTGGATAGAGAAAAGTTTTTTACTGATACTTACGTTACTGATCATTTAGCTTTAAATTCTAATACTATGATTATTGAATGATTATTAAACATGTGTTTGTCTTGACAATATTGGTAAAAAGAAAACCAAACGTCTATGAAGTATATCAACATAGACTAAAACTAAGTAACAAAAAGGTGTTATATTTCAAAAGGTACAATGTTGAAATGCTTCCATATCCCCTATACTACCATCTTAAACAGGTTAAACTACTACAACTTATCTAACAGCAACATCTGGTACTGTGTGAAACTGCATGGACAGCAAAGTGTGACAAAAACATTTCACTTGCTTCCTAAACGATGTTAGACAGGCTGAGGCTAACAGAAACTTGTTTTGTGATTTAAAACTCAATGCACAGTGAGAAACAAAGGATTTCAACCTCGCATCTATGTATGTTTAATACAAGTATACTGAATTAAATATTAAAACCATAATAAATTAACTATAACGCGCTTTTACAGGTGCTCAAAGACCAAGGGAAGACGCTAAACAAACAGGTCGGTTCTGTGATAAGTGGGACAGTAACGCCATACAGTTTAACAAATTCAAGTCATGCAACAGATTTAAGTACAAACAAGAAAACTATTTAGTCTATTGGCTTTAAAAAATGTTAGGACCCCTGTGTGCCAATGGCTGTGAAGTTACTTTTAATTAGTTGGCTCATTAAAGTTTACATATCCAGTTTGATTTAACTAAATGATTTATAATTCACAGAACTAAAGCAGTTTTTTAAGGGTTCAAGAGGTTTTTTTATTTTTTATTATTTTTAATCAAAACCACTAAAAAGCACTTTCATATTCTATCAGAATTATAGCTTGAGGTTACTCTCACTTTGACATTATTGCCTGTTCTGACTCCAAACTCACACAAGACTCAAGTGTGATGACTGAACAATTTCCCTAGATTAGCACAGTTTAAGAGAAATGAAAATTTCACTTAAAAAGAGTCACTTCTGCAAAAAGGTAACTTCCTCTGACTCAGAGGTGTCAACACCAGAAAGACAGTGAGGAACTACGACGCGCTGTTGCATAAAACTGTTGGCAGGGAAACGCTACTGTATCGCTATGAGAAGATGCACCCATCTTTTGATTGATTCGCAAAGAAAATGACCAATTCATGCCTGTTGCAGCTTCTATAGTCTGATAGTTCTAATAAAAGGAGGCCGAGTGAGAAAAACAATTATGTATGAGGAAAAAAAAACACTTGTACAGCTATTAGCAACAACAGGAAATAGGATGACATCACAGGTAATGAAGGAAGTCTACAACCATTTTTCCGCTCTGTTCTAATATTTGTGAGTACTTAGTATTGTTTAAGACAGGATGACACATGTTCGCTGAGCCGAAACGCTCGTCAGACCAGTCTGATTAAACCCTGCCTAGGATATAAATCATAACAGGATGACTGACTTATTATCTTACTGCAAAGACAGAGCTTTATTCAGTCATTCACAGACAAATCCAGAGGCGCTGACATAGCATAGTAGTTCAAGGAAATCCTGTTATTTGGGGTTTATGCTGAACCTTCACAGTTCATCGCGTAAGTTGACAATTAAGTGCCTCAGAACATTCCCAGATCTCTAACTTTTAGTGTGAATCATGGTGACTAATCTTTTAAAAATGTTTTGATCAGCTCCCTCCTGTTGTGATGAAGAAGCCATGAGCTCAGAAAGAACCAGTCAGACACAAAAGATATGCAGATGGAATTCCTGAGTATTATCTGCTCTGCTTTCAATAAAATAAACAATTCTTGATAAATCAAAACATTTTTGTATTTGATGTCATCTGGGGAAATGATGCATAAATTAAACTCACCTTGAAGTAACTTTGGCTCCAGTTTTTTAATAGGCTGCTCAATAGTTTTCTTCACATCAGTCTGGAGAAAAAGCAAAAAGCAAAAAGCATATAACAGTCAGTCAAACACCAGCCTGTCAGGTTGTTAAGGAATAATGGGAAAAGAGTGTCATTATAAGTAGACGGTCCTCTTAAAAGTGACCCTGTGGAGTAAACAAAGAATAAAATACAACTTGCTGGACAGAAAAAAAGAAGACTTGCAATAAGCTTTGCAAATTCCTAACACGCCTCAAATCCAACCATGGCCACCGTGCAGCCTCACTAAACATCCTGACAGCTGTTAGGATCTGTTTTGCATGACACTAATCTAAACAGTGATAATATGCAGCAAGCTATGATGACCCTGATGCATGCTATTTCAAACGAGAGGGAACCATAGCTGCACAGCTGTCAACTAACGCTATTAATACTGTATCCCCAAATACAGCTGATACCCACAGACAAAGTGACAGTCCATAAGTATCTGGACAGGCATGTATTTTTTCCTTGTTGACTTTACTCCACAACACTGAATTCAAGTGAATGAATGACTATGGGGTTAAAGGGCTGACTTTCATCTTTACGAGAGTTTAATGTGGAACTTCAGCAACCAAAGTCTTTGGTAAATTCTGGATTATGCATGAAAATCATGCACAGATCATATGATGGGGTCGTAAACATCGTAAAACTAAAGCCATGGATTAGCTCTTCAAATTTAATGTGTCATTATTCTCAAGAATACAGCCAAAAAGGCCTTTCCAAAAACTTAACAACAAAACCAAAAAGAAAAGAGTTTGAAGTTATTGTAGTAAAAGTTTTGTGTCATAAGAAACACACACCCTCATAAAGGGCCATGTCCATTCATTAACCAATTTGGGGGAGGGAATGTCACTGAGCAGTGTCACAGTTCAGTAAATGTCTTGTCCACAGCTCAGACCTGTTTATCTGGGTCAAATACACCATTAGTACTCCTTCATAATTTTGTTGACATGGTGGTGTTCATGGTGCATTTAAACCTCTTCATAACATTAACATGCAAACACGCTGTATTTCAGTTATTAGATAATAGTCATTCAATGTTTTTTAAGCAACTAACATGAACAAGGATACGCCCTGACAGTATGATGATGGTTTTAAGCTTGATTAATTACAAAAGAAAAACTCCTATAAAAGCATTATCTAATAAGAAAACACTTTTGCTTGTCCTGCTCCTGCTTTTACAAACACTGATCTTGTTATTTTACCAGCAACTGTAAAAAACTGTGACTATCTGCACTTGAAAGTCAAGTTAAGGCGTAAGGGTGTAAAGAAGATGCCAAATTATTGTTGAATAATTGAGGTAATTTTGAAACTGGTACTAGACCCCTCCAAAAATACAAGTCTCAATCCTTGACACAAGCAGTAAGAAGCACTTTAGTGGTGATATTATACAGGACACCATGAAGACAAAACTGCTCCAGCATTTTTTCTGAGGCTGTGCATATTTGAATGTATGAGAAGTCAAACTCAGCCTTAGCCTTCGGTGAGTTGATAGAATACAAAAATTCACAGCATAACACAAAAGGGCTGCTTTCAGATTGGGATGCACAATATCAGGACAATGGTACTGATGCGTAATGGCCTTAAAAAGTTGATCATCTGTACTGACTCATTTGGCGAGATGAACAGCTGATATGGGGTACTGGGCACAACAAAGTAGGTGTTTGCAATGCTTGTGTAGCACAAGTGAAGCGAGGATGACCAAATAAACACTCCTGCAACACTTTCAATTAAAGTGTGCATCTTAAAAAACATTATGCTGAACATTATCAAAAGATTACATTACTAATTTTTAGTAATATCATGTGTTGTCTTGTTTTATTTTTTATTTCTACAACAATCAGACTGTTACAATAAGAGTATCAGGTCAATTCTGGTGTTGGACCTGGTACTCTCTTCAGTAGAAAAAGTGCATCTATGTATTAGTATATACTCATAGTAGCCACAAATATCGGTGAATATCGTGCATTCCTCATTTCAGGTTTCAAGTCTATATATGACTTGTCCTATTTCGTGGTCTTGACCTTATTAAGTCAAATATCAATCCCTCTTCCGCAATATACAAGGCACAGCTTTAGCCTGAATTAGATAAAACCCAACGATTTTGAACACTACCCTGATCATCCAACATGACATTAACACCATCTCTTCATTGAATAGAAGCAAATACTGACCTGTACAGGTGGAAGATAAGATTTGAAGGTTGGTTTCATTGGTTTGGGAGAAAACATTGTTTATGTCCGCTCTCACGGTGGTGATGTTCCAGCTCGGGCTCTTCGGTGCTTCCAGTGGAAAAAAACAACAACCCCAAAGAAGCCTCCAATAAAGTTCAGCTCAGCCCTTAGCTCAGGTTATCCAGCACTTCAGCGTGTGAAATATTCATCGAGACAGCCTAGGCCAGCGTCGGTGCTTCTCCATTTCGACGAGCAGTCAGGTCGTGGGTTTCAGTCGCTGGTTGAAAAGTTGACAGAAGTTAATGTTCAGACGTTAGGCGTTAGCTCGGCTAGCTAGCTAGCATAAAGTCCTACATGAAGTTTATCGATATCGCACACACGCGAGTATAAAACAGTTCATATAACTTAAAAGCGTCCTTCGTGTGTCTACATTTTCTTTCCACCTGTTACTGTCTTAGTTTCCCTCGTTACTTCCTGAAAGTCTAACACATTCAGCCAAACGTAATACCTGATGCTGTGAAGGGCTTAACGGCCATGTTTATAAAGAGCCGAGGTCCCGCCCTACTTCCGGGCTTCACTCTCGACTGCTCTTAGTTTAGTGTGGGGACTTTCTTCTCTTCTTCAACTTTAATACAGCTGTCACAGGATACTGCTGCACACTATCACTTCTCATATCTAAACAAATGGCAGTACTTTACGCCACCGTCAATACAAGAAACATCTTAACTTAGTGGTAAAATAACATTTACTTGGTTATATTTCAGTTAGTTTCATTGATTTTGAGAACACTAGAAAGAAAAAAAAACACACAAACAACAGATTCACAACAGCTTCACTAAGATATTGCCTCCACGACCCTCCCTAAAAATTGATGGACAAAAAAATTACAAATAAACACAAAAACAAACAAACAAGTCGAATGGACGTGAAAGCAAGTACAACGCAACGACATAAAACAAAACTAAAGAACAAGTAAGGCAGTAATTACGTAAAAATATCACAAGAGGTAGCAGTGGACACTAAATTGTACTCCTCTACATTATCCTAATAGTCCAAAAAAGGCTGCCATGTTTGTAGCATCCATAAATACACACTTGAGTGGTGTATCTAATCTTTTCCGGCTTTAAATGTAACATAACATCATTGACCCGTCGACTATATAAAGGTGGTAAGTTAGACTCTCAGTTTAACAAGATAGGGCGTTTTACAACTGCACATTTACATGATTAATGTGTTTTACAGCACCCTTGGACTACAAATCCCATATAACGTTAAATGCTTGTGGGCGTGTCTCTCTTTTGCAGTCACTTTATTTAATAAGATACTTAAATTCTTGATTCATACAGATTTGGATTATCACGAATTAATACTGCGCTTGTCATGAACAAATTGACCTAAAAAAACAGGGCAGTTTTATGGGATTCAATCACACATATATGAATTGATTAACCATTGCAACAATATCTTACTTTCAACATTTACTAAGGTATTGGCCCAAATAACAAATCATTGCCAACAAGAATTAATTCATAGAAAGTACATTAGTCAGTTATCCATATCTGTATCATTAACTTAAGATGTAACTGTATTAAAAGTTTGTTGACTTGATTGATTGATTGATTGAAATAAATAAAAGAGTCTAAAGAAATTACCTCTGGATTCATATGTAGGTACTACTGGACACATGGTTAAACAAGGTAGCAAACACAGTTGATCAGGTGTTTTCATTCTCAGGTTTATTTTTCTTAGAGCTGACAGTCAGTCTGTCATCAGCACATCATTTCTTAAACATCATGTTTTTATAACCTTCCAACTGCTTGTAAGTAAAGTATATTTCATCCTCTAGAGGGCACTACTGTTCGATTGCGAGACTATTTGGTATTTGAACTCTGAGTCATTTGAACTAAATATGTACAACTATCTCAGTGAATAATTCAGTCTTTAAATTTAATTGTTGTGTGATCATTATCAGAGGTAACATTTTACATGTCCTTAGAACCATTCTCAAAAGTGAATAATCACTTTATATCCAAAGTAAAATTGCTTGTTCAAATCAGTAGATTAATCACCTGAAAATCAAGCAAATTCATCAACATACCTCTCAAAAATTAGTTAAAATGTAAAGCTTCCACTTCGGATTCTCTATGAGTTATGGTCATCTGACATTTGCAAGAAAATGGGAAGCACTTTTCTTCAATTTGTAATTTTCACATTTAACCACAAATATGAAACCTCAACCATTATGTCATGTTTAGCATCGTAGCATGGTCATGCTGTGAAAAGATTGACCAAAAAAACAAAGGAGACTGACGAAAGTAAAATAGTGTTTACTATTGCTCGAAGGCAGGCTTGTAGTCAGGTAACCTGTCAGAAGAGGGATTGGCTGGTTTTTATTCTGGGGTTTGACGAGTTAATAAGGAGCAGGTGTGCAGGCAGAGACAGGTGATGGACAGATGAGGGGGCTGAGGACAGATGGAGAATGAACAGACAGTATTGAAAGGGTATGAAACAGAGTTGGGACTACAAAGGACCTAAAAACCCACATTAAACATTGTGAGGATCACCACTGCTTTTGTGAGAGTTGTGTGATCTCTGTCCTTTTATGTCTTTTATGGTCCTTTTATCACTTCTATTTCTTTTATGTTTTGGTGTTTTTGGTACATTTATATTATATAATTTTAAATGTTTTTTTTTTTACATGCTTTTATTTATTTCCTCTTGATGATTTTTTACTTCTGCAGTGTTTGTTCTTTTGATTTTACTGTTCGGCACTTTGGTAAACTTGAATTTTATTAAAATGAGCTATATAAATAAAGTGGATTGGATTGGATTGTACTTGATGGTATTGCACTATGCCATGATTTTACCCATTTTATGATTTTAAATCCAAAGATACACTTCAAAATGTTACCTTTTACTTAAAAACTGATTAAGCTTCCTGCAACCACAACAACTGCTTCCCTCTCTTTCTGTCTCTTTCTTTCTGTCTCTCTCTCTCACTCTCTCACACACACACTTATTTATTAATTATTTTTAATGTTAATACTCTAAAAGCACAATGTATATTTACCTTATGTACAAAACCGACCTGTAATACAATAATGACATGTATATTTTTTCCACAACCAGTCTTCACTCCACTGCACCCCTCATTATTGCACTTTTGCACTACTGTCTTGTATTTGCAAGTGTCTTTTAAGTTTTGTAATATTTCATGTTAAATGAGTGTACATAAAAGGCAAAGTTTACTAGAATCAAATTTCTTGTATATTTACACATAAATGGCTAATAAAGCTGATTCTGAGCCTGATTCTGACACTTGCACACATACATTAATAATTTATAGTACAATACTTCTAAATGCATGACATCATAAAGGTGTGTTTGATGACCAAAAGTTAAACTACACATTTCTGCAAGTATTTCGTGCCTTCAGTAACAAAGGAAAATTACTGATTTTATGAATGATTTATAAGTTATGTTACACCTATACACCTGTACAGATTTTTAATAATGCTCTTAAAAAATGTCCTGCTGCCATATAATGGCCACTTGGTGGTACTAAAACACTGCACCAAAGGTACTGCCACAGCTCTGGGAAATATGCCGTCTTCATTTAATAGTTAAATGCGATGGCAGCTTGTTTGTGTTGCAAGTTGTCCATGTGTTTTCTTCTGTTAATACAGATAAAAGAATTTTTCATTAGCATTTTATGCTGCACAATTCACTATTGGATCTAAAAGTCAAAGGCTCAAAATGATTTGAATTAACCTCTCTCTCTCTCTCTCTCTCTCTCTCTCTCTCTCTCTCTCTCTCTCTCTCTCTCTCTCTCTCAGTACATCTAGCTTGGTACAGAGACACCCTGTCAGACAGGTCACACCCAGTAAAGGAGTTGCCTCACCGCCCAACATCATTTGAAGTCGAGCCTCAGCCTCAGTCTGGCTGGAGTCTGGTTGTTGGTTTTGAGAAATGCATGCTAGGCCACCCCTGCATTTCAAAACAGATCACCTAAAGATGTCTGATCTGCAATTCTAATTCCCTGAGGAGGTTGCTGAAAGTACTCAAAGTTCAAAACCAATTTTGTTTAAAGAAAAATACATAATAACAGTTTAGTTCACTGATATCAAGAAGTTTCTGAGGTCTCCCAAACACCATAGTTATTCAAATCACTTCTACTCAAATAGTATACTATGCATTATTTTACAAACTTTATCTATATGGATATTGGGTATCTTTTAAACGTGAAAAAACTACATAATTCATGAAACAAAAAAGCATAGTCTACCTTTAAAGACTGTTGAGGTATTGGTTTAACATTTCAGATTTTCAAAGAACACATTGGTTGTGGCTAAACAAGAAAGTTTAGACATGATAAATGCCTGTTGTTATCTTTTGTCCACTAGTATGAAGGTCTGTTGTTAGGAGTGCCAACAGAAAGCTGCGCATGCTCAGTTGTACCGGTCCCAACAACTTATGAATAATTAAGCATCTTTCCCGTTCACCGCTGTTTGATTGGACCCCGGACTCGGTTTCCTGTGTTATGTTTTAGAGCCGAGTTTTGAGGGATTTGCTCCCTCCGTAAATGAGCACACAGCCCAGCTCTGTGCCTGAACACTGCTGCTCCTCTACTGTCACTGTCTGTGTGACTCACATCAGACTCACACACACACAATGGATCGAAGACAACGCTGAGGAGCCGCATCCATGCTCTCAGGACTTTATCGGGAATATCGAGCAGTAACGTGGATGTCTTCTCTCTTCTGGTTTTAAGTTGAAGAACTGGAGTTTTTAAGAACTGTGAACTTTACTCAAGTTCGCGCACACACACTCCACTGGATCTTTGGGAATACGACAGGCAAGGCTAAGTGTTCTGTCAAAGACGGAGAATGGTGAGTAATACTCTAACTTCATCTATCATACTGTGAAACTAAAACGTCCCTGATGGTACTATTTATTATAGTGTGCCGTTTTGAAAATGTCCAAGTATTTTAATAAAACAAACGTGTTTAAAGTGAACTTAATTTAACTAAAGTCTCAAAAATTGAATTAATATTTAATTTTAAGGTCATGTCTGTTTATTTGTTTATTTAGTGACTTTTTAATACAATTTTATTGATCAAATCATAAACTTCGCACAGCTAAAATATCTATAGTTATACTGGACAGACTGCTTTGTTGTTCCCTTGTTGTTGGAGGATTTAAAAGTTTTGCTGCAGGTGATATTTTACTTTATTTATTGAATGTATCAGACACATTTTGTTTCCCCTTACATATCATGAGTTTACAGTTAAGGTCACCTCTCCCTTACTTTTCTCCCTCTCACAATTTTTTTGTATAAATTCAGTCATAGGAAAGCTTTGATCCATAGCATCTGAATTTGACTCATCTGACTGACACCTGCAGGCTTTCAGTCCTTTAAAAACATTAGTTGGATGCTTTGGTCACAGCTGCTTCTCAAAAACCGGTTTGTCCTGAAGGAAGACTAGGATGCCAGAGAGCATGTGTCAGGTGGAGTGAGTGTACTGTATTTGTGTGTCTTCTTGTGTGCAGGTGTGTGTGTGTGTGTGTTTGCATTACATCCAGACAGGTTTTTCCTGGTTACTGGATGTCATCCCTGCAGCAGACACGCCTAGAGCTAAGTTATGGAGGACGTTATGTGGTCTTGTTGTGTTTTGGCAACAGTTCCTCAAGCCACAGTCCTTGGTGGCTTGCTTTACACTTTTGCTATTGAAAACCAAACTGTTGAGCTCTTTGTTTTCATTTCACTTCTTAGCTTTGCTATTATAACTACAAATACTTAAAAACAAAAAATGGTCTGTTTTAAATGAAGATATAAGACCTGGCATATACAAGAAAAGGCTTACAAGACACAGTATCACCATCTTTGAAAAGTTTAATTCTATGTACTTTATGTTTTATGATTAATGCCATCTTTAGACCTACTTCATTGTTGGCATACACCCAAACAATCTCTATTAAAAACATTTATGGCTGAAACCTGTTGCACTGTGCCCCTATAGTGATGTAATAAACCTGTAGGTTGGGTTGCCCAAAGACAAACCCATAGGACAGAGGTTGCATAACAAGCTGTTAGCATTACTGAGCCATGACTAAAAAAATGAACAAACTGAACATGTTGCTTTTAATATCCCTGTGTTATGTCTACTTTTATGGCATTTACTCACTCTGTCAAGAATGAACGTTTGAGTGCTACATTTTGATCTAATGTTTTTCTCCTCATCCGGGGTGAAGAAGCTGTTTTCTTGTCCAAAGTATTGGATGAGTTATGAACATTATCATTATAAAGTTAAACCTCTTAACTAAAACATCAAGTTTTATCCAGATAAAGTTTTAGCTCTTTCAGTCTGTTGTCTGATTTCCCATACCGTCTGGAAAAGCATACACCAGCACAGCTCACTGGTTCCCTCTCAGCCAGATGCTAAATAGTGAGTTGGTATGACAGCAGATGGTTTGCATTAGCTTCTCGTACAGGGAGGTACGTACTGAGTAACCCCCTTCTCCCTTTGCGCTCCATTTTCAAACTGATGACTGCTGTAGAGATTTGCTCAGGAATTCAAGCCATCTCTCTGAAAACAGGACGAGCACCCATCACAAGGACCTGGGGAACTCGTTAGGCCTGTCGCTGTGGTTCAGTCTGCTCTCACACCTCCTGATTAGCTCCATACATCTCTGTTACAGAGCTCTAAATGGGTTTTCCTTGCTCTGTTTGTGTTGAGGTACTTCAGTGTTAACTTGTCCTGCTGTTGCACTTGTTGTTGTACATTTTAAACTCAAGTTGTCAGTTGGCCTTGAGTCAAATCAGTTTTTTTTTCTTTCTTTGGTTATTGTTTTTTCTGAGCCACACATCCTGTAATTTTATTATTTAATCTTTGAATTTATTGCCTACAGATGTGGCTCAAGTTTTTCTATGTTCTAAGGATGAAAATGTCGATTGAGTGACAAAAACTTTTGAAAGTTGCTTTTGTAAATCAAACATATTAATTGCTTGGCAGTTTCTCTGACAGTTTGGCTAGTCTTGGAAAAACATTATTTTTATTTCTACATTATTTTTCAGTAGCTGTTAGTTCTGTCAGGAGAAACATTACAACAAAGACAGACAAAAGTGAAACACCATACTTGGTTTGGATCAAACATCAGGTCTATATATATTTACATGTGATGGTATACATCAAGGTGTCAGGTATTCCTGTGGCTGTGAAACATAATCCCTTGAATCCAGGAAATGCAGAGGTGAAGAGCATCAAGCGATTGTATCTCCATGTGACCTAGTTTGTTTGCCGGGTCCCCCGAGCATTGTTTGCTAACTCTCATGTGGCCAAGAGCAGTTTGCCTCTGTTTGTATGCCTCAGCCGCTTTTTAAAACGACTGCAGATAACAAGCAGACATGTAGGAGCCCTTCAGTCGTTCCTGATTTATTTCTGCAGTCTGAGCAGCTGTGTCTTAACTGCAGATGTTGAGGAGAAGATGCAGCTTGTTTAACAGATCAAAGGTCAACACAAGTCAACAGGGAGCGTAATGATATTTTATTAAAAATGTTGTTTTATTGTATTGCAAATTGATTAACAGCAGTGATATTTTCTGGCGCTATCATGGGGTGTTACTTTTATCACAGTTTTGATATCATGAATGGATGGAAGTGTGGTTCTTGGGTCCACTTTGGTTAAAATTATGTGTCTCATTAACAGTAAGATTAGTCTGCTGTGACATTTACATCAAATAATTGTGTTTTTTTTAAAGAGTGAATCCTCAAGTCTCATGACCCCAGGCTTTTCTTTTTGTGCAAATATTTATTGAACAGTTCAAGTTGAGAGACGTATATCTTCACAACTATTTGTATGACAAGCATGGAATTTGCTACCTAACATTATGCTCACTCAGGATGGGTTGTAAAAGATTAATCTTGAGGTTAGAATTTCTTAAATGTACAATCTTTGTTTCCAAGTGAGGACTGTTACTGTGAGCGTATTAGCATGATGACGTTCGCCTGTAGCTCAGTGAACAGCTGTGCCTTGTGGAAATTACCCAAGTGGGCCTTAGAAAACACAGTGTATCTGTCTGTAGCTGGTCTTTGTTAGTTTCTAATCCTTGTTGAACAGATACACATGGTTGTCATGCTAGCAGCAGTGAAGTCTACATTACAGTAGTTGTCGTTTTAGAGAGTTGATTAAATATCTTTAACACTTAAGTGTTTGCTAAATAATGTCAGTTACATACAAAAGAGCTGCAGAATTTTACACTAAGTTGATGTTTATAACTCGTTCTCACAGCTCAAGCCTTAACAGAGTGCTTCTCTTTTCTTTGAAATAAGTTATAAGGTAATAAAGTGCTGGATAAATGAAGTTTGTAATAAATACTCTTATCTGTGTAAACATAATCATGTAAGCAGTGCACAGGATGCCATCCTTTTATGCTTGTTCAGTGTAGTTTGTTCCTGTTATAGCTGTCATAGAGGGCTATTTGCATGTATGATTTCCTGCATGGTGGACAGGAACACAAGGTCATTCTTTCTTTATTTAGCTGTGCTCTGGTTATCTGCTCTGATAGCTTTTAACCATCACATGTTGGCCAGTGGTCAGCCCTCTTACACTGTTTAATGGAAACATCTTTTGTGTTGAGGTTGTCAGAAGTGGTAGGTCTGGGTCTGGCCAGTAGAAAGCTATTGTTCAACTTAACTTTTAAAAGAAACACTATACCAGCACAGGGAATTAAATAGTCCTTGATAAAGGAGCCTGATTTTATAGTTAGAAGAACAATACACTGGGTTATGGGAGCATGTGATAATTTCAGCTTTTGTGGCTGTTTTTTTTTCTTTTGTGCTGAGTATACCATTGATTTCCACTTTTGGCATTGGTTGCTAGTGGAACAGTTTGTAGAGTAATCTTTAAGATATTGTTTTCTATTCTTGTGTCTTTGGCACCATCAAAGTGGAATGAAACCACCAGCCTGTAAGAATAAGAATAAGAACAGCGTCAAATCTTTAACAAGGCCAGTTAGCTGTTGTGTTCCTCTATAAAAACATGAAGTTACTGACTGGAAAGAGTTAAAATTAGCTGGTTTGAATTGGATCTTTTTTTTTTTTGGCACACTTCCCATGGCAGGGCTGAGTCAGTGCATTGCTCACAGAGGAATCATGGAGTAACAGGAGTGTCAGAAAAGTATCCTCTCAAGGCGGTTTTCATTCATCAATACTAGATAAAAAGGAACCAGCAGAAGGGATTCTTCATCATGATAAACTTATTTGAGCCCATGTTATCTAGAATGAAAGTACCATATAGTCTCTTCAATCTTAAATTTAAATTCTGTTTTTTTTGTGTGAATAGAGTATAACTAACAGGCCAAAACAATTATTGATTTGGATATGCTCGTGGTTTACTTTGGTCTGCTTAATAATAAGGAAATTTACTTAAAGAAGCAAGTGGTACATTGAATTAATCCTGCTAAAATTTTAGGAAAAATTTGATTCTTAGTCCCCTTTGAGTGTTAAATCATATAATCTAATGCTCTCTACCTGGTACAAAGACAATATAGAACTTAAACAAGTTGGTATTGTCACAAGAACAGGGCTGAGTTACTGCTGATTTACCTTTAACACTGCAAAACACTAAATAATAACTTAGCTGAAGTTTAGTAATATTTGATTTTACTGTATATTTCACCAAATGTTACAAAAAATTTTATGTCTTTAAATTAAAAGCCAAATTGAGTAGTTGTGATAGATTTTACATCAATTTGTGTTGTCAAAGTTGTCTAGGATGCCATTTGCTTTTATTTCCCTCATACTACTTTAATATTTATGAGACTCTGGATGGACTCTGTCTTTTATTTCTACACAGTTTTTACCTGTTTCCAACAAACCTTTTTTTGTGCTTTATTTTGACACACCTCAGTTCTTATTTTTATATTTCAAAAAATCTCTTCCAGTAATCGTCTTAAGTTTAAGTTCTTCTCTGCATAATCAACTAGGGCTGGCCTGGTCCTTTCTGTGCATAAATGTAACTGCTGAGTCATTTCTTTCTGCCTCATTATTATTGTGTTCACACTGGTGGGGCTGATGAAGTCAATGCCATTAAACGCTCATTCATCATACACTCAATGCGCCACACCCCTGCACCAAATCAGCCCACAGAGGAGGAATAATTGTTGTCACAGTGATTCAAGGATGATTTAGTTGCAGCTACACTATGATAACATTTTTCATGCGTCTGTCGGCTCTACAGCTCACCTAACTGAAAACTCTCAGGAGAGCAAAAGTTGTTTACTGGAATCACAGTGTGTTGGTAAACTGTACTCTTCCTCTCAGGTGAAAACCCAGTGCTGACCTCTCTGACCCTTGAGGACCTTTCTCATAGTAATGTGAGACACCTTTGACTGTTGTTAGCCTCCCGGCACTGTACTCAACACCCAAACAGTTTCGACAGACAACAGAATTCCTATAATTTGGGGTGTTTTGTGGCGATGCACAGAAGGCCTTTGTCTCCTGAATCTGTTTTAAAGTTAGTTTTAGATTTGTCTGGTCTGCTAGTCTGAGTGGAAAACTGTCTGATTCAGCTACGAGCTCTCCTTGAGATCTTTTGGAGACTTCAGTGCTTTCTTCTTCATGGAGGCAATAACAGAGGAAGTACATTACCTTAAAGAAAGTTTTTCTTCTCTAATATGATGATGATTCTGCCAACATCTCAGCTCTTTTTTTGTCAAAAACTCAGACATTATGTGGCCATGAGTCTTCGTCTGCCTCTTGAGAAGTGAGGAATGTATGAAGGTAATTCATCAGCACACAGCCCTACCTGGTTTGATGGCTGCTGCCCTGTTGTTACACGTGATTCACTTTGTCAAGCTTCTCCCTCTTCTCCTCAAGACCAAAAAGAGTGACTGAAATTTGTGTCCACCATGTATTTGCCTGCAGCATTCGGCATGTGAATGAATTTCCACTGCAGATGGTTTGTTTACATTCAACCACTACTAAGGCAGCTTGGTGACATGTGTCTTGTCTGGAATTACAGCTGAATTCCGCTCTGAACCACACTGACTTTGATTTAAACGTTTATTAGCGGTCTTGTTGTTGATTTAATCAGAGATGTTTTAAATCAAATTTTCCATGGAAAAGCGTGGCCTCTGTTGAGCTGAAACTTTGTACAGTTCGCTCCGAGACGTGTTAAAAGTAGGGTGGTATCTGTTTACACTTGATCATTATGCCTTCTCTCGCTCTCTCTGGGAGGGACTGAGCTCAACCCTGCCCTGCAGCCACAGTATTAACATCATCACAGACAGGCAGTGCTCAAGTTACAGAATCCACAGCACAATAATTCATTTCTGTTCATTCTTTTTGAACTTTCGGTAGATCAGACCCATGACAGAGTGAGACATGCAGACATAAAAACAGAGAAATAGCTGGTTGATGTGCATTATTTATATCACCATTCAAGTTGTGTTGCACAGTGAACTCTGGGTTTGTGCTGTAGCTTTCTTCCTTTGTATATGCAGGTTATTATCACTCATTGGAAACAAAAAATCACAAGTTACTTTCATATAAGTCACATTTTCCATATCTTCCATATACTCCCTGCTGAGGAATCATTTCCAGGAACTTTGGCTCCGAGTCTTTGATTCATCAGAAATGATTGAAAGCAGACATCAGTTCAGATCTGACATGTTTTATAGGCCGCGTCTGATGAGTGTTAGTTCCCTGCTGTTGTCCTGCTGTTTGTTTGTAAGTAACTGAGATGAGGTTTGCTGGCAGTGTGGTGCTGTGTCAGGGTTTAATCAACTGTTAGCCTCATTAGAGGGGAGTTTTCAGCATCACTTAAGATGAAAATGATATGTGTGTGTGAGTTTGTCTGTCTGTGTGGGCTCAGGTTGACTTTAATAAGTATCCCATCTCCTCAATACTTCAGGCCGTTTTATACTTCGGGTCATTGCTCCTCTCCATTGAATAGTTGCACACCCACAAACACACAGCTTCCTCCTCTGTCCTTGTTGATCTTGTCTCTCTGGTTGTCTCAGTCAGCAGTTTTATCAGCATCTGGCTTGATTACACAGGGGGTGATATTGACCCAAGTACAGACATATGCAGCAGAGACCAGACCAGGTGGAATAGCTGTTAAGACAGCAATAACTCCTCGAGCTCTGTTTAGTTCATAGATCAAACCTGATATGCTGAGACTTCAACAAGGTGCATCAGTGAAAATCAGTCAAAATCAACCTACAAAATACTGGCACAAAACTGGTGATGTTTTTTTAGGCTTTTTTTGTACAATTTTGGCAGCGGTTCTTGTCTTTGAATTACAATAAAATGTTAATTTGCAGGATGGACTTAAAGACTCAGTGTTAATATCCCATGTTTACAGTGTAGGTATTGGGACTTTGTATGACTCAGACATCTTCTTTCAATTCATATGAATGCAGTTTAGTACTTCAAAAGATCTCATTTTTTGAGTATTAAACATTTGAAAAGAGGGTTTTTGGCAAAGCAACAAACTTACTGAGAGGTCAGACAGACGACAGATGGATAATCTGCAACTCAGACATTTTGGTGCCTTTTTTGTCCCATAAGATACCATGAAGCTTTGTGATGCATTCAAGGAAGCTCAGATATTTGACTGTTAGAGAGTACGTTTCAAAAACTGATTGATTTTCCAAGTTTGAAGTTTGTTGTTCAAGGGAGTTGTTGCTGGTTCAATTCTCTGTCGTGACTCTTTGCTGCATGTCCCCACTCTCTACTCCACACACTTCCCATCTCACACCAGCTGCCTGATCTAATAAAGGGGAAATGGCAAAAAGTATACCTTTGAATTTGACAGTTTGGTTGTGTTGTGTTTCATTGAAAAGTTGCTTGATGACAACTCTCTGTCACACCAGGAAATATCTGTGTTTGTCTATGCTGTAGATTTATCTTTAAATGACCTCTGATGCTTTTCATTCAAAGTAAAACTGAGACAACAATACAGTGACAAGCTTGATCATTTGCCAGTATAACTGTATATATAGTATATCTGTTATAATGTATAACTGTCATGTAATGGTTGGCATCACAGACAATAAGAAATTACAAAAAAAAACCATATTTTTCCTTACGGAACAAAAATAGACTTCACCCAAACAAAATCCCAATCCACATTTCATCTGTCTCAGAGTCCTTTTGGAAACTGTTTGGATCCTTCAACCATGACTGAAAAGATCCCCAATTTGTATGTTAATTTGTGACACACGTTTGCCAAATTAGATTACTTGTGGCTTTTTTCCTTGGCTCTTTCACCAGTAACCCTCTGCATCATACACTCTGTTCTTTAATGTAGGCTACTGATCAGTTTTTTAAGCTGTCTGTTTTAGTCCTGGTCAACCTTTAACTAAACTTTAAAAAGAAAGTAGATATTAAGGTTGAAACATCTGAAAATTAAGATGTTGTTTTGGGCAGCAAGAGTTAAAAATTGTTAGAGTAACTTCTCAACACACAGCTACTAGCACTTTGCAGGAATTAGCTCCCATGTACTGTTAAATTGAGAGTCAGCAGAGACATTTTTGAGACATCAAGACGGAGGTGTCTTTGGGATATTTTGAGGCAGTATTGATTTTAAAAATCTGGATTGAGTGAGCAGGTAGATGCTGGTCCAGCTTATCTACACAAAGCTTTATCAGACATGGGATCTTGCTGTAAGAAGTCCACTCAGGCTGAAGTATAAGTCCCATTCATTAAAACACTTCATTTTCCTGGCCTACAGTTTTCACCATCCTTGCAGTTTTAGGAGGACTGTGTTTTTAACCTAGATTTAACCTCAGAGGCAAAAACTAACAACTTGTTATGAAAACCAGCAGGATTCCCCGTCACATTTTAAACCAGTCATGTACTGGTATCAGAGCTTTGTGATTTCTGCAGACTTTTGGTACAGAGTGATGAACGACTCTCTTATTTTAGAAGAGAGGAATTTGTTCTCATGGCTCTCATCCAGTTTCCCCTCATGGTACAGAGCAGACACACGGTCTGTGTGTAGAGCCCTGGTGTGCGGAAGGAATATGGAGCAGAGAAGAGAAATGAGGAGAAATGAGGGGAAAGTGCTGCTTCTGATCCTGAATCAAACCCAGTCATTTCCTGTACAGTGGGCCAGAGCTGCTCAGCACTCTCCATATATGGTCATGGTATTTGCATGGAGGGAAACCCTGGCCTTATGGATCAGGACTTATTGAAATTCCTCTGTATGGTAACTTCTGGGAAAAGATTTGGCCGCATGGTTGATTATATCCTCAATTCTCAGAGAGGAAACTAATCAGGTCTAATCTTCCTGCTCTGATTTCTTCCTTTACTCCATGAATCAGTGTTGTAAAAGCGTCTGTCAAAACATGGTAAACTGTGTTTTTGATAAAGAGAAAACATAGTTTTAAGCCAGATGCTTGGTTTTGTGGTGAGTGTATGAGCATGACTATAAGTGGGTCTGTGATATGATAAAGATGCTGTTAAAGTCTCTATTGACATCAGTTTTGCAGTGTTAGTGGTCATATGTGAATGTATGTCTGTAGTATAAAGTGTCCTTGAACAGACTGAGAAGATGTTAAGTCCTATTAAACCATTCAAATTAAAGTAAATGGGCAGCTTCAGTCTCATTTTACATTTTATACATCTATAGCAGATTTTTTATGAGGATTGCTCATTAGAACCATTTAAACTCAGATTCTCACTTTAGTGCTACACATTACCCCTACTCGGTTATTTTTCTGTGAACAAGTCATCACTGTTAGTATGTGATGACCCTCAAATGTGGTGATAAACCTGTGTTGAAACTTTCCATTATTAGCTAACCAGCCTATTGTTTTTTAAGCACCAGAAGTAAAATGTATAAACTCCTATACATTCATAGAGACTCATTGATGTGTTAACTATCATGAATGACATCATATCCAAGAAACAGGACCCATCAAATTAATATTTGTCCTTAAAGATATTTGAATTCATCATTGTTGGGGAAGTATTTGCAATTTAATACTGTAATCAATTCATATTCGTCTTTAAAATGGCTTGTTTTGTATGGAATTAGTATTGTTGGGTGTTGTGCTTCCCACTGAATCAATGAAATAGTAAACTCCAGGACCATCTCATTGTTTAAAAAAGAGAGTAGTGACGTGCCTGACACAGACATCTGGTCTGAGGGTACATCTTGTTTGCTTACAGAATCATGTAGTCCAAGAGTGCAGAAAAACATTTAAGGAAAAGTGAAATATCTTCCTGTGTTGTCTTGAATCAGATAACCTTTCTTGAAGTTGGTAAAGCATCTTTAGTTATCACAAGCTTTTGACAATAACAGTGAGGATTAAAACTAAAGCAGCAGTTTAATGGTTATACAAGGAAGCAGCCTCATGAATGGTTCAAAGCCCAGGACAGAAATCTTTGTAGGGGAAATGACCCTCCACCCAAACACCCTGACTACAATCGCTTGAGTATATCGACCCTCCACCTCTGGCTGCTCTAGAGCAGCTCAGCAGCCAGCAGCAGAGGAAGAGGAGGAGTGTGGTTGTTCCAGGCACATCCCAGATGTATTTGTGTGTAAAAGTGCGGCCCTCCTTCTCTGAACAGCTACTCCCTCAGCCCGCTGCTACATGTAGTAATATTTTCTTAGTCTTTGTGCCTCATTAAACTAGACCTGAATCAAAACAGATGAAGCAGTCCTCCAAATATTTGAACCTCCTACGTGTACATCTTATTACTTTCATGACTGTGCACACTGTCATTCCAGACGTAGCAGAGGGTGGTTAAATATAGCATGTACAATTGTTTTCACTTTGGGTTGGGCAGCACTCGCTCATAACTTGTGCTTTTTGAGAAAATGTTTCCCCTCTCTAAGAAGCAATTTTAATAAGAAGTTAGCAGCAGAAGGATAACTGGTAGTTTCCTGAATAAAGATAAGATAAGATAGATGTAAGTGTTTGGATATAGGAGGCAGTGAACACAACAGAGATTATTGAGGTAGTGTCAAACTGCTGGTAGATCAGCGTAACCTTGTTTCTTTAATGGACTTATTTGATGTCCTTTAAGTTTGAAGATAGGATGTAAGTTTATGAGTATTTCTTGCATGAAGGTGCCTTAAAAACAATAAGCAAACTAAGCAAAAATTAAGCCCAGTGTCCACATTTGTTCTTTAAACCAAAAACTCTCAGATTACCCTCAAAGTGTGTACAGTTTTTTACACTGTGTACTTGATTTACTGAACAGACTTGGTGTTGCTTATGTCTTTAACCTCTAAACCGAGAGCCTAATGTCTTCTCTGATGTTTGCCAGGAGTTCTTTTTTCTTCAGTTTACCAGGTTTTCACTGAAAGTCTCAAGTGTCTAATTGTATGTTATGCATAAATAAAGTTCTTTATGAGACAAGATTGTAATTTCAGAGTTACAAAAGATAAACTGGACCTTGAGTCTGTAATAAAGTGTATCTACATTATATATGTAAACTGACTGAAGTTACCTTAGAAACAGAGTTATATTATGACACTTATCTCCTAAAGTCCTGTCAGTCATTATGTGAGGAGGTGCTTCACTCTCTCTGACAGAGTCATCACAACGCCATAGTTACTGAGGAATTAGGGAATTCAGCTTACCTCTCTCTTTTCCTCCTTCTCTCCCCCGTCTCACCCCACTGCACCTCTACAGCAGTAAAACACATTAGTGGGTGTGATCTGGAGAATTAATCAAGCTATAATTGGCTGCTTCCCTCCTGAGGGAAAAAACAAACTTTGTGAATCAGACAGAAAGCTGTTAACATTCCTTGCCTCTCCCATGCTACGGTGGAGTCTGTAAAGTGTAACTAATTTTACTGTTGTTGAGAATAAAATCACCCAGGAGGATATTAAAGTTTACCCGCTCTCTTTCTTGGTTAAATAGTGCAGAGTTTATTACAGAATGCAAAATTACTTTTCACTGGTTGTTGTTTTTTTTTAAAGTGGTGTTACTTTGAGGCTCGTTTTATTAACAGTTCGCCCCTCATTGTAGTTACTGTTTCATTTGCTTACAGTCTTGTATAGAAAGTTTTGCAATTTGACTGTTTTCACTGAACCAACTGTACATGGATCGCACCCAAGTTTTATTTATCTGTACATGTTTAAATTCCTGTGTTCCAGGCTATTTAAGGCTTAGTAATACTTCTTGGCTACAAAGTTAACATTGACCTTGATAACAGCAGTTGATCATACAATTTCACATCAGAGCCTGTTCAGCAGCTGATTTCCAGTGGTAGTAGTTCTGGAGTGAGATCAGAAGTTGGAGAACAAGTAACTTTTGTTATTGGCGCTTATTGTTTGATTATTTACTGACCTTGTGTTGAAGTGATAGACCATCAGCCTAAGTTTAGAATTATAATTTGCAGTATAACAGTAGTTTGAAAAGGGCCTGTCTACGAAACTTGGCAAACCTCATCTGGACAAAAACGTTAACACTACAAATGAACATGGAGTGATATGGTTTACCATTATTTTAACATTAAAAAAATATTGTTTCTATTTCTTGAATAGGACATAAAAAAGGGTCTACAGCTGTGTTAGCTGAGAGGTTATATACTTGAACTAAATGCTACCTTCAACATGCATACTCTCACTGTAAAACATGTTACAAAGAAACCGACATTGCCAACATTTACTGTATTAGCACAAAAGTACATGATCCTAGGGTTCATATCCAGACATTATTAGATACTATAGTGTGTTTTTTTTCCCAGCAATGTTATCCCTTGACCAAATATTCAGTGTGTGATTTTCTGTGTCAGTACATTGGTATTGGTTTCTGACATTGAGGTCTCAAGAGTGCCTAAATGAAGCTTTTACCATTCAAACTGTATCTGAACCCTTACACTTTCCTTTGTGCTACACACACAGAAAAGGCAGACAAAGCTGATGAAAATAACGATAGTTCTTTAGATATCCAGAGGATTTGATGCACTTCATATTTTCCTGAAGACCCTGGGTTGACCAAAGCCATGGCAATACATGCAGTTATTTTACCACAAGCCCTTAAAATAGACCTCTTTGTAGCACAAGAGCAAAAAGGGTGTTTGGTTGCTCCTCAGAGCATTGAGAGCATCTACAGGATTTAATATCCACTGATTTATATTTGTTATAGGATCTGAAATTATGAACTAACAGAGTGGACTTGCCATATTTAGGTCACCAGTGTGTGCACTAATGAAGGTAATATGCTGTCAATAACATTTAAAGAGTAAACTTTTGTTGACTCATTTTAAGTTTATTGTGGTTTATGCTGTTGAAGTGTTAATGGTTTTCATCAGACTGCCCCCCCTATGCTCTGTCCTCTCCCTACGCTCGCTGACTGACCAGGCAGGAAGTCAGGGGTTAACTCATGTGTTGGAAATGTTCTGGATGGTCTCTGCGGCTTTAAGTGGATCTCCGTCCAGGAGAAAAAGGCTCACTCCTCGCAGCAGCACATTGTGACCCTCGTTCACAGTAGCCAGACAGCACTGACTCATAGCGCATGATGGATGACCTCAGTTCTCCAGAGACTCAGTCAGATAAAACAAAATAACAGGGAAAAGTGCAGAGAGCAGACTGTTCGGATGTGGACAAAAAGTTTGGGCAAAGCATCTTTAAGACTTGGACAAATAACTCACAGTACTTCTGGGAATCCAACCTTGCCATGTCATCAAGTAAACACAGCTCATCCTGCTGCTGTCTTCACAAAATCTGCTCCTTTTGACTTTTTACTGCTGTGAAAATAACCCAATTCTCTTAGCTTTTAATTTGTCAGACTTTTTCAACAGTCTGGTCAAACCACAGCCTCTTGTTGGTTTTTAGGCCGCAGGTCTTTCAGGCAGGGAAGCGTTTTTATCACCTTTGCAATGACTTCACTCTATTTTATTCACCACATCCATTTGGCGGCTTTTTTTTCTGAAAACTGGAAAAATTAAATGTGGTCGCCTCATCGATCTGCTGTCTTCTAGTTTGTCAGTACTCTATATTGAAGATAGGTGTCTGTCAGCATTTTATCATGTGTTGGTTGTTAAGCAGCTGCTAAGACAATGACCAGTAAAAGCTTCCAATTCAAACATTATTAGAGAGTGGCTGCAGAGAGTGAATCTGGTCAATTGTGTCTAAATGTGTGAACAAACAAATAACAGTCGTACTTTGTGTGTGTGTGTTTTTATGTGCAGGGGAGCAGGGGGCACTACCGGTACCACTGGCAGAGCCACAATGTCAAACACAGTGGAGTGGACGACATGGTGCTGCTCAGCAAGATCAACGAGGACGCCATCGTGGACAACCTCAAAAAGAGATACATGGATGACTACATCTTTGTATCCTTTGTTCTGTACACTAGTTCACAACCTGGTGAGAAATATCTGAGCCTGGTCCCATGCCTGCATTTCCCAGAATAGCTGAATGGTCATTCATAGCGTCACTGATGCAGTGAGTAATAGCTCAGTGTCGGGAGGTAACGCCTTCGCAGCGAGACTCTGCCGTGTGCAGAGGGGGCAAAGGGGCCTCTTTGTGCGTACCTCCACCCAGATCTCAAACTCTCCCTCTTCTATCAAAATCAGCTTCACTCTAGTTTTATCCATTTGTTGTGCAAGCCAAATGCTGTGAGAGACTTTTTTTTGTTCAGAGCAGCTGCTGCATTATTTTCTAAGCAGCTGTTGTGGAGAATGAAAAGCTGTTTTGATAGAGACATTATTTCAAACAGCACATCTTCGACTCGACGTGTGTTAAAAACTGTCAAATATAAATGAAAATTAGACATTCAGACCTGCAAAACTACAAATTAAAGTAACTAAAGGAAACATTAAAAGAGACAGCTCAGCGTCTCACCTCAACACAGTCAGACTTAACAAGGACAGAGTGCCTCATAATCCAGAAATAGTGGCCTTATCTTCTAAAATATTTAGCGCTCATTCTTCAACCACTTAGACATTTACTCCAGAGGTACACAGCAGTTCATGTCTAAGAGAGCCACACTCATTTTTTGCAGGGAGACATTCAATTTCTGTCTTCGGTTTTGGTTTTCTTAAGTGCAGCTGTGACCACACACTCACACATAAGCCGTTCATGACGTAAAATGAGTCGATGAATGAATGAATAACTCCTTTCAAAAGCAACTCAAGCGTTCACAAAGTGGCTTATTACATAAACTTCATCCACACTCTTGCAGCGCTCAGGATTACGAAGTCGAGTAAATGCAGGCAGTTTTAGGTTTGCAGTTTCTGCTTCAGCCCTCTGATTTGGGTCAACAAATAGCCATAACTGTTGGGTTTCTTTGCCAAGACTTTGGGTCACTGTAGGCCACCCACAATAGCAGCTTTATTTGCCTTGAACAGCGATTCTGCCTCATAGCATAAAACCCTGACAGAGTTACATGGTCGGTTTGTAAGCACTGGATACTTTTTGAGTCTCAGGCATGATCATCAGATTCTCCCCTGCTTGATTTTTGGACATGGCAGCCTTTGATTGAGTCATTTCCTACCAACACAGTTTTATAAACCCTCTTAAAGAGTCGTATTGTTGATTTGTTTTGCCTTCACTGAAAGATTCTTAACCTGTAACCTCATCAGACATACATCGGACCTGTGCTCATCTCTGTCAACCCTTTCAAACAGATGCCATACTTTGGTGAAAAAGAAGTTGAGATGTATCAAGGCGCTGTAAGTATGAGCCCAAGTGTCTAATGAGAACATTTGGAAATGACTTTTCTTAGTCTGAAAGGCTTAAACCAGAAAACTCACCTCATATTTCTAAAGCACAAATGGGCCTCAGGATTTCTGATGGCACAGTCAGATGGATTATAGACGTAAACTGATCTGGGTTTGTTGCAGTGCTAATTTTACCAGAGGTTTGCACAGTCGTTGTTGTCAAAAACTTGACTAAAGGTTTTTAAGTTTGAGAGGGCTTGGCAGTACCTTCACAGAGCAGCCTGTTCAAGTCTGCCTCCGCTCTTGGCCTGCATCATTGGAGTGTGTTCATCTCTCTTTAAACCGAAGAATACACTGAATGACTTTTAAAATCTTGACAGATTGTAAAAACATTCAGCATTGCTCATGCCAAAGTTAACAGTAAGAAAGATTCAAGTAGTGGAAAAGTGCATTGAGTTCGGATCTGCACTGTGCTATCAGCTGAAATATAGAGGAAAGTTCAGCTAAGTTCAGGAAAGTTTGAAACAGACATGAAATCTGTGTGCAGTTTGGTTGGTTAGATGTTGGATAGCAGATTTGCCAGACTCATTGTTTGTCTGTATATTGAACATCAAACAATGTAATTGCACAGCACATATTTTTCTCATATTGTGCTGTGAGCTTATGTGGCAGAGCCTCAACTCATTCAGAATCACAGCCAGTGTGTGGTTGACATATGTCTTACTTAATATTTATTTAGCTGTGTCAACAACCCCAATGCAAAGACCCTCTCCCTCACTTGCCTTTGTCTTTGAAAGGCTTAGTGACTTCCTGAAACAACTTGGCGGTGCAGTTTCTTGCAAAAGTGACAGTTATAGTTAGGTTGTGCATTTTAATGGACTTTTTTCAGAGACAGATTGGTACACATGTGGTGCACTGAATTCACAGCAGTAGTATATGGTAATAAGCTGTAATTCTTCCTATGCAGACAATTGAAATTTGTTGATAGTTTTGATCATTACATGAGATTTGGGCGATAGGGAAAGTATGAAATATTACAAGAAACAACCCTTTTATGTGTTTCCTGGTATTAAGAGTTCAGTTGTTCCACTTTTGATTTTGTCTGTGTTGTTTTGCTTGTCAGGCTCAATATGAGAATCCTCCTCACATCTACGCTCTGGCGGACAACATGTACAGAAACATGATGATTGACTCTGAGAATCAATGTGTCATCATCAGGTAAGACTTACATAACTTCATTCCTCAATCACTTCTCTGGAAAATCATGAAACTAATCGCACGTGACAATCAAGAATGTGGCTCCACACAGGGGAGATGTCTCTGTGTGAAATTCTCCTTTTAATATGAGACCATTTAAATTAGATAAGCGTTTATTTTGTTATCTTTAACCCCCCCTGTGAGGGAGCCAGACCTCTAAACATCGAGGATAGGGGAGTGAGTGAGACAAAGGGTGTTGATAGAAATCTGTACAATGTGACCTGTGAGGTGTTCTGACAAAAGCCGAGCGAGTTGGGAGGGAACATGAGAACAGAACTGGTTCTACCGCATGATTTTGAACAGCTGACTGACTGACTGACTGACTGAAGGTGATGTAGCTCTTTGGTGTTTTTCCAAATTGTGTGCATCTGGTGTAAAATAGAAATCCGTGATGAAGTACACTCCTCCCAGAATATGAAAAGGAACATCCAACAGCTGGAACTGGCCTCAATTCAGGATGTGAGATGGAAACAAAGCGCTCGTTATAGTGGGTATTTTTGAAGAACTTCCTGCTTTAGAAGAAAAAATAAAAACAGGAAGAACACCTGCATGATCTTTTGTCCTGAATTTCTCTCTCGTCCCTGGATAACGAGGGATTTTCAGGTGTTATGACAGCCAGTTAGGGTTTTTCTGTCAATGTTTTTTTTGCCACAAAGCTGCGTTTAAAAAAAAAGTTTTAGTGTCATGATTGGGGCTTTATCCTCCGGCCCAGTCACCTGAGCAGCACAGTGGTTACTATAGTGCTTACCTCATGATGAATGAACCCTGCTTCAGCACTTTTGCCCGTTGTTTGGACAGCCAGTAGTTGCTAGTTCAGTTTCCCACATAAAGGCACTGAGGTGGATTTTGTGATTGACTACATCAGCAAACAAAAGCGTGGAAGTGGTTTTATGATGGGGGCAGGTCTGAGCAAACAAAGGCTGCTGTGAACTGCTGGCCAGGCAGCACGGTCAGCACAGCCTGTGTTAGCGCTTTTTCACATTTACCAAGGAAATTAGTCAGGTAAATGAAGTGGTCGGTGGTTCCGACCATCCCTCTGGGGAAATGGGGACTTTTTTATACATCTGTTTCATCCTCTTTCTGCTGACTTCAGCATGCTGATGATGTAGCTCTATCCAGTCAATCTGGATCAGATATTCATGTGCAGGTTATCAGTTTGGCACTCCCCTTCAAAACATTTAATGAAACCTGAGCTGTGACAAAAGACAAAAGCTGTGTTTTCAAAAGACTCCACCAAAACTCTGATCATATGATGCCCTGTTGTTTCACATCAGTTGCCAGCACAGATAAGAAACCTACAGTCTCTGAGTTTCACTGAGAAACACGAGTCTCTGTATCTCCAAGCACTTTTACTCCACTGAACAACAACTCTTTAAACCTCGTGATTAAAAAAAGGACTATTTTTCCAGTGTTGACTTACTTATTATCAAAGTTTATAATGAGAACTCTTGCACACATGCTGACTGTGTCCTAGTTGAGGCTGTGACTGGGTTCAGTTTGGTCTGTGTTCAGGGTCTTTGCTGTTTCCCTCATGTTTCTTCCCATCCCAAACAAGCGATCTGAGAATAGATAGTGTTGTATGCTTTTTTTGATTTTAAAGCTCCTTAAGGCAAAGTTGGGGTTTGAGTTATTGGACTGTATAAATAGGAGGTGATTTGTCTTGCCTGTGATGTTATCCACCACATCAGTCGGTGTCTCCCTGTTGGGTCTACTCTTGTTCCAAATAGGTGTAAGCTGCTAATGAATGGCCAAATAGAATATTAACCATATTAACCTGTTTTAGATGGACTGCCCAATCAACATTTGAGATGCTGAACTGTAGCAAGTGTAAGATGCCCAATAGATTAACAGAGACAAATGCCTAAACTTTGTGGATATGCATGAGCAACTGTGTCATGCTGAAGTCCACCCCTGGAGCAATCAGACTGGCCAAACAAACTGGACTTTAGGGGTCATTTGGGGTCAAACATGCCTTGTGACAGTTTGTGTGTCTTGAACAAAAATAACAAAAGGTGAGAGAAGTAGAGGAATCAACACTTGTGCCACCAAACTGAAGTCAATACTCTCAGTACTGCTACTCTCATGTTATTTTGGTAATAGAGTATAATCATGCCTAGCCATTCAATCTTATTCTTTAGTGGAATCCGATGTTATGAACTCAGATTAGGATCAGATTATTCAAGTAAAAAGAAGTCATTAAATCTCTCTCTTTCCTCTCACTGACTGGTTGCTTTTCATTGGTTTTGTCCATCAATCTGAAACGGAAAATAATACCTCAGCGCCCGAGGTGAGAGTCCTCAGATAAAATGTTATGGCAGGCAGACCCCAGTTGCTTTAAAAAAGAAAAGTCAGTGGTTTTTGAATACCAGAAATGCTAAGTCAGATACTGTTTATGTGTTTTAACTATCTCTTAGGAACAATAGCTTGTTTTGTTGGATTTAAAACCACCAAAACTAGAAGCCAGTGTTGACTATGCATCCCCCTCATATCTGCTGTCAGTAATGATGCACAAAAGTTAAAGTTTGCACCTCTGCGCCTCTGCTCACATTGTTCAACTTGTGCCCTTGTTTGGTTAATAAATCTCTGCAGAACTTAACAATGCCTTCAGCATTTCAGCTCCACAACAATGAGATCCGCCCATTGGTCAGCTCAAAAAATAGCTCCTTAAAGGAAAACTTTGATAAAGACAAACAATGCTCACAGACAAAGCTTCAGAGGTTTTCCTCTGAGTGGAACCTCAGCTCATCATATCAGTTTCCGGTTGTTACTTGAGTAGTATGCTCAGACAATGCAAAAAAGGATTTGGGAGAAACCGGGAGGTTCATAGGGGGAGGGTTACAGCCATATAGAGGCTGCTGTGTAATAGAGTGGCTCCCATGACTTCCTCTGGCAGCCTCTAACAGTCTGCAGCTGTGTTTCTTACAGAGGCATTACCGACCTGACTGCTCTTAAAGGCACTGAAAGAAAAAACAGAGTCTGCTGTTATCCCCTGCCAAACCACACACGTCAAAATAAGTATGACACTGGCAGAGTGAAAGAAAGGCAAGAAGGAAAATAGATGAAGAAGGGATGAGGGAAAAACTGTGAATGTGACAAAACAGAATTAATGCTCTCATTCGGCTGCCCAGATGTGCAGTAGCCAAACACACATACAGGCTTTAAATGGAAATGTGCTTATAGCTGCACTAAGTAAATTTTGGTTGAACAGGAGCTGGGGTTTCTTTTGTTAATTCAGCAGGTTCATTATAACACATGGGTTCAAGCTGATCTCACTTCGAAACCACATGCACTGAAAGAAACCTGCACACAATACATGCTTAACGTTTCATTGAATTACAGTGGTGTTAAAAAGTGTTTGCTCCCTTTCTGATTTCTTAATTTTTTGCATGTTTTTCACTCTTAAATGTTTCAGATCATCAAACGAATTTAAATATTAGTCAAAGACAACACAAGTGAACACAAAATGCAGTTTTTAAATGAAGGTTTTTATTATTAAGGTAGGAAAAAACTCTAAAGCTACATGGCCTTGTGTGAAGAAGTGATTTCCTCCCCCTGTTAAAACATAACTGAACTGTACTTTATCACACCTGAGTTCAGTTCCTCGAGCCACACCCAGGCCTGATTACTGCCACACCTGTTCTCAATCAACAAATCACTTACACAAGCGTGTTCACTTGTGTTCACTGTATATGAAGCCTAATGCTTGCAGTGATTTAGAAAGGTAATACTATTGATAGCTGTTAATGAATAAAAGCAGGTTGTGTACAATCTATGTGACCTTTGACTGTATGGAGATAAATCAAACAAAGAAGTCAATAAAATACATCAAACACAGCAACCAGTAAGATAATAAAAAGCAGATGAAAACAATGAAAAAGTGTCCTCTCTGTGGACTGCGTGTGTTAATGTGCTTACTGTAAGAATCAGTTGAGTATATAGTAAAGAGACACTAACAAGGCAAATGCAGCGATTGATAGTGTGCAACTATGTCGTGCTCCTCGAAAAAAATAGTTAAAATACAAATGTCACGTGAAATAGTAGTGAAAGTATGTGGTGGTTTGCTGATGATAAAGAAGCGCAGATTACATGTGTGATGTCTAAACAACGTGTGCTTGAATCTTGTGTTTCAGTGGGGAGAGTGGAGCAGGAAAGACTGTGGCAGCTAAATATATCATGAGCTACATCTCCAAAGTGTCAGGAGGCGGACCCAAAGTACAGGTAAGAGGACTCTCTTTGGACACTTGGTGAAAGATTTATGACACACAAGATTTTTCAGATGCTGAGCTTTGTCGGCCAAGAAACCAAATTCTAAGTAAACTATGTATTAATCACAATCCTTATTTTAAGAAGCTAAAACCTTTTTTTCAGACAGTTCATGGGAATACTTGATACAAAAATAAACAAAGAGAGATGCCTGATCTACTAATAAAAGCTGTATGGTTGAGATAGAGCTGCAACTCATAAAAAAATGCACTTTTTTGCTTTTTTGACATTTCTGGATTATAACTGGAAAAAAATGCAGCAAAAATAAACATACATGACACAAATGAGGTCTTAAGAACCACAGCTATAACTAAACCCATTAAAAGTATTTTCTCCTTAAAAATGTGTGAAGAAGGAACTCATTTTGATCAGCACAACATTTCACAATGGTGATTTAGCTGTCAAAGAATCATTCTCATATTGTCCACATAATGCTGTTTCAAGCGACCTGTTACTTCTTCTTTCCTGCACTTATTTCTCTCCTTTAACCTGATTCCCCCTCGTTTCAACCTCATCTTTATACCCCATTATCAGCCCATCAGCAGCCTCTTATTTCCACAACCCCCTTCAGCCATCTGGCAGACCCCCAAAGCGGCAGATGTCCACTTCCTAAGCTGAATAAAGATCTAAAGTTTGATGAGGGAATGCCTGCCCCATGATGGCAGTGGGTCTCGTATGCTTAATCCACTCAGAGCTGCTTCAACCAACCCAGCATTAGAAATCATCTACAGGCTGTAAATTCATCAGTAGAGCTGGTAGTATGTGTTTTTTAGACTGAATCCCTTCTGTTTAACATGTAGCTTTAACTGGTTTCAAGATGTCACTTACAGTAACCATGAACACGCCCAGAGTAAATGTATGTAAATAACACCTACAGTGTTATTAAAGCCATCATAGGGGATACACAAACACCCACACACACTGTGACACACAATGAACTTTATAACCAAACCTTCTGTGTCCCTGTTGACATCGCCTTATGTTCACATACCTCCTCACACACTGTGCGGTATGCTGAGTACAGTACATGCATTCTTATGTAACGAGTTTATGGCTTTTCTTCACATGTCGGTGAGATGAGTTTTGAATAGATAATAACTCCCTGACAGTAAACTATTTATTTCTCTGGCTCAGCATTGTCATCTCAACAAAGACTCATCAATAGTCAAACACATTGTACTTATTTAAACATTAGAAAGGGTGTTTGTCTGACATTGAGTTGATGCTTGTTGGATTCATTGTGTTTGTGCTCTGCAAATAACTCAAAGCTAATTTAAATAAAATGTGTTCATCAAAAAAGAGACAGGGAAGTCATGCTGTTGTTGTAAACAGGACTGTATTTGTACCTTTAAATAGTTGTACTTAAAATTCCGCGTTAATTTAGGTGCACAAAAATTCCAAGAAATGACTAGCACACAACTTCTCTGTGCTATAACAGGAGCAGGGATAACTGTCTGCTGTACCGATTTAAACCTCATGTGTTTCTGACATGCAGATGGCTTACAGGAAAGTTAATGTCCTCCAGACGCTGTGCGGCTGTTTGTGGACTTGCATCTGTGCATGTGTGTGTGTGTAAATGCTTGTATGGAAACTTCCACAGAGACGTAGCAGCAGCCGTCATTCGGTGTGGGTGTGAAGTGTACAGCTGTGGTACCTGCTGTATGGTGTGTCTGTGACGTATCTAACAGCTCATTGCTTCTGTCACCTCGCAGCACGTCAAAGACATCATCCTTCAGTCCAACCCGCTGCTGGAGGCCTTCGGCAACGCCAAGACAGTGAGGAACAACAACTCCAGCAGATTTGTAAGGTTTCCATTTCTGAGTTGGTGTTCATACTTTCTAAGAATCTGGGAACCTGATGTTTGGGCTCAGTCCATTTCTAGTCTCCTTAGAAAACACATGACAGCACATTTAAATACTTAAATACAACATGTAGAAAGTGAGAATTTTGAGAAACAAACTGAATTTGAAACTCATCCATCGAGGCTGCACTATCTCAGCAACATAACTTTGTGTGCACTAAGCTGATTTACAGAGTAAGTGAGGACGACTCTCAGACTCTGTGTTACTCAGACATAAATACATGTAATGAGTAGTACTTACCCTGGGATAATTTGAGGACACAGGTTTTTTGTGGTGCACCTTTGGATCCAAGCGGAGACTTTAAAAACAAAGATCTGCAGCATTGGCTTTTCCTCTGTTTTCTGCTTGATTGCATGTGAAAGCAAACCTTATGTGTGTCCTGGTTAACCAAAACTGTACAGTAAGAACATCCTCCAGGGACAGATATTCATGTACACCAGTGTGGTAAATCCTCTGTTGGATATAAGAAACTGGAAGAAAAAAAAACATTTAATCAAAAGCAAGTTTTTGAGGAAATGTATTTCCTTAGAAATTTTCAAGCTGAGCTCAACGTTTCTGGTCTGCGTACAAAGCAGTGTTGTTTGAGTAATTTGAATATTAGTCAGTTTTTAAGGAAATGGATTTGGTTTGGCACTAGCAGCCTGAGATCACTACTTTTTGAAGTTTGATTCCCAATAAATAGCGTCTCTGTTCACTTTTTGGTCTGGAACAGATATTACATTACCGGTTTGTCTGGAGAAGAGAGTCAGACAAAAAGCAGGGTCAGGTTTTTGAATACATCCACACACACACACGCACACACACACACACACACACACACACACACACACACGCACACATGCACACATGCACACCATCAGCACTCCTGGAACAGCCAGGTGCCAATATTTCCAGTCTTAAAGCTCTGGCTAAGGCTTTATCCCAGCCCCCTCCGATACTGAAAAAGAAAACATGCTTTGATCCATCAGGGAAAATACTTCGAGATCCAGTTCAGCTCTGGGGGTGAACCAGACGGGGGGAAAATCTCCAACTTCCTTCTGGAAAAGTCTCGTGTCGTCATGAGAAACCCTGGAGAGAGGAGTTTCCATATATTCTACCAGGTGAGACTTGATTTCTTAAGCTTGAGAGTGAGTGGGATACATTTGGCTGGAAAAGGAAAAAGGGTCTGTGAGGGGATTTCAGGACATATTGAGTGAAGTGTGCCATTTGGCCACAGGCAGAGGGTCAGTCTGTTTTTGTTGTGGATGCCCTGAAAGAGACAAGAGTTCAGTCAAACGACAACAAAGTTTCTTCTCATGCAAAGTATAAACATATTAGACATAACACAGTATTCGTTTTTGCCCCACAGTTGATTGAAGGAGCCGGTGGAGAGCAGAAGAGCAGTTTGGGAATCACAAGTCTGGATTATTACACTTACCTCAACCAGTCCGGCTCCTACAAAGTGGATGACATCAACGACAAGAGCGACTTCCAGGAGACAATGGTAAAGTCTGATTGCTGGTATTTATTGTGCATCATTTAAAAAAACCAAGTGGTGTGTGTGTTTGTGTGTGAAGCTTCCTCTTTACACTCCAACCTCTCTTACCAGTTCCTCTCTGTCCTCTCTTCCAAAAAAACCTCTTCCTGGTTTTGTTTACAAGTGAAACCACAACAGGAGTAATTAATGGACATGAGCCAGGTACCACAGGAGTGCGTAAACCCACACTGCTTCCTTGATTCAGCATGTTTTTTTTTCCTCTTTGCTCTCCTAGCATGCCATGGACGTGATCGGCATCAAATCTGAGGACAGCTCTATGGTGCTTCAGATTGTAGCTGGAGTCCTGCACCTGGGAAATATTAGTTTCAAGGAAGCAGGCAACTACGCTGCTGTTGAGAGTGAAGAGTGTAAGTATAGCAAAACACATCATTACCCTACTGTCTGTTCAGCTGGTTTCACTGACATAGTAGCCATTGTCCTTAAAAGATCACCAAAGGTGGGAACTATAAGGGTTTTATAGTTTTGTACTAGAGTCTAAATTTGCTTTTTAAAGTTTTTAACTAAGAGGCAGTCTAAGATATGCTAGCTGCTATAATAAGCTAACACTAGCATGCTTAAGTTTTCACTGACCATCTTATGTTTAATAATCCTGGATGAGACCAACAGTCAACAACCATCCTAGTAGTCAAATGAGTAAAATGTTTAAGTCAGCATGCAAACCTGCTTGTGTTCAGCATGTGAAGTGTTTACAAAGCTCATCACCATGTTAGCATGCTAACATTTGCTAAGAAGCAATAACCAGAAATCATAGCTTGGACTTGCAGTAACATTTTCAACCAAGTCAAAATTTGAACTGATGGCAGCGCTAGAAAAAATTTAAAGGGAATTATTTCAGTACATCCTCAGGGGAATGTGTGTGTTTCTTTACAATGATGTGCATGTGTTTTGAATAGCCAGGACAGGTATTATATGTAGGAACCTTTGCCTTTGGTGGAACTAGCAGAGAAGTCATGAAGTTTCTGAAGTCAGTCTGATTTGTCCTCCTGCGACCATTAATCACAAGTCTTTCCAGTGGGAGGTATCAAGAGGATGATATTTCTATTATGACTTAAAAAAACAGTCAAATAGATAAAGATTGCAGGTCGAGATCAGGCAGTGGTACATTTCCTCATTTTACAACGTGTTGATCTTAATTTCTCTCCTCTCTCCGGTATACTAAGTTGTCCTTCTCTGTTTAGTTTTTTAAGGATTTTTTTTCTCACCACTGTCACTCCCTAAAGTTTTACTGTGTTAATGCAGCGCTGTAGCCAACTGTCTGAAATAATCCAGACCATGCAGGATTAATAGAAAATAAAATGCTTTAAAGGTCTGGACATAATTCCTTGGCCAATAAATTTACTTGGAAAAATACTTCTCCTCCTGTCCCCATTTTCTCATTTGCTTTCTCCTGACTTACTTTTTTCTCACTTCGCCAATTTCTTTCTTTCCTCTTCTGCCATTTAGTCTGTACGATACAGATGAAAGTGTGTTTTGCCAGAAATAGCAACACTTTATGATCTCTTCCTCCCTTGTTCTATCCAGTCTCACTTGCTTAAGTTTCTGTGTGCTTCACATATTCATATTCATGTGCTCCCCATATGGAACTTTGGTGGCCAAGTTCACATAGGCATTTAGTTGCACTCAGAAGCAAAATTCAGGGCGTCATCTCCGACTGAAATAAATGTTGAGACTAGATCAACTTGGAAAAATAACCCAGACATTCAGTGGCTCAGGCTTTGTTGGGGCATATTTTTGTCAAAAAGTCAAAGTCTGTTTTGAAACAAGTCTACTATTCTTGGGTCTTTTGCATTTTAATAGAGGAATACTTTTGATTATGCTTTATATATAGTTTGTTATTAAATATAAAATCTTAGGTACCTTTGTAAGCATGAAAACGGGGAATAGAGAGAATAGAGTATGTTTTTTTGTCTGAAGTTTGATTACAAGATCATTAACTCTGTCATGGTTGGTATTTGTATGGTAATGTGAAGTCAGAAAGCAGCTGTTCAGCTAAGCTTAGCACAAGAACTACCAAAATAAGGTTACTGCGGCTAGTCATGAGAAAGAAATCTGATAAAATATAATCAAATATAATTAGAGATGCTGAATAGAATGTTGTCGTTTTTAAACGATTGTAAATTTATGTATTTTGTAGATGATGGAGTTGTATTTGTCTCGGCAAAATTGCTAATTGTTGTGAATGGATTACTACGACTTCGAGAACTTCTCACACACACAGACTTAGACAATATCATGAACACACTGCAGCCCTCATACCCTTTAAATATGTGACAAAGTCATCAGTGCTGTAGTAGCACGTCAGGATCATTGTATGTGTCACATCTGATCAAGCGGTGGAGCCACATGCTTCGTTCTCCGCACTGACTTCATTTCCCTCCATTCCTCTCATTATTCTCTGCTGCTTTGACTAACAAATTACCCGCAGGGGAATTTTTGTTTGTAAGAGCATTGTGTCCAAAATGCACACACGGCCTTTATAAAAAAGAAAAAAAAGGAAAGGAAAAAAACCTCCAGACTGTACTACATACATCCATACGTTTCCTGCTGAACACAAAGAGTGACTCTTGTCATGATTTAAGCGAGCGTACGGTCAGTCACACCCTTGTGTCCCATATGGGGAGCTACTGCAGCAGTCTAATGCATTCCCAGACACAGTGAGTCTGAGAGCCATTTCCTTTTAGGGGAAGTGAGTCACTGTAATAAGGCAGGGAGGGGCTCTCAGGGGAGGATATCAACGCCAGGCTGGGACAAATGATCTGAGGCACACTCTAATTTTTTCAAGTGTTACCCCAAGACTACTACTGAGGTGTTTGCCACAATTTTGAGGCTTTACTCCACAATTGCATGCAGTGTGGGTATAAATCCAAGCTTTTGTTGATTCATCAGACTTTCTCATTGAGAGATGAGAGCTGATGCAGAGGATATTTGAGCATTGGTTTTTCTTTGTTCCCCTCTGTTTTGCAATGGAAAAGTGAGGCCTTTTAAGGGTGAAATTATGTCTGCTTATTTTTTGTTTTGGTTATTCCAGCTGGACACAAAGACATTGTTTTCCCCATTCATCCTCACTGGTTATAGTCATCAAAGTAGATCTCAATACAACCCCAAGTCCAAAAAAGGTGTATGTTAAATTTGTAAAAAGTAAGATTTAGATGGTTTGCTAGTAATTTGTTGTCTTATTTTTAATTGTATATAGTGCAAAGACAACACATTTTTGGTTGAAACAGAAAAATCATACTGCTTTATAAAGACTTTGAGCTCACTCAAAAATGTTGGGACTGGGGCGACAAAACACTGAAAAAAAGTCACCTGCAGAAACATCTATCAACTAATTGGGGTTGATTTGTAACAGGTTTGCAAACAGATTGGGTTCAGTATGAGCATCACAGAAAGGTTGGTTGGTTCAAAGTAAAACTGGAGAGGAGTTCACCTCTCAGTGAAAGACTGTTTAATTGTGTAACACCTTCAGAATAATTGTGGGGATTGTGTCGCCTACAGCTCAGAATATCATATGAAGATTCAGAGAATCTGTAAAGAAACCTTAGTACCGAAGGGCAGACACTGTGTTAGATATAGACATGACTCTGTAGTGGAAACCACTGCATGGGCTCAGAATAAATTCCCAAACTTCTGTGAACACTTTTGATCATCACATCCCCAACCTCAGGCTAAAACTATACCATGCAAAGAGTGGAGAATAGCTCAGTTCTGAAAGACAACCACATTTCTGAATTGCAATAACGTGCCCTAAAACATTCTTATCTATCCAAAAAGGCTTCATAATTATGAGAGGTTATATTATGAAAATATGACAGAGCATCTGTTTTTTTAGTTCCTTCTCACCATCTATAGTTTTGTAGTTATTTCAGCTTTCAGTCACTCTAACTCACGTGTCGTCTGGCAGTGTGGAAAATACATTACTTTAATGGCTTCATTAAAGAGTAGGAACGTAATATTACGTTTTATTTTCTAAACTTCCTCCCCCTTCTTGTCTCTTTTCTCTTTCAACAGTTCTCGCCTTTCCTGCGTTTTTGCTGGGAATCGACCAGAATCGCTTGAAAGAAAAATTGACGAGTAGAAAGATGGACAGCAAGTGGGGGAACGCTGTAGAGTCCATCGACGTGACACTGAATGTGGAGCAGGCATGTTACACCCGTGATGCCCTCTCCAAAGCCCTGCATTCACGGGTGTTTGACTTCCTGGTTGAGGTATGATCCCTTAGTTGTTCATCTCTATATTCAGAACTGCCCTTCATAAAAAAGTTGTCATATCATACACCAAACTCCTTTTTTCAACACAACCCTTTGATTGCAGTCCATCAACAAAGCCATGGTGAAAGATCATCAGGAGTTCAATATTGGAGTGTTGGACATTTATGGATTTGAAATCTTCCAAGTAAGTGTTTATTTTTTCAGGCTGAAACATGGTGACTGTGAATTTACCCTGCAACACATGGATTAGATTAACAGGTTTTGACTCTGAGCATTTAAACAGATTATAGAGGGGGGATAAGACTAATTTATAGAGTATGTGGATTAGGTTTTATCTCCTAAATGTAACAACAGACCTTCACATGCTTTTTAATCTGATTACTTGTTTTGTTAGTTTGCTTTTTGTGAAGTTTGAAGTCCTGACCTCAATAATTTGATAAAATAACTTTACATAACAGTTTTTGTTTCATTTTACTTTTGCTAGACCTTCAGATTTGACTGATATTAAGCACAGATTATGAGTATATACTGTGACAGTGAATACCCTGTGAGAGATATCCATCTAAATCCACCAGCTCTGTCTGTCTTTAAGTCTAAAGATTTTCTTTGTGTGCATAGTGTAGCAGAAGGTCAGAAACATATTGTTTGCTGCAGGTTATTCCACAGGAAGCTACAAATCAACATCAAACAAGACTCAGGCTGAAGCTCCATTAATTGTGAGATGAAATGCACAATAGATCCCTTCCTTTAGGCAGCTTATGTTCACTTGTTGTCCCAAACAAAGCCCTGTGAACTCATTCAGAGGATATCCATACTCTTCTGAAGAAACACATTAGTCACTTTATATGGATTTCTTTCTTGTAACTTTGTTGTTTCATCATCAGAAAAATGGATTTGAACAGTTCTGCATCAACTTTGTGAATGAGAAACTGCAGCAGATCTTCATCGAGCTGACTCTGAAAGCAGAGCAGGTGAAGTATATTCTTTATCTGTATTTGGTCTGTGCTGTAATTTATTTTGATCTTTGCTGGTAAAGATATTTTAAGTTCTGGCTCATCACTTTTTTTAATGTCTTTCTGTAGGAGGAGTATGTGCAGGAGGGCATCAAGTGGAGTCAGATCGATTACTTCAACAACAAGATTGTCTGTGATCTCATCGAAAGCAAAGTAAATAATCCCCTCAAGCATAATTGAGTTAACATACTACCTCTAAGAGGTAATGTAAAACAAGGGTTCACGATCTTGTACAATAGTAGTAGAAAGTCTGCATGTGGATCTGTGAATTGATAACTAGAACAATAAGTTGATTTACTGATCAGCTGTTAAATATAGGTACTATTCCAAGCTTCGCGGGTGCATGGATATGCTAATCTAGGTTCACAGTTTGCAACTCCACACTTTCAGGTTTTCAACTGGTGGTTTGGCAAAATCACTTTTTTTTCACCAAAATATTTTTGGAATTGATAAATTGTGATGGGTATTTTTTTTTAGATTTTATAGACTAAACATCATTTAGTTTATCAAGATAGCAAAAGCGGTTTCATCAGTGAGTATCAGTTGAATCAATAAACACCTGTTTGTATTGCGCAAATGTGCTGAAACATTTGTTTTAATGTTTTAAAAGTTGTGTTTAACGCTATAACAACAGCTTTGATTTAATCAGATCTATAAGCAACAGAGACACTGACAGAGACAAAAACTACACAATAACATGAAACAAGCTGTAAATGAGAAATGAAAAACTTGCTGACATGGACACAAAAATGTTGTTTTTTATCACAAAAGTCATCTTTTTCTTTAACAGCTTGCAATCAGATAAAACTTCAGTATAATCACTTATACTGTACATTTTCTGAAAAGATATCCACATTTTTGACTTCTATTGTCTTTGTTTATTAACTCAGCTGCAGCTCCGCCAAGTTTCTGCTCTGTACTTCAAATGTGCCGACTCGGCTCTTAATTTGATTTCTCTGTCCCACTGAGAAGTCTAATCCATGAAATCAACAACAAGGACTTTGACACAAGCCTTCGTTTGAGAGGAGCAGGGTTTTTGTATCAGTGTCTTATGGTGCAGACCCACTTTGGTTAATCCACTGACAGCGTTACTTGTGTCCCTTAAACAGAGCCTTGTGTTCTCTGTGTTAGAGACTCTGAGGAGCAAACTGAGGACTGCTGTTTAACTGAGGGTGTAATGGAGCCCAATCAGTCTGTGACAAAAACTGATCCACCCTAAGATTTACATAGATCTAAACATCCTACAATAAATAGATCTTTTTAGCTCTGATATTCCTTTAGGAGGCTATTCATTTTCAAAAGTTAGTGCTGGAAAAGTGCAGCAACTATTTCTTAATCCAAAAGCAAGACTGGTGCAAATTTAATGTGAATATAACTTTATTTTTTTTATGAAATCCCAGAGCCCACCTGGTGTCATGTGCATCCTGGATGATGTTTGTGCCACCATGCATGCAGTCGGAGAGGGAGCTGACCAGACTATGCTGCAGAAGCTCAGAGTCCAGATCAACACCCACGAGCACTTCAACAGCTGGAACCAGGGCTTCATCATTCACCACTACGCTGGCAAGGTCAGTCCGAGGAAACGATCCAGATTACTGGGACAACTTGGTCTAATTATACCTACCTGATTGCTGATATCAGTGTTTTAGAATTAAATATTCAGGAGCACTAGCAAAAAGACAGAAATCACAACAAGTAGTGTCAGGTTTACCACCATTTAAATCCACTTTTCTATGCCATGGTATAAAGTAAAAAAGATCATATGAATCATACAGTTTACAGAGGGGAGCTGACCGCAACTTCTGGAAATACAAAGTTATTAAAGTGTCATTTTTTTATGGTGTTGTTATGGGAGCTGTGCTTGTAACACCAGCTCGCATGATCTCTCATAAATACACACAGCTGGTGTTTTAATTCTTTTCGCCAATGTCGTCATCTTCCTCTTTTAGAGTTTTTCTCATCTTGACTTACACTCGAGTCTCTCTCTTTTTTTGGTCTGTTTGTGAATGCGGTCCCTCTTACTCTGCAACACTGTTAAACACTGGCATGAATGCTAATCTAAACATTGTGCTCATACATTACAGCTCATCACAGGTATTTTTTTCCCTGCATTCTTTGTCACTGTGGTGGTCTTGAGCCGAGGTTGTCTCGTGTCATTCTCCAGATGTGTGGTGGCCTAGGCCTGGCACACACATGCCGCAGGCTTAATGAGCCATGCAATAAAGACTCAGGGGCTCCCATGACCGGACTCCAAGCATTCCTTCAGTCTGTGTCTACAGTAATGCAGAAATAACATGTTTAATTCATGCACTTTCAGAGCTCTGCTGGTTTTATAAGAAAGTTCATCTTTAAAAGTGCAGAGTCGGGATTTGGAACTTTGGCGTTCTCCCCCCGTAAATTTTAAGCTAAAATGAAGCATACTAGTTTCTCATTCAGGTTTATGCTTTCACTTTAACCCAAACCTTTTTTTTTTTTTTATATCATGGCTCACCTAAAATTTGTTTGTGTTTATGCTGCAGGTGTCTTATGACGCTGAGGGTTTCTGCGAGAGGAACCGAGACGTCCTTTTTACTGACCTCATTGAGTTGATGCAGAGCAGTGAAATGTAAGTAACGTGACGTGTGGTGAGGATTTCTGTGGTGCATTTTAAGAGACTCTTTGATTGTAATGCACATGGTTATAATTGGATACATATAAATTAGGGTTTCAGACGTTGCAGTTCATCTGGAAGCTGGAGAGGGGGTAGCTGAAGTGTGTGAGGCAAGGTTAAAGTCTTGCCCTCTGCCCTCAATTTTGTCTGGCAGCAGTCCAGATCTGCAGTTTGTGGGGGTCTACCTCATCTTGAAAGCGGAGTCTCTCTGTGGGGCTGCATTGTGAAGTGTGTTCCTCCTGTATTTTGGTCTCTTAGGCTGTCTTTGTGTCAAAATGGCCATCTGTGCAAACAGCCTTGCATTGTCTATGTAACCCCTGCAGGCCTCAGCCACCGCTCGCCCTCTTTGTGTTTGTTCCGTGAGGCCTCAAAGGAGGTTATGCCATAATGCTATTCAGACACGTGCTGGAAAATATGTGAACTTTGGAACAAATTCATTCACAAATGCATGCATGTTTATATATCTACATGCATAGATAAAAGCTTCGAGCTTGGTCACGTTTGGAGGAAGCCTGAGAAGGCAGGAAGCAGCCTCATTCCTTCGAGCAGCAGGTTTGAATAGAGAAGAAAGGAGCGACCCGTATTGTCAGCTGGACATTATTATCAGATTCTTTTTGTACACACAACCTGCTGATCCTTTCTTCTGTGTCCGTAGCCTTGATTCAGGGGCTTAAAACAAACAAATATGGAGGAAAGCCAATAAGAGGCTGAAATAAAAACAACAAAATATGTGCATTAGAACACACAAGAGAGAAAAAGTGAGAAAGTGAGCAAAGGTGGTGGCATAAACATGCTGAAATCAATGAGCTGGTGAGCAGCTTTACCCCAGGCCTGCCTGTCTCCTCATATTGACGTGTGAGTTCTTCAAACAGGAACTTCTGACGCTCTTCAAAGGATCCTCACACATGTCGCCTGAGTGACACGTGCGCTGATCACGAAAGGGCGGAATCAGCTGTCTGGCTGATTATAACATTGGATTAATATGAATCTTCAGGTTATTTATAATGAGTAAATGCACAGTGTGTGTAAGTGTATCTGTGAACGAGCTCAGCGTTTTAAATCTGCGTATTTATAATGTTTCTCTTTAGTTGAGAGGATCTGAGAAAATGGAAACTTTACAAATACCTGCAACATTCAGATCAGCAGCAGCAGCAGCACATCATGTTGACGTTGGTGCAAAACACATTTACACAAAGTTTGTATGGAAGTGACAAAAAAGCAACAGTTATTGAATACAAACCTCTGCTGTGAACTCCAGTCGTCTAGTGTGTGTCTTACGAAAGAGAAGAGTGATTATTTGTTTTGGCTACAGAGAGGCCAAGGTGATAAATAGTGGGTGAAATGGAGCTGATACAACATGAAATAAACCCACAGATAGTTCCCTTTTTTGAAATCCATCTTTGTTCTTCAAAACCACAGGACAAAAACCCCTCATTTATCAATTTAGAATAAATCTGGTGTAATTGTTCAAATTCATGCTCTGCAGAAGTGGCCTTGGGTGGAGTGTCTGCACAGAGAGGAGTTTGTACAAACACAGCACAGACACACATTGCTTGTTTTCTCACCCGCCTCCAACTCAGACCTTCCCAAGTGGGTCAGGAATTTAAACCAGTGACCTCAGTCAAAGGTTCTTGGTTTGCTAGTCATTAACTGCCTTTTTTGTTTTTTTTGGCTGACCGAAGTCTGAACAGTGTTTTAAAGTCTACGTTTTGCTGTTGTTTGGACAAGAATGAGACCAGACAGATTTTTCAGTCCTAACTTACACCCCCTTACACTTTTATCTTTGACAGTGCCTTCATCAGAGCACTGTTCCCAGAAAACCTCAACGCTGACAAGAAGGGTCGACCCACGACTGCAGGCAGCAAAATAAAGGTGTGTGTACAGTACAGTGTGAACCTGTCCTTGTATATCAGGGTCGCTGTGGAAGAGGGCCCTTGAAAGATAATGTGTGTTTACTGTTCAGGGGGGAGTCCTTCAGCAGTCAATCAGTAAATTCATCCACTTGTTCAGTCACATCATTTTGTGTATCTGTTACCGACTTCATCCTCCTTTCTTGATCTTTGCTCTTACTCTTCCTTTCAGAAACAAGCCAATGATCTGGTGAGCACGCTGATGAAATGCACTCCTCACTACATCCGCTGCATCAAACCAAATGAAACCAAGAAACCCAGAGACTGGGAGGAGAGCCGGTAAGTGCACTTGCTGTGCCCCCCTGTGAGCCTCACAGTTCCACATGAATCTATTAAACACTTAAAGCTGCTCTGAAATGCTAATTTGTATAAATATATTTATATGTTCATAAATGAATAAGCATACTTCTTACTCAACATGAAGAGAAAAAGTTGTGAGACTTAATGTTAGTTTTTAAAAAAAAGGATTACATACAAATAATTATAATCTGCCATCGTATATCAATCCTGCCTTTATTCCTCATCATCGCTAATCATATTTTCTACAAGCTTTCTTTCCATACAACACTTTTAGACCAGATCGTTGTTCCTCTCCCCCTGTTTTGCTTTTTGCTCTTTTTTGGTGTTTTCTGGAGACACAGTCATGTGAATGGTGTTAAAACAGTCCCCCCTCTTTATCCCTTTGTTCCAGTTTCCCACCCTTTGCCACTCTATTACATGTTCGGGGTGCAGTGGTATTGTTCAGAGCCAGTGACCTTCCTGTTGTGAGTCCGGTGCAGGCCGGCTCATTAATTAGCAGCGGAACTCATGATTTTACAGGAAGTCTGAGTGGACCAAGTTGGGCTTAAAGTCTTTGTTGTGAGGAAAAGTTGGGCTAACCCAGCTGTTTTGCATACAATGGCCTCTGATTTTTCCATCCTCTGGAGGATCAGTGCAGAAAGTAGCTGAAATCTTCAACTGCTGATGGTGAAACACAAGCCTGTTCATCAGCTAGAACTAAATTAGGAACATCAGGATTGTATGTTTGCTGACACTTTTTGCAAGAACTCAAGGACAAGCATGGACTTCCTCTGACTCTTTCCATTAACTTCTTAATTTCTCACCAATCATTCACTCACACAATTAGATGTCTTAAACAGAGGGAAAAGTAGATTTATAAGAAAGAATGAAAAAAAACAGCAGCTAATAAGGGAGTACATAAGTAGAGTGGCCAATCATCAGCATGGAGGAGAATATTTTGTGTTTGACTTCTCATAAAAGCTACTTCAATCTGTATGTCAATATTAAATCAATCTGCAAAACTGATTGATAGTCTTTTTGAAATTGGCCAAAGGGGGAGATTGATATTTGATAATAACATCCTAATGATGTTCTCCTTTTTTTCTTTGTCTGAAGAGTAAAGCATCAAGTAGAGTACCTGGGTTTAAAGGAGAACATCAGAGTTAGGCGTGCTGGCTACGCCTACCGCAGAGTCTTCAGGAAGTTCCTTAACAGGTAACAGAAAAAAACACTCAAAGGACTTGGATAATTCGCTGTGATGTTATCCCCTGCTTCAAGAAGTACTGTTTTTTTCCACAGAATTAAAAGTCTGTATATTGTGGTTTTCTTAATTTGATTTACGCTCTGATTATTTCATCATTAGCCTCACGTTCTGCCTCACAGGAAAAAAAGCCTCGAGCTTTTAAACTTTTCTTCACACTCATAGTAATAAAAGGCTTGATCGGTTCAACATCCAAACTCATGCGCTCACCCACTCACTTTGTAAAGTGCTTGATCTTTGTTAAACTCTGTTTCTCAGATACGCCATCCTGACCAAAGAGTCCTGGCCAACGTGGCGAGGAGATGAGAAACAAGGTGTCGTGCATCTCCTACGCTCTGTCAACATGGACCCGGATCAGTACCAGCTCGGTCGCATCAAGATCTTCATCAAAGCCCCAGAATCAGTATGTGTGACATCCTTCTTGTCTTTAGACTCTCACACTCTGCACACAGCTGCTTAGTGTCCATTCATGATATCACTCTTACATAAAAAAGCATCAAAGGTGAATGTATTAAAGAGACAAAACTTGCAGCTCAACTCTCTCAGATGTTCTTCTTTAACAGACCAAGAACTAGAATCACATGTAAAAGTGTCTGCTAGCGGGCAAAGAGTCTTTTTGTTAGCAGAGAAAAAACTGAACTCACTATTTTTACATTGCACACCATAAAAGGGCACCAGTGTCCCGAATCAGGCTCGAATCCCTGCAATAGGGGAGGAGATTGAACCCGACCCCCACACCACGTCAGCACTGAGTCAACACTTCTCTGAAACTAAAACACAAGCACAGGCTGTGGTTGCAAAGTTTGGGGGGACATCGTAAAGGCCTGTCTTTTTCCACCATGACTTCTTTTTTTTTCATGATTCCTATGAAAGCAGCACTTGTGTAAAGTCTGCACTCTCACTTATTAACACTGGTGCAGATCATGGACGAACAGGCACTCTCAGTGCATACACACAGATGTAGGCTCAGAGGCTAAGACAGTCATAGTAGTTTTAATTCAGGCCTTATAGCTGACTGTGAATGACTTTACTGATTCAATGCAGCTCTGCCGGCCAACATTCCCCATCCCCCCACACAGTCTCCTCATCCAAGTCACTGAGGTGTGATTATGAAAGGCAAATATCACACAGACTGAAGCGCTGAAATGACCTGCCAGGCTTCTAAAAACAAGCCTCTCTGTCTGATAAGACACTGACAGCACCTCATTAGCAGCATGACAGAGGGAGTTTTCTGTGGGATATAATAAGTAAAGTTTGTTTGACACCAGGCCAGATGTTGGAGAAGAGTTTCTCTTCCCAGGTGGTGATGGATGAGCAGTGGCTCCTACACTGATGTGCTGAAGGAGGGTGAAGACTACACTGAGATCTACGGGAGGAAATTTAGAAGAGAATTTTTATGATGATGAATTAAACCACTTCAAATCCAAAACTTTTACGGTTTTTGTTACATATGCCAAAAACATCAGTCCTGTATTATCAATCTAAGTATAACTATCCTCTGACCAAAAAAAATCTCACCCTGCTGACTTTTGACAGTCAAGTGTTTAAATTTTTGCAGACATTTGAGGTGAAAATTTTTCTCCTCATGCCAGTGTAAGGTGTTAAAAATGACTGTAAGTAACGCATCAATCTTGGTGTTAATGGCCGTGTTTGCTCTTGTATTTCATAGAGAGGCATCAATATGAAATTTAGCCTATTTAGTAAATGCTAAATAAGCTTTAAAGGGAAAAACTCAGCCTGAGATCTCTGCTCAGAGTGCTTTCAAGCTGTACTCCACAATGTCACCTAAGTTGTGGGTATAGAAAAACAAAGAAGAAAAAAAAACTTTATTCTTGTGTTAAATACCTGATTTGTAATAACTTTTATTTATCTTTTTTGAATAAAACCTGATCTTATAATTGTAATTCGATATCTGTTTACACACCACCCTCCATAAAAGCAGTGATGACCATCTTTGGTTTAATAATTAACATCATTGCTGACTATTACCAGGCACTTATATCTGCATTCATCTGGATTGCTGCAGGTTATGAATAATTTGTGAACAGTTTTAAATATTATTGCCATTATATTTCCTGTGAAATGACTGCTTAACTTACTGAGTAATCGGTTGATTGCAATAATGAAATAAACTACTATATGAAAATAAAACAGTTTTAGTTACACTCCTCATAATGATCACTTCTGCTTCTATTCAGATTTTTGGAGAATTAAGTTCCTCAGGGAAATTCAGCACAAACTTGAACCCCTCCAGCTGTTCTTGAGTTTTTCACTCGGGAAGTTGAATCAGGGTCAGTGATAGTGTGGAGTGAGTGTCTCAATCAGTGACTCAGCGTGTTTTTGTCCTCACAGTGTCTGTGGTTTAAGTTGATGTGTTGTGTTTTGGGGCTGCCGGTGGTTTGTTCATGTGGTGGACTGGCCGATGCCAGTCCTGCTCCTGCAGTGGGCAGGATGTTTAGTCTGTAGGGAGAGGGTAGAGTAGAGTGTGATTGCGTGTTTAAAGGCCAGGCAGGAAATGACACTGGCTGGTGAGATGACGGGTTGGCGCTGGGTCAGCGTCTTTGGCAGGAAGTGGAGACATAATAGCCATACATTAAGATGATGAATTTTTAAATGGGGTTTCATATTTGTACTGGAAGGCACTGATTTCATAGTCAAAGGAACCATGTTTACAACACTGAGCTGTGTTTCTGTAAATCTAATACAATCTACCACAATGTAAAATTATGACTTCATATCAAGCTCTCTCTGTTATCAACAAGGGATTACATTGAGACATTCTCATATAGTTTAGAGTCAGGAATCATTTTTATCATACAAGAACATGTGAGCAAACAATCTTTGTAAAATATTAATTTGCAGCCTGATTTTGTACGCTTGAAGTAGAGCAGTGACACAGTCGAGTACCTAAAAGACTTCACTTCTTGCAACAATCAAATCAAACTCTCTGTACAAACGATGGGTCCAAAACTTGAATCGCACACTCAGCTGAATATAGAAATTTACAGTATGTACAAGTAGCCATCTCTCCTGAGTAATCTTCTTTAATGTGACTGGTTTTTTCTCGTCTCTTACTGTGTGTTTTCTTTGTCTCTGATTGTGTTCACAGCTCTTTCTGTTGGAAGAGACAAGAGAGCGAAAGTTCGACGGATATGCCAGAACGATCCAGAAAGCCTGGAGGAAATACATGGCTCGTAAGAAGTACGTCCAGATGAGGGAAGAAGGTGAGTGAAGGGACATCTCACAATGTAAATCCTCCATCTGCCTGCCCATATTTCTATCTCTCACTTTCTTTCACTGTTTTTTTTTTTCTGTAGCCTCTGACCTTCTGTTGAACCGGAAAGAGAGGCGACGGCACAGCCTCAACAGAAACTTTGTAGGAGACTACCTGGGGATGGACGACAGGCCGGAGCTTCGACAGTTTCTGGCCAAGAGAGAGAAGATAGACTTCGCAGACAAAGTCACAAAATATGACCGCCGCTTCAAGGTCAGTCTCCCTCCATCTGCAGCCTCTGCTTTTGTGAAGAAAAACACTCATAAATAACTTTCCTCTTTTGTTCGGTTCCCTGTAGGGGATTAAGAGGGACTTGATCCTCACACCGAAGTCTGTGTACCTGATTGGAAGAGAAAAAGTGAAACAGGGTCCGGAGAAAGGCCAGGTGACCGAGGTGCTGAAGAGGAAGATCGATGTGGAGAAGACATTGGCAGTTTCTTTAAGGTACAGAGTTATTATTGAGCAGTCAAATCTGGAACATACCTGGTTGCTTTATGGCATCTGTATCTGATATTAACATCATCTCTACGGCTGAAAACTTTCTGTACTGTTCCTCTCAGTTGTTTTTCTCCTGTTAGAGCCATACGTCTTTGAATAGTTTTAACAGAGCAGGCACAGAAATGATATATAAGTCACATGTCTGTTGAAGTATTTGTGGCCATATATATGAAAAAGGCCACATAAATAATAGCCGCTAATGTAATCTACACCTTTTTGTTACATTACAGCCTTAAATTTGACTCCGCTCGATTTTCAATAAGCTTTGCCACAGCTACACTTTTATTTGTCATAAGTTGTACGACCTTATTCACAGTCTATACAAGGCTCTAGTGTCTCATTTAGGTCCAGTATATAATGTGTAGACATTGCACTGCACCATTATCATAAACCAACTTCAAAGTCACAGTCTGGGTTTCCCGTGTCTCTGTAGATGTCACAAAAAGAAAGGTTAAAACATGTGGAGTATATTACAAACTCTCTTTTAACACATATGTCTGAACGTCTGTCCCTTTGTGAGTGCCGGTTTGAGAAATATGGCTGAAATAATAATACTCATTCAAAAAGACTCACATGGAAAAATGGTGACAACTTCACTAGAAAGAGAAGAGGCATTCAGAGGCTTGTCGGGCCTTTTTTGTTGTTGTGGATGCCGTGGGATTGGTTTTAGAGGGAGACATTACAGATCTATTGTTGTGAGCATGTGGCTTTTCAGTCAGTGGGGTAATATGGACCAGGTGGTGTAACGGGTGAAAGCAGGAGTTGTTAAAAGTTCATCAGAATAAAGCTTCATGCCACAGGGAAGAACAGAGTCTCCTTGTGAGGGCTACGAGCCCGAGCTACGAGCCCGAGCTGTCTTCCCTCCTCAGATGTGAGGCCAGCACTGTTTGTATGCAAATATGAAACATGAGCCTGATGCACCATCTTCCCTTCTATCTGAGCACAACCATGAAGGAGCATGTAGTGTCTTTACAGAAAATAGAAACATGTAGGAAAGCAAAAAAAGAAACTTTTCATCCAGATTTTTGGTCATGTCATATTTGGTGCAAGAATATTTGATAATGATTCATGAATGATCCTCTCAGTAAGTACTTCTGTTGTGTTTTTAGCACAATGCAAGACGATTTCATGATCCTCCATGAGCAAGAGTACGACAGCCTGCTGGAGTGTGTCTTTAAGACGGAGTTCATCAGCTTACTGGCCCGCAGGTTTGAGGAGAGAACCCAGAGGAAGTTACCACTCAAGTTTAGTAACACGTAAGTAAAATTGCACAGAATATATCCACTAACAGAGGTAGTCGTACCAATGAAACACAAATCAAAAAGAAATATATTCAGTATTCTTTACACCTGTAAAATGGATTTGAAAATGTTGAAAATTTAATACAAGTAAAATGAAAATCAACTCTAAGCAGACTCACACTTCCTAAAACCATGTCCTCATAAAGCCACAGTGACCATTTATGACCTTTTATTAGGCGCCAACTGAACTTTATGTTTTTGTCCCACAGACTGGAGCTGAAGTTAAAGAAGGAGAACTGGGGCTTCTTGAGCGGGGGCGGCTCCCGGCAGGTTGTGTTTGTGCAGGGTCAGGGAGATACAGCTGTACTGAAACCTTCCAGCAAATCACTGCAGGTCAGCATCGGACCCGGGCTCCCTAAGAACACACGTGAGTATTAATGGATGTTATTCACATGCAGGAAATTTTCTTCATATGAGCCATGAGAAGACAATGAAGAGAAGTCATGATTTCATTGACATCAGACAGAAAATCTCTAAATCTCTTTCTCAGGTCCCACTAAGAGGGGCTTCACTCAGGGTCGAACCAGCACATCCAGAACTCACCAGAACATTCCCTCTCGAGCTGCACCAGGGCCACCAGGTCAGAGACGATATCCTCATTGCTGCAGGATTGTGACCATTTTTCCTTTATTCATTCGACATAGCTGGACTTATCTGAATCCTCATTTTTCTAATCACAGTTGCACACCAGAACGGTGGTCTTAAAAACACAAACCACTTAGCCAACCAGAGGAACTCGCAGCATCACAGCCAGAGGCATCCCTCAGCTGGCAACGGGATGCGCCCAGTGCTGCCTAGCAACACCAACCAGGTGAAGGAGCGAGGTGGCAGTCGGCCACAGCCAAACCTCGACTGTCTTAAAGTCCCCGACCAAGGAGCTGCAGGGTGAGAATACAAAATACACAAAGCACAGGCACACAGAATGTATGTACAGATGAGACAGAAAAAACACACACTGAGATAACAAAGGAGGAAAAGGAAGTAAGCACCACTGCTTCAGTATGAAGAAAAGTGGAGTTTGTTTTACCTGTGAAGGCTCCTCCTGATTTTTCTCTTGTTTTCTAGTGTGAGTAAAAAGAAAATGTATATTTTTGTACCATATTGAGGATCAGTTAAAGGGATATTCCGGCGTAAAATTAATTTAGAGTCCAACACACAGTAACACTGAGTTAGAAACCCCCTCAAGACAGGAATGTTGCCGACCGCTTGCTTCTCTAGTTATACCAACTTTAGTAACGACCGCATGATAGCAATACACAGCGGTCTGAGGAGCCATAAACAAACCTCAACCAAAAAGCCACTCTATAGCCACAAATAATACTCAGAACAGCACCTAACTTCATCAACAGTACATATAGGGTCCCAGCCACAGCACTAGCCACCAAACATCTTTTTAACTTTGCCTAATTTCTTAAGCTCAAGGAAGAACATTTAGGGTGTGTTTGACCCTAAATTAATTTAACGCCAGAATATCCCTTTAACCGTATTATTAACACACAACCTCTGAATGAGATCATTAACAGGCAGCTTTAACAACAAGTATCTCAGATGCCCACGAATACCATAGACACACACTGATGTGCACACTTGTGTTTCTGTCATTTACCATAATTTGGACAATTTATTCTTTTATAGTCATGGAGACAGACGGCCAACTTCAAATGGAGGAATGTGAGTTGGCGCATTTGTCGTGATTTTGGTGGTGGTTTGAGATCAGCAAAGCTTTCAGCAGCAGAACAAACAGATGCTTCTTCTCTTGAGTTCTTCCTTTTTTTTAAATTCAAACTTGCTTAAGAAGCCAAATACAGACCGAAACCAATGTTACATTTTCTGCTGCTGCACTGCTCTGTTCCTTCAATATCAGACGGGAAATTCTCTTACACTTTTTTTAAGCCATGGATCTTTTATTTCTGTATAAAAGATATTTTTAAAGACATTTCGCAATGAAAAAATTCCCCGCTATGTAAAACATGGAGGATGGATTTTTTTAAATTTCTGTGTTTTTGTTTTTGGATGCACTGTAAACTAGATAGACGTTCCTATAACAGGCAGCACTTTTACAGTCTACAAGTTACTTTTTCTCTTTGAAAACATTTGATCCTCAGTTAGTTGGATGAAGTTTTAAACTTGGCGCTTTGTTGATTAAAACAAAAAAAGACATTAATCTCTATCTAGAGTATTTCATTTTTCTTTTATGTATTATACCAGCATATAGAAAAACACACTTAGATGCTGAAGACACCACTGACTCTGGATCAACACTCTCTGCTCTCAATCTTGTAGTCTCACAATGTTTTATGAAAGATAATGTGTGCACTATGTCTCCATCTTGTGGCTGATACATAAACAACAGCATTTTGTTTAAATGAACCACAATATGCCTTTATGTTGTTACTTTATTGTCCAGTATATGATGCAGAATCCTGGTTTTGCTTGATTTGAAATTTAGATCCAGAAATGGACTGAAAAGATTCTTATAAAACAAGATGGCGATCATTGTTGCACACTTATCGTTGGGATGTACTTTGTCAAAGTGTCAAATCCCATAAAAACCTCACCTTAACACAGCTTCTTCATAGCTTTCTTCACAGCCAATGCAGCACAGAGAGCTGATCTTAACATGCACTAAATCACCTTGGTGCAGACATTTACCCTTTATGTCGTTTCCTTCTTTTTCCTCAAAATGTCTCAGGGCTCACAGACCATCAGCCACCAGGCCTCCACCAGGAGGAGGACGCCCTAAACCTGCACCCAAACCCAAACCCCAGGTGCCCCAGTGCAAAGCTCTGTACGCCTACGACGCTCAGGACACAGATGAACTCAGCTTCAACGCTGACGACGTCATCGACATTATCAAAGAGGGTAAGACGAAGAAAACTCTGGATCCTCATCTGTGAGGAGAGAGAATAAACAGGGAGTCTTGTTTTCTTCCCACTCAAAGATACTAGATCAATGAAATAGCACTATACTTTAAGGTCATATATATACAACTTTCATCCTTATATATAAAGAAAAGACACACTTTATCTTTAATAACAATTATATAATTTAAAAAAAAGAATCTAATTTTAGTTCAGTCTAAAATTATCTGTCTGTATTTGTTTTACATCAAGTGGACTCTGCCTTGGGTAACACTTTAAAATAACCATAACTTATAAATGGTAGATAGACCATTTATAAATGGTAAGCAGATAGTTTATTAATGTTTAATCATCATTTATAAATAGCAGAAAGACCATTAATAAATTGTAAATTTTACAATTTTAAAAACCTAACCCTAACCTTAACTTTACAATAACCATCTAAGTAATGTTTGAAGGTAGTTTATAAACCACTTATTAATTTATTTACAAAGTATTACAAACATCAGTTCCAACTTTACAATAATCATCTAAGTAATGTTTATAGGTGGTTTATTTATTTACAAAGTGCTACTGACACACATTTTAATCTAGATGTTTTACAACCAATATTTAAACTCTATATAAAACTTTAATAAATAGTCCATTAATAATTAATGAAAATTATTCATCATAATTTCTTGTTGCTTGTTAATAGTAAAGAAACTATTAAACTTAAAATAATAAACTATCTATTTGCCATTTATAATAGGTCTATATGCTGTTTTAAATGATGAATAAGCATTAATAAACTATTTTCTAATTATGGTTATTATGGTTATTGTGAAGTGTTACCCTGCCTTGTTTTTTAATCATGTTTGTGATTGAAATCTGAAACTAATCAACCTGTGTCTGTTGCTCAGATCAATCCGGGTGGTGGACAGGACGTCTACGTGGGAAACAGGGACTGTTCCCAAACAACTATGTCACCAAGATCTAAAAGTTCCTAGGTCACAGATCCAGGAGAAGAGGGGGAGCCGTCCCATGTCCCGCTGACCCTCTCAGAGGACGGGACGGAGCTCACAGATGGAGAGAGAAGAGCTGCGAGATTCCTCAAGGAGAGAAACTCACACTTTCTGCACGACTGCCTCTGTAGTCAATGAATGTAACTGTCCACCACACCAGGAGACCGTCAGGCTTGAATCGAGGCTTTGCTTTAAAAACAAGAAGACTGTCTGACCCCGGGGTCTGTCCCTCTGAGTACTGAACAAAACTATTTATTGTATTTATAGCTTTCTGTGTTCTCCTTACTGTCGTTCACACCTTGCTGAGGAGTTTTTAGCTTTTGAAGCGCTGGAAATGAAGTATGCTTAATCTGTGGGACCAGGCTGTGATTTTCACTCTCAACAAGTCCTTTTTTTAAGATGGTTTGATATTTATTTTGGTGTATCATCTTACAGGGGATGGACTCTCAGTAAATCACCCCACTGTGATTTTATAATGATTTTAAGAACCAAAGTAATATTGATTTTAAAAAAGCCTGTTCCACACGTTCAGACAGATTTGGTGAATCAGCTGGAAATGAGTTTTACGTTGTCTTGTCTCTTTACTTCTCCTGTACGTTTTTATTTTTTTCTTTTACCCAGAGTAGAGGCCATGTATACTGTAAGCTGAGTGTGCTGTCTGTGGTGTATTAGCACTTTATTAGTACAGGTACTACCTTAGACACAGACACCATCACTCCATCATGCCACAGCCAGTAAGTCCAGTCGATGAAGGACAGATTGCCAAGCTAGCAATATCCAGAGTTACTGAGGAGAATAATTTGTTTACATGAAATGATTGATCAGGCATGTTTAGATTTGATTCTGTATATGTGTTCATATTTAGGAGTATGCCTGTTGTTGCTTTAAGTTTAAATGAATTGTTTTGTATTTTTTCTCTGAAGGATGTCTCTGTTCTTCCTCTCTGCTTTTGTTCCTCACAGGGTTGTATTATTTCCACTTCAGCGACATGTAGATACGTTTGGTTATCAAGGACTAGGGTGAATGGTTTTTGTTATGTCACGTGACAAAGTTGTTTTAGGTGAAAGATATTCGTCGATGTTTTTCCACGGCACTCCAAAGGCTTCTTTTTGCTTCTGCTTGACTGTTTCTGCACAGCTTTTGCACTGCTGTTACATTACTTTCAAACTCTTTTTAGAAAAAGAAATTCAATATCCTCTCTATTCTCTTTTCAGTAAAAACAGCTGGGACTTCTGTCAGAAATTTGCTGAAAAACTGATCTTGGATGGTTGACAACATCCATGTGCAATACAAAACAGTAGACTTTAAAAGAGCATTTAATATGATGTATTTACCTGCTTTTTAACTCATTAAATAAACCATTTTCAATATTGTGTTTATGTTTATTACAGGACTCACATGCCTTCAGTAGACAGTTTTGTAAACACTTGGGTTTTTAGTTTACTCAGTTAACTCAAACTCACCAGAACCACACTGAATGATCTGTTATTTCTTTGTCAAGCTTTCTCCAGCGGGCAGTTAAGTTATAAATTTTAATAAAATTTTGCACCCCTGGTATGTGGAGCGATAGTTTAGGTGTAAATTTTCACTCAGAAGAGGTTCAGAGTTTACCTATAGCCTGTCTTTTTATGCTCTGTCAGGGGAATTATTAGTTGTCATTTAGATTTTTGTGTTTGGACTAAAGTTGTCATGAATCAGAAATTTAGCCCAAACAAGTCCTTTTATCTGTCTTTGAACTTCTAAGTTTTAGAGTAGCAGTTGACTGATATGATTTTTTTATACCATTAATGAGAAAGCAGGCTAGATGATCGGCAATACAAAGTGTCTATAGCAAATTATTGTTTTTATTTATTTGGATTTTTCATATTTGACAAAATATGACAATTTGATAGAGTACTAACAAATGAGAAACAAAATTGATGAATTAAGATTAAGTTTTTTGGGCACTGACAGAAAGTTTTTTGGCCCATAAATCAAGTCCCTTATCACCATAAGGGACTTGGATTTCTTCAAATTAGGACGGAAGTAAGAAAATAAAAGGTAAATGTTAGATAGATTACTCTGTACACCATAACAAAAATTTAAATCCTAGCCATGGCTTTTCTTTCTTTTGGAAAGATGACGATGATTTCAGTTTTGTGAGGGGAACTTATATTTGCTATCTATCCTTCATTTAGAGACCAAAGCTATGGTGTTGTCAGGCTGTTTCAGGGACAGGGTGTCAAAATGGAAAAAAGGACACCTCATCAGCCGTGGGACACCAACACACATGAAGCTTTTAGTGTGCTTTACAAATTTCTGCCTCTTGCAGCATTTTGTAAATTGAAGATTAAATCATTGGGATAGATTTTTCAATGATGTGGGGTTGAGGGTCAGGTTAGAGGAGGGGAGTTCAGGCTCAGGTGTATCTGAGGTGGGAATTTAAATATTTAAAAGAAAATATATTAATTTGATAATACATGATAAAGCTCCTGCAGTAATAACTTTGAGATGCCCTCTTGTGTGTGTAGTAGGTACTGCAGTTTATCGGGCATTAAAAAAATTATGCTTTCAACTTTACGGTGAGGTCAACTGAGACTCTCAGTTTAATAGACTGGCAGAAAGTCTATTACTCCTGATTATTTACAGTGAGTGAATTACTCTTTCTTTTAGATTCTTCAAGACTAAAATTCTACTGCATTAAACATGGGCAGCATTATGAAACAGAAGATCCTTCTTGATACAGTTTTGTTGAAGCTTAATATTATTACTTCTTTAGTGTGGAGTCACATCTGAGAGCTCAGAGATTCAGCAGGAGTAGCCTCCCTAATTCCCCACAGAGTTCACAGTCACTTAAACATTTGTTTTTAATGAAAACACCAAGAAAAGACTCAATCAAGAGTTATCCAAGTTTATTAATATTATTTTTTAAAACTAATATAAATCCCACAGAATATGATCCTGGTGCCTTTAAGTCAATGAATGCATGGATACCTGCTTTAAGTACTGCATTTCAACACTCCATTCAAAATATCTTTTTTTTTGTTTGTTTTGTTTTTTCATTTTTCTCCTTGTTCATCAGAGTGGAAATACATGGCCTCAGTGCACTGTCATATTCATTACTACTCCCCTACCTTTTTCTCTCTTGTGCAAGTCTATGCGAGTGAGTTAGTCAACAGTATTAGTGTTTTTTTTTTTTCTTTCTCCCAGCAGCCAAAATGGACGCTGCTGCTCGACTACAGAAAGACAAAGGGGAGGGTGGATAAAAATGGTTTGAAGTGTGAGAACAAACAGTAAATATTTATCCCAAATTGAGCTGTGTATTTCCCTCTGAACACACACACACACACGCACTCACACACAGGAAAAATTGAAAAAAAAAAAAAGTAAATGCCACTGCCTGCATCAAACTGAAAACAATAATCCCAGGTTACAGGCTCATGAGAGATTTCTCACACAAATGCTGACCTGAGATCATCTTACACAAACCTTATTCAACCTGTTTCAAACAGAAAAGAGAAGATTCACAGCAGATCCAACAATCGCTCCGTTTAGAAAGAACAGTCGAGAGAGGGATAAAACATTCTTTTCCTTGTCCTCTTAAATACATCTGATGGTGGTGGTGATGGCGGTGTTTCTAGTCGAATGAAGGTGCTGGATGAAGGTGTTATCATAGCAAAGCATGTGCATATTCTGGGAGTGAGGTGAACATTGGAGTTTTATTTCCACTCTAGAAAATACTGAGTGTGCACTAATACAGCAGCTGATCTGTTAACATATTTCCCTAGTTAGGAATGTTTTGATTTACTTAAAAAACATCTTTCACTAACAATCCACATCTTCTAAACATAAACTAATCAATACAATGATTGGTAAAATGAATCCTGCAATGTTGTTTTTTTTTTTCTTAAAAAAACTGGAGGCTGACATTCTATCCTAGTAAAGCAAGGCATTAGGTTTACAGAAATGCATCTTTACTAGAGCAGCTTTCCTCACCTGCAAGTTGTTGGGCCCTGTTGAGCCCACGTTATATGTGCAAAGAAATGCATTGCAAGGAGACATGCAGAGAAACGAAACAAAAAAATGACACTTGAGGAAACAATCGAAAGCTACATAAAAGCTTTATAAATACAATAAAATCTTAAACCCTTAATGGAGAAGTCTAGCTGTTGTAGTAATATGTGAAAGCTGGCACTCTAGGCTCAATGCTTTTTTGTCGGATGTTTTTCTTTTTTTTTTTTTCTCGTAGTAGAGCTGCGCAGGTAAATCATGCCATCTTTGGTTGACTGCAGTACTGAAGAGAAAACTTTAAATGATCTCAAAATAATCTTTTTCAACAAAAGGGGTGTTAGAAAAAAAAAGAAAACAACAGCATCAACTCTCAGCAGACAACTGCGCCTCAATGTCCACTCTGCAGATGGGGCACTTCTTATTGGTGAGGAGCCACTGATCCACACACAGCTGGTGGAAGAGGTGCATACATGGAAGGCGTCTGGTGGGGAAGAGGAAGAAGAAGAAGAGAGGAATTAGAGATGTATCAGAACGGGATTTTAAGGACCTCAAAGACTAGTCACTCTGCAAGCTTTAGTGATTCTGGTCTAGTTTGTTTGGGACAGTTTGAACAGGACAAGTCACATGAAATCTGATCTGGACTCAACGCCATCATCTGCTCACAAACTCCCTGCCTCTGACTGCTTATCAATTTTAACAACCACAAATACTCCAGCGGTGGTCACGTTAGCTCAAGTATTCAAGATGATGTGACGTCTTGACGCTGTTTAGTGGATGTGGGTCAGTTCAGAACTGTGACCAGTGAATGCAGGAATCTGACACAGGCCACAAAAGTCATGTGAACACCCCAATAATAAAAGACAGATCTGAGAAATTAATCTGTATGAGCAAAATGAAAAGGACACAAACTGAAGACAAGTAACCTGTCCATCCTGCTTACATGACCTTTAATGATCGGCAGCTTCACCTGTTCTACCTGCTGTGCCTGAAATTCTGTCGTAATTTATCTGACGGACAGTCTGCTGATGTCTTCTGTACGAGTGAATAACTCCAAGAAAGATCAAAACAACAACAAAGTGAAATCAGTGATAAAGCGATGTGAAGTCTGTGCTGCTGGATCCTGATCGAGCTAGAAATGTCTTTGTCATGGACCAGAAACTTTGTTCAAGAACTACCAAAACCTGACAATGGCCGACATGTTTCTTCAATATCATCAAGATGAAAAATTCTGCTTTGAGTTGATTAATTCTCCACGTGTCATCCTACATGTATCAATACTCAGGAGTGCATTGAAAAGAGTCTGGAAACATTTCAAAACAAAATCACAATTGGCTGGAAGATAAAGAGAGTTCTTGTTATGGCATTAGCAGTAAAAACAACCATAGAAAATGCCAGAACTCAACTTGAACAATCTCACAGGACATGCTGAAAACATTCAACATTTCATAAAAGCTTTATCAGCATATTCTATTGAGCCTGATTTTTTTTTACTTTGTTGACTTTAATAAGCCGAGGCCTCAACTTCAAACACCCTCAAAGTCACGCACTGAAGCCAACAAACGTGACAAGTCCAGTAAAGATGAGGGCATCACATGCTAATGCTAACCACCAAAACAAACAGGAAGTTTGATTTCTCAACCGGAATCACCAAGCAGACAAAAAAAACACTCTTGCTCACACATTAAACTGTCAGAGAAACAGAATATGTCACTTGTGTTGCAGGATCCATCTAATAAGGCAGAAAATTATGTTGCTCCCCTTTTCTTGGTTTTCTTTTCTGCGTAGGGTTGAAATTTGTGGTGGTGATTGAGGACTCCAGTACCAGTTTTGACCATAAATATAAACATAACAAAAAAAATCAAACTTTATAAAAATATTTGTTTGTTTTTCCTCAACAAAGAACTTATGAACAGTTTTTCTTTCCACTCATCACATCATCGAGTACCAACAGAGGGCAGAAAATCCTTTGCACAAAAACCTGAACAGATGCCAAAAACAGCTCCACCAGGACATTCATATTAAAGCACTCTGGGGTTTTTCTGCTGATTAGTATACCTTTGGGTTTTTTGAAAAAGCCAAATATCTCCAGAGACAGTCAGTGGTACAAACTAAGGAACATTCACACCTGCCAGCCCACATGTCTGTGTTCACAAACTCACACACACGAGCCTGAAAGCATCATTTAAGGACTTAAAATAGGAAGAAAAAACAGCAGAGTACACCCAGGGGGGCATTTACCTGACATCCTCCCCCTCCTCCAGTATCGACAGACAGATGGTACATTTTTCCTCAGTGTCTTCATCTGCGCCCTCATCTTCATCTTGCTTACCATGCAGCTTTCTCTGCAAAGGAGAAACGTTTGAAAACATGACTTTTGAATCGGGGAAGCTGCTTCAGCAGAGACATTACATGTGGTTGATAACCCTATTATTCTGCTGTCTGTTTAACATATGAATTGAACTGCTTGGTAACACTACAAGGACATTTACAGCATTATAAAAATATAGTATCGCCTCAAAGGGTAAACAAGGATAAATAAGCAAACAGTTCAACAACAAAGAGCCTTTAATTCTTTTGGGGACAGAGAGAATGGTCGTTTTGTCCTGAAAACAGAAAAACTTTCTGCTGTCTCTATGCTACATAAGTCACATTTATCCAAATCAATCTTTGTTTACAGCCGAATCCCCTGGCCCCCCAAGAATAAAACTAACATCTACTGTACATGAGAGCAGACATGTTTCCAAATTAATTTTGTCATTATTTCTCACCGATTCTGGGGTTGCGTGCATATTTTTCCCAATAGATGCCCAAGCTTCAGGGGTTAACTCTTGGTCAATGTCTCTCTCCAACACCTTCTGTATTGGGTGGCAGGGTGTTAGATTGTTTATTTAGATACATTTGAAGCCTCTAAGGAAACTTTTCCCCAACAATGTCTTCACAGCTGCAATCTCTGGTAAAACACACTACAGAATTTTTGCTAATTGTTGGCAAAACATCAGCAGTTTGAAATGAGCACAAAAGACCACTGCGCACTCTGTCCCAGAATAAACTGTAACAGACATGCACTAGTTTGACAATAGTATACACACAATGAGCCAATGAGAAATGTTGTTTTCAAAGTGTCAAACTGTCTTGCAAACCCTCACCTTTTTGTACTTGTGTGGATAAGTGCACCTCTCTATGGTTCCCTGAGAGGCTCCTCGGTTCACAGTCCCCAATCGTTCCTCTAAATGCAGCAGGTCCTGAATGAAGGCAGAATCAATACATGAGGTGAGAATGACGGACACATTCTGCCAGGCAAAAGGAATTTTACCACCCTTAAAGAATGTCAAACTGTGACAAAATGCACCATACTTTTCCTGAGAAGTAAATCATCATTAGGGCTGAGATGATGTGCTTTTCTTCTACGATTTTCGGATGCTGATTGGATTTAAACTGCGATTCTACGATATTGTCCATTTTGTCGATTTTTAGTCTGATCTTGATCTGCTTTGTCAGCAAAGTTCCAATTTCAATGTTTATCTTGAATGATGACGATATGTTTCTACTGCTTTTATATCTTCATCATATCTTTGTCATATTAATGCGGTGATGGGCCCAGCTCTTGTTAAGGTTGTACTGATGACGCTGCTCACCTCGTAGGTTCGTCCAAAGCCAGTCATTCTAGATGAGATGTACCGAATGTGTGGGTAGGTCACTTCAGATATGCCAGTGTGCTGTAGGACAAAAGAAAAACATGCAAACGTTATATTCAGTTTAACTACGAAAAGAAGACACTCTGACACGCTTCTTTCAACTCTGTCATAACTTATTACAAGAATGCCAGAAATACTAAAGGATCACAGGCTCCAATATAATCTGTTGTTTCTGTCCTCTGTTAACTGACCAATAACATTTGCAGTTATCATCTTGTCTGACTCTGTTGTTCTGTTGTTCTATTCAGAGCCATGTTTAGTCCAACTGATGAATCTTTGTGCATCTAAGATTGTTAGGTACTATTCTTGATTTTTGAACATTACACTTATGTCGCCTGCCATAGCAAAAAAGAAATGCCAAAGCCCAAAGGCTGAAAGACTGACGGACAGCTACTTGCAGAAAGTGAAAAATAGGTCATTTCAAGTGGAAATAAACACAGAACGTATGTTGATACAGTGTATTTTTTTCTTGTTAGAATTTTTTTAGACACTCAGCTTTGAGTAAAAACTTTTGTATTTTTGATTTTCATGTATCAGTGGGGGCTCTGTGTGTATTCTCCTGATAAATACTTAATAATGGCAGTAAAAGAGCTAAAAGGAAAAGAATCAAATAAAATCAAATAGATTGATGGTCTGATTATCGAAATTTCACTTCCTACAGTTTTACTAGTTTAGCCCCCTGTTCTGAGCGAGCATGTGGTAATAAACTGTAGATATTTGGTAAAAGGGCAACTCAACCTTAATAAAAGCTACAGACAAGAAAAGACACTTTATGTTTTGATGTTTGAGGGTGACGAGGGAACACTGCAACAAAACTGGGAAACTATCGAGTATGTTTGTGCAGGAGAAGTCTTCAGGCTTGCGGATTTGTTAAGAGTGCACTTGAAATGCCTGATGAGCCACTATTAATTGCTGATGCATTATTCATGTGGTCCACCAAACCAGCCTTGAAATAACTGATGTTCTAAATAAGGGCCCCACACCATTAATCTAAGCCAGACTTCATATAAAAGTGAATTTTTCTCATTTATGCTAATATATGCGTGTGCGCTGAGGGGTTGCTCTCACCATGAAAGGGATGGGGAAGTGGTGCAGTCTGGGGGGAGGGTGGTAGTGAGGCAGGTGTGAGTGCAGGTGCCCTGAAGGGAACGGTGCCACGGTCACTCCAGCCTCGATGCCAAGCTCCCTATTGAGAAAAAAAACAAAAAGTCACTCACTCAGAAAAAGTTACTTTTACACTTTCATCCACTCGAACTGAAATATTTATTTGATCAGATAATTTGATATTTGATCAGATCACGTTACAGCGGGGTGAAATGAGGAAAACCAAGCCAGAATCTCTGCTTCTGATACTGACCAGGCTGTCCTTTGCTCAGGCTGGCGAGGGTGGGAAGACATAGTTTGAGGCACATGAATGTGGTGTCCATGGCCGTAGTTGGGATGCATTCTATGTGGGTGAGGAGGCGGACGCTCATGTGCTCGTCTGCAGGAATAGAAACACAGACTCAAACATTGATTTCATTATGTGTGATGAAGAATCATCAGGGTAAGGGTGTTACTCACGTAGGGTGCTGCATCATCCGGCGCCTCTGGACCTCCATCCTCTGCAGCATCTCATGCTGATGGAGCCTCTGCACTGAGGCCCCGAGTGCCGGTATATGGTGAGGCAGGGTCTGGTGATCCGCAGGCAGGTGCTGGGCCAGCGGGGCACTTGAACTAGAGAGGTGGTGGGTAGACAGAGGAGGGGGAGGGGCAGGGGGCACAGCGTGGCCTGGAGGGTGGGATGACAGCGGTGGATGAAAGGTGACGGTGTGGGGGATGACATAATCGCCCTGTGGAGGGGGCTGAGGTGTAAGCTGGGGGTTCCCATGGGAGTGAGGGCAGGCGGAGGAGGGCTGATGATGCAGTGAACGTGCCAGTGGGCCATCTAGATATGAGGAAAGAGTAAAAGGAAAAGTTTTAATAGTTAAACACGATAAACACTTTAGACTGTAAAAGTTTGTTACCAAGAAAAAAAATCCTGTAGAAGTTTTCAATAAAAAATGACCAGCTCCTGTTTGTCTGAAAGAGGATTAGGGCCACATGGAGAGAAAAAGAAAATTACAGGAATGAGATTAAAGTCGAAATTTTGAGAAAAACAAAAAAGAAAGTGTAGCACTTATACTTCTTAGGATGAGCAATTTAATTACAAATACTCTCAAAATTTGCTCATATCTACCATACAAGATAACCCCAAAACTGCCCGGCACACACACTGCAAAAATCTCCTGGATTCTATGACCCAAATGTTGGCAGGTATGACATAGCCACGCTGTATAGCACACAGGTGTAACCATCGATAACCCTACATCTGCATCATAATCTTCGGCGCAGTCTTTTCAGAGTCTGAATACTTATGACCACACTGTGTTTGTGTGCTAAAAGAAAAAAGGACTTCCTTGTTACTAAAACCAGTTCTAAAGTACAGCCTCACAAACTCTTCTACAGAGGACATGTTGTCAAGTTGTGACTGTGGCGTGTTTGTAAACGTTACTGTTCCTCTTACGACTGCAGAACCATCAGAGAGTCCACGTCAAATTTTCCCACAGGGACAATAAAGTTTATGAAGTGAAATGAAATGACGAGTAACAATGTTGTTTATTTGTGGCGACTTTGATCTTGTAATTTCAACTTTAACCTCGAAACTTCGATTTAATTCATGAAATTTTGACTTAATTCATGTCGACTTTAATCCTGAAATTTTGACTTTAATCTCAAAATTTCGACTTTAATCTAGTTCCAGTAATTTTTTTCTTTTCTTTTCATGTGGCCCTAATCCTCTTTCATATTTCAGAGTTTAGTTCACCCGACCTTAAAAAAACTAAGCTGTATTTCTCACTCTGTAAAGTTACACCAGACTACGCCTCCACAGGCAGCACTTAACAATCAGGTCAGTTCACTCTTTCTATCAGTAACTTCTCCGATTGTTTATGCATGAACAGAATCGCTAGAAAAATCTACCCTTTAGAGATGTTAAAAAACTGTACAAAATCCACCCTCACATTATTTCCTTACAATGTTTGTGAAAAGGTTGACTGTTCATATCTAAAACCAGCGGACTCTCTTATTAGCAGGACTGACAAAGTTTTTAAAAAAGAAAATTAGATCTCAGTTGGTATTAGTAGTCATCCCTTTGATAATACTCATTAATTATTTTGTGGATCGTTTTTGCAGACTCTCTTGCTACTAATGCTAACAGCAGTAAAATGAGGAGGTGAGTGTCGGCACTGGCAGCAACCAACCCTCTCACCACACCCCCCCAGGGAGCCTTGTCACACAACTTCGCTCTCCATACTGCACTAGTCTGAGTTAAATGAGCAATTAGCTACTCCTGCATGGTGCAGTTCCCACAGCACTTGGCACATTAACCAGCAGGCTTGGTTTAATTACTATTAGCATTAGGTTTGAGGAATGCAGCTGTCTGCCAATTTTCACAAGTACTGTGGCGAAGGGATTGAGAGAGTTTCACAAATGCAGCGGCTGACACTTGAGGTGAACGGAAGCAAATGATTTCACAGAGCAGCTCTGTAAATTATTTATGCTGCCTTCAAGAGAGTAAAAATCAATCGAAACCAAAAGTGAGAAATTCATCATCCCTAGTTTTTGGTTCTATTGTGCTGTACTCTTCTCTGACGGAGCCTAAAAGTTCTTGCCAAACTGCCTGCTTTGATTGAAAGCTACGTTTTCTCCATCATGCATGATCACATCAAGTTAACATCCAGATTCACAAAAAAACACACACTTAAAACAAGTCACATCTGCCTAACAATCCTCCTCACTTAACTCTGAATTCACAAGTCTTTTCCTTCAAGAACAAGTGACAAAAACATGGTCATTTAGCAGAAATCAAACAGTAAAATCAATCTGACACACACACAAGATATCAAACAGCACATTAACATCCCCGAAAATGTCGCTTCTTTCTTTCCAGACACCGGTGTGATGTTTAGTCTTCAATAAAACAAACATCACAGTGTGTGCTGACATGTGAGCTACAGTACAAATGTGTTTATTCTGTCTCTTTGCTCTTTGTTCACAGTGGTTTAACAGCAGCGCTCTGGCAGCTGCTGTCACTCAAACACAGACATAGACACACCCCTACAGCAGCCTGAGAGGGAAATCATTTCACATATTTCCCCAAACAACTTTTTTTTTCTCCCTTTAATTATAAAAAAGGGAACAAAATAAGAAGATGCAGCTTAATATTGAAAATAATGTCTACATTTCTCAACACATCTACAGCATGTTGACTCCAGGGGCCTCCCCGACATGTTTCAAATGTAGATCTTATACAGGAACTAGACTGTTAAGGGTAGTGATAGGACAACAAGTGTCACCCAGCTCTCTTATGTGTATACTAGGAAGCATACCAAGATGACTGAAGGCTGATCGGGAGATAATCCATTTTATTTTATGTTGGCCAGGAAAGCTATTATGATAAAGTGCAAGTTTGGGAATCTCTAATTTCTGACGTTCTTACACTAGAGAAGCTAGGATTCTGCATTGATGTGAAAATAGAGTTATTTTATCAAAAACGGGAAAAACAAGCTAAGACGCTCCAAATTAAGATCAATTTGATATGAGAGGAATAAATCCGGCCTCAGGATCGACTCATTTGTAAATGTTTACCAGTCCCTCTGTATTTCGTGTTTTGTAACTGAAGCTGGATGTGAAATATGAGCCATCTATGCAAGTATTGTGTAACATGGAATAGAGCTGTGAAACTTTGTTTTGCTTTTTTGAAAATCAATAAAAATGTAAAAGGGACAAAGAAAAACATCAAAACATGATTCTTGCCGACAAAACTGATTTCTTTTTTTTACTATTTCTTTGAATCTCCCTAATAAGAGAAAGGATTGGATATTCTTACCAGGGTCCACTAAGCACAAAACCATAAACCCTGTACACAGCGATGATTTTAAATCTCAAAGGAAATCAAGCAGAAGTGATTGTGTTTTTTTTTCTGTATTGCAGGACGGCGGAGCACTCACAGGAGGGGTGCATGTAATGTCTGCAGGGCTGGGGTTGTGTTTGCGGCTGGGGTTGAGCCACCATGGAGGAGCTGAACGAGTCCACCACAGCTGGCTGGCTGGGCCCAGGGGTGGCCTGGGAAACATAAGCAGGAGGCCGTGACGTGGAGCCTGGGCAGCACGGGTCAAAGGCCGAGGTGCTGCCATGGAAACTAGCCCCGCTGTTTCCACCAGACCGAACACTGCTGTTGCTCAGGTCTACTGGCAGAGTTTGCTGTGGGAGGAAGGTGGAGTTGTTATAGAAATACGAGGGACAAACTTCTCCTCTTGAATACTAAACGATTCTTCCTTTGAGAGACTTTTGTTTCTCAGGTTTCAAATACAGTCACATACAAATTTTACACAATATGAGCTGTATCCAATTTATTATTCTTCCCCTCCTGAGTGAAGGAGAATATGTTAGTGGAACATTTCAGAGTCCTCTTCCCCTCTGCGTCTCACTAAATTAATTTTGGAGTCAGAGAGGTGAACTTGATCAGAGACAAGTGTTGGCGTGTGTTAAGTGAGGGAGACGAGGAGAGGACAGATGAAACTGGAGCTCTGGCAAAGTCAGAACAAGATAGCATGGATTATAATTAAGGCAAAACCTTTGAGAAAACTCACACAGAAAACACTTTTCTCATCCTTCTCAGACAATCTTATATGTGAAACTACGTCCAAGAGCCTGAGGTACCTTTGGGGTAAATTAACTATCTTACTTCTCCAAACTTCAGGCCACAACTACCATAAACATTTTGTTTATTTTTTTCATGATGCTTGATATTTAGGATGCTTTTTTTGGTGCTAATGAAACAGATTTTCTTTATTTGTTCGGCGCCATGTTAACAGGACATCCTTATTTGTGTAATGTAGCAGTGGTCATTTAAAAACACCTCAACTACCACTGCATGGACGTATTGAATGCAGCATGACATACCTGGTCATGGTAGTGGGCTGTGTTGCTGCTGCTACTGTTGTTGCTGCTGCTGCTGACTACAGCACAGGGTGCGGGCAGAGCGCTGGGTCGCTCCACAGGGCAGCTTGGCTCTTGGAAGGGCAGGGTGCCAGGGGGCTGCGGTGCTGGGTGATGAACATGGTGGATGAAGTGGTGAGCGCTGCTGTGGCTATGGCTGTGAGTGTGGCCGTGCTGAGAGCCGCCGGTCTGCTGAGAGGATGATGCCTGCAAGCAGCTCGAGTGAGAGTGGCTCAGGGACAGGTGACCAGTGGAGGGCCCTCCACATGGGGAGTGCTGCTGACAGCAGGATGGCAGTCTGGGCATGGCTGTGCCTGTGTTTTCTCCAGCTGTCCCTGACAAACCTGGTCTGCTGTCATCTGAGAGGAAAAGGTAAATGTGAGAAGAAGAAATAAAGGGAAGCAGTTACAGAAATGTGTTGGTGACTTAAGTCTTTTATCGAGCTATTTTCGGTGCTCTTATTTTAGTATCTTTTACTGTTGTTATTATTTCATTTTATTTATTATTTCTTAAATTTCATTCTTTTTTTCTTTGTTTTTAGATTTTAACCTAAACCTCCAGTGTTTCCTTATCTTGAGTTTTAAAATAACTTTCCTCAGTGCACATATTCCTTTTTCCACCAAATCAACCCCTTTTTAAGTTCATGCATTTTAATTCTGTTTCTGTTTCATTTAGATCGTGGGGTGGGAATGAGGGGTTGGGCTGGGGTAGATTTGGGTATTCTTTTATTCCCAGGTTGGGGTAGATCTGGGTATTCTTTGTTTCTTTAATTCCTTTTTCTGTGTAAAGCACCTTGTGATACATTGATGCGTTTGAAAAGTGCAATATAAATAAAGACTGATTGACTGATTATTTGATTGATTAAGGGGACCACACAGAGGAGAACATTATAAACTCTAATGACTTAATGTGTTATAAAATATCAGCATTTGACAAAAGGACAATACACAACCCAAGCTGCCTCTGAGCAGAAGGGTGACAATGCACAGTAACTGCATTTTAACAACACAAATCACACCTTTAAAACATTTTCCTAAAATATCAACCACACACTAAATCAGAGCCAATGACAACAGAAGAACATTTCATCGCATGTAGAAATCTAATGTGATTCAAAACTCTCTGGAGGATTTCTTTGACACTGGAAGCCCTGATACACTTGATTTCTCTTTAGGATGGAGAAATGTGAAAAAACAAATATGAATCAGTATATCTTATATCTACTGCCATGTGTTGCTGTAGAAAATTGCCATGTATTGGCAACAAAAGGTTATGGTTTTTTAATGGCAGTCTGGGGAGTATTAAAAAATGTAGGCTTTGAGACAAAATATCAATCAAACCAGACAATACATAAAATGTTTTCACTGTCCAAAACCACTGCATTGCTTTGCTGCCAGGAAAGTTGTTTTATTAATATGAATGGTTTATCATTTAATTGTTAAACCTCAATAAATATTGGTCAAAAACAACAGGTCCACATTGAGGTGTCTGCAGCAGCTGCTTTAAAATGTAAGATGCGTTCTTCTGTCTTACCCTCTGTGGTCGTGCGAGAAGAGCCACTTGGTCTCTGTGTGTGCATACTTTCAGGTATTGAGCCAGGGCAGCTAGAGGAAGGGCCTGGGGCATCATTGAGCTCTGAGGTAGAGGCATGATGAGAAGATGACGACGAGGACGACCTGACAGTCTGAGGGTGAATGCTACTGGAGGTCGTTGGCACCACTGAGAGATCTGTGAAGAGAAAATCAAGGTCAAGTGATTATTTTGAAAATGTAGACCAATGACAGCTGCTCCTTGAGGAAGAGCTACAGGTATCAATTCATCAAAGTATGTGTTATTATACTGGTGTACAAAAGTCCTGTCAACAAGTATTATTTTTCATTTCAAACGTTTCCCAAAGAGAAGAGTCAGCCACCCCAGGTCAAAACGTTTTGCTATGAAATCATCTTTTTATTGATCAATCCTCTTTGATTCTGTATCAGCTGTTCCTCTCAATTCCTCTCAAAGCTGATAGAAGCTCATATATCTTTAAAACCACACACAGATGTACTAGTTGTTACTCTGACAGTAAGCATGTGCAGCATGTGGATACTTGTCTGCAGAGGCTCAGCAGCTGGGGAGGGGAACGGGTCTCATTAACATTCCAGTGTGTGTGTGATCCCTCTGTTTTTCATATTCACAAATTAATTTCACCATCCATCTCCTAACAAATGCAAATACTCTAATACACAGTCCTAGACCACCCTACAATCTGCCATGGACTGAAAATGGAGAAGTCACACAAACATCACTGGTTACAAAGTAGCTTCCTTTTCACCAGAGTGAACTATCTGTACTGTGACAACAAAAGTGCCTTTCTATGTTTGAATATGTGGGTGTATGTTTTAAGTTAATTCAGAAATTTAACCCTTTATTCTACAACTGACTTTAGAGTTAACATATAAAGCAAAATAACAACCCAAAATCATTATTTTAGATCATTTTGTACAATTTCTTTTGCTCCATTTTTGAAATTGGTGCAGTATGTGAAATCACCAAATGTAAAATGTTGGGGAAATGTAAAATTATATAAGCGATCGACTGCATTTATTCTCAAACTCTGTTGTTAAAGTCTGGAAATCAGAATAATGGAGTGATAAACATAAAGATATGGAGGAATCACAGCTTTGTGGCGGCAGATAACCTGAACCATTAGATCTGTGTTGAACCCCAGTGGAGTTATCCTTTAAACAGTATTTAGAGAAAGACCTCTTACCATCTTCATCAACTGTGAGGTCCACAACCTCCCCAGCGTTCTGGCGCAGCGGCTGGATGACGGTGGACAGTCTGTGACGTCCTCGAGGCTCCTGAAGACGATTCTGGGAGCAACTACTAGCCCAAATTCTGCTGAGACCTCCTACTGAGCGTGACCTGTGGAAATAGGGACAATAAAAAAAAAACTGTTACAGCCAAAATCAAGGTTACATGACTCATAGAGACTCAGTCAAGCATTTGCTTTAACTTAGTTAGACTCTGTGTCTCATTCCCTGGAAAGGCAGCTCATGCAAACGAAGGTAAGATGCAACTGTTCACTATTCTTGTAAGTTCAGATCTGATTTTCCTATATGCTTTACTTTATACTTGATGTAGTCTGTTGCTGTACTCTTTACACATGTTACAAGAGGAAAAAGCACCAATATGATATTTTTGCTCTTACTTTTGTTTTTGACAATCCATCATATTAAAAGGGAGCAGGGCCTGTTTTTGACCGTTAGACTGAAACACAGTGTTAATATTATATCTTACTTTTTACACAACCCTTTTAAAGTGTACACAACAAGACTTAACAGAAGCAAACGAACAATAAACACATTTACAGACTGCATTTAGATTTACATAACAACATTAAGACCACAACAGAAAAATGACCAACTATATCTGGGTTGGCAGTAAAAAAACTTTACTACCACAGAGGACTCCTCCTCCTTCATATGCATGTATATTACCCAGTAGCACCTCCCTCTCTACTTAAGGGAAATGTTGTATATCAAGAAGTGAGAGCTTGTGTTTACAGCAAGTCTTTAAAGATTCAGAGTGTGCGTAAAATATCGGGGGAATGTCAAGAGTTTGTGACTGAAAGATCGTCTAGATGCTCTCTAATTTCATGAGCGTTAAAATGTAATTTTTTAAAATTAGATTTGGAATATATAGTCCAACAGTCTGAGACAAACAGTCAAAATATTTCTGACTTGAATGTAAATGTAAATTTGACGGGTACTGAAAACCACCACTCTCTCCATCCAACCACAGCTTTTCCTGTATCTTGCTTGAATTCCCCGTACCTCTCCTGACAGGCTGAAAGCATCTCCTTTTTTTCTTCCTATTTTTTAATTTTCTCCCCCAAAGGCTCCCAGTGCCCTCCTCCCTGCTCTCAGAGACGAGAGTGAGAGACGAGGGAATAGCTCCGCTCGTGCCGTAAGGCCTTGTAACTAAGGGGGGAGGAGGGGTGAGCCCTAGTGACAAGAGACTGGAGACTGTGTGGGAGTGCCGTAAAGTGTGACACCATGGAGCTTTGTAGCTGGGGGTTTCACTACTATTCCCTGGGAGTGTATAAAAATGCACTGGGGCAGTGGGAGAGGGCTCTACATTGAGTGCCAAGGGCATCGCCTTGTCAACCACAATGTAATCCTTCACTACAGAACTTCGAGTATCACAGAAATTAGTTAGCTGAGGAGTAAAATCTTTTCAGGTGATTTTTCAGAGTGTGTCTGTTTGTGTTTCCTTAAACTTTTTTGAGGTCTCAGTTGTTCATAAACCACTGTAACAAATGTGATTCAAGAAAAATTTAAAAGTGTACAAAATTATAAATTTGTCCACAATGGTGTGATTAGATTGGAACAGTAATTTATTATTTAATTGACTGTTAATTCACTGGAATATTCATCAGAGTTGCAGAATGCTAAGTGCCTTGAAAACATGACTTAGATGAGTTTTAATGTCGGAAATGCCTCCCTCACTGCTCTTTGTGATAAGGGGGATTCCCATTAGCTCATACTGTCCAGTGAGACATGAGGTACAATGCAAGTAGAATAAGAGAGGAAGCTGAGTAGCTTTCACACTGCACAAATAGCTCAGGCTAACTTGTACTGCACATGCATGTACTTGGACACACTTGCAGCTCTTCATAAAACACACATCAACACGGGTGGTAAGCAGGGAAGACACGTGGTGGTTGTTTAGTCATCTAATTGGGCAGGCTGCTCAGCTTCTGGTTGACACTAGGGCGCAGGACTCACCACCAGGGAGGAGCACCTAATTAAGTAGACCTGGGATTATTTTGTAAATATCTGTTTACCGCTAAGCCCCCCAAGAGGGGATAACCCAGAGGAAAACGGTACATTGTAAACACAAACACTAAGGGAATGGGTTTCTTGGCAAAGACGAGGTTTTGCCGAGCTGCGGTGATGTGAGGGGAGGGAGGGACCCCGGGGATCAGAGGGAGGCTGAGCACTGCGGTGGAGTAAACTGGGATGATATCATCCAAAGCACTTTCAGAATTGTAAATAAAGTGATGGTCATCAAGATTTACAGTGACTAAAGCCTCAAAATGTCCTCACACTGAAGGACACAATGATGTCACTTTCTAATTCTGCACCATGAGATATAAAATCAATAATATAATAAGTTCTGATGTGATGCTTGGCTCTTCATCTAGAAATAAAAAACTCAGTGTCAGAAAATTTACTTTGATGTGGGTTGATGAATGAATGACTTATAATTGGATGGAACTCTTTAAATGTAAAATAAAACAATGATAAAGTAAAAAATAACAAACAATACACATCCAAGAATCTATGAGCTTAAAGGGATATTCCAGCGGAAAATTAAGTTATGGTCAAACACACCGTAACACCGAGTTAGACACCCCGTCGAGAGATGAAAGCTGCCGACCGCTTGCTTCTCCAACTTTAGTGATGACCGCACGATAGCAATACACAGTGGTCTCAAGAGCCACGTGCTCAACCAAAACGCCACTCTATAGCCACAAATGATGCTCAGAACAGCGCCTAACTTCATCAACAGTACATATAGGGTCCCAGCCATAGTACTGGCCACCAAACATCTTTTTAGCTTTGCCTAATTTCTTAAGCAAAGAGACTAAACACAGCTCAACCGCTCTCTTCCAGCAGCCGCTTGTTTGTAGCGAGACCTCAGGCCAGTCCATTACAGACTGCAGTGGGTGACACAGCTCAAGGAAGAACATTTATGACCATGTGTTTGACCATAACTTAATTTTATGCCGGAATATCCCTTTAATATGATAAGAGTGTTTGTGTGGATTTTGCTTTGTCATGTCTGGTTTACATTTGCTGACTTTTTTATTTTACTCAAGTACACTTCAATCCTTAACTTAAGTGAAGCTGGTCGGTTCAGATGTTGGGATGTACTTGTTGTTGGTCAGTGATACAAAACCAGGTCTATCAGAAGCATTTGTTTTCCAGCCCTTCCCAAACACAGGCACATCAGAAACATAGATGGGCTCTGTAAAGAATTTCTGACGACAGCCTGTTTTCAACTCACACACAGTCTAGTAACAGTACAAAAAGTTGTGCATATCCCCAGCTGATAATCACAGCCTTTTCTGAAATTGTACTGGCTCAACAATACTTATTGTAACTCACAGTGCACTGTAAAAACCCCTGCATAACACACCCCACAGAGCACTGTTGAAACACTGGAATGTTCTCCTGATGCAACGCTTTGGTAATGAGCTAGCTGTGGAGGAGAATAAACAAGTAAAGCAGTCCAAATTAATCATGTCTGTGTAGACAACATGTCGCTGAGCCGCACGGGGAGAACTGGATCGGGTTAATAGTGGCTGCTTTGCCCAGATTTCGATAAAAATTTAACAGCATGCCTCTATGCAAGGCTTAGTGTTTGTTAAACCCATATTTGAACACCCACATGTTCACAAGCTAGGAATAAAGATCCAATCTGATCCACAAGCTATAGTCAGACATCCCTCTGTCCTTTAAAAAGACAGAAATGCCACCAGATGCCTCACAAACCACAGAGGAAAGGCAGCTTTTTAGCTGCATTCATGTGAGTCTAAATGAAACTATTGGTAAAATGAGTAATTCCTATTATGTAAAGTAGCTCAGAAGGTTCTGAAGTGAATCATTTTCAGCAAAAATTCTAACTACATTGCTGACTTGTTTGGAGGTAAAAAATAAAAACTCAAAGGAAGGCAAAATAAAGCTGTATTTATCAAACATAGACACAGGATCACATAGACTGTGAGTGAAAAATATCAAAACTATTGAGCTGAGTATGGCTAACATCAGCACAGCCCGGACTAAAAGTCTTTGTTCCTCTTTATAATTCACACACGCCTCTTGTGCTTCAACTCTACACATGACTTTGTCTCCTTTTTCTGACAAACCCCAATTCCAGTAAAGTTGGGACATTGCGTAAAATGTGAATAAAAACCGGTTTCCATGCAACACATCCATGGTATTCAACCTCTGGCTTAAAGCCCAGCGTGCGAGCACATGGGCATGTGCAGGTCACCGAACGTCAGTTTGGGTCTGACTGAGACGTATACATGACAGGTAATTAACCCCCAACCGCATGAACCAGGTATGTTAAGATGATGAGTTTGATAAAGTGCAGTTTCAGTCTGACTTGCATGTTTTTTTCAAAGTCCAGTTTCAGTCAGACTACGGCAATAAATCAATAATTTTGGACATCATGTAAATGTACTAAAAGGATAGAGTAGGAAGCTAGGGAGAGAGAGGCCAATGACAGGGCAAAAAGACAGACGGTCTGTTTACATGTTGTTAAAAAACATTGGAAATGAGTGAAACTGGGCTACAATGAATTCAGTTCAATGACTTCTGCATTCACAAAATGTTTAGTGGTCAGGCTTTGATGAAACTGTTGAGTCAGCTGTATGAACACTTGCAAAGATGGTTTGTGGGTGCTGTTGACCTCTATTCCATGATACCAGGAAGTGTTTCTGTATTTTTACTTTGCCTCATCAGTATATAAACAGAATGATGTTAGTCAAAACTGCAGTACATGTATTAAAAACACTGTCTGAGATGTATTTGAGTATACAACTGCACAGAGCCACACAGAATCACCAGTCAGAGCGCTGACAGTGTAAACAAAGCCTTCATTGCTCATTCTGTTGGCCTCTGATTCCCCACCCTCCTGCTCCCCTGCTGCCCATCCCCCCGTCAGGGAAGCTCATCTCCACATTCTCTAGCGAGCCAGGACATCTTTGAAAGTTAGGAAAACAGGCAGATAGGACGAGCCATTGCATTCCTAACTTTACTTCTAGGAACTATTCCAAAGTGTCTCTGGTCATATTATGCAGGGTTAGTACAAAGAAGTATGCCATGCAGTGAGGGGATACAGATACAGGTTAGCACAGAGGCAGAGGTTTATCAACCCACTGCATAATTGCCTTCATGAGGAATTAGGGGAGAATTGAGACAGGAAGTCCCTTTATGAGAATGGGGAAATAAGAATCTCAGTGGGGTGAGGAAAAAAGGAGTGGGTTGCAGTGAATGACGGTGTGAGCTCTGTTCATAAATATCTTGGTTTCAGTCTGTGGATACATAGCAGCCCTCTTAGTAAAAGAGTACGGTGTTTTTACTCCTAGATCATACACACTTTATATACACATATATATTTAGAAGCATCAAGGATGTTAAAGGTAGAAAGGATCTATAATAACATTCATGTACTACTGAATATTGCCTGAGCTCTTCAGTGATCTCATGCTTCACAATATCCCTTCAAGCAGATACCAGCCACACTCTCTCCTCTTAAAACTGTGTTTAAAGGAACAATCCCAACAATCACTTCATATTCTCCAAACATGAAGTGTATTTCTGCTAACTGGGCTAGCGTATTGACATTTGTATGAGCCATATTATCTACATTATTTTTTGGGTTTTGTTTTGTTACTCACACAATCACCACAAGGGACACTTCAGGTGAATGGGCAGGTAAATGCTACAAAGGGACACAGGTGAAGCAGTGATCTAGGGAACGGGAAGAGCGCACGGTTTTTGCTGCTAATCTCTGACACCACTCTCACCCTCATCACGAACATCACCATGGTAGTAAGTTGGACGTATCTGATTTTTTTTTGTTTGTTTTTCATTTAATCAATTAAAAGGCAAAAATATAACTCAACAAAAACCTTGGATTGTACTAGAAGCGCGTCAAAATCACTTTACTTCCGCACCAAGACAGTGACTAAAATTCAGGCCAGCATAGTAACTACAACACTGATATTGTTACTCTATCTAAAAATACAATATATCAGCTGTTTTCCGCTTGCTGTCACATGATTGCCAAACATTAACTCACAAAGACAACATAGCATATACCTGCGGCACTGAAAAAGCTTCATGAAATGTGTCTTTTGTCTGTTAAAAGTTAAAAGTTTCACCCACAGCTCGCTGATTACAACCTCCAAATTGTTTCACACCAAGCTTCATTTACCATTTCAATAAGTTTTCTTTTTCTTCTGAGAAAAACACAAAATCAGCTTCAAGTGAAAAAGATAAGATGGATCACAAGTTTTGTAACCTCAGGGCAGGGGGACTCCAGCAACCCAAGGGACACAGAGGGAGTTGGAGAGAAAGTCTCGATGTTCACACTTCAAAAATTGTCCTTTACTGCAGATTTAAATTCTTGAGTAAAATTAAGTTATCATCTAGCTTTAGTTTTACCCAAGCCTCCCTCTGAAGCACAGGCTGAGTACAAACCTTTGTCCTCAAACAGCAGAGAGATTTTGTGGCTTTGCAGGGAGCAAAAATTCCATGAAAATGTGTTGTGCCTACCTGAAACCATCTCCAACGGTGACGATCTCCACCTCGCTGTCTGTTGAGGTGACATTAATCTCTTCGCTCGCAGGGACAGCAGGAGCCGGAGCTGGAGTCGCTTCGATCACTACCACATCCTCATCCAGGGCACCTGAGCACAACAAGTCAGTATTAGCACAGAAAGACACCACAACATCAGACCAGAGCAAAAAAGTCCATTTGCTCTGTTAAAACTTTTTGAAATTAAAATAAAGGATAATGAAGTTTGACTAATAAACAGTAAGACCTGTTTGTGTTTTTAATGAAAAAAAAAACATGGCTTCACATGTCACACCTCTTACATCAAAAGTCTATATTATTCCTGTTACTCAAGTTTACCTTCTCTTTTCTCACATTTGCAATAAAAATCTGTGCTACTTGTGTTACAATTTCTCATCCTAAAACTAAGCAAGATGTGTTAGTGCCCTGAGTTCTCCAGTTTTATCATGCTGAGAGGACAGTCATCAGGCCAACAGTTGAGTAAAATAGCATCAGAGCCTGATGAGGTGTGGTCACTAAGAGAGGATGAATGTCATGTAAGACCAGAATGAACATAAGAGTTCATTTCAGCAAAGACTGAATATGCAGAATACTTATTTTCATTAAACTGGGGTTCACTCTTTTCTAGAAGCAAATATGGAAACAACAAAATTAACCCCAAAGTGGAGCAACATTTACACACTCAAGCATCTTATCACCTATTTCTCTACATGCCTTCTTGAACCTCAATTGTATTTAAAGACAGAAATAATAAATTTTTGTTGCCTTGAATTGTCTTTGTCTTTGTGTTTATGACTCAAACAGACCATGCGCTCACATATTCCTCTCATGGCACGTTAACACACTCACGTCACACACAAGTGGAACAGTTAAGCATGTGCACTAAGTCTTAAACTATCTCAAACGAACTTGAGACAAAGACATCACACTCATCCTTGGCAGTGCCTGCCCGGGTTGTATGAGTGATGTGCTTTTTAAAGCTGAACACATTTATATATAAGAATAAAGTCCTCTATTACATCTGCTGCCGAGAATCTCATGGGACAGCTTGACTGTCATTGTCATTGTCATACAGCTGCACAACTGACTGACAAAACCTCGTCTTAGCTTAATGGCATAGTCTTTTTTTAAGGATGCATTATCAAACAGTAGGATGACATTGACATTCACACAACTGAGTTTAATAACCCGCCTGTTGTGCTGCATTCCTCAGGTGAAACCCAGAATACATCTTTATTCTAGTCCCATTTAGAGGTGAACATAACATAAAACCATATACAGAGAAGGTCTTTTCCCCCTTCAAGATTATTTCACTCATGTCAACATGATTGTTTCTAACTTTGGGCAGCAGTAGCTCAGGAGGGTGAGAGCGGGCGTCCAACAACTGGAAGGCTGATGGTTCAATTCCTGCCTTATCCTTCCTCTGTTCGTTGAGACTTGCCCACCTTGCTCCCACTGTGTGTGTGTCCTCCACTGGTGTATGATTGTGAGTGATGTTTGGTGGTGGTCGGAAAGGCCATTGCAGCTTGGCGGCCACGTTTCCGTCAGTCTACTAAGGTAGTTTACCACCACCAGGGTGTGACTGTGTGAGCGAATGAATGATGTATCTAATGTAAAGCACTTTGAGGGTCTCTGATAAAGGGCAACATAAATCTAATGCATTATTATTATGATATTATTGTTAATTGCTGTCACCCTAAATTTATTGCTGATCTTTTAAGGAAGAGCTGCAAAGTTATACATCTGGTTTATGAACCAAAGTTTTCTTCATCATACTTTTGTTTAAAGATTATATTACATATTACAGTTATCATTGCAAACACAAACTTTTTCATTGATATCAAAGGGCTCAACATTTTGAGGGAAGGGTCTTTTCAGATTTGCAGGTACAATGAAAGTGTTCGATATACTCATCAACAGTTATAATTACACTGAACTGGAGCCTGAAAACCGTCAGAAACATCTCAAAGAAGGTCACTGCTGAATTAAACATGTGAATGACCTGCAAAACCACACTCTTTAATGCTGAGGAAGTGTACCCTTTGTTTTTTCTTTTCTTTTTGCTCATCACTTAGTGACCTGCTATGGTAGGAAGGTTAATAACTCCCCAGTGTGATTTCCTTTTCAATTGCCTCTTGAGAACTGCTGCTTAGCACCCTGTGCATGTAGCTGCTTGGCTTTCCGCTGAAACCTTCATGTGGTTACACAAACAACCGTAACCGTTGTTTGGCGTATATATTAAGAGAGCAGCACCTATCAATGCTGATATGAGCACGGCTATATCACCATGATTAGAGTCCTTTATGCCGAGTTTAAAGACTCGGATCCAGTGGGAGGTATGAGCACTGAGCAGTGAATTTTAACTGTGACATTAGCCAGATCTTCACTTCAGGGATTGTGTTGAGTTCAATTCCACTGTAAAACAACCTTAGTATGACCTGGATTCAAGGGATTTTAGATACTGTTCCTCCAAATTCATTATCATCTGTCGGATCAAACTGTATCCTGGCTACACCACACACCTGCTCTGACTCAGGGCATCTAGAACACAGGTTTCATCACCCGCTTTCCCCAGCTGTAAACAAATGTCTTGTTTTCCCTCTGAGACGTTCGGTTTCTATGCAAAGGATGCAACTCCACAGTGTCCAAGTTTTCTTCCACATGCATCTCACCACAGAGACATCAACAACTAACTTTCCATTCTCCCCACAGACCCCAGCAGCAGAAGACACTGCAGAGGCTAAACGGCTACATGAAGCGAGGTATAGGGGAAGCTTTGTTCACTAAAACACAGATTTCATTTACATGGAGGCTTACAGTCTGATTGTGATCCCTCTGATGGGTGAAAATATTACCTTCAGGGAGAGGAGATTTTTGAGTTCTGTTAAACTAGTTTCCTCATTTCTCTACCATCTTCTCCTCTGTTCATTGTCATGGCGTTGCCAAACAGGAAGAAAGTGAAGCTATGGGCTGACAATTAGCTACAACTCTTTATCTTTCAAGGTTTTGTTTGTTATCATTCCTCAAGTTCTTGGGTGAGTGAGCTGAGGTGGAAAAGAAATCATCAGATGGGGGTGAAAGCTTGTTTGAATCAAGTTTGGAGATTTTGTTCGGTAGAGTGTAGCTAATTTATTCAGAACATAAACACCTGTCACACCGCTGATCTGACTGAATATATAGAGGCTATGAGCCGTCATGTGCAATGGAAGTCTAGAGTGCTTTATGTTTTCACAATGGCTGAACATTACACAAGGTAGGTCCTCTACTTACTTTCCCCTCTTTGACTGAAAGCTAGACAGAAATTACTTGATGTGGAATAAAAACATGTCGACTCTTGATCCTGCTCCAGTAATCACACAGTGAGTAAGGGCATTTTTGAACATCACACCTACTGTAGATCCAATTTCTCTGCAATCGTAAGTTAACTGGGACAGCTTTACAGTTCAAGAGCTGAATAACGTCTCTCATTATGTCTCACATGCACAAAAGTGACCCTTTAGAACAACACAAAATGATCAGGTAACCAGCATCAGCCATTTTTGTTTTTCTGTCCCACTTTTTCAGCGCACATTTATTCACATGGCATCAATGTTCTCCAATTAAAATATGTTAATTCACTCTGAATTGGAGATTTTCTGCAGAATCAGAGATCTCAGTGACATTATTTCCATACCCTGTTAAAAGTGTGATGAGGACTCTCTTTACCTTCTTCTGATGAACTGCACAAAAATGTCAGTCGCGTTAATATGGAAACGTTGATGTACCATGACTCCTGTTAATATCCATTAAAAGCCACATTAATCCTATAACTGGTGTAAAAAAAATTCAGCTCAAAAAAACTAATAAATCAACCTGATTAACTGACTGTTTATCAATGAAATAGATAAGCATAATGCCCGACTGCATAGACCTCATACTATATGATGATGTGGCCAAGATAACAGAGCATTCAAGTGTGGATACAGACATAGTAAAGAAAAATCTAAACAGAGTGGTGGTTTGTAATTACCTGTGGCAACAGTAGCACTGTTGGGCTGGCTGCTGGTGCTGCTGACATCTACATACAGCTCATCTTCTGCCTCGGTAGAGGAGTGGGAGGACGAGTCACTACTCAGCTCCTCGCTGGAACTACTGGTGCTATGGAGCAAAGCGTACTTCCTACGTGCGATAACTTCACGTTTCTTCCTCTGCAGTAGTAGTCGCTCCTTTTGCTTTTGAGTCCGCTGACCCCCTCCAGGAGCTGTTTTCACAAAGCGTTTCCTATGCAGAGGCCGCCGGCTGCTCAGACATTGCCTCTTTAGCAGGACTGGTTCGGCCTCAGAACGTACCCACTTATGGGAACGATTCCCCCGAGTTCGGCCCAGAACAGGACGTAGACCAACTCCAGTAGCTCCTCCTGTTGTCAGGGCAGTGGCCTTGTGCTGGCCTCCTGTTGCTCCAGCCTCCCCCTCATCCTCTGAGCTAAGAGTGTCCGAGTCACCAAATCGCAAGCTAGATGATGGGGAGGAAGCACAGTCACTAAAAGATGACTCATGATTGTGTTCGTCCTCACTTGGGTGTTGTAAAAGTTCTACCCGGGGACGCTGGGGGGCCAGTGAGCTTTCACTAATATGGCCCTCTTTAAGTGAGCAGTCTGAAGGCCCTGCCTGTTGGCCCTTTCGTTTCCTGCGTCCAGGAAGGCTCCGTTCTGAGTCTCTGTGTGTTCCTGTATCCCTCAGAGGCAGATGCTGAGACTCACATAGGGTTTCAAATTCACTGCCTGCCTTCCCAATCATCTCCATGTTGTTGGAGAAGCTCTTGGCTGCCTCCATGGGCTCAGGGTTCACCAGTGGCTCCTTCAGATGCTCCTGTCTGCTGGGGGCCTCAGATGGCACCTCACTCTTCATGGCGGCAGGTTTGTCCTCACAGGGCAAACACGGTGTGCATTTGCATTAAATCCTAAGAGTGTATCAGCTGCATCTCACAAAACCTAAATAAAAGACGAAAAGAAAGAGTTAACCACCACAATAAATCACAGACAAGGACAGAAATATGTTATCAGATACAGATTTGAGTCTTTCCAAGCATAATGTAAAAAATAAAAGACAGAAAAGTGTCAAGATGTAAATGTGGACGTGACCAAAGAGGTGTGAATACAGACTGTTTTAGCATATCTATGAAATTAGAGATCTGTGATGAATTAGCCTAATAGATTCAGGGTGAGTCACTATTGACCCAATTACATAGTCCTGGTTAGTTCAGGCAGCTCCATTAAAGGGACTATGTGTGGGACTTGTTTGGTACAGAGTACATGGCTAAATAGCTGCTTCATTGTGTTATAGTTCCCACTATGTTTCTGTACTTGACTGTCCAACAGCCTTTTAGGAATATTGATTCGAAGTGCATAACCGATATCTTTTTAAATAGTTATATATGAACAATAAATCTGTCATGGATTTTTACAGATGTTACTGTTGCATTTTTTAAGGAAACTCAACAGCACAAAAAAAATAAATGATATGCTCATAACAACACATCATGGTCTTACATTTTGAGCAATACATTCACTTACAACAATCATTCTGTTTGTGCGTACAAAGACAGAACATAAATACCCACAGGCTGAGTCAAAAGTAAAGGCTGAGTCAGTATTTCAGTGTTTTGTTTACAGTCGATTACAGACATCACATGAATCAGGATAAATAAAGGTGCGTTATCCACCATGAATGTGATTCATTTTTGGGTTAAGACTTTGACAGACTTTGGTTCATATCAGTGAGCACCAACAATCACTATCACGAGACACAGCGACTCTTTAGAGGGAACATTTTCACGACTGTGTAAGGTCTCCTAGAGCAACACCAAATTCCAGCAATGACAAAATGAAGGCCACTTCCCTAAACGCTTTGAAAAAGTTTGTATCGGCCTTGCTTCTTGTGTTTTTTCAGAAGACACATGGCTTACTTCACTTTCTGCCAAATCCAAGTAATGTGGGATTGAAATTCTGGTGCACCAGCATAAACAAAACGATGAAAATACTCTGTGTGCCCTAAGCTGTAAATAACACTGGAGGGAACATTTACAACAATAAATCAACTCCTATCTATACCTGACAGGGGATTTATTTAAATATGTGCTTTTAAAGAGGTACACACCGCACCCCTCCTTAATTACACAGAGATGTTAACTTGATTTTTTCAACTTTGATCCCCAAATCTCTAACAGGGTGGTATCATTGTATCATTGCTAAGATACTGTGATATTTCTGTATGTGAGTAAATGAATTCAGCACTTTAATAGCTTCATGTACAGCACATAATGTATCAAGATTACAGGCGCAAACAGTACCCTAAGGATTGTTAACAGACCAGATTGGTTTATAATGACTTTCCTACTCAAAGATTCTTTGATGTGGCCAGGTACCACTTCTGCTGGTCACTTTGATCATCCTTTATTTGTATTTTAAGCAAAAACACTGGTTCTGCATTTGCACGTTTTTGAAGTCGAAGCAGCAGCACATTTGATCACTCATACTTGAGTTTTCTTTGTAGAATGATTCCTCTTACTGCAGATCCCTTAGTGTCGTTTATCTCAAAGGGTGTTCCATATCTGCAGTGACATTCGGTAACAAACTGTGCTCTCCAGAAAATAATCACAGAGCATTACAGACAGTGTGAAAAAAAAAAATCACACAAGTGCAGGTTTATGGACTATATGCATGTGGTGATATCGCCCACAGCAGCGAGCCTGCCACACTTCTTGATATGATGTAATCTGAAAACAAAAATCTTGAAGCTACTACACTGGTAGACGATTTAGGAACATACTGTACTGACCCTCCATATGTGGCCGTCTTGGAGTACAAGTGATGTACTTCAAGATAAGAAAACAAAACCAATTATTTACCTACCCAACACACACGAGTGAATAACTCACAGTTTTCAAAAAATCTGTATGTTTTGCTTCGAGAAACACAACAACAACAAAGTCTGTCAGTATCCCTGTGTAATTTCATGTAACTAAACATCTCGTGGTTAAAATCTTAACACCCAAATCCAGCATTGAAGCGATTTATCCCTTTTGTGGGTCCACAGTTGTAATGAAATGCAACACTCAAAAAGATTTTCCACAAACTAACACAGACCCACAACCTTCATTGCTCATTTGCACCTCTCCTGCAGTGTATCAGTAATAATGTAACACAACAACATTCCTGGTGATAGTTGCTGCAGGGTGATGGTACAAGACTGCATTAAACTGTACAGGTGTCCATGATGTTCATGTCTACCTCACTGCATTAAGTATCCTGTGAAAGTAATTAGATTTTATTATCCATTCTCATCTCATTATGCCACAGCATGCAGGATGGTCAATTGACCTAAACCTGATGAAGATGCCAGGGGATGTTATCTTCAGGGACCAGGTGACATGTGAATGCTGTGAACTCATCATAGACAGCTAGCACTTCGTTTCTGCTTCTTTGTACAATTCACTAATAAGTCCAAGTCCTTACGATGGCACAAAGAAAGCTGCGCAATGACATGCATGAATCCAGGGGCCTCAGAGGACAGCTCTAATAGGGGATATCTAATGCATCAAGGCTGAACAAAACTAAATTCACATTAGGAGGAACAAATAACCTTAACTATCACAACAGAAAGGGTGTTATCATGCAAAGCAGAGGAAGATAAATATGCTGTCACAATAATGACATCGGTACGACAGAAACAGGACTACTGGGCTGCTGCTAACAGTGCTATATGTCTGTGAAACGACCATCGAGCTGTGAAAATAAGCCATCATAAACAGAGCTTTCTTTGGTTATTATGCAGCTTGACAGCACCAAGCCTGAAACTGAGGCTTAGCATAATTTCTGCAACGATTAGCAATTACAATACAACTGCTGCTGTCTGCCTCTGTCCCACAAACGCTGGTGGAGTGACTAAGGCCAAAGAAAGTCGTGTTATGAAGCGTGGATGATCTGAATACACCTCACAAAACATGTGTAACTTCTCTCAAGATTATCGTGAAAACAATACAGCGGATACCAAAGTAGACAGCTAGCCGCCTAGCCTGGCATAGAAGACAACAAAGACGAGTCATACCTGCGTTTAAGTCCTTTTTTCGAAATGTGTCACCGTCCTTTCTGTATCATGTGAGATTGAATCCTGTGGAAAATAGTGACAAGCGATGAAAACTGTCAGTTTTCTCTATGTTAAGCCCTACTGCAACTTGGTAGGCCTGCATAGAAAACGCAATCCGAGGACGACGTTAGTAGCTGGGATTGTGATACTGTCAACAGAGTCCCGAGCTGATCCGAGAGGCAAGATCGAAGGCAGTGGGCCCAGGACGGCTAAGAGCTAAGCTAACATAAAGGCTAGCTCCGCTTCACTCATCAAAAACACGATTATACATGAACATTTTGACCCGTAAACGAATCCTAGTGATTCTTTAGTAATACCGCGTCCTCTCTATGATGTTTCTTTTTGTCAAAATAGAAATGTCTCACTATAAGCCCTCGACGAAGATGCCATTCCAGCCTTTCGAGGCATCCACTCTTGTTTACCCAGCAGGTCGTCTGTTCGCCAGCTACAACACTGTAATGTCTCTCACCGCCGAGCGGGGGCGCCAAACCTACCATCATATACTTTACGACAGTTTGCGACAGTTGTTAAAATCTCTATCACATTTCAACCTAGACTTTTTAAAAACATCAACTAAATACTTGTTTTGTCCCGTTCAATTTCTAGGGAAGAAACTATGAGGTTTAACGTGACTTAAGACCTGTACACTGTATTAATACAATATTTGTTTTCAAGTATTGTTTTTCTAAATAATCTTACAAAATACCAGAGCACACCCTAGTGGTTGTAGACAAGAAGAAAAATGACATTAAAATGTAGAGTCGAAGCATACTTGCTGCGTCCGAACTGCCCGCTCGGATACTACATGCTACTGCTACGTGCTACTGCTAGATCCTACTCCTACATACTAAAAACGTTGGCCCAATTCGGACACACTAGACGAGCGGTGGGGAAAGACGACCCCCGCAGGCAGAGAGTAGGTACTGCGCCCGTGCAGTCAGTGGTAACTGAAGCCCCTCATCTGCGGGCCTGGCTGTAGTACTGCAGCTGTGCAGTTTAATGATGGAATAAGTGAGCTTTACCTCCATGATGTCGCCACTTGCTCATAAAATGATTACTTGGGCAAATATGACACCATGACATGACAAAGAGATACAACCGCACATTTTTTAGGACAGTGTGTGAAGTTACATGAAACTTACATCTGTACTGTCCCGCCTGCTGCTGCTGCTCCGACATGGTGCGCGCTGCTGTGGCCAGCCGGCGTTCGCGACACTTTTAAATAGGCAGAGCAGCTGGTGGCGCTAGCATCACATGCGCTTCTACAACTTTTAAGAGGACGAAGAAGAAGCCCGCGGTGCATTTTGGGTCAGTAGCATGCCCGTAGGATGCACCGCGACCAACCTACAATGTGGGCGTGTCTAGCATCTGAAGTAGTATCTGAAGTAGCATGCTACTCGCTCCGGTGGCCAATTCGGACATGCTAGATACTACTTCGACTACTACTTCGACTACTACTTGGCAATTCGGACGCAGCTACTGTCATCGTTGGAAAGCTTAGCATAGCAATAGCAATTGAATTTTGCAAATAAAAGGCAGGAAATTTACAATCTCAATATTTGATAGACAACCCATTTTCAAAATTACATCAACAATCGCTCTCGGTCATATTTGGAAAACATCAATCCTGCGATGCAAAAAGATATCCTTTGACTTGCAGCATGCACAACTAGGAACACCGGAATGATTAACAAAACTGCTGAAACAGCCATACCAGTGACCATTTAATCGTTAAAAAAACAAACAAAATTAACTATTTTCAAGGAAGTACGGGTGCAGAAAAGGCATGCAAAACTTTTAATTCTGCACGACACCACTTTGTAACACAATAACATCCACATTTAAAAGTAAGTTGTCGATAGATTGCTTTGATGGATAGTCTTTTCAAAACTGTAGGTGAAGAAAATAAACAACATTCAGCGTGTTGATTCCAACCATAGACTGTATATAGAATATTAGTATAAATATATAGTATATGTAAGTCTATGATTCCAACATACAGGCCTCATTTGAGTATGCTTTCAATCCAGTCAAAAGATTGTGAACACATGGGCAACCCAATGAACCACTGCAAGTTTTTCTTTTAAGAAGCTTCTACATTTTCATTTTAGTTGGCAGGTTGGATGGGCGATAAATGTTGTAATGGGTGTTGGTGATGTACAGAAGTGCATTACATTGAAAGGACCAGATGTAAGAAACACCAAGTGAATACGCTCAGTTTACTACCCATTGCACCTTCATTAACAACTCAGCCACATTAAATACATGTCTGAGTAGTTCAATAAAAACTGGGAAAAAGATAAAGCTTCTTAAAGTCGAATCTTATGTGGAGCTGCTGCGTTGGATTTCATTAGACCGCCCGCTTTAGCGTAGTGCCATGGCTGGAGTAACCCAACCAAAAACAGCAGTGACAAGCTGAACCATACTGTTATACTCTCGGATGGTAAGTCATGTGAGTAGAAGGAAAAAATCTCAAACAAGATGTGTATTCTCAAAAATGAGGAGAAAATTTAAAAGGCCACAATCAAATAAGACAAAAAATGTCAATTAATTAAATGCTTTGCAAAAATATCCCCTGCAGAGGAAGAAAATCAATCCTCACAGCCTCACAGAGTTCAGGTGTGTCCACTCTCACCTGCAGACAGTCTTAGTGAGAGAAGCTGCAGCAATCACAAAAGGAAAACAGATCTGAAACCAGAATTCCAGAAGGACAAAAAAATACACACATCCCATATTAAAGTATAGTAGTACAATTTGTGCTTCAAACCAATAATGCTTGGGTGCTAGAGGAATGTGCATCTTCCTTTAGCTTTAGCAATAATTGGTGAGGACTCCATGGCCTCATAACACATACACCATGGCGCACTCTGCGAAAAAAGGGCCTGAGTATCCATCAAAAAAAGCTGTATGTACAGTAGGCTTCTAAAAAGTTAAGGGAGGACGAGGCCAGCTAAAGAAGAAAGACTCTTTGTGAAACTGAGAGATTTCTAGTGCAGCATTGAATCAATAGATCCAAACATATTGACATTATGTGCCTTGTTCTTCCTTTCAAAATGCATAGTTTGAACCTGGAAATTCGTGATCCACCTCTAAACAGAAAGGAATAGGTATTTGGATTAAGAAATTAGTTGTTATTACCAGATGTTTTATCAGTCTTAGGTGGCAAGTTTTCTGTTCTACACTGCAGTCTGCTGGGGAGGAAGCATCAAACACAAAGATGCAAGACATCTTAACAAACTGGTGAAAAAGGCTGGCTCTGTGGTTGGACTCAAGCTGGACTCAGTGGAGGATGTGGTGGAGAGATCTACATTGAGGAAGGTCAGACTAGTCTTACGAACATGGATCACCCTCTTCACGACACCCTGATGGACCAAAGGGCCAATGGTGGTGGACGGCTCCTCTCTCTTCGCTGCAGGACAGAAAGATTCAGAAGATCTTTTGTACCAACAGCCATCAGAGTTTATAACTCTTGTGTAAGTAGTAGATAACTTTTTGATACATATTATGTGAGAGTTATTGTTATTCTTGCTGTGACTTCCTGTAGTGCTTCTCCAGTCCACTGGGCGGCGTAGAAGCACGGATGGCATCATTTTGTTTATATCGAAGAAGACATTGACCAGTCAATCTGCGCGCGCATGTTTCGGTAATCTTGAGGTAAAATGGCGACGGGTGCCATTTCCATGGAGCCCAAGAAAATATCAGAATTAAGAGTGGTGGATTTGAAATCCGAGCTGAAAAGAAGAAGTTTGGACACCTCTGGCATTAAGAGCGTCCTCGTGACAAGACTGAAACAGGTAACCAAACAATAAGCGAATCCGCGCGGAAGTGAACGTAAACAGAGCTTTGAACTGCGATGCAGCGACGCTAAAGCTAACATTAGCCTCAGCGACGCGACACCCGAGCCTGGAGAGGTTCAGATAGACCGAAACTATTCTCATAATCGACGGCTTCTCTAAGCTGCCTAATATATTACCGCATGTCAGAAAGGTCAGAGGAATAATGCACATTTAACCGAGCGACATTCAAGCTTTCAGTCTTGATGTTATCCGGACTCTAACTCATTGCGCGTTATTGACTCCAGCTGTTACGATCGCAGTGACTTGTTGTACCATTATCGTAAATTTACGTCCACTGAGGAGATGCAAATGCAACCGTGAAATTTCTTATCAAGCGTCTGTATATGCCTGTTATTGTCTTAAATTGATCGATGCCTTTCATTATGATGATGATGTTTGTGTGGTTTATCTTTGAGAGGATGACCTGACTATGTTGGGATCACCTACAAAAAAGACAAATTGCTTGGTCTTGATAAAGCAAAATGCCCCACAATTTTGCTTTTAAACTTCTACTTGTAATTAGCACATTAGAGTCAAAATAAACCACATCATATCTTGACTGTGACAGCATGATGATTGTCTGAAAATCTCCCTTTGACCTTAACCTGTTGAAACTGTCGGTTCTCATTAATTTATTTTGATTTTGAAGGCGATTGAAGATGAAGGTGGTGACCCAGAAAACATTCAAACCCAGTCCTCACCTGACGCAGCATCCCGAAAAAGTGGGAAAGCCAAAGGTAATCCTTCAATTCAGTGTAGAAATGAGAGAGGCCGGTTTAGTCTGCTGTCCTTTTTTACATTTGTTTTATTTTCTGTGACTTCCAGTGAGAAAAGTGGATTCGGACACGGACATCCCAGGGGAGGACGATATGTTTTCCAAGGTGAAGTTTGCATTCATATCAGTAAATTGAGTGTCATCCTGATGGTCACCTGAGAGCGATCCTCATTGTTTGTGCACGAGCACTCTTGAATTTGCTTAAATACTTGGTAAAGTTAGAGGAAGCCACACTGACATCGGTTCTGACTATGGAAACTAATGATAACTAATATTGACAAAGACTGTAACCGTTAAACCAAGACTTGTTTGTCGAACATGCAAAATCAACTTGCCAGCGCTGTACAAATAGAACCTGCTTTTGCTTCTGCGCCAACCTCTTTATTTCTTTTTCAGGAAAACGAAGACGATGAATCAGAAAAAGGTATGTATGTCGACCAACTAGTGCCCAGTGTTAACATAAAGTCGTTCCCTCTCTACAGTTTAAATATGTATTGACTAGACCACTAATATGTATAGCCTACATCCTTTGGTATTTTATGACTTATTAGCAAGTACAGTATTGAGGTCACAGTGTGCCAAAAGGAGCACCAAGGACGTGTTTGATCAGGGAATTTCTGATGAGAGACTCGTTTTTTTTTTTTTGTTGTTGTTGTTATCTGTGTATACATGGATCATGGGGCATGGGTTTGCCATGTCTCCGGTAACACAACACCTTGAATAATTGAGAATATTAAGTGGAAAGTTTTGTTTACTTCAGTTGATTTCTGCTTCCTCTGGCAATCACCATCCTAAACACCTCCCGGGAAACAAAGAGTGAAGATTCTCAAAATATCTCACAATGTATCACCCAATGAATCGAAGGAACCGTGTCTAACAGAGGATCGTTGCACTTCCCTGCAGAAATTTGAATTGATAGCATTGGTGGACAAACCACTGGCAAGTGCACATGGCCTCTGTGAACACTTGAGTCCCTTTACCACAGGAAAAGGGAATCTCAATACAAGTCTCAAGTGAGACGCTCTGATTTGGGAAGCTCAAGGGCAGCCGGACTCTGCAAAACTGTTTAGAGATGAGGAGACCTTGTGTCTAGAGGCAAGTGAAAGATCAAAAGACTCAATTCATCACAAACATCCATCCAAACCCCAAGCATCTCCGCCAGCTTTCTGCAGCCCCCAGAATGATGTGTGCCGTGAAGAGCTTTGACTCAAAGCACTGCCGTGGACTGGCAAAGACAGACTATTGTGATCTCAGGCACACCTTTGTTGTGTGCAGTTGACTGGACACACTGTGGCATATTGGACTGTGTGATGAATAGTCTTCTGATGTCTACCATCGAGACATAGGTGATTTTGGTTATTGAAGAATCACTGGATGATATTGAAGATGGCCAATAACTCAAGACATTTCACACTCTGCCGAATGGGAGGAAAACAAGGATGAACTGCTCAGTTATTCCTCCTCGTTTGAACTTTGTCCCAACTTTCCCATCTGAAGAAGCGCCATGTGATGCAAGAAGAAATGATAGTTGCCTGCTCTGTATGAGTAATAAATGAAGAACTTGTGTCAGGAGATGAAGAGCACAGATTCATCCTCAGTTTTCACTGAAGATTGTGTGTTTGTGTCTTCCTGTGGTGTCAGCGCCCTTGATGACCATTAACACTAAATTTGCTTTCTATTCTACTTTATAGGTCCAGCCATGTCGATGTTAAAAGTTGTGTTTTGCCATGTTTATCCTTATTAAATCCCTCAGATGTAACTGATACAGATGATGGTACTCGTGAAAATTCTAAGCCTGCACCCTGTGAGGACAGCCTCTCTCAGCCTGAGCCTGAGGCTGAGGTTGAGGCTGAGGCCGAACCCGAGTCAGAGGCTGTGGCGGCTGAGGCTGAGGCTGATTCGGAGCCTGAGCCAGATGGGAATGCCGAAGCCGAGCCAGAGGTTGATGCCGAGCCAGAGGGGGATGAGGATGCCGACCCAGAGATGGATGGGGGTGCTGAGCCTGAGGGGGAGGCTGAGGCGGAGGTAGACACCGAGCCAGAGATGGAGGCTGAGCTGGCTGAGATGAACGCTGAAGCGATGAATTCTGCTAAAGAGGCTGAGGACGATCACCTCTCCGTCTCCATCCAAAATGAAGATGCCATCACCCTAGATGTTGATGGGGACGATCTCCTGGAAACAGGTAAACATGTGAAACTTCCAGATCCAGATGCCGAGAAGGGCACTGATGAGCCAGAGGCCTCTGCTGAGACGGGCCCTGATGATGACACGAAGGGGGAAGAGATGGAGGGCCACAAAGATGGTAAGAGGGATGACGGATCCAGGTGCGAGCCCACGAAGAAAGACAGCAGAGAGGCCTTGAAGAAAGCTGAAACGGGAGATAAAGAAAAGGATTCTGGGAAGAAAGGCCCCTCCACTACTGGGGCATCAGGTCAAGCAAAGAGGTTTGTCTTTCTATGTCAGTCTTTTTGATACTACTACCAAGTCCAACTCACTAAGAACCAGCATTGTGGGTAGCCTCAAGAATTTTTTTTTTTTTTTTTGCCATAAGGGAATTGTTCACAGATGTACCTAATCCTGCCATTTACTTCTTTGATTTGTTTTTCTGAAGTTGGTTAAATTGTGAAATTAACCAGACGAAGCCGAGCAAACACCTCTTATTTGTTACTTTGACCTTCCCAGCAGTTTTAAAGCTGTTTCCTGTCTCTACACAAGCCATTGTTAAAGGGCAATAGTACCCAAGGTTGCAGTGATTTTTTTTTTCCTTTTCGGCCAAACAATTTGCTGTGAAGTTGAGCAAACCTCTGAAGATTTCATTGGTCCAGGGAGTAAATTGGCTGACAACTTGACCCATCTCACCACTGGAAAAGCAATGAAGCCTTTGAGATATTGGTTCTGCGCCTTGCCCAAAGGACTTTTTTTGTGCGAAGAGCAAATAATATGATGTTTTGATTCCAGTAAATGACTGTGTGTCACTTAAAACCAAGGCTCTCTTTACCTTTACTCATTTCCTCTGTCTGTTGTTACAACATTTGCTTTATAGCTCCTCAAGAGACAGGGATGGAAAACCAGCAAAGGAGAATTTGGGTAAGACTGAATGATGAATGATTTTACATTCAAACAACAGGGGAACTGCTTTGTCATACCATTTCAACTCCTGAATATTGTCATGTGCCCGGTGGTTATTCAACATTTCTTGGAAATCATCTTCTCCAGGTGTCGTCAGCAGTAGCAGCAGCAACAACAGCTCCTCTCGTAACATATGGGTGAGCGGCCTGTCCTCAAACACCAAAGCAGCTGATCTAAAGAACCTTTTTGGAAAATATGGGAAGGTAAATAAGATGTTTGTGGAATAAGTTGATCCTATTTTATACCGGGAGGAAACTTCGTACACTTATAATCTGTTGAGTAGAAAACTGTAAAGCCAATTCTTTTGAAAACAGGTTTTAAGTGCCAAGGTGGTCACAAATGCTCGCAGCCCTGGTTCAAAGTGTTATGGCTTGGTGACGATGTCTTCAAGCACAGAAGTGGCTCGGTGCATCTCACATCTCGACTGCACAGAGCTTCACGGACAGCAGATTTTTGTTGAAAGGGTAGGTTAGCAAACCGATGGGGAGTCAAAACATTGAAACAATCTTTGCTGTTTGTATACTGCCCTAAATAAACGGAGCAGATTTGTGTCATTTAGATATCTCTCCATCTGTGTTTCAGGCTAAAAATGATCCTTTCAAAAAAGAGGGGCCCAAGAATGAAGCAGAGGACAAAGGAGGCTCCAGCAAATCAAGTGATAAACGAACTTCCACAGGGATGAAATCAACCAACAAGTGGGTGAAAGAAACCAATGAAAATATGAACCATTTTTAGATTGAAAGCACATGTAACCCATTTCTTCCTCTCCATGTGTAGAGCACAGACATCTTCCAAAAAAGAAGACAAGAAATTAGATAAAGCTTCAGAGAAGGACAAAGATGCATCCAAGAAACAGGAGGCCAAAAGTGGAAAATCAGATTCTGTTTCTTCTAATTCAGGACCAGATTCAAAGAAGGATGACAGAAAGCATGGGAGTAAGTTTTTACCCAGTTTGATCCTGAATTTTTAATGGTCTGTTGTATTTCACAGTGTCTGTTCGGTAGATATTCACTGAACTTTTTATTTCCAGGGACCAAGAGTCCAGGCAGGATGATGGTGCCACATTATGCTAAAGGAGAGTCTAACTTTAACAAAATGAGACCTTTCAGAAAGGGAAGGTATTTTGATAAAGTAAGACCTTTATTTGTATTCTGTTTTCTGATTTGATTCAAAATAATCTGTTGAACATATTTTATTTTAAGTGCGATTGTATATGTTCCTTTTTTTCAGCCTTTTATGAACATGAATGTCCAAAGGAAGCCAAAATGGTTGATCCCTCCAGAAGAGGTACGAAACTTTGATACCAAGTGTTTGTGTTTAATATTTTTGATACCGTGAGCCTTTTCTAACCCTTTATTTTGTTTTTGACTCTTAGTTTAAGATGATGAAAGAGAGACAGCGGCCTTTCATAAACAAAGGGGAAGACATTTTGCCTTTTGAGAAGATGAAGGAGCAGCGAATGCGTGAACGGATGGCTCGTGCAGAGCGTGTTCGTCGGGCGGTGGAGTTGCGCAGGTTGTTTTCAGCAGTTGATAGTCAAAACACATTTCATCAAAATATGTTTCGATGCTTTTATTGTTTAGTGATCCTCCGGTTTTAAGCTAAAGGTGTGTTTGGTTTTTAGGCGCCGTGAAATTGCTGAACGAGAACGCAGGGAGCGTGAACGTGTCCGGCTTTTGCGAGAACACGAAGAACGGGAAAATCTGCTCCGGGAGCGCCAGAGACTGGAAATGGAGAGACAAAAACTGGAGAGAGAGCGCCTTGAGAGGGAAAGACTTGAGAGAGAGAGAATTCGTATAGAACAGGTAGAAAGATAACCTCATTTTCACATTAAAGGCTCGAGTCCATCTGATCTATAACTTCATCAAATATGTAACTAAGGATTTTTGTCATGAAACTGTCACAAGCAAGCTCAGTCAGTCATGAAGAGATTTTTATTTGCATTTATTTCTTCATGAGAGGATAGTAGAAATTGCATTTCAGGTGTCTAAGATACACATATTAATTGGTGAATTGGAATATTCTCTCTTTGAGGAACGACGCAAAGAGGCTGAGCGAATGGCACGTGAACGCGAGGAGCTGAGGAGGCAGCAGGAGCAGCTCCGGTGTGAGCAAGAAAAGAGAAACAATCTCAAAAGAGGCCGTGAAGTGGACCACAGGTTGGTACACTTTTCCGTACATTCCCCTCAGAAGTTTGACGAAGGTTAAACTTAGTGGACTTTTGAGGAATAGATTCACAAGCTCTTTTTAAAAAAAAAAAAAAAATCATAGTATTGACTATATCCCGAGGATTGAAGTGTGGTTTTCTGTGCTCATATCTCATGAGGTTTATCTATATCTTACGTTTTAGTCGGCGAGAGGAACCTTATTGGAACGGCAACAAGAAGATGCAGTCAGACTCTGAAGTTCGTTTAAACCAGGGGTCAAACTTCAACCGACAGCAGAACCGCTTTTCAAACTTCACTCCTCGAGAGCGGGGTCGCTTCCCAGAAGCTGGTGCTGAGCAGCCAAACACATATGACCGGTTGGTAAAATCAGGATTCCTTGTTCACTTCAAGTAACACATCCAGGTTGAGACCAGTGTTTAAGACGTATTAACACCTAATGTTAGGGTTGTACATTTGTATTGTACTTTTGTCAACTGTACTCATGTTTGTCCTTGGCCTTATTCAGCTGGCTATTTTAGCTTATGATGTGACCTACTCTGTTTTTTGTTTTGTCCAGACGTAACCGGTTCGATGGTGAGCCAGAGGTCAAGAAAAGCCGCCCTGGACCTCATCGGGAGAGCTCCGGCTTTGATCGTTTCCCCAAGAACTTTGACACCGTTCGCAGAGCTGAACCCCACCCTCCACCACGTACAGCACTCCGAGACACCGACCGGAGGGAAAGAGACGAGAGGCGGCTTGTGCCTATGCATGATCGCCCAATGGGAGCAAGAGCTACAATGCCTGGCATGTCACACAATCGCTCACCGAGGGATGGAGGGCACGGATGGAAAAACGAGGGTGGGATGAACACTAACAAGGGAGATCTACGGTAAAAAAATAATCAAACTGCATTGCCACTTGACTGTTTTTTTTCCTTTTAAATAATCAAAAACTAATTCATGTTTTTGTTTCAAATCTTTCTTGGGTAGAGGACCCATGCGCATGCGTACAGATCGACCAGGCAGAGATGGTCCAGGCCCCTCACTTAGAGGAGGGTCCTCCAGCGGCCAAGGAAGAAGCAACTTCAATGACCGAGGTGGAGGGAGATCAATGGCGATGGGTGATCAGGTCTGTTAACCTCCTGACAAAGAGTCACAGTGCACTTAGAGATACCACGTGGTGTTTAGATAAAATAATGATTTAGCATTATGCTACCTGCAGATCCACTCAGTGATCTGCAAACCCAAATAAGGATCCTGCACCTTTAAAATGTTTTTAATAATATCGTCAGCTGACATGAACACAGTAAAACACATTATTTTCAGGAATCACAGCAACAGTTTTGACAAGTAAAGTTGCAAAAATGACCAAGCAGCTAGTCATCATTAGGACAGCCAGCTGCAATTTAGCCAAGCTGCAGGGGTCTGTGTTTTTATTTTGTCCTTTTAACAGAATTAGGTCTGTAGATACAATAGTCAAATGAGAAAGGCGGGGAAGGTGACTTTTTTTTTTAAGGTTGTGTTACAGTCTGTCCTGCATTACAACAACACAGTGTTGATGTGTGGCGCCAAATAAGTCATGCTAAAATATCTGAAATTTGTAGGATATTCATAAAAGGTATCCAGGAATTTGAGTTCGAATCTATTATTAGTCATTTATCAAACAAAATTAAAGTTTGAGGACAATGTGCTGAGTAATTGGAGTTTGTCACAAGCAGTATCTAAATCAAAACTAATTCTCTTGATGACTTTTTATATGTTAGATTACTTTTTCACAAAATTAGTAATGCTTTTCTAGAGTTAATAAAAGCTGCCACTGACTTAGAACCTCTCTTGTTTACAGCCGTTCAGCTCTGGTCGACAGGTGGTGGTGGAGCGTCACGGCAGGGAGCAGGGCCTGAGGAAGGATTGGCACAGTGGGTCCAGCTCCCAGGGTGGGGGCTACCCTGATAACCGCAGAATGGGAGACACCCGGGGCAGCATGATGTCTCCTTCCAGGTATGCATCTTCAGATGACTTCATCATTTGAATCCCTGTTTTGAGCTGTTTTACACTCTGGTGTCGTCCCTCTTTTCTGCAGTCATTCTTCATCCGGGCTGAACCGAATTGTACAGATCACCAACAACTCCATTCCCAGCAGTGGCAGCGTGGGCGGATTCAAGCCCTACAAAGGAGCACCACGGCAGTACTAACTGAAAACCAAATCCTGCCACTCAAAAGCACCTGAAAGTTTGAGGACTTTTTTCAACTTATTTTTAGAATATGGACTGTTTTAGGTGGTACGTTATTTTATTTTGTATAGAAAAGTCTTTACCTCAGTGTAGGGTTTTCCTGACAGTTTTGCTGTTACATTTAAACAACCTCCTGCACATGTTTTACTTTGTCTTTACAAAGATACTGTATAGACCCTTTGCCTTTGTAATAAGTTTTCAAGTGATGTTACCGATGTCTCCTCTGATTGGGTGTTGTATGTATATTTTCAATAGCGTAGTATCACACTCAGTTTACTGTGTAATGTTTTATTTTGGTGTATTATAGCTTTCCTAAAGTGTCGGGGATCATCACTTAGTTGGATGCTTCCCAGTGATGAAGTGGATGACGTAGGACTTGTTTTTGAGAGTCATTTGTTTTGATGTTTTTGTTTTGTAACTATGAGTGAAACCTACTTAAAGTCAAACTAAACATGCCTGTGTTGTAGCAAAATACCTCCCATCGACTATGAGTTGGATTGAATTAAACTTTGACTTAAGTATGTTGCTGCAGGATATTTAATGGTCTGGGGACTCTCAAAGGATCATAAAGTTGGTCTTTATATCCTCTTCTTACCATTCCTAGGATTCAAAGTTCCAGTCACATCATGTCTTTGAATTTGTGGCTAGTTTTCAGTCTGCTTTCAGAAGACACCCAGAATCATTATGAATGATTAATAATTACTTCACAGCCCCTACAGTGTGAGGACTTGGCAGTCAGGGCATGAAATCTACATTTAAAGAACAAATAGTTTAAAAAAGAGGACAAAGTTCCTACTCTAAGACCATCCCCACAAACCAGGATCATATTTTCAGTCATTTCAACACATTTGTTTTTCATTACATTTAAACAGGGACTTGCACTACATGCTCTGTAGCTGTATGCCTGTCCGACCTCTTGGGGGAAGTTTGATAAAGCTACGGAAAACCTTGATTTATCATATTAGACACTAAAATATCTCTATTTGCTGTTATAGCATCATTGCATTGTTACAATATGGTAGACCAACTTTGTAATAATCCCAAAGCACCTTATATTGTTCCTAGATTGTGTAATTCAATCATTTAATGCAAGCAGTTCAAGTAGCATTTTCTAAAAATTCTGAAACTATTTCCAAAGTGTAATTTGTCCTTTTCTGGGTCACGTCCAAAACATCCAGAGCCTAATCTTTAAAATATTGTTTAAAATATGTTTTTCTGTGGGACATGCAGGACTCATACAAACATTTTAAGTGATAATAGTTGAACTTCATATTTAGAAAGTCATTCTGTCAACAATATTTTTTTTTCCTTTGAACCTGGTGCCCCTGCAAAAATGATTGAGGATTGAATGTGGTTAATTTTCTGCTTCCACTCACATCTAAGTTTCGACTCTGTTTTTGAACCACAGATGACTCTGCTGAAACAAACTTGAATAACAAAATGTCTCAAAAGTTATTAGGTCTCATTTCAAATGACAACAAAGCAACTATTGATCTTAGTCTTTTATTATCCTGGTACTTCTAATCAGGTTGAATGTCCCTCGTCTATAAGGCATTTTGTTATATATATATATATATATGTTTATATATATATATCACCACATACAATATGTGACTGCAATGTGAAAGGCTACATACATTATTTGGTCATTTATGTAAATAGATGAACATTGAAATAACACAAATGAGTAACGTCCCATATGCACAAACACTGTCCTCTGTCTCGAATGCTTTTATGTGAAATATAAACACAACGGGCCATCCAAAGAAAATAACGTTCTCTCAGGGGATTGATAATTTCATTTTACTCTGCCTTACTTTCAATCCAAGCTATACATGCACCACAAAGTAAACCGGGAGTATGATATATTGCGTTAAAGAAAAAGTCTCCCTTTAGATTGTTCAGCAGTCTGGATGTGTGTCTCATACAACAAGAATGAACATTTCCCACCTGTGCTACATAGATGACAACACTTGAGCCTTACAGAGTAGCCTTCTTGACTGTTTTGGTGTAAAAGTTTGAGCATATTTGAAAAGTTGTGTGGTTAAATATTGAACTTTTGAAAAATAACCTGAATTAGGGGTGCACCTACGTTTTTTTATTTTTTTGCTGATTCTGGTGAGTTCCAGCGATTTCTACATTTTCTATTTAACTTTGTAGAAAAAAAAGCTCCTGTCAAGACGAGTCAAACAGCGTCAATTCATCTTATCATTACTGCCTTCCTCATACGTGAGCTGCACGCTGGGACTCAAGCCTTTGCACTTGATGTATTTTGTCTGGATTAGGTGTACCACTAACCTGAATTCATCAAATTGCAGCAAGTTCAACTGAAGTGGTACTATTTTGACAGATGTCAGATTTTTTGACAGATTTCATTTTAAGCCAAAACATTTAAAACAGCCCTTTCAAACTTACACAGATAAATATGAGTCAGCTTGCTTAAGCTACCACCCCCAAGCTGAGATAGGTCTTTTGGCCATGAATCATTTTTTAAAAGGTACCCAAAGAACAATAGCACTCTTGCACAATTTATGTTCGGTATAAAATGAGGTATGTTTCTCTCCTGTTAGTGCATATCAATGTAACAGTGCAATAACCAATTACAACAACTACTTTTTAACGACCACCTTGTCAAAACACTAATTTTTACAGCATTTACCCCACCATCACTTTACAAGGCATACTAGTAACCACTTTGAGACATCGAACACACAATATCCTTCTGATCAATGCATCTTAGGAACTAGGGTGAAACAAACACAGTACAACAAAAAGATTAAGTTCTAGCAGTGAGGATTGGGGATAGCAAGCTAATGCACAGTAGTAGATCTGAAATAATACGTAAATAAAAAAAAACAATGTGGCATGTGTCACACAGCTCTCTTTTCACACATATTAACACCCAAAACAAAATGTTCCATGTCAGCTCCAACTAACCATGAGTAAAGTTTCCTTTTTCATCGTTATCACTTCGAAGGCCGAGATACGGATGATGTGACGAAAGGAGGGGGAAAAACCAGAATGTTGCCACAAAGTCTTCCCTCTGCTGTCTCGCTCTCACTCACTTTCAGAGAAAATGTGTTATTTCAGCTTCATGGCAGAGAAACCACTTGGCGGCCAATAAAAAGTGAAGTGTACATAATCAACAATGTAACTTAACCCTGTCCAATAAGCTTTTCACTTTTTACCAGGTAGTCCAAGTTTACACAAAAGGAAAGCAGCTTAATTCTAGTGTTAAATTCAATCTAAGGGTCTTAAATAATATAGCGTCAAGTTCTTCAAAGTGTCAAAAAAGGTGGTGTGTGTGTGTGTGTGTGCATACACATACTAAAAGTTGTGGCTAGCAAGGTGACGACAGGCCAAGGAACTGTGCCGGTACATAAAAGACACTGGAGGATATGTCCCTTCAAAAGAGGCCTGAGAGTATTTCTGGTGTTCATGTGGAAAACGTATGGATTGTCTCATTCTGAAAATACGCCTGTTTACTTTTGTCCTATAAATTATGTTTAAGTGTTGTAAGGCGTTTTATAATATATATATATATATAAATATATACAAAAACAAAGCCGTGTAAGGGCGCCAAAAACATGGAGCTCAAACTCCAGCCGTTACATGAATACATAGCCTGCTACCTCCATGTTACAGTTCTGTCTTTACATTAACTTTGTTCCCACTGAACAAAAAGTAATGTAGACCACTTCACAAACACTGCAAAGACCACCTAGCACAACAGTCTCCCTCGGTCTGTAACACAAGGCTTGAGTCAAGGCATCCAATTGGAATGTATAGATAGAAAAGTTTCTCAGGAGGCAGTCCCATGGTGTGATAATGGCACAAACCACTCGCTAAGTCCATTATAAGTATGCATTAGGGAATTACAGTATGTACATCAAGTGTTTGAATGCTTAAAGCTGCAGTGAAATGTGCAGTGAAATGCACACAAGGTGATACCAGAGAGTTTCAGTAATCAGACTGCGTACCTCCAGGACAGATCAACAGGTTAGCTTCCACCTTTCTACCTTATTTTCCAAATATAACACTCAATTTGTGGAGAATTGTGACGGACAAGGAGGTGAGTATTGATTCAACACAGCTACAGCATAAAACAAGTCTGATTCTCAACATAGTTACTGGAGGTGAAAATTGTTGTATATCTTGATGTTGCAGATTTGCAGTTTGGTTTCAGTGCTGAGAAAAAGTTCTTTAAATATTTCAGACTTTTCCTGGTTTGGAGGAATATAACATGCAAATTACTGACTTCTATGGCATTTCTTTTAAAACCTGGCTGCTGTGGAAGTTGAACATATGAAAACTAAGAGAGTGGATAATGATAGTGCTCGCACACACACTGCATTTTCCTCTGAAAAACACCAGAAGTGAAAAGAAAAAGGTCTTTCAGAACCACCGTATATGCAAATCTAGAGGTGATCTAGCACAAATGTCATCTGCCAAAAGCCAGTTACATCCCAGAAATAAGGTCAAATCAAGTCAAATTTCCTCAGTTTGATTCTGTAGCATCATTCTCAGACTCTCCCATGAATGATTTTGTGAAAAGCAAATACAAAGATGTCTCAAATTTGCCACCTAAGTTCTACAACTTAAAATTTGTGGATAGTTTCAAATTGAAACTTGTAACATCTGTGATACTAAGTGAATGAGACATGTTCACCCATACCGTTATACCATGTAGCACACGTGTACTGCACATACCACACACATGGAAACAGATATAGTCACATTCAGACAGAGCAGAATACAACACTGCCATACTCCGGTAAGGCAAATCTGAACTGGGAAGCTGTGATGAGTACTGTCACTGCAGCTACAGTATCCGGCAGCTATCTGGTGTTAAGTAACCCTTGGGTACATGGTGTTTAAGAGGGGACAAACATAGTGTTACAATGATTCCTAACTGAAAAAAAATCCCTCTCAGCTCACAGACAAGATAAAACCTCCTAAAAAAGCTTTTTCTTACACGGACAATGACATAATTTGTAAATCTTGGCATCAACAGCTAACTTAAGAAATTCAACGGAAACAAAAAAGTGTCTTCCTGTGTATATTTGATACGTACAAAAAAGCTTATGAGCTGCAATAACGAAAGTAAGTGAAATTAATGACTTAAAAAATGGTGAGTGCGATGTTTTGTTTCTTCAGATTGTGTCTTTTGCTATAAAACACACCACCCCGAATAAACTCGACCCTACATCACAAATATAGTGCACTGTGCAACTTGTAACAAAGTTTGGCCGACTCTATGAAAGATAAGGGGGTAGTTTTCGTTGTTGTAGTGTCCCTTCCTCTGATGTCCAGGTTCCACTGAGGATAGAGGATAGCAGGCACCAGTGGTTTGGGAGCAGCAGATCCTCTGCAAGTCTTGTTGCGCCCTCTCCTTGGACGTCTCCTTCCCTTATTTGTCCTTGAGTGGGGGGCCACAACCCCTCTGTCTCCTCTGATAAGCAAATGCACAAAACACTCACACGCTCAGTCACACAGACGCGCTGTATGTTACAAAATAACACATTTGTCTTTATCCTTCGATTCTTTCTTGGCTTTGCGCTCCCCACTAGAGGATTGTTTTCCCGGGCTGGCCGAGGCCCCGGCTGCTGCTGCCGTTCCGGCTCCAGCTGCTGCTCCTCCTGCTCCTGCACCTCCTCTGTCCGCCTCATCTCCCTCAGCGGGCTCCTGCTGGCCCTGCTGCAAAAACACAGCGGAAGAGACAAGTGTGCCATGGGCAAATCTACATATTGCTTGGAACAGGAAAGAAATGTGGCTTACTATTTTTTCAAATACAAATACATGCGGGCACTTCCGTTCAAAGCGGTTTTGAGGCAGATAAATACATAAATGTAACGAAATACTTAACAAGATAGCACAAAACTACAACAGGGTCACTTAGCATACACTGTTTTTATTGTATTTGTTTTCCATGATAACTTTTCTTTTAAATCATACATAATGACACTTTAAACCCTGCTGCAATTAAACCCTAATAATTTGATCACCCTGCACCGACTTTATGTGCATATCACTTACCTCTATTCCTTACAGTAAGAGTTGGCATTATGACAAGGAAAAACTTAAAAAGAAACCTCACTTAATAGCTCCAATTTTTGGTTACAGAAATTCATCTGTTTCTAAACAACACCTCTTCTCTCCATGCTACACATAAAGGGATATTCCGGCATAAAATTAAGTTAGGGTCAAACACACAGTAATAACAGTAACAGCGGATCATTTCCTTGAAGTAATACTCATCATAATAATCATTTTGCACTGCAGATGTGGTAGTTCTTCTGCCTTAGCGTCTCGGTCTGATTGCATTTCCATGAAGTGGAATCATAAATGTTCTTCCTTGAGCTGCAAAACTCCGCTGCACTTGGTGATCGACTCGTCGGGGCTCCCCCACAAACAAGCAGCTGCTGCAAGAGAGTGGGTGAGTTGTGTTTGGTCTCTTTGCCAAAGAAACCAGGCAAAGTTAAAAAGATGTTGGGTGGACAGTGCTATGGCTAGCACCCTATATGTACTGTTGATGAAGTTAGGTGCTGTTCTGAGCATTATTTCTGGCTACGAGTGGCTTTTTGGTTGAGGTTTGCGTGTGGAGAGGTAGACCACCATGTATTGCTATTGTGCGGTCATTACTAAAGTTGGTATAACTAGAGAAGCAAGCAGTCGGCAACATTCATCTCTCAAGGGGGTCTTACAGTGTGTTTGATCCTAACTTAATTTTATGCCAGAATATCCCTTTAATACTTCAGATTTGTTGAAAATCTTACCAGTCCTCCCTCCCCACCTGCATCTGTCTACCCCAGTCCCTTTTTTTTCTAACCTGTGCCTGTGCCTGTGCTGCCGCTGCTGCAGCTGCCTGCTCCTGCTCCTGCTCCTGGTAGTATTGCGAGGCTCGTCGGTCCTCTTCCTCCTGCAGCTTCTTGGCCAGCTCCAGGTCACTGATGCCTTCAGGGAGCTGCTCCCACTGTAGATCCTGACTCTGCTGCTCCTGCTGCAGCGACAGCGCCATCAGATAGTCCTGACACACATAAACATTGAAAAGAGACAGTGAGATTAAGGAGCAAAGCTGTCAGTGTGATACTTGAATGGTTCCCCCTTGTGCGACTAATAAAGGAGTATCTTATACCCTGTATGGCAAATGTTAACTGAGCTATTTGTGTGTTTTTTTCCATATTATGTTGTATTATCTTCATTGTAACACTCATGGCAATTAGTTGTGTTGCAGCTTCCATAACCCTCTTTTTGTTGGGGGTACCCATTGTATTATAAGCTGTATCAGCTATTATGTCATGTAATTTGTCACTGAAAAGACCCAATTTCCCAACTGGAATCAATACAAGTTTCCTACAATCTGAGTGAATTGATTAGTGCAGAAAATTGCCTGAATAGATTTTTCGCACCGACCCCTCTCTTGTAGATGGAAGAAGTCTGGGCCTGAGTAAAAAGGGAGAATAAAATGTAATGGTTCCCATGTTCTTGTCTAGCCTGTGTGTTGTGTGTGGGAGCAATGCAGACAGTTTGTCAGCAAGCTCTGTGTCTCCGGACCAGTCTGGCCAACCAATGAGCAGGCAGCGGTGAAACCAGTAAACATCCCCAAGGGACAGTAACACAAAGCACTGAGCACCAGTGTGGAAGCAGTGTGCAAAGACTAGAGGAAAACAAAGTGTATGTTTTTCAGGATGCCACATGTGTGTCTGAGAAACTTGTATTTGGAGCTATTGCACGTCTTATCGAGGACCTTGTTCTAAATTTGTAGCCCTAGATAGGAAAGAGCTGATTTCTGGTGTGGTCGGTTTAATTTCATTGTGTCACTCCTGTCCTCCAGTTTTTTTCTCAAATTTCTCTGAAGTAACTTAAAAATGCAGAAAACCAGGAAAGTCAGTCTGCCATGACTGGTCTTGCCTTGTGTCTCAACCTTTGTGCTGTGAAAACCAGCGATTATCAAGGTGAATAATGGCAGGTTTTTTTTCAGTCTTGCCAGCATTCAAACCTGGTCTATCTGGTCCTGCTGGCCTCGATACACAGTCTCTGGATCAGATGGAGGTCGCAACCGGAACTCGGAATCACAGAAGTTGCCGTCTCCGTCAACGTTGTGCAGGCTTTCCCAGACAACCTTCTCCTCTGTCAGGAAACCTTGATCTGTGACCAGGAGGTACAGCTGGCCCTGGGAAACAACCGCATCCACATTACACACACATGCTATCAGTGTCACACTAAATGTTGTCATTTGTGTGGTTATTTATCAAAACCACGTAAAAGTCTGCAGCTGAGTGATTATAAGAGAACTTAAGCAGCCATGATACCTTATCTGAGGGTTAAAGGTGATACACACAGCTTTGTTGACATTGGCAGCCTTACACTACTATTCAAAATAAAAGTAAGCCAGCTCAACTTCCCCTCCTGTAGATAACAGGAAAAGTCTGTAGTAACACCAACAACCAGCTGAGGGTGGGGGCTGATGAGAGGTACACGTGCAGATGATGAAGTTTTTGCTGCATTCATAGATATTGTATTCCTGTTATGCATGTCAACATTCTTTCATTTTAACTGACCTGCTATGAGTAACCTTTTAAGTGAATAACAGATTATGGTAAAAGACTACAAGTTGTTTTTAACATAGAGAGAAGTAGTAATTATGAATGCAGGAAACAAAGCTTTTATTATCAAAAAGTGAGTATGCAGTTTACATTTTTATCCCCAGAAAATCAAGCCTCTTAATGATGTTTATCTTACAATAACAGTTTTTCCAATACATGGATATTGTACATTAGTAATGAAACAGCTAGAAATCAAATCAAATCCATTTTCAGACTCACTAGAAACACCAACAACTAGCGATTGGCTCGGCAGTTCTTTTAGATGTACTGAATCATTAGAATCAGTTCATGAAAAAGATTTGTTCAAAAGATTCGCTCACCGAATCACGAAGTCGGAGTCTGTGACTCTGACTTCATGAACTGATAAACAGCTGAACAGTTCAGAACTCAGTTCAGATCATAGCTTCTGGGACCTGGAGATGAGAGTGTTGTGGCTGTGTTGCTTTGACAAACAGGTTTGTAAAAATGAACTTGATTATAAATCATGATGTTTTAAGTGTACTGGTATGCTATTTGTCTGGTCTACTGGCTGCTCGCCCGGCAATGCTGCGTGCTATGGTAGTTGCGCTGCTGGCAGCTCAACTGAAGTGAGAAACGAATTAATCACTTGAAGAAGTTATTCAGTTCAGTACGTTCACTTAAAAGATTTGGTTCTTTTGAACGAAACGTTCATGAACAACACAATACCAACAACTTTCTCTTTAGCACAAAAGACTAAGAGGCAACAGCTTGAGGGGCACGTCTTGACTTCTTAGAGTACCTGTACAGATGCTGTTATATTCTGCAGTTTTTACCTTGTATTTGATCATGGTGCTGAAATGGTTATTCCTGAAAAAGACGCAGAGCTCTCCCTCCTGCACAGTGGAGGTGAGCTCACATAGGCCGTGATACGTCAGTTGGGTGGCTGTGCTACTCAGAAACTGCTCTGCAACAATGCCTGAGACACAAAACAAATAGAGGAAACAGAGAAACAGAATGTTTGATCATTTAAAAATATAACAGAAACATGGACAGGTGACAGGATTTCTTTGACGATTTTATTGTCTTCTACTTCCCAATTTACAGATTCAAAATGAACTTGAAATAGAGAGGTGATAATTTAATTTTGATAGGATTGCTAATAAGGGAGGAACAAGCAACAAGCTGAAGCGGCTTATAGCTTCATTTGTTGAATGAACTCTTGAATCAACATGTGTTTAAATAATTAGACTAATGACTGAGTTAGCACACCACAATCAACAAACAGGCAACCCTGACTCATCTATAAAGGTGGGTCACTATTTGGACAAACATGTGGAATGCTTGCTGTCATGTGTGTAGTATCTGTTTGAATACTGAGACCCTGTGCTGCTGGAAGCGGTTACTATAGTGAACCCAATATAGGCTGAGAGGCAGATGGTGAGAGACATCTGTGAGACAGCATTCAATTTGAAGCCCACATAATCAGTGTGATCCTTAAACAGACAAGGGAGAGAGGAGCTGCCTATCCGGGAAAGAGCCACAACTTTTACAACATAATGAAAACTACTGAACTCTTTCCTTTAAATATTTAGCACATTACAGCATAACAACTAAGATTTCTTTTTAGTGTTACACAAATGCATTCAAGTGGTTTTGACTACTTAAACCAGGCCCTCCCAGGATTTTTCTCTTGGCTACAAAAAGCAGAAACACAATAGAAAAGAGTGAATCTCCTGTATCAATATCACCATCCGCTGAAGCTTTGATGCATCGACTTGGCATCTGCCCAACAGACAAATGCTCAGGAAGCTCAGTGTTGAAAGAGCAAATATTTTGAGCCCAGAAGTTAGTGACAGCTGGCAAGAAAACAGTGAATTGTGGAAGTAGGTCATTTGATGAGTGGTCACATATATATGTCCTGGTTTTATTTCAGCCTGGTCTGTGCGTTTCTGCAGGATGTGTTCGCCCTGGACACTCCAGTTAATATATCTCCAGGAGCAGATGCAGGACAGAATTACCAGTGATATTTTACCTGAGCTGCTAACTGGAAGAGAATACAGATTCTGTTTTTTATTTACTTCTGCAGAAAGATTAAAGAAAAGAGACAAGGGCAGGTTAGGCAGGTCAGCCAGTACAAAGAGAGAGTGAGGAGAAAACGCTCACCTTCCCCTGCCAGCTCACTGTTCTCGGACTGTTTGCAGGATATTATCTTCTCCACCAGCTGGTTGTAACTGCAGTTGCCCACTGCCTTGACAATGTCATGCATCTGCAAACAAAGACAGAAATGAGGGGAAAGAACATTTTTAGCTTGGTGATGTTTTACTGAAAGTAGCAGAACAATAATACAAAATTTATAACAAAGAAAAAGTCTGGAGTAAAGAGTTCATATTGAAACTACGACTGCTGAACTCCGGTGCATTTAACCATCCATTATCTTTTTCAGGGTTGTGTGAACTGTCAGTTTGGTCGCGAAGAAAGCACACAGACCAACTCAAAGGAAGTTTCAAGTAGTATGTTTGTGGAAGAGAAGAAACAGGACCACCCGAAAGAACAGTATCACGGTAAATATAACACAAGTATGAAATATAAACTTTACTACATTTAGAGTTGTTTTTAAAATCAAATCAAGAGAATGATACCCAGGGTAATCATTCAAAATCATAGGTGTCCATGATAGATGTATCGTATTTTTCGCACGATAAGGCGCACCTGATTATAAGGCGCACCATCAATTAATGTGTCTATTTTCATACATAAGGCGCACCAGATTATAAAGCGCATTAAGCCAAACAAAACAGTCAGATAAGTCAAACTTTATTTAACTCATTCAATAACTCCGCAAGGCTACGGTAGCTGCAGTGCTCCGACAAGCCAAAAGGATTTTAAGTGCGCCTTATAGTGCGAAAAATACGGTATGTACTCTGCTTGGGAGGGCAAATTTTAAGGACTATTGTCCAGAAACTGGATCATGTATTAGCTGACTATTCTGTGATGAAGCACAGATACCAAAACCATTTCTGTATCAGACAAAAGACTTGTTTAAATCTGCTGTGAGAATAAATAGTTCAATCTTTGCTGTACTGGTGATTCCTTGGCCTTATGAGTAAGCCTCAAGTGGACACTCAGTGAACTACAGTTTTTTTCCCTTCTGCATTTGCTTCCTACGTCAACACTCGAGGATCTTAGAATTTAAAAGAAACACTTAAGAGAAAGTTCAGAAAGGCTCTATGACTCAATATAGAGATGATGAATTTTAAAGGTCACCTTTAATAACAAATGACTACATCCCTTTGTTTGTTTGTTTATTAGTTTGGCAGAAAGAGGTTCAAGGGCACACAGGAGAGCAAGTAAACAAGTTTATTTCATCCACACACAGTGGTGACAATGAGTCAGATCCAGCTCACCTGGGGGTCAACCAGCCAGCCGTGATAGAGAGGGATGTCCAGCAGATCAAACACAATGCATTCTGGAGTGTACTCGAAGACTCGCACCCCTGTGAACTTGACATTCACATCCAGACCTGTCTGCAGCTTGTGCAACACTGCCATGGCATCACTCATGTTCTGGAAAACACAGATAATTTTAGTTAGAAACTGCATGATTATACAGAACCAACAACTGCATCTATAACCAGAGATCTTCGATAAAAAGACCTCTTCATTTGTTTTATTAGTCCTGCTTGTCTACACATAGTCAGATGATTATTTTTGTCAGTAAGAAACTATTGAGCCACACTGTGCACAACAAAAAAGTGCTTCATCACACTCACAATTTAATTTGCAAAGTAGTTCAGTAGAATGTACTTCCTGCTTTATAGTTACTTCCCATTATAACCATTGGTTGAGTGTCTTCGTGTCTCAGGAAGAGATGAAAGCCTCTGCCAGGAAAGCATTTGATACCACATTTCTGTGTAAGCTCCCAGACTTATCACCGTGAGACATGACCTACTAGTAACAATAGATGGGCAAAATATCAACGTGTAATGTCATCTGTTAGCCTTAAAGACAGCCTTAGTTTGGTTGTCTTGGAAGTCTTTTAATTTGTTTTGCGGTGACCAGAAGACAGATAGCAAAAAAAAATGAAGGGAGTAAAAGGGAGGGATGAGCACTGATAATCAATAAATCAGGTTTCAGCAGCAAACAGGTTTTGAACCCTCTCTCTCTCTCTCGCTCTCTCTCTCTCTGCCTAATATCTGTGTGTATCTTTCGTAATGTGTGTTCATATCAGAATGTAAACACAGGGAACATAAGAAAAAAAAGACATCTATTTCTAAATAATGATTTGTCATGACTTAAATAGAGGAAGCAGGCAACTTTGCAAATGTAAGCTTGCAAATAGGTTGAAATCCTTGTTAGTCAGACGGATGATTCAGCTCTGTGGTCAGTTTTAAGGGTGTAGTCTCTTAACTTTGAGTGTTTTCCATTGTTTTTTTCTTTCCACAGAAATGGGTCTTAATTTTCTAACACTTCCTAAAGCCTCATAAGAGAACTCTTCCAAACTGTAACAACAACACCAACACAGATTTTGTCTAACAGCTTAGATGGCGTAATACCTTCAGTGAGGGCTAAAATTAGTAGGGAAGGTTAGTGGACCCTCTCAAAACAACAACAACTATAAATTCAGTTAAATGACTGGTTACATCTTATGTGCTTAGTTTGCCAAGTGTGATAAAAGTGACTTGAATGACTCGTGTCTGTATTTTCAGATGATGAGAGATAAGTCACAGCAGAAGTATGCATTGCCATTGACATCCCTTTCTTACAAGATAACCCCACACAAGCACAAACAAACAACCACCATGAGCTGACTGAACTGTCTCTAACCAAAGAAAACAGAAAGGCTAAAGTCATGATAATCTAGATAGTCAGTGGTCTGTAATTCTGATGTATAAAGTCAGAAGCTAAACCTTTTTCCCATAACAGAGCCTGAAGGCATCGCCGTGTCTGGCTGGAACAGGTTTAATGTTTCATCATGATACATTGGTTGACTAAAATCCAGGACTGATGTCTAACCCAGAACACAAATAGAGCTGATCAGGGTTATTATATTCAGCTAAACCATCTTGGGGACTTCAGAGGCCCAGTGAAAACATCTTACAGCTTCAAATATTTGCTTCTCAGCAGATATGTTTAAAAAACTATTAGTGGTCATAATATTAAAAAACAAACAAACAAAAACACTGTAGCCGTCTGCTCTTTTCAGAAATCATCCTCGATCTTTAGTGGTCTTTCTGAATTTTAATAGCCATTTATCTCTGTATCATCTAGCTATAATTTTCAGATTGTGTTTTCTGTCAAACAATGAAAAACTCTTATGTCAGATCTCCTTTGTTACAATAACTTGTTTGCACTAGAGAATATGAATATGAAAAAGGTTATACCACTTGAAAATTGGTTGAGTTTGACTCCTGTGAACAAAAGTAGCTTATTTGGAACATCTACTCCTGTATTCATGGGAGAAAAAAAGCCCATTAGGCTGATTTTTTGCTCTAGATTGTGAAATCAAACCATATTAACCAGGCTGCAAGCTGTTAAGTCCTCCACGTGATTTTAATTTGTTTCAAGGACTGAATTAAGAGGTCAAATACAAAAATAATGCAAAAACAGGATTTTAAGTGTGCATGTCCATAAAAAAATATCCCTGCAGTAATGTTTGATGATTTTGAGAGAAGTAGCTCGAGGGTGAAAGGTTTCAAAGGCTGCCAAAAAGAGAAGTAGGCAGCAATAGCTTTGTTTTAGATGAACAACTGATCTGTTGGACAGTCTCCAGTTTGACTGCTGATTATAAAGAAGGATTTGATCTGCAGAACAACCTTTTACTACACCCTGTAACAGTGTATACTCTACATACACATAACAATATAAGTATGTCATGTACTCCCACACCAAAGAACCAAACAGACTCATTCTTGCATTCAGCCTCTGAGCAGTGTTTCCCAGCTGGCTGTGAACTCTGCTTCCATTCAACACCGAGATCAAGATCAGCCTTGCAGCTGAGCCCTAAAACTCTACTGCAAGCATGCATCTGAAAGTGATTTCTAATAGATTTCAACTCAACTGGAGAGAGAGTGGAAACACAAGAGAATATATTTTATGACAGCATAGGTCATTCAATCAACCCACACCAGAGCAGTTCACCTTAATCTATAAATGGCTGATGTATTTGTGATCCAGCGGGGTTAAATAGGGCTGGATGATCATTTGTGCAGTTGTATAATAATGATGTTTTAGTACTGAAAAGGCTTTCTAATTTCATTGTCAAATGAAACATCAATTTAAACTGAATGGAACTAAAACCTTTCAAACTTGGTCTAAAAAAAAAAGAGTTTAGATTCAAATTACAGATGGATGACGCTGGTACACATCTCAATCTACTAACATATGCTACCAACATCTTCTCACTTTTGTAATGGTTTGGAACCATTTTCAGTAGGTTTTAAATGCTGCAGGAAATGTACTAAAGTAGACAGCGATTTCATTGATTGGGATCAGCAACTGATCCGTTGGACAGGCTCCGATATAACTGCCAATCATTGATTACGGGTAAAGATCTGATCTGCAGAGCACCTTTTCACTGCCCCATGTCACAGAGTGCACTTATCATGATTTTGAAAAACATTCAGTTTTTCCACCAGATAATTTTGACACATTATCAGAAAACTTAATCTTCATTTTGCATGAAGTCCTGCAGTCTCCTTGTATGTTTCCATGTCAGAAAACCTCCTGCAACATCTTTCACTGAAGCATGTAGAGGGCTTCAAAGTGCATCACTTCTTACCATCTTTCATGTGTAATGAGGAATAAAATGTTACATAATGAGACTGTTTCAAATGAATTTCTCAAGTTCACAGCAGTGTGTGTAGGGACTGTTTACAGTAGAGATACTGTATATCCCATGAGCTGCAAGCTACTCCAGCTTTGATGCTTTGGTGTGGAGAGCTGAGGTGAAAAGCCTGCAGCTGGCCCATCTGAGTGTGTGGATTAGGACGCTTACGAGCAGCAGTGATGGCAGGATTAGCAGGCATGTGTAATGGACCACTTCTCTTCACTTTAGGGCAGAGGGCTCCAACGGCAGATGAGTGCTTTGAGATCAGATTATTAGCTCTGAATCACTCACATTCATCATTGCTTATGTAGGATACATTTCTACAGCATGGAACGACATAAGCACACAACACTGCTATGGGTTTGCAGTATTTTTTTCTTGAACTCAACAGAGTCAGTACCAAAGAGAGGCCTCTCTGCTCTTATGTAAAAGGTTAAACAATCAACCAGGAAATGAAACTTTTAGAAAGCCTAACTCTATCAACAACTGCATTCAAGAAAAGTCACTCAACATTTTTTCAGGGCTGCAATTTCAGTTCAGACAAGACTAAGCAACAGTTTTTACTCGTTCTGCCTTTATGTCCAACAAAAATCGGCACAACCGCACACAGAATATCCATAAACCGACAAAAAAAACAACTATTACTTAACGCATCTGTAGGAGTTGTAAATAATAAACATTTTACAAGACAATCCACAATGTGGGTCATACTTTCATGAATTCTGAAACACATCAGCAGCTGCTCCACATTTTTGTTGGATTAATCACCAGGCTAATCGAATGTTTCTAATGTTTGTCAGCTCCTAGTCAAACACATGAGGAAGACAGACCCGCTCTCGCTCTGATACTGATACAGATATGATAGTACTGTATGATGATTATAATGACTAAAAGTGACAACCAAGCTCATCATATCTACCATCGAACGGTCAAAATGAACTCTTTATAAGCTTAACAACAGGTACTGTCATAAAAAAAATTGCTCAAATTACATTTCAGCGTTGGCAGTTTCAGCATTTATGTTTATACCCAAGTTTACAGTTCCGCTTACAGAATAAAAGAATAAAAATGATCGGAAAATGTATCTGGTATAACCAGGGTGACTGCAAGAGAAAAAACACCTCAGGTAAACTTAGAGCAAGATGAAAATCTAAGAAACATTTTTGAAGAAGAACCATCACTGTCGTATAAATGATGCCAAATAAAAACTACAGGGTCTACTTGAACGCGTTAACACCTGTCCTCCAGTAGCTGAACCCTAAGTATGAAGGAGTTGCTTTGTAAGAGTCCTGGGTCCTATCAGATAAAAGCAGAGCAAAACTTCACTCTCACATCCACCCCTCCGCCAAGTAAATATTTAACAATAGCTAAAGAGCCGCCATGCAGCTGCTATTTTAATCCTCACACACTCCTGCGACAGATGATGTTTTTTGGCTGAGTTTAAAAATAGAACTGCTTCTGTTGTGAACTCCTACAGCCCCCTTTTTTTTAAGTCAGGCTGACTTAGGCTGTGTCTTAGAACAATTCACACGACAAGGAAAGCGCATCTCTGCTGGATACAAAAAAAGAGGGTACCTTTAGTTTGACAGGCAAATAAACACATTACAGACATGCTCTCTCGCTGTAGTCTCCACATCCTGTGTTACCCACATGCACATGAGGACACACACATGTTAAAGAGCTCCCAGGCCAGTGTCCAGAATTAGACTGCCATAATAACCATGCAACACAAACTTCCAACCGCTCCCTTTTTTAACAGTGCATGCCAAAGACACCACTGATGTATTCAAGAGCTCGTGTTTCAGCTCGACTTAAATTTAGACCCAACGTAATTGTGAGCATCTATAAGAAGACTTTAAATTATTTTTTCTGCTTTCTGAACTAGGGACAAGTGTGGCCTCTAATCATTCACAGATGTACGTGTGCTTTGCCACGCAAGAAGAAGAGGAGGAGGAGAGGTAAAGCCACTCCTGCTCCTTAGGCAGACAGGCAGTGGAGATGGGAGGAAGCAGGAGAGCTGGAGCTCCATCTCCAAGTGCCTCTCACGGTGAGCCACACACACACACACACACATGCACACACGCATGCATGCACACACACACACACACACACACACACACACACAGCCTCAGTAATAGCCGGGAGCTGAACCCGGCCATGCGTCTCTAAGCATTCACGGCCATGTGAAACAACATAATCTGACACTCCTGACCCCTGTTGTTCCCTGGGCCTTGCAAGACCCATCTTATGTAACCTATAGAGCAGTGGGGGGAAAAGATAAGCTATAGTTTATGTATTTTGTAATCAACGTGATGGTTATTTACATTTAGTCCAATCCGCTGATCTTTACTGCACAACCGCTTCGGTGTGAACTGTAACTACACGGACTGTGTGTGATAAATCAGTACTTCTTCTTTGTGTACCGCCGTGAAAATATATCCTTAATGATGGGAAGAACAGCTGCAGTATTTTGAGCGTGTCAAAGAGACAAAGTGAAAGCTCATTTTAAATCTGCTCAATTACTGCCACTACATGGAGAGGGAGAGAGGGTTCATCCCAGAAGCCCTGCGCTCCTCAGAGTCAGCAGCTTATTAACACACGCACTTAAAAAAAAAAGAAAAGGTGTCTATTAGATAATATTATTCAGAAGTTATTAGGCGAGCCTTACCTGCTCATAGTTTAGCCGCTGGGCTTCTGATATCTCTTTAGGCTTTGTTTCCAGAATGTAGTCCCCTGCAGAGGAACAGAAGGAGAGGGATGTTGCCAGACATATATTGTTGTGACAGAGAAAAACAAGAGGGAAGAACTGGCCAGCTGTTTCCCTAAAAGAGGCTGTGCTACAGTATGTAGAACCAGCCAAGTCCCTGTCTGCTGTGGAGTCACCTTAAAAGTACTGTGGCAGCATGACCTGTAGCAAGTAGCACAGCTTGGCACAGCACCCTGCTCATACAATCCTTTACTCAGTGAGTTTTTTTTAGAGGAGCCAATAATAATTATTCCTTTTTTTTTAATGCTGTCAAAAATTGATTACAGTCTACTCCTTGCTCTTGGAATGCATGTGAAAGTATTTTTCAAGATGCATCACAGGGAATCATTAATTTGTGAGGAGCCAAAGAGAGCATCTTTCTGCACTGTCAACACATACTTTTCCTGAGAATAATTCAGAGGACTGTCATCGACGTCCTGTCATCAACAGCTCCATTAACTAAAGACAGCTACACATGAAGCGAAGAAAATATGCTTTCATGTGTACTTTGCTCAAGCAAGAAAAATGAATCAAGTTTATCCAGGGTCAAAAACCGCTATGACATCGTCTGCACAAGTGTCAAATCCCTAAGTCGACCAAAAAAGTCAATTTTGCCATGTGGAGAAAGAATGTGCTTGACTCTGTTCAGGATGCATCAGCTGGCATGATAATTCATATCTTCTTAACTGAATTTAAACTCTCCCAATTAATAGAGGCCCATAGACTTTTTTAAGCTGTCTGTACGAAGTAAAACATTTTGAACTACCTATATTCCACTTAACTGTTGACGCTTTAATAATCTCTGATCATCTGTCTGTCTGTATCTCTCATCTATGCGTCCAGATTACAAGAATGCTATTCTTCCAAATGATGCAAACCAACTACTTTTGACACCACAACTGAACTTCACCTTCTGTGTTTGTGTTCAAGTGTTATTTACAACATCGCTGAGTTGTGAGGGTATCCAGCAGCCCGAGACATGATGCAATAACATTTGTTTTAATAGGTTAGGTTACGTTAATTCACGTTTTGTTACGTTATGTTGCGTTATGTTACGTTACGTTACGTTACGTTACGTTACGTTACGTTACGTTACGTTACGTTACGTTATCTCCCTGGACCTCTTTGTTGCTGCCCCAACATTGTTTTGTCAATGAATAAAAACAACAACAACAAAAACAATAACTTATATGTAAACAGAGAAGCACATATCAATAAAAATAAAAGACAACATAAACTACACAATACTCATGTAGCTCTCATAAAAAATGCATGCAACACTACACAAATAAGCCAACAGGACAGAGATTGTAAATAGTCCCAGATTACTCCTGAATTCCTTCACCACGATAATGATGTATAGAGTTCAGAGCTTTCTGCTTTGACACTGTAGGGTAATTTAAGTTCTGCAGGGCAGGAGACAGCCGGGGAGAAGTGATAGCACCGGTTTCCTTTTCAGCAGCAGATTGGATCACTGGGGATTCCCCAGTTCTGGTCCCTTCCTCTGTTGACTCGGGATATAAATCTGACCTTATGAATGTAACCAATCAGCTGAGAGAATGTGAAACACAAGAATGTTTACCAGGCCGGCTACACTCAGTGCTAGTGGCCCTTTGTGCTAATATGTTTACAGGAGTGGGCTACAGACATTCAGATTTATAATAGGTGAGTGAAATACCATTTTGGTAAGTCACATTACAAATGTGTAACTTTCTGCGTATAAGCAGATAGTGTTCTGTTGTCATTGTAAAGCTATGTGAGGAAAAGGCCTTGCAGAGGTGTACATCATACAATCACTGTTATACTGATCCCTTTTGATCAATAACCCAACATCAACTTGCTGTCTTGTAATCTGTGTAATGGAAACACTCACCAAGATATTCCATCAGTTGCTCAGCAGTTATGATTTCCATCATGGGAGGCATCTTAACCTGCAACAAAGACACGAGAGCTCCAGCAGTCTATTCATTCGTAAATGCACTCATCACACAGAGCACTGCTCCATGTTCCATTTTTGTGATATTAAATGCATGTTTCTGATTTTCTCAGTGTTTTTACTTTTGTTTAGTTTGTGTTGTGACTGTCCACTGTGACCAGCTTTCAAGTATTATCTCTGTAGAAGAGGTGGAAAGGCTGTTACAGCGGTAGACTAATAGCTAATATTGATTGTTAGATAATAAATGTGTAGTCAAACACAACTTAACCGGTGAGCTAAGTAATTACACATTTCCAAACTCTGATATGTTCATATATATATATACAATGTTTGCATACAGATATCACACACAGATATTGAATGTCAGGGTGGGGACTAGATCTCAGTGATAGATTAAATATTAGGAGTGTGTTAATATGGAGCTCATTGAAGTGTAATTTATTTTAATTACATTAAAAGTGCTGATAGAGCTCAGAGCTACTAATGTATGCCCTTCTCAGAGGCTTTACCTTCCATGCAAGAAGCAGAACATTCATTATTGCCAGTAATGGACAGGGACCGTTCTCATTCTGGGTGATGATCGGCGTGTTTTCCTCCCTCCACTTGATCCACTTTATGTGGTATATGGACTGACCGGCAACCCGGTCCTTAGCACACGCTGTCTTTGTCCCATCAGCCCCGTACTCGTTTTGAAGGGCCAGGGCTAGTCCTCTGTCCTCCAGCCCCTCACTGTTAAGGTCGGAGCTGGGGCAGGAGTTCAGGTTGGAGAAGGACTCCAATGAATCTATGCTTCTTGACTCTCCTCCGAGGCTGGGATCAGGGTCACTCCCACTCGGCAATCCTTCTGATAAGGTATGATCGCCGGACTGCCCTGACTTGACGTTTGCTGTGATTGCATTGTCCGGACATAGATGAGTCGGTTTGGCAAGTTTTGTTGGTTTACTTTCTCCACAAGCTAAAACCTCAGCCTGTATATCTGTTATCTCCATAGCGGGAGGTGAGGACAGGCCGTCGGTTTTGTTGTTTACTAACTTTGAGGCACCACCCTCGCTATCTCCTACAGTCAGCATCGAGTCATGCCCCATCCCGTTACTGATCTGATCCTCGGACCCCGACCACGATCCGCTAGCTTCGGTGTCCTTCTTCTTCTTCTCCCCTTGTACCGGAGGGACTTCGATCACATCTGTCAAGTCGGACTTCTCGGCACTGGAGGTGGCGTTAACAGCGCTGTGAGTACCAACGTTAGTGGTGCTGTTATTGCAACTAACGTTAACCAAAGTACTAAGAGCAGCCTCACTATTCTTGCATTTCTCGGCAGCTCCTTTCACGCCGCCAACAGCCGTAACATCGCCCATATCTCCCGCGATCGTGGTACACAACGAGTTCCCGTCAGTGTCTCGATGCAGGTTTGCATTTTTCTCCATTTCGATGTACAGACTGTCGACAGATTTTAGCTAAATTTCAGCAGCAGCTTCGGTCCCAAAGACGCCATGACAACTCTGCGAGTGACGTCATCAGAGTGAATTGATTTCAGGCCGAACAAGGGGGCGCTCGAGAGCGGACGTACAGGCGGTGGTGCGTTTGAGGATACTCGGATTTTTATAATTCGACGTTTCCCCAGGCAAAAATTACAAAATATAAAAGAGACTCTACGGTGACAAGTTCTCTTGTCATCGATTTTTTAAAACAATTTATTTATTAACATTTTTTCATAAACAGTATTCAACTTCAATAACAACAATAGAACTAAACATTTCACCCAAACCCAACCCCCTCCCAGAACAAATCCCATAGGCCAACTCTTACTTACATCCTTAAAAAAAAAAAAAAAAAAAAAAAAAAAAAAGATTAAAAAAAAATAAAAAAAAAAAAAAAATGATAATGATATAAATGTATATAAATAAAATGATGAAATAATAACAACAACAATAATAATAATAATTATTATTATTATTATTATTACTTTAACAATAATAATAATAATACTAATCATCATCATCATCATCATCATGATCATCATCATCATCATCATAATAAGATGATTTGCAGATGTGCTACAACCATAGACTGTATATACTATGGCTTCAACCAACAACTACCACCACACCACTGACAGTACTCATCTAGTTATCTGTGAGAAGTTATCCAGATATATTTTAAAGTCATTCCAGCATTTGCCAAAAAGATGGGGTTTCTTTGTCATATTAAACATAATTTTTTCAGAGGTCATGTATGATGAAATCTCCTTAAGCCACATTGTCTGTCAAGATCACAACTTTAAAAATTCACGAGGACAATATTGGAAATATCGTCAATAGTTTGAAAAAGTACCTTTTACATTTAGTGTATTGAACTACTGGATATGGAAGATGTTAACTACGCAGAGTTGATCGCAGTTGCACCAAACGCAGACTTTTTATCTTGACTTTATCTTGAAACTGACCCATGAAGTTTCTATTTTACCAGGATATAGATGGAGCTTGAACATAACATGTTGTGCCCGTTCGCGTACAAGTGCTCGCGCTTCTGCGAGGCCCTTGTAATCTCGCGTTGATAGACCCCTATACAACTCTACAGCGAAACGAGACCATAAGAAAAAGTGACGCTTATTGGTCATTGATTGTATTCATATGATGAGCATTTAAAGGGAAAAAACAGTTGTTTGTGCCAAATCTTCAATGGTCGCATTTAAAAAAAAAAAAAACAAAGATAATTAGTTGACTAATCGTTTATTGGGCATCGTAGACAGTGATTTTTTTTTTCAGGAGGAGGGAGGGGCCGGGAGGAAAGACAACCTCTTCGTTTAATTAATTTGTCAGTTCAGACCAGTCCACATGCAATAAGTTCTTTGAGTCAGTAGGTGGCAGCCATTACTTAACTGGCCCGAGAAGGAGATTCATCTACCTCCCCTGACAGATTTTAAGAGGTAAATATGTGCATCAGAAGAAAAACCTTTCTTCAGAACATAGAGACCAAGACATTAATCTTTAAAAAAAAAAAAAACAACAACATACATTTAGGAGCAATGTATTTATTTTCTAGGAAGAGGGGTGTTGCGAGGTTTTCTCCTAGTTATAGGACTATTCAGTTAATTCAGCTAGAAGACCCTCATTTTCTTAGCAATTATCGTTTTAAAAGGGAGGCTGGATGTGATGGGAAGAAATGCTCAAAGTTTTCTTTGATAATATCAATTGTCTGAGTGCTATATGTAATTTCAAGTACAAAATATGCTGCCAATAAAGTCAATACTTGCCTCAGGTGTGATCTGACCAGAATCTGAATAACAAACAAAGAACTTGATCTGCCATGGGTGAAGGTGGACAGATATGACAGTAAGTGACTGAGAGAACCGAGGACCTACACTAAGATTTGCCAATGTCAGCTGTATGAGTGGAATCTGAGCCAGTATTGCTGTTTTTGGTTGGTCTTAATAAAAGTAATCTGGTGACCTAAAATTCAATGTTTTTTTTTATTTTTTTTTTAAAGTTTGTGATGGTATGAAGAAAAACAATGAGCTGTTTTTATTTTAGATCTATGTGGCGGCTGACAGAATATCGTGGGGAAAAAAAACTTATCCTGTTATATGAAAGTAAATAAAAACATTTCTGAATGTTACACGATTAGTGACTAAGTTGTCTTTGCAAAATATTTATTTATTTAATCTAAATCAAATAACTTCATCCTCTTGTCTTTGGTAAAATAAATACCACTTTCTGCATAGGCCTATTACAAAAGTTAAAAACCACAAGTGTAGGAAGAGATGTTTCAAACATTTCTTATCAGCAGAGAGGAGAGGTTAACTCAAATAACTGTCAATTAAAACTCTTAGTTAATCTAAGTAGACGTATACAAATGATTCACAGTTTGTCCCTTAACATAAGACCGCTGAGCACTGACTGTAGTAAACGGATGGGTGTGCCCCTTATGGTGTGTTGTGCCCTCGCTCGCTCTCTTGACAGCACATGGTGGAAGTAGAGGGGAGGGTCACAGTCTGTGGCTGAGTTTGCCTACATGAATCCGGGTAACAGGGGGCAGGAAGAGTCGGTGCGAGTGATGGGAGCTCACTAGGGGAAAAGAAGGACAAATGTACCGGTAACAGACAGACAACGAAACAATAGACAATCAGGCTCGCTGGGTCACATAGCGAGCTTAAAGGGACTTTCGATACGATGATTTTCAGACTATTTTTTATGTTTTGCTGCCTACGCTTCATAACAGGTAAGTTTGCCATTGATTCAAACGTAATGAAAAATAATTAGGTCAGCAAGTTGTTCTCTGACGACGGTTTAATTTACTAACTTGCTGGATAATCTGAGTATAACTGATAACTTTAGTTTACCCGGTAAATTCAAATGAACTGTGGTAGTGTTGATTGTCTTGCAGGTTACATATGTAGATGTATGATATGCTGCACTGCTGCAGTTACAATAACTAACTGCAGGAATCTGAACTGGCTGCTTCATCTATTTCTTCCACCTCAAATGACCCCAACTTAATACGAATATAGTCCACAGTGGGAGTTTAAAACAGAAAAAACGATCCACGATTAACAGTAACTGTTGTTACCACAGGAATACAAGATGGTTTGTTATAAGTTTTAATCAAAGTTGCAAGGGATATTAAATGACTTTGTTTCTACTATGTTCTTGTCAAAAGACTATGGAAATGGATGAAATATGATCTAGTGCCATACCCTTGATATTTTCTCATGACAGAGTCCAATCCTGCCATCACCCAGCATTCATAATAATGCCAGGCTCACATCAGCTGCAACATGCTGTTGCCTCCTCCTCTGTTCCTGTCAGCAGTTTCCTCCGGGGGAATTGCACTTCACTGAGTCACTTAAGGCTCAAACAGATCACACTGAAATCATAATGAAATGGTGTCCACAGCAAAAAAATAGGAAAGTGGTTTTCATAGCTGATATTGATAAGTAATTCAGAAAGTCAGTATTATTGTCTGTGGGGAACTTTCAGCGGCAACTCCATGAAGTAGCACAGCCAGTATATTCATGCTTTCAAAATCTGTTACAGCAGCTCCTTCAGAGTAGTTTGTTAACATGCTGATATGAGTGGGAAACACCAGGAGCCCTGACAGTAACTGGGATGCTCCTGTAAATGTGCATTCTTGAACAAGTTAAGATTTTGACAGTGTCCTTCTACTAGAATATTGGTAGAAAATCTATAACATCAGAAATTTCAGGTATAATATTAATTTATGTCACAAGAGACCATCTGTTGTGATATTAACCTAGTGCTGTCAGAGTTTTGTATTTAAATGAGGACATCATATTCTACTGCGAAGACTAATCAGGTCAGCGTGAGCTGTCAGTGTTTGGTCTCGGATCAAATTAACATAGTTTCTGATTTGTTACTTTCACACCACAAAGCACATCATGATGACTGTCTGTCTTTTCTGGTCTCATTTTATTGTCTGTTATTTTTTCAAGTAAGAGCTAAAGAAAGCTGGCTGTCAGAGATTCTTCTTGGTGCATTCACAGACAAGTTGCTGCTAGCCTAGTAAAGCTCCTCCCTGTTTTGGGCATTGTGACTCCCCCACAATGAAGCTCTACAGAACTGAACAAACTTCACAGTGGAACTATCAAGGCAAGATGGGGCACCTATACTTTTGACATTTAGGAAAACAGACAGGATTACCTCTGTGGACGCATCAGTGAGCTAAAAAGCCTGGTAAACACGAGGATGAAAGCTAGTATCATTCTGAACACCATTACAGCAATTATATACAGCTGTATCTCTGCCTGGCTTCATAGGTCTTTGTCATGCCACAGAGTTGAAGGTAAATAACAAATAAATATGGCTGGATTCCACTTAGCTGCCTCAGTTTGAGAGCCTGTATTATATATTCCTCCTGCTTGTCATGGCCAACTTTAACATAATCAGCCAATACTGAACAGGAAACCTGTGTTTCCCTGCTGTGAAAAGTCCAGTGTCTGTTGCTGTTTTACCACAGATATTATTTTGTTTTTCAAGCGAGATGGATATTAATAAGCCTTTGAATCCTCTCTCAGGTCAGTTTGAGAACCCCTTGAACCAATATATACGCCATTATGAAGGTTTGTCATACGACACAGAAGCCTTGCACAACAGTCATCAGAGAGCCAAGAGGGCCCTCTCTCCTCAGGACAGGATTGTGCACCTGGACTTCCATGCACTTGGGAGGTCAGTTTACAAACAAACTCGCACATAAATGCTGCCCTTCTCACTTTTACACTGTCTCCTTCAATTCACCACACTACTTCCAATTACCTTCCTCCTTTACACCTCACAGTACATCTGTGAAGGTTAGATAAGTAGCTTCATCAGTGATTGTGTGTTGAGTTCAAGCTGTAATCACCCCTTGCTTTGTCTTTTTTCTATTAATTTTACCCTCTGCAGCGAAGTTCTCTTATATTCTCACCACCTTTACCTTTTTTATTTCTCAATGACACAATGTTCAAGTTAAGTACTAATCATGTTGTCTGGATACTGTGGTGATAGCACAGATTTGGAAACCAGCAGCTGTTGGAAAAGGTTTTGCAGCATCTATACTGAAAGTTTAATCCTCATGCTTGTATGGACAATCACATTCTGATGAAACAATGTCACATGCTGCCAGGTATGCATACCTTACTTCAAGAATGCAAGAATAATTTATCATGCACAAAGACTCCCATCTGGTCTCTCTGTTCAAGACACACCCTAACATTGTATAATATACAATACAATGCAATACAAGGACTTCATTGATTGTTATGAAAGTCATAATGAAGGTTAACGCTAATTAAAATCAGACTTACTATGTGCACAATCCAGAAATAGTCATTTAAGCAAGTCAAAGATTCCAGTGTATATTAAAACAGTGTCTTTATTTGAAGTCCAAGTGAACTGATATTTCAGTCCCAACGAAATGTTTCAAATTGGAAATATAAACAACACTGTAGTAGTAGAGCCAGCAGCTTATAAAGAATGGGTTCCAGTACAGAAGATATCATGATGTAACCATTTTTGGTAAACTGTACTGTATACAGTATATTATCCTCTTAGCAGGCACCCCATCTCTTATGTCTTCAGGCCATTATTATTTCCTCGAGCCAGTCTGCTTACTGAGCAAAGTTTATGACTGTCAGATGCTTGAGTCAATATGTTCAGGATTCAGGAGATGTCTGAATAATTTATCAATCAGCTGGTTCTATCTGATATGAAGAACTGACTGGATCAACTGACTCTCTTCTTCCTGTGTGACGCAAACCACATTCATTTGTCTGATATGTGACTAAAAATCTAAAACAAAGGATCTGTCATCACAAAAGCAAAAACAACCTAGATTACCTGTTGCTGTACACTTTGTTGCACTATATTATGACATTTTATTGCTGCATTTCTTACACTGATCAGACACTTTTCTATCATGGTGGCAAAATATATCAGATTTCTGAGTCAAGATTGTGGCTATCAGTTCTAGAGTCTGAGTTCACTTATACTGTGCAGTTTTGGCTGTTTGTTCATTTTTAAGGGGACAGAAGAAAAGTAAAATTGATTTCCAGTTTAAACCTGTAAGTACTTATGTTTCTGTTTTTGATTTTTTTTTTTTCAAACAATGCTCACAATTTTTGAGATCCATCTGTATGGCAGTGCAGCAGAGACGTGTACACAAAAAAGAGGATAATATCTAGTATTGATGAAAATTAGGAGTGGGGAAAATTGGTACAACAGTTGTTGTTCCCTGAGGTGGTAACTGTCATATGTTGCCCTGTGCATGTGATTGATTTTTGGCAAATGCTAAGAATTTGTATGAAAACATTAGTAGTGTTTGGTGTATTTAATGTTAACACACGTCTTCTCCTGATTTTCTTTGTAGATATTTTAACTTGCGAATGAAGAGAGATACTACCATATTTTCTCCAGACCTCGTCATTGAGGTATCAGGGGAGAAGGAACCTATGGATACATCCAGTATTTACAGTGGGGAAGTCTTTGGTAAGTCCAGCTGGACTTACCAAGGTCAAATTTTATCACTGAATCAGTTGGTCTTACAACAAGTGTCCATAATCTCAGCCTAGCAATACTAGAAAGCTGAAATCTTTGTACTTTCTCTTTAACATGAAAGAGCATACAATACCAACATTTTGACCACACACCGGGATTATATGTGATTACATTACATTTTTATATGCCTTGTGATAAAGCCATGACTTTCTGCTTTCAATTATACCACAAGAATCGTATGAAGCAAACTATTTTAATAAACTTGAAGTCTGTGACTTAGAATTCATCTCATGCAATTTCCAGTATCAGTTGATCAGTTTGTTTGCTTATTGTTTATAGATTCTGAATGTGCACAACATAGATATTTCATTTTAATTCCAGTATAGAAGAATAATTTAGTAGTCTTTATTAGTCTCTGTAGGAAAAAAGCAGTTTGACTGTCTGTCCATACCCCCATTCACTTCTTTGTCAGGTGACAAGGGCACGCTGGCCCATGGCTCTGTGGTGGATGGGCGCTTTGAGGGCTTCATCATAACTCACCATGGGACATACTTTGTCGAGCCCTCAGAGAGGTACCTTAAGGACCAGAACACACCATTCCACTCCGTCATCTATCACAATGATGACATAAGTAAGCATCAGCCGTTTCTCTTATTGGACTGACACACACTTTGTGGTCTCGAGTTGAAAAGGAAGTTTAAGCTAACAAAGCACACACAAGAGTCAACTGGTGTTTGTGTTTTGTTCACACATGTGAATTTAGTTGTACTTTGAAAAAAAAAAGCGTTTTTAATAAAACCATGTTAGATTTTTTTTTTTTTTTTTTACCTTGGCTTGTGGTCTTGCTAGGGTCAAAATGAACAACTGATTCTTAAAAGGAAACACAACCCCCCCACATAAGGTAATGCAAACATTGCAGAAGTAGAGAGACATTCCAAAGAAGAGCCTCCAGCAATAAAAGTTCTCACCTGATATAAACCCCACCCTGACTTTTGGCTGACTGATATTCATCACTCACACCAATGAACACAGACCAAGGAGATTAAGATGAGATAAGAACTTTGTTGATCCCCAAAGGGAATTTCCTGAGAATGTGTTTTGTGAAAAGTTTTTTTTTTTTTTTTTTTGTAGATGTTTCCTGTAAAGATTCTGATGCAACAGTGAAAAATAGGAAACCATGTTGTTCTAAAATGATGAAGTCCAATTATTTGACTGTAGGCTTTTCTCACCTGTCTTCTTTTTTTTAAACTTCAGAACAAAGTCAAAGAGCCTTTTGAGGAGCAGTTGAATCAAAAAGCATTTTCTGTTGGGACAAAAAGGTCCTTTTCCTTGAAAAGAGAGAACACATCGCCAGAGATTGGATCTGTCGTCTCATTGTTTTTCCTATTGGTTCAGAAACCAGCCTAATTGAAACCCACTGACCTGCAAATATGAAGGAAAAAAAATTGTTGTTCTTTATTTTTTCCTTGTTTTAAAATGCATCTTTTTGCACCCCAGCTCACCCTGATTCCCTTTCCCCAGCCTACCACACATGACTCATCCATGTTGCAGTGTAAGCTTTCGCAACTGTTGCCTTATCTCCTCCCTTTCTGCTAGATTATCCTCACAAGTATGGCTCAGAGGGTGGCTGCGCTGACCACTCAGTGTACGACAGGATGAGGAAGTACCAGGCATCCGTAGTAGCAGAGCCAGTCAAAGTAAGTGCCCACATTACAACAAGGCCCCTCCCCTCTTCCCAGCTTCGTAATTAAACACACAGATGGACCCGGCTTTAGATTACAGAGGTCTGAGTCAATATCCATTCTACCATACCCTGACAGAGGGAACGTGTATATATTTTCAGCTGAAGTGTACATGCTTTTAATATTAACCATGATCCCAATCAAAATTTAAGACACATTGAATTTTTTTTACATGGCAATAAGACCTTTCTGATTAAGACTTTTGGAGAAAATGTGGCAATCCCAATCCTAATCCTTACCCGGAAGCCTTTGCACATTGGACCCCTGCAGATTTAACATCAGGAGTATGATATAAATTAAATTATGATGTGAGAATGGTTACAGTATAAAAATGATGACAGGGACACACTTCTTTAACATCACATGTTGCCTTTAAACAAGATATGACATCAAATAAGAAAGAAAACCCTTCCCTCTGTTTGTAATGTTTGTTTTGAGTGTATATGTCTTTAAGGAGACTATCAAAACTTTTGTTTTGTTTTTAAAGTGATAACATAAATCCTTTTGAATTGTGATATAAACAACTTTAAAAATAACATAAAAAAAGTGAAAAATCACCCTATCATGTGCAGATAAACTTTTATGCATTTTTTTTCCATGTAATGTCCATGATTGATTTGTTTACATTTAGGTTTTTGTACTCAAACCTTATTAGATAATATTTCAATTTCAGATCATGTTTACTGTTAGAAGATGGTTGGAAAGTGACATCCTTCACATCACATATTTTTTTATGAACTCTGGGCAGTCTACAGAAATGTGGGCTCAAGCAAAGAGCATCATTTTGAGCAGGAAAGTCTGCATTAGAGTCCTCACACACTTGACAGTTTTACCCCTGTGGCACCCTTAAACACACATACACTGGATAAGAATGTCAGAGTGAGACTGGAGATTGGTATTGGTGTAATGTGAATTTTTAGTGTAGTTTGGTGCAGCTTCCTTGGAGAGGAGTGTTTTAACTCTACTAAACTGTGATAAGAAGACCGGTCCCACTGGAATCAGAACTGTTGAGTGTTTCCCTGGGGATTAGTTAAACAATCTCTTTCACGCTCCTCAAATTTGGATTTCTTTGCCCTCCTAAATCCAGCCTCCATCTGTTTGATACTGACCTTTGTTATTTTTTGGTTCAATGCTACAGGATGAAAACAGTGTCCTGGAGGAGGAGAGCTCTCAGAGAGATCCTGTTGTTCTGAGGAAAAAAAGGGCTGCAGCAAAAGAGAAAAACATTTGTCAGCTCTTCATCCAAACTGACCACACTTTCCTACAACAGTTTGTCACAAAAGAGGCTGTCCTTGCACAGGTACACAATCACCCACAGTGAAATAACAGGTTAACATCTGTCAAAACTGTTTCTAAGAAATTCTTCAGGGTAGGATTAGCAGATGTGTCTTGAATCAGCATTATTCTTATTTTCCCTTGGAAGCTTAGTGTCTTCAATGAAGTGGTTTTTCTGGTGCTTATTTTTTGCTGATTGAACTAAACACTTTCCCTGCAGATCTCTGGCTACGTGAAGGCCACTAACTCCATCTATCAAGCCACAGACTTCATGGGCATCCGGGATATCAGCTTTATGGTTAAAAGGATCAAAGTGAGCTAAAAAATCAGACAGGAGCACTTTTGGCTGAGTCTGGACATGTAAATCAGCCAACTAAATAGTTGAAATTTTTCTCTCTTGTATTTAGATAAACACCACCAGCGATGAAAAGGACGAAACAAATCCCTTCCGCTTCCCCAACACTGGGATAGAGATGCTTCTGAACCTGTTCTCTGGACAGAACCATGATGACTACTGCCTGGCTTATGTCTTCACGAGCAGGGGATTCAGTATGGGACATCTCGGTTTGGCCTGGATCGGTTCTCCCTCAGGTTGGTACACAACTACACATCCCTGGTTGGATTCTTCTGTTTTTCTTCTGTTACTCAAACACAAAAGCTGGTTAAATGAAAAACAACATAGGGATTTACCTCAGCTCATCCATGAATAAATAGTATTTTTGTTTGCATTTGTATCTGTTGGTAATACAGGCGGTTACACTTCTGTTATTAGTATTACATTTTCATGTTTATAGCATCATAATCAATAACATATTCTCGAGTCATTTTAAGGTTTTTTAGGTCTTGTCCCATCAGCGTTTTTTGTCTGATTTCCTCTCAGACTGGGTGTTATCCAAAAAGTTCACTAATGTATTTTTGATTGAAGAGTTAGCTGTTGTTATTGAAATTATCACCACAACAGAATATGTTTGTATCATCTGCAAATTAAACAAGCTTCGGTAGATTCGATAGTTTACATGTATCATTAACATATAAGATGAATAATTTAGGGCCAATCACTGAACCCTGGGGGACACCACAAGCAATGTCCAAACATAATAAGCAACAATCCCCCAACTTCACAAATTTCCTGTTTTCTAAGTAACTCTTGACCTAGTTCAACTCTACACCCCGATGCCAAGTTGTTCAAGTTTTTTTTTTAATAAGAATGGTTTATTGTGTGAAATGCTTTTTAATGTCAGTAAATATCCCAAATGCATTTTTTTCTGGTCCATAGAGTTTCAAATTTCTTTGAATCTAGTAAAGCCAGTGTTGTTGATCTGTTTGACTGTCAGTAAGCAGATTGTATTTTTCAGTGAATTTGTCCAGCCGGTTCTTGAAAAGTTTTTCTAGAATTTTAGAGAGTTGTGGTAACAATGAGACAGGTCTGTAGTTTGTGAAGTGGTGTATAACTCATTAACACAGTATCTGAAACTGAAAAATCAGATGTAATAATGCTCACTTGTCATCTAAGAGCCTGTTTAGATTCTAACTGTATAACAAAAGCTTATTTCTGTTGTCACAGTTGGTCTTTTGAACAAATGCTGTGATCTTTTCCCTCTTCTTCATTCATCAAGTGACATAATTCAGTGCAGAGCTTTTTTTTTTTTTTTACTTTAGTACTGTGGAAAAATGTTCACTGTTTTCATAGTATTAGAAAAATAATTTAGTAAGCCTATTCAATGCCTTACTTTTAAATCGGTGCACCCAAATTTTTTTGTTGTATCCAAGACACTTGTGCTTTGACACTCCAAGTGCAGCACCTTTTGTAAGCCCATGTTAGAAACCGAGACTGCAGAGACTTGGCTTAAGCATCAGTCTGTTAAACATGCAAGAGTATTTTTTTTTATTTTCCCTTTACTGTAATTGAATGTTTTGCAATTTTTTTCTTGGTTGCAGATATAAATAAGTAGTGGTTTTGTGAACTGTGGAGCAGTTACGCTTCCTGTGTTTACTATTTATTTAAATATTTGATAAGAAACCTGTAGCTTGATTCAAAAAATCACTTCCTCTGATTCTCAACATCTTTCACAATTTGCTTCATGTGTAACCCACCTTTAATGACTGGACTATTTCAGTTTTAAACATTAGAAAAATCACAGTATTTAAACATTCAGTATCTTCAATTGAATATTTTCATAATCCACTCTTCTCTGTTGTGTTAATTTTGCTTCCACAGAGGACAGCAAAGGCGTCTGTCAGAAGTACCGACCGGCAAAAGTTGGACATAAGTCTTTCAACACCGGAATAATTACTGTGAATCTCTTCGGATCAATTGTCCCTCCCAAAGTGTCACATGTCACCTTCGCTCATGAAATAGGGCACAGCTTGGGCTCTCCTGTGAGTACGATGTTTTAAAATGTTTAACTCTTCTTTTTCCTGGCCAAGCTCTTAAACATATCACATGCTGCTGTTTTGTTACAAATCACCCTGCCGGTTTTCCTTTATTTGCCCTCTGTTTTACAGCATGACTCTGGGATCAAATGCACCCCTGGAGAGTCAGATTTTCAGGAAGAAAAGGAGCAGGGAAACTACATCATGTATTCCAGTGCTACATCAGGAGACAAGCCCAACAATGACAAATTCTCCATCTGCAGCATTCGCAATATAAGTGCTGTTCTGGCCATTTGGAAAGATGACTGCTTTGTTGGTAAGTCCTCTCTTCTAAACTCATCTGCTCCTGTCTCTGCGTGAAAAAAGGCTGTCTTAATGCTGTTGTGTCTGTGTGTACAGAGTCTCGCGAGCCTTACTGTGGTAATGGACTCTTGGAAGCTGGAGAAGAGTGTGACTGCGGCTACACTGACCAATGTAATGACCCATGCTGTTATAGCGCCAGTGAAGCAGAAGGGAAAAGATGCAAACTCCAACCAGGCAAAGACTGCAGGTTAGATGAGACAAGCATGCTCCTGTACAATAATCTAACGTGTACTGATGAATAATTTAACCCAAAACTAACAGTTTGAAGGACTGTTTTAACTTTTGATGACATGAATTTGATACTTTTCCCACAGTCCCAGCCAAGGCCCGTGCTGTACATCAGAGTGCACTTTCAAGAACAGTAAAGCGAAGTGCAGGGTGGAGTCTGAGTGTGCCAAAGAAAGCCTATGCAATGGAGTAACAGATCAGTGCCCTGCCTCAGAGCCAAAGGAAAATTTCACTTCCTGCAATTTAGAAACACAAGTCTGCCTCAATGGGGTATGCAGGAATGATGTTCCACATACTGTTGGTGTTTAGTATGTGAAGAATATGATCTTGTGTTAGAATTAATTTATTATTATTTTATTCTTTTTCCTATCTGTTTTTAACAGGTATGCTCTGGTTCCATTTGTGCAAAGTATGGCTTGGAAGTTTGCACCTGTGCCAGCCAAAACGGCAAGAATGAAGCAGTAGAGCTCTGCCATGTTTGCTGCATGGAGAAAAGTGAGTGATGGGCTACAAAAGTGGTCATTGCTTTAAAAAAAACACTCAATAGGAATTTTAGGCTAATGTTAAGTGATAGTAACATCAGACTGTTAAAGAATAGATTATTTTTATACGATCCAAGGGCAAAAAAGCACTGAGTTGTTGTCAGTATCTTTATGGTCACACTCCCTCTTCTGCCCCCAGTGGACCCCAGCACCTGCAGTAGCTCAGGATCAGAGAAATGGGCAAAATATTTCAACAGGAAGGTCACAGTGCTGCGACCCGGCTCCCCCTGCAACAACTATAAAGGCTACTGTGATATGTTATTGAGGTGTCGTCTAGTGGATGCAGAAGGGCCTCTGAGAATGCTAAGGAAGGCCATCTTTGATATAGAAGAACATGAGAATATTGCAGATTGGATAGTGGTGAGTGGCCTGAAAATACAGCAACTTAGTTCTGCACTAGGAATTCATCAATATGATGACACATATACGTGCAGTGACTATTTTGTGTTTCTCTGTATTTTGACTGAATATGTGTGTTTTACAGGCACACTGGTGGGCGGTGCTTCTGATGGCCATCGCTCTTGTTCTGTTAATGGCTGGTTTCATCAAGATCTGCAGCATCTTCACGCCAAGCAACAATTCTAAACTGCCTCCACCAAAGCCAGTGCCAAAACAAGTGCACAGCTTATGTCCCTGTTCAGGTTCATATTCATCCAGGTCATGGTTATCCAATTCTTCATTGAAAGGGCAACTGGACTTGCTTGAAGTTCTTAAAGATGTTTCTTCTTTCTTCCAAAAGGCTTCATTAGTTATTAAGTGACTGGGGCCAAAGTTGGAAATTCATAGCTTAAAGGGGTGATGGGTCACCTGAGAGCCATTAGCAGGGTCGTTGACATGGTGTAAGTGGAGTTGGAGCCTGTGATCCAGCATAAAAGCATTGTTTCGATTGTTGTCAAAAGAAATCCAAAAGCTGACTTGTAAGAGGAGGATGAGAAGTGCCTTGGACCAGACAAGTCGGCAAAAACATTGCTGTGCCAATGATTGTTCTCTTCTTCCCTGTTGGTCTCCAGTTTCTGAGAAGACTTGATAAAGGCCCATTCAAGGCTTCCCTGAGGTTTCGGTGTTCCTTCTTCTTGCCTTCCATCTTAGTATCTTCTCAGCCCTGTGTTGAGGAGTTCTGATGAGACCCAAGGAGGTGTCAAGGAGGCCATCTTTGTCAAACTGCCCTTTCAACGAAGAATTGGCCCACAGTTGATGTATTTTTACATTATATTTTGAACCCGGCATTAGAAAGAGCTGCTAGTGGCAGAGAGTTTACATTTTGATAGATGTTGTTTTAAGAAATTAGGGGGTGAATAATGTTTTTTGGGGGAGGTAGGAAGATAATTTTAAAAGAACACTAGAAAAGCTCAAAGTGGAGCTATCTGGTTTGGCTTTTAGATTTGGCAAAGTTTTCCCTGTTGGATTTCATGCTGAGGATATAGAAAAAAGTATGTTTGTGTCAGGCATTTATTTTGTGCCCCTCATTGTGATGTCTTTTTCTTACAGCAAAAAAACCACAGCAGAGGCCAGAGAGTTTGTCCCAGCGTCTGCAATTTCAGCAGAAAGAGGACTATGAAATGGTTCAAATTAGGTCCTGAGACACTGCTCCACTCTTTGCCTTGGACCTTCCTACACTGGGAGCACCTCACACCAAAGAGTTACCTTAACCATATTTTGGAAAAACCAAAGACCCTGCACTTGGATCGATTTTCACTGACGTTAGCCTGATGTTTGGGGCCTAATAAACTAAACTCAGGGCATCTGCTCTGAGTACCATATCAGCAGTGGTTCACACAGCTTTTACAGAAAATAAATAACTCTTTCAAGGAGCAACAGGAGGAGTAATTCACTGATCTCTGAAGAAAAAAAAATTCAATGCTTTTTTCCAGAATTGGGGCTAGGAAAGCAGGTTTCACTTTCCCCTGTCTTAGAGCTGTGCCAGCAGTTCTCCTCTGTTCTTCTTCTTTGAGGTGCTGCCATCATCAGCATTATGGCAGGACTGCAGGTCACATAAATTGAGTTGAGCCGTTGAGTTGGAAAAACAACAACCATCAAAAATTGAAGTGTTTCTTTCTAAAGCATTCATGTTCTATCAGCATTCAATAGTACCAAGGTTGCAGTAGGTTTGTTTCGCCCTGTTTTGATCATTTTCCTGTCTGTTGACTATTTTCTGTTTTAAACGACTTTCTCAGGAATAATAAAACAGCAGCAGACAGGTGTACAGTCTATAGGTGGGAAACATGGCTGCATGAGTATTTCAGGGTATAGTCCCTCCTGGCTGTGCAGTTGGGTTCATGTTTGCTGCCATGGGGTGTAGAGAGGGGTAACTTAAAAAGAATGAGATAAACAAGCTGAATAAGATTACAGAGTTGCCTGATATTAGATGCAAATCTGTGGAGTGGAGTGAGTGATTAAGATGTCTTGTGGTCGGGTGTTGCACCTGTGTTAACTTGGATGTTTTGTCCAAAAACTGTGAGAAAGGAGCTTTCTTTACAACATTGATTGTATCACATCATCTTTTATTCTGCCCTGATTTTTTTTATTGCCTGAATTTTAGTGCTTTGGATTTTGTTTGCAGAAGACTACAGCAGATGGAAGTGTAGAAAAAAGAGAAGCTGTACTCTCCTTCTGACTTGTGGATTTAGCTTTTGACAACCTTCATTGCAGTTAAGGCAGTTTGTATATGCAGAGTTTTGTACAGACAAAACTTTTGATTTTTTTTTCTCAAAATCCAACTAGGGATTAGAATCGATAGCCGGTTCTTTTTTAGAACCAGTTCCCAGTGATTCGATTCCTAAGAATCGTTTGTCTGCCTCCTTAACGATTCTGCTAACCGGTTCCTTTCACGTCTCTATGCGTGATGACGTAGTAATAGCTTACCAGCATGGCGTCGCGCCAAAAGCACTCGAAAGTTTGGCTATATTTCACGCGAAAAGATTATGCCGGGTCAACCTGGAACACGTGCAGAGCTTTAATTGCATTAAAAGGGGGAAATACTTACGATATGCGGATCATTTGTCCACCCAGCATGCAATTAATGTTCGGAAGTGTAACGTGTTTGATACTCTACTTACCGAAGGCGAGAGTGGTACAGGCAAAAGCAGGAGCGGTGCTAACGTCTCGGCGTCATCTGCTTTAAATGCTGAAAGGTAAAGTTTAACTCCTACAGGTCCTATTTATTGTATAGATGTTAGCGCCAAGTTAACCCCATTTCGCTATATAAATACTCTCTATCTCCTTCAATTACATTTAGATGACGATGACTGCCAGAGTCATGCTAGCTCCGAGGCTGCAGTAGGTAGCTCTCGCACACCTTTGGCAGCTCCTTTCATCGAGGCAGGGAAGAGTAAAATGACAAAGGAGAAGATAAACGAATCTCAGCGAGCTGGGACCAGATTTGTGGTCAAAGGGTAGGTCGCATAACAAACTATTAGTATATGCCACATCTTCTGCCCAAGGGTGAAAATATTAAAGAGTGAATGAGAACAAACCCATTTGTATGATCTTATTTCTCACTCAATTAGAGTTGATAAGGAATAGTATCGATAAGCAGTATTGATAAAGGAATTGGATTAGCTAAATTCTTAACAATTCCCCTCCTCACTCCCAACAGACATTTTATAGAACAATCACTTGGTGACAACTATCCAACTGCTTTTCTGCCCTGTATTTCAGATTTTTAATTACATTAAAATGTGAACACTCTGAGTCGTGACACTGACATTGGTATGGAAGGACAGTTTGTCCATGTACTGTTGGTGCTGTTTGTGCTGCTGAGCTTATAGTGGACATGTTTTTTTTGTGTGTGTGTGTATGTGTGTGTTATACTTAACTTCTTCAGACTTGATTATTTGTACTGTGTGCAAAACTCTTTTTTTTTTTTTTTTTTTTTTTTTTTAACGAGCTCTGATTTGACCTAAATTTAGTTTATAGTGATCTCAAGACAGATTTGGTTAAGGATTATCTTACAAAGTGATGGATGGAATGCAGCCTATTTTACCCTGAAAAGTACATGTATAGTTTCCTGGTATTATTACAGGTATTTTTCTTACCTTTGCAACAGTTGCATCAAGCCAGATCGACATTATTTCCTGACTGCAGAATTTTTGTTTTTATCAGATATATTTGATGCAGAGTGTTACAGAGACCACCAATGAACAAATAAACCTTTTCACACACAATACAATGCAGTAAAACAATACAAAAACTTTATTGATTCCCCAAAGGAAATTCATTTGTCTGGAGTCTCATTTCATTTACTATTTGTAGAAGAATTGAACTGATTGGACATAGACATGCCTTCAATGTTTTTCCTCTAAGTACATGAAAGTTGTGTTTTCTGTTTCATTTTTCTTTAGACTAAAGTGCAGTTGTCTGTGGTCCCTGAAACTGATTTTGTCTTCTTGGTGCTTCCTTTAATGCTAGTTTATTTTTACTTTTCTTGCAAGTTGTCAAGCTTTTCTGTGGAGTGTGTATACGTGTCTGTGTTGGAATGAGAGATGTTATACTAAATTGTCTTTTTTGTGATGGTAAGTTGTTGACAATACCAGGTTTTGGGGATGAAACTCTGGGATATTTTCCTTTGTTCCAAGAATTGCTATGATGTTGCAAAAATGTGCACTGAAGTATGAGCGATGTAAACAGTGAATCCATAACAGTACAGAATTAGTACTACTGTGACGATTTTAATACATCCTGTGTTTCATACAGTGCTCTCAAATGTTTTTTTTTTTTTGCCCTTTTTTTTGTTCTGTTTCCTGCCAGCTAACTTTGAAATTTCATAAAATTTAATGGTGATAAACAAAAATTTCCTTTGAACTACTTAAAATGCAACATTAAACCAGAATCAATCAAATGTTTTTTTGTGTTACTTAAACACGATAGCTAGAACAAATAATGTTTTTTCATGGCTTTTGCTCAGGTTTGTGTAAAGGTTACACTATCTGTCTGAGTTTCAGTTCAGGCTTATCACTACGATCAATGCTGCATCTAAATTTGGTGAAACTAACTCTGTTTGAGGATTTCTGTGTTTACTTTTTGAGCTTTGGCTCTCTGCAGGTTTGCAGTTTGTCACAACATGACCAGTGGATTAGTGTAGTCTCTGGAAAAAAAGCCACAGAGTAGAAAAAAACAGAGTTTATTTATTGCTCTGGTTGAAGTTTGATTAACATGTATTCTTATAATGCTATTGACAATAGTAATGTGAGTTCATATAAATTACAATTTCAACAATATTACAAAGGACATTTACAGAAAAAAAAAGAAATGTACATACTGTGTGGTAAACGTCACCAAGAGGTCATTGACTTTTTGTTCCCTGTCTGGTTAATGTTTGACTTGGCAAAAGCTGCTATTTATACACTTTCAACATAGACAGAAATGTTAATCTGTGCTTGATGTTCAAACTTTGGTTTGGTAGGGTGCAAAAATCATATGCAATATCTATTTTTAACAGTGAATAAATCACATAACCAAATTAAGACATTTTCCTTTCAAGTGTTAACACTACACTTATTAGTTGCTAGCTTAACCGGCCTCAGCTTCCTCTGAATGGACTCCTTCTTCAAACTATAATACAGTTTATCAAGTGCTACAACCTAACAGTCAGACAGTCAGTGATGTTAAGAGGTTCACAGAAAATCTTCCAGTTTTCCCAGAGATCCTTGCTCCGTTTAACAAACATGGGATCAAATGAGTTCATTAGTTGTGAATCCTTCTACGGTGTTTTTTTGATGTGTCTTCTTTACAGCGCACAAATGTTTTCTCTTGTGAAACCTCAACTTCTTGTCCATCATTTGTCATAGCACAAAAAGTTGTCCTGAAAAACAGAAACAATATAGTTGCCATGAAAAAGAGAACTGTACCAGAGAGCAAGCAGTCAGTGCAGTATGTTTCAGATTCTGTAAGTGCACAACAGTCCACAAGATGGCAATAAAAGCCCACACTGAGGGACAATTTAAGATGTTATTATACCTGTACATGAATTGCATATTGAATGTATTTATACTTTATAGTGTGTGTGTGTGTGTGTGTGTGTGTATCAATATATCTATCAGTAGGTTTACAATAGGGGTTATACATTTAATATGGTATGTTATATCTAACTTACAATTTCTATATTATAGATACTTTGATTTTCCAGAATAAATGACAAACCCAAAGTGGTAATTAATATCCTATCAGTTAATGTATATAATGATGTCCTTCCTCTAAATAACAAACAAACACCTCTACTTCCACAGCTCAGCATTATTTCTTGACTGGATAAGGTGTAAGGATGTTCGGTTTTTATCAGATTTATTCTGTGCAGAGTATATCAGAGCTCAACCATGAACAAGTAAACCTCTCCACAGAGCTCCACCTCCACTTCCACAGTTGAGTAATCACAACTGCACAGCATTGCTACTTGATATGGTGATGAAATGATTATTGCATGAAACAGCAAATGTAAAACATGTATTAGTGAGTTGTGGAAATCTGGTACAGGTGCTTTAACTTTTAGATGAGGAACAAGTTATTAATGTTAATGAAGTGTGCTTATAAACTACTATTTAAGAACATTTTGACAGGCCTGAAACATAGGGCTGTACCTCTCTTGCGTCTCTCCTGCTTTGACCCTGATATGGCCCACTGAAAGCACTGGTGTTTTCTGCCCTCTGCCCCAGGGTATGAAGTTCTGCACCCGGCCCCACATCTTCTTCCACAGAGCTGATCCCTCCCAGCGCAACTTAAGCATCATCAGATCACCCAAGTCTTTGTCCAGGGTGATGAGGAAGGTGTAGGTTTCATTACCTAAAATAGTTTCAGCACTGAAAAACATGGATAAGATCAACACAAAATCTGTTATTAACAAAAAGGGAGGGCTATGATAAAAAATTAAAGCAAGGGAACACATGAGACTTCCTTTGAGTGTGTAGCTCTTTGATACTCGGATAATGAAAGATAACACATTTGCCTGCGAACTGTGCCTCGCGTAAATTATTTACTCCATCAACCCCATTCTCTTTCATGCTGCAGTTGAGTTGTTTCCATGTGTGTCAGCTGCTCTTGCCTTCTGTCTCCAAAGAGTGGGGAACCCAGCTGCATATTGCATTTATGGAAGTGAGTACACTGAGGATGGGTGTGATGTAATGGTGCAGTACTCACATGTCAATGTTGAAGTCTCCACTGTCCTCCTTTGTTCCAGAGAGGGAGACTGTCAGATAGGGCTCGATCCCCACCATCTGGTTAACAAAGTGGATCCTGAACTGATAATGGAAGACTGAAAAGAGGGGATAAGAAACAGAAGAAGAGATAAGACATGAAAACATTTCTTAGCACCATTATCAATCGGTATTTCCTTCTGAACTTATCTTACAGTGAATGAGTATTACTTTTTGGTGGTTTATTATGTTCCTTAACAGTTGCTGAAACAATAAGGCTGTCTTACTCTTTCTTTGTTCTTTTCAAACGTGTGACAGGAGCTTAAAAAATTATGTGTTTTTTTTTTGGTACTTTCTTTCATTCAGTTTTTTGTCTGTCACTCAAAAGCTGCTACCTTCAACCCAAGATTTAAATCTTATGACAAATATACACATATTTTACTGGTATGTTTTTGTTTAATCAGTGATTTTCTTGAAGCTGCACAGATGTGCATTTGTGGGGGGCTACCAAACTGTGGATAAATACATATTTCCTCCCCTTGAGTTTGTAGCAGCAGGACCGCTTATGTGAGGTCTGCAATAATGTGAAATAATGTGGCTTACTGTTGTGATACTGGATAACAAATGGGCTCTCATATGAATGTCAGGTGTTGCCTTCACAAACAATTTTGAAAAAATATTGCTAGGTATGGGTCTTTTGAAGCGACTAGTTTTTATGTTAAATAATATCTCAAAAATCACAGGATTTTACTGTAGAATGATTAATTTCTAATTCCATATGATTCTACAGAGACAAATCGTAGACCTACAGTGCTTTGCCTGATTTGTATGTGAGGTAAAGCTAGCCAGTGTAAAAAATATTTCTTCATACGTTTGTAAGGCATCCGTTGTCCTGTTTTTAGGTAGAGCCTTTTGCTGGTACCACTGCGGATCTTCCTGATGTTGTAGCCCAGCGTGTTGCAGCGGTTCTTTCGGCAGTCCAAACAGATACCTTTGTTGAAAGCACTTTGGTCATTGCATCTGTAGGCCATACTTTGTTTGTCTTTATTCAGCAGGGAGTCAATGAAGAGATGAACAGAGCGCTCATGAGAGCATTTCACCGTCTGTTGAAAACCTTGGGAAGAAAATAAAAGTAGGGTCAGGCATTGATTTTTTTTGGACTGATTTTTCACACGTCACGTATCCTCTTGTGGATCAAGAGTCTGTTCAGTGTCTTAATCAGAGAGTCAGACCATTATTTGTGGATTGATTTCATTATCTGTCACATCTTCTTTAAACATCTCATTATGTCAAATATCAGTCGACCCTGAAGGGCTTTGTCTTTGAGCAGACTGTTGTAGCCTGAAGGCAGCTCAGCTCAGTGTAAGGGATGGAGCAAGGGGAAGGCATATGTTGCTAATTAGCTCCTGAGGATGACAGATGCTTTAATGTGGCATTCACTGTCATATTACGCGGATGTGTTTGGATTGAGAAATACCATTAATCCCACTTGTGAGCCTCTTGTGTTAAACTGGAGGAAATCAAATGCATCTGCCCCAACACAGAGCGAGAAGTTGTCAACAAGCAAAAGATGAACCAGTGCTTGAGGTTTAACTTCTGAACTGGTGTTTTGAGGAGGCAAATCTAACTAATGCCGCAGAGGAAGAGGCAAGCCAGTTAACAGCAAAGCAGCAGAACACACAGCTGTAAGTAGAGTGTGTATTTTCTCATGAGGGTTTTTAATGATAAACAAGGATACCAGAGAGCTGGGTGGAAAAAAAAACTGATCATGCAGGGACGAGATTAATAACTCTCACAAAGATTTCACAAGTCTTGAAAAAAAATAAATGAATTAGGTCTTTCTGAGATGTTAGATGTTTTTGATATTATTGGGGTAAAGGGTTTAGTGTCTTAACAGTTTTGATTTTGTTGTTTTGCTAAAGTTGCATTACTCAAATGTTGTGTAATTCCAAAAAGTCTTCTCTGAGATATTGGGCCATTCTATAGCCCCATCTCAAGTGCAACTCTTCTGTTAGCATAGAGGGACTTATAAAAAATAACACAGTATGACACTTCATGAAATTTCATATTTATCCCCCTGAGGGTAAATCCTGATTTACATATTCAAAGACCTTCCTAATTTTGCACCCCAAAACTGGCAGAAAAAATATTGATGTTTGTTACTGCTAAAAGTAATTCAGTTCAAAAAACTTTATTTGTCCCCAGTGGGCAGTTGGAGGGACATCAGGCAGCAAGTAAACAATATAAACACTGTACAAATGTAACAAACTTTACAGCCTCTATAGGGCGCTTAATGACTCCTAGACCCAGAGCATCACAAACTCATCGAGGTACCCGTGTAAATTTGTTTCTATGGTGTCATAGTTTCGACCTTGTCTTACCTAGAAGGCCATAGGTACTTATGTGCTCATAAATGTCTTGCAGGTCACATCCAGGTTGGTAGTTTCCTCCGTTTGGGTAAAAGTCAAAATGTGCCACAGCCTGCTTTATGCCCACACTGAGGCCCATTCGCTCATGGGTGAAGGTGTGGATGGCATCAACAAACTCGGCATCATCTGGAGACAGTCTGTCTGTGGGAGACATGCCTTCAAACAGAGGCCCTGCTGGATCCAGACCTGCACAGAGACAGCATATATTTAAGACCAGGATTGTAACAGAACTTATAAGTTCCCCTTTCCAATTTTTGTTATTCTCTATATTATGTCATTTATTCAAAAAGCACAATTATCAGTGCAGTGGAAAACTTGCCTGTAATTCGTCCAATTTTTTGGGAACCCTCTAGATAGCTTCCTGCAAATCCAGAGATGTGGGCACCAAGGCTATAGCCAATCAAATGAACTCTTTTAAGTGGGAACTGGAAGTGTACCTGTTGGGTTTTATGACCAGTGCATAATTGAAATAAGGTTAGTTAATACTGGCACTTGTATGATACCTTGTGTGAATGTAAAACCTACACATTTTACAGAGCATATTGTTGAGTCAAAGTTACAATGATTCAAAAGTTAGTCAGACTTCCTCTAACCTGCAGTGACTGCAGCAGGTGAGCGATGTCTTTCCCAACAGTGCGGGTGTTCTGTGCAGCTGTGGGGTAGTGCTGGTGAGCCAGGGTCAGCCAGTCGGTGATCACCACATTGACATCTGTAAGAGCCTCCTTCAGAGTAGCAGCTAACCTATGCACCCAACTCTCCATCATACCGTCCAACTATGGGGAAAAAATGAGATCAGATGTGTTACTTTTGGTGAGTGTTGCCTTCTTTTTTCTTTTGCAAATAGAATCTTTCAGTTAAGATATCCTGCTTCATTTTAATTATATGAATAATCTGAAGATGCTCAGATAAACTGACATTTTAATGTGTAGCTCACTTTGAAATGAATCACTTGCATGTCCAAAAAGCTTCTGTATGTATATCAGGGTTTCGGTTTATAACATTGAGATCTAAAACTGCCAGCAGGGGTCCCCCCATTGGTCCCAGTTCCATGTTTTGTATCCAGTGCTTCAACTCAGTGAAGTGAAAGAGAGGTTGACCTTACCGACCACCCGTGAGTGATGATGATGAGGGGATTACTGCTGTTAAAGCCACAGGAGGTGAGTGTGTGCAGCTGCAGAGGGTCCAATGTGCAGGTGTCTTCACCTTCCAAAAACAGCCTGAAGACTGAACTGCTGACATGCAGCTCATTCACCCTCAGGACTCCCCTCTGATCTGTGTCCAGAGCACATCAGAAATCAAATAGCAGAGGAGTTAATTGTTTATTCTTCATGATTACTGTGTGAATCAGACCATTTACTTTGAGGTCAACATCAGAAATTAATGCATGAAGGATTTCTGTAAGTTTGATCTTTATTTGGTACTGAGCAAAAAGGGGGGAATGAGACCCTTCTCTTGGGGTTCAATTTGACTGCAGACCGACAAACCCCCATTTTGAAACACTTTGCTGCGCTTCCAGATCATAACATCCTCTTTGGCAGATGCACACTAAAAAAACTTCATACAGGCCCATCTCTGCCAGACTTGTCATGTAACTCCTTATATAAACTCCTCCACTCCTTCTCCCTTCTCATGTTGAAACCACAGCCCAGAAGACTCATTCACGAACTGCATGGATCCTTCTCCAAAGAAATCTTTCTGTGCTTTTACTTAATATTTGTCATCGCCCCAAGTCAATCTTATTAATCTTGTAAACATTTTAATGTTAATAATGGCACAAACCCAGGCGCCTTTTTCTCTGTGATAAACTAACCATCTGCTCTGGTCTCTGTGAAGCCTGTGATGAAAAAATTTTAGAGTTATCATTCATCCATCATCCAGCCTTCAGCTCTGTAAACCTCATTTCCCACTGTGTGTCATTAGATAACTACAACTGTTTATTCAGATGAACATGAAGAGCAACAAAAAAAAGAGTCTGACTCAGTTTATTGGAGCGTTAGGGACTACTTGAGAAACATTTGAATGTTGATAGTTTCAAGCAATCCCTTAAAGTCAAATTACCGTTAGCAACATTGATGGTCTGTTTATTATAATGATCATTTCATGTGTATATGTATATTTTTTATACACTTTTTTAAACTGTTGAAAAATACGGTCAGTTTCATGAATCAGACTAATGATGGAAAACCTGATGGTATGAAATGAACATCAGAAAATTGCACACGATGGTCATAACCAAAGTCAGAAAACTAAAAAACACACTCAAGAAAGAAGATCTCAGGAAAAATATTTTTCAAATGATAAAATATATCAGCTAATGTCCACTTATCTGTTGCTTTAAAACAAATATACAAATACAAATATTGTTACTATTTGTAACAAGCATTTATACCTCTTAGCAGACTTGCAAAAAAGCTAATGCAATATTTTATCTGTATTTTAAAATGTTATTGAAACAAATATTCTAGGGTGTTTGGAGGAAAAAAAACAGGTTAGGCCCTTAGTATGTGAACAGCATCATATTGATTACATAATTCATTGTTTCTCATAGATTGTCCAACAGTATGACACGGCTGAGTGGCAGGTGTTGTTAGAGTTGAGAGTGTCTGATTACATAAAGTAAAACCTGTGCAACAAACGGCACATTTCACACTTTTTGGGATCACTGTAAAATGATCTTTAACTCACCTTCTCTGTTTCCTCTGATTTTCTTCCCCATACTCAGGTGACATGTTAACAGCACACAGCACAGGATTTTGAGCATGGACATGGTCTCACACTGATACTGTTATTCCTGAGAGACCAACACTTCAGATGAAAGAGGGCTAAAACATGTGTCTAATGCAGAGTCTGAAGGTGAGATCCGTTGTAATTTTTGGTCTATTTCCCCTCCTTAGCTCAGATTCAGAGTGGGAAACACGTTGGTCTTTACTGTACTTTACATGAAAGAAGGAACACTGGGAGTAGTGGTTTATGGATAAGAGGGATTTACTCCACTCCTGATTGGCTGGGCTGTACAGATCGAACATATTGTGAAAGAACAGAGATATGACGAGGGAGAGGATTGGCTCAATATACAAATAGTGACAGAGAGCTAGAAATTACTTCATTTAGACTTTCACCGTTTTATCTGCCACCGCAAGAAGCCTCCTTTATGTATCTTTTTTTTTCCAAAATACTAGAGCCAAACAAAAGTTTTGTCAGTGGGAAACTCATATGTAGCAGCAGTCTTTGGAGAAATGTATGTAAAATGTATGCAGAACATTTTTAAAAGTTTTAAAGAAGTGCATTTGCAGACAGTTTTTAGACTGAGTACACCAGGTGCAACTAAATAAATAATCCAGTGATAAGCCGGATTTCAGCATGCTGCCTTGAGAGATTCTTATCTTGCAAAATCCCTGTTTTTTCTTTTTTTCATTTGTCACGTTACACAAACTATCTCCTTTTCACTGGAAACTTGTCAAGTGTCACTTTGCCCAGGTAAATGCTTGGGTCGAGAATTGTTCACAAACAAGTTAAGTGTTTAGATAAGGGTCATGAAGACCTTCACGTACTGCTCCAAATGCGTATTATCATACTACATAACTGCAGATGCTTTCTTACTAAACTCTTGAACAAAAGTTATTTAAAAAACATTTTAAGTCTTCATTTTCTCTGTTATTTCTCATCACAGCACTGCACTCAAACTGTTAAAACCCCCATAAAACTGCCTTTTTGATGAAAACACTGCATCAGATGAATTTAGTGGAATGGAACCAACATCTATACTCCGTTTTTAAGCAGACAATTCTCAACATACAAACTTTTTACATGAAACTTTATGAGAGTAAAATCTTTCATAATAGTGCTTGACACCCTGGTAATCACTGGATCAAGACAATAAAAAGTGATGATTAGGGGTTTTAGAGATACAAAAATGGGGAAAATGATAAGATAATCATGTCAGATTATTGTGATTTAAGTGTTGATCAAAGCTTTAATTTGTGCTCCATTCAACTAAGTACTTTTGTGTCCTATTGAAAACACCTACTAATATTAAAACTGATTTGTTATCAAGTAGCAGCTGCAAAAACCTAAACTGTTGTAATTTAAGTGAATTTCTCAGAGTCCTGAGTTTCTCATTATATTAACACACACAGTGTCCTCTCCTGTTTGCTATATTGTTGTCAGAGAGCACGAGAACACTTATGAAAAATGTGATGGTAGTCGCCTAATTTTCATCCAGCAGCACAAGAGTTAAAGTCAGTCTGCATGATGTGTGATGTCACATCTGCAGGTTCACAGAAGAGCAAACATGGTGAACTTTTGCTTTTCTTGGTACTGTGTGCATGTGCAGGAATGTCAGCATGTGTGTCTGTGTGTGGACTTGTTTGCCTTTGTGTTATATATGTATGTATTTGCCTCTGTGTCTGGGGCAGCTGTTTCAGTAGCCAATGGCTTTATGAACAAAAATACATAAATACAGCTGGTTATTGGGCCCAGAAAACAGATAATATACACTATGAATCAAATAAAGGATGAGAATGAATCAGGGTTTCCATGAGGACACAATTCCACATTATTCCTTTTGGGATAAAGGAAAAAAACTGAGGGGGAATCTTTCATGTGAACCAAAGGCTCGTGCACAGTAGTGAGTGTGATCTTTTATTGCATAAAGCTATTAGCACTCATGTCAAAGGGAGTATGCACTGTGAGGAAGAGCTCTCAAACCATTGGAGTGCAAAGACAGTCAGTCTTCATCCATTCTGCATGAAGTTATGTAAGCGTCTCCAGTTGTTTTTGTCTTGTATTTCTGCTGTACTCACTCCTCATGTTGATGATAGATAATTGCTCAGGGATTTATTTGTTTAATGAGTGCTCTCAGCACAAGTAATAACTGCAGATTTAATTGGACGAGATGCCTGCACTTCATCTGTAATTGACTGTGTGTGCTTGCACGCTTGTGTTTGCGATCTTGTATATCTTTTTTTGTAGAGTGGAACTGGGTCAAATGTAGTCCTGAAACTTGGGATGGGTTGGCCAGTCCTGCTCTTTTCAGATGGCATCAAGTTAAATCATTCAAATAAGTTATACATGTAATTTTTGGGTTAAAAAAAGAAGGACTTGTAGAACAAATGTCTGTTGCGTGATTGAACAAACAAAATGCTGCACAAATGCCTCAGTTGGCTAGAAAGTGCCATTGTTATCATGAAACACTTGATGTTTTTTTTTTTTTTAAACAAGAAATCAATAAATATACTTACTGGGTAAATAAAAAAAGACTGTTTGTGGTAGTGTTTTTATGGTTTATTTTTTTAACCTTTGATGTTTAGTCAATAAAACCAATAGGTACCTTCTGGACAGTGTCATGAAGTTACATTTGTGTATCACAGAAAAACTTTTTTAACACCACTGGCCTTGAATAGTTTCTAGAAAATCTACATAACAAGTGTCAACAAACAAATCATACTATCAAACTGTACTTAATATTAAGGTACATAGAATAGTGTAAATGAAAAATAGCTTATTCAGACAAATAGTGCTCAAGGAATGAATGGTACTCAACTATCTTTGAAAAAGCAACTGTAAATAATTATCAACAAAATAACACAGACAAACATTTTAACAGGTTAGTTATTGACAGAAGCAAATAAACATCAAAATGTTGAACAGGGTGAGACGTACCAAAATACCTGAAGCATATCTACTCGGACACTGCAGCAAAGTCACTCTTTAATGAGTCACCAACTTGCACAATTTTTTCCTGTTTTATATGAGAGTATAAAAAAACAAAAAAAAGAAAAACCTCTAAATTCAAGGGATTTCACATTTTCTTGTGTATTGTGTAACCCTGTGCTGTCTTATAAAGACACTGCATGCAATGCAATTCAATCTCTTAACGAAGGTTCATAGAATTGTTTGTTCAAAATCAGCATGTGGATTTAGAGGTCCGTGCTTATGGATGCAAGCATTATAAACCTCAGCAGCACAGTAAAAGAAAAAAAAGATGAGGTTTAAAATGCATCACATTTTTCCAGTATTCAGTGAAACATTTTTTGCTGGCAAAAAATCTTAAATTTATAAATTTAGCTACCAGAACAACAACAGTGTTAGTCGTCAACTTATGGAAATTGTTAGCAAGATGGTGAACAAGTCAGCAAAACAAGTCTAATCATTTTAAGGCTGGATTTGCTAAATGTGTAATAAAGCTACAACACAGTAAGTTAAAGCAATCACATATCAGTTTTTTTACACACATGCGAAAGGTGAAGTGAATAAAATGAAATCGCTCAACATATACATCAATTTCAAAACACAGAGAGAAAAAAATGTGAAAATAAAAATGCTGTAGAGAAACTTGGCAAAATTTCAGTTGATTTAAAACGGTAAGTGTTACTGCATAACTTTAAATGAAAAGTCTCTAAACAAAGTTATGATATGGACTAACACTAAAACACTATCCTTTTAAAGTAAACTTATAGTTTAACTTACAGTTACCATCTCATATTTATCCTGGACATTGTTCTCCTCTTGTTTATCAGGCTCAGCATGGTGTAACTCTATGAACAGAAAGTAGACGCCTGCTCCAACAGCTCCGCCCACCATGGGCCCTGCCACAGGGATCCACCACCAACAACCACCAGCACTGCAGTGATGAGGACAAATACATGCTTATTATAAAAAGCTTCTTACGTATGTATTTACGTTTATCTACACAACATCCTGCATGAATTAAATTAACACAACCACTGAAGAATCAGGCTGCTGGCTAACAAGCATTTCCATTTGTGAGCAACACAGTACAGTAATACATCATGTCCTTCATTACTGTACCATATCATGCAATGAAATACAAAGCAAAATAATGTCATACAAGAAATGACATATGAAGATAACAGTGTTCTATGACATAGTCTAACATTTCTGATCCTGTTAAAAATGACACCATGTGATAAGATTTTCTGCGGCTAAATGACAGCCTACTTTAAAGCCCCTCAAGGTAAGTACTGTAAAAGTTATGAAAAAACTGTCGGCTCATAAAAGCTTTGTTTCTTTTGTTTGTTTTTTTTATAAAATACAACACACTCCAAACATATTCTTGGCAAAAGGAGATTACTTAAATTTTAATTCAAGATGTTAAAATATTATGGATTAAAATACATAAGCTATAACAAGGGGCCAGAGACTAAAGAGCAACTTGTTGCCTTCTGCTTTACCAAACAAATCAAGACATTTATGTTCAAATGCCATAATGTATGAAATAATGCAGCATGTAATTTGATACACTTAAACAAGATGTGTAAAAAGTATAAATAAAATCCAACTTAATGTAATATTAGACGTAATAATGCCAATTCTTCAATATATTGGGATAACAGAGATAAAAACACAACGATTAGATACCATATCACTTGGTACTGTACCATGTTATCTGATACTATACAATTAAATTCAATACAACACAATACAAAGCTACAAAAATAGATAGGAGTAGATGGTAAATGATACACGATACGATATGACACGATACAACACATAGGGTATGATACGATTCGATACTAGAAATGATATAATACAACACAATATGATACGATACCAACAAGGGAATGTGATATGATGCAATACTATAAAACAAGCCCTAACACAATCCAATATAGTGCTGTACCAAATTGTACACAATACCATAATGCTGTAGGATAAGATATGATATAACAACTTGTAGTGTTATGCACGGTCATACAACATGACACAGTGCTGTAGTGTATAAAATGAAACAGTTAAACTGTTTGATACATGATATGATAAAATACACTATAATACTATGGGATATACAACTGAATGTAAGGTTTCCCAATCATGTAATAAACTTTGGACCTTTACTTGAAAGTTATTTACAAATCGAAAACTCTGATTTATGGTTACACTAATGTTATAACTCGACATATGTCTGATGTAATCATAGCATTATGAAAGTACACAGCAGCTTAACCTGTACAGTTCAGAAGACGTCAGGATAATATATCTGTGCTATTTCATCCTTTTTTATATCTTTGCAAGGCTTTAATTGTACAGAACTACCACATAGAATTGTTTTGCCTCTCTTTCAAACGACATAATGAACACTACCTCTTCAATCTGTATGTTTGTGTCATCCCACCAGAGGCAGGTTATAAGTAGTTATCCCAGATTACAACAAACTCTTAAGGAGCTCTGTTTGCTACACCTAATACATGTCCTCATTCTCACTTTGGCCAACCCCAGACAGAGCCAGACAGAGATTAGAGAGCGACTGGTCAATACACCTGCGAGGAGTCTTTGCTACAGGTGAAAGGGCTGCAGTTAAGAGAGCTGATGCACAAGACTGAAAGTAAACAAGCATTTAAGCAGGTCATCCTTCTTCCTCTACACAGGAAGTGGACTGGCTGGATTACAGAGATTAATCTATTGCCATGGCAAAGATGATCCAACGAGTTGGTCAAATTGAAGCCTTGTGGATATTGAATAGAATGAAGTCCTGCCCTTCACAGTTGATGCTGAAAAGGGTAGTGACTGACAGAAATCCTCTGCCTTGCTGGAGTTTATTTTGATTTAAGTTACACTGCATTTGCAGCTGCGGTGTTTACATCTTTTAAATCAGAAATGTAAAAGATTATGTCAGATTAGGCCTGTAGCAAATGCATGCTACAAACCCAATAGGACGCAGGGCTTACATGTGCATTAAAGCAATATACTTGTTAAGTCAAAGGAGCCATCTGCTCTTTGCTAAAGCTGTGGTATTGCAACATATCTTCTTTTAACCTCTAAGTATTGTGCTATTTTCAAGAAAATCAATTCTATCAATGTTAAACAGCCCTGTGATTCTGGTTTGATGCTTTTTCTGATTCACTGAGACATTATTATTGTCTGAGCAGGGTATTGTTCCTAGTTTGATTAACCACATACCCGACACTAATAACACCACCTCAGGATGAACAGACACTTTGAAGGGCAGGGTCAAGAAGAAAAGGCCACGGCAGGGTCAGTGATGGATAAAGTGCAGAGTGAGAAGACACTAACACTGTAAATCTGTCAGCTGTCACACCAAGACAGGACTGCTGCCGAGGATACTGAGTTTGCAATGTTAAGAAGTAATTTAGGTGATAACAAGAACCCAGTCTCTAATAAGAAAATTGTTCAAAGGAAATGTAGTATATGAAAGAAGTGGAGAGTTGGTTGTCTGAGAGTGACCAGTAAAAGTTAATGTCTGTGGCTGCATGTCTGCAAAAACACAAACATAGAGCTGTGAGGAGATAGACTGAGCAAAAAGTGAATGTATTTTAAGCATCTTACAGACATTTTCATGAACTATTCACTGTCTCAGCAGAAAAAAGGTGACTCTTAAGAGCACAACATTGACTTCTTTAGAGGATGTTCATTAAGAACAAACAGATACACTTAAAACTAACTAGAAGCTACAGTTTACCACTGGTAGAGTTTAATTATGAGTTAAAAAAGCACCTCCATGGAAAAATTCCAGTGAGTGGAGGAAGTCAGGCTGAAATGCAGCTTTGGATTTTGGAACAGTTCAACCTGCCTGTTCCATATATCAAGGATTTTGGAGAAAAAAGGCCTGACTAACTGAATAAGTCAGCACCATCCAACACTGTCATCCTCAAAGTCTGATGATGGTAAGCATTGGAATGTGTTTAAACTTCTCAAAGGATCACACTACTACTACACACTACTGCAAGAGCAAGTTTTAATTGAGATAGTGGAACGAAAACTCTGGGAAAGACTCGACTTTTATAGATATTATTATTATTACAATATTCGATCCCGCACAGACAATCGATAGGTCGTTGAAGGTTGTTAACCGGACTGTATGTGTTTGCAAATACTGACAATGTTAACTCTGTTATCCTATAAGAGTACAGTAAACACGGTCTGCTGTCATGAGCTATGCAACTTCTATACATGTTTAGTTCTTTTGCATGTGACAGCTTTGTTTGCAGTCTTGACCAAGTCCAAAGTGGAAGTGAGGCAGGGGTGCACCTTGTCCTCTGCAACGTGCAGATAATTTATAAAATGTAAAACCCGGTGACCTTGGGGTTGTCTGCATGATGATATCGTTTAATTTGAGTTGCATTTGGACTTTTAAGTGGTTGAAGTAAGTGCTAATATGTAATTGTCTTGTAATGAAATCTGACATTCCAAATTTTACTTGTTTGGAAATAAGAGGACTCATAACAAAAATTGCCGGTTCGGTTAGTTTAGACTACAAATGAAGTATGTGAAGGATAAAGGTTTTTTTTTCCTCATTTTAAAAAAAATATATGGGTTAAAAATATGGGTTATCAAGTGATCTGAAACATCAAACACCAAATAGCTTCCAACAATTTACTACAACTGTCTCCTCCATCTTCTGTTGCCCTTTTATCTGGAGTCACTCATGGACCACAATATTGAGTTTTAAGCTAATTTTTCAACTGTTCTCCCTCAAACTGAACTGTTATGAAACTCAAATAAGGTCATTTTAATTAGCAGTCAGCAGCTATTTTCAGAAAAATCTCTAAAAGGCACTGTACACAGTGTACTTAACCCTAAACAGCACGCAGACACAGTCTGCAAACAGCTGGTGGATATAGTTGAGTAATGAACAGCTGCACTCAGTAGATTTTAAAAGAGGCTGTTGAGAGAGTGAGCACTTTTTAATCAGTTTTTTAAATGAAATATAATGACAATTGAACGATACCTTAATCAGCTGTTTTTGCCAGCATTTTTTACAACCCCAAAAAAAATGGTGATTTGTCAAAGCTGTGCTGGCCTTAAGAGATAAAATCCAAGGTGTTTATGTTCTTTACATCCAAATTTGATCAACTTTACATCTTATACTATACAGTTAAGTTCAAATGATCAAAACAAAAGTGAACATTTAGACCAGAAAAAGCTGTGATGACAAGGAAGAAAGAGAGACTGAGAAATGTACAATTGTGCCAGTTCAATAATGAGGCGTTGAATATTTCATATTCATGTGCATGGAAACTCTCCCTGCACACTTCATACAAAAACCAACAGCCCTTGTTTGAAATGCAGGAAATACTTGCACAGCCTTTGAAATATTCATTCAGGCCACGAAAAGGACAGTGATGTATCTTTAAATGCTTCTCTATGTGTGATAGGATGATCCAGGCACTTGGTTAAAGTCTGTTACATCACACATCTACTACATCCAAGGCAGAGTTGAGATTTAGAACAACAGCAAATAATGGTCTCCTGGTTCTCTCAGGCAAGAGGCTTATGTGACTATAACAGTTTCAAACAGCCATAAGTTTTCATCCTCCCATTTTCCAAACACTTTTTCTCTGCACATAGTTACCTGAATACTTCCATGCCCCACCCAGCCACAGCTGTAAAGAGCCGTGGGCCGAGGTCTCGTGCCGGGTTGATGGGGTAACCGCAGTTCAGACCCATGGATACTCCAATAGCCATGATGATCAGGCCGATACACAAAGGCTCCACTCCTTTAGGAGCCCCAATATTCTTCTTGTCAGTGATGGCGAGGATACACAGGATCAAGGCACCAGTTGCAATTACCTTAACAACAAAAGAAGCAGGTAATTAGCACATCATCATTACTATCCAATTAAATATTTTCATTTGTTTGTTGTTGTTGACAGGATGACCTCTGCCCTGTTATTTTGTCTAAGCTTATTAAGGGGCTTCCCCTTTCCCCTGGTTCTAGTCTCAGTGGGGAAGCTTTACTATAAAGCCCCATATGGCTTTGTATTACAAAACCACAAACAGCTAGTATGTGAAATACTTGGGAGAGTCCATTTATTCTTATTTGATTTGCTTCAAACATACAGTCTGTGGTCCAAATACCAGTCACCAGATATTACAGACACCAAGAGAACCTTTGCGAAATTGTCGGGTCTACATACAGTATATCTGTCTATATAAATTGAAATTGTTATTGATGCTCTAATTGTTTTGCAGTCTTTTTCATCAGATGTACCAGTGATCGTTGGTTATAACCAAGGGATCAAAAAGGGAAATGTGCTGAGTAAGAAAAAATAGAAACATTAATACCTTATTGGCCTTTGAAAATACAGAAATTAACATCTGCATCTAGAATTTTACTCATCTTGACCAGATGGAAGTTTTTCTCCACACTGAAGCAGAATTGTTCATACACCATGAAATAACTCGCATGTCCATTTATACTGCGATTCATGCCCATGACTGCACTGAATGCACATTCACATACAGAGCTTTATGCTCGAGTGGCTTCCATACCCACAGAATCCCTTTGGAAAAGCTTTGCTATCTCACTTACATCAATAAATGCATAAGCAGAAAGAGCACAAAGAGGAAAAAGCCCCCTAAAGCTAGCAACTAACACAGGATTAAGTGACATGTTTTTCCTACGTATCACAACAAGGAAAACACAGATGGTACAAAGTTTGATTATCTATTGCAGAGTTTTTACATGAAACTTGATTATGATAGATTTTCAACAAAATAATCAAATTAGTTTAAATCGTGAGTTTGTTTCGAGTCTCACCTGATCGACAAACCCATTAAGGACTGACAGGTGTTTTGCAGGATAAGATGCAAATATGTTGGCTGTGGCATTTGCACCAGTAACTATGAATTGTCCATTGGTATACTCCATGAGAGCATCTGTGGAAAGATAAATGGGTCAATATCACCATATGTCATTACCTCTGTTACTTACAAGTGTATTATTAGATTTACATTTTATTTTAGCAGCCATGACTCACAAGGTGAACAGTATAGTATAATCAGAAAACTAGCTTTCATGACAGAATGTAATACAAATAACCTCTTCAGACATACACACACTGAGACCCACCATAATACAACCCATAGACAGCACAGGATCCAGCAAAAGCCCCCAAGAACTGTGCCACCACATAGACCGGGAACTTTTTGAGTGGCAACTTCCCCAGAATCACCATGGCCAGAGACACTGCAGGGTTCACATGAGCTCCTGGAAAAATGCAACAAAAAATAACCAAGCAGAATACATGTAAGCTGTAGATAGCAACAGAAAGAACTGAAAAAGTGCCTTGGATGTAGGACATTTTTCATTTATTATCATTAGTTATACAAATAACCTGTCCCAAGATCTCTTACAGCACCAAGCTCAAACTGGTGTGTGAGACTTTTGACTCATGACTCTATAAGCAAAGTCACAATGAAAAAAAAAACAAAAAAAACAACTTGGCATTTATGTTACCCACAATGCAACTGAGCTGCTTACAGTTTGGTGTGTATCTTGTTCTCGTCTTACCACATGAGGTAAACTGAGTTCAGTGGATTAAAACAGTCCTTGACAGGCTGTCTGATCAGTTAGTGCTTCTGTTCAAACCCTCTGCTGCTCACTCATTGAAGACTTTCAGGATATTTTCAAACAAAGAGAAGACAAGAGGGTCTGTTGTTACCCTCAAAGTCTGTTTTCCCATATTCTACATTGTCCTTAAGAAGCTTGTTTGAACACATTCCAGCCAAATGTTAGTGGGCTGGGATGGCAGTGTGGGGTCATTTATTTAACACTCTGGGATCTTGGCTTTGACCTCACTGTGGTAACACCACTGGGGGTATCAGCCATGCGCCCATTGTTAATCTCCCCGTACTGTTCACAAACACTGACCACGACAACCAGCCAGACCTGCCTGTCTGAATTGTATCTGACATAATCTGCCTGAATCTGCTTAAGGCACACGTAGACTGCAGGTCATTAGAGTGACCATGATGTGTCACACTTTCGGTACACTGTCATCTAAAATCTGGGACTACAAAGTGAAAACAATTGTGTTTTCTTCTCTTATGGGGCCTCCCTGCCAGGGAAGCCTAGAAAGCCAGGCTTGTCACACCTGACCCCCTTCCTCTCCAGAGACCCCTGCCCCAGTAAAGCTCATTAGTCCAATACCTATGATCATCTTCAGAGATGTCGTCGGACAGAAGCTTCCCACTGAGCTGTGGACCCCGCGGCTGAATGGCCCAGTCATGCAGCAAAAGCTCTCCATATATTAACCCCGCTGTCCTCGGGCTTTTCTGCTACTCCTCTGAAGCTTTATAACTCTTCTCATTAAACATGGAACGTGAGCGAGCAAACACGGTAACAACAGCTAACAGTAAACAAAGAGAGAAAAGTCTCACCTATCTCCTGTAACTCTCTTTTTTGTAACTGTCTAATTTCAAGTTCACATAGGCACACAAACAAGTTCGCCAAATCACTGATGGAATATGCATACGTTTTATGTTAAGATTGGCAAGTGAAAAATACAAAGTCTGCACAGGAAAGAAACAATTTTAACTTTTTGAGATACAACACCAATTCTTAAGAGACAATGTTGTTGTCAGTCTCATAACTCTGTGAGGATACAAGACTGAGCTGGCTAGCCTAGCACAGGCAGAAACAGCTAACCTGGTTCTGTGCAACTTCAGTCTCAGATGGTTATCTGCAAACTTTTGATTAGTAATAAGAAAGCCTGTCAAAATGAACCTTATCAAACAGCAAATTGTTGCTCTTATACCTCTACAAATTTTTAGAAAAATTTATAAATTGGTATTTTTCAGAGGTGCTGGAAGGCACAATCATGCACCAAGTTTTGATTCCTTGTTTCAGTCTCTGTGATTAAATAAGCGAACTGTCCTTTATCCAAAATTGTAATGGCAATGATCCCAAAACTAGTCATGAACCTTGCACAGCATAAACTTTGACATTGTTCATCCCTTGATTGCTGAACAGTGGACACATATCATTTCCTTTCAACAAGCAGTGGAAAGCACTGTGACATTTCATAACTGGATCCTCCTACTGCTGCCAACTCAGACACACTGATAAGTCCCAATTACTCAACATTTCTAAACCTTGAATTTACAGCTTTATCTGGATCAGTCATATGATTAAATTGTATTATTCATCCGAAGTTTTTTGAGTAAATACCTAGAACATTCAGAGAACAGTGACTCAGAGTGACCTGAAGGAGAGAGTTCTTGTGGTGGATATCTTTACCATAGATTGCATCACTCCTCCTGTAGCATTTTGCTGCATGGCATAAGCTTTGTATTTACATCGAACCACAGACAGAACAATGTCATATAGAGCATCTAAGTGATGCCAACATGATTGATTTTTTTTTTTTTTTCATGACAAACAGTGAAAAATGTGTGTTTTACCGCAATGTTAAAGGAACAGTTTATGGTTTCAGATAGTTGGACAAACAGTACCATAAAAAATTCATTATGGGCTTTAGCAAAAGTGATTAATGACTTAATTTTCTGACCTTTTGTTTACTATGCATTTTTAAATGATTGAAATTCAAACCAGGAGAACAATGTTTGCCTCCAAGGACTGAGAAATAGCATGGGTGTTGTAGTGAGCTGTGTATGCACTGACATAGGACTGGGCTACTTCATACCTGACACTCCTCCTGCCATGTAGACAGCCATCATGACTCCCAGAGTGAATCCTATATGGATGGTCAAAGGCTCCCCAAGACCTCCTTTACTCAGCACTGTCTGGGCCACTGAACCACATCCAAAGAGCTGGGACACAGACAAGAACAAAAACACAAAGGGTGGAGGTAGAAAGACTCATTGTTTTTAATTATTCCAATTATACCCGCCATTAACACAACCCTCTTGTCCACCAAGAGCCTGCGACTGCCACAGACAATTTGTCCAAGACAGGGCTCGGAAAATAATGAATACCCCACTTATTAGTTAAAAGGCATAAGTAATTCAGACCTCTAAAAAAAGTGTTGGAGAAGAGCAATCATCCAAAAACAAAGAGGGCTGCCGGGGAAGTTACTGGGAAGTGGACTCGAAGAGTTGGAGACAGGTGGATCCCAGTAAAGACTAAAAACTCATAAAAACTTAAAGTACACATTTTACTGAAATAGAAAGCATGCAAAGTGATCATGTGCTTTAAATAGTGTACTGTTTATTTTTTAACACAACAGTTTCAGATAAAATGACTCGTTGTTGTGATGATAGTCCTTTTTTGTACTTCTGAAGCAGACGTAAGGGAGAAAATCCTCCTCACATTAGCCACATCTTGTCATGATTGTCAGGAGCAAATTACAGCTGAGCACTTCAAAGGCTGAGTCTGTTATTCCCAGAATATACTATCTGCTAATAGAGACATGCGAGAGACAGCAGTCAGACCGAGTCCTCAGAGACCCAGACTGACACCTTATTAGCATACCGCTTCAAAGCTTTAAAGAGGCTGTTTAAGCTAGGTGACAGGTGCGGAGGGAGGTACTCACTATCAAGACGAATATCCCCAGAAATTCCGCCAGAAACTCTTTAAAAATGTCCCGCCTCAGGCCAAATCTCTCCTTCAGCTTCATCTTCTTCTCATTTTCCATGTTTTATTTATTTCTTTACTGTTATTATTTTTTTTTTACTCCTTGATGTCTTCCTCCGCACAGAACAAACGGCTAACGGCTCGGAGGGAGTGTGTGTGATTGTCGGGGCAGGTTGCCGCCTCCCACTCGGTGCACTCGGACCGTGCGGCGCGCGGCAGGCGGACAGCGCGTTAAGCTCTCCACAACTATTTCCTCTTCTCACCACAAGGGGTCTACTTTAATGGCAGGTCTGAAACAATGGCTTCCAGAGCTTACTGCATCAGCAGCAGTGCTATCATTAGGTTTTTCTGTGCACATGTATACACTTTGAGAACAACAGTGAAGCAGGCTACATATTTGGGATTAGGATATACACCTCTATGATTTTAAAGAAGCAACATAAGTTTAAACATCCTGAATTAACTGGCTTCTTTGACAGATAAAAACGCTTGATGATAAGCTGACATTTTAATTCAGAGATGTCTTAAAGGATCTGCTTAACATCATTGGATACACTGATGTCAGATATGAAACAATATTTTAATGTACACTGTAGAGACTCAAAAAATTACCCATTATCACTATCAAAATTATTTATAAAGTTACTTAGAGAGGCTCTTGTGATAGTTGAAGCCTTGTATGAAGCAGCTATCGTCTCACTACATGAGAAAGACTGACCAGTAACAAAACTGAAAACTGTATTTATTTCTTTTTTTTTAGTTTAGAGTTTGGCAAACATTTGAGATGCAGAGGTTTTGAAGTCTAACATTGGATTTTGTAAATTCAAGGTTTAATTTACAAGACTATAGTTTGTGTTATTTTGATAAAACTTTGGATGAATTAAATACAACTTAATAAGTTTTCAATAGGCTCCAACTTGAACTGCAACCCATAGCTTCCCTTTTAGTCCAGTGAAGCTATAGAGTTTGTCAATTTTGTTTGATGTAGTTAATGAAGGTTTTTTTTTTCTTCATTTCTTTAAAAATATCTTTACTATCTTTACAAAATACTCTTAGTCTAGGAAAGTAAATCCAATTCTATGAAGAGAAACAAAAGATTTTTGTGTAGGTATTTGCATTTTTGATAGTAATGGAGTTAAAGTTGCAATGCTCAATACCAAAGAGAAGCTGGAATTATTAAATGCATAAATGTAAACAGTGTGAGTGGAAGTTTTCACAGCTTCATCTCCTGTTAAGTGTTAAGTGTTTCATGCCACATAATGATGCAGCTGGTATTTAACTAAAAAGGTGAAATGAAACAATTGACTCACTGTGCGAGACCTAGCCTCTCAAAAAAAAGTTTGTCTGTAGTTTTTAAATTATTATATTATACATGTTCCTATTTTTATATACATTTTGATTTTAGCAAAGAGGACCTAAGGTCTCATTTCGAGAAGTGCCCCTTGCAGTAAAATCAACATAAAGACAGTTGAAAAATGGCAAGCTTTAGGTACACTGCAATAAATACTTGTGCTCTTTTTTTTTATTACAAATGTCCATTTCTGCTTCCTTTAGCTTTGTGGCACTTTTATGAATTTCAAAGTTTTCTCACTCACCTCTGTTCTCTCAGACTTCTGTTTCCACTCCTCATCTCCACAGAGATACTTCTCTTCCCCATGTTGATAAATCAGCCTCCTTTGGTTTATAATTACTGTAAACTATTGTAGTCCAAACACCTTTGAGTATGAATAAGTCACTGTAACTACGACTCTCCTCTTCCACCGACAGGGGGCGCTCCATGAATACATTTGAGAGGCCGGCTGAGCTGAGCTGTGTCACACCGGTGTTGTCTTGTCTTTCGTTCACCGCGCGCTGTGAAAAGGTGAGACGACAGTCAGTCAGGCAGTCAGTCAGGCTGTGCTGCGTGAGGATGTTTTCACTGCATTCATCATTGTCACTGTTTCAGGCCTGTCCTCTTTGATGTGAAACAGACACTGTGAGTGTCCACATGCTGTGAAGAAAGACTCAAGTGCTGATGGAGAAACAGCATCCTCCGGGGGTTTGCAAATGATGGGCATGCATCTGTCTCTAAACTCCTTTGTCCTGCCAGGCTGTAGATTAAGAAAATCTCGCATTTAAAGTCTTTTTTTCCTCCAGGATAACCCTGACTATGAAATAAAAGCACTTTATCACTTGTAAATGGGCTCTACATAGGCTTATTTTAACATTTCTTTACATTTCTTACCAGTTTTAAGTCCTAATCTCACCAACACTTCTGATTAACCCTTTAATCTGTCACTTCTTGAATGTGTGGTGCTCACAGCAGTTGTTGAGGTGTTAATACATGCATTTTTCTTTTACTTTTCAGAGACAGACCCTCACAGCTAATAGGAGGATGTTTATTGGGACTTTTTAAAGGAGGTGCTGTAAGGAGTTATCACCGGCAGGACAAATCTCTTCTTATAACACCCCAGCAAGAAGCAGCATTCCCTTTTACTCTGCATTTACATAACATCTTAGAACTCGAGGAGGATGTGTTAGGCAAATCTAAAGATTGCAGGGTGATAGTGAGCCCAGGGAAGGAGCTTGACACCTTTATGTCACAGACGAAATAGTTAATGAAGGAGGAGGAAAGTGAGTTTTTGTCACCAGCTAATAAGCTTTTAAATGCAGTTTATGGAGAAGTTGTGTAAACTTTTGTTTCCAATGTTCAGATTTAACTTTAAATCTCATTTCTGATGGTAAAAAAAACTGGTGAGGAAACTCTGAATGTTGTCTGACAGCAAATGGAAAGTTACTGCATTGAGCTACTAATGCGTAAAAATGCACATAGACTTTATTTGTCTATTCTGCCTCATCAGTGATGGCACTACTTTCTGTTTCATCAAAGATCACCTTTCAAAACTTGTCAAATTTTAAATAAGAAAACATTTTCATCTGTTGTAAACTCGTGATAAATCCAGGTACCGTGGCTAATCCAAGAGCGTAATGTTTGCGTGCGTAAAAGTACAGATAAAGCAGAGAAGCCTCCTCAGTCGGTGGCTGAAAGCGGATAAAAGTGAGAGTACCGGGAGATTGGGGTGGGTGGGGTGGATATGTTTCTCCTCCTTAACACGCATGGCTGAGGTCGTTTATGTAAATGCGTGAATTTAATTTTCAAAAGGACAGCCCTTTTCTTTGCCCAATGAAAATGAACCGCGGCTGACACCTGGCTATAAACCCAGGAAGGAACCCAAAGTCCTGATCAGAAATCTGCTGAAAAAACTCCAGAGAGGCGCAGCAGGCAGATCAGAGGAGACACGATGACTTCCAGTAAGATCGAGATCCCCGGAGAGGTGAAGAGCGACCCCGCTGCTCTCATGGCATCCCTCCAGCTGATGCCCTCCCCGGTGCCCAACCCGGAGATCAAGTACACTAAGGTCTGTTTCTCTACACACTCACTACACACACACACAACCGAACAGATTTGCGTGTAACGAGCCCCGCTTCTGCTCGGTTACTGTCCGTGAATCTTTAACAGAAACTTTCCGCGAACTAAACTTTATTTTGTGCGTCAGCAGATGACGCTTGGCTTATGAGCAGAGAAAAGCTCACAGATGAGCTGCAGGAGACCTCAAAACTTCTCCGAGCTCAACTTTCCAACTTCAGACCTAAAAACTGATGAGTTCACGCTTTAACGTGGAGTGGATTCAGCGTCCACGTGCTCAGCGTTGCATAGTATTTTATTATCAGTGAACCTAAAAACGTCATTTTTAATCGACACATAAAAGTATTTTATTTCTGTTTTTATTACAGCGTGTACTCGTGTGCGCATGTTTCCTTACCATCATGTTACTTAACCTAAAATAATGACTTGTTATGCCTGAACATTTGAATCATTCCTTTTGTTTCTCTCTCTTTTTTTCTTTTTTTTTTCATTTATCACTTCATGTTATTTAATGTGGTCTTAATTTCCAATGCAACACAGCAATCTTAATGTTATAAAAGCGCATTATTCCGGACGTGTTAAAGTTTGAACTTTCTTTTTGGTGTGTTTTCTTGCTTCTATTAGAATTACAAGTTTTATTTTCTTCTCTTAACGCATATTTTTGGATGTACTTAACATCACAAATGCTGTCTTAGTGAAGACAAAGGGAAACATCAGTCAGACTACTTCATTAAAATAGAATTATAACATGTAATATAATTTTAACTGCAAAGTCCCATGATGAAGGGTTATAAAGAAAGTAGCTATGTATAGGGATGCTTTCCAAACTGAGATATATATTTTCTTTTTCTTTTTTTTTTTAAATTAAGTAGGTATTTTGTGTGGTTTATTAAGCGGCCCAGCTCTTACTGTAATTTATGCACCTTTTAGAGTCTTATTTATGTGACTTAAATAACTACAGCAAATTACAATATACATTTGCTATTTGAACCCCAAAAAAATGAAGATTTAAAACGTCCTTTGTAAATTATTAATTATTTATTCAATATATTGGCACAAAAATAAATTTAATACATGAAGGAACATTAAATGGGGTTTTATGGCAGCACATTAAGAGGTGTGTGGGTGGGAGATCAGGGATGTGAGAATATCTGCAGGAGTAACCTTTTATAAACAATCGTAGTTCATTTACCAAAATGATCAAATTGAGGATGCTGCCACAGAAGATCAGTTTTTATTGGTGTCTTTCATACTACTGGTTGTGAAATCTAACGGCCACATGTTGATCCAAGGCAGTAAACACAAAAGTTGCCTAACTGAAGTAAATCACATGTACCTTTTTTATAACTTTCATTTTTGAATGTTCCTGTGTGGGTCATAATCCACCACAACTTCAAGTTAGTTTCACACATCATGAAATACTTACAAAAGGTCTTGTTCCCCTTTGACAACTTCTGCAATATTTATTTTTCTTTTTCAACAAATGCATGTAGTGAATAATTTAAGACAGTTGTCGTTCTTTTAAGATTCTTGTGACGGTTTCAGCCTTTGCAGCCAAGATGTAGTCTGCTCCTGTTTTTTTTTTTCTGTAGCCACTGAAAAGTTCTTACAGCTGCAGAACAAGTGTTCTTATGATTGTGAGATTAAAGGGCACATCTCATAGAGAACAGACTCATGATAGCGGCCATGCTCTGTGTTAACACATACCTCAGTGTTATAGGTGCAAAGGGCACGCTGCTGTTGCTGCTGCACCAAAAAGACAGCGGCACATGCAGGGAAAACTCTGCAGCGCTGTGAGCCTCACATTCCCCCCCTCCCTGTGCACAGCCTTTTAGTTAAAGAGGTGGACACGATGGTGTACAGGAGGAAATTTAGGAAACGACTTGGTGAATTAACCCCCAGGAATTTGGATCATCCAGTCCCTGATGGTTTGGTGGACATAGGGGGCAGAAGGGCCCTGATTTATGGGAACCCCTGGCGTGGGCTTTCCTCACACCCTGTTCCTGTTCTCCACCCCGCTCACTGCGAGGGAAACTGCATCGTTCACAGGCCTGCAGGACGAGTGAATGTGTGTGTGTGTGTGTGCATGTGTGAGTGTGTGGATGGAGCTTTACACCGCTACACACATTTTTTCTTAGTAATTGTTTTAAGACCCACACATTCAACCTCTCTTTAAAATGAGTTTTTTTTCTTTATTACATAAAGTCACCCTGACTTTTCTTTGTTTTGCAACCAGAGATTTTATCTAATTGACCCTGGTAACAGAGATACGCCCGATACACTATCATTCCTTTACAGGTTTGCTTCTATCACAGGGAAGCATAAAAAAGGTTATTACAGTCAAGGTCTGCCCCTTGTCCTCTTCACCGAGTCGTGAACTTCTCACCGCCAGAGATAGTATCAATAAAGCCTTTCTCTTTGTGCATCTTTTTAAGATTGCAGCTTTTTACTGCGACTCCCCCGTAGGTAGAAAAAGGTAGTTTTTGTAGACTCTTTTTCACATAGCTAAAAGCATGAGGAGCAAAGCTGTGTCTCAGTCGTCCTCTCCCCTGCCCCCACATTTCTATCTCTGGAGCTCCAACAGCTGGGTTACAAGACAGAAACAGTTTAAAGGTTGATAGGAGCACGGAGGAAGCCATAAATAAGAGAGCCATGATAGCTATTTATTGATGTTTTCCACTTGTGTTAGAAAGAACAGATACTCTGCTTTAGGATGAATTAAGTAAAAGCTCTTTTTGGTGGGTGAGACTTGTGGCCTTTGTGGTTTTCACACTGCGCAGTGATAATGACTTGTTGAAGCAGACACTTAGAGGGACAAATTTTACAAGACTGGGGTTAACTTGGCTGTTTCTGACAGAACAGTCTGTAAATGTTTGTGCACGTTTGTCGTCTAAACACAATTGAAAGGTCTGCTCATTATTTCGCCGAATGCAAACTTATTTCTGCAGCCCATCTCTTTGATAGGCTAATGACAGAAAACTGCTATTTTCTAAAAAGAACATGATTTAGGGATCACTTTGAGCTACGGTCTTCTTTATCTAATCAACAGTTATAAATTTTCTTTGTTGATTTGCTCGTGTTGGCATTAGTGCGCTTTCACCATAGGAACCTGTGCAGAACCTGCCTCCAGCAGACCTGTGTGTGTTTGTAGAGCGGCCTGTGCAGAGACATCCTCTCAGTTTGGATGAATAAGAGGCTCCATCAATCTGTCACTGATTGAGATAGCACAGATGGAGGCTTGGGGCTCCCCGATGCTAGGTGCTGTCCACCGGGGTGTAAATTATGAGCCGCTCTCACTGTGTGGGTTAGTGGCCCTGCCTCGCCAGAGCCTGACCTGCAGCTCTGGACTTTTTCACTTCAAAACCAGCATCTTACTGCGATGGAGATCAAACAGAGCCAAAGTTAGGGGATACTGTGCAACTAAATGATTTATCACAAAGAGCACAGCGAGAACTCTCCCAGCCTTCTCCTCCTCCTCTTCTGTTCCATTGCTTACACAATCCCCCAGCTCGCACACACATGACCACATACTCTCTACACTCTTTGATTGTGACAGGCTAAGTGTGCACCACCCCTTAATGTGTCTGTTGGTGTGAAATGCCCACTTGTGCAGCGAGTGTAAATTACCATCCGAGCAGACACGTCAACATCAAGTCCCCTGTCTCTTAATCACTGTTTGAGGAAGAGCAGTGACAGCAAGGTTACCCTGTTAACTTCCCACACCTTCACTTACGTGGCCCCGCTTGACAAGGAACGTGTAAATCCTTATGGTGTCATTATGAAAAACACTCAGCTTCATAAATCTGTTCAAAGAGGTCCTTTCCCTGCCACAGCACCGACACACGAGTGCTTTTCTACATGTTTGCTCGTCTGTGGAAAAGTGTCACAGTCCTTAAAAATGACTTCCTCTTTGTCTGCAGATCCCAAGAGAAAAACTACCGTTCTCTAAACATTCCCTTGACCCGAGAGACAGAAGAACGGTTAAGTACTCAGGAAACCCATCAAACTTCAGATGTTCAAAAGAAAAATAAAACACAGGAGGGGAGCGGAGAGGGCAATTTTACCGTTGATTCATGACAATTTGACCGCATGGGGCCTTTATTTCTACATTTTTTCATTTCATCTCAAGATAAACTCTGATTTATTCTGTGTCTTGAGTAACCTTTAAATCTAGCCTGAAAAGGGATTTGTGTTTAGTGGAAATATGTTTAATGGATGTCTTTGGGGTAAAATAGACTTCCTTAAAATGTGGATTCCTTAAGTAAAATCCTGAACCTTAGTCAAACAGTGTTGCTGAGCTCAAACGTCTATTTGTGGCTTTGAAGACATCAAGAAAAAACTGTTGCACGAAACTTTAAATCTCTTTTTGGGCTTAAAGAAAACGTTTTAAAGAAATTAGTATAATTCAAGCCTGAGAAAGTCATTTATCCAAACTGTCTGGTTGTGCAGTGATGGGCTCAGTCTGCTGTGGTTTTAACAACTGGAGGGAATCCATCAAATGAGTGAATCTGCAGAACAAATGAACAAGTAGTTGTTCATAATTACAGCCTTGTGTCAAATTAGTGTTTCTCACATAACTTCTGAGTCAGACAGAACAACTACAAACTGCGTGCACACACACACACACACACACACACATATAGACACCGGCAAGAGGACAAAGACGTTTGCCAGTCAGTGACAGCCAGGTTGGCCCCGCCAAACCCAGGAGCGCAGGGTGGCATTGTGTGTGTGTGTGTGTGTGTGTGTGTGTGCACGCGCTTGAATGAAAAACACGAAGGCTCTGTGGTGTTAGACATGTGAAGAGGAGTACAAGAAAAAAAAAAAAAAAAACACCAGCTGGTCTCCACTTTCACATGCTCTCCGCTCACTTGTAACAGTAGTAATTATAAGAGTTTTGAACCCGGTCCAGGACCAGAGAGGAAATCGAGGTCCTGTGATAGGGGGGATATGAAACTTCCTGCGCAGACGAGGGTTGCAGGTGCCCGGCTAGGACTCGTCTGGCTGTGGAATCTTGGCGTGTTCTGTATAAACACACACACATACATAAACCCTTACTCTTCCCCCACCCCACCCCTCATATCCACCCCCCCCCCCTATTATCCCTCATGTTTCAAAAAAAGACAAGCCCTGAGTAGCATTACATGTCCCTTTAGCCATTAGCGTCTGAGCTGTGAGAAGAAACAAAGAGCCAAACAGATGTTTTCTTGGCTGCAGAAAGTGTTTTTGGCATTTCTTACTTCCCATTACACTTCACCCCAAAAAGTGTATTATCACAAAAATATCACGTACAGCGTTGTTAACACATTTTACAAGGTGCAAGTCGAACAAATCTTGGTTTTAATCGAGTATCCAAACTTTTCAAACTAATGACGTGAATAAAACACCTGCATTAGTGTTCAATGAACGTTGTGGATGACTTAGTAGAGTTTTTGTAAGTGCTTTGCTGGTTTTGCAGATAAGTGGTAAGGGTTGCTAAATGTTTGCAGCTGCAATGTAGCCTATGCAGAAAGGCTTGACCTAAATGCCAAATGCTTATCTGAATTGTACATCAAGCCTCTTTGCTGTGTGTTAGTCATCACATGAGAGCACAGGGATACTTTTTTTTGTCAGATTTAAAGCTTATTTAATTAAAATGCAGTATTTTTGTCCAAAACCCATTCGTTTAAAAGTTGCATTTCCATTACAAAGAAAAGCAAAGTTGATCATTTTTCATCTCTGCTTTCTCAGGGAAACAAAGTTAACCCTAAGTTCTCAGGTTGTTTTAAACATGTAACCATCATGTGAAGTAATAGCAGTGACTCCACGGGGAATGGGAAAGAAAACACCATTAGTCATTTAAAAAATGTGCACTTTGTGTCATTCCTGTGTTCCAAATGATCCTAAAAGCAATTTTAAGAAACCTTGAGAGTTGATTTGTGTCTCGGCCCTGTCATCTTAATCAAGTCTCTCAATGGAATGAGACAAAAGTCTAACACCAGTCCGAGCCCAGAGAGAGGGCTGAGCCAAGCAGCGGCTGACAGTTGTCCTTTTCTGCCCGTGATTTAGGTGGCGGCCTGCTCCACTGTTCTCCTGCTTCATCCGTTCTCCTTCAGCAGCGCCTTGTGAGCGGGGTTACGCCTCGCGTAAAGCTACCCACGGTCTGCATTCCTGCTCAGACTGTTCAGGCTGTCAGGGGGCTCCTCTTGATTTAGGGTGCCCCACTTCAGTGGCCCCCTACAATAAATTTAAAACTAATTCAGTGCTCTACAGGACTTTCTGTTTTTGTAGCTGGCCCTGTGCTCCTTATCGTTACTGACAATTTTATGAAGTGCTCTTAATGAGCGTCAGATTAAAGGTGGCCTCTGATGGAAGGCGCCTGAGAGGACTCCAGGCCCGTCTTTCTCCATGAGAACGGGGGGATGGTGCTGGTACGAAGGAACCGTATCGTGTTTTCGTAATGTATGGCTCTGTAGGTTGGTACATGCAGATACAAAAAAACCTTAAACGTTTGAATGTAAGTTATTCATACACCCATTATGATCCAGTAAGACGTGGGAATGAAGAGGGGGGGCGGAGGAGACAGAAGGACTGATGTGCTTCACTGCACTCCAACAACTTTCAGACTCCCTGGCAATTCATACCAACCTGAGAGTAAACATGGCTAACAGTTTATTGCCAATTAAACAGTACTCAAAGCCCGGAGTTTATGGGGGTAAACATGCTGGGGAGTTTAGGGAGTCTCAGGTCTGTGGGATAGTTGAACACTACTCTTAGGTTTGTCTCTGAGCTCCTCTGAAGTAGACGAATGGTAAGAGCACGTGTATACATAGGGAGAGTTGTGCCAGCAGATGTTCCCCTTGCACTCAATCTATCAGGCAGACCGACAGCCATTAAAAACAGTGTGTGAGTAGTCCACCTAATGGATCCAAACAAGTCGGTGAGGAAGGAGCTTTTTTGTGCCCTTTTCAATGACACCACTTCTTTTGATCAGCATATTAGGGGTTTGCTTGAATTTCACATGACATATTTCAAAGCTTTGTGACTCTTGTAAATATTTTTTTTCTCACTGGTCTTAAAGATGTTGGATGTGTCCTGTTTTGAGGGCCAGGCAGTTGTTTAATGGAAGACTAGCTTTAACGCATCGCAGGAACCAAGCGCGGCACGTGTTTTATGATCTCGTAAACGAGCAGTGATGTTGTGAAACGTGTGTCTGTGTGCCTGGGGGTGGATGGGTGGGTGAGTGAGTGGGTGGGGTCTGGTGTCTGATAGGGATTTATCTACATCCCCCCACCTCACACCCTCCCCTTTGTCTGGATGGTGGAAGACTCCCTGGGGAGCAATGCTGGACAGGCAGGAATCTCTGTCCAGATTTCCAGAGATTCTCCCGTATCCCTGACATTAGAGCCAGAAGTGCTGCTGTTACTCTTTAACATGCTCCAGTCAAAGCAGGTCCCTTTAACCTGCATACTCTATGGAAATAAAACATTCATGTTAACTTTAGAGGATAAAAGAATGTCGTTGTAACCCTTCACCCAAGCTCAGTTTGTTTGCAACATAAGAAAAGAAGAACCTTACTTGTCTTCATGTAATGAAATACATTAATAAACATAAATCTTGTGCCACATGTGCTTACTGCATTTTTCTGCATTTTGTTCCTACAGATTTTTATTAACAATGAGTGGCAGGACTCTGTTAGTGGGAAGGTTTTTCCCACTTACAACCCAGCTACCGGGGAGCAGATCTGTGAGGTTCAAGAAGCAGACAAGGTAAATTTACATCATCACAGAGTTTTTTTATGTTTTCTTCCAAAACTTATTTTTTGTCTTTTCTCCAAGCTGATCGGGGGTCTGAGAACCAGCTTTATGGTCAAGAGTATTGATACCGCACTTTTTACAGTTAATGCTACAGACTAAAATAATGAAATACGCTATATTCTACACAACTGCTTCAGTCTTTAGAAGTACTGATTACCAAATTGACCTGTCATTGTCATTTTAATGCTTTAATTGACAGCTGTTTTTGGTGTATTCATATTCTAGCAGTCCTTATGTGTTATGATCAAAGTGGAGCATATTTTACTTTCATAAAGTAATAACAATGTCAGTGTGATAAAGTAAGCATATGTCGTGTGTACAGGATAGTAGCCACTAAGTACAGCTGTTTAATAAATCTTGATGAGGAATGAGTACAATTGTCACTACAAAGTTATAAAACAAACACACTGATATCAGTCCATTTTGAGTTGTGCTGGTCCAAACTTTGCAGAAATTATCAGATGTGCTGCTGGTTTTTTGGGTGGGTGTGAAACATGTTTATTGGTTTACTGGCTCAGGTTGGATAATGAGTGGTTCTCTCTTTTCTAACAGGCTGATGTCGATAAGGCGGCGCAGGCAGCTCGCCTCGCCTTTTCTCTGGGCTCTGTGTGGCGAAGGATGGATGCGTCGGAGAGGGGTCGCCTGCTGTCCAAACTGGCTGACCTGATTGAGAGAGACAGTGTCTACTTAGCTGTACGTTATTGCATCTCTCTGAATTGGTTAACTGGAGCAAATGACTTTTTTTTTTTTACTTACACACAGCTGTCCAGCTATTTCTCAGAAGGTTATAACAATAATAAGTCTTACTATCTCCTGGGTTGTTGCCTTAATTCTTATATGAAATTGTTGAAAACTCCCGGTCCTTTGTTTACTTAATTGCATTGTAGTTTAATGTGCGTTGTTTGCTTTAATGCCCTGTAATGCCTTTTGCAGAGCACTGTGAGTTGCCTCTGGGTTTAAGAAATCTAAATAAACTCGCTTTGCCTGAGAGAGAACATAAAACTGTAACATAGAGGGAACATATAAATGTAACTCATAGGCTGTATTTGTATTCTAGTGTTATCTTAGTATTATATGTCCTCCATGGGGGAGTGTAAAAGCTGGAACAGTATGGAATTATGTGAGGATCACAAGGTTGTATCACATATTTCTCAAACGTCTCCCCTGTCTCTCTTCAGACTATTGAGTCACTGAACAGTGGGAAGCCTTTCCTGCCCACCCTGTTTGTTGACCTCCAAGGAACCATTAAGACACTAAGGTACTTTGCTGGATATGCAGACAAGATCCACGGCACCTCCATTCCCATGGGTGAGTTTTCCTTTTCACCACTACAGCTGAGTTTTAGAGTAATGGGCAAACGGTAGAGAGGTGAAGTTTAAGACAAGAAACTCAAAGTACCAAAGAGTTAGTGTTGTGGTCAGATTATAATTAGTCATGTTTCAAAAGACTTATCAAACAGTTTGTGGTGATATTTTAAATATATGTACACTTTAAACATGCCTAAAAGACTTCTTGGCCACATTTGGACAAAAAAGCTGTGAAAACAACGCTGATGTACCACCGAACTATGTTTATATTGTAAACTAGATACCAAGTTGTGGGCTCTCTAAACCCAAATTTTCACATTTGTGTTCATTTCTAGTCATGTTTGGCTTTGTAATGGATGGAAATCCCCTCCTCCTTTTTGGTCTGTTTCGGTCTTTACTGACCTAAGGACAAAATCTGGCTCGCCGTCTCTCTTCACTGTGTCTAAGTTCATAAAATTACCTCCTGAAAACAGCATCAGAGATTGGTTAGAGCAAACCAAAACAGGAAAGTTTTGCAGGTGTGTGAAATCAAAACAACCTGCTGAAAAACACTAAAAATAGTCAGCTTTCTGCTTGATGAACTCCCATTCGATCTGTTAGTATTATCTGTCTATTTCATTTGTTCTAAAGATTTTCGGTGCTTGAATCTCTAAAGGTTATATAGAAAACACATGCTCAAAGTCAGTGTTTTAGGTATCAAACAGTCAATAAAATCACAAACTAACATTTATTGTCCTCAAAAGGCTGCCACCACTGTCGCCCCTCTGAGCTAGTTGAATCTGAGGGTTGAAGAGGGGAAAGTTGGCTGTCTGTTTCAACAGGAAGCTCAAAAAAGGCAAACAGAATAAGAGAGAGGACATGGGAAACCTCTTGATACCACTGTATTGTCCCTCTCAAAGCTTCTCTTGTACACTGCTGCCAAACCCACCACGGTGAGCTCGGGCCGACAGCCCAGGGCTCTGGTTTAGGCTTTATTTCTCTTGTAGACTTTCAGAGAAAATAAGCAGGGGTATTCCTGTGGCCTGTGTGATGTAAGGATGTCAGTAATAATGTTTGTTCACCTGTCAGAACAGCTATTATGAATATCCCCTCAGCATCTATTTGTCTTGCATGTTATGCTGAGCTTTCTGTGTTAAACTTGTATCATAGACATTGTTGGATGAATGGGGAGTGTCATTATAAGGAGCACCTTTGGCTACGCAGTTTGGTATAGTTTACATTGCTTGTTCCAGATTGAAATATAAGTCATTTACAGGCGTCACACTTCCAAACAAACCTTGCAGATACTTGAGTTCCTCCTGAAAATCTCATGTCTTACAGGTTTATAGTTTCGCTCTCCAAACAATAACAGTCCCGACATCCAAAAAGGGTGATATATGAGAATCTGGAGCTCCATGTCCTTTATCATTCTTTCACCGTCTCCCATTGAAAATCATAATCCGTGTTGTTATCTACAATCAGTCCCCTCCAAATGCAACATTAAGCAATGACTGTGGTAACAAATTTATATGCACATTTCTCAATATCAATTGTTTTTGTGGAGAATGAACAAGCATGGCACACCCTCAGTAAGTAACTCCTTTTTGCTTAAGTAATGTTAGAGGAATGAGCAAACCTTTCCAGCTAAACACCCATCTCTCTATGACCTAAAACAGTCGAACACATGCCTGTGCTGTTGGAGGCTCCAAATGTAATCTCTCACCAGGGTAAAGAAAGCAGGAATGTTGCGTGTGGATTCATTTACAAATTAACATGTTGAGTCAACAACACAGGAGGTATCAGGTGCTGACATTTTTCGTGCAATTCAGGATGTTTTTTAAGCTTCATGCGTCTGAAGCTGCAATAAATAACCATATTTTTCTTTGTGTGTGTGTGTGTGTGTGTGTGTGTGTGTGTGTGTGTGTGTGTGTGTGTGTGTGTGTGTGTGTGTGTGTGTGTGTGTGTGTGTGTGTGTGTGTGTGTGTATATTTGTGTGTGTGGTGTGTGTTTGTTTGCTGCACATGTGTTCCCCCACAGATGGAGAGTATCTGACATTTACCAGATATGAGCCCATTGGAGTTTGTGGACAAATTATCCCCGTGAGTATTACCCCTCCAGTGAGTGACATGAATGATAGATACGAATGGATGTAAATCTGTGAAACAGATGAGTGAATTTGTTAAGCTTAAAAAAGATATCACTTCTTGCTAGTCTGTTTGTTTCCCAGTTACTCCCTGACAGTCATTGTTTATTTGGGTAACTCCTACTGGTAAGCCCCCCCCCAAAAAAAAACGATGCCAGTGAGTTTGAGCAATAAAGAAGAGACAGGCAGAGGAGTGTGCGGGGGGATTTAACATGGTGGGGATGAGGAAAGGAGAATGGTGAGAAAGCAGGAAAAGATCAAGGAAACAGAGACACGGCAGATTGTGCAAGAGAGCAGAAAGCGTGTGGTTTTGCGTTGAGCCCCATGGGCTCCTGTGTAAAGCAGAAATAACACAGGCCTGTGTGTAGTACACTGATACGGCTTTATTGCACATGTGTTGCAATTTCCCGACTTTCTCAGAATACTGTGGGAAGAGAAAATACTGTACAAGTGCCCAGAACATTTTCTCACTTGACTATGTTTAGACAGAGTGAAAATGAGAGTAAGTGACTTAAGAGCGATGACTTATTGAGCTTGACTTGTGACCACCCAGCGTGTCAGTCAGATGCATGATGTCTTTTCCTGTGTACTCTGTGTGTGTGTGCGTGTGTGTGTCATGCACAGTGGAACTTCCCTCTGATGATGACAGCATGGAAGCTGGGTCCAGCGCTCGCTTGTGGAAACACTGTCGTCCTGAAACCTGCTGAGCAGACACCACTCACCTGCCTCTACATCGCAGCGCTCGTCAAAGAGGTAAATGCTCATTTTGCCGACCGCAATGTGTTCACCAGGCAGTTTGCCAGCACTCGAACGCTAATACTCCAATAACTGGATCAGAATCACTTACATGTCCAAGTCTGCCAAGAACACAATGTTCGCAAAGAATTTGGCAAACACCTCACTTGGATACTCTAATGTTAGTGTAACTGCAAGGCGACAAAAACAGATGTTTAACAAAGTGTCAGTTGTTTATTTTGTGCATCTCTTCAGAGCCTGTAAACCAGCCCGCGATATCTGTTAGAGTTAAAGGGTCAGTTCCACTAAATCGCCTGATAAAAACATTTTTAGTACTCACTTGTTTATAACAAAAAGCTTGATTTGTGTCAAGTGAGTTTATTTCTCTAGTTCTTGAGCAACTCATGATCTTCAAACTAAACAATCAGAATTGACAGAGTGAACAAAAGGAATTGGAATATCAGTGCTGACACATAATGATAAAAGTACAAACACACACTTCACCTCAAAACATCATCAAACTAAGTATACAGTACTGGTCAATTCTAGTTTATAAAAAAAACAACAGTTGCATATTTGCACCACAGCGTATTGTATGGTTAGCGTAGGTTTAGTAGCAGGAGAAGTTGTGTACATTAGGGGTAAACACATGGGTCAGTTATTCAAGAGAGAAACAATCCAATACCACATGTTCATGCAGAGAAACCTTATCATACTGTACAAATCTCAGTGTCCACATCCTCCCTGTCTTCCCCCGGCCCTCTCTGGCCTCGCCTCACTTTGGAGACTATCTGTCTGCTGCCTCAGTCTTTTTGATGTTCTCTCAGCTCTCTGCTGGTAGGGAGGTAGGGTTGGGTCCAGATTCCCCCCACACCGCCTATGGTTTTGCTTGGCTCTGCTGTCATCCCTGCTAAAGCTTGTTTCCTCTCATATTGTTTTGACAGGCCGGCTTTCCACCGGGAGTCATCAATATTTTGCCAGGATACGGGCCAACAGCAGGAGCTGCAATCGCTTCACACATGTGCATAGACAAAGTGGCGTTCACTGGATCAACGGAGGTACATTTCTCTTCTTAATTGTTTCAGATCATCAGGCTTTTGTCAGCGAGTGACACAGTGACCAACATGTGCAGAGCAGAGGAGCAGGCTGGGTAATTAGTAGGCATTGTGTGCATGTATTGAAGTCTAAATGACAAACAAATGGGCTCTTATTTAAAGCTCCATGCCCTGTTATTACTCCCATTTAAGTGGGGCTCTGATTTTATCTCGTCCACATGCATGTATACGAGCTGTCTTTTGGTTTTAGCTTCAACCCTGCTGCTTAACTGCACCTCTACAGACCTGTTCACTGAACTTACAATTCTGACACTCACAGGATAAACTTGTGCATCTTGGCAGAACATTGGAGCAGTTAATGGGCAACTACATAATCTAGGACACACCATGTTAGGTGTTGAGCGCTCAGATGTGTTGCAGTCCCGACACATTCCTCAGGGAACGGCAGATAACTTCTCTGCAGATCATTTATAAACATCTGTTACATGTAACTGCAAACCAAGCCCCTCCGTAAAGAAATTTACAGGGATCCTAATGTAGAATGTAAATGTAACCAGACTGTTCTTCCCATCTACATTAGGTAAATTTGTCCAGTTTATGTTGTTTTTCTTAATGTTGGACTAAGGTGGTTAAGTGTACATGGAGTTTGTTGTGAGAAGCCTTTAATTAACCCTCACTGGTTTAAACATCAGCCTCCTTCCTTGAAGGGAAAGGAAAAACTGGACAGCATAATGAAGAATGTGGTTCCTTCAAACATTTTTTTGTTTATTTCAAACCAAAACGAGTAAATACTACGGCCTATTTTTCATTCTTTTAACAATTTAGTGGTGTAAATAGAGGTAAATGACATCCCAAGTCTTTGTGAAGGACAAATATTACTATTTTGAAGAACATTAGGAATCGCTACAGCAGTTCATCAATCAGCTGATATTCATATTGCATCTTGATAGAGCTCTCAGCCATTATAATCTTTAGAGGGGTGTAGTTTCACACTTCAGTTTTACATTTTTAGTTTGTTCAAAATGACAGGAGTATGGCATAGATTTAGCTTTTCCAAAAAGGTTGCCTCCAGGAGGAGTGTTGAAAACTTGAATGGTTTCTGACATGGGTCATCAGAACCCCAAATTTCTATTTGTCTGACACTTCAGCTTATTTCCTAAACAAATGAGGAAGTCTGACCGTTATCAGCTCACGTTTTCACTCTAGTTACTGAACTGAAGAGCGTTGTAGATCAGTGATCTTGCACATTCAATAACTCAATCTGGAACTTATCAAGGAAAAAAATGAAACAGAACTTTAAAAGGTTGATATTTTTATCTAAATTATTCGACTGACTAATCTGATCAGATCTGAAGCTGCTTTTATTAAATATCAACATTACTGCTAACAGAAAGTCAGAGTAAAACTAAATCACATCATTTTGTAAAGATTTTCCTTGTGTCTAAACAGCTCCAGTTTTGTTCCTTAATGATTTTCCAGCACAAATATAAAACAAACATTTTCCTACTGTCATCCCCTCTCTGACACATTCAATCAGTGTGTGCACGCGAGTTTGCAAAATGCACCTCCTGACACAAACGGCTTCTTTGTTTTATCATCTCCTCTTGATTGAACATTTCCTTTGAGAGTGGCCCAGTTTTTTTTTTTTTTTTACTGGTTTTCCTGTTGTTTCGTGTGATCTGGAGTCAATTACTGCGTGAATGAGCTTGTGCTGTAAGAGACTTCTGATGCCCAGACAGTGAGTCACTGCACTGCAGTAGTAGCAGCAGTGGGAGATGCTAGCAACCACAGCATCTCTTCACAGGGATGAAGGTGGTGATGAAGCTACAGGTGGATTGTAGGACCACAACTCATCTTTTTGCTCTCTCACATGTGGCCGTGACTCCACACAAAGCATCCTCTCAGCCCAGCATGTTTCCTTTCCCCTTGAACAAACACGCTAACCTCCCCTTAGTCAGCCCCTCAGTGTTTCTGATCAAAGACAGACCAAACACAACAGGAAAAAGAGGACGAGTGTTGTGCTGTGCTGTTTTTTTTACACAACTTTAGTACAAGCTCAGCACAGCAGCAGTTGATGTTTTGATTCACCAGTTTGGTTTTATATCTTAGTATCTCAAAACAGCTCAGACACTTGAGAAGATGGGGAGAGGAGATGAGTCTTTTTCCATTTAGGAGGTGGGGGGATTTTTTCTCTGACATTGAGAGGCTATTTTTCCACGTCATCCTCTCAGTTCTGTTGGAAAATAAAACAGACTGTGTGAGTAACAGGAAGACAAATCCTTGTTTAGGGTGTAGGGGTTGTGAAGGAGGAGGTGTGTTGAGTTTCTCAGGCTTCTTATCTCATTAGGATTAGGTTTGACATTTTGGGTAAGAAGTGTTAGATGAAAACATAAAAATCATTCTCATACATTCTCAAGAGAGCTAGCAGCTGGTTAGCTCTCTTACTGATTTATTGGTATGACTTTAACATATGATCAAGATAAACAATATTTTTGTTTCTATGAGGAGTAATAGGATTAAAGAAGGATAATAAGAAACCAAATCCCTCGTCATCCTCTATGTTGACACAACAGACCCCCACCTACCCACACACCTTGTGGTTTCTCCCTCCTGCCTTTCATTAGATATCAGATGCTGTTTCCCGACTCAAGCATCATTTATTTTCCTGCGGCTGTCTCCAAAAACTTGTAATAGATATTCATTCTGTGCGTTTGCAGAACTCATGTTTCAGCTGGTGGGTTCCCTGTTTGGAGCTGACCAGCCTCTTTAAGTTATTTAATGGCTCCAGCTGATTTACTGATCTGGCTTCTGGCCTGCATCTGTGAGTAAACCCAGGATCTGTTTCCTTTGCAGGTCGGTAAGTTGATCCAAGAAGCAGCTGGGAAGAGCAACCTGAAGAGAGTGACACTGGAGCTGGGAGGGAAAAACCCCAACATCATCTTTGCAGATGCTGATTGTAAGTTTTAAAATATTATTTTAGGGGGTCTATCACAGCTGCTGTTTTGTTGGTTCCCCATTCTCATTTTCTGAAAGAGAAATGGCAATCTTAAAGTGTTCAAAAAAGCTTTGTGTTGCTGTAAAAACCTGCAGATAGATGGGGTTTTATATAAATTCTAAGTGGCTCAGCAAACTGGGGGTGCAGAGGCTTTCAAATGCTTTCAGCAGCCGTGAGAGGGGCTCCCTTAGGCCTGTAAATCAGAAGAATGGACCCTGACTCAGTCGGGTGCTTCAGCCGAGACCCATAAATCACAGGGGTCCATTAACCCTTCGTACTCAACAGCAGGGTCCTGTCTCTCAGGTGTCAGGTATCAGATATGCGCCAGATCGCTCCAGTAAATTTCGGGCCCAATTTTTTAACATTAGAGAGTAGACATAACTTGGAGTTACTTCACTATCAATGTTGTGTTTTTTTTAACTTGGAGTATTGTCTAACTTTAATTAACCAAATCCTTGTTTTCTCCAGTGGATCTGGCTGTGGAACAGGCCCACCAGGGTGTGTTTTTCAATGCAGGCCAGTGCTGTACGGCAGGTTCTCGCATCTTTGTGGAGGAGCCCATCTATGAGGAGTTTGTACGTAGGAGTGTGGAGAGAGCCAAGCGGAGGATAGTGGGCAGCCCATTTGATCCCACCACTGAACAGGGTCCACAGGTGAGCTCCACAAATCTAAGTTTCAGAAACCAGATTTTCCCTTTTTATTCACTCCTCTCTGTACACATTTTATCAGTATTGTCTCTTAAGTCTGTCCCTTACTTTTTACAGATCAGTCAGGAGCAGCAGAAGCGCGTGTTGGAGTTTATCCAGAGCGGCATCAGTGAAGGAGCCAAGCTGGAGTGTGGAGGCAAAGCTCTGGGCTTAAAAGGGTTCTACATTGAACCCACTGTTTTCTCAAATGTGAAGGATGACATGCGCATTGCCAGAGAGGAGGTAAAATCACAATAATCATCATATCTCCAGCTAAAGCGATGGATACATACCTCTGAAAACTTGTGCATGAGGCTGCTTTAGACTATACTTCATGTCTTCCCTAAAACACATAATAATAAATGTAGACATGCAGCATATCTAAGATGCAAGTGAAAATGGTTCAAGTTCTCAGTCTCAGTCCCTTTGAGCTCTGGAGAGAGACTAACCTTGAAAGTTGTTTCAGTTATTTTTTAGTAATACAGAGAGTCAGATGGAAAGCTAAAAGTAAATGTTGTCTCCAGTGTGATATATTTTGTTTAACATAGACCTCAGTCGCCTAACATGATGAGATAAATCCAGGTCAGAAATAACCCTTGATACAACACACTGTGTAATGAATAATACACAAACATAATGTATGCACTAAAACATAATTATACTAAAAGTGTACTCTGGATGTGTTTACAGATTTTTGGCCCAGTCCAGCAGATCATGAAGTTCAAAAGCATTGAGGAAGTGATAGAGAGAGCCAACAACACAGAGTATGGTTTAGTTGCGGCTGTATTCACCAGTGACATCAACAAAGCCATGACCATATCCACCGCCATGCAGGCTGGCACTGTCTGGTGAGTTTCTTCTGACCGTGTTTCTTTAGCTGCAATCAGTAATATTCCTCATGTGGGAAGTATCAACCGTTACAGCCTCTGGCATCCAGAAACTGAAGACTGGCGACGTGCCACTTCACTATCATTACACAAGCTGCAAAAAAAAAATTGTTTTCCTTTCTTTTCCCTTTTTTTCACCCGCAGCTCTGACATTCAAGACATAAAAATATCAAAAACAATCTGCCAGGGCAAGACAACATGCAGACTGTAAATCTTCAATGTAAACCGAAACCTCAATTTTATAATTTGTATGATTGAACTGCTCATAAAATGTGTTCTTTGAGGGTACACCTTATATTGTTGGCTTTCTTTTCTAATTACCTTCAGATGGCTGTGAGTATGGATAGAATTATAGTGAACATACAGCCTCTGCCAAGAGTTTTTCACCCTTTCTCATACTTGATTGCAATCCCCCATAAACCGAGGAAACATTTTTCTACCTTGTCCGTCATTGTTGATGCTTCCCAATCATTATCCCACTTCTCCTCTTCCATTTAGGACTTTGAGACCAAATAAAACCTCTTCCTTTCTTTTACCACAAATACTGCCTCCCTTGCTGCTAAAACTGACCAAATTCAGTGACTTTTGTGATGTTAAGACATTCGTATTTACTTCTGCTTTGTCATCAGATTTTCTCCTGATCCTGTCTTCTGTTTGTGCAACACTATGCTGTCATATGTAGTATTTATATAACACATTCAAGTGCATATTGTAGTACTCAAGAGTTCTGCATTACACAATGGTATTTTGTCATTATAATTAACCCTGTCTTCTGATACAACTTTAAAAGGGTGGGACTGGTTGCTGGGGGTAGCTTTGTATTTCCTACATAGACATAAACAGTTGTCATAAATAACTTAAAAAAAGAGACACAGTGAATGTCCATGTCCAAAATTGTAAATCTATACAGAACAAAAAAGGTGTCTCTTTAATCACTCAATGTCTGCTTGTTTTTGACCCCGTTGGATCATGTTTTAAATGAATAATTTTGATTTTGTGAACTGTGCATTGCTTCACTAAATATAAAGTCTCTCCCTCATGAAAGATACTTATTTAAGTAGGGGGTTGCACAAACACAACTTTCCCTTTCCTGCTCTACCTCAGTTCCATCTTCTTCATATTCATCTTCATATTCATATTCAATTTTTATCCTTCCTAGACTACTGCAGTAAAATATTATGAAATATGAAGCCTCAGTTGTATTAGGAATAAAATGGGATCAAGCCGTAAAAGCCAGAGTTAAAAAGAAACAGCCATACTGTTGGCACATTTGTTACCCAGCTGATTTGATACCACTTCCATGGACAGAGATATGAACCCTTTTACAGCGCTGGAAACTGCCTGAGTCAAATGCAAGAGAGTGATCAATGTTTTGTATGTTTCTCAGGATAAACTGCTTCAATGCTCTGAGCACACAGTGTCCATTTGGAGGATATAAAATGTCTGGCAACGGACGTGAATTGTGAGTATGGCTTGGTTTCCTGCCCGCTGGATATGATTGATGCTGACTTTGTGTTTTAAAAACCTACTTTCCAAAATTGATTACCATCATGTAAATCTTCATGTGAGAGGATAAGGAAACAATTCTGCATCATGAGCTTCCAGCTGTGTGCAGAGTATACAAAGTAGGCAGGATTATAACCGCTTCTTGTACTCTGATTCCAGGGGAGAAAACGGCTTGAAGGAGTACTCAGAAGTGAAGACCATCACGATGAAGATGGTCACCAAGAACTCTTAGGGCGGCCACACTTGTTTTTGGGAGGAGGTAGCATCTTCCTCATCGTCATCGCCTCATGTCGGTCCGTCCACAGTGGCAAAACACATTCACCACTCAAACTAGTTATCTCCATGGTAACTACAGGCTGTGACCACTCGCTGCCCTCACAGTTCCTCCATCAACTCCACATTGCTCACCATGGACAGCCAGCCAATCACTGTCCAACTCTCTCCAGTTTGTGGACTGTCTCCAGTCTAACTGACTATTACTGAACAACCCCCCATAATGTATACCTCCTCCACTAACTACACTAAAGCACTCACAGATACGATGGGGGAGGCTGTTCTGACTGCAAACTCCAATAACACCCCCCTGCCCCCCAACCACTATACCCTCATCATCCTCCTCCTCCTCCCCTCAGATGCTGGGTGCTCAGAGACTCGGTCGGCGCACTTGCAATCAACCCTATACGAGCAACTTGTCATGTGTCGGGAGGTGTTTTTTTCTGTTTTGTGCGGCATGGTTGACAAAGACTTCATGTGTCATTGTCTTGGTAGAATTTATGCAAGCACGTCAGCTCATTCAAGACCTGTGATATGAATGGATGAAATGTTAATTCAGAATTAAAATTGATCTCTAATTGTCTTTGTTTATATTTTAGCTTGTACGACTAAACACTGTATGTCAACCTTCGACTGATGTAAACGTGAAGATTTAACCTCTTAAAAGCATTTTACTCTCACCTGCTAAGAGAGGAGTAGATGTATTTTAAACATTATGTAACTGATTTTCATTGATGTCCATCTATGTTTATGTTTATACAATCATATGCTATAAAATTGTAAAATGTACATTTTTTTCAGTAAAAACTTTGTTTTTTTACTGGAAATTGTTTTTCCTGTGTGTTCACTACACGACACTTCACAGTATTACTCCAAACTCTACTTTTCCTAAGATTATTTCATTGTACTTTGACAAAGTACGGGGTTAAAAAGCACTCAAGCATCTAACTTTTCAAAATAGGAACTTTACATCAATTGCACAAGTATTTTATTTAAAACGTTCATTTTAAATAATTAAAAAAAAGTTTCATTGAAACAATCAACATGCTTTATTTCAATCATGATCGTGATACCGGAGTAGGTATTTAAAATGACTGTTAGTTTCTATGTTGTACTGATTCTGGTGACCCCTTTAGGTGATTGGCTGTTTTTTCCCATGAGCACTTTCATTTGCTAATGATGTGGCTCTTAGCAGAGATTCACAGATGTGAAATAGTGGAATGGATCTTCTCTTAATACCACTTTTATTTATTTAAGACAGCTTTTTGCAGGATGATGAGGTAATGCACTTATCTGTAGTGACACAAAATCATGAATTGCAAAGTAACGTCTGTATTCTACAAACTTAATTGTATCCCTGGTAGTTATTTTACAAAAAGTGACCAGGTAGATTTGTCTATAGCCCCAGTGCCATGATATATATCTTCATAAATACCCAATTAACATCAGTATACATACACCTCAACTCCTTAGTACGAAGAGAGTAGAGGAGAAATGAAAACAAAAAAACAGGAAGGCAGATGGCACAGACTTCTTATTCTCGGGTGCTCATTGCTACAAAGATCGAGACCTTGTGCCGTGAACATTGAGAATTACAAGGGGAAAGAGGATGGTGAAGAAGATAACTGTCAGAACAAACTGCATCGCAAGCTTAGTAATCTTTTTCATGTGACATGTGCCTTGAACCAGAGTTGTAGAGCTCGAGTCCTCCAGCACTGATGACACTGGAAGGCACTCAGACTCGTGCACTAGAGAAGATTGAAGGGAGGACTCTGACTTATTTGTTGATAAAGACCGTTTCATTGCTTTAATCAGATACTTTATAGAAAGACCAATATTTATTCAACTAAGACCAGGTGCTTGCATGTTTGTTCCCCTGCATGTGCAGCAGTTCCTGTAATCCCACCACAGCAAAACTGATGATGCATCTTTCCATTAAGAAAACAAGTGCACATTAGTAAGATGGACAGCACTGTACCTCCAGTCATGATCTGGATCACCAGACAAGACGACAGGACCAGTTAGAATTTACTGTTTATAGACAGTCCCACACAGTCAGTCCAGGTTCAGACAGTTAGAGAGTCTGGGGTCTCCCTTAATGTAGTAAAAATCATATGAACAATGAAAACTCAATTAGAGCCGGAGTGGAAAAAACAACATCCCTGAATTAAATCCCTATCAACCACGTGGATATGAGTTTTTATCTAAAAAAATGTGTGTGTGTGTGTGTGTGTGTGTGTGTGTGTGTGTGTGTGTGTGTGTACAGCTTCACTAATTCATCAGGGTCAATAGGTTACAATTCAAAATGAAAGCAAAATGACATAACTCAAAAAGAGGGAACAAGTAACACCCAGCATTAGAAGTTACTCAACATCTGGCATTTACAGGAAATCAAACCCAATTATCAAACTGTAGTTTCATCTTAATTTGGACTCTGCATGAGTCACTGGGTCAGGTCAATAAATAATGGGAAATGGTTGAGTGTTACATAATGTGTATTTATAGAATAACAAAAATAAATTTGGAGCTATAAACATCAGAAGTCTTTTTACTACTATCTAAAGTTGAGCTTGAAGAAATGCCTTTATGTTTTAAGTTTCCCTGTTTGCTATTTGCCTAAAAAAATAGAAGCATTATGTTGTTGGAAATGGAGTCTAGATTATCTGATTTATGAGTTTCAGGGCCTCTTATGTTTAGTTAATTCTGGTAATCCTTCTGGACAAAACTGGTGGTGTTTTTCCTGGGATGAAGAAAGGATTCTTGACATGCTTTGCCAGTGTGAGCATTTGTTGTCAAAGCAATTAGATGGAATAGAGATCTTTCTAACAGGACTTTGATTCAAGAAATATATCTGTTACAGCAAAGCAATGAGGAAATATGTGAATTACAATACCCATCATAGCCCTGGGTTCAGGAGGTCTGCTCTGTTGTCCTGTTGCATGTGCAAATAATGCAAATATGTTATCAAAGTTGAACTGTACTGTCCTGAAAGAGCAGTGAAGAGTTCACATAAAGATCAAACATCCATAAACATACACATAAATCTTAAATCTGTTTTGTAAGCAGTTTGCTCTTTTTGCAGCTCAAACTTGTCGAGGTTTTCCATCAAGAACAACACACCTGCATGAGTATCAGCCATGAGTTCACCAGATATGTGTATGTAAAAGAAAATTACCTGAGGAAATAAAATCCTTTAAAAATACCATTTGAGTGAGTGCCAAATATCGTCTTGACTTTTAGTAGAAAACTAGACACAATGAGCTTTGTTGCTGAAAATCCCCTTTTCTTGTGTGGTTCATTTAGAGCCATTGGTATGAGAGCGATGGTGAGTCAAAGTCAGTTTCTGTTGTGATAAACCAGTACCGTCATGATTTATCCGAAAACAAATATGGAGATTGTCCTTAAAATGGGTTTGAGCATCAGAAACATGAGCCTCCCCAGTCTTGGTTTTCTTATTGGAGTTGAACAGATATAAAGACACCACACTGGAGCCTTTCTTTGGCAATCAGCTTTTGAATTATCAGGGTACATTTTCCCACAATTCCCTTCACTGTTGGTATCCACTGCCTCTCCAAAGAGAACATGAAAAAGTGATCTCTTTATTACAGCACTCTGTTAGCGCAACAGAAACAGCAGTGCAGAGACCACGGACATGCTCTTAAGCCGGTGTAGTCCTGAACCTCTGTGTGTCTTGTAGCCTGACAACCAATGAAAAAGGGCATGAGCCGATACCTTATTTAAGTGATGACAACCAAGTCTCTGATAGCGTTTTAATTAACACTCTGTGTTTAATTTTTTCCCCTTTAGGTTTGTCATTATAAACATTATGGAAATTTAAACATCACTTACACAAAGACCCTGAAATCTTTAGAAGTATATGAACACAAGCCAATACTTGAACTGAACTGAAATATAGCTTCATGGGTGAATGATTTGGTGCAAATTTAAATTAGTGTTTTTGAAATATACTCTTTATCTTTGTAGAAAAATATCTGGAAAAAACATAAGACAAATGAATCTACACAGTGTGAACCCTTGAAAAGCCCTTATTTTCTTAGTCTGTACAAGCGTAACCCCACAGCTCAGTACATCAGTGAGGAAACAGACCACACACTGACAGGGACATTCACCCTTTGTCCAGATGGACCCTTATCCTTCAAAGGCCGTGTTTATAGCTTCAGTTAATATTCCAGAAAGATAGCAATGCCTCTCCTATTATCTGTTCTCTCAAAATATTTTCCAACATGAGTTAGCTGACCAAACAGAGATGATCTCTGCGTCTAGGCCTCTTCATTTGTCATTTGTCAGGCATTTTGGTGGTTTCTTTTTGTTTGTTAGTTTTTCAAAGACATTTTACAAATATGTCATGCATTAAAGAACTGTGTGTGTGTGTGTGTGTGTGTGTGTGTGTGTGTGTGTGTGTGTGTGTGTGTGTGTGTGTGTGTGTGTGAGTGTGTGTGTGTGCGCGCATGTGCGCGTACGTGTGTGTGTGTGTGAGAGAGCCCAAGCATGCAAGCATGAAGGAGAGGTCTGATTCTTCTCACAGAGGTGTTGTGCAAGCATCTCTGCACATGCCTCTCATTCCAGTGTAGAGTGAGTCAGGCCTGCGTGAGGGAACAGAGACTCCTCCACACTGCGATGCTGTGAGGACCCAGTGTCTGTGTGAGGGTCAAGATGACCAAACTATTTAACATTTAACATTACATATGAAAGAACAGTGGAACCTCTGGGCCAGCACAAATTGATGTACAGATGATTCCTTGTCCCAAAATAATATATTGTGAAAACTTCTGGATGCTCCTGATTTGTCTTTAGAAGATATTGTTGATTCATGCCTATAGTTTTTACTAATTCACTCATCATCACATGGGTTAAATGCCATGGTACATGACACATTATCTTCAAAGGTTGAATTATATTAGTTTAAGTAATCCTGAAACTTTGAACAAGCAGAAATGATTTATTTTTAAAAGCACAGCAAAGACTTTTCCATTTTCCAACTAAACAAAGCTCAAGGTTTCCTGTCTGTGTTGTTCACTTCTTTGCTGAGTTGCAATGGAAAATTAAGTAATAGCGCCATGTTGCAATTGCAGTTGTAAAATGCTAAAAATACGAGCTTCTCCTGAATTTGAAAACTCATGAAAAAAGCGCAATGACCAAGAACGTGAGCATCTAGTGGACTCAATGGTTAAATGTTGTAACTCTTGCTAGTTAGCACTAGAATAAGTCAGTTAAACTTATGATCAATATTTTATGAATGATCTAAATTCTCACTCACATTACTTGTCTAACCCAGTGTTGCCAGATGGGGTATGAAGAATTATCGTACCAAAAACTCAAAATTATCGAATTTGGGAAAATTATCATACACCCGTCACCATCAAAATAACAATTTTACTGTTGCATGATAGTCACATATAATCACTCTGTTTAGCATCCTACAGGCACTCACAATTTTGTGGCTACAGTTTTGTGGTCATTCACCGCCCCGCCTGACATCTCTTTGGCTCCAATTCTTCACCGTCCCCTTTCACGGTGCTCATTTTTCTCAACTGACTTCTCGACTGAACGTGATTGACAGACAATCGCGCTCCTTGTTCGGAGACGAATGTCACTCAAACTACGATTGGATGGAAACATCATGTGGTAAAAAGTTGCCTTTCGGGTTCACAAATAAAAAACTGAAAAATAATGTGTCTGGCTGCCTGAGACAGTATTGTACCACATGTTCACGAAACTGTCAAATTATCGTACATTTAGCCTTTTTTCTGGGTTATTGATCAAACATCGTACAGAGGGCATAATTATCTTACAAATACGATAATTA